CGGCCGTCAGACTGGTCGACATCAGCCAGACAAGGGTACCTGAATACGACAGGCGCAGGTCATTGGCCGGTTCCCCTGACGCGCCTGCGTCTGGGAAAGAGTGGTTTCGACTTCCATTCTCAGGTACGAAACCATCAGCGCGGTCCCCAATAATCTAGCAATCACGGAAGCTTCCAGCTTCGTCAATGCATCGGGCAAGCAGATCTTCGCACACCCAGCAGCAGCAGGAGCAGGAGGATCAGCCAGCACCAGCACCATGTAGCCAGCCATTTGGGGGGCCCCACCGACTGCCACAGGGCTTCCGGATGAGGCAGACGGCACCGCTTTTGGGGGCTCGATTCGAAACCCCATAGCGGCCTCTGGATAATGATTGACCCACTTCTTCTCCGCGGTCCTCAAACAAACAAAACTCCAGCGCCGGGCACCCTTGTGGCCTGGCCTGTCGTGCCTGCCCACGCCTGCCTGTCCTATATCACGGGCTCTTAAATCCCAAGAATAAACCGGGGCAGATGATCTGCTGTGGCTTGCATGGCCAGCTGATAGTGCATACAGTACGTGCTGGAAAGCGCGGCTGGCCGCCCTGCTCGGGGCTGTCGGGCGCTGCAGCGAGGCTGACATTGGCCTCATTTTGCCCGACAAATATTAAGGTTCTGTCGGTCAAGATATACTCCTCGCCAAAAAAGAAAGAACGCCCAAAATGAGGACCAATCTGCAATTATGTACTGGGTCCCAACATTGTTGCTTTGTGTAATAGTGGGAAAGGGAGATCATCCAAGCAGCGCCGTTTCAACTGCGGATCGTCCAGATTGCCAGCGCGGACCGGATCTGCCGTCCGCCGTGGTGTGTGTCAACTTGCCGCAGACGCGCAAAGCGTTGCGCAGCACTAGGTCGCTATTATACGCCAGCCACGGGCTCTCGTACTGTGCAGCTTTGGAGAGACAGAGAAAACGCCCCACGTTGTATGAGGCTCAGCGACGGGCAAGCAAACATGTTGGCCAGGCGGCTAGCCTCTCGGGTTGAACACCCAGACAGGCAGGGCATCATCTATGTAGAAAGTCGACGGTGCGCTGGCTGCGCACGGCAGTTGAACCAGGCATGAGATCACTGCGTGGCCGATGGATACGGTCCCGAGTGGACGGTGGGCAGCCAATCCATGGTCTCGCGTCCACTTCTCATACTATGTAACAATTCCAATCACTGCAGCGACATTTCCACGGACGGGCAGGCTGAGGTTGGAAGGCGCTTTCTTCGTTTCGCGTTTCAAGTCGCTGCCCCGTCAGGTCTGTTTCACATTACCGCGGGTTGGGACTCTCCTTTTCCCCCTGCCCTGCCCTCTTTCTTCCTTGTCGCCGGTCGAATCCCGACCGGCCGGAGTACATAGAGAATAGGGAGAGAAAGAGCCGAGGAGCATTCGCCCGTGCTGGCCAAACTACGTCGCTCTGCTCTGTCTCCCGGCCGGGGAATGAGTGGTTGCGGACCCACCGCCCTGGTACACTACGACCCGACAGGGGTCACCGCCGTCGTAGGGACAGCGAGCCAGCGGCTGGGCCCTCTGTTTATTAGCAGCGACAGGGGCAGAGCTTCGGCCGGCGGTGGATCTTCGCGGAGCCTTTGGAAATAAAGTTAATCATGCTGTGGCTGGGTTCGGCTTGTATGAGCGTCTCTGGGGCCCTGGGGGATTGGGCCAGGGGGCTGAGCTGCCAAACACGGCCCTGGAGAATTGATCTCAATCTGTGCAAAACAGATGCTGCCAGACCAGAGTGAGGGAGGGCAAGGGCTAGGTAAGTTTGTTCTGGCTTGAGTCGTCCGAAGTGGGAAGGGAGAAAAGGGGGGGGGGGGGGGTGGGTGGGTGGTCGGTCGGACGAGGCCAGAACCTCTCACACACAGACGTTGGAGATGGGGCGTGGACCTGGGACTGGAACTGAACTGGCAGGCTTCGGAACATTTGTTGGAATTAGATGTTGGCGATAGGACAAAAGACTACAGGTGCGTGCGAGCGTGCGTTGCGTGTGCATGCGAAGTGTGCGCGAGTGAGTATAGTCTGCTGCTCGGCAGGTTGGCTGGACGAGGCACGTCATCGGCAGCACAGCCGACAAGAGAAGGTCACATCCACGACGTCGAGCTCATCCACACCCAACACCACAGACACACACATGCGTACACGCATGTGCGTACGTCTCTCTCAACGACAGACGAGGCCTGAACGAGAAGGCGGGTATGTCCTACTTTACGCAGCAGCGTGCATACCGCACCTCATCAAGGTGACCAGGACGCCCAGGTCCGCCGGGGTGTGGCAGGTGGTTGACGGGTGATTGATGGGTGGGCCTCGACTCCCAGGCACCGCTTCACCTGAGACAGGTACGGACGGCTACCTCGGCACGTACCCTTGTACCTATGTATCTATTAATGTACCCGCGTACCTGATCAGCCTTCCAATCGAAGGTTCGCTGCCGACGCCCAGACAGCACCAGGCTTGGACACTTGGACTCTGGACTCTGGACTCTGGGCCATTGGCCGCGGCGGACTCGGCTGTCGAGGCCTTTCCCCGACCCGCCGTCAAGCTGAAGAGGAAACATGGAGAAATGAATGAATGAACCGTGCAAGGAACCTAGGGGAGAGGAAGAGGCGGCATCACCTTGCAGCCTCCATTTCTTTTGCCTCTGCCAGACGATGGGCTATGACGGTGACCGATCTCTCACTGATTACTTCTTGCAAAGAAGAGTTTCTCACCACGTCAGGATTCATCAACATCAATGTCAAGAGCAAGGAAAGGGCGCAAAAGCAACCTGGCTCTTCGTTTCCAGGTCGATCTTGATCGAGGATATCTCCCGGGACTGGGGGAGCGGGAAAAGCAAAGCAAAACACAAAAAGAAAGAACCAAAAAAGCCAGACAGGCGACCGCAGGATCTTGTGCCAGGTTCGGAGCTGGCTGGAATGGCTGGAATGGCGGGAATGGCGGGCACAGGAACGAGGAAACAATCATGCACAATATCCCATCCAACCCCTCGTCCGATGACCAACCAGACACCCCTTCCCTCCACCCACATCATCCCGCATGCCATAGTACTGTACATGGGCCCATATCCACCACACACATGTACTATCTGTGCAGTTGCACTCTTCCGTCCAGCTGCTAATGCACCCGGCTGGCCCGTCTGGGAGACCACAGCTACCTGGGCACATATGCAGGACCACCACCACCACACCCACCCCTCGCGTGGCGGGATTCCCCTCATTGGGTACCCATTGCTTGCTGTCTCTGTCTGTCTCTGCTTAAGTCATTACCCAATGCATGTCTCGCCCCGCGGGGGTCCCTGAAGAAGCTTCACTTGCAGTCTGCCACCCCTGCCCGCCCGCCTCAGCCGCCTTTTGTTCTCGCCTCAGCTCTCTCTCTCACCCTCCCTCTCCTGGGACGTGCCTGGATTGACCTTGAATAGGCGTGCGTTGTTGCTTCCCTGAGTGGTCCGATCCGATCCGGGCCTCAAAAGAATTAAGGCTTATACATCAGCATTGCGGACGGTGGCCCACGGTAGTATGGCTCGTTCCACCTGCCAATGCAAAATGGCACGTCAACTCGATCAGCCCACTCGCTGTGCCCATCGGTCCATAGCAGAGAGAGAGAGGTACAGGCACACATTGTCGCAGCAGTGGGGTTCGTTGGTGGTTGGCAGTAGGAGAAGCCACCCGCTCCTGTCAGCCCTCTGGTGTAATAATATCTTTCTGCCGACAAACTGTTGAGAGACTATTAGCAGACTCGTGGTGTCTATTTTCCCGCATAGAACAATTCATCTTACAAGCCGTTAGTATACTGCAGAGTCTATGATCAGGAAAGTGTTGTAGATTACCAAGAGCCGTCTCAGACGGCCTCTCTGAGAAAAGAGGTTATACTTTGGTTCATGCTTCTTACAGAAGGGGATAGTTGGCCTCAACGTCCAGTTGGATATAATTCCAGTTATTTGATTGTAATGTTGCAATTTCGATCCTCAAATGGCGGATTTGTCGCGCAGAGCGATGTCCTCCAGCTAGTGAAATGCTGGACAACTTGGCTATAACACTCTCTTCTAATCAACAAAATGGACGACTTGTTTCCAAAAAGAAGACCGAAAAAGGATCTCCTTTGTATGTGATAATGATCATGGTATTTGAAAAGGTCACTTTCGATAGTGAGAGAAGTCAAATGGCGTTGCGGTTAAGCGGCGAAGAGAAAAGCATCCAAGTTTGGCAGTGCTATTTTCTGGATACATGCCTTGTCTGAAAGGAGGAGTCGTGGTCAATTTCCTAGACGAATTCGCTGGCATGCACCTAAATGAAATTCCAGTACTTGACATAGAAGTTTGAACACCTCTGATTCTCCCAAAAGAAGGCAGATATCGATATATCTGTCAGTTACAGCCAGACTTGACGGTTGCCTGTGGTTCAAGTGCTGAACCGAGCCAGGAGAGGATATAAGTGAGAGGTACGAGCCATCACTTATTGTGATTTGAGATCAGCCTCACTGTCCCAGTTGTAAGTGCTCGTTGGACCGTACTATATTCTGTGTGAACGTCTATATTCTGATGGACTACGACCTTTGCTGCCTGATGCACCCGTATGTTGCAGTGTCTTCTAAATGTTCGCTGTCCCATCGTTAGTCAACAATATCGTGGCTGCTTCGCTTACCAGAATCGTGTACATTTGTACACCAAGCGGCTTGGTTCCATGATGGAGGTAGGCCAAAGCCAAGCGCCTCCTAGCCTGTCTGTGCTAAAACTCCGAACCATCCCTCTTTGATTTGTGCCTGTCCGACCAGATGAGAGTACTGTGAATGTGTTTTAGTCAATCTATGGGTGAGTAAGTAGAGAGTCTTGCAAACCAGCCTCAAGGGCTTCGTTTGGTAGTGAGTGATCAAGTAGGTAAGTAGTGGGAATCAGGCTGATATCCCAGAGACATGTTTTTTTTTTTTGCGCGAAACAAAGTGAGCGGGGACGGTCCTGAAGACACGGTTCTTTTCCTTCTTCACCTTACTCGATTGCCGACAGGTCAAAGTCGTCCTCGCGCCTCCTGACCAGCACCTGCACCGTGGCGTCGGTGGTCAGGCCGACGCCGAACTCATCGATCTTGGGCTTGACGCCCTCGGGCAGCTTCCAGTCGTAGTTGAGCAGCGTGAAGATCAGGGCGATCTTGACCTCGTTGGCCGCGAAGAACCGGCCCGGGCAAGCGTGGACGCCGTGTCCGAAGCCCAGGTGGTCCGGTGTCGTCGACACCAGTTGTGAGGTGTTCTCCTTGCCGGGCTCACCGCTACGCCGCATGCTGTAGAAGCGGTAGCCGTCCCCTGTATCATATTATAGTTAGCTATCAACTTACACACGGATACGGCAGAACCATGTGCTCTAGTTGGTGGGCCTGATTCCAGGAGGTTGCTCACATTCGTTGGCGTTCGGGTATACAGAATCGTCCCTTAACCCTCTGTCAGTATCTATGAATCGTTATGGGCGATATGAAATGGTGAGCATACCAGTGGCGGTGCGTTGACACCGCGAGGAAACCGCCCTTAGGAATCACAGTACCATTAGACAGTTTGACGTCCGCTCTAGCCTTTCGCTGCATTGTGGCTGTCGTTTAAGCCCGTCAGTATCATGCAATCCGTGTAATTTTCCTCATGTGGCCGCAATCTTCGGCTCACCTAGTTGGATGGGCTTGAGACGCTGGCTCTCCTTGATGACACTGTCGAGCAACTTCATGCTGGTCAAGGTCGTCTTCTTCCAACCACCGTCAGACAAGACTTCTTTGATTTCCTTGCGCAGGTCTTCGATGATCTCCGGGTGCGCGGCCAAGTCCGTCATGATCTAGGTCATCAGGTCTGAGGTGGTGTGGATGGCCACAATCGAGAGGAACAGCTGCATCGCCGCCGGCTCGTAGCTGGCATTTGTCTTGGCGGAATCGTTCTCAAACCACTCTATGGCATCGTTGAACTCGATCGTCTTGCCAGCCGCCGCAGCCGCAGCCTTCGCCTCCTTGCGCTTCTCGAGAACGGGCTGGAGAATAACGCGTGCCTCGGCCACCTGCGCCTGCGCGGCCCTGCAGATGGGCAGGACCCGGGCGGCGATAGACCTGATGATGCCGGCCGGGTACGTGCGTAGGATATCGGTTGCTGGGAACACGGTCGAGGCGTACTCTCGAGAGATCTTGAGCCATGCCTCGTTGCGGCAAAGCTCTTCTCCTAGGAAGACACGGGATGAGATGCGGGCGATGCAGGTCAGGATGGTGTCCCTCAAAGGCAGTGAGTGCCACTCTGTACGACGGTCAGGATTAATAAAATCGGCAACCTTATCCGCATAGAGTCGTTTATATCTTACCCTTGCTTTCTCCAAAGGAAGCGGGCATAGCGAGTGCTGTTTCATCTGCCAGAAGCTTGATAATTTTGGCTGTTGACAGACCGGAGTCAATTTCGGAATCCACTTCTCCAGATTACAGAGTTACTCGTGCTAACCCAGAAACTTCGTCAAAGCTTTGTTTATCACAGTCAATGTGAGGTAGTCTTTCGTGCCTTGTAGTGGTGCCTCGAAGCCAGGATACTCGGTTTGGAAGAACTTAGGCCGACGTCAGTTTCAGTCCCATGCCTAGCAGGGCGCAAAAAATATCAGGAACACTCACATCAGCGCTGAAGTCGGCGAAGCTGAGCTTAGGGTCGCTCCGGATCTCGTTCGCCATGCTTGGGGGAAGGAATGTGACATGTCCATAATCGGTGATGAGCTGTACCGGCTCGCTGGGGTGGCTTTCGAACCAGTTCCTAAGCAGCGAACGGCATTGCTGGTAGAAGACTCCCTTTGCTCGCTGATCGGTGAGCTCCAACGGTTGTCGGGGATTCAACACTGGCGCATCGGACTTGGGTTTGCTGCCGAATGAGTAGAGTAGACTAGGACCACGAATACAAAGGTGGCCACGAGATACGGGATCGGCTTGGTCGTAATGCCTGAAGTCTCAATATCGGCCAAAGCTGCCTGAATGGAAGCCCATAGAGACATATTTGACGCTTAATTAGTCGCTCAGACGGCAGGTTCGATTTCAATATTGCAGTCGTTGGGAAGGTCTCGACTTCTTTGGTATGATGGGGTTGATGATGGAGGTAATAGTGAAGAGTATCAGTCTGTATCTATAAATCTTTCCTAAGTTTCGGGACGTATGAGCAGTCCGTGACTTACATCGTGCGCTTCATGCCAGTACTCCACCCCCTCGCCCAGCATGCTTGGAACCTCAGCATCATCAACAACCGATGGTGGGCTACTCAGTCTCTCATCACCGACAGGGAAATGGACTAGGCGCCACTATGTAGAGACTGCATACCCATTCAATACGAAATTGGATGGCATTCAAGGACACAGTTCGGAGTAGATGAGCATCGCGACAGACATGCCTCATTCCGCGGAAAGGCGTTCCGAAAGTAGAGTAAATGTACGGAATTACACGAAAAGGGGCCCTGATACAGCAAACAGGTGCTGCGGATTTAGAAAGCAACGGCATGATTATCATTCCGCAAGTGCACAATTGTCCGTATTTAGGGTATATTTGTCCGTGTTGCCAGTATGCACGAGCAGCTCGACTTGCATGCGTTCCACGTTCACTCGACTCGCATCGAAGCAACTCCACCACGGACACCAGCAACTATGCAGACGATGTAGCGGCGGTAACACTATCTGCCCGAGCGCCCGATAATCATGGGCCGCAACTGGTGTGCAACTCTGGGCATCAGTCACCTCGAAACTTGTCAGTCAGGGTAATGATCTAGTGGTACCACACTATACTTACATGTGACAATCGAGTCCTCCTCCACAACAACGGTGCCGTACGAAATTATTCACGAATGAGCACATCGGGGATGCTAACCAGGGCATGTTTTATGCTTTCGCTGTATCCCGCCTGGCTCTATCTGTTTGCATCTTTCTGGCTACCAAGGGCAGCCATCTTGAACCTAATATGCTTGCGCAGCTTGCTTGACCCTGCCTAAGACCGGGACAAATGCTATCTCTTGTATATCTAATTGTCCATTTCAGACGGCTCGTTTCCAGCTGAGCCTAAATCCTGCCTCATTGTCCGGGACACAATGAAAGGTAGCAATATGATAGCCCCCACGGTTGCTACTACAGGTGATGCCGTCGTCTGCCTGGTGGTTTGCCCTAGCAAGCAAAGAACAACATGGGCTCCCAAGGCAAGCATGCAATTACAGCTAGACGTACAAACCTCTGTGTTGCTGGGTAACAGCAACAAAGTGACATCACCCGTTCAATTCAGTTGTAGGCTTTGGGAATAAGAGCAATCTTCACCACGAGGCATCGACACACCTGTTCAAGATCATTTCTCATATCAGTCCAGGCATAACAGAACACCAGGAATCAGCCGCCTGCAAAACAGCGCCGCTATGGATCGCAACGGTAACTTCGACTACCGAAACTTCTTCTACCCAGGTCCAGCACCACTCCCAGTGCAGATCTACCCAGTAAACGGCGACCCACGCTTCCCCTTCCACTTCCCGTCCGGCACGCCCAACACCAACATGGCCAGGCGCGACTCCGCCTCTCCCTCAGCGCGCGAAGACATCACCGCCGATGAGGCCGCCCTCGACCCGGCCGCATCGGCGAGTCCGCCCTCTGGTGGTATGGTAGCCAAGCGCGACGCGGCGGCGGCGCAGGCCACGACCACGCCGCCCGTGAAGCTCGACCACGTCGTCCAGGGCCTGTCGCACCTCCTGGAGGATGCCATCGCCTTCTGCGAGGAGTGCCTCAAGACGCACAAGGAGGTGGTGGCCGTGGCCGGGTTCGCGGGGCACGCGACGCGCAACAGCCTGTGGCGGGAGCTCCTCGAGTCGCGGTTCGAGGCGAGCGGCGTGCACAAGGACCTGCTGCACACGTTGGTCCCGCGCGTCAGGCGGTACACGCAGCAGGCGCAGCAGGCGGCGGCGCGGGACTACCAGCCGTCCGGCAGCTCGGACGAGGGGAGCGATGACAGGGATGCGCACTACCGGCTTGCGCTCATGACGGACAAGCTGTCGGCGCACTGTGACTGGATCAGCCGGGCGAACAGGAAGGCGCTGGGGAGCAGCGCGGCGTGCGAGAACATGGTTGAGCTTATGAGGGAGATGATGGAGCTGTGTGGCAAGATTGTGCCTGGCGTCGAGGCTGCTCCGCAGGACGGCCAGGAGGGAGGCGACAGGCAGTACTAGGGTAGGTAAGTTGTGGTGTGGCTGTAGTGGAGTGATAGCTAGAGCAGGCGGCGAGGACAACGTACCGATGTAGTTGAGGAAGCCCATGCCTTGTTGTCTGATCATGCCGCCGGGCTGATCTTTGTCTCGAGCCTTGAACGAACCGCGTCTGCCATCTCCATCCCGAAAAGCTTCCAAATGCGGCCAACACATAGTGTCCCACTAGGACAGGCGACAAAGCAAGTCATGGGTGAGGAAGAGGACTCAATGGAGACCCGCATCGTGAAGAAACTGTCTCCATGTGAGTAAAAGATTGTAGCAGTGCCTTCATCCTCCGCACAAGACAATAACTGGGACTGTAGCAAGGAGTCCATTCGACAAAACATCACACTTACACTGTGATCCCAGAAGCGCACCGCAAACACACCATCCAGAAGCCCGCCCAAGATGCCGCCCAAGAGGCGGACCACGATGCCGCCCAAGGGCCGTGGCAGAGCCACGCCGCAGGTCCAGAGGGGCGCGGTGAAACTGAAGCGCAATTCAAGATACAGGATAGAGGAGCCGTTGCACCCTCAACCAAAATGGGTGCGGGACAACAGCGGTAGGCTCGTGTCCAACCTGCCCAGGAGGCCCAACGTCGGTGGCCTTGGAACCCTCGAGGTATTCTACCACGTGAACCGCGAAAGCCCAGACGAGGTCCTGCCCCCTCCGAAGACGCTGTGGAGGCAGCGGTACGGCGACCAGCACACCATCAGCTACAGGCCCCTCTGGGTTGACATTGCGGGCAACCTCACCGAGCCGCTTAGGAGGCGCAGCGACGTGAGCCTCGGGTCGAGCGAGGGCGGCGACCTGGAGGGCAACGTCGGGGTGCCGTACCTGTACACCTACGACGAGGGTGTGTTGCCCGACGAGGACGGGCTGCAGTACCGGCGCTGGCGGCCCCTGAAGATACTCGCCAACGGGGGCTATGGTGTCGTCATCACATATGTGGACGACGCGCGCGGCTTCACTGTAGATGCGGACATTGCGAACGAGGACATAATAGTGGCTAAGTTTAATTATAAAGGAGGCGACCTGGTGGACATCATGGCTTCTGTTGTGAACGAAATCACGATGTCGGAGGAGATTCGACGAGCCAGACTAGAAGACGAGGAGGAAACAGCAGCAGAACCAGAACCAGAAGGGACATCAAGAGCAGCAGTCAAAAGAAAGAAGAAAGAAGAAATAGTCAGGAAAGGGGATATGAAGAAGAGGAGCCGATCGTCGACCGTCTCGCGAGAGATGCGCCGGCGTCGTCACAGTGAAGAGATCAACTATTACTCCCACTTCCAGACACCGTCGGTGGGGCTCGACGTCGACACGACTGACACGTTCCGTCAGGAGACGGAGATCCTTGAGATTCTCGACATGACCGGCTCACCACACTTTCCGAAATTCTGGAAGCTCGCTGATGCGCCGCAGGACGGGACGCTCTGCACGATGGACTACATTCCGGGCGGTGTGACGCTAGACCAGCAGTTCAACACACTGGCGAACGAAAAGATCCCCATTCGCTTGCTCTGGGAGGCAGTATTCTGCCTCAGCAAGGCCATGTCCGTGATGGCCTATGGGAGTGAGGACCCGGCGCCGACGCACAGGGTGCACGGCTGGAACCAGATTGTTCATCTCGACTGGAGCGAAGCCAACATCTTTGTGCGGCAGAATCCCCCTTCGCACACATGCTCACACGGCCCTTGCTTCGTGGTCGGAGACTTTGGGTTCGCTTTGATCGTGCCTAACAGGCCCAAGGCGAGGATTGCATTTCGCAGAGGGCATTTGAGATTGGACTGGCACAAAAACCTCAACCCTCAGCTGCCGGTAAGTCGCTGTCATGACTTGTAATGCAAATCGTGAGGTCCTTTTTGTTCTGATTATGAATTTGAGCAGGAAGCAGACATAGATACGACAAAACCACTTGAAGAGCGAGTGAAAACCCCCATAATCGGCCACTTCTCCCACAAGACAAATATTTTCCTTATGGCTGAGGTCTGGAGGGATAATCTCGGTGGCAACCAGGTCGGGAGGCTTGGTATTATGCGGTACAGGCAGGACAATCTCACGCCGATCGAGCAAGTCAAGCTTGAACAAGATTTGCAGTCACATCTTCCAGTAGATGAACGGCTTGGCAGACCCCTCGTAGACGGCGATGACTGCGACGACGACGCCTCTGACGATGATGACTCTGACAGCGCAGACGATTATGCGCCGCGAGTGCGTGGATATGTCGATGTGGCCGAGTCCCTGCTGGCACAGAATGTCGCCCAAAGTTTAAGAGTGTCGGAACAGCGATTCGTAAATCTTATGACCCGCTGCCTCAACCACGACCCAGCGGAGAGGCCGGAGATTGAAGAGATCATGCTGCAAGCTGCTAGGGGAATGGCTGAAGCTGGCGTGTACGTACCACCCACACCAAGTAGCAGTGAGAACGAGAATAGCGAAGATGGCGAGGACGACGAGTAACAAGAACGAAGAAATGCGCCAGAGATTTGTGGCAACTGGCAGCGCAAATCGTCAAGCTTAACCATGGGATGAGGGCGACATGTGGTTCTTGATTCATGTACCTCGAGGAGGTTGTTAGTAGTATCCTTTCTTGCAAAGTAATTCGATCTTGTGTGTACAACTGACCTAGAGGAAAAAATGAGTGAAGCCCACCGCCCAGAGAGTGATCGGAATTGAATGATGAGGCCTGCCCCCCACCGAGGCGAGAAGCAGGCGACACGCCACCCATCGTACTTCAGCTTGTGTCCAAGCAATCCCGGCAGTGACTCTCCCAGAGGAACGCTGGACCGGAGCCCCCCATCTTCCCCTTGCGGGTATGAACGAGAGGACGGCCAGCGCCCTGCTTTTCTGATGCCAACTGCGGAGGCAGATTCGCCTCGTGCCGTCACCGGCAGGCCGTCGTCACCCGCGCAAGAAGCGCAGGCGGTCGGGCTGGTGGGGCCAGGGCAAGCCCTGGGCCCCGTCGGGAGTTTCTCCGAATTTCTCACATGCGACGTGGTGCCAGCGACTCCCCCGAAGGAAAGACGCAAAGGCTTGAGAGAAGCTGCTCGCGCAGATCTCTCCGTTTGTGGCATAGAAGGGTAGCGTTGAGGGCGGTGGGCTTGGAGAGAAAGAGAGGAAGAAAGAAAGAGTCACACTCTGAAATTTTGGCGAGCTCTCAAATATCAAAGTGCGGCTCATGGTGTGGGGTACAGGGACCCTGGTAGCACGATGCAGCCAATCACAGCGCTGGCGCAAGAGCGCCCTACAGAGTGCCTGGCTAGGCAGGTACGTACCTGCAAGGGTCGAACCGCCGCCAGAAACCCTGAGTCCCTGACACCGGAATTTGCCAAATCGATCTAGACTTCCCGATAAGTCGATAAGATGTGCTGGATCTTTGTGAGACCGTTTTCTCTTTTTCGGCCGTACTTGCTCTCACCGTGGTCTCCTGTTCCAGACCATACTCGATCTCATCGACAGCTCCGGCCTACAGAACTCACATCACGGCGGTATCAGAATGTCTGCTCTTGCGCCATAGCACTACGTTTCTCCGTAGTGCCCGTCCATCCGACACAGTCTCTCCCTCTTGTCTTCCCCTCCAAACAGTCATATTCTTGTCCTGTTCGCCCTGACCAGTTGGTCCCAGTCTGCTTCCACAGATAACATGCTCGAGTCTCCACTGGACCTTCCTCAGGTCTGGCAGAAGCCTGCCTTTCCTGTTCTACTGGCAGCCCTCCAAGGACTTCGAGTCGATCCACCAGTATGGAATCTCAAGGCCTCCCGCACTGAAATGCTCAAACACCAGGATGTGGCTGCGCAGGACCCTCGGGAGGTCGCCGCCTATCTCTCCACAATCATCAAGAGCCCACTCAGCTGGCTGGAGGACGAGGATCGAGAGGCAATCTGGGACGAGGCAAGCAGGCGGTTCTCGGAGCGGTGTGGACGAAGCGGTACGTCTGACTCCCTCCCTAGGTACGCTGAAGAACACCAAGCTCACACCTTGGATTAGCTATGGGCGAGATCACCCGCCGGTGGCCCTTCGAGAGTGATGCGTACAGCCCGTTCGACCTGATCCTGCGGGAGCCAGCATTGACAGGTGACAACCTCGGCCTCAAGACCTGGGGCTCATCATATGTCCTTGCTCAGATGCTACACACCATAGGCGAAACTTCGTTGGCCCATCTCTTCGGACAGGCAGCTAGCCAAGCGAGACCACAAGTGCTGGAGCTGGGATCCGGCACTGGTCTCCTTGGCCTGGCAGCAGCCGCCATCTGGCGGACTCATGTCATCCTCAGTGACCTCCCAGAGATCGTGCCAAATCTTGCCCACAACGCCGACAAGAATTTGTCAACGGTTCAGGAGCGCGGTGGTAGTCTTGCATCCGGGGCTCTGACATGGGGTGGAGATGAAGAAGAGATTGACCCCGTCCTGTTCACTGCGAAGAACAACTTTAATGCATGTCTAGGCTAATCTCGAGGACAATGATACTGGGTGGCTGACTCACGTGTAGGCCGTAATTGTCGCCGACCCTCTCTACGACGACAACCACCCTGGACTTCTCGCTGGTGCGATTGACGACCAGCTCAGCTTGGACATCAATGCTAGGGCGATGATCATGGTGCCACAGCGGGACGCTGTCACGGCCAGGCTTCTTTCAGTCCTCCGGGACGAGATGGCATCGAAGCCAACGCCCTTTATCTGCCTCGAGGAGACTATTGTGGCCGGGCGAGACGACTGGGGCTCAAGTGAGGATGAAGATGCCGGCCAGGTCAACTGTTGGCTGGGCATATTTGCAAGGCAGAAGGTTGTATGTCATGCCTGAAGCACAATTTTCTCAGTCAAACCGCTGTCCCCCACAAGCAAGTCGTGCTTTTGTTTGCATATATCTCACGCCTTTCTGCGCCTATTCATTTGAACTTGCACAGGTTTCCGGGGGTGAAGCTCAATGGGCCACATCAGGCAAGTTCGGTGCCACAAGTTGGACTCAGTCGGTTGCCATCCTTTTGGCAACCAGTCCGAACTCAACTTTGGTAATTATTGCTAGCTGGATCTTACTGGCGCAGTGTTTCCGTTTGTATCACCCAAGGAGCAATAATGTACACGGAAATTTCTGGGGCCATCGAGGGCTCTAGGGGCATGAGGCCACTTCCACTGGCCCGTGCCTCATATCACCAAGACCTCTCCCCGGCTCTCGCAAATGCCAATGCTTTGTGATGCTTGCGCATTCATTACTGCCTGGCACATTTCAAATGACTTGTCTATTTGTGTCTTGACATCTGCTTCATTTTGATCTGGACTGTATGTTTCTGAATTTTCGAAACTGCCTGGTAAAGTGTTGTTCTATAAAAGTCTGGATAATTGTCCACTCAATGGTTCCCATGTTTTCCAGAACGGCGAATCTCTCATACAATTGTGCACCTGCCCAAACCTCTCTGTCATCTACGCTGCAGCTACTTCCCGGGTTGGGTTTCTTCTGGACTTTGTATGGTACTTGAGGTTTCTTCTGTGTTCGCACTTTCCTTTCCCAGCGCTACTCTTCACTCATCTCATCATTGGTACCTTCCATTGGATCTTGCCACTGCTCTTGCCCTTGCCCATACTCCCCTCCCCAAACCAATTCCCCAGGCAAGGGGTCTTGGTCATGTGGCAAGCCCTGGGCAATCTCTTCGTCACTGGACGCTCCTTCAGCTGTTATTCCTTCTCTTCAGTTCCATATATCGCTCTACGCTGATGGAACCTGTCTTTGGACCAGGCACAGTTGTGACTACCCAAGACTTGTTGCTCACTGCCCAACAGTGGTGCCTGGCCTTTGCTCCTCTCAAGGTCGGACGGCAATTGGCAAATCACTACCCTGGCTGCAATCATGGTCTTTGCTGAACTGCTTTATCTGCACGACAGAGTGATCCTCGCTGTTCAAGCAGCCTGTCCACCAAATCTACCCAGCAACCACCACTTGGACCAGAACAAGCCTCGAGACCTTCCAACCGTTCGAAGGATCGGGGCCACTCATCTCAGCAGTAGTTCATCAGTTCAGGCCTGACTGAACAAGATACCACGTGGTCAATCCCTCCCTGACGAGATCGCTTCTTATTATCCAGCTCATAGAGAATCTCACGCTTGTCATTGCTCAGTCTATAACCTTTTCCAGCAGCGCGGTTACAGATATAACTCTACAACCTGGACGAGGCCGAGGTTTCACAAAAGAATAATACTGTCATCGGTCAGACCTTGAACCTTGTCTATTGGCAAGAAGCAAGACCAGTGTCCTTCGAAAGGTGCATAGCTTCTGCTGAGAGGATCGTGTTCTGTTATTGCACCCCTTCACAGGCCATGTGACTGCATCACACATTTCACTGACACATATTCATTCATGGCGAGGAAGCTCAATAGCTCCCACTGGGTAAACTGCGCTCAAGTAACAAGTACTCTTCGTGGACATGGGAATGCATCCCATCTCTGACCGACACTGCCTTAAAAGCAAAGAAAATTCCAAGGTAGTCTCCCATCCACCCTTTGAGACTGATCAATGCTACCCACAAGAACATGTACTGACAGCGTTTGCAGACCACCCCATCACTTACGCTTGACCATCAGTGACGGAGGTTCACACACTCATCATCATCATTATGTCTGATTTTAAGATGGTTGAGAACCGCAAGTACAACGACGAGGAAATCAAATACGTTATATCTCGGACCCAGGCCAATTGGCCCGCCGAAATCATTGCAAAAGCCTTCAAGCGGGATCACGGTGAATACTGGGCCAACCGAGAGTTCACCAAGAAGCAGGTGGCCTACATTCGATCCACCTACAAGCCTGCGCCGGGGTGAGTCCACCAACAGCTGCTCCAAGCTACCGATGAACCTGCCCGCTGATGGAATACTACAGTATGGTCAAGCCGTACACAGGCCCCATCCCTCAGTTCTCGAGATCCCCAACGCCGGAAGACAGTCCTGATATGGCCGCCCCCAGACGCAGCAAGCGCAAGCAAGCAGCCGCGACCGCCCACCATGGCTCCTCGAGCACCCAAGCCCCCGTCTCCGAGCGAGCTAGCAGCCCCGTTGCCGGACCGTCACGCAAGCGCCAGAAGATACAGCCCATGACAGACACTACTACTCATCATGGGGAAGCCTCCGTCTCCGAGCGTGCTAGCAGCCCCGTTGCCGGACCATCACGCACGCGCCAGGAGACACAGCCCATGACAGACACTACTACTCATCATGGGGAAGCCTCCGTCTCCGAGCGTGCTAGCAGCCCCGTTGCCGGACCATCACGCACGCGCCAGGAGACACAGCCCCCGGGAGACACTCCTACTCATCATGGGAGTTTCATTCAGGGCCAGAGCCTGACATCTGGTTTTCTGAGTGGTCCCTTGGTCAGTACAGACGATGTGCCGAGAGACGGGATCCCGGAGGAGCCTTTTGATGTCGACGCGAACGCTAACGATCTCTTCGCCGGGATGAACTATCATGCGTTGGAATCGAACCCGGCGTCGAGACAACTTAGCCTCAATCCCAGCAATCCCGGAATGATGGGCCCCGGCACCAGCCCTGCCCAGGGCTCGAGCATCCCGCATATACGCCGTCTGATTCCGGATTTTCCCCTCCAGGATTTCCCCCTCCAGTCCATCGAGAGACACCAGTCCATCGCCACGGGTGCCGGCACGAATGTCACCAACTCGGCTTTCCCGACGCCGCAGCAGCAACAAGATTCGCAGCTTGGCATGTCCGACCCCCAGCCCCTGATTCCCCCAGGGTGTACGGCGGCGAAGGCGATGGCGCACGACAGCTACGGCGTGTACTACTACGACCCGCACGACACATGCCTCATTCGGAAGGGCCACCGGCACGACATGGATGGCGGTGTGCACTTCACCAACGAGTTTGGAGTGATGCAGAGCCTACTGGCCATGCAGCGCATCGAGGGCCACGGCTTCCTGCTGGGCGCCGCCACGACCGCCCAGTCGATCCTGAACCTGGGCAGGATGCACCTCGCCAATGGCAGCGCTTATATCGACGTCAGGGACATCATGCGCCAGGCTGCCCTCATCGTTCACGACAACGTTCCTGAGGTCCTGGACCGCGAGCGCTTTCAGGTCCCCGAAGTCGAGGACATTCGGCGGCTGTCAGAGACGAACAGCCGCCTGCCCAGCGGTTATTCCTACGATCCATTCCATCGCCGCATCGTTCCGTATGACATACCGGGTCTCTCAGGAACCCAGGGTGGTGGGCAAGGAGGAGGTGCTGCTGGAAGCAGCAGGCCCTCCCGTCAGGGCAGCGGCCCTCCAGGTGCGGGAACTTCCTAGCTCTCTTTTCACGGTTTTCTCTCTCATCAGTGTCGCTCTGTGCTGGGTTGTGGCCCATCTTGAGCTGCCCACCTGGCGCCGTCGGACGGAAGACTTATACCCAGCGGAATTACAGTCCGAAGCTGGGACAACGAGGACAACTAGAAGAGCTACCGCGAAGCTGCTCACCGACAAGGTGGGACTTGAGTATCCTCTTGCCTGGCAGGTCACTCCCCCTTTGTCCGTTGTTGACGCCATTGAGTGACTCACCCCGAGCTAACACCCACCGCTTACAGAACATGTACCAAATATATGCGAATTTCACCCAGCCCCAACAGCTTTAGAACCTACTCTGGCAGTCAAGCAGCATTCAAGGGAGAGGGTATATGATTATCTACGGGCACAGGTATGAGACCCACATCACCAACTCCTACAGCCGCAAGTTACCTGGGCACATTCACTGACACAGTCATAACAGTCTTTCCGGGTCAATAGCCCACACGCGATGAATTTTCCTGCATTCATTTCCGGAGACACGATGAGTTAGGAGTCCGGTAAGGAAGGAAAAAAACGACTGAAACATTGGCGGATATAGGATTCCCTTCACTCTCTTTGCCGGGGACCAGATGTCAGTACACACGCGAGCTGGGGCAGGAGGAGTGTTTGGGCTACGGCTTGGAGAAACGGTCATGTTGGGAATAAGCAGCAATTTGTCGTAGCCCTTCGCAGAAACAACCCAATTGATCAAGATGTCCGCCATGCTATTGTCCCCTCTTGATGCTCGCTATGTATTGTCATATGGAGAGGTTTGAGGAAGGATGCCGGGCTTTATTGCAAGACACGAGCGACAATGAATGGGTGTTGTCGCCCGAGACCGCGAGAAACCTGGTCTACTCACTCCCAGCCTCGTAGCATGAACCACGGCTCGTCATGTTCTGGTTCCCGGTGCAGCAGTCACGGCCTTCCCTACCAACGACCCACACCGCGAATTCCCATGGAATACGGGCAGCAGTAGTCAAGTTTCGATCCCAGTTTCATTTCAGGAGAGACGTAAATTGTTTAGATTGACGTGCGTGATAGCTCCGAACCCCAGACAATGGCTCCACGCAAGAACTATGGAGATAAGTATATATATATATATATGTGTGTGTGTGCGTGCGTGTAGATATGGATACAGATGAACGGAGAAGAACAAAACAGCACAAAGAATATTTTGCCCTCCCCTGCCTGCACCTGTGAGCAGAAAATAAAGACAACTGAGCCTTCCGAATAGAGGGGGTATCGTGCTTTGGAGCGAGAACGAGCTGACTGGAGATGGAAACGTGAGGGAGAAGGGTTCGGTGGGTGGCTGTAGGAGGACACGGACACGTCGGGTGTGTTGTATGGAAAAGGTATATGTATGTGCGAGTGTGTGTCCGTGTGCTCCGTGCCTGTGTGAAAATGGAGAAGTCATTGACCGTTAGGATGGCCGCTCCAAATGGTGCAACTTTTTGGCGTAAAAATGTAACACGAGAAGTCCGCCGCCGAGGGTTGTAAATATGGGTATGTATCTGGTGGATGGTTGGTTGGATGATATCGCTTCGGCTGTTCTGTGACTAGCCCCAAGTAATCTCCAGTAAGATCGGAAGGAAGTTGTCAGAGTCCATAACGTGCGATGGCATCACACACGGCCAGGAAAGAAGCAGCCGGGACACTGTGTTTCTTCAATAGAGACAAGACGGCCCCCGCGGTCCCGTCCATCTCACACAGCAATGCTGACGTTCTTCCTGTTCTCGGCCTCCTCGATGGGGAACCCGTAGACAAGCCGGAACAGGTCCCTCAGGAACCCGTACTGGCCGGACCGGAGCGTCATCCACCCGACGCTCTTGGCGACGTCGGTGGCGCTGACCCGCTTGCCCCTGCTCGGCAGCGACGCGGCGGTGCGGAAAGTCGTGTCGGCAAGTACGAGGTTCTTGTAGTTCTGCAGCAGCGTCGCGTGCGCGGGCAGCGACCCGAAAGACCCCGTGGGCAACTTCTGCACGAAGGCCTGCAGCGACGCGCCGGTGTCGCCGGCCGCCGCGCCGCCCTCCCGGCTGAAGCCGATGTTCATGGCCGCCTTGAGGATCAGCATCTTGATCCGTGTCACGTTGATGTCCTCGGCCGAGGTCGTCGTCGTCGCAGTGCTGCTCGTCTTGGCGCTCGACTGCGAGTAGCTTGACAAGTTGCTCGCGCTGCTCGACCACCTCCCACCTCGCGACCCGCCCTGGCTGCCGCCGTCCTGGTTTGTGCCCAGAACGAGGATGTTGGGTATCTGCGGGCTCTCGCTGCCGGGAGAGATGGGCGTGTCACCCGTGTCCTCAAATTCGGTCACCGGGGTCTCGGGCACGGGTGGTGGTTGCTTCGTGCGGCGCGACTGCTGGTCTTCGGACATGCTCTTCAGGCTCTCGCGCTTCGAGTGGATGGAGGAGCGGCTCGTGGTTGATCGTACGTCCGACGCCTGGCCCTGCTGGAAGAAGTTGATCTGACTCGGTCGTGGAGTGCCTCGGTCCGGCCTGACCTGCGTCCACCCTTCTCTGAAGATGTCGCAAAGTTCCCAACAGGCTTGCACTGCTGATCCCAAGAGCTCCTCGTCCGGTGCCTTTCCGTCACGAGAATTCTGTCGCAGGCTGAACAGCATCTCGGCCAGTGACCAGCACGCCCTGAGCAGCGAGTCCGTCTCTTCCGCTAGCTCGCTCCGCTGCTTCATGAGGCGGTGGCAAAGAGTGATATAGAAGTCCAATGTCCTCTCGCGGAATGCTTCTGGCAAGTTCCGGCTGTCCTGAGCGCTGTAGAGGCTATTGGGTAACGATTAGATGCTATGCTTGCGATGTGCCGACGTGGTGGGGAGCCTCACTGGTTATTTAGTTCGAAGCTGACTCTCAGCACAGAGTCACCAATCTCATCCTTTCGTTGCCGCACATCAAAAAGCGACTGACAGAAATCTCGGCACAAATCCAAATTTGCCCGCCCGTTGAGCAGCTCAACAGCTTCGTCTCGGCTGTTATACAGCTTTTGGCAGAGCTTCCAACAGCTCTTCCAAGCTTTCTCATGGGCATCCGGTGTTCCGGAACTGTTGAAGACTCGCTCTCGATGGATGGAGCTCAGGTTGGCCAATGTGTTGCACAGGGTCCAGCACTCCTCCAAAGCAGCTCTCAATGCTCTGATCTCGGGCTCCTCCTCTATCACAGCTGGTGTTACGAATCGTTCGCTAGTGGCGGAATCTGGCTCAGCGTCGGTGTCTCCTTCGTGAATTTCTGGAATCACTAGCTCATGAAATTAGTCTACGCCTGCCGAAGATGCGCATTGATTCGCCTACATTCGAGACTGCTCGTGCTGCTGGACCGTAATCGAGAGGCGTCCGCAAAGACATCGTGCAGCTTCTGCGCCTGAGGCGTGGCGTTGTCCAGGGAAAATCGTGTCGGTTTCACATTCGTCGATATTGGCGGAGGCGTCGGGTGATTCAGAGTGTTCTCCTGCGAGGTTTCGATCAGCCTTAGATATTGGACCTAGGATCGCAGTTCATGTTACCTTGGCGGATGCTTCGCTGTCGGGAGGACTGAGAAGATCGTTCGGCTTCTCAGCAGATTTGTTCGGGTCTGACGATGCCTGTTTCCCCATTTAGTTTCCAGGACAAACTGCATCCATTTTCTCAACGCACCCATTGATGAAAGCTTTCGGGGGCGTGTATGACTGAAACGGCCTCTCCTTCACTCGAACTCATCCGCACGGCATCGGGCAAGTTCGTCCTCAGCATCTTGAGCTGCGCGGGAATTAGCAAAGGCTAGCAGGACCTGCGTACATGGTCCCATACCTGTGGCGGGCTTTCGACCTCTGACGCCGAGGGCTGGTCGCTCGTCTCCGACAGTGCTTCATCATCTATCTCCGTAGTCTCCGTGCCGTTCGAGGTTACAGGTGAGGGGCCAACGATATCACTGGAAGGGCTCAAAAGATGTGCGGAGTGTGGCCTCACATACGAGGCGGGCCGAAGGGTTTGGGAATCCATTGGAGTCGGAGTCGACCTGGGGCGGCGGTTCATCGTCAGCGCTGTTGAGCGATAGGAGACACAATCGAGCGGGAAGCAGATAGAGGCAAGTGGGGAGACTTGAGCACGTCTTCAAGAGGGTATCACTGACATGTCTTTGAATGGAGAGAAAGGAGAGACTAAATTTCCCGTGGATGACCTGAGTGGTGCCTCGAGAGCCATGACTGGGTGGCCGCCAGAGCTCTGAGCAATTGGTGCCAGGCGAGGCTGAGAAGCTCGTGTCGTCGTCGCAGGCGAGGCGTGGGACAGACAAGGGGCTCAAATCGGGCCTTCGGGGTGAACCATTCGCCGTGCAACCACGCTGGGAGGCGGCGGTGACGAGGGCCCCGGAAACCGGCCGTCGGGCGAAGCGAGGCAGACTGAAGGGTGTCGATGGCGGTCGCCGGGTGTTGGCCACCAAAATTTGCCGGTTGGTGACAGCGCGCCTGCTGTGGAAGCTTTCTGGGGAAGGACGAGACCAGGAGGAGGGGCAGGTGGCTATTATGAGCTTACAAGCCCTCGATGTCAAGGTAGGGTTGCTAGCACTAGGGAGGTGCAGCTAGACAGGGACAAGGCTCCAAGACCACCAGGCGATGGGGCAGACAAGTAAAACACGGCCTGAGGACGGGAGGGTGTGCCGAAAAGTATTGGCGACAGGCCTTCGAGAAGATTTCGAGAGAAGCAATGAATGAAATAGCCGGACTCGCAGAGATCTGCGCCAGGCGGAAGGGGCGTATCTTATCCGGGGCCTGGCTCCGTCTTGTCGGGTCTCGCTTCAATATGACTGGCCCAGAGGACAAGTTCGCACGAAGTGGCGGAGGGCTGGACAAGCAAAAGAACAGAAGGCGGACTGGAGACACTGTCGTTGCGACAATACTGTCTAAGTAAAGTGGTCGGCGTGGCTGCTGCAAGAGAGATAGATAATCTCCGTCGCATGCGCCTGGGCGTTCTAGGATTAGGTTCGCGCGAGTATCTGCAGTCAGTATGCGTGGGTATCCTGCCAGAGGATCGGTTGATCGAGTCTCGACCAGTGGGAGGTGCTCGGAGCCTCGTCGAAGTGCCACCAATGTGATTCGTCGAAGGTGAGCTCGAGGCACACGAGGGGACAGCAGCTCTCCGGAGCTCAGCTCTTTTGCGACGGTGTGATGGGCTCGAGGACGGATCGCGGGAGGATGGGTCACCAGTCCACGGCGAACTTGAAAAGGCCGGACGGGGCCGTGATGTTTGCAAAGCGATCGAATCCTACTGCTCTTTCGTCGCAATCACGAGCAGGGCTTCCTCGTCGGGTATCGCAAGGAGAGATGGGAGTGTGTGAAAGGTTAGGTTGCCTGCGGCTTCGCACTGCCGCAATGGCGGTCGCTGCGACGAGGATGTTCTATCGCGGTGCGGTGCGATGCGATGCAGTGCTCTGGTAGACTAACGATGGGTTTAATGTGGGAATTGACCACTTCAGCCTGCAGATGCGCGTCGGTCTCCCTCTCCCTCCTGCCGCGAGCTCCTCTGGACGGCGGCGCAGCCAGTAGGAGGCCGGCAATGTGCCGATGTGGTGGATGCCCAAGGTTGTCTACCACTTGTGAGCTGCATGAGACGACAGGCGTCGGCGCTTAGAGGTGGTGGTTAGCTTGGATGGCTCGCTTCATCCAGCAAGTCACATCCCTTGTCCCTGGGCCACCCCTGTCGATAGCATGCCGCACTCGTGGTTGAGATGGGCACCGGAACACTTCCTGAGAACCCAAAAGCCACCAGGCCGAACCATCACCGTCTCTGCCTCGGTGCGAACGTCCCAGCCGGTCGGGTAGCAAGCAGGGAGGTGGAGCATGCCGACCGAGACATGGCACCATCTTTGCCTGTGAGCCAATGGAGCTTGGGTTGTTGGAGCTACACACGCCCGGAAGACCGAGCTGGTTGGCTGGCGGGCAGACTGGGTGCGTGGTTGATCTTCTCAAGAGCTAGACTGCCTGTGTGCCAAACATGCTGGTGCCATGTGTCATGGCATGAACGGAGCAGAGCAGAGCACCGCACACGACATAACACATCGGCTGGCCGCTCGAGTTGAGTCGAGCGCGTGCCGGAGACCACAGACATCGAGCCTGGGCCGACCACATGATGCTGTGCTCCGGAGCATGTTGGGCGCCACCGGTGGCACAACACTTTGTGCAACAGGATGGACGGACGTTGGCTGAACACAAAAGTCCCGAATGAGGTGGCTGCTGACTTCACGGCCATGCTCAATCGCGATGCGTCATGACGGGCATATTTGAGCCTCCTTCAATTGCTTTCTCCCCCGCCTTACAGCCCCAAGAGAGAGGCCTCGGCACTTTCTCTGTCTGCGCCGCGAGCATCAGCACGGAGAGTCGAGAAGGGCTGGACTCGGGCTAATTTCTGATTGCGTCCCAAGGACCCCTCCCCCTCGGTGGGCCTTTGGTGGTGCTGGCTTACTTGCCTGGCTCAATCCCGCAACGAGGCATCCCACGCACCCGATGGACTGGGAACTGCGTCATACTGAGTTTAGCGTGCAGCTATATTTGGGGCTTCAGGGCAGATCACCCCACTGCCTCTGCCTGTTAAAGAAACGAGACTGTTCTTGAAGTAGTCGCGCACGTTCCGAGCCTGTCCATGTTGATCAATTGACGACAGGACAGGAAGGGGATGGCCGATAATACTCAAAGGAAAAAGAGCAGCGGTGTGCATATTTTCTCTTTTAGGCAAGTTGATGAGCAGAGCTGGGCAGGACCGGGTTGGAAGCACGAAGGAGGGATTCGTCCGAGGTGTTGGACGGCCGCTCCCAAGCAGAGCCAGGCCTCCAGGAAGGAGCCAAGGAAGTGATCCCCGCTTGCTACTTGGTTGACAGTGCCTGTGGGTCATCCCTCTAGCGCAAGAGCTTGACCCCTACCGTTGACACCAGCGACCTTGGCCGGGACGAGTGAGCTTCCAGAGATGCCCGCCCCTCAGGCACACCGGTAAATCTGGCATTGCCGTCTGACATGTACATTCTGCCGTCACCCCGTCACCTTGCCATTCGGCCATCTGCTTGGTCGCCCTACGAGAATTAACTTGTCTGAGTTGAAGCATCCCCGTCAACCTTGCCTTGCTGCTGTGTGTGGGAGTGTGGCAGTCGGGCGTGGGGAGCGACGGAGAGGAGGACATTATGAAAATTCAGATCTGCACAATTCAATTGCAGCGTAGCGTCCGACTTCAGTCTGCGCCTGCGCCGCACACGAGCATGTCAAGTCAAGCGCGTGAAACAACTTTCCTGCATGTTGGGCCGACGCATTGCATAGGACTTCCTGATGCGGCCAATATCTCCTTGACGACTCCCTTGCCGAGGCTCGACTGCTCAGTCAAACCTCGCCAGCTCGGTCATTGTCCTCAATATCCCAGTACATACACAGTAGGTAGGCAGCGGGCGTGGCCCCAATCTGGCCGCATCTTAGCCGCTGGGAAGGGCTGTAGGTTTTTTAGATTTGACGAAGACGCGTCGATGTTGATCCTGCATCGCGGTAAGTGCGAGATTTGGTCTAGATTGGCATAGAAGCAACAAACATGAACTGCTTAGCCAGCTCGAAAAAAGACTGTTGGCCCGGCGGAAGCTCAGTCAGACACCCTGCAGAGCCGCGTCTGTTGCCCCAATTGTGTGGTCAAAGAGATGGCCACGAAGCTGGCCACATGCAGGGGCAGCGCAGGGAGAGACCACGGAAGAGGCCCGGTAGGCATTTCATTTGTGTTACCAGTGTCTATTATAAACGCCGAACCACGATGCGCCTCCTCTCACAGGTGCCTAACCTTGTCGGAAAGCGGCCTCTGCATAATCTCTCCAGGGCGTGAACCTCGTCTCTTGTAGTGATTCCAGTCCAGTCCGGCCTGGCATTTTAGAGCCACTCCTCCCTGGACGTGGGCACAGTCATGTCCAACAGATCATCCGCGGCCGTCGTCGCGGTCCCGGCCGTGCCTGCTCAATGCAATATGCCATTTTGCCGCCACGCAGGCTGATCTCGTGCTGTCCTTTGTTGTCGCTGTCGCGTGGAGTATGCCTCGAGCCATGTAATCCTCTTGAATCCGCCTTATTGCCTAAACGCCACGCAGTGAAAACTCTTGCTTTACATCTCGGCTTCAACTTTATTGTGGGTTGTCGTGGGCAAGGCTGCTCTTCTTGACCTCGCGTCCGTCTGGGGTGTACCTGCAAGCAGTCAGTCATTTGCTTTAATGCGCGACCAAGCAGGTGGGCGCCAGCTTCAGCCTTGACGTTGGATCTTCAAAGGCCGTAGCATACTTGAGCAGCTTCTCGATCAGGTCGACGTGGGTCATAATCATACGGCGGCAGCAGTACCGCTTGCAGCCGAGCTGGTCCATGGCGTCTCTATTGCATCGCATCGCGTCGCGTCAGCCCAGCCCGATCATACAGACTAGCTCCCATCGTATCTTGGAATAATCTCACCCATCAGGGACGTTCTGGTCAATCAGTGCCAGGTAGCGCTCCCAGAGATCTCCCGTCACCTGCGCTGCCGTCAGCCATTCTGTACTGGGGCCTGTCGAGCTGGAAGGGCTAGCGAACCTTCCCGCAGGAGAAGCAGCGGATGGGAATAATCATCTTGATGACTGTCTCCGAGGATAAACAGAGCAGACTGGGTGATTCGATGCGGGTCGAAGGCCCTGCGATGCCGTTTGGTTGATTGATCGACGTCGGAAAGCGGAATGTATGAGGCGTAAGGCGTAGATGCCCCAAGACTGGAATTCTTCAAAGCGGCCGGGAGAGGCTAGGCCCACTATAATTTCTTATCGCTCCCTTATCGTGATATTTTTCAGCAGCAGAACCCTTGTACCTGAGTTTTTGCAGACGGCCATGCTCGCCCATGTTCTACCTGCTGCTGTTCCGGCCCAGCACAATATCTCGACTCAACCCACCATGGCTTCTTCAAAGTCGCAGTCCAGCAAAGGTGCAGACAAGCGGAAAAGAGAAAAAGTAGACCAGGAGGATCTGTCGCACAAGAAGAAAAGGAGGCAAAAGCAGCAGCAGGACGACCAGGAGGGCACCCCACGCGCATCGCCCAAGAGGAAAGCAGCAGCACCTGCCGCCGAGGACCAGCACGCTTCAGAAGAGGATTCGACCTTCAAGGACCTATTCTCCAAGCACAAGCCACGGTCCCAGTCCAACGGCGAGAGCACAAAGTCCAAGGCCCTACAGAAATGGAGGATCTCGGAGCCAATGGGCGGCAGAATGTCTGACATAGATCCCATTTTCAGTGCCGATGAAAAGTGAGCCCGGGTCCCTCGCAAGCTTCGAGTTCGAGTGTGCTGACGGCCATAGGTCCCTCCTCGTCGTCTATCATACTTCCCTCCAAGTCTACTCGGTTGCCGACTCCCTCCTCGTCCGCCGAATCGCTCTGCCCGTGGTCGGCGCAAACAATGGGGCACCCTACCTTGTGGCTGCTGCCCTCTCCCAGGTTACGCCAGAGCTGGTTTGGCTTGCGTCTTCCGACGGCAGGATATGGCGGGTAAATTGGAGGACAGGATCTGGTGTGGACGAATCTCTTAGAACTGGTGCAGGCGTTATACACGATATGACCGTTGGTGCCGTCACCATTAACAACAAGCCATCCGATGTCTTATACGTTTCGGAGAGCATCAAAAACAACAGCAGAATCGTCGCCTACGACACTTCTGACTTGGCGAATCCTACGAGCCAGGTGCTGCAAAACCAGTCAGGCAAATCGAATATTTTGCAAACGACAGACGGGGGCAGCATTCTCACTGCCGTCGCAGGGAACACGCTCATGGTGGGTGCTTTGCAGCAGAAGAGTGTTGGCAGCGTTGAGGGCCTGGCTTACGACTTCTACTCCATCAACACCAGTGACGAAGTCTCCTGTCTGAGCGCAAGGCTCGCATCAAAAAAGACAAGCTCCAAGAAGAAGGCCTCACAAGAGCCCAGCGATCCTGTACTCGATGTTGCCGTGGGAGGCGTTCGAGGAGCCATCTACATATACTCGGATCTTCTCTCGCAATTACGGGCTAAATCGCGAAAAGGACTTGAGATACCAAAGAAGCAGCACTGGCACCAGCGGGCCGTTCACAGCATTGCTTGGTCACCTGACGGTAGGTCTGAGCAAGGTTCCTCAGTTGGAGTTCCGCTGCTAACGCTACACAGGCAACTATCTGATATCTGGAGGCTCAGAGTCTGTGCTCGTACTATGGCAACTGGACACCGGCAAGCTTGATTTCCTTCCTCACCTGGCAGCGAGCATCGAAAATGTCGCTGTGTCTTCCAGCGGCTCCTCATATGCTGTTCATATGGACGATAACTCTGTCATGGTCCTTTCTACGGCCGAGATGAAGCCGACGACCTACGTCTCCGGCCTCCAGTCCCTGGTCTTTGATGTTCAGAGACCCAAAGATGCACTCGTGGGCAGAGTGTTCGAGGGCCTGAGAGAGATCAACGCACCGCTGGCCGCAGCGATTGACCCCAAGGATCCATCGCAACTGCTTATCTGTGTCGGGACTAGCCAGCAAGCCAGTCGCACCGGACCTCTCCCCGTCACACCTTTCCTGCAGCGGTTCGATCTGGGCTCGTTCCAAAGCATATCTAAACAACCACTCACACGGACAAATACAACAGAGCTGTATACCACGCCGAACGGTTACCCCATAGTCGAGCCGAGGGCGTGCCAACTTGCATTCTCATATGACGGGAGGTGGCTTGCCACGATTGACGAATGGGAGCCGCCAGAGCGAGACATAGCCGCACTCACTGAGGGCTCCAATGCCGCGGCACTGGAGTACTCACGCGAGCGACGGGAGATCTACCTGAAGTTCTGGGAGACGAAGGAGGACGGCACAACCATGGAGCTGTCGAGCAGGATCAATGGTCCTCACTCGACGCGGCATTCGGAAGACGTCTTTGATATTGCTGCAGACAAGGTGTCCAACAAGTTCGCCACGGTCGGTGAGGACGGGGCCGTGCGGATATGGGCCCCCCAGCTCCGCGAGCACGACGGCCTCGCGACCACTGCCCCCAACGGCCAGACACTGGTCAGCTGGTCCTGCGTCCGCACGATTGCTCTTGGCGAAAGCATCAAGTCCCAGGATGAATTGTTACCCCTGGGCGGTCGGGCGACGTACAAAAAGAGCGGGTCCTTGACGTATTCCGAGGATGGCTCGATACTGTTCGTCGCCTACGGTCATTACAACGAGATCGTCATCTATATCATCGACATGGAGTCGGGCGAGATTCGCAACACACTCCACGACATGTGCAAGGGCGCGATCCGGTCGCTGCAGCTCCTGAACTCCTGTCTGGTCATCCTGTCACAAGACCTCGCCGTGTACGATCTCGTGGCAGATGAGCTCCGGTACGGCGTCAAGCTTGGGGAGAGGTCCGAGGCCGCCGCGCGGCTGACACACCTCGCGGTCGACCAGGCCTCGAGGACCTTCGCCATCTCGGTGCCTTTCCTCAAGGGCGCCAACGGCAAGCTGTCGCGCGGCGCCGTGTCGGAGGTGGCGGTCTTCGGCCTCGACGACAGCGAACCGCTGCTCATGCAGAAGCTGCCCCAACTGCTCACCTCGGTCCTGCCGGCCGCCGGCTCCTCGGGCTTTATCGCCGTCGACTCGGCCGCCCAGATCCGGCCCATCACCGAGGGCGCCGACTCGAGCAACATCGCGCGCCCGCTCTCCGAGCTCAAGCTCGACGACCTGCCGCCGGACGAAGAGCCCGCCGCCGAGAGCAAGGTGATCCTCCTAAACGCTGCTGGCGAGGACGACGAGGAGAACGATAGCGAGGACGAAGCGGCCATGGACGTCGACGAGGACGAGGACGACGCCCACGCCACCGTCGTCGCGCCGCAGCGGCTGGCTGAAATCTTCGACGCCGCCCCTGCCTTCGCGATGCCGCCCATCGAGGACACATTCTACCGGGTCGTCGGGCTGTTCGCGCAGAAGCCCACTTCTCCATGAGAGTATAGATTAATGCAAAATAGCCGGAGGGACTTTCTTCACCCGGGGATATTGCATGTTGACCCAACGTCGGAGTGAGGGGCCCTAGCAGGGGGACAACGGCCAGGGGTGGACGAAGCCGTCCCACCAATCCTGCGCCCGTCGTAGGGGGCCGTGGTCGAGGGAAGAAGACGCCCACCCGTCTCACGCTAGGGGCAGAAAGATCAGCCGCGCCCCTCGCGGCCTGGATGGAGGCCGCTCACCCACTGCAACGGGATCAACGGCGGCAGGAGCTGGGCGGGCAGGTACATTGGGTCGAGCGGAGGACGAAGACCCGTCGTGGCCCGGCTGCGGAAAATGGAGTGGCGAGACACCTGTTATTCCCCTTCGTGAGTAAATGGATGAGATCGATACCGCAGGGTAGGGGAAGGGTTTAAGGCCGGGGGTTGGAGGGCGGCGGGGCTGGCAGGGCAGTTGTAAAAGAGCGTCAATACCCAAGGACGTCGTCCGTCTACTATCATGTGTGATGTCCACATGATAACACTAAAAAAAGAGGGAAATTTAAGTACGTCAAGTCATCATGTGATATGCATTATATGTGTCTCCCGCATCCGGCCTCCACCCATTACCCCCTAGTAACAGGTATGACAAACAGGTCTCGTTGCAGCCTTGATCAGTCTGACGGAGGTAAACATCACACAATAAACCCAAAGCACCGGGAGAAAATTTAAGACACGCCGCGCCTCCCTCGCTTACAGACGACAGTGCTCATTGATGAAACCAGACACACTGCGGTTTCATATTACCTGACCGCAAAGCTATCCGGGAACAGTATCCCATTCGCAGTAGCAAGAACCAGCCGCTCCGCCTCGCCCCCGGTGGCGTCGTCCTCGTCCCACGCCAGCAGGCCCGTCGCCCGCAGCGCGGCCTCACCACCAGCCTCGTTGACCTCCTGCACGCCGGGCCGGCCCATGTGGAAGCTCTCGCCGCCGCCGCCGCCGGCGAAGTCCGGGCCCGGGAAGCCCAGCAGGAAGGCCTTGCGCTGCCGGGCCAGGAAGAGGGCGTTGGTCTGTGTCAGGGGGCAGGCGGGGATGTAGAGAAGGGTCGTCACTGTTGATGAGGTTGACGAGGGTGATGGTGACCGGGAAGAAGACGATGGTCTTCTCGAGCGCTGTGGCGTTGGGGGAGGAGTCTGCGCCGTGGTGGGCGTTGGCGTGGGCAGCGACGGGTTCATGGCGTATGCCACGTCCGGATGGAATAAAACATAGTCGCCCGGCCGTAGGTGGCACCGGGACGAGCGTCCGGTCGAGGAGGAGGTGTGGGTGGAGCAGGGCGTTAATCTCTTGAGATTGACACGGCTGTGCTCCGTGGAGGATGGAGCTCTGCGACGGGGTCAAGTCCCAATTTGACGGGTCGAGAAAGTCCGCCGCGCGCTGACCCTTGCCGACCCAGGGCTTTCGGGGTGAGAAGAAGGGCCTCAGAAGCCAGTAGGCAGTCACTAGCCTCACGGGCAGCGCGCAGATGGCCATGGGTGGTGATGGCAGGTACGATGATGACGAGTCTTTATGACAATCGCTTGTGCCCAAGGAGAAGACGCCCTGAAACATGCGGAAGACACTGCAGGTGTTGGCCCCGTTATACAGGTCACTGGTAGTGTTGAGCCTGGTGCTGCTGTCCCAGGGGTCCCAGTCTTCCCAATGGCCCATAAAGATCTCGCGGTATGTCGCCTTCTGGGAACGCCCGCCATATCCGTCTGCTTCCCATCGTTCGACACTTCCGCCGTCAACTTGGGCCGTGACAGGTAGAGGGAGCTGGGACCTTGGAGTCTCGTGGGGACTTCGGCTTCGGTCGGATATGAACACGCGGTCGGCGTAGGCCACGGGGAAGTTCGTCGTGATGCGTGTCCGTGAGTCCACCAAGTGGTCAACAGTGGAACCGTCTGATGAAGTCGCTGCTAGGGTCGAGTGGTGCCAACAGCCGTTCATAACGAATGTCTGCGCCTTGAGCATGTTTGGATGTGCTCGAGCCTTGAGCTGGGCAAGACTCCAATAAAGCTCGTACATTTGAGGGTCGTTCGGCGACGACGCTCTGGTATGGGGGTTATCGGCTATGTATGTGTCAAGATCTCTCTTCATAGCCCGGGCCTCGTCTTCCGGGACAACATTTCGGATCACCGCTGCGCCTCGAACTTTTAGGTCATCCAGGAAAGCATCTCTCTTTGCAGGAGCCTCAAGATCTTGAAAATCAATGGTAGGTATGACAGGGGTCTTTGCTTCGGCGATCGATGCAACTTCTTGTCGAAGTTGCTTAAGGAGACGACTCCATGACTCCGCAATCGCTGTCTCATTGCTTGATACCAGATCGGCCTTGACCTGCGCAAATCGTTTAGGCAGAGACGGAATGCCGTCCTGGGGGGACATCGGGATGATCCTGATCCTCTTGTGAGGTGCCTCCTTGAGGTTCCTGAGTGTGTGTAGAGGCGTAGATGACTTTACTGCCATGCTTTTCGACATTAGGGAGAACGTGGCAAGTCGTGGTCTCCATACACCGATAGGGAGCACCTACTATAGCCCTCTTGTTGGAAGAAGACTGGCATCCTTTATACACCTGCAGGCCCCTGGCATTGTGTCTCCCGGTCGGGCCATGCATGCAAGGAGTACAGACTCCGGCGGGCACTCGAGGGGGAAGGTAGCTTCTTGCATGCCTTCTGTGAAGCCGCGGTCTAGAGGCATGTGAACTTTGGCCTTAAACTCTACACCGGTCGGTATTAAACTGGAGCCTCATTCGGGTGAGAGAGGCAGATCTTGGAAGGAAAAGGGAGTTGCACAGCTTCTGTAGCCAGACCCTGATAGCCGCGACGCGGGCCGCAACGCCGAAAGCGAATTCTCGCTGCGTAGCATTCCTTGCAACCAATGGGAGAATTCGAATCCGCCCATCGCGTAGGGCTGGATCCCTCGTATGGTCGACCAGCCCGGACCTCAACACAATAAACGTGTTGCGTTGGCGCATTGCTGACGTCTCATCGGTCCCTGAGCCGCTGGAGATTTATGTTGCATATTAGTCCAAGTGATTTTAGCCAGATCATGCTTAAACTCTCGGCCCCATCCCCATTGCAACCAAGTCACCTTAGCTTCGTGAAGCCAGCGGATCGATCACTTTCGGTGGCCGATTGTGCTACCACGCTCTAGAATTCGAGACTGCCGTTCATATCAGGGAGCTGCGGTTGCGATATTGGCCTTGGTTGCCAATCAACTACGCTAGTAGAAGAGCACAGCGAATTGATGGGAAGCAGCTGGCAAGTCACTCCTTCTATGCCAGTCATGTGGACTAGGGGGAGAGCACAGCTCGTGCATGTCGACTCTCTCGGTCTGGAGGACTTCGTTGGTACTCGGCCTACTGGTAGAGCCCACGAGACGATGATCAGATGTGGATACTGTACCCCGCTGCCAACGCCTGACAATGAAGGTAGCTGCATGGTGTTTTGGGCATGCCACTCCCAAGTCACAGATACATGGGTGTGGGTTTTATGTGGCGTCGACATTGCCAAGACAGTGAACTATCTGGCCTCGAAGGTTGAAATAAACTAACACATTGAGCCGCGAACGAGTGACTTTGGCATGTGAGCGACCAATCAGTAGCTCCAGACGGCCAGAAATCGCAGTAGGCGTTGTAACCTGCCGCGGGGGTGGATCGGGAAGGGCGGAACGCCTTGTTAGGCATTGTACTGTTACTGATGAACCCTCTTTTGATGACTATGCTCAAAACAGAGCTCTATCGAAGGCTATTGACGGTGAGAAAGCACTGAAGTGGGTCTTGTCTCTGATCGGCAACTGAAGTTTCGGGTTGAATTGCGTCGGATCCGAACTGTAGCGCTCCAATCCTAGATGGAGCAAGGAAAATGATCCTGACGCAGGGCCTCGCTGGATATTGGTTTCTCCGGCGACACGGGCTAGCTGACCAGCTGTGGACAGACAGCAGGCAGACAGCGCGATGGACACATTCAGTACCTCCACATTTTCACCGGTGTGTAGAGAACTTCATGGGTTCGGAAAGAATTGCGAAGATCCGTCTCCGGAGGGAGGTCCAAACTCGGGCTGCGATGCTTGTCTCATGCAAGCTCGACCCAATTCAGCGTAGCCAAGCCCAATCTGTGATACAGCATTATGTCCCCGACGGATGAAAGCCGTCATTGTTGGGTAATTCGGTAGAGTAATGAAATGTCGGCCTGCTTTTGGTGATTGCTGCAGGCGTTACCAAGATACGGACCAAAGATCCGGTGCGGTTCTCAAGGTCCTTGGATCAAGCCGGCAAGGAAGCCTCTTGCCTGATCGGGGTTGGCAGAATCGGTGAAGGCTTGGACCATATGGACCGGTCCACGACTAACAGCCTTGTGGTGCGGCAGGTGGATGACAAGCAGGAAATCCAGATAAGATAAGAGCAAAAAGAAGGTCCCGTCTGGATCGTCATGTTGTGCCATCCATTGATCCTGTCTGTTTTCTCGTGGTCGCAGGTCCCCGACAATTTCTTGCCTTTGGAACGGCAATCGCCTTCTCAACCGGAAGCTCCGACCGAGTGCGAGGGAAATCCAGGAGTCTAGTCGACTCGAGAGCGTCGCAGACAACACCCTCGAGGATGGCCAGTACACCACGGACCCAGTAGTGCCCAACAGCTCTCGAAGACGGATAAGCGGCGATCCCATTCCAGGACGACTGACACTAGGGTGCGAGCTCAGACCGAGGCAAATGGAGCAGCTGCTGAGCTCTGCTGAGCAACCATCAGGATTGCTTGCTCCGCTTTGATCGTCGAGGTGCAGAAGATGCTTCAATGGCACCCTCCTGCCTCCTCTTGGTGGCCACAGACGTGGTCTTTTCGGGGGCCGCCGCTGCGGTGTTCGGAGTACCTGCCGGTGGCTTAGTTGGCGAACTTGCGCCGGTGTCGTTCAAGAGGACATAAGCCACCCGCTCCACATCGATTGCTTTGACACAGAGTCGTTTGGCCAGCTTCTGTGAGTTCTCGTGGAGGTCCTTGTATTCCTTGGCATTGTATTTCATGTGGCCTCTCCTCCCGTGATCGCACAGCCAGTAGAAGGCCTCGTCCGCAAAAAAGACTATATTCTGAGGGTCGTGGACAGCCAGAAGCAATGAGGCGGTGGCCGGACCGATCCCCTTCAGTTTTGTTAGCACGTCGATGGCTGCGGAGGCGTCGGCTTTCTTGGTGTAAATGTCCAGCGCGCTCGTGGCCGTGTCCTTGACGAAAGATTCCTCATTTGAGGACACGAGCTTCATCAGAGTTGGGCGGAACTTTCCATGCTTGCTGTTGACAGGTCAGATGGCAGGCCCAATATTGCCAGATCAGTCGCGCTCCCCACTACTGGTCAGGAGCCAAGGGGGCGTTGGACGGCGGGTCGACAAAAATAGAATAGGCTCGAGTGAACCCGAGGATTAGGCAGGTAATACGCACAGCTTCCATTCGACTAAAGTTTGCACATCCCCAAGCTGCATCGGCCGGCTTGGACTGGTCGCGGCGAACAAGGCAGGGGCCTCCACGTAACGGTAATGGTCTAGCTCTGCAAGAGTCTTCTGGCCAGGTTTGGCTGTGGACTCGTCAGCTTTCGGAATCAATATTGGGAGGGAGAAGGGGCCGAGAATTCCATACCTCCTTTAGAGGCAGATACGGCTTCGATGAGCTGGTCGTATTTTGCGAGGGCGTCGCGGAATTCCTGCAGGGTGATGTCCTCCGGACTGGGGAAATGGCTGTCCACCATGTTGGCCTGTGCCCCCGTCCTTTGTGAGCATGAGGCGAGGGTTGTTATTCGCAGCCGACGCGAGCTGAGAGTCCCAACGATACCACGATATGGCGGCTTGTGCTTGTTTCTTTGGCCACCAAGGACTGTCGCCCGCCAGCCGCGCTGCACTGCACGGCAATGCGCGATAGGCACGGCCTCGGCGAATTATACAGGAACCTGCAGCAGGCCAACAACGATTGACCGCTGAAAGGGCTGGGAGCTGGAGAACTGGGACGGCACGGCGGACCGCACACGATGAGATTTAGCCACAAGAGAAGCAGAGCAATGGATGATGCGATATATACAAGTTTGTTCCGGGCTGGCTGATTGTGGAGCAAGGAAGAGAGAGGGTTGACGGCGCTGCTTGGCCTCTGTCATTCAAGAGGATAGCGGGGTGTGATGTGTATTGTGTACAAAAGATGAAAGCAATGACGACTCCATCAACGTCCGCCGCTCGAGGTTGAAATTGAGGTCGCGGTCGATCACCCGGGTCACCGCCAACCCTTCCTTTCTGGACCCTTGGAGGCTCCTTCCGACAGCCAGACAAGAGTGTGGACCCTTGATGCCGCTGCGTGTGGAAAATGAAACGCTACCCCCCCTTGTCATTTTAACTCACGCTCCCCCTTTTGCATAAAAAAAAAGGCCTTAATATATATACTTATAAAGCATTAACTTATATTAAGCCCTTCTTTATTTAAGCATACTTATATAATATTTTTATATCTTTTTTATATATAATATATACCTTATATTTCTTATTTTTTAATAATTATTTATATAATGTTATGAGCTTGGCCCCAAAGGGGCTCCAGGCTGGCTAGCGCCAGAGTTGTGACAGTATCTGTGTATTTTGTATTTCAAAATACAAAATACATAAATACATGTATTTGTATCTGTATTTAAATACTGTATTTGTATTTATATTTATATTTATATAGGCCTTGTATTTTATATCTGTATTTGTATTTATATTTGTATTTTTAAAATTTTAAATCTGTATTTTATATTTAAAATATAAAATACAGATATAAATATAAGTTATATAATATTTAATTTAAATCTTATGATTTTAAAATAAAAGGAAATAATATTTAAATTTTATTTAATTTAAGCATTTTAAATATATTTTTATTTAATTTTATTAAAAATATATAAATACTTTAAAAATAAAAAACTTAAGGTAGAAACTTATTAAATAAGAAGATAAGATTTAGATAAGAAAATAAGGTTTTTTTTAAAAAAATACTTATATGTTATATTTAATATCTTTTTAGAGAAAAAAAACATAAAAATAAAAAAAATATATTTAAATAGCTAGTTTTAAGCTTACTTTAAAAAGATTTTTAATAAATTTAATTAATTAATATTTATATATAATGTATTTTATATTTATATTTTATATTTATGTATTTAAAATACATGTATTTGTATTTGTATTTGTATTTTTGTATTTGTATTTGTATTTTGTATTTTTAAAATTTTATGTATCTGTATCTGTATCTGTATTTTTAAAATTTTCTGTATCTGTATCTGTATCTGTATTTTGTATTCTGTATTTTTTGTATTTTCACAACTCTGGCTAGCGCCTTCTTCCATAAGCTGCAAAGCAACAACCTTTTAACTATTAAGCCAAAAGGTACGTAATAATCCAAGCTCCCTTGGATTATCTAGCCACACTATATAAGGCTTGGGCTTCTAGCCCAAGCCTATTACATATAATTATTATAAATAAAAAATATTAAAAAAATATTATTTTATATATATTTATAATAATTATAAATATAAGCCTTTTTTTTAATTATAATTAAGTTTTTTTAAAAAATAAAAAGTAATATAAATGCTATATAATTATGTACATATTAAGGTATTTTTTTTATGCAAAAGGGGGAGCGTGAGTCAAAATGACAAGGGGGGGTAGCGTTTCCGGACCAGAAGAGCCGACCCAAGGAATTAGCTGTGGTCCGTGCGCCCCTCGGGGTTTTCCCACCTGGGCAGGGTCGAGACTCTGCGATCAGCCAGGGTCCAATGTCCAAGGCGGCCCTGCAATAGGAGGGGGGCACGGGGCTTCTAGAATTCTGCCTGACCAAAAGTCTCTCCGTCCCTATTCCCTCGCTCCTGTGTCCCAAGATTTTCTTTTCCACCGCAGTCTGCAGCCTCACCACCCGAGTCCTCTATCAACAGCCACATCATCATCCCACTGTCCATCAAATCAAAACGCTCACTCGACAAATCACCACCAACAACTCTCCAGAACACTCCTCAAAATGGGTGGCGGTAACGTAAGTCCCCTCTCCGTCGCTAATCACCCCTCTCCCCCACCCCCATCCCCATCTCCTGATCACCGGTCATTGATCTCAGATCGCTGACCGCCATCTTCACACACAGGGAGCCAAGTCTGCTCAGAAGCGGGAGCGTGCCGCAAAGAACGCCGGCAAGGAGGCCAAGTCCCAGCTCAAGGTCAACGAGTCGGCCAAGGACATCCAGTGCAAAGTCTGCTTCTCGACCTTCCTCAAGACCTCTCGTGCTCCTGCGTACGCAAACCCACTCCCTCCCACAGTCCCAGGACGGAACCTCAACTCGAGGGACAAAGGACACCCTTCGCTAACAAATCCATGTGAAACAACAGTCTCACCGAACACGCCCAGAACAAGCACTCCAAGTCCCTGACGGAGTGCTTCCCCACCTTCACCGCCTAGGCAGTTCTCTTAAATGGGAGCCGGCCATGGTGATTGCGTTTACGAATGTGGTGGTGAGGGCCTGATAGGCTTTGACTATGATGGAGTTACGAGCATAGAGCGAGGGGCGTATACCACTGTTTGATTTTGGCAATTTCGGGTGGGAAACAAATAATCAAAACCACATGCACAAATCCGGGCCACCTGTTCTTCGTCTGCCTGTCCCTGTGGGTGCTTTGAACTGTCTACCCTACATCTCAAAACTAGTGCGCCCTCACTGCCTTTGCCTGAGAACCCCGATCACCACCATCCACCGGCACCGGCGGTGACGGCGGTGACGGCTGAGATGCCCTCGCCTGCTCCTCCCTAATCTGCGCCAGTATATCCGGGTACCAACGCTCGCCGACGTCAGGATGGCTCTTGACTCGATTCCTCAGCGTCGCCTCACCCAGCGTGCGCGCCACGCCTCCGCCGCGGAAGGTGAACTCGACATCGTCGAGCCGTTGGCCCCCATTCGCCGCCAGCACAGCCTCGCGCAAACGCCGCACCTCCTCCGGCACGGCGCCGACCCCGACGCCCTCGAGGTCCTCGAACGTCGTATCAGCCGCCACGCCCTGGAAGAACGGCACCGAGAAGCGCGGGCCCTCGCCTGCACGCGGGCTTAGCACCCTGTGCGTCGTTGAAGTACAGACGCCGCGCGTCAGCGCCTCCATCCCTTGTCCGATCGCCACAACCAGCGTCCCCTCGCGCGGCGGGCAGTCGATCCACTCACCCCGCGTGTTCTGCGCCTGCAGGCCCTTATGACCACTCGCCTGGAGCAGGTAGCTCGTTAGCATAGAGTCCTTGTGCGGGCCAACGCCCTGCCTGGCACTGCTGTCGTCGCCGTCGTCGTCATTGCCGCCGCAGAGGCCCAGCTCCCCCGCGTCAGGGTACCGCACGATCTTGAGCTTATGCTGCTGGTCCGGGGCGCCGATGTATTTGTCGAAAGCGCCCGACGGTAGCCCCACCGCCTCGGCCACCAGGCTTGTGAAGCGCACCGACACGCCTGACATGAGCCGCATGTACTCCGCATATGTGGCGCGGAAGCCCGGGAGTACGGACTCTGAGGGCCACTGGTTGGGCGCGAGCAGGTTGTGGTGCCGCGGGGCGTCCGGGCCCGGCATCGGGTGCTCTGTCGACAGGTCGATCTGCTCCCGGTGGTCTATCTTGCCTGCTGTGATCTCTGCTGACAGGCGGCTGTAACCCAGGAAGGAGGGCGCATTCTTCATCTCGATCTTGAGCCTGGCGAGATATCGTGTGAGTTTTTAAGTGTGAACCAGCAAATTTAGTTTTTGAATGTATATGAGCGTGTGTGAGACCCCTCTCAGACGAATCCGTTGCGTCGACTTACTTTTCCTCGAGCGGTATGTCGAAGAATGCCCTGCCCAGTGATACAACCTTCCCGAACAGCTCGTCTGAGATGCCCACATTTTTTATGTAGAGGAAGCCAACTTGCATCAAGGCCTCGCGGAGGTCTGTGAGGAAGGCCGGCTTGGTCGCTGGGTCATCGGCCAGGGCCAGGTCGAGCACGGGGATGGATTTGAACGACATCTTCTGAGCGTCTGCCTATTCGCGCTGCCCAATCACGCACCAAGAGACGATTAATTAATACAAAAGGAGACCGATATCACACAAGTGAATGAGACGTTTAATCTCTCTGATGTATGAACTGACTTGGATATTCTGACTCTGACAGCTTCTGGACGGCGTTACGACTACCGTGCAACGAATTGCGCAATCGTCCCTCTCCCCGTTCCAGTAGATCCGCCCGTCACCTTACACACCCCCGCAACCGATCGGACGGGCCGCTAGGCCCCCCGGTAATGCTTGGCCCCAACCCACGGGGACGGCCCTCGAACTTGACCCACCATGCACCTGGTATGTGGCATACACGCGTGTGCAGCGGCCGCCCGGCGGCCGGAGCTGGGCATGTTTGGGATTTTGAGTGGTGTAGCTGGGCCGTCCACCGTCAAGGGCAGAATGAGGTCGGCCGGGGATAATATCTTACAGCATTGATGGCACAGCTCATGTGCAAGAAGTGTAACTAGGAACTCGCAATTCAGACAGTAGTTGACCGGAACACTCAAACCATGCTCTTCGGAGCGGGTTGGTGAAGGTCATCGGCGATGTTGGCGGCCGCGACATGATACTGAGGAAGTCTCCCCGGAAAGAGCCGGCCACCAAGCCACAGGCTTGCTACACACATCGCCATCGGTTTCTCAGGTGGCTTGATTCCAGTGAGCATGAAATCAGGCAAATATCATCCATGTCATATACGAAGCTGCCAGGGCAGAAGCAACAGACTCGGTGAATGGTAAAGCCATTGCATTATGAAATATAGCACGCGTCCCCTCGCCCCTATGGGAATATCAAAACCTGGATATAACTCCAATCCTGCGTTGTTCACGAGTCGTCAGGGAGTGCCCCCCATTGTTGCGTCACCTTTTCTTTTGCTCCCAAACCAAGTATCCCACCGTAGGATCCCATCACGCCTTCCAAGAATGCTGTCGCTCTCGTTGCGCACCTGGCACTCGCGGACCCCAGGCAGGTCCAACCAGCGCGAACATCACAATCTCTTTCTCTTTTGAGCTTTGCCACAATATTTGTACGCATGCCGGACCTTGTGGAAGATTATCGCTGCTTTGAGATCATCAACCCCATGTTGGAGACCTCGCCGCACCGAAAATTCCCCAGTCCGTCAAGAGTCCGGCGTCTAAAAGGGGTGCCACCCTCTATTTGTCCTTCTTGGGCAAGGCGTCCGAGTTGCCGACCTTCTCGGCCAGCTCGTTGTATTCGCGGTGGAGGCCCTCGGCCTGCTTCTTGAGGGTCTCGATGTCCTGGTCCTTCTTGGCGAGCTGACGCTTGAGGCCCGCGATCTCGCCGGCCCCTCCGGCCTGCGACAGCTTCTCGGACTGCTTGGCGTTCTTGTCGGTGCCCTCGTACTGCTTCAGCTTCTCCTCGAGCCGCAGCACCTCCAGGATCATGATGTACGTGCGGTTCAGGATCAGCGACAGGAACAGCGTGAAGCCGCACAGGTACATGTTGCGCTGCGAGTAGAACTTCCTGGCTTGCACCTCGAGACGCTCGTGGCCCATGATGGCTTGTCTGCTGGCGGGGTAGGCGGTACGTTAGCGCTGGAATCTTTGCGGAATGATAGGCTTTCAGGGTGCGACTTTCTGCCTCTCTGCCGTGTTGTACGGTGGAGCATGCGGGGCGGACAAAGTGGGCTCGTTTCGAGAACAAAACAGAAAAAAAACAGTAGAGGATGTGATAGGGGGATAACGTACGCATTGTTTCCGCCCTCGGTAACGGAGGAGAGCTCAACTTGGACGCGGTACACACGGTTAACGCTGTCGATGAAGAGGATCAGGATGAAGATGAAGGTGATTTTCAGCCCGTATTGTAACTTCGCGACTATGGGATTCTCGGAGATGAAGCTGAATCAAATGTCAACCGCCAATCCTGATCATGTGAATTTCCTAGGTTCGAAGGATGGGCACATACGTGAACACCCGTCTCTTGAGGGAGAATGGCATCGGAACGATGAGGAACATAAATAGCGCCATCTCCGCCATAAGGAGCATGAACACCTGCGGGTTGGAAGCTGTTAGCGCGGCCATTGACCACCAGGACCGGATACTGAAGCTCTCGAGAGGGAGGCAGGCGTCGAGGCCACGTACCAGGGTGTAGTAGAGCGTCATCGTGACGGCTGTTGTGAAGCTACTCGGGCTTCGAGTCGACTGCGGGGTGGTTGTTTCTGAGTGGTTGCGGGACTTCAGGACCTAGTGCTGTTGAGCGTGAGGGCGATTGTGATGTCAAAGAGGTCAAATGTAGAGTGTCGTGGCCAAGATTCCAGGTCTTGGAAGATATAGGGAAGAGGTTGACGAGGAAGACAGCAGAGCTTGGGTAGAAGAGGTGGCCAGTTTGGCTGACAACCCCGGCTGAGCAAGCTTGGGCTGGGTGAGTCCGTCATACCTACCGCGGACACCTGCAACGTCATCGCCCACCTAGCTGGCCCAGGTAGGCTAAGTGCCTGGAAAATGGAAGTGGCAGTGAAATGCACGGGCCACCTGGTCCTCACTTGGTTAAGCTCTTCCTTCACTCGACATTCGGGGCTCTGCGCTCTAGGCTCTACGGAGTGTGTCGATCGCAGAGCACCAAAAGATAATCAGAGAGGCCTCACGTACCACGAAATGTACACCTAGCATTCAAATTCAAATTTCGAATTCACGGTTCCATATATTTGACCACAGATTACCACAATGTTAGGGAATGTTTATATGTAGTACCGGAATCAACGGGCAATAACAATGGACTGAAAATAATCCCCCGAGTGCCCGTATGCTCCTCCCCGAAACTCCGAGCTTTTGGTGCCCACCAAGCCAGCGAGACCACTAGACTGTTGAGGGCCGTCATGAAAAGACAGAACAACATGCATAATTTACAATCCCGCCTCACTTCAACTTCAGCCCAACCATATGACAAAGGAAATTGTGCTGCAACTATCGCCGAACGCTATTCTAGCTGTAGAACTGTGACTTCTGGAAGCTGTCGGCGGTGATATCGCCAGGCTTGCCCGCTGGTACAGGCACCTTCTCAGGCTCAGGGGCCGCCGCAGCAGGCTTCTGGGCCGCGCTCGTGACGCTGCTGGTGAGCGAGTTGGCCCTGCTGCTGTCAAGCGAGGCTGTAGCCTTTATGGCGGCGACGGGCCGCCTGGCGACCTCGAGGAACGTCGACGGCAGGTACCCCATGCGGCCGTCGCGGGAGCGGCAGCGCCACCAGTCGCTGGGGTTGCCGAGCGGGTCCGTCTTGCTGAGCACGGCGACGAGGTCGCCCTTCTTGACCTCGAGGTCGACCCCCTTGACCACGGCGTCGCCGCCGCCCGCCTCGGGCGAGAAGTCCCACAGCACGCGGCAGAACTCGAGCTTGGACGGGTCGATCGGCTGCGCCTGCGCCTGCAGCTGCTGCCGCCTGCGCTCCTCCTCCTCGTGCGACGCGGCCATCGACCGGATCATCTTGGTCATGAGGTACGGCAGGCCGAAGGCGAACAGGAGGAAGAAGATGAGGGGCTTGCGGCTCGGCTTGGACGGCGACGGCGAGCCGTCCGCCGCGTGGCGGCCTTCGAACCTCGCGAAGGAGGCCGGCGTGAGGGCCATCGCGTCGGCGGGTGGTGGCCGTCCCGTGATTTTGGCGATCAGCGTCCTCATCCAGCGCATTATTGTGTATATACCGAGGACATGGCCCAGGGTGTCGCGGAGGTTTCCAAACTGCTCGGCCACAGCAACCACGGCTGTATCAAAGAACGTCAGCACCCGTTATTTAGATCCTGAGAAGTCCTGTTTGGTGGAGATCGACGTACCATAGAAGCTAGAATGCGTGGTCATGTACGTGCTCTCAAGCATCTGTGCGAACCCACCGAACGCGCCCACGATACCTTCCAGCACTTGGAAGGTTGCCTGCGTGCTCTGGTTGACCCTGTTCGTCAAGCTTTCCGGGTTATTGGGGTCCTGCATGCCGCCCATGCCATATCCTCCCATGCCACCGTAACCTCCCATGGAGCGATAGCCACCGTAGCCACCCATGCCACCGTACATCCCTCCGCCGTATCCTCCCATGCCCCCAAGGCCACCGTAGCCGCCGCCAATGCCACCGTATGGCGAGCCGTAGGAGGAGTACGAGGATGGGTAGCCGCCCGCTCCGTACGATCCGTAGCCGGTGGACCCCATCCTGCTATACGCGGCGGCGTTCTGGTTGACTGATGCTGTCAGGGACTCGGGTCTTGGTGGTATGGCGGGAGAGGCAGCGGAGGTCGTCGAAGAGGTGGGAGTGGCGGCGGAAGTGGAAGCGGCAGGTGTAGCTGCTGTTGCGCCAGGACGCTCCCACGGCTTTGGAGGCGAGGCCATGACGAGTAATGCAGGCGGGAGAGCGCTGGATTGAAAAGTTCGCTCGGTCGGGCCTGTCGGCGGGAGCCGTAAAGCTGGACCGGCAAGGATGAGATTGGAGTGAGGGGAGAATGCGGAGGACGGTGGACCAGGGTGTGCTGTTCCTACTGCCGGTCGTTGTTGGTCGGCCTTGTGCTTGTCCTCTTTTGTCCTGACCTGTGGGCCACGAGAGGCGCGAGACTGTGGGAGATTCAGGCCTCGAGCATTTCCAAGATGCAGCCGCAGTCACTCGGATAAGCGTGATGCCTGGTGTGGAAACCGCCGTGCCAGAGTTCAACCCCAAAGGATGTTACGTCGAAAACCTAGACTTGCGCCGGCCTGTGACCGGCCCTTTTGCCATGCCTCGGCTGATTTCCAACGTCGCCTGGTTTGCCGAGCGGCTGGGGCCCGCGGTTTCTGGGGAGGGCTTACCTAAGCGGGCAGGGCCTCTCTTTGCCTATGGAAATGGTCACCTATCTGACACTGTTGCAGTATTCATGTGTCTTGACTTTGATCACTTCAAATTGTAGTGAATGCACTGGAACTTTGCAACGTCTCAGCCACGTCCTACAGTGTTCTGTTGTATCATTTGTGCGTATCAGCAGGATGGTCAGTTTCCTCGACTCGGCCATCGGGGAGAACTCGGTATCTTGGCTCTTGCTTCTCGAGTCACCCACGCATCTTTATCTAGCAGCCAAGGCTGGACACAATTACGGCCAGTGGGTAGATGACTTGCTAATCCCGGCTCACCTTGTGGTTTACCAAGCGACGAGATACATTCAGATCTAGTTTGTTTCATTATTACAACCCACGCTACACTCTAGAATATACTACTAATCCAGACTCTGAATAATGACCTTGATGGCGCCCGTCTTGGGGTCGGCGGACGTGTTGAAGGCCTTGAGGGCGTCCTCGAGAGGGAACTTGTGCGTGACGAGCTTGGACAGGTCGACGACGCCGTTCTCGATGAGCCGGATGGCGCGCGGCCAGGTGTTGGAGTAGCGGTACTGCAGCTGGATGTCGACCTCGCGCACGCTGGCGCGCATGAACTCGATGTTGATCTGGTTGCGGCCCACGCCGATGATGAAGACCTTGCCGCCGAACTTGCTCGCCCAGATGGCTGCGTTGATGCTGCTCTCGACGCCGGTGCACTCGATGGCCACCGCCGGCTCGACCCCGCCGAACGCCTTGACGATGGCCTTGGCCGAGTCCTCGGGCGACAGCCGCTCCACCTTGTGCGTGATCACGCTGGGGCAGAACTCGCGCGCGAACGCCAGCCGGCCCTCGTCGATGTCGGTGATGACGATGGGGCACGCGCCCGCCGCCTTGACGACGGCCAGGCTGATGAGCCCGATGGGCCCGGCGCCGCAGATCAGCACGGGGTCGCCCACCGTGATCTGCGCGCGCTTGATGCCGGCCAGCGCCACGCTGAGCGGCTCCAGCATCGCGCCGTTCTCCCACGACATGTTGCCGATCTTGTGGCACCACGCCGCCGGGTGGTTGACGTAGCGCCGCAGCAGGCCCGGCACCGGCGGCGTCGACAGGAAGTCGACCTTGTCGCACCCGTTGTACCGCCCCGTGAGACACGGCTCGCACTCGTTGCAGATCACCTGCGGCTCCACCGCCACCCGGTCACCGACCTTGAGGCTCGTCACGCTCGGGTGCACCGCGATAACCTCGCCCGCCGACTCGTGGCCTAGGATGTGGTCGCCGCCCACGATCATGGGGCCGATGCAGCCATGGTGCCAGAAGTGAATGTCTGATCTGTATATGGCCGGAAACCCGTATCGTCAGCAATGCGCGCCATTGTTCACACCTTGTATACTGGCATCATGTCTCCCGTCTTGTGTGCCTCGTGCGAACTCATGATTCGCGCCGCCCCATGATATTTGTGTGTTCATGCTCGTTTCGAGTGACGTACCCGCAGATTCCCGTACTCCTGATAGCCACTGTGACCTGTCCTGGGTTCAAGTTGTCGCCCTTTTGCACGCTCTCCAGCGTTGGCTCCGCCTCATTTATCCACAAATCGTGAGCGGGGTTGGTGTAGACGCCGATGTTGGGCTTGGAAGCCATGATGCTGGTGTGCCCGTTCTGCGCTCCGTTCTCTACAGCCGAGGGGCTCATTGGGGGCAGATTGCTGGCAGATTGCTGGCAGATTGCTGGCACGGTAGGATGAATTGAGGCGAGAAAAGAGGTAGAGAATGCCGAGAAAGATGGACTCGAGAAAGGAGCGGCCTAGGGGACCAGGACTAGGACACCAAACCTGGATGACGATGAGCGAAGGTGGGGCAGTAGCCGGCAAAAGAGGTGGCGCCCAAGTAGGTCGGTCGACTGTCGACTTGCAACGCGACGCAGACGAAAGCTCTTGTATATTTGCTTGTACACGTACACGTCAAAGATCGTCAGGCCGCGCGCACAGGGTGGGCTTCTCACGGGGGCGTGGGACGTTTTATAGGAGATCGAGTCAAAATGGGACAGACAGTTCACAAGCGCCCTCTATATTATCCGTCAACCACGACGATAGTAGTACAAGCAGAACTCGGTTGGGGTCGTGACCCCGAGCCGCTATCGCCGTCACCAGGTCCAGGCCCGGGCCAGGACGGGGTCCAGTCAGCCATCCAGCCAGTCAGTAAGTCAGTCTAGTCGGCCGTTCCTGGGCGGGCGTCGACTCGAGGAACCACCAGTATGCGAATTATCCGCGACGCCGTTGTGTTATATCGATGTGGGGTAGCAAAAGCGGCCCTTTCCCCAGCAGCGTCAGTCCTGCTGCACCAGCCGAGGGGTCGTGTCCTCGGCAGCTTCAACCCCGACCGATGATCTCATTCTCCCGCGCCAATCACCACGCCTGCCCCAGCTTTTCCTCCCACCTCCGACGCGACCCACGGAGGGGAAAGTCAAGAATGCGCTCTTCCGCTTCCTCCCCAGGCCTTGTCCAGGACTCCAGATTGGGCAATGTCGGGCCGAAACAGATCTTGGACCCCTGGATTACTGTGCAGAGACAGACCCCAGATCAACCGATCAAGCCTTTTTTCCCCCTTGCCCCAGCAGCAGAAGAAGTAAGAAAATGAAAAAGTAATAGCAAGATCTCTGCCGCTCCGGGCCTCTCACATGCGAAGGGACCATGGACCCACTCAAGGCGGGCATTAATGCACGCGGCTCTCCCGCGCTCACCAATTTCCGCTTGCTGAAGACGCGCAGCTGTGGTCGGTAGACGCGGTCAAATCGGATTCTGTCACCCCCCAAAATGCGCCTGACGAATACGGACCAGATATTGATCGTGAGCATCCCGTCCTCGTTCCAATTGAAGGCCTCGTCGTCCCCGGCCTAGAGCGTCCGTGGTGGCAGTCGGGCGTGATCATTCGTACCACAAAGGCACCCAGTCAGGCCAAATATTTCGCACCAATTGGCACGACTCCGCGCCGTGGTATCACGACGTGTCAAGTCTCCCATGTGACCTGCTCCTGGCAGCTCGCAGGGATCATACAGGACCATGGACCATCCATTGCTCATCAGAGGTTGTCCTACAGTAGCTTGCATACTGTTCTGCCACACATTGGAGGTCGTGCCACTTGAAATACTGCAGCTGAGGATCGTCCTGCCAGAGATTATCTCAGTAGCTACTACAAATTGTCATCCTACTTGAGATCTTGCCACATGTACTGATGAATACAAACTATCAAGCCCAGATACAGCCCCCATGATGTTCTGCAGTGTCTTTCTGTTCAGCGGAGAGGTAGTCGCTACAAAATCAAGCGCCGTCCGTCCGCCCCACCAACGCCGATATACCTACGCATGTTCCCGTGAGACCACGCCGTACATCTCGCAGGAGTTAGCGAGACAGGAGTAACCCGCGGCAGTCTCGTCCTACCCATTACATTATCATCCTGCCGAAAATAGGTCCTCGAAGCGCCTGTCATCGACACGTCACTGGAAGGCGCCCCTTTCCCCGCCGGGCCCTCCTCGCCGGGCTGGCACGGGAGGGAACCCGCCAGCGGGCTTAGGAGGAGGCTCGTCAGCCGGCATGGCGGGGATCCTCCTCGGGTCCTTGCCGTGGCTGCAGAGGATCGCCCTGGGCTCCTGCGAGAAGAGGCCGAGGTTGAGCATCATCTGCGCGGCCGACGCGCGCTTCTCCGGGTCCGACCTGGCCATCTCCCCGAGTTGCGCCAGTTGCTGGCCCGGCGCCGCGGCCTCCCTGGCCAGCTGGAGCAGCGTAGAGACCGTGAAGTGGCCGGCGTAGGCGTCGCGGCGGAATGCCTTGAAGTCGTGTGTCCAGATGAGGACCATGAAGAGGGACCAGATGTCCGCCTTGGGGGTCTGGCCCTGAGCCCCTGACGAGATCTCCGGGGCGTTTATATTGGCTTCGGAGCATAAACAGTCGACGACGAAAGGCTATGGAGTGTGTGAGCTCCCGGTAACTCTGTACCCATAGTGTTGTCATTTGACTGTAAGCCTATAGAAAGATCTGCTTACATGTTCAATTCTGCCAATTGCCTCGGCCTCACGTTTGAGGAGCGTGAAGAAGGCTTCCTTCTGTTGGTTCTGTCGTATCTTTATTGTTTTGATTGCAATAAGTCTCCCAGAGTCTACATAAACAGCACAAAGAACCTTGATACCGTGTCAGTGTTCTCGATAACGAATGTTGGGCCTCCAGAATAGGTATGTCCTGTGGGTTTCAAAGGAGGCTTCTCACCTGCTCAAACGCTCCAGCCCCCAGCTCTTCGATCTTGGCCCATTCCATCATGGGCCTCTTTGGCAACGACGAGGGGATTCTCGTCCGGGGTATTGTCGGCACAGATGTCTCTGCATTGTCGGAGTCGGTCCGGGCAAATGTTGGGTTTAGGGCTAGGGATTTTAAATTTCTCTGTTCCACCGGCGTCATGGTCTGTGGGTATGATAGTCACTGGGGGGCCAGTCACTGGGGGGGGGGTGGTGGTCACAAGGATAGGGGGCTCCGTACGTCTTCAAAAAAGGTGCCTTCTGGGGCCCCTTCTGCACTCAGAACTTAGCCATACGCCCACTTCGAATACAAACAATCGCATATTTGCCATACCCAGTCTTCCCTACCACAGTGAGGATTCGAGGGGCCAGTCCAACTTGATCGTGACGAGGCTCAGCACTCCCCAACTGTTTCTCCAAATTCATTTCACTCACGCTTTGTTCACAATCACTTCAGGCTGTTACCATACCTCATCGCCTCTGGTTCACGAACAGCAGGCACACCAAAATTTCAATGGCCGCTGACACTATAAGAGGCGACGGGCTCTTCCTGGCCCATCGTGCTCTCGCAGCACTCGCCGAGGACCCAGAGCAGTTTGATCAAGACAGAGAACGACGGTTTAGCGAGTCTCCGCCCTCATACCGGTCAAGTTCGGGCACCACAACGCAGCCGGAAAGTCCAGTGCTTGTGAACGAGGCACTGGATAACTACAACGCGCGCATAGACAAACTCTATGAAGACTGGCAGGCGTCATCGCCCGTCAACCAGTTTGATGCGCAGAGGCGCGAGGAGGCGCAGCGCATAGAGCAGGCACGCCAGCCCGTTGGGGTCGGCAACAGCCCAGATGGTCTGGCAGCGGACAGGGTGAGGGAGCGCTGGATCGAGCAAGGCATCTGGGACCACAAGTGGTATGAGGCCAACATCGAGCGATTTGGCGACAGGGTTCAGAATGTGCCCCTGATGGGTGCACGGTGGATGCATGAAGTATTGCTCAACGATGACTCGGATACCGACGACTGCTCGACCAGCGAATTCCAGTTTTGCGCCAAGAGGAAGCGACAAAAGACGGACGAGGAAACGCGACAGAGTACTCAGCGGCGCGCCGAGGGACTGCGTCGCCGCGAGCTTTCACGCCCCATTCACCAGCTCAACTACCAGGTGTCTCAAGAGCGTGATCGGCTACTGGAAGAGAGATCACATGAAACGGGACATGATACTGTCGGGAAGTTCCCCCCAGACATCAACACACAAGCGTATTCATTAGTCAGACAAATGGATCAGCGCAGGATTGTGGATCGATGAGTGGGGTATACTCCCCGGAATGTCATGGTTGCATGAGCGGGATATCGACGAACTGGTGCAAGAGTTGGGTCCTAAACCATGGTCGCAACCTGCCCATTCTGTCCCAGTCGAAGTTCTCCCAGCGGCACCCCTTTGAGGTGATGGTTTGACCGTGTTTGGACCCTGGACTTCCCTGGAGAGAACATCACTCGGAAAGGGAAAAGACGCTTTCCACTTCTTACAACGGGGCTTATAGTGTTTTAATCAGCAGCTTTCCCCAGGCGCTAATCAAACACCCCTGAGACAGCATGTCGCCCATTTTATCCCATCACATGCCAATTAATACGTACCGAGTCCTAGAGAGAATGCTCGGTGATGTGAGATACCTATGTACTGCGTTCACTGGTGAGGATACATTGTTGATGACATGTGAGTGTTGGCCATAGCCTAGTATCAAAATGCTATGACCACATCCAAGTCAAATGCCGCCACATTCAACCGGCTCAGGATGGTAACTGTTGCCAAAGTGTACCAATGTTTTGTGGATTATCCAGTCCCTATCTTTTGGGGCAGTAGCAGTGTGAATGGAGAAGCTTACCCTACAGATGATGTTGAGTTCATGATATCATTATACGCCCTCTTAGCCACCCTCGATTCATAAATAGGAGCGTAGCCTCACTGCCCTCGGCCCAGGTGCCAAATATTCAGCGGTGTCACACACATACTCGTGTCGAAGGTGAGCCCAAGTCTTGTGTAGTACAGGGCCCCGAAAGCTTTATCGCGAAAGTTAAATATCACCGGCAGCCGTTCCATCCCCTCGACTCCACCAATGACAGCGGGATGGCTTTGTGCCCAGAGATTGTGTTGGAACACCCAGAAGCCGGCGAAGAGACTGACCTCGTTCGCTGCGTGGACTCCGTTCATGAGCACGCCATCCGCGGCCGACTGCTGCGGCTTGTGTAAAGGGTACTTCAGCTCGGCGTTGACGGCCACGAAAACGGCGGTAGCTTTGGCCGCACCGTTGGGGAAGTACAGGAATACACGCGCCTCTTCCGCGCAGTCGACGAACGGCGCAAGGCTGGGAAAGCGCTCGCCAACCCTGTCCCACAGCTTCTTCGCGTGCTCCATGGGCCCAAGGTCCTCGAGCCTGAAATCCGGGGCGTCCTCGTTGAGCCTGGCCAGTTCGTGCGGGACCTGAAAAGTTGCCTCCCGGAGCGCGTCGTTGCGTTGGTGTAACGCGCTACTGCGTGCCATGTTGAACCCCACGGCCAGGGTCGCTTCGACCTCGTCGCGCGTCTGCTGGTCGACTGTGCGGGCCCAGTTGTGTGGTGGAATTGTGCCACCTGTTTTGACTCGATGCTGCACGCCCCCAAGGCGCCTATTATCTTGAGGCCACCAAGCAGCCTGCGGGAGCGAGTCTGATGGAAGTGACCTTTGAAGTCAAGATCAGTTGGCAGTCTTCGGAGCTGAGGGTGAAGAGTCAAGATCAGTACACACTGGCACGTTTCGGGAAGACAGCGGCATCACCGATTTGTGCTGCAAGCCAGCTCGCGGTTGCGTTCGACGTCGAACTTGAGCCTATCGGCCCCCGACTTGTCGAGCGAAGGAAGCTGGGGGCGCCTCTGGTTCTTAGAACCCATCGGTGTAGCATTCTGGACGACATGACGGATAGAGTTGTCGGCCTTTTGAGATGATTTCGTGAAAAGTCAGAGGCAACAACACTCATTCGCGCCATGGAATTTGAAATCTGTCATTCCAGATGCTGTGGCTGGCCTCACCCGTGCGGATAAACCAGCTTGGGTATATGCGTATGCAGGCAGCCGGTGTGAAACAATATATCGACTCCCTTCGTACGTGGAAGTTGAAATTACGTCAATTTGTGAGACCTTTCGTCGATTTGAAATTGTGAAAGGGCTCGTGGCGCGTCAGAAAACGAGGTGGTTGTGAGAAAAAGAAACGGGCAGGAGGAAGCCGGGGCTCTTGTGTACTTGGAGTTAGTCAGTTGGTTCTCCCAGCTCAGTAATGTATCGCATCTATCGTAATTTCCATTGGAAGCGTTCATATACGAAATAGTCCAATAAAATTTCCCTGTTCTCAAGCGACTCAGAAGGGAAAACGTGGACAATAGCCCCTTTTCTGCTGCGCACCATCATCTATTATATCATTAGGCCTGTCAGTGGAGATGGGAGTCCTTGTACAGCGCTACAATGAGCCATGCGTAACATTTGTTGATATTTCTAACCTTGGGTGAAGAGGAAGCCATCAGTATAGTCTGCATGAGAGATGGCCAGCGGTTCTGAGGTAACATGATGAGCATGGACTCAAGATTCAGGATTTCAGATGGCGACAGGGATGATTGAGAACATATTTGATCGGGTTGACCCAAGACACCATTAGCTGATTGAAGAGAACAAGAGACCATATGTAAAGCAAGAAAGTAAAGAGAAAATAAAAAGTCATGTCCTAGTTCAAACCAGATCCTGCCATAAAACGGATTCTAATCCGTTCGCTTAGTCCGGGGCTATACAGTACCTGCATAGTGATTCTATAGTACAATCCTCCCCCATGACACCGGACGTGCCACCGTTTGTGTTGTAGCTATAGATGCTGTATTCTTCATCTGTGATGTATCCGTAGATGTGGTAGTCCTCTTGTGGCTTCAAGAGCTCAGGATTTATCAGACCCAGTGACATGTTGTTTGTAGCATGCTCGCGGATCAAATCTGCAATGACCGAATGCCCCTGACGCTTGGCCAATTTGATGGCGCCGTCATACCCAGTCGTGCCGCGAAAGCTACTCAGAGCATTGGCGTTGAGGAGGAACTTGACCATGTCCAAGCGCGCCCCGTAAACGGCTGCATCCAAAGCAGTGCTGCCGGATATCACACAAGAAGGTGCGTTGATGAGAGCGCCGTTGCGTAGTAACAGTGCAGCCATCTCTAGATGCCCAAGTATTGCCGCACGCTGCAAAGCCGTCCACCCCTCGATCCTGGCTGGTGCAGCATTTGTGTCTGCGCCATGGCTGATCAGTAATTGGCAGATTCTCATCTTGCGTTCGTATTCTTGCTCTGTGGCCGTATCCCAGGAGCAAATGGCTTGCAGCGCCGTCCAGCTTAGCCTGCCACATGCGCGACTGTTCACGTTGGAACCCCCCCCCAGGAGCAGGTGGACCAGGCGCTCGTTTCCACGCCTTGCCGCGGCCTGTAGAGGTGTGCATTTGCCCAGGCAGTCCTGTGGTTGGTAGTATGCGTTCAGGTCCGCTCCAGAGCGTACCACTCTCTCAATAAGTTCTTCTGGCCCACCTGCACAGATGAGTGCTGCAAGACAAGACCCCGCGGCGGGTTCACTGAAGCTCCTTGGCTGAGGAGATATTCGAACATCTCCAGTCTGCCTTTCCACTCCTCTCCTCGGGAAACATGGCGAGACGTTATCTTGGGAGAGCTGACGCATGCTTCTAACAGACACGGTGGAAGAACAGAAAACATTTGGCATTCCCTCATGACTTGAATGGCATATTTGACTTTGCGGGAAGTGTCGGAACAGTTATACCGCAGTAAGTGGCCTGTGAAGTCACAAGGCGATGAGTCGTTCGGGGTGACAACCAGTCTGGCGCCGTGCTCGGCCAAAAGCTTGACCATGTCGCAGCTCGAGCTCTTCCCTTTCTTAGCGCAACCAGCAGCGATGGCTTGAACACTGTAGCTCGAACCCTTCGTGTTCTTGTCTTCGAGGTCTCCACCTGGGATGAATGAGTTGGGGTCCACTCCTGCGCGGAGAAGGAACTCGACGGCTTCAAAGTTGTTCAGCCGCGCTGCTTCTGCTAACGCCAGGACAGCTTTGGCCGGGAAATCCTCGATCAGTGGGGCTAGATACTCCAGGGCGCTGAAGCCGTGATCTCCCACAGCAATCCGAAGCTGCGGTCCCCTTATGGTGGCTCCGCTTGCCATCAAGATTGCAACAAGCTCAAGTCCATCGTCTGTGCAATGCCTGGATAACTGGCGCAACACTGCGTCCAGTAAATCCTGTATACCGACATTGATTGAAGAAAGGGTGAGGTCGACTCCATATTGCACCAAGCTTCGTACCGTGTCCAGATCGATTTCTCTGTAACTCCACGCGGGTCTGCGGCGGTAACGCCCCCTCGACGATCGCTCACCCACCTCATCTTGTAGCATAAATTGCTCCGCTAGGATAAGTTCAAGGTATGACTGCACGTATTTCCAGTTGGACGAAGGTGTTGCAGCCACTCGTGCCACCAAATAATTTTGCAAACCGAGTGTACCGCCCTTCAGAGCAAGTAGTATTCCAGTCCTGGACATAGTTGATGTCGATACCTTGCTGTAGGGCGCCAGCTTCTCGTACAAAGAACGGTCGAAGTAGAAGCAATGATCCAGGATCGTAAGGCGCAGACTGTCATCGATGTCGTGTCCATAGTACCACTGAATTGATGAATCAATTACGTCTGAACGAAAAGGTTCGTCAACGTTTGCGCCGATCGTCAAGAGAAACTCCGGAGCGCGCGCGTCGCCGTCGTTCTGGATGTCGATCTTGTACATGAATTTCAAAAAGCTCGACACCTCTTCTTCATCTTCGCTTAATACCCACCACGTACGGACACGAAAATCACATTGGCTAACCAGTAGCCGTGCACATTCGTCGTTGTCGTTACGGATGGCGGCAATGATCGCTCTGAAACTTCGTGTCCACCAATCAGAACAAAATCGACGCCCGTAGGCCACAAGATCCATCACGGTGTCATTGCAATCCATTTTGATAGCATGGTAAAGTAGGTCACCGCTCACCGGTCGAGAGTTCAGCCAAGCATTGCGGATTCCGATATCGATCATAAGTCTAAAAGTGTCCCTCCGTCGACTCCTGACAGAGTACAAGAGCAACGACATCCATGCACTCCTGATACTTGGCAGCTGGCGATGTAGAAATTTGATGATTTGGCGACCGTCACGCTCGAGAATCGAACAGAAAATCTCCAGCCCTTTGTCTCCATCAGTCGGGTCGTGGAGATCGTTTGAGAGCAGACACATAGCTGTTGAAATGAATTCATTCAGCTGAAGGCGTGCCGCAGATGTTGTGACTCTGTATCAAAGATCATGCGATGGAAAGGGTGGAATTGGGTAACCGTCTGGAAGCAACTCGAAGCAGGATGGTGAGTTGATGTTCAGTTCATAAGTACGAACTCGTTTGACACGGTGAGTGATGATCGCGGCTAGACAATCTTGATTCTCCTGCAACAAGTCATCATGTAGCCGCCAAGCCTGAAAAGTGTCCTGGAAGAGGTCTGAAGTATATCAGTACGTGTCAGAATGCTCTTCATTGCCTGAAAAGGATCATCACTACGCTTACATTGCAGCGCCTGGTACAAGTCCACCCAGAGGATAGTTGCGGCGCAGTCCTGGTAGACTGAAACGGCGTAACGCGCAAGAGGTCCGGACGCATCGTCTACAATGCCTATCTGCGCAGTTGGTGCCGTTGTTGAATAAGGTATCGGGACAAAATCCTCCTTGTGCTCGAACTTGAAGTGTTCGGGAAGAACCTCAACCGTCAGCTGGGATGCTCGAGCTGTCACTGTCGATAGGCCTTGGACGGGCGACGGAGTTCGTGTAGTAATGCCATGCGGAAGCGGACTTGGGGATTCTGAACCATCATAAATCAGGTCTCGCAAAAGCGGGAGAGACATCCTCTTCCCCAGAACGTGCCGGTAGGTATAAATTAACTTACTTTGGGGTAAAGGCAGGGTGATTGCGCCAGACCTCCTTATTTCTTTCCAAGCCTTGTTCCACGGAATCTCCAAATTGTTGAGATAGATAGACGTTTCCTTCCTTAGTTGTTTCTGTCCTGGCTTTTTAAGACGTGGAATGACATGCTGGTATATCAAAGGCCAATTGGTCGACTTGGCCTTCTTTCGCAGTTGTAGCACATCTCTGGTCTTGGTCTCCCATGTCGATAGCCTGCCCGTGTATCAGTTTCAATGAGATCAGAATCGGTGTGAATACGACAGGAGAACACCCGTGAAGCCAGAATGCACCAGTCTGGCCATCCCATGCAATTGAGAAATCTGGATCAGACATGGAACAGCTCAACTGGCGGTAAAACGTGGGCAAGAACTGAGAAAAAGAAAGTATCAGTCTTACGGCTTCACAGGAAAGCCGTATGCTTCCATCAGATATTTGACCTCTTTTACCGTCTTTCGCTGATTCTGGTACAGGTCTCTGATTTGTGCCTTGTTCTGGTGCCATATATCATCGGCAGCACTGACAGGAAAGAGTTTATCTGAAGCTGACATATTGATGATACTAGGAAATGATAGGAAATATGAAGAAGAGACACAATTCCTTGGGATCGGAATTATATGTTTGCAAGTTTGTTGCTGGTAAGTGTCCCGCTTGGGCACAACAAAATCGGGTGACGAGGTCAAGCCGTGGTTATGTCAAGCTTCGACGGGCATACGATGCTGCTGGAAAGCAAGCGTATATGGTCAGATCCGAGATGAATGATTTTCAAGTTGTCCAAAATCTTCCTGCATCAGGCCCCATCCATTTTCTCCCTTTCTCCCCCGACGTGGGCGGTCACACAACCTTGGAATGCAGGGATGTGCGGTATCATGTGCCCAGCCTGTAGTCTCATAGCACTGCCACAATGCAGTATCAGCCATTTAGATACTGCCAAACCGCCCGTTGTCTTAAATCTTGCATTTTCAGAGGATTCAGAAGCGTACACTGAAAGCCTCCATGGGCATTGCCATGCAAGCTGAAATCAAAGGGGAAAAGAGGGGTTGTGACTTGGGGCTGAAAACTGGAATGGATCAACAGGCTGGAGATCTGTCCAAAGTATTCTCACGTGACGAGCCTGATATCATTATGAGGCTGAGGGGGAGCATTGCGTAGATGTCCAAAACCTCGTGCTGACGAGCAGACTACCGACACGGCCACCAAGGGCGGAAAGTCTGTCACTTTTCATGTTGAGTTCCCCCTTTTCCCTGAGGATAAGCGTGTCCAATATCATGTCACGTGAAGTCCCAGTCCACCACTGTGTTTCCTATCAGTCGTAACGACCGAGACGGTCGATGGCTATTATTTTGAGGATAGCCTCCAACATTCCTATGCACGTCGACCATTCGGGGTTTTTAGTTTCTACCCCTCTACCAAACAAGCTGTGCGTGTGTCCGAAATCTGAATACCCACTTCTTGACAACGTGGATTTGCTCCACCATTTGGATCCGTACCTGCGTGATTCGAGGTGAATTACTGAGCTAATAAGGCTGATTTTCTTCGTCACTCGGCCTACAGGGTACTGGCCATGATTAGGGCCTCTGAATTTATGCCTATTTAAGGTCTAGCCATATACCTGACCTTCAACATTGGTTCGTTGCTAATCCTGCTTCAAACATCTCCCGACGCGCTTGAAACAGTCTTAGTCCATTGCACTTCGAAAATCACCATCATGGTTCCGGATCTAAATGACATTATCGGCATGTTGACGCTTTTAGTCACCTGTATTCCAGGCGCCTGGTTCTTAATTCGCTTCAAACGCCACCGTGAACGGGATATAATAAACACAAGAAGATCATTCTGCGACATTGTGCGTGACTCTTTTTTCTTTATACTTTTCTTACGGGTTGTAGCTAATTGGTACAACTTCTCAGTGCTGCAAAACTCGGTCAATGCTAACTAAGCTTGTATGGCATCGAACAGGAACGCAACTGTCTTCATATTTCAATGCCGCCTAGAGTGTACATCCCTGACAACCGTGCTGATCCAAACGTCACTAGACCCAGGCATGAGCTTCCATGCTAACATGTAGGTAAAGCCCCCCTCCCTCTGCCCCCATGGCAAGAAGTTTGTTAGTGCTCAAGCTACAATGATTGAAAAGCATGCCTCTGACTCGCAATTTTCATAAGAATATCTGTGCTTTAAATCCGTGTCTCAATCTAAGATTTGATTGAATATGGACTAGGCCAATAGCTTCTTTGCGTTGTTTACATTCTTGAGCACGTCACCGTTGAGTTCTCTGGGGACGATTGACTAGGGGAAGCAGCCTACTTCAGGTATGATACAGAGACTGGAGGTCATGGAATTATCACAGCCGAGCAGAAATTATAAAACACTCAGAATTGACATCCTTTTGGGCCTGAGAATGGTTATTACACAAGTTGGATAGCAGCCTACAGTAAAGGTAACTTGCTTTTTTTCCGGCTAGGTGGGTCGCTAGTAGCCTTGAGCCAATAGGAGCCAGCGAGACGGCAGGGCCGGCTGATCGCGGAGTGTTCCACATCAAGATTTTCCTCCGTACTTTCTTTATAATACTCCAAATCGACAAAGTTTTCAGTTCTCACACCGTAGTCGGATATGGTGTAATGGTTAACATCGGTGACTCTCACTCACCAGCTCGGGGTTCGATTCCCCGTATCCGAGGACTTCAGAGGTTGTAGCCTCTCAATGTTTTTGCATGTTTTTGCAATCATTATTTTTAAGATTAACAGCCACCTAAATATGCTGGCAACATTAGTGCGAGGCGTTGCGCTGAGGCGGATGCAGCCTCCATATAATACGGAACATGGAGGGCTTCGAGATATCTCCCACCATCTGGATGACCATAACAGACTGCTTCGATGTATAACGTAGCATTTTTTTTGCACCTTTTCCACACTCTTCACTCTCATTCAATACTAGCTCCTGCCCCCCAGTCCTTAATCAGGCCTATTGCGTGTTTGTACCCGACTGATAATCTGTCCCTTTGTCCTTCACTCCGTTCCGGATTTTCAGCAAACTCTGCATCACTTAATCATCGCCGCTGTCACAAAGCCTGGGTATCAGTGAGACAAAAGATCTTGGGTACCCAGGTACGTCTCGGCATTTCCCGATTCCCCTTCCTAATCACAATATCACTCTTCGGCGCTATAACAGTCGACACATCTCTTCTCATATTCTGCGGGTCTAGATCTTTAACTATTAGCTGTGTAAACTTTTTAGTGAAGCTGTCACCTAGTGGCAGACATCGATCTTGTGTGTCCCGGCCGATCTCCATGGCGCGCGGTTTTGACTCAGGGTCATGACGTATTCAACTAGCGACGGGAACGCTGGATCTACCCGTCATACATAACAATCAAACGCTAAACTAAACCCATCTCGCAGCAGCCGAGAGTTAGACAAACATGCCTGTGATCGAACAAAGACCTCGTGCGTTGCTTCGCTGGTGACAGCATGTGCAACTGATCTCACTGCTCTCCTGTAGCAGCGAAGAAGCATCTGCGATTGTCATCAATGGCACAAAACTCACTCGGCCCTGACATCGAAAGAGATACCGCCCATCCCATGGCCCAGAACGGATCGTCGTCCAAGGATGGACGCAAGCGCGTGCTCGTCGTGGGTGCTGGAGCAGCTGGGTAAGTGCATCGAGCTCGGAAAGCTGCATTGGTCCTGACTCTTCGGCAGCATGTCCACTGCATACCATCTTTCGCAGCATCGTGACAAGTTCAATGTGACGCTTATTGATGCGGTTGACTACTGCGGTGGCCAGGCCTTCTCCATTCCCCTGGACAAGGAACGCTACGGCGCCTCCTGGTGCAACCAAGGCGTCCAGGGAGGCTCTTACATCTTTCACCACACTCTCACCATGTTCCAGCGCCAGGGTTACCACGCGGATCCCGTCGATCTGCAGGTGTCTTTTGGCAAAGATGAGACCTTTTGGTCCAACGTCTTCCCAACGCAGGTTATGGTCAAGCACAAAAAGGAGGTGAAGCGCCTGGTCACCCTGCTGAAAGTCATGCGAATGTTCGAGGTCTTCTTCGCACTACTGCCACTCCGACTCGTCTTCAAGCTCTTCCTGTTCTCCGAGGACTTCATCAACATTGTGGCCCTACCCATGACAGCTTTGTTCCTCGGCACTGGAAACGCCACGCCGCAGACCCCAGCCATGATGTTTGAGCGTCTATGCACCTCTCCCACCTACGGCATGTGGTACCACCCCGACGAGAATTCAGTCGTCAGCAACCAGCCTCCAATGGTTGTGTTCCCAAAGTTCTCAGACTTCTACTCGACATGGCAGAAGGATCTGATCTCTCGCGGCGTGACAGTCCGCCTGTCGACCGAGCTGACAGAGATTGTTCAGCGCGGCAAGAAAGGGGTCATCGTCAAGCTCAAGCCTCGCACGCCAGCACCTGACGGGCACAACCCTGCCGGCGGAGACCCTGATGCTCCCTCCGCTGAAGAGACTTACGACGAGATTGTGCTCTGCTGCCTAGCCGACACGGCAAAGAAGGTCCTTGGAAAGGCAGCAAGCTGGAAGGAGAAGCAGGTTCTCGGTTCGGCCAAGTTCAGCGACGACATCACCATCACCCATAATGATGCCGACTACATGAAGAAACACTACGAAAATTTCTACCGCGAGGACCTGGCCGTGGCCAAAACCAACGGCGTTGACCAGCAATCCCGTCTGGACTTCGCCAAGACCAATTTCCGCCCCATGTACTACATCAAGATGTATGACAAGGACAGGTCTAAGCTAGAGATGTGCTTCGACACCACCAACTACCAGTCGCAGTTCCCCGAGAACGTGCCGTTCGAGCAACACGTCTTCCAGACCATCTACCTGAACAAGGACCGCGACGGCAAGCTCTGGTCCGACGACGAGATCGACGAGAGCAAGATCATCCGGAAGGACTGGTGGCATCAGCTCTGCCACTCCTACACGCACTACATCTTTGTTATCCCGTGGATGATGTTCCTCCAGGCCAAAAACAACACTCGCTTCGCTGCGTCCTGGACGCTTGTCAACGCCCACGAGGTCGCTGTCATGTCTGGCATTGCGGCAGCAGTCGACCTGGGAGCGGAATATCCGGAGGACCTCGAGAACGACAAGTTCGCGTTCCTGTGTTTTAGATTGTATTACCTGCTTGCTTACGGAAAATGGTACCGACGACGACACACAAAGGGCAAATCTGCACCAACGACGCAGGCAGCCAAGGAGGGCGCGAGCTGGGCGAGCGGGCTGTACGGGTCAAAGTACAAGGGCCCCGGCGTGGTCGATCAGGAAAGGTCCACCTGGAGGGAGGAAGTGAAGCAGGGCAACAGCACTGGAAATCTGGCGAATGGTAATGCTCCCGGGCGAAGCCAGCCGTAATTGCTCGGAGGGACGTTAGAACTCAGGCTGCCATATCTAAGACCCGATCATATGTTGTACCATCTGGCACATTGAGTGTGTCTCACAAATTCAAGCGTTCCAGCCTTGTCTATATGACCGGAGTGTCTAGTCCGAGGGTGAGGTAAAGCAGCTAGGCAATTTTGTCATCGTAACCGTCCTTCAAGACATGCATCTCTTTTGTCGATTCGCATTTGAATGTTTCAAAGTTTCACTCGCTGGACTCAAGTACTGAGGCAGAATAAATCACCCTTGTGAGGACTTGGTTGTCTACTCAGCTGCAATTAAGATCTGTGAGCATATAAGCACGAAGTCTCACACTGCAGCCAGAGAACCGCCGCTTCTTCAAGCCTCAAGCGACCTCCCAAGGGAAAGAACTCAATACGCAGCCAGTGAGAAGACCGTCTAAACCAACCTCAGACATGACGAGCAATCAAATGCCCTTTAGTGATTCGCGAAACCTGCCCACTCTCCCTGGATTCCAGGGAGACCGCCCACCTTCACGCCGGGGCCAAGTCTCACGGCCGCACTTCCGCCCCGTCCGACCAATTGTCGACTCGCCACACGAACAAGCAGTCATCGACGCCGGCTACCCCTGGGTGCGAACCAACCCGCTGATGCCAACCTGGATGTCCCCCGGTGCGGACCCGCGCTCCAACCCCGTCCCAGACCGGCTGAACTGGCACGGCCACCACGGCGTCAACACGCACCTCATCTTTGAGGGAGACCTGACTTTGATGAAACCCAAGAAAATGTTTGGCCAGAACCATGTTGCTGCTGTAACCTTGTCCACGGACCTCGGCGCCCCGAAAGAGCTTTCAGTTGCGCCAGATGAGATTTACTTCGGGACGACACAGCAGGCTTGCAAGTTCGTCGAAGGGCACCGCTGTCTGAGCCCCACGAGTGCGCATCGGGTAAGTGACTTCCAGTATTTCCTTTTTTACCACTTGAGAATACCTTAATATCAGGCTGGTACCTTCTGTTTAGCCGCGGGTTGAGGGGCAGGGATGTCCCCCTTCATCACCCTTATTTCAGATGAATCTTTCAAGTTTCGACTTCAATATCTGACTCTGAAATCACAGTATATGTCTAGGGGAAGCTTGGAGTGGGTTGATAAGGCCGGACAAGCTGTCCAGGGCGGCGACCGGGCATACGTTCTTGAGCAGCTCTACGACGCGGAATTTGAGACCAACTTCGACTTCAAGGTCATGCGAAGAGTGGCGACCTGTTCGTTCAAGGATGACAACCAAATCACCAGGAGCATGCGCCAGTGGTTCCTGCGAGAATGGAACGACCCTGATGTCCAGAACGCCAAGGGCGACCTTCGCCCTGTCGTTCATCCGTCGGAATTCCCTTTGGCTCCACAGCGGCAGGATCATGAGATGGAAATTGGTGACGACAAGGCTGATTCTGGTGATGAGCTGGAGCTTGATGATGAAGACGGCAGTACTCAAGGTCTGGTCAAAGCTTTCCGAAAATGGTTTGGCATTACTGAGAACTAAGCCTGGCGGAATGGGATCTGAGGGACCGTTGATGATTGTAATCTCAAGTCCTTGAACTATGGAGATGTGGAAAGGGGTGACTGCTGTTCATGCTCATTCTCAGGCCGTATGATCCATTTATGAGTATGCCGACACTTGTGGGCAGGAATGCGTGTTTCGGCCTCAAACATGCGAACCTAGCTGAACCCCCCCCCCCCGGCCAGAATAATTTGTGCATGTGAGAAAAAAGAACATGAATTAAATAACAACCCTTGTCTCGTTACAGAAGACCTCGCTGAGCTCCGAAACTGAATCATAACATCATCGCGGCCAGCCTTGCCAGCCTGACCAGAGCATTAAATCGGAACAAACAACTGCGCAACAAGCTTCCAATTTCCCCCAGCAAGCTGCCTCCAGGTGCTCGTGCACCACGCCTCCACCTTGTCCATCTCATCCGGATCGAGGTCAGTACTACCGTTGTCGGACTTGATGACCGTGACGCGGTAGATTATCTGGACGCCCATCATGTCGACCTCGGCGATGGCGGGCTCCGGGTCCTCCTTGTGGATCTTCCAGCTGATGAGCTGGCCCTTCTCGGCCAGCTTGTCGATGGCCTCGGTGAGTGTCGGCTCCGACTTCATGTGCATTGGCTCCGACTCGCCGTCCGGGTGTATCAGGGGGTTGACCATGACGCAGTCGTACTCGATGTGCTCCTTTGCGTCCTTGGGCTCGTTGCAGAGCGACCCTGCGAGAAGATTCTCCATGTCCTTGGCCGCCTTGCGGACGCGGGCGGAGATGGACCCCGGGTGGACTGTGCCGGACTTGCTGACCATTTTGTGGTGCTGCTATGTGTCGATTATTACAATTAAGTGTTGTGCTTGATGTGGGTTGGATTTGTGCTGATGCTGCTCAAGTTTAAGTGGTGGTTGATGGGCTTGTTTGGGCTAGGACTCGGAATTCCAAGCATCCAGGTTCGAGGTCACGCAGCCACTTATAAGCAATACAGGCTTCCAGGCTTTTGGAATCAAGAGAAACAGGTAATTGTTGTGGGAACCATCCACGTTGACTTCTTCCAGTCGAGTACAAATTGACGTCAGTGGGTCATCACCGCTGTACAACTTGGTGGGTGCAGATCACTTTGAGGCCGTGCAGGTCAGCGGTGCCCACTCTTATGAGATCTGCTAAAGTCCCCGAGATCACCACCGGAAAAGACGACACTCACTGGAGATCAGACTTAAACATCCATGGTCTAAAGCTTGAGTATAGTGCTTGAACGCCGTCGTAGTGCTGCGGTGGAATACACATAGATGCAGTGGCACGACACGATATTAAGAGTTGAGAAACAGAGCCCCACTCGTACCCGACTCAGTGATGGAATATTCCGCCCTTGTTGGTAGGTCTCTCGTACGTACGATAATCATATGGGAAGCAATCATGTATTGATGTTGTTCTGTTTAAGTTCTAAGAGGCTACGTGCTTTGGAGGGGATAATTAAAGTAGCCTTTTAAGTAATAAGGGTTGTACTTGCCAATACTTACAGTTTTTCTCTTTTTTTAATAAGTATATATAATCCTTATTATAATTAGCTTTAAAATTATAATTTATTATATATTAAGTATATATAATCTTTATTATAAAAAAGCATTATTAAAGAGGCTTAAAATTATAATTTATAAGTTTTAAAGTAAGTTTTAACAACCCTTATTATTATATTACCCTTTAAACTTATAATCTTTATTATTATATTATTTTTTAAATATTATACCTATTATCCTTAATACTTAGCTTTTAAAGTTGCTTCTTTATGGAAATTATTAACTTTTGCGTAAAAGCCTTAGTTTTAAATCTCTTCTTTATAAAGAAAGTTAATGCTTATAAAGTTAATATTAAACCCTTTAGCTTATATTTATTTTTATTATATACCTTTATAATGTAAACATTATTATCTTTATCCTTACTTTTATTATTAAAATGCATTTAATATTGCTTTAAATTATTTTCCTTTAGTTACTTCTTATCCTTTTAAAATTAAGCATTATAAGCAGTTTAATTATTTATTAAGTTCTTTTCTTGCTTTTTATTATTTTTTTTAATCTTTTTAATAATTATCTTTTACTTAAGTTGCTTAAGCAATAGCATATATTTCTTAATAAGTTTCTTTATATATAAGCCTTATATATACTTATTAATAGTTTAATGCAAAAAGTTTTAAAGCTAAGTTAATATAGTAATTTAATCTTTTAATAGCTAAATCTTTTTAATTTAATATATATAAAAAATACTTAAAATTAAAATTTTTATTAGGTTATTTATTATAAAGATTGCAATAATTTAGCATTTAAAATAATAATTACCTTAATAATTCTTATTATTAAGAATGCTATATAATCTTATATTAAGAGTTTTAATGCTTTTAATATAAATATATAGCTTTTTAATTATATTATTAAAAGATATTTACTTATTTTAATATTAAAAGTTATTAATAATTTAAATAATAGCTATTATAATAGCGTTATTTAGGAAAAGTATTTTAGCTTAAATTATAGCTATAGCTTTTAGCTTATTAATTTTAATAATTTCATAAGAATTAACTTTAATAAGCAGCTTGCTTTTTTTAATGCTTAGCATAAAAGTAAAGTTAAAGGTAGTTTTTGCAATCTTTATTAAGGTTTTATTAACTTAATTTTAATTATCTTTATTATTAATAATAATTAAATTGCTATTAATATTAAGTAAATAAGAGTTATTATTATTAATATCCTTATTAATATTCATTAAATAAGCAAGCGGATAAGAGTCGTTATTATTAATATCCTTATTAATATCCATTAAATAAGTATTATTAATAACAACCTTGCTATAAGAATTAATAAAATTAATAAGCTTATCTTTATCCTTATTAATTAAAGCAATTTTAGCCCTTTTTATAGCCTTAATAATAATTTTAATCTTTATTTTATTGCTTAATAAGAATGCAGTTACAATATTTATTTTATTAATTAAGATTATAATTATGATATTTATTTTATTAATTAAGATTATAGTTATAAAGCTTATTTTATTAATTAGGGTTATAATTATAATATTTATAGGGGAATTTTAATTTTAATTAAGGGTTGCAATAGGGCTACCTTTAATGCTAGCTATATTAACGGCAACCATAGCAATAATTATATTAGGTATGTCCTTAACGCAGGAAGTAAATATAATATTTGCTAAATAGTTTTGCTTGCTATTATTATTTTTATAAGGTATATTAATAAAAGTATTAAATAACTCTTATAAGTTATTATTAATATTTTTTATTATAATAAAAAGGAAAAGATTTTATAGGAATTTAGTAGTTAAAATAAATATTTATAATGCAAAACTTTGCGATTATTATATAATAATCATTAATTTATTCTTTAATTATAAGAAAAGTTAATAAGTTGCAAATAAATTTAATAAAAGTTAGTTTTAATATTATTATTAATAAATAGTAATAAAAAGTAATAATAATAATAAGATTAACTTTAAAATAATAATTATTAATAATATTAATAATTATAAGGTTATCTTTATATATAATAAGGTATTAAAAAGATATTAATTAAAGTATAAAAGATTAAAGTTTATATTAAGGGTTTTAAGTTTAAAAGATATAAGGTTTTGCAGCTAATAGCAGCGAGGTTAAAAGGAAAAGGTACTAGCAATAAGTTGCTCCTTCCTTAATAGAAAGGGGCTACTTTAGGTTTCTTAACTAATCTATTTATTTATATGCAAAGCTTATTATTATTAATAAGCTTTTATAATATAATATTTAAAGTTAATTTTATTATTACGTTAGCAGGATTATCTTTCCTATTTATTTACCTTACTTTAATAATCTCTCTTATTTTATATAATTTTTATAATAATATAATATTAATTATAAAGCGCTTTTTCTTTATTATTCCTAGTTTTATAAGGTATTTATATAGGCTGTATAAGTTTATATAAATAATTAAGGGTATATTTAGCAATAAGAATTATCTTATAGCCATTTTAATTATTATAGCTAAGGAGATTTTAATATTTACTTTATTTATTATGCCATAAATTTTACTTGCTAGCATACTTTAAGTAATATATTTATACTTTATTAATAATTAATAGAAAATATTGCCTATTATTATAAATTCCTTAATTTCCTTGCAAATCTTATTTATAAGGATAATAATATATTTAAGTTAAGATATTAAGTTCTGGTTATTTGCAAATAATCTATTTATAAATATAAAAAGTTTTGCTATTTTAAGATTCAAGGGTATATACTTAATTCCTTATATAACGTTATTTATTTATTATAATAATTATATATTTAGGCTCTTATAATTTTCTATTTTTAGGTTTTATACCTATGTAATTATTAAAAGATTATATAAAGCTTTTAATTAGTAAATTAAAGCTATATATGCTTTATAAGCTCTTTATTTAAGGTATTTTTAGGGAGCATCTTTAACTATTGCATTAATAAGAGTAAGTTTATTAGCTTATCCCTTTTATTAAGTAGTAATTAAGCTAATAATATTTATAATTATATAAGCCTTATTATAATTTATTAAGTTTTTAAGCATTAGCTTTTATTTTAATTTTCCTTATAGTTTTATAGCTTTTATCTTAATTTCCTTTTTATCTTGGAATTTTAATATAAATAAAATTAATATATTATTTATTTATATGCTTATTATTTTAAAAAGTTATATAAGCTTTATAATTATTAAGTAAGGATTATATATAAAGCAGTTTATCTTAAGCTTTTATTAATAATATCTTTAATATATATTAAATAATAAATGCTAAATTCTGCTATATTATATAAGGGTTAAATAATATAAATAATTATATTTAAAGGGTACTTATTTTTTAATTTCTTTAATAGCTTTATAAGGATTATTTTATATAATTTTAACTTTGCTTAGGGGTAAGCTTAAGTAATATCTTAAAGTATAAGAATTATACCTTTTTTTTAAATTAATAAGGAGGCAAATGCAAGGATTATTTATTAATTTATTCTTTAAATAATTAAGCTTTGCATTAAGATTAATCCTTTTTTATTATTATTATAACCTTAAATAATAAATTAAGATTTTTTATAAAATTTTATAATTTTGCTTTTTACCTCTTATATTATATAGGATTTAAAGAAATAATATTTGCTATATTGCTTTGCTAATTATTTCTTAGTTTAAAAGATACCTTTAATAATAAGGTTATTAATTTTTATTTTATTAAATTCTTTAAATAATAAGCTTAGTATTATAATAACTTTATTTTATTTTAATTTAATTGCTAAGTTATAATTTTTATTTTCTTTCTTTAAAATATATAATATAATAATATAGTCTTTTATCTTTAATAATAATAATTATATAATAAGTTATATTTAAGGTTTTATAGCTAGGTTTTTTGCTTATAAGGATTGCATTTCCTTATTATTATTTTAATAATATAATTAAATAACTATTAACTTAAATATTATAGCTTTATTTAGTATATTTAAGGTTATGTTATAGTTATTTATAATAATAACTTTATATAAACCTTTCCATCCTTTTCTTTTTTTCTATATATAAACTTTGCATTATAATAAATATTTTATATTAAAGATAGGTTTAACCTTAGTATTTAATGCGTTTTATACTTACCATTTAGCTATGATTTTTTATAATATCTTTATAACTTTTAAAATAGCTTTTGCTTGCTTTCACGTTAATGGTAATAATAATAACTTATGCAATATTTATAAATAAGCGTTAAAAATTAAAAGCATAAGGATTAGTTTATTTAGTTTAGCAATATTATTAATAGCTTTTATAGCTATTTATAGGATAATATTATTATTTATACTATTATATAATTTAATATATAGAATTTTATATGCTTATTTAAGGGCTTAATAATATCTCTTAACTTTCTTAATAAATTAATGTATCTTTATAAGGATTTATTTATATTTAATTCCTATTATTTATACCTTTAAATGGAATTCTAAAGATATAAAGTTTATTCTTGCATTATATTTAATGATATTTAATAATTCTTAATATATATTAATTTAAAATATTTATAATGTTTGCTATGCAGTTTTTATAAATATAAATTTTAAGAATTTCGCTCTTTAGAAAGTAATGGCTTAATTTATAACGTAAAGAATTAAATATTTGCTTAAATACATTACGTTAACTAAGATTTTATAGTTAAATTTATAATTATTATATAACGTAAATTTAAAACGCCTAAATATAGGTTTGCTTATTTAATAATGATAATATATTTTCTTAATCTTTGCTATTGCTTATTTATTAATATTTAAATTATTGGCTTTTTTAAGCATTTAGCATAATTAATTTATTAATAAGTATTTAAAGCAATAATAAAGTCTCTTTATTTTTATCTTTAAGAGAAAATACATAGCATTAATAATTTAATTTAGGAAAAACTATAAGTAACCCTATTTTTTAAGTATTAATACAATAATCATATTATTAAAGGAAACCATTTTATTTATAATATTATTATAATATACTTAAAGCTTATTTATATTTATTAAGCAAAGTAAAAATAAGGTTTATGCTTAAATAATATAAAAGTTAATATAATTAATTAAGGTAGAAATTTTTATTATGCTAAGTAAATTAATAATTATCTTATTATTAAATTTAACTTTAGCTTTTTTTATAATAATTATATTAATTTAGTATTTTAAGTTTTCTTATTATAATGCAAGAAATTGCTTATATTTAGCTATAAATATTAATAATGCTTTTATATTTAATAAGATTCCTTAAAAATAAGTTTAATTATATTTATTTTTTAAGATAAATTAATTAGCTATAATGATTATTTCTATTTAAAAGATATTATCTTTTATAATTTAATATATAAATGCTTTATTAGCTAGGAAATTAATATTTATATAATAAACCTTCTTATTAAGTCCTATCTTTATAATATAAGTATTGCCATTATAATTATTATCTTAATCTTATTTATCTTTATATTTATAAAATTTATCTTTATTATTCATTTTATATTCCTTAAATTTACTTAAAAAAGTATTAAAGTTATTATTATAATCTTTATATTTATATTATATTAAGTAGCTTCTTTTTACTAAATATTGCTTATTAACTAAATGTTTAATTAATTAATATTCTTTCTTCTTATAAATATAATATCTTTTCTTTTAAGGTTATTCTCTTCCTTTTTTATAAGCATTATTACTTTAAGCTTTATAATTAATATTATAAGATTTTGGCTGCTTAAAACTTAAATAATTTAGGTTTAATTAGCCAAACCTTTAATTTCCTTAAAATGTTTAAAACTATAATTATTATCCTTCCCTTAGCTTTTAGCCATTATATTTATAATTAATATAATATTAATTTAAAACTTTATTTATAATATAAATTATAATTATATAACTAAGCTATATTTTTATTATAAATCTTAGGTTTAAAAATAACTCTTTATATAGTTAAGCTAGCTTAAAAAAAGCTATTTTTAACTTAAGAACTCCTTTATAAGCTTTAATTATTATTATTCTTAAGTTATCCTTCTTAATATAATCTTAGCTTAATGCTTATTAATAAAATTGCAACTTATTAAGTATTAAATATAAAACCTTATATAGGTTTTTATTTAAGTTTTATGCTCTTATTTTTATAAATATTATTATTATTTAATTTATATAATAATGCTAATGATTAAGGTTTATATTAAAATGCATTTTAATTTTAAGGTATGCTATTATAAATATATTAATTTAATTTATAAAATAAAGATAATAAGCCTTAGCTTAATCTTTAAGTATTTAAAGAAAAACTATATAAAATTAACTTAGCTAAATTTTAGTATAATAGTAAATATTAAAAAATATCTTTATCTTATTATTTAATAAATTATATAAATTCTTAATATACTTATAAAAATTATTAAAGATTTTTATAAATTATGCTAATTTTATTAAATTTAAGCATTTATTAAGAATGTATTATAAGGGAAGAGTTTTATATAGATTATACTTTTTATTTAGCAAAGGCATTTTTAGGATAGCTTAAGGTTATGCTAGATATAATATATATTTTTAATATAAGCTTTATTTCTATCTTTTTGTTAATAATAATAAGCTTTATTAATTATATTAGTTTTTAATAAATTGCATTATTAAGTTTAAGTTTTATAATTACATGCTTAAAGCTAGCGGCAGCGATAAATATTACCCCGGGGATTATCCTTTTAGTAATTATTATTATTTAAAGCTTGCTTATAATACTTATAAGGGCTATACTTATAATTGCTATTTTTAAAGTTATATGCAATATTTATTTATACTTAATTTTAAGGCTAACAGGGTATTGCAAAGCTTATTATTAATTTATTCTAATCTTTCCTTAGCTTAAGCTATAATAATTAATTATAATGCTATAAGTTAATTATTATATTTTATATAAATGCCTTATATTTAAAGGAAAACTTTTAAGCATTATTAGCAAGGATTTAATAATACTTTAAATATTGCCTATGTTTACGTTATATAATCCTTATAATAAGCAATAAAAAGGTTATTATTATAAAGATTTTATTGCATATAGCTTGCTAAAGTACTTGCTAAGTAAATAACTAAGTATTTTATTAATACTCCTTATATAAGGGCTATAAACTATAATTTTAAGTTAATATATTTATAATAGGCTAGGTTAATTAAAGTTTAAGCAAGCATTTTATTAATTATATACCTTTTAATAAGAGTTAATAGCTTTTTAGCATTATTAGCCATGCTTATAGGTTTTTATAATAAATATTATAAGGAGTAAGCTATTAATGAAATAGGTAATGTTTAAAAGTAAGTTAATGATAGTAGTTTAATGGTAAGCAAGTTATGGTTATTAAGAAGAAAAAGTTATTAATTCCTTTAAGCCTTAAAAGTTAGGGCTTTTTTTTATTATTAAGTCCTTTTATATTAGCTGGAAGCATAATACATAACTTATGCTTATTTATAATATAGCATTGCATTAGCTTTAGTAGTTGTAATAGTTGCAAGCTTTATCTATTTAATAGTTGCGATAATTGCAAGCTTTATCTATTTAGCAAAATAAAGCTTTATTAAGTTTTGCTAAGTCTTAAAAAGGATTTAAAAATGAGTTCGTTTTTAATAAAGTCTTATATATAATAAATGCATATCTTTTAAATAATGATGAATATATATATAAATATTGCAAGGAATGCTACTTAGTTTATTTAATCTTTATAATGTCTATTTAGGGAGTTTAATAATATAGAAAGGCCTAAAGAAGTAATTATTACTATATAGCGCTTGTTAATAAAGAAGATGTAATTTTTAAGTTAGGGAAATTCTTATAGGGTTGCCTCTTTTACCTTATTAATCTATAGTACCTATAACTACTAATTAGTATTAATAGGTTTCTTATATATATAATAATTATATAGGAAGCAATTATGTATTGGTATTATTCTGTCTAAGTTTTAAGAGGCTACGTGCCCCGGAGGGGATAACTAAAGTAGCCTTCCAAGTGACAAGGGTCGTACTTGCCAACAGCCCTTGCAAGACTGTCACAATCTTAACATACAGGATTACATTCTCTTCTTCTGTATGATCCTCACTGTAAGGGAGAACGGCTGTCATAGCATCAATATTCGTTGATCCATACAGTCATTCTCAATTTTCCCATGATGAACTTCACCTCAGGCGAAACAGTTGGCGATGACTGCTCTGAGCGGAAATTGATACTGAGATTGTGTCAAATTTTCAAGTTCATATGGCTGATATTATTTTGTCTAGACAAGCTCTCTTCCGTGTGGCAGGAATTCTCCTTTGCCAGTATGTTCAAGGATTCTCGTGTATTTTGAAACTTTGATACCACTCTGTCTCCATTGTCGTGGGAAAATTCCCAATAGATGTCAAGTTATCAGTCCTTCGAAGGCCTGTTGGTGTTGATATCCTTCAGGATTGCATCAGCCCCTGCCTCCACAAGGCTCGCGGCTAACCTTTTCCCGAGCGCTTTCGCCTCATCGTTGGTCTGCACCGTTGCATCGATGGCATCTTCAACACTTTGAGAGCCGTCAAGGCTGACGACTATTGCCCGCATCCTCAGGACCGAATCTCGCGACTGCCCCACCCACTCCGTCTCTACGCCAATCGGGACGCTACAGCCTCCCTCAAGCGTGCGCATCAGGGCCCGTTCCGCCAGACAGGCAAGAGTCGACCTCTGATCGACCAGCTGGTCTAGCAACTCCAGGACCGCGGCGTCGCCCTTGCGGATCTCCAGCCCGAGCGCTCCCTGTCCGACCGCGTGCAGGATCCCGCCGTCCTTGGACCCAAGGTACTGCGTGATGCGGTGCTTGAGGCCCACGCGCTCGAGGCCGGCCGCGGACATGATCATGCACGTGTACTCGCCCTCGGGGTTGTCGACCTTGGCCAGGCGCGTCTCGACGTTGCCGCGCAGGTTGGCGAAGCGCAGGTGCGGGTAGAGGCGGCGGAGCTGCGCCGAGCGCCGAACTGACGAGGTGCCGACTACCGCGCCCTGTGGCAGGGTCTTGAGGCTGTCATACGGCAGGCCTGCCTTGACTATCAGGGCATCACGAGGATCGTCACGGGGAGGGATGGCTGCCAGGTCGCAGGACTCGGGCAGGGTGGTGGGCATGTCTGTCTCGGGAGTTATGAACAAGGTCGCTCACAGGCAGGAACAGGAGATGACGGCGAGGGATCTGCGTACCTTTGAGACAATGCACAATGACATCGAGCTCGCCAGAAGTTAGCTTCTCCTCCAATTCGGTTGTCCATAGGCTCTTTGCTCCAAAGTTATAGAGTGCCGTCGACTGGTCCTTGTCGCCGAGGGTGCGGAGCGCCTCTATCTCGAAGGATCGGTTGGGTGCAATTTTCTGCAGGCTGTCGCGGATGCCCTCGGCCTGGACCACGGCCAGGTTGGATCTCCGCGTGCCGATCCGCAGCGGTGGCTGGGCTGCTGGAGATGGTCCCGCCATTTTTATAAAATCCCGCTGTGTTTCAATGAGGTCAAAATATGAAAGAAGAGAAGGATGACCTTGGGTATGAAGAACCGTGTTAAACAGTGATTGGGCCGTGGGTCTTCTAGATCCACCGCCTTCCGCGATCCGGGAGCTACTGCACATTGTCAGACTCGTTAGTCAGGCTGTCTCTAAATCAAAGGATATTTCTGATTGGATAACCTATTCGACTGTCTAGTCTTTATCTTTTGCTTACTGAGGTTGGTGCACATCAGCTTTTCCTGCGTGTTCAATTCATCTTCTGAACTATAGCCCCGAACGAAAAGATGATCTGATTGAGTAAATATTTTCTGGCGGAAGCTGGACGTACACAACAACCCCGAGACTGAACTAGAATCGCTCACTAACGGCTAGTAATTGCACCCATCATCATGTATATATCATATAAACTCTGTGCAAATCAGATTACTGATTAAATCTATAATCTCGATAACATTGGGACTGCTGGGGATAGGAACGTGATTTTCCTCCCCTTTGTGTTCATCGAGATGCTTTCTGCGATCTCCACTCCCACCATGGGCAGTCGAAATTAGTAAGGTTGTCACAGAGGAGCGGTCGTTTGGGGCAAGGGAGGCGCTTTCGACTCAGATTGGGAGGGACAGTATTGAATGTCTGTATGCATTTGTTAGGCGTCTCAGGAAGGGAGTTCCAATGTATGAACATTGCTCCAGCTCAAAGTATGTGAACAAAAAATCCTAGGACAGTGAATGAACCCGAGCCTGCTCGTATCCACACTGCAGGCAGGCCCTTTCGTCTGGAACATGCACGAGGTTCGGCTGCAGGATTGGGCAGAGGTTGGTAGATGGACCGCCTACGCCGCATCGATTCTCATCAGTAATCCCTAACATCATGTCATGTCTCTGTGTAATAGAATATCCAGTTCTAGGGTACGGACCATGCTCAGTCTTTTCCCGCTGATTCTAGCATCTTGAATGCCACCTCAGACATCTTATAGGGAATAATAGATTGAGTTGCTTGAAAATTGAGTTCCGTGATGGTCAATTCACATCAAGACTGCACGTTTCAAGTTTTGGAAAAGAACACCGGAAAGACAAAAGAATGTCAATGGTCAAGGTCAACTGGTTTGTTTATTTAGTATGCGCTCCAAGCTCACGCTGGAATACGGACGAAACGAACAGGTGTATAAATTTTAAAATATTACATTAGCGCACGCATTGTGTTCCAAAATTAACATCAGAGGGTGGAGGCAATGTACTCACTTGTGCGATGGCGTGCTCCATCCCTGACGTATTCGGCTGCGTTGTTCAAGAAGCAGCACCGCTTGAGTGGAATATTGAGAGGAATTCGACGTAACAGCCATATCAAGCGCTTTCCACCCAAAGTTTTGAACCATTTCTTCACTCAAGGATCCAGAATCCTGCTATTGGTACAAGTTGAAGCAAAACTGATCGCAGGCCAACAGAGCTCGTGCCAACATGAAGACCCGCCCAGCGACGGCTTTCCATTCTCACTACGTTTGCGCATTACTTATTCCGCTCGACAATCTCCGATATCAATCCTTCGAAACAAGCCCTTCATCCCTCAAAAGCAACGCCGGCTATCGCTCCGCAATCCGCCTCGCCAAGACGATTGCGTGCGCGTTGCAATTCAGGCCCCGTTGGAGAGGCCAGCAGCGCCAGGTCAGGTCGCCTTAGCTTTGCCGAGGTCAACCCGGGCACCGCTACCGCGTCTCCCCTGAGACACCACGATCGCGCAATCCGCGGTCCCCAGGTGCTCACTGGACGGAGGCGTGGGAGCAGCTGGTCCGAATGCGCGGGGGCGCACACCTTTTTGGCAAGGTTGCTGCAGATTCGCATGTCAGTAGGCCGATCACACAATGCGTGACCCCCCGTCCTCGCCCGCTCTGGGCCACGAGCACGCCATTCGTGCGTGGCATTCGCGAAGGGGGACCCTGAGGGTTGTAGTGCTACCGATAAACCAAGCACCATAGAAAAATCTTGTGTAACGCCTCTTTGAGCTTGGCGATGCTTTTATATAACCGAAGCCTGTACGACGCTATTTTATTTTGTTCCTTTGAGATCCTTGGCTGTCTTCTTGGACGGCCTCGGCGAGCTTCGATACCGACGACCAACACGCTGACCACCAACTTGATCCATGAATTACAGTACTTTTCGTGGAAAACAGACCCAGCCCAGCATGTCTGTGCCGCCGATCCAGTCGGGCTACCCCGCGGCGGGCACGGTAGTCGACGACGAGATAGGAGACCCGCTGCCCAGAAAGGCCGAGATCAAGGAGTTCAGCGAGGACTCGGGCCCCGAAGACGCCTACGGGGGCTACGGCGAGAACCCTTTCAAGGACGAAGCTGTGGCAGAGCACTGGAGGCAGGTCTATCACGACTCTCAGTACGAATGTCGCCACGTCTTCGACCCTACCCTGACCTGGTCGGAAGAGGAGGAGAAGGCCATCATTCGAAAGCTCGACTGGCGTGTGTGCCTATGGGCTTGTTGTATGTTCTTTGGCCTCCAGGTGGACCGGGGCAATCTGGTTCAGGCTGTTTCGGACAACATGCTGGATGACCTTGGTCTGAACACCAATGGTGAGATGAACATTTCCCAGTTTATTTCCCTCGTTGAGCGAAACATGTGCTGACTAGTTGCCTTACTAGATTACAACTACGGAAACACAGTGTTCTTGATATCTTTTCTCTTCGCAGAGCTGCCTTCGCAGCTCGTTTCGAAAAAGGTTGGACCAGACAGGTGGATTCCTATGCAGATCTGTCTCTGGAGTATTGTGGCTTCATCCCAGTTCTGGATATCAGGCAACGCGTCATTTCTCGTCACGAGAGCTCTTCTGGGTGTTCTAGAAGGCGGTTTCATTCCTGACCTTGTTCTGTGGCTGAGCTATTTCTACACCTCTCGGGAACTGCCAATTAGACTGAGGTGGGTGGCGAATTGTTTTCATGAGTTTCCTCAGTTGCTGACCAATGTAAAGTTACTTCTGGACAACCTTGTCTGTCACTACAATTCTCACGTCTCTCTTAGCTTTCGCGTTGCTTCACATGCGCGGAGTGCTTGGCTACGCTGGTTGGCGATGGTTGTGAGTTGTCCTTTTGTTTTCTTTTTATTTTTATTATCTACGGAGGGAATATTCTCTCTTCTCAAGCAACTAAAGTCCAACCATTCTAACCGAAAAACCCCAGGTTTCTGATCGAGGGCCTCATAACACTCACGGTTGGCATCGCATCTTTTTTCTTGATGCCAGCGTCAGCTGTACAGACCAAGACCTGGTTCCGCCCGAACGGATGGTTCAACGACCGTGAGGTGGCAATCGTTGTGAACAGGGTGCTGAGAGATGACCCAAGCAAAGGTGAGAGCTCCTTAGCAATTTTGAATTCCACTCTCTTGGTTGATTCACTTCTAATATCTGAATTTCTAGGTGATATGCACAACCGCCAAGCCCTGACACCTAGGCGTCTCTTGCAGACATTGAAGGACTACGACCTGTGGCCTCTCTACCTCCTAGGCTTGATTATCTTCATTCCTCAGAGTCCGCCCTCGAAGTACTTGACCTTGATCGTAAAATCACTCGGTTTCAGCACCTTCAACACAAATCTTCTCACGATTCCATCAGTCAGTCAGCGTTCCTTTTCAGTCTTGGTGAAACTTAAGCGTCGCTCGCTCAAACACAGGCTAACAGATCATACAGAGCGTTTTGCACATCATAACCTTGCTTGCGATCACGAGATTATCGGACTACTTGAACGAGAAGACATTAGTGGCGATGCTACAATCTGTGTGGACATGTAAGTACCGGTCCTGGTCGCCATCGGCCGGTTCAATTTCAATTGCACGCAATTGCTGACACGGTCTAATGAAAGTGCCCTGTGTAATCGCCCTGGAATGGTGGCCCGGCATGATCGACAACAAATGGGGGACATATGCGCTCGTCACCATACTTCTCAGCTACCCCTACTGCCACGCTATTCTCGTGGCTTGGACATCGAAGAACTCCAACAACGTGGGAACGAGATCTGTCTCAGCGGCACTATACAACGTATGTCCAACTCATATCTCCTTGCCTTTGAGACATTTCCACCCTTTGCATGTCAGCTGTGATACTCACTCACAAGTGCGATATGCTAACATAATCATCTCAAAACAGATGTCAGTCCAATTAGGGAACATAGTTGCGAATTTCATATATCGCGACGATGACAAGCCTTACTACCGACGGGGAAATTTTAATCTTTTCATTATTAACCTCCTAGCCATTGTGCTGTTTTTGTTGACCAAGGCTTATTATATCTGGAGGAACAAGCAGAAGGACCGGATCTGGAACGCGCTCAGCAAGGAGGAGCAGGAGCATTATATCAAGAACACAAGACTGCAAGGGAGCAGAAGGTTGGACTTCAGATTCTCTCATTAGAAGGGACTGTGCCCCAATATGCAAAGCCAACATTGTATCAATCCGTAGGTAGTATCAGGAGAAGGCTCAGAAGGACGTACATATCTATAGCACTAGCGAGACTGGAATACACGCATGAGACTTAGATCACAACCGGAATTAGGCCACACATCACTTTCCTGCACCCAAAGAATATGCTTCAAACTGTTTCGAATTCCCGTATTGGCTATTACTATTCTGGCATTGCCCACATGAACGGTCATTACACATACAAGGGGGCTAAACATCCCCCCTTTAAGAAAACCCACACCCTCTTACAACGACAGACCCAACCATCTAAAGCCCCGACTTAAGTGAATACCCTAGAATCCCAGAGCCTGGTTGAAAGCATCAGCAGTCGTGGCGTCCTTGGTCCCAAGCCCCTCGACGAGCGCCTGGGCGTCCTCGCACGCGGCAACGGCAGCGTCGTTGGCCTCGCAGACATTGACCAGCTGGTCACAAACCCGGTTGGTGATGATGTTGGGGTTCAGAGCGTCCTGCTGGCCCTCGGCGACGAGAGGATCCGTGGGCAAGAAAGTGCCCTCGTCAGCTTTGCGTCCCTCACGGCCCAGTTGGAAGTCGATTGTGGGCGTGCACTGGCCGAAATCGGCTCCAGCGGCTCCAGCTCCTGCATCGGCTCCAGCATCGGCTCCAGCATCAGCACCGACATCAGCGTTCTGGTCTTGGCCATCCTGAGCCTGGTTGTTTTGGTTGTCCTGGTTATCCTGATTGTTCTGGTTGCCTTGGTTGTTTTGGTTGTCCTGGTTGTTTCCGTTCTCAGCTTGATCGTCCTGGGCTTGGTCTTGGCCGGCGTTTTGGTCAGCCTGATCAGCCTGGCCAGCATTGCAAGCAGCCGCATCGTCTTCGGCGTTGGCATTGCCAGCGTCAGCATTGCCAGCATCAGCACCGGCGTCAGCCCCAGCGTCAGCCCCAGCGTCAGCCCCAGCGTCAGCCCCACCGACATCAACGTTGCCACCAGCACCGTCAACAGCCGTGAAAGCCGAGAAGCCCTGGGCGGCAGTGACCTCGGCGACAGACAGGCCCGCGGCGTCGAAGGGCTGGGTCAGGGACTGGGCCGAGTTGGCGTTCTGAGCGTCGGCACCATCGACATCGGGGTCGACGAGCGGGATGATACCACGGAGCTCCTCCGTCGCCGGGAGGGTGGCATCGGCACAGAGGCTGGGGATGTCGACGGCGAAGGGGTTGAAGTTCTGCTCCGCGGCGACGAGCCCGGCGGCGGCCTCGATCACAGCGGGGTCGTTGCCAAGGGTGTCGACGATCTCGTCTGCCAGGGAGAGCTTATCGCAAGGGCTGGCGGCTGCCAGGAGGACTCCGGGCACCTGACCGGAGAGGGTGCCGGCGTCGCCGGGGTTGCCAAAGTCACCCAGGGCCTGGATCGCCGCAACAGGCACCTGCTCCTGGCCGAACCGGGCCTCGACGTAGGCCACAAGCAGGGCGTACTTCAGAAATTGAGACATTGTGTCTTGATAGTTAGATCTTCCAGAGAATCTTGAAGTTAACAGAAAGTGATATCAATAAAGTTCGACCGGACTAGCGGTTGAAACACACACTGAAGAGAATGTAAACAGCTGGATAGAAAGAGAGATGGAAACGAAGGCTTGATGGGAGTGCAGTGACGCCAAACGACGAAAACGATGAGCCAGACCTGCGATATATGTATAATATATACACATGCTCGATCCAGGCATCGACATGGCTCGGTAACGATCTGGTGTGCTCTCAGCGAAACAACGATTCCAAGACTTGGGGGTGCACTTGCACGCCAAGATGTCAGTTGGAAGTATGCCCAAGGCTATCAACCCCTTCAATGGCGATCATACCTGGAGCGGACGCGGTGTGAGGTGTGCCACGAAGTCTCATGACAATGCCGGGAGGAAACAGAGCCTGGTCGCCAAGGCGGGAGGGGACGAGCCCATCGGATGGTGAGATGCCATGGCCGGAAAGTCTGCGAGGTGACGATGCAGAGCGCGCTAAGGGCGCAGATGTGAGCGGCAGTCACTTGGTCAAGCGAGGCTGGTGTACCGGCAGGTCCCAAAGGGACGAGATCTGTGCACATTCGGTTCGTCTTCAGCTGCGAAGTTACTTTGGACTGTGCAGAGATGAGACTTGAGGCTGCATCAACCTGCTGCTTACCGTCGACAGCAAGTGCTTGCCGCCCGTCCAGCGGGAGGGAGGCCGTGGGCCACGTTCAGAATCCGGCCAAGAAAGGGCGAAGGATGGGTACACCGGTAGCGAGAGAGCATGGGAACGTTCCATCCCGAGCTTGGCAGGTGGTGGGCCAGGCGGTATTCCCAGTGTTGGCGCCTTCGAGAGGCTGACAAGACGGGTTGACACGCCAGACACGAAACCCATCCCTTCAGCAAGCGGCTTGGGACAGACGTCTTCTCAGGCCCAGGAGGCTCGCGGATCGAAGAAGCGGGACTATGCGAGACGTTGTGCGCGCTTGCAAGCAGAGCAGAAATAGCAAGAGCCGCAGAAGTTTGGGTGCATCAAGCTTGGCCATCCTGAGCGTGTCTGACATGAGGCGCGGCAAACCCAGAACAGGCGGCCCAGTCTGCCCTTCTGCCAGTCTACAAGCGCGCCCCGTAGGCAGAGCCCATGCACATATGATGGGCGGATGATCAGACCCAGATGGGATGAAGTTGAGTTGACTTTGTGACCTGCTCGGGGATCGAGAAGCCAAGCAAGTGATCCCAATGATGTGCTGAAGCTTGGCCTGGCCCCGCTGGCCCGCAGGCAGACCCGACCCCAGCTCCCCCTGGACTCCTCGGCCCCTTTGCCCCTAGGCCATTGGCTCCACCCTCGCTTAATCATTGTCAACGTCCGCCATGAGACATCTTCGTCTGACCATGGTTTGATCTGCCAAACTTCCCCAAACTTTTCAATCCACCAGATGAACACGCATCTTGGACTGCTCACCATATGCAGCCAGCTTATGCCTCGCTTGTAGCATGCACAATACTCCCAAGAGCCTTGGCGGCCGCCTACCTCAGCTCTGCCGAGCTTCCTCGCACTCTTCAGGTTCCCAGGAGGGAGATTAATCCAAGCGGGTGTCACGATGTGATACACCAAGGGGTAGTCATCGCCATCACCAGTCGGCTGGGCCAGTCTCGATGTAGCTGCCGCCGCCGCTCATTCGTGTATCCTATGTCTCTTCCTCCGGATGACCGGGCCGTAGTGTTTACTTCAGGGGTTCGAGATTGCTTCAAGACATGCGTCCGACGAACTTTGTGGCCACGCACATGTGTAGCCCACTGGCACACTGACCTTATTATCGAAAACGCTGAAGGCGCCGGGCGTCCGCTGCATCCCTGGTGCGTGTGATGTTCTCCAGAACAATGCCGATCCGCAGCAGGCTGACCTCTGAGAAGCTGTCTCCAATGGTTGAAATTCCATACCTGCCGCAAGTGTCAGCCCAACACACATAAATAACTAGGCTGGATATCTCACGGTATATTAGGCCCATCTTCCACTAGATTTCCTGTGTCATTGTATTTCACCTCCAGATCTGCAGTTTGATAGCCCAGTGGGATCGTAATCTGCGGGAAACCACCACAAGCTGCGAAATAATTCGCAGGCGCATTGGATGGGACGACGATGGCGTCTAAGGAGTACTCGTTCAGTACCCCCTTGATTCCGCCATCACCTGCCAGGTATGCCCTCACCTCCTGGCCTGCCATATACTCTGCAGAGCCAGCCACACGAGACGCAGCTTGCTCGAGTCGTGCAATGTTCCGTTCTGGGTACTCTTCGCCTTCTGTGCTCTTGACAAGCTCGCAGATGTCCTCGATGACTTGCAAGTTGCCTGGATTATCTGTCAGCTTGTCAAGGTAATCGGCAATAGCAACGTTGAAGTCCCCAGCCATGGCGTCCAACGTTTTCTCTGGTGATAGATCGTCAAACGTTGCCTGGCCGGGGAACTCAAACTCGATCACTTCTGCGACCCGTGTCCTGAGCTGGTCAACCACGCCCCAAAACGACTCGAGAATCTCGTCGGACTCGGCTTTATCGACTGAGTCACGGGGGATACCGACCCGGAATCTTGATATGTCTGTGTGTTCGCAAGCTCCCCTGTAGTCCGGAATGAACTCGAACGGAATGAGATTTGTCTTGGTGTCACCTTCATCTTTGCCGGCGATGACACCCAGCATCGTAGCCGCATCTGTCAAAGTTCTCGCCATTGGTCCGACGGTGTCCTGCTCCTGGGACACAGGAATAACCGAGGCCCGCGAGACCAAGCCTGTCGTGGTCTTGATGCCGACGATGTTGTTCCTTGCGGCAGGGCTTATGATACTGCCCGATGTCTGATGCACCACTCATCAGCAATGTGCTGAGTAGCATGCTTACGATCCTTGTTGACTGACCTCGGTGCCCAGCGCCAAAACACACATGCCAACATCGACACCCACACCACTCCCACTACTACTCCCACTCGGGTCCTGTTTGTCGTGGTACGCCCCAAAGGTCTGTCCTCCCCTGGCACTCCAGCCACTATCGCTCGGCCGGGACCGGAAGTTTGCCCACTCAGAGCAGTTGGACGTCCCGAGGATAACCGCCCCAGCAGCTCTGAGTTTGGTGACGGCAGGGCTCTCGCGGATGGGCTTGCATCCCAGAAGGGCTAGAGACCCCGCAGTCGCCTCGAGAGCCTCGTTGGTGACGATGTTGTCTTTTATCAAGATCGGTACGCCATGGAGGGGGCTGCATGTGATCAGCGAGATGCTCGTAGACAAGGCCACCGCATAGGCCAAGAGACGGGCTTACCCTCGCCGCCCAGAGCACTTCATCTCCTCATCTAAGGCCGTCGCGATTGAGATGGCCGCTGGATTGACCTGCAGGAGCGCATGTAGTGATGGATTCAATGCCTCAATGCGGGCAAGGTGAGCTTCGGTTAGCTCTTTGACGGTGAAATCGCCATGGTCAAGGCCTTGGGCAACCTGCTGTAGGGTGAGGCCTGAAAGGGGAGGTATGTTAAATGCCATCCTCTATCATGTTTAATTTGGGAAGCTGGGAGAGTAAGTTGACAGCTGGAGACGATAGGCGTTTTGTCAGGCCACCGATAGCATCGACGCCCAAGAGGCACATGCATCCCACCGGGAGGAGCCATCCGGGACAAACGCCGCTAACCATGCAAAGCCGGGAAATGACAGGGAGAAACTGCAGCGCGGCGTATGAGCCGTGACATGGGAAGGCGCAGAGCAGCCGTTTAAGACTTGGAAGCTACGAAAATGTGACCACTTTATCAACAGAGGGTACCCAGTCGCTTGGGAAGGAGCGTTCATCGGAGACAAGAACATGGCTCGTTAACTTCTTTCGTGCTACTTCGGGAGCGTGTCTGTTAGTCAATGGCGTATTTCATCTCCAAGCAATCCGACCCTGAGCACACAACGGCGGACTTCAACGTACCTACAAATCATCGTCTCAACTGACAGCCGGTCGACAGCTTCTTTCCCACCGCCCTTGTTCCAGGTTTCGGACAGTCTGCTAGACGGCATCCTCTAAAATGGGCTTCTCATAAGAATTTTTGGAAAGCAGCCCTCACAAGCGGAATGATCTCGGTCGGCAAGTGTTTACTTCTCATCGTACAAACAGGCACACTGAGCACTGCGTCTTGTCAGCGTCTTGTCAGATAGGCATCATCAGGCTCACAGGTGATAGTTCGCACTGTAGCCTGAGATAAGGCTGTCGTCTGAGAAGCTTACATGGAGCCTCTACGCATGGACATCACGGCTGCTGACCAGGGTAGGCATGCCCAAAGCACCAACCCCTCCGGCTTGGCAACCTTAGATGTCCGCTTGGGCAGACGACGGTGACATCAAGCTTCACTCTAATTGATGTTCAGGATAGATTGCTAAAATGCTTTTCATTCTTCAACCGGTGGCCATCAGCTTTTGCAGCCCTCATGATGGCTCTTCGGCACAGATGAAGTTCCCATCCCATGACTACGTGAGCCCAGGATGAACTCTGCAAGGCCAGACATCATGATCACGAGGACGGGCAGTCCAGTGTTTGCCTTGGCCTTCCCGTTTCTCTTCGCGGCTGCTCTCTCGTCGCCATTTCAGCCTCACCTCCACCCACGTCTTGACCACACCCCTCTCGGCTTGCCCAACCTGCCTCCCGGGCTTTTCATCACGTACACCGGTGTCCTGACGGGCTCCTTCCAACTGGACGCGTCCAATTTCCCCTTCGATGCGACACAATGCGCAGGCGGCAGTGGTGCCTACTTCTTCAATGACACGGGAAATTCGACCCTGAGGATCGGTGTCAATCCGCCATCTATCGATCCCAATCCCATATTCTTCATGATCCAGCAAGGCGGGCCAGCACTCCCGCCGCCGGACTCTGGGCCAGAGACAGGCTCACCGACACCGACACCGGCTCCTGCCGGACCAACCAGCCCAATACCGACGGACGCCACCGCCCTGACCTGGACCCCGTCATTCGACTTAAGCAGGCCAACTGTGATGTCTATCCCGATATTCTCAGCGGCGCCGAGAGCCTTCCACGGAGCACCCGGAGGCCTGGACACGAGACAAGCGGCTGCGGATCCGGTCCTCCCGCCCGGCGCCACCCGCTCCGGAGGCATCAAGAACCTCCTCTTTGCCTCCCTGTACACCATTTGCACACAAGACTCCCGGCCCTGCGGCACGATCCCCAAAATGGACCAGGACGCGCCGACGTACAACGCCCTGCACATGCTGGATCTCACCTCCCCGACTACATCCGACGCTGACGAAGGCGCATCGCACACCCTGCGCGGCGACCAGTCGACCTGGGCAGGCAACGACACGATCGAGTGGTCCGGGCTGGAGTTCTCCCCGCCGGCCAACTACACCACCGCCACCACCGATCCTCCGGAGCCGGAGGCGTGCACGGCATACCGCTACCCGCCGTTCGTGTGGAACGCCACCACCCCTTTCACGTACGACCTCGTCTTCTCCAACGCGTCGGCCACGCTCTCGCTCGTCCTCACCGCGCCGCTGGGGACGGTGAGGCTGCGGCTCGCGGGTGCGCGCGCGGCGGACGGGCGGGATGGCGGTGCAGATGCTGCTGTCGAAGCGGTCCAGGTCGGCTCCGGGGCTGGGGGCGCGCCGAGGTGGTCGTTTGTTAACGGGACTGGGTTCCACTTTGACGGGGTGACGCCTGTTGCGAATTCGTCTGTTGAGGATGGCGGACTTTTTAATGGGCAAAATGGCCTGGGCAGCGGTGCTGCGGGTGCGTGGACTGGTTGGTCTGGTGGCGTCGTCGTTGCCGTTGCTGCTGGTTTCGCTGCCTTGTTGCTGTGAGGTTGTCTCTTTGCTGGCGCCGGGACGGGGGACTAAATGAGCTTTCAGGCACGGTCGTTTCCCATATTCGGGGAGGAACGGTTTTTCGTGGCGTTTGGTCTGCATTTGTAATGGGCCTCGAGTCCGGAGTCTTGTTCGGTACCGGCGCATTTGGTCTTTCAAATTAGACAGTGATTATACTTCCAATGTAATGGTACGATGTCCTTCTTTCACCTAGGCCAGAAGATAATAGCAATGATAAATAAGTATGTGCAACCCACCAGCTTGCTCTACCGGAATGAGGATTGCTTCTCAGATATACCGAGAGCAGAGAAGCCTACTCATACGAGACGAGATACTATGCAGCACGCCTTCAAACTTGTTAAGATGAGAGCTAAACACCTGGGTGGCAATATAGTTGCTAGACCCAGGCTTGGCCCCAGGCCATAGAGCTTCCAGTGAAGTGAATATCGGTTGCACATACGGACGGCGGAGGCGGATTCCCGGGGTGGTTCTCGAAATACAGTTTATTGTCAAACAATACCTCGAAGTGAAGTCTTGCAAGATGACCAGGCCGCAAGGCCAGATCAACCAGCTTACAAAGTCCTGCCCGGCACGCATGTCATCGTGAGTCGTCATCAATCCAAAATCCCAACAAAAAAGGTATCCCTGGTATCCTCCAAAGGTATCGTGCGTGACCACACACACCCGCCCCTCTCAAATCGCCATTTCATTAGTGACACATATCCCGGCCCAATGCCCGTATAGTAGTATAGCGCGTAATCAAAACAATCGCGTATTCATTCGTCAGTCCATCCGTCCATCCCATCAGCATTGTCGCCGGGATCTCTTTTATATCCAGGGATGTGTTGCGTGTCTTCGTCAAGCAAGCGCAACCCTCAGCCCCTCCACGCCGGGGGAACGCTCCTAGACGTAGACGCGGCGGTGCGAGTGCGAGCTGCGCCTCCGGCTGCCGTGCCTGCTCCCCGAGCTGTGCCTGCGGTGCCCCCGGCGCGAGTAGTGCGTCTCGCGGTAGTACCGCGTGTCCTTGCCGACGCGCTCGCCGTGGAACCAGGCGAGCACGGCGGTGAAGAAGAAGAAGATGCAGTTCATGATGCCGAAGGCGAAGCTGGCCTTGAGCATGGCGCACGTCTTGCTGGTGTCGACGTCGATGCCGTTGCCGTTGAAGGACCCGAATATCCCGAAGCTGACGTCGTAGCTCGTCCCGCGGACGCTGGTGCAGTTCGCGCCAGCGATGAAGCGGAGGTAGTAGACCCCTGCGATGAAGGCGCCGACGAATCCTGTACGAGATGTGGGTTAGTGGATTGCGCAAAGGCGCCTGAGGAGACGAGGCTGTGCGCCCCGTGGAGGGAATTGTTCGTACCGAGATCAATTATGGCTACAAAGAGCGCATTGGAGCTGCTCCTGTGGTAGGAGAAGAGGGTGAATATAGCCCACGCCAGGGCTAACACCGATACTATGAATAATATCAAGATGTAGTTTGGCGTCAACTGGTTGGCTTTGACATAGCCGTCGACGAAGTAGGCCAGCATGCCCATCGTGGGGATCTGTCAGGGCGCAAAGAGACTCGTTGTCAGCTGGGATCGAAACGTGGAGTTTGCGAGTCGCAAAGACGACACACAGAGTGCGCCTCTGCGCCTGCGCCTGCGCCGACGGACTGGGCAAACTGAAAGCGCCGATGTCGCGAGCAGAATCAGAGCTTACCAGGGTGATGATCTCCAGGAATCGCCAAAAGACGAAACCAATGGTGAAAAGAACTGCCATGATGAATGACTGTTTTGCGATGCCTTGGGCTGATTGGGTGGTTGGCAAGCCGCGGGGGACAGCGTGCAATTGCGGTTCTCGTGGGTTTTAAGGTTTCCCGAGAGAGGTTGCGCAGAGGATGCAGCGAGGAATAGGGATCGAGTTGCTCGGCGCAGGATGACGAGCAGATTGGTTATTCTGGGCGAGCGGATGGTCGCACGACGGGCCTGAGCAAGTGGACAGGAACAGGACAAGAAGTGGTGCCTGAACACAGGATGGCGTGGAGCGCTGCACGGAATAGAAGTATAAAAGTCAGGTGGCAGGACGAGAGACGAGGGTTGAGGGTGGATGATGAGAGAGGGCCTTGTATCCCGGCCTAGAATAACAACAACACCGTTGGCCCGTCGGAGCTGATGGGATGGTTGCGCAGGGGTGCTTCCCAGTTTCGACGAGGTCTGAGAAGGTTGCGTCGATGGGGGAGCCCTGCTTGCTCGCTTGGCCCAGGGTCAGAGATGGTGTGGGATTGCAGAGGGAAAAGGAAGACCAGGGACCCAATGCCCTGTTGAGGGAAACACTTGATTCGGGGAATTGTTTTGGACCTTTCTAACTGACTGACTGATGATGAGCTCAAGCTGCAGCGACCTGCAGGAGGGCGTCAGTGCCAATCCCCATCTTGGTCTAGATGCTAGGCCAACCAGCTGTAGGGCGTAAGCACCACCAGGCCGTCCTTTTTTTCCTTCGATGAGGCTTCCAAGAAGCAAACCACGGCCCTACCGAGTCCTACGCCTTGCAACCGTGTGACGTCGCTGATCGCCGGCTCGATTGCTGTTTTGGCACTACCCTTCCAGAGGTGTGCGGCCAGGATCTGTGATCGCCTGGCAATCCGGGAGAGCGACCCGACGTAGTCGAGACTGACAGGCTGCAGGCAGACTGGCAGACTGGCAGACAGCACTCTCGCGACCAGTATCTGATCTTTGTCCGACGGATTGTCCAGTCTATTGGGACTGTATCACAGTCTTCTGTGAGGCAGGTGTGCAGGCACGCAGAGGAGATGGTGACGTTCCTTCCCTCCCATTTCAATCCTGCCCGTGCCTCCCCCTCTCACCCCACGTTCCAACCACATGGAAACGGGAGTGGAAATCCGCGGGGCTGGTCGACAGCGGAACGGTGGGCCATTGAACGGCAGACCGGGAGCTTGGGGTCTCGTCAGGCCCAAGCTCCCAAATCCTGGACCCCACTAGCCTACGTTTTTAGCACCCGCGTGGGTCCTCGGGAGGCTGGGGATGGCACCCCAAGTAACCCAACTCACCTCGGGCAACCAAGACGCACCAAAACTTGGAATCCACCGTGACATGGCTCAGTCCAGACATTTCCATTCAAGGTTGCCTGAAACAGATCGCTGCAGACGTCGCTGCCCTGGCAGCTCAGCTCAGCTCAGCTCAGTTCCGCTGGGCTGTATGATTCCGGAGCACTTGCACCCATCTACTTGAATAAGCTAGTCTCTTATAAGCCTATAGGTTACCTACCCAGAATAGAACACCATTATACTTCACATATACGTATATATGCATACACGCTGTACCTGACTATAGCACATATGTATAATCGCGTGAAGAACACCACTTTAAGCATTCAAACAAGTACTTGAGATGTATGTATGGACTTGTGCAACGCAAATCTGCCTTCACAATCACTTTGAAACCGTGACCGGTTGACTGAAAGAGGAGGGTGCACCGCCATGCCGATATCATGGTGGATTATTCCGCAATTTGCCATTGGGCCATCGATGTAAACGACGTTAAGCCCTGAAGCCGTGGCCCACCCGTGCATATGCATTTGGAACTTGGTTATCAGGCCAACTCACGTCTGAGATTCCACAGGCTGCAGTATCAAGACCAGTCACCGCTCGGATGACCGATTGGTGCCCGAGGCGAACAACCCTTTGCTGCTGTCTTGACCGTCTAGGCTGCGTGCACGCCAAGGCCCAATCCGATGACAGAACACTCAATAATATGCACGCCACAATACGATTGTGCAACAATCGGCGCTGGATACGTGTGCAGGTTGAATCGTCTGCAGCTCGACAGAGGGGCTAGAACACAAAAATCAAATAGATCCATAAGAACCATCAATAAGAGCCAAAGAGTTGGAGAGAACGGAAGCCAGACCGGACAGAGACTTTGCCAAATTCTACGAACATCACTTCCTGCCATTTCTGCAACTGTACAGCGCAACGAACCTTAAACACGACGGAAACATGCAGAAAGCGGACGCCGACATTGACGCACCTACTTCCCAGGAGCAAGTCATTGACGATGGCCCGGAATCACCCGCAGATGACCATATCAACGTTGGGGAGACCGAGGATGACACTGGCAACGAGGGCGTGTCGGCTCTGCATGAATTCCTCAAGGGGATGAAAGCGGACGATGAAGATGCGAGCGGGGAAGTCAAGAGGCTCCGTGAAATGTTGAGAGAAAGCCGCAAGGCGTATGTCAACACCAAAGGCCCAGGAGGAGTTGCCTCTCTCCACCTTGCTGCCGAACGAGGGCTTGAAAAGGCTGCCAAGGTACTCATCGAGGCAAAAGCGAACATCTCAATCCAGGACGAGAACTCATGGCAACCTTTGCATTACGCCTGCAGGGAGGGGAAACGTAACATCGCAGAGCTCCTCATCGAAAATGGGGCAGAAATCAATGCTCAGGATCGCTGCAAAGAGACTCCACTTCACAAAGCATGCAAACCGGGGTACACGGACCTGGTGGACCTGCTCCTCAAAAGTGATGCCAAGATGGACATCCCCGATGAGGATGGAATGATGCCTCTATACTATACAGCCAGGTGGGGACAAGGGCCGACAATGGAAGCTCTCTTGCACAAAGACAAGTCAAACATCGACTATGTTGTGCAGGAAGATAATGGGTGGACTGCACTCCATGTTGCCGCCTATTATGGTCACGATGAGATAGTGGCCATCCTGCATGAAGCACAGGCGAAGCAAGATATTCGCGACGACGAGGGGTGCACACCATTGCTGCTAGCCACAACGAATGGACACGTCGGGGTAATGAGAAAGCTGCTTTCCGAACCGGAGAATGGGGGCTCTCAACTAGAGGCTCAGAACAATAACGGAGACAAGCCACTCTTGTTGGCGGCTGCCTATGACTTTTCGGCTGGTGTCCACCTCCTGATTGAGCATGACGTCGACTGCAACTCACGAAACAAGGCTTCCATGACACCGATCATAGTTGCGAGCCGCTGGCGCAATCTTAAAGTTGTTTTGGCTCTACTGCAACACGAAAAGCGCACAGAAATCAACGCCCAAGACGAAAGAAAGCAGACTGCCTTGCATAAAGCCGCCTCAGGGGGTCACGCCAAGGTCCTTGAGCTCCTCCTGGACAACGATGCCGATGTTAGTATCCCTGACGATAGAGGACGGCGAGCCTTACATCTAGCCTGTTTTCAGGGCAACGTGGCCATTGTGAAATTGCTTTTGGACCACGCAGGTGGCCAGCAGCTGGAGGCTCATGATCAGGATGGCATGACACCCCTCCATATTGCCTGCAAAGCTAGCGATGAGGATGTGGAGCATACGTCTCTTGACGATTTGGGCCCAGATTATTTGACTGAGAGGGAAAGGTCAATGCCTGAGTTCAGTTTCGGACGACACAGTGCTGTCGTTGAGCTCCTACTGAGCCGAGGAGCCGATTTGAATGCTAAGACGAATACCGAGGAGACAGTCTTGCGTCTGGCAATCCAAAGTGGAGAACATGAAAAGGTGCGACACCTCGTCAAATACATGAAGGTAAACGATGAGGAGGCTCCTTTGTGCTCAACGTTGAACACTTCCGACTCTGGTCAAACCAATAAGGATTTCTATGCCTTGTTAACCTGGGCAGCCGGCGTCTTTGAGATGCATTCCGTCGCGAAGTCACTTATCAGGAAACGTTTCACCAGTTCAACTCTGGTACCACCGAAGTATGAGAGCGCGATTGAATGGGCCGCTTGGGCGGAACTGCCCGAGGTACTTTGGCTTCTCATTGCCAACTCTCCGTGGGACAAAAAGACGGTGGCCACTATCAAATCGTTGGAAACCCCAAAGACCCCTGTGAGTCAGTCGCAACAGAAGGGAGGTGAACAGGACCAGAACTGTGACGATGCAGACCCTCACATGGAAGATCGCTTCACTGTCCAAGACGTCATCCGGGATCCCCCTCTTGGGTTGCTACGTAACATGCATGCAGACAGCCAAGACTTTGGGCCGCCGACAGTGGAAGACGAGTCGTATTCCAATACCCTAAGGCAGTCCGAAGCTGCAGTGTTCCAGTTCTACAAGGGGAAAAGTCGGTTTGGAAGCATTCGAAGATACCGGAATGTGGAAGAAGTCATCTACACCAAGGGGCCACAAACCATTACTGAGGCAATGATGAAGAAGGTAAAGCTTCACATCGAGGATTTGGAACCGAGCTTCACATGGGTTCACTTGCCATCTACCAATGTAAGGCTGAACTTCTACAAGCTTTTAAAGAGAAGGTCTGACACTGACATGCCATAGATGGTTTGGATGAATGTGAGATTTTCCTCTTTTGTTTCCGTTGCTTGACAAGAATCTGCAAACTTTACAGTGCTTTCCCTTTTCTCCCACGCCCTCCCCTTTTCTATTCCTTTTTCCCCCTCGCTGATAATTTTCAGGACTTACTGCAGGCAATCATGAAGAAGGAGGGCTATAACGCTGGCCAATTCCGTCAGGTTAAAGCATTTCTCAAAGCCAGCTGGGTTCAAGTCCCAGACAAAACTTCCGAGTCGCGGATTATGAGGCCCCGATTTGCGATAAAGGATCATGTGCCAGAAGCAGACGATGAGACCAATCAAATTGGCACTGAGCTGCAAAGCAGCAAGGCCAAAAAGGGCGAGGTCAGAAAAGAGGAGAAGGGAAAAGACGAAAGGTTTACCAAGCGGAAGGATACGCTGTTCGCCAAAGAAAGGGAGAGAAGAGATGGGACAAGAGACGAGATGAATCAAGAAGATGGCATCCAGGCAGCAAAGTCTACAGCCGCATCAGCCATCTATGTGAGTAATTGTTTCTTCTAATTTTGTTTATCCACTAATTGATGTTATAAGATGCCGTATCTCTCATTCTCAACTCAATGTGCAGGAACAGACGGCAGGGGGAGCAAGGATACAAACAACCATTCTCAACCCTCCAAATAAGAGCAAATAGAACTGGGAGAAGAGGACGCCGAGTTAAGACGGCTCTTTGACGAGAGGGACAAATACCGAAAGTTACTGAGTGACCATGAACGCCAGATCATCCATAGGTCTCCGACTTTGGATGAGTGGTATTACCATTTCGATCTTAGCGACCTCGAATCGACCAAGGACAAGGACCAGCGTAACGAGTCGCAGGTGGTGCACAAGTACCTGCCAAAAGACGACAAGAAACAGACTCATTGGCCGTTGATCCGTGTCAACCAGTTATGGATTTGGACCCTTGGCAACAGTATGTCTCTCTAATTGTTTGTTGCTCCACTACCTGTGTAATGACATGAGCATGATTAGAATGGCTGATTACGGCCTCTTCCTATCCGATTGATGGAAACAAGAATGCTCTGATACAAGGGATTCTTGATCATCTCGACAAACAAAGGGAAGCTGGGGGGAGTCGTTCTCAGCCAGACACCGCAGCTGAGATGAGCAAACTAGTCGTGGACTACTGCATTGAGTCCTATGAGAGACGACCAGAAAGCCCAAAAGGCCTCTTGTCAATTCGTCAGATGTTCTCCAAAGCGATCAACGTTATAGTACGTGATGCAGTTTTCGGAGTCAGGTGTCTGCAGTCGCTGACAATCATGTAGGGTAGAGGCGAAACTATGCTCTTCAAGGACTTCAGTTCGCTGATACAACGATGGAGGGAGCAGATAGAAGGAAAGGTTGGTCAAGGCAAGAGATCCAAGCAGGGAAAAGATGGAATGCTACAGGATAATCACTCTGTCGAAAGTGACCATGCTGGGGTGTTCCCTGGTGAGACTGACAACGATGACAAAGGGGGTGGAGAGATCTCAGCGGATGATGAGCTCAGAAAGGCGACCAAGACAGCCCAAGATCTGTCAAATGATATCAAAGACATCCGCGATGAGCTCAATATCCTCAAGGCGACAGCTCAGTATCAACAAGATGTCCAGGAAGCATTGTATGTGAGCCAGGAACGAGTACGGATAAGCCAGGAAGGAGTTCCTAGCGCGAGCCAGAAGGGATCGTTGATGGAACGCATCCAGAGGCTCCAAGCTAATCTCAGTGCTACCCATGTTGTCAACGACATCAGAGAGATGGACAGTGTTGCAGATAGGATTCAGGCAGCAGTCAGTACGTTGTGTAGCTCAAGGATGCAGCAGATTCTAACATGGGAGAGCATAGGTCAACACCACTCTGTCACTTCAGCAAAGTGAGATCGCCAATCTACAGGCAACACTTTCAGTGACACAAGGACGAGAAGCAGTGAAACAAGGCAGAACACTGATGGTTTTCACTGTAGTGACCATTCTATTTGTGAGTTATCCAAATATTCCAGTTGAACAGTATTGCCGGTGCTCATAAAAGTAAAACAGCTGCCGCTCTCTTTTCTGTCTTCCATGTTCGCCTTGGATGTCACCTCCTTTCAGCAGGCCCCTGGCTGGGTGTTTGCAGTCATATGTACGTTACTGGTCAGCCTTCAACATTCACTATGTTCTGAAATCTAATATATGTTGGTCCCAGTTTCCGTGTCAGTCGCCTTTTTCATCCCGCTGGCAGGATACGCTGTGTATTCGGAAAAGGTTGAAGAATACAGCACCGAAGCGTGGCATTTTGTTCGAGATGCTTTCCGAGCCAATAGTGGCACAGACGAAGCACCCCCGAGCACAGAAAAGGACAATTCTGGTAGCATTGACCGAAGTCGGAACGAGCTTGGAGACCCTGACATTTCTAGAAGCGCATCAAGAAGAAAGCCTGATGAGGAGGAAGGGGGCAGGCTGGGGACGTGGCAACCTATAAAATCCTGATGGTAGTCGGACATACATGTGCTAAAGATCCTGGGGAAAAATGGCTTCTTGGTTTCGAGGTCCTGTACCCGTTTCAGGGCTCGACAAGAGAACGAAACTAAACCGAACAATCCTTTTATTCCCAGTTCTGTAGCGGATATCGGCAAGGCGCGAGGGAGATCCTTGACTGACTGGTAAAGCGACCAAGTTACCTGCGCAGGAACCCGGTGAGACCGGACTTTGCTCGTCGGACAGCCAGATGCGTGCAACGCGGTCAAAGCGATATGGCAGAATTCTTCTATGTCAGCCGCGAAGTACGAAGAAGGGGGGGGGGGCGATCAAGCTGCTGCAAATTTCTTGGTTCGCATTATTGCTGGCCCAATCCTACCACCTGACCGCCTGCACCGGCCAGACTGGGGGCAGGTAGGCGGTTTAAAATTGGGAGGGGAAGTTGGACCGTTTTTTCTTCTGAGCGGTTTAAAATCTCTGAGCGGTTTAAATTCCTTGAGCGGTTTAAATTTGCTTAAGCGGTTTAAAGGAAGGAGCGGTTGGCAGAGGGTAGGAGGGCTTTTTGGCTAGAGGACCTTTGGCATTAATTCTGCCCGAGAAAGAATCAGATTCTAGATTAAGATTGTATTTTGTCTCTTTTAGATTCTTTGGCGGTCCCTTCTAAAGATCCTCTATGGAATTGCTTTCCTTTCCCTTCCCTTCCCTTTCCTTCCCTTTCTTCTGCCTTATAAGTTAAGTTGGTAATGCTTTACATAAAAGGAGCGACTTCCTCCTTTTACCTAAGTAGGTAGGCATAAACCGCGCTAAACTTACTTATATATGGCTAAACCGTTAACTAAGGTTTAAATCGCTTAAAGATTTTAAACTGCTTAGAGATTTTAAACCGCTTAGAAGAATAAACGGTCCAACTTCCCCTCCCAAATGCCAGCGGTTAACTGCCTATTAAACGGTTCAAGCACGGTTCACGACTTCCCCACATCCCCGGTACAGGCGCCCAAGATTTCGTTGGGTGAAGGTGAACGGATGGTTCCATACTATTGCGAGGAAGTAAGGTGTCAATACCTTACCGCTTCCATCGGAGCGACTGCCACTTGCCAGTAGATTATGTTTACACACAGTGAAAACGTTGAAAGAATGTTAGGCACCTGTAGAGGACTACCGGGGGAAAATGAGAGCGTACTGACAAAAGGTCGGATGCTTCATGGTATCTCAACGCCGATAAGATCTGCCCGGGGTACAATATAAACACGTTAACTCCATATATGTTCCAGTAGGAAGCAAAGAGGGCAGGAAAACTAGGAAAACCCAGTCAATAATGATAGCTGATGGTATGGAGTTGCCCAACGGCTATCCTCCATATACTCCCAGATAGTCTCAACCTGTTGTATAAGTAACAGCAAGATAGTTTGCATATAGCATATAAAGCAAAGATGATACAATTTTATAAATAGATCTTTATTAAAAGCAACGAGAATTGGAATATATTTAGAACTCCCTCTACAGTCGCCCCTTGCACTGAGCTGTCCCTGAATCTGGATAGGTCAAAAGGTCCGAGTAAAACTGTGCTAAAGTGAGGTGGGGGTGAGTCTAAAGTGACCTTTGCCGAGTGTGGCTGGGTTGCAATCACAGCAAGCATGGCGGGAATTGGGATGTGACCGGCGGCTTGGATCCTGAGCCAGGTCAGAGGGCCAACGACAGCAGTGGATTTGTCCGACCGGGTGCACGACTCCCAAGAAGACCGAGGAACTTGGGCAGTGGGGGCTCATATGTGCTGTGAACACTTGAACATCCAATGGACACTGGGTCAAATCCCGGATTCTCGTTGCAATATAACTGACCTGTAGTACTAACAACTAACATTAGAGCTTAGAGTCATATATAGGCGAGACCTAATTTACAATTCCAGATCTCGCCTATGCGAGCAAGCTAAATTATCGTGTTCCGCAGTTTTGTTGGGCTGGCAAGTCGAATCCTTAGCAGACAACCACTCGTGCTGGCAGCAATATATGTGGGATAGGGGAAATCTGAGCGAAGTTTGTACTTGATGCTCCTCAGATATAGAGACAACGTTTCAAGATCTCATCAGCTGAATAAATGAGTGATTTACAGCCAAACTTCGCTTTCGCACATTAGAAGTTCAATGGCAGGCGCTTCTCTGCCTCAACCACGTTCTTTTCCGCGCGGCCATTGCCGCTATCCCTCGAGTCGACATCAGCCACGCCTTCGACGACCGAGTACTTGCCTTGCGTCGGCTTGCTTTGATCGAACGCGCTCGGTAAGATGAACATGTCTTCATCATGGTGGTCCACACCCTCCCCTAGACCTCTCGGCGGGGAGATGAAGTTTAAGAGAGGGTAGACCACCACAGCGACCACGAAACCGATGATGAACCCAAGCCGCGAGAGCTTCATGGCGTTATTGGGCACCCCGTCAATGTTTGCGCAGCTCATGATGTAGCCGGGGAGCGCGGGTGCAATCGATACGACAAAAGCCACGAACGCACGCCAGTTGAACCTATATGGGAATCAGGCTCGTGGTCTGAGAAAGATGCCGAAGATCACTCACCCGTTCCAGTACCAGTATATGCTCTCCTCGTTTCCGATATACAGGTCCCTCATCTTGATCAGGCGTTTTCTGACGATCCAAAAGTCCGCCACCAGGATGCCGGAGATGGGACCATAGAACGTCCCGAAACCTGAAAGAACCTGTATGGACAAGACGTTAGAGTGCCCTGGAGACTCCTCGCAATAGGTACATGACCCACTCACCTGGATGAAAGTGGCCGCAGTCGTTGTTATTTGCCAAGGGTTGGTACAAATGCCCAAGCAAGCAATGATGTAGCTGCATCGTCGGATCGTAAGCCACTTTGGGCTATAACTTGCCATGTCCCTGCCACCCCAAGCCATCTCGTCAGTAAAATCTCGATTTTCATGCGCCAAAGGAATCAGGGCCGAAAGACAGGCCAGAATCAGACGCACATAGCAGCAGCAACGCTATTCAAGATCATGTTGACAGTGACTTGCGCCAACGCCAGGGCCGCAGAAGCAAAGAAAACAGCAGCTCGAGATCCTGCAGAGTTGTTGTAGTGTGATTGGATCTGTCGTAATAGTAGGAACGGCTGCCAGTACGCTTCTCCGAGCACATTGCTTGAAGCCGAGGTCACCAGGATTCCGAGGGCAAACGCAGCGTAGATGAAAATGGGACAGGCGACGGCTTGTGCGATCATGGATCTGCGGTTATCGCTAGCAAAGCGACACCAAGCTGATCCACCCATGGTCACAACCGCCGTATTTCCCAAGACCGCGGTAGCACCATACACGGAAGCCCATCCTGGAGAATGTCAGTTCATGCTCGGTAGTCGGCATGTATCTCTAGGAGCGGCGTCTTACCTATGGAACCTGCCAACACCGAAGGAGGTTTGTAATCACTTGCGAAGTATTGGCCACCACCGCCGGCTGTGTGAGTCGACCAAATGACAAGACCTATAATCACCATCGTGAACCCGACGAAGGAGACGTGGAACGGACGATGCAGCTTCTCTGGAGGCAGCCACATCACTCCCAGAAAGATGAAGTGGTAAATGATGAAACCGATGAAGTCTTTCAGCTCCATCGTACCATTCGCGAGGGGACGTTCCCAGTTCGCCCAGCGAATTGACCATGTTCCGATCATCGTCGATATGGCCTGAGCTCCCCACCAGGCCTCAATGCCGTCCCAGACCACGGCCGGCATCACTCGGAAGAAGACCGCAAACCAGCTTCCACGCATGCCCCAGGCCAATCGACAGACCACGGTGTAAGTGATATGATGAGAACCGCCGGGCCACTGTTGGAGGGTTGGAGGGCACTGTCAATAACAATGTTCGCCAGGGAAGAGAAGGGGCATTTGACAGAAGCTGGATTCAGCCAAAACTTACACCGCACAATATGCACATGGTGACCAGCACAATGGGGCTGAGAATACCTGCAGCAAGTGCCTGCTTGGCACTCAAACCGTAGGCAATAAGGGCGGAGCCTGTGTTGTAGTTATATATAGCAAAGCCTACATACCTCCTATGTAAGTATGAGTGGTTCGTGGGTGCGGTTATATAGTATCTTGGAAGGAATAGCTTGCCTCCAGTTGCCCAGTACACAACGTACTTCCATCCGTTCCAAGTCCTCCTCGAGCTGTCCATCGGAATAAGGTCGGCATTGACCCATTGAGTAATAGCGTAGGTGTTGCCCTTCGGAGGTGGTACCTCAAGACTCTTGATGAACCGCCTAGTGGCAGATCCTTCCGAAGCGAGGTCCATATTCTCTTGATATGTCGATGTCTAAAGATGGAATCTCGAAACCGGTAAAGGTATTGACAAGAAGTAGATCGGTGAATGACGAAAGCAGTGCCGCAGCTGCAGCCGTCCAATTATTATACAAACCAAAAGTGGGACATTACTACGCAGCGTTGCATGCTTATCTGCGTCCCAAGACATCGGGTTGCTTTCTGAAGCCCTTGCCGGGCCGGGGTTGATATCATGGTTAGACTTAGAACTACTACAATCTGCGGAGTCTCGTATCAAACTCTCATGATGATGATCTTCCATTGGGCCACAGATAAGGAACAAGCCTTTGGCCTTGGAAATTCGGTCTCAGCATTACTATTGGCAGATACCCATGGTTCGCAGCCCAGGGACGCGGGGTTGAGTGACAGGTGCATCGACGACATCGATCATAGAGATCAGGGTAGCCCTGCCAACCTTAGGGTACCTATCTAGGTAGGTACATGCGATTGTACACATCTGGGCAGCGATAAGCCGTAGGATATTCTGAAAAACAACCTCCTGCTCACCTAAACGTTGTTTCATGTTTCTCTGTCCAATCATTGCATCGCACAGACTCCCGACACTGGTTTTAACCTGAGGAGATGGACAAGCCCTTGCCTATCAATCTTAATGATGGCGATCGCCGAGCTCATATCAGGCGTCGGCACTCCTCGATCACAGAAGCTTAAGAATATGTTTCGGCTCCTTGATATCAGATATCTTTAGTCCTCAACCTTTTTCTGTTGTCCGAGCTGAACTTTATTCGTTTCCACCTTTTTGGGGTGCCTCACTGCCTCGGATAAACTCTCCCACAGTGGATCGATCCTGTAACGTCCCCGGCCCCGATTCCGATCACCCCCTGATTCCGATCAGGGGTCCCAGGCAGACCCATACTTTTCAACAACCCATAATAAATCCAAATAAAATCCAAAAACCCTAACCCTAGGCTTAAAAAATAGCGTTTTAAAAAGAGAATAACATAGGAATATTTTAAAAAAACCTTGTTCTTTTTATAACCTTTAAATAATTCTTAAATTAAATATAAAAATATTTTTTTTAATTAATTATATTAAATTTAATTTAAATTTAATAATTCTAAATTTAAGTATATATATATTATTATATTTAAATTTTAAGCTTATATAATTATTAAGTATATTTAATATTAAGAATATTTTTAAAAGAAATTTTAAAAGTAATATAGTAAAAATGTTAAGAAATATTAAGAATTTCTATAGAAATCTTAACATTAATATATTTAAATATATCTTTTTAATAAAATTAAAAATAATTTTTATTTTTTAAAAATAATATAAGAAAAGCCTTATAATATATAATTTTAAAGTATATTATAATAATATAATTTTATTTATTTATATAAAATTTATAGGAAAAAATAAAAAAATATTTGTTTTTTTTTAAAAGAATTTATATTATATACAATTTATTTTTTTTATTATTATATATTATTTATTATATATAAAAAGACTTTAATAGAGTTTTTTAAATAAAGGATTATAAAAAATTTTTAAAAATAATAATTGTTAAGAAATACTAGTATTATATATAGAATTCTTAACATTTTTAATTTTTTATATTAAAAAATTCTTTTAAAATTATTTAAGCTTTATTATAATTTTAAAAGTATTTTTAATTAAATTTCCTTTTAAAATACTATATATAAATCTAAGGCTAGGGTTATAAGATTTAATTTAAATTTATTATAAGCTATTAAAATAAGCATAATATTTTAGCCTTAATAAATTATTTTAAAAATATTTATATTAAAATATAATTTTTTAAATATTTTCATATTAATCTCCTTTTTAAAAGCTATATATTGAGCCTAGGTTTAGGGTTATTAGCCTTTTTTTAAGCTTAGAATAAAGGATTGAAAAATGTGTGCGGGGTGATCGGAATCAGGGGGTGATCGGAATCGGGGCCGGGGACGTTATGCAGACAGTGAAAGGGCAATACTGGATTGCGCAACTTGCGTTATTGAACACAGAAAAGCTCCTGCAACCCCAAGATACGAAGCACGATCTCGAACTTCGCAAATTGTGGGAGGCTGCCCAGATACTACGAACCAGGCCTCCCTAACCCGGGCCACGCGTGTCTAGTTCATTGCTCCAGTAGCAGTAAACAGATCCTAGCACATAGTGATAACTGCGTAAAGTTGACTGATTTCGAAGAAGGACGGGCTTGCTCTAGTGTGTTTGGGCTGAAGAAGTGGTTGAGGTGATCTATATACTGAACGCTGAATGTGGGTCATTTGTAGAGAAATTAGAGAACACTACGCAGGTACATACACATTATAATGAAGGAGCTTAGCTCGCTGATTACAGGATGAGAAGTAGTGATAATTCCTTGTGAATTGAAGTGATTGGAGCGACATCAAATTAGACCCCTGTCAAGAATCCTTCTCGGTGTTACTTCTCATTTCATTGGGAATCCTGCAGCGAGTCTCCTTGGCAGGCTGACTGACGGCCCAGATATTGGGCCGCTTAAAATTTCTCACTACATCGCAGAAGACACCCAGCATTTTCAGCTGTTCCGAAACACGAGACGTGCTGCTGCCTGTCCTGCCCAGGACTCTTCCTTTTCTACCAGTCCGCTTAGAGGATATCCGCCTCCTTCACCATCGTCAATGCAAGATAGGATCATGCTCCCAGTACCAACTCACAATCTCAGACAATCATGAATCATGGATATTCCGACCTTCAGGTCGTACCGGACCATCCAAGCCTTGAGCCTGCCCAAGCAGAGAAAGAGCTAGCAACACAGCAAAGTGCTGAGAAGAAGCCAGCCGGAGATGCATCTGCGTACCAAGACATCGACTCCTCAAATCGGCACATTTGTGGTCTCAGAAGAAAAACATTCTGGATCGTTCTTGGGGTTGCTATGGTGGTAGTCATCGGAGCAGCTGTGGGCGGCGGGGTTGGAGGAGCACTTTCCAACAGATCACCAGCGTCAGCGTCAGCGTCAGCGTCAGCGTCTTCAAGTTCTGGTGTTTCGTCCACGGCACCAACAACCACAGTCCCCTCATCAGTCTCTCTCACAACGACCACGCTTGTCGGCCCGACGCAAACACTGCTTCGGGACTGCCCTTCATCAAACAACACTCTATACGAAGTCTCCTTTGGGGCAGACCAGTTCGAATTTCGCAAAATGTGCAGCGTCAAGCTGGCGGGAAATGGCGATAACGTCGTCAGTGTCAAGACAGCCAACCTCGATGATTGCATCAATCGTTGCGCCAACTACAACAACGAGAATCGTACCGAGATTGCCTCAGGGTCTAGCGGGGTTTGCAATGCCGTTTGCTGGAGACACAGCTTGTCATCTGACTGGCCAGGACAGTGTTTTGGGTTTTCGACGCAAAACTCGTCCACGGGTGGGTTTTCGGTAGACACTTCAGGTGTCGAGTGTGACTCTGCTGGGTGGATTAATCAGGAGATATTGTGAAAAGCTTGACCAAAAGTCCAGCCGAGTCCAATGATTAGTTTGCTCTGAGAGAGGTTGCAAGGCTCAATCTGCAGCACAAGATGGGAATCTCCCAAGGACTTCCGGGGGCATTCGACAGCATGTGCAGTTCAAGTGGGCCCCGCAGCCTTTTAATTTTCATATTCTCGAGCTGAACCACGGCCTATCATAAAGTTATCCCTCGAGCTCGGGGCGCATCTAGCCTAGTCACTGTATTTTGCACTATAATAAATTTCTCTGAGAATGGTTGTATTATTAGTCTAATCGGTGGTAAATACTAAATAATGGTGATCGTCTCGACCATTTCTTCACTCTCATCCCAAGAAGAAAAGGTTGCTGCTCCAACTCTGCGAAACCCCTTGCCTGAAGGGTCTTCTGTCCTTGCCAGAAGAAGCGTCTCGATTCTGCACTTGGCCGTGATCTTGGCCTCATGTTCATCTTCACCAGACTCACCAGCCTCGCCCCTCTCTTTTATGTATGTAGTCGGGCCCCGGAGACAGAGGAGCTCGGAAGGCAACGCCTTGAATCGCTTTTCCAGGTCGAGATTATCAACTGCCTTTCTGGCCCATCGCGCGTAGCCGTAAAAGGGGATCCTTCTATCTCTGAGCTCCTCCAGGGTAATGCCAGGCGTGATCTTGGTGGCCGGGAGCACGGTGTTCAACGTGTCGTCGCATTCCCAAGACCCAACATTCTTGCCTCTCCTGTTGCGGATTTTCAGCCCCTGAGTGCTCTCAGAGCCAACAGCTTCGACTAAATCATCTTGGAAGCCTCTAGTGACATATGCATTCGCATCTTCATCCCACCTAACCCAGGTTGTCCTGCCTTTAATGGTCAATTTCCCACCCCCAACTGGCCCAAAAGGATTGTCATCTCGTGCAATCAACTCAACCTTCACGTCCACAACCTCAAGCGGTGCCTCTTCGCCCACGCCCGGGCTGAGATCCGGCCACGACCAAGTGACCATGCCATCTACGCTCGGCCACGCCCACGACGGAGCTCTGTAGTCGCGGCACCTAGCCGGCTCTGGACTCACGACCTCCTGGTCGGTGCGCCAGAAAAGACTGCGCTCGAACTCAACGCGCCAGTGCCCAGCGAAGTAGGAGTCCTGGGCGATTTCATGGATCACGGCCGCGAGGCCAGCTATGGCAGGTAGCTTGTCGCTACTCTTGGTCAAATATCGGCCTGTGTAGCTGGTAACAAGGTCGTATCATATCTTGTATCGGCAGTTCCGCGACGCCACGTCGAGGAAATCGTACAGGTCGTTGTCTGTCGGGCGGTCGAGCAAAACTGGCTTTTGGAAGGGCTTTGAATCGTCTTTTCTGAGGTCGAATATGTATGTTGAGCGCCCATATGGGGGTTCCTGGAGAGAGACGACAAAGCTGCGTGTCACTGGCTTCTGCTCTTCTTCCTCATCTTCTGCAGACGTTTCGATATGGACATCTTCCATTTTTGCGAGAGCGCTTTCTTCTATTTCTTCAATGGTACTGTAATCATCCTTCTTGCTTTCATTGTATCGACGTCCTAGTTGATCGGCCGGCTGTCTTTGAGCTGCGTGCTGTTCATGGTCCTCCACTCTTGTTCCGGTGTCTTCGCTTTCGTTAGTGTCATTTTCCTCCTTGGTGTAATCTTCGAATTCGTAAACACCATTGTAAGCTCTCTTCATCGCTCCAATTTCCCCGAAGAATGCAGGATGCCACGCATTGCTTCTCTCTTCGGTGAAGCCATACTGTGCCTCTATCTTCTCGCAACACTCCCATACCCATTGGCCTGTACAGCAATGCAAGATCCTTCTTGAAAGACACCTCTCTTGCAATGCCCAAGCTCTCTGAAACAACGGCCCGCTGGCTACCTTGTCAGCCCAAGGCGGGCCGTAAGTACCGATTCTGCTACCTGTGACATATGCCCTGCCACCGGTATCAGAGAATGTTTGTGGCAGCTGAACAATCTCGGAATGCACTTCGGGAATGAAACAGCCGCGCGAGCCATCCACAGCACCGGTAGCCGAGACCGTGAGCGTGCTGTTTCGGTAGATCGAGCTCATCAGGGCGGATTCGTGGTGCCAGTCCTGTTCCGAGTCCTGAACTATGCATAGGCTGTCGATCCACAGGTAGGGGATTCGCAGCTTTCTCGCGATGGTGATGGCATCCTTGAATGATTTGGGCAACTGTTCCATGGGGATAAAGTTCTGGTGTTGCGCCAATGTCGCAACCTTGGTTTGGGGGGGTTGCAAGCCACCCCAGCAGTGACTCAATGCCGCATAATGTCCCCTTTGACCCTCTGAGACAATCAAACGCGGGTCTAAGCCATCCTGAGTGACGTCGATGAATCTATTGGGAAGCAAAGGCGGGTCGTTCCCTGGAGTCGAAGCACAGACCTTGTGCCGTTTATGACAATTGTCCATCCAGGCACGGACGACATCAAAAAGAGCGTCGTTTGGTACATCCTGACTGGCGATCGTACGGCCAGACACTCGAAAATCATCAGCTGCACAACTGTGCCGCCCTAGTGGATCGCCCTCTTCCACGACGAGGTGCAAATCCGTTACATGATATTTGCTTTTCAGCCACACTCCGATGTACGCAAAGCTGGTTGCTTCCTTTGGTGCCTTATCATCGGACTGCTCAGTCCACTCCTCAGGCACGAGAGCCAGTTTCACGGCACAGGAATCTCTTTCCGCCTTCTCTTGCTCACTGAAGAACCAGCCAGTATCAACGGCACCCTCGAACTGGAGCTGCGGGCCAAACTCTTTTCCGAAGCCTTCACGCCAGATTGCACGTTCAATAATTGCGCATAGGCGACAGTTCTCGGTAGATGATTAGAGGGCCGCTCTATCTTCTGCGTGGCGATAGAAGTTCGGAGGGCGAAGTTTGGCGATCGTGAGACCCCGGCAAAGCTCACATATGGTTGTCTTGTCGTCTGACTCGAGGCACTCCAACCAGGCGGTTCTTATGTCCTGCGCCATCGTGAAATGACCTCTGAGGCGGCCAAAGCGAACCTGGTATGAGACGCCTTCCTGAGGAAATTCTCGAGGATTCTCGAGGATAAAAGGCTGACACAGAAGAAGCATCCACGTCACAGAACAGGCAGAAGCGACGTAAGCATCGAGCTTTGAAATCCTCCGCTAAGCTACTTGTAGTTAGCCGCCTGGAGCGAAGCCAAACACCATCTGCGAATACTGTAACCAGTTAAGTGATAAGCCAGGTGGAGGAGGCACTTCTGGCCCCTGGGAGCCATTCTTCAAAGTACTACTAAGTGACCGTTAAGATCTATTGTATTCATGTTGCTTGTGGTCGAGGCTGTTTACGTGACGTGTATGTACCTGACAGAAGCCCCAGGGACTCCTTTTCTAGTACCCCATCACGAGTAGTCCTACCGTCGCTTCAACGTTCTCTGGCCAGGTTTTCCCATGTTGATTCACGCGTGATGGAGATCGGCCCGAGTTTATACCTTCTCAGAGAACATACCGGAAGTTGGAGTTCTCGAACTCAGTCTTGTCCTGCATCCCAGCTTCATCGCTCTTCTGCTTGTCGGCTGGCCCTTGCGTGCGATCGCGATATCGATTCATAGTAAAAAGGTATCCTGAAACGATCAGTTCAGAACAAACATTCTTGCGCCTCCCAAGATGGGCTACGAGAAGTCATCGGCCTACCGAGAAGAAGTAAGTGACAACCGAGCTTGATTGTATATCCAACCAAGAGGCCAATCGTTGCGCTCCTATAATATGGCGCCTCGGACTGATTTAATACGAACGGCCCAGCAAAATTACCCCAACAGTTGGCAGTGCTACAGGTGTGCTATGTAAGCCTTGCGCCCGATAGCCTCTCGAGATGGATTGGTACTTACAAGACAAGAGCACTGGCAGAGGCCCTGTGTGTGTAGCCCGCCATATTGGAGGATAGAGTTGTCAGACTGATGGTGTAGCTTACGGACTGGAAGTTGACCAGCCAGAAAGAAACCAATCGGCCCCATGTGTTGGAACGCGGAAGGTATGCCATCGTCGCAGCACAGACGGTGCAGATAACGCCCGCTACAGCAGCTGTTACCAGCCGGGCTGCGGTCACATGAGGGTTAGCAACACCAGAGACAACAGCACCTTGGACTAGCAGGACATACAGTTTGGAATGTTCAGAGTGATCGTGCCTCCTATGAAAAGGCCGGCAATTTGAACGGCATCCCCAACTGATTTCAGTGCTGTCGTCTTGGTTGTGGTAAAGCCCATATCCCTGATGATGACTGTCGAAAAGGATGTGATGACGGCGTTCGGAATTGCTGCACCAGCGACGGATAAGAATAACAGGATAGTTTTGGGGTCGTAGAAGGCAAGCCAAGCTTGTTTCTTGTCGAAGTGCTTGTTCTTGATACCCGTTCCGTTTCCAGCAACTCTCGCGACTGCGACAATTCGTTCCCTCGGCGTGAGGAAGGACGCAGTAGACGGGTTATCCGGGAGGAACAAAAAGATGACTACTCCCCAGAAACAACTGATCCCGCCAAGAATGTAGAATACCAGTTGCCATTTCGGAGGAGACATGCCCTCTGGCAATTTGGAAATGCCCATCGAGATATAAGACTCGACGATCCCGCCCCAGCCAAGGCCAGAGAACCAGATACACTGTCTCAGCGGGATCTCACGGCGTGTAAACCAGAAACCTGTCATGAGAATGAGGCAAGGGATGACCGCACCCACAAAGATGCCAGTAAAGAACCGCACCACCAACGCGCTGCTATAACTCGTGCACTGCGTCATGATAATCATCAGCACCCCGAGAGCCAGGATGCTGATGCTGAGCACCCTCTGCGCCGGGAATCGCCCGATCAGCCAGCCGGAGGGGTACTGCCCGAAGAAATATCCCGCGTAGACCATCGATGAGAGGAAGTTGAACTGGTTGCCGTGCAGCCCGAGAGCCTTTTGGTATCCGAACAGGTTGACGTAGTTAAGGGCAGTCCTGTCCATCTGTTGCATCGCGTTGGTGATGAGAAAGATGGGGATGATGATCAGGTCAATCTTCCATCGTGTTCGGCGCTCCTCTGAGGGTGTGAATTCGAGATCAAGTCCAGCTAAATATTCGCTGTAGCCAACAGCGTTTTTTATCTGAGTGGAATTGTCGGGTGTGGGTTGTTGAGACTCCTTTGGCAATCCGCGTTGGGGGTCAACATCTGCCATCATAATCTGCTGGAATAGTTGTGGCAGCAAGTGAGGTTCTGCTGCAACTAGAAGTGATAATGTTTGTATTCTCTTCGCTCGGTGATCAATTCTTAAATCAAAATACAAGTGTCAACGGTATAATATTATTTTGCGCCTCTAGCGTTTCTTATGTCGGGACTCGGAGTCAACCCAGTGAGTTTCAGCAATGTGCATTGTAACACCAATGTAAGCCCCCGCTCCTCGGCGCGCAACATGTCATCTATTCTTGCCCAATGTGGACAATCTCTACTAGTGAAACGGTACTTGTCCTATTGGCTATAAAAGAAATGTGGTAGTATCGGGCCTGTATCTGGGAAGCTGCCACATAAGACTTGGATGAGTCGCATGCTGATGGTGTTCATTCATCTGCATGCATGTAGGTCTCTAAGCTTTCTATATTTGGAGAGTTGATTAAGAAAACCTCGGGTTCGACGAAATTGGTCAGCACACTTGCGGGTTGCTTGATCACGAACAGCACCCCAGGCGCTCAGGGTAGTGTCTGCGTCATGCAGTAAGAGCAGAGGCACACAAAAGCGCATCTATCAGAATTACAACTGGTCTCAACGACTTTCTTTGCAGCCAGGTGACTAGTCACTCACCCACCGCCCAATACCAATTACTGTCACGTGGGCAGCGCCAGCACCATGTCTTCGTCAAAACCAATGGCCTCATCAACACCCAGCGTGTCTCATCGTCAGATAGTTTCTAGACACCTGGAGCCCTGTTTCAAAGTCGGATGTCTTACCAACTACAAGCGGCTCATCAACCAACAAGACGCGGATTATCAGAAACCATGAGCATCACCAACAGCATTGGCTCTGTTAACGACAGTGGCACTCCTATTTATATGTGTTTAATGAACAGCGGACACCTCATTAACGACAGGAATCTTTTCTACACCACTGGTGCCGTTAACAAGAGGGACTTAATTGCCATCATGGACCTCATCAACTCCAGAGGCGTACTTGATATTCAGGTACTGCATGTCCCCTAGGACCCTATTTTTGTGCAGGACGTTAGCTGTTCCAGAAAATCCCATGTTGATACAGGCTGTCAGGGCCTGGTAGATTGAGCCATTTTGGGGGTATCTTGGACTCACTCCGGCCTTGTCAGATCCGCGCCACCCTCCCAGTGAGCGCAGTGCGAGATGTTAAACAAGAGGCTGTACAGCCTGTTACGATCGTCGACCTCGTCGTATGGCTCGCTCGGTGGGTGGCGTAACAGATACTGCTTCCTGTACACAATGTCGATCGGGATGCAGTTCCTTCGCCACATCCCAAGCTCGTACTCGTGGTGGGCATAAAATGGCGAGGGGTCAAACACCATCGGCTCGCCCGTCTCCTCGTTGGTGGCTATGTTACCCTCCCACAGGTCGCCGTGCACCAGGCAGGGGATTAACTCGCGGCCGTTTGCGGTCAATGCATCGAGCAGCCGGGGAATTACATGCTGCTTGGTGATGGCGAAGGCCTGTTGGTACTCCTCATCCGGCCCGTTGAAGTCGATGTCGGCCTGGAAGAACATGGTCAAAAGCTTAGTGAAGTAGCTAGTCCAGTTCGGGTCCCATTCGTTTGGCTGGATGATCTTTCCATGACAGTTGGGGACGTGGAAGCCAAACATGTTATTTGGGGATTGGCCTTCCGTCTTCTCGTGGAGGCGTGCCGTAAGCGAAGCGATCTTGACCGGGTCCGGAAGCTCCACGATAAGGTCTAGAAAGTCCATCACCAGGAAGTAGGTTCCGGGGCTGGACTCGTATTCTCCCCAGATATGTGGTTTGGCACAGGACTCGGCCAAATGGGAGTGCATCTCCTCCAATGCCAGGAACTCGCCCTTCATCATGACCTCGGCAAAGTCTTCAGAGCAGGTCTTGAGGAAGTATTCCTTGGGAGTCCCATCCGCAAGCTCGGTTGCTACTCTTGCAGTCTGGGTCCAGCCTGATGCTGCCCAAGGTTGCACTTCAATGAGCTGAGTTCCCTCAGGGAGAGCTTGGATTTTTTTTTTATCAGCTCTCATCCGCCGAACAGGCAATGTGTGGGGTGGGGAGGGCTTATGAAGACGGAGCCTTACATCTCAAAAGTGCCGCGTCCACGTCGCTATCCATGTTCTGTTTTGGGGCGTGCTGATGGCGATTTGTCCTGTGCGGGAGTGCGATTTGAAAGCTGAGTCGGACTGGATGAGCATCAGGCCATGCAACAGGGCATCACTGCAACTAGGACCACAGGGATGTTGGTGTTATATCGAGATCCGGTCCCAATTACTAGTTGGCGTTCCCCACAGCCAGGATTTCATGCGCCTTGCATGCAGGTCTAAGGACCAACAGGCGTCTGCCTCAGTGCCAACACAAGTAGCAACATCTCAGTAATGAAAAGGCATGCGCCGCTGACACACTTCCAAAGCCGATCGGCGGTGCTCGCGGGCGAGCTGCGCCTCATTGGCGGGCCAAGTCGTTGAAACCCTCCTCGTCTCGAAAAGGCAACGAATTTTTGCTTATAATCCTGGCTCTTGGAGCCCCTGAGGATACACACCGGAAGCTGGTCGAGGCGGCTGCCAAGGCTGGAGTGCAATACGTTCTGACCAATGCATACGGTGTTGATGTGTACGGAAAGCCAGGTCTACAGGACGCGCTCCCAGTTGGCAAGGCCATCGTTGAAAACATTGAGCACGCGGGAAGTTCTGGCTTGACGTGGTTCTCCATGTTCACGGCCCTTGGGTACGAGTACGGTTTGTCGTACGGGACAGACCTGCTCGGCATCGACAAAAAGAACCGTACTGCTACATTCTTTGACGACGGCAAGAAGCCCATTGAGTTTACGACAATCTCACAGCTTGTTCGTGCAGCTGTCGCCTTGCTCAACCTAGAGGTTCTTCCAGATAATAAGAACGACAAGTCTGTGACTCTCTCCCAGTTCTTCAACAGGCCAGTTTACGTTTCAAGTTTCCACCCCAGCCAAGCGGATATTCTCGAAAGCATCAAGAGGGTGACGGGCAAGGAGGAAAGTGAGTGGCGTGTATCTTACGAGTCGGGTAAGCAAAGTTACGAAGACGGCATGAAGTTGATCTCTGAGGGCAACCCGGCTGGCTTCGCAAAGGCAATTTTCGCCCGCGCACACTACGGTACAGACGGTACCTACGACACTCACAACGATCTTCTCGGTCTTCCTAAGGAGAAATTGGATGAAGCAACTCATGTAGCTTTTAATTATGGCCAAATTAGATCTTTTGTAGAAAACACCAAGGAAACAATAAGGCGGAACTGTCAAGCCTTGACTTATACGGTGAGGCCACTCAGGCAATTCCAATGCTACTGTTGTAGCTGAAGTCTGAATCTAAGCCGGCTTCTAGGTAAGCCCGCCTACAGCATTTTCATGCTCGGCGTTGAAGCTGTAGCCGGTTCATCGACCGATAAACTGTGCCACGAGGTACTCTGGAGCGAGGGACATCATGCCACCTCGGACGGCACCTGGTCCTCGGCCAGGATAAGTCAAAGGAAGTCGTCTGGCATGGCGCATCCAGAATATACGCCGGCGTCATCATCACTAACACGGAATCATGCCAGCCGGCTACCTGGCTCCAGTAGATGAGCTGTACGCTAAGTACGATCGCGAGGGCCTACAGGCTGCGCGTTAAATGACTGGTCTACCTCTCTCATGAGTTGGGACTCGGTTGCGCACTTTTCGGTATACCGTGACGAGATACACGCCTGTTAAGAGAACAAATCCGTGGAGGGGGCGAAATGGGGACGTTGGAGGAGCAAGACGGAACGCTCGCGCTGAAGACCAGGGGACTGGCAGTACTTCGCAAAGTTTCTTTCTAAACTTGATAAAGCCGAATGCGAATCAACGGACTTAAAACTCTTGTCAGACCACTATTACCATAGTCCCGGTAAGTCTGGGGCCTGGTTGTGAGTGGAGTGGGGGTGTAAGATGGAGTTGGCTGCTATAATTATTAATGACACAGAGTACAACCTGTGTTAGAGTTGGCTGTCAAAGCATGCTCGGTTCCAGAAAGGGTATCAATCCCCTCCCCTTCCGGTCCGTGAGATGTTCCATTCGTCATACTAAGTTTTTACAGGTCGTCAAGATGGGAGCCTGGGCCGGCACACGTGAGAATTCCTTGGCAATCCCTGAGTGTACCCATCGCCGATGACAGTCATCTGAACCTTTGGGCCAAATTCAAAATCTCTTGGGCCGAGGTTCAGATGACTGTCATCGGTGATAGGCGTACAGAGGGTGTCTAGCAGCTCATCTTGCTTGCAAAGAAATGCCTTAGATTAGAGCTGCTCTTTTTGTATAAGAAGAGACCGTTTCCTTGACTCGCAGAGATACAATGGTCTCGATCTATACCAGTACCCAATTAACACGAATACAACAGATCTGAGAACCCCAATTGACAATGGCATCTCTTCCTTCGACGTACAAGGCTTGGCAGATCGTCAACTCTGGCCAGCCAATGGTGCTCAAAGAATTACCACTCAAGCAGCCTGGTGCAGGTGAGCTTCTTGTCAAGGTGCTGGCTTGCGGCATTTGTTACACCGACCACAGCATACCCAGTGCCCAGTGGTGAATTTCTCTCCTTCAAAGATCTCGTTCCAGGCCATGAGACGGTGGGCGATGTTGTTGCCGTTGGCGAAGGAGTCACTCGATTCAAGGGCGGCGAGCGTGTCGGCGGACCGTGGCATGGAGGTATGGTTCCACAAACTTGCCCGCCAATTCGCTGTCTATCACACATGTTAACATTGCTCAGGCCACGATGGAACTTGTCGCACTTGCCAGCGCGGACAGTTTCAGCACTGTGAGAACCAGGTAATCAACGGCTTGACCAAGGACGGCGGCTTCGCACAGTACGTCATACTTCGCGAGGAAGCCGCGGTCCGTATTCCTCGCGAAATTGACCCTGCCGAGGTCGCGCCCCTTCTCTGCGCCGGCGTCACTGTCTTCAACGGAATACGAAACATGGAGATCATCCCTGGCGGCATCGTTGCTGTATTGGGTGTTGGAGGCCTTGGTCATCTGGCCGTGCAATATGCCAGCAAGATGGGCTACAGGACCATTGCTTTGAGTTCTGGAGACTCCAAGAGGGCCTTTTCCAGTGAACTTGGGGCGCATGAGTACATTGACACCAAGGCGGAGAATGCCGTTCAACGGCTTCAAGCTCTGGGCGGGGCTGACATGATTGTCGCTACGGCGCCCAACCCCAAGCTTATTTCGGAAATGGTAGCAGGTCTCGCGCCGAGGGGAAAGCTTCTTGTCGTGGCAGCTTCCGGAGCGGCCGAGGTCAATCTGAGCCAGATCATCACCGCAGGAACCTCGGTACAAGGTTGGGCGACCGGGCACGCATTAGACTCTGAGGAGGCTATCGACTTTGCACAAAGGCATGGGGTCAAGGCCATGGTTGAGAAGTTTTCGTTTGATAAGATGCAAGATGCGATGGATCACATGGTGTCAGGCAAAGCCCGATTCAGAGCTGTTCTGTCTATGGTGTAAAGAAGACGGGATGAACTATTGGCATGCTAAAATTTCGAACCTTTCGTCTACATTGGTATAAGAGGTTCATAGAAATATCATGCTGAGAACCATCGGCTCTCACATGACAACTAACCTCTCATTTTGAAGCTGAGTGTTTGCTGGCCATTTAGCAGCAGTCGATCCCGGCAACCTTGTAGCTAGTAAAGGAGTAATGTGTATAGTAAGGTTTTACAAGACCCTAAGTATCTACTAATTCATTAAGCATAAAGGCTTAAACCCCGAAGCTGGCGATGCGAAGATTTTGGCGCGTCCTCTCCCTAAACCGATCCTCGACCTCATGGAGAGACCGCTGGGTTTCACCCACGAGGGCGTAGAGATCAAGAGATCGTCCTCCGCCACGGTTCCAACGCTCCGGATGATCCACCAGCCCACTCCAGGCCAGGGCCAAGGCGAGCAGCAGGACTGCGCATTGGCTTTCATGGACCGGGACTTCTGGGTCCGCAAGTGGAGCTTGGACGATGTCGAGGGCACGGCGTCGGGGAGGCACTTCTTCCTCCCGCGCGACTGGATCAACCTGGATTGTTTGCATCTTGCTCAGGTCACCGCCGACGGCAGGTTTCTGTGCCCGCGGAACGGGGAGGTCGCGGTGGTGCATAACGGGTTGAGCAGTGTGTTCTTGGCGGACCAGGGTCGAGAGCTCACTGTCTGCAGCTAGGATGGTCCTAAGTTCTTGACGAAATGAAGGTGAAGGCGACGGTGGTCATGGAGAGCCAAGACAGGGGCAACATGTCACACGAACGGAGCAAATCCACTAGTAGACTTGTGTTAGAAATACGAATATTATCCCACCACTTGGATCCGGATTATATGATCACATCAAATGTACTACCTTCGTTGCCAACCCCCCTGATACCTATGATGTTGATCCTCCCGTCCAGAAAAAAAGCCCCACCAGTACCCAAGAATCCCCACCCCGGATTTTGATGTATGAATATGACATAGGTACTCCATACTCCCACCCCTAACGAGGGATAATATCATCCACATCCAGCTCGTCAAAGTCTTTAATAGCCTGCGCGACACTGCTGGTCTCGCTCGGGCTGAGAAGCGGCCGGCTGTGCCTCCGCCTCACCCAGCCCTGGTCGTCACTGTCCTCCCCGATCTCCCTGACGGCCCCGAAGCTCTCCTTGCGCGAGCTCGACCCGTCCCGCCGCCGCGTCCTCCCCGAGGGGTCCACCGCCGTCGATATGCGAAGCTTGCCCCGGTCGCGCCCCGCCCCCATGGGCCTCTCGCCGCCGTCGCCCGACGCCTCCTCCATCTCGTCGAGCCGCGTCGACGAGCCGTGGCTGGCCAGGGGCCCGCCGCCCCGCCGGCTCCCGAGCGTCTCCGTGCTGCGCGCCACGCCCCGCAGGCCCGTCCTCGAGGACGCCTTGCTCGTCCGGCCCCCGTGAAGTGGCGCCGTGGTGACGGACGACGTGGTCGACCCCATGTGCAGCCACGACGACGTCGTGGTTCCCGCGTCGCTCAGCGCGTCGTACGATGTCACGCTCCCGGCGTAGCTGGCGTTGGGGTAGTATCCGCGGTTCTGCCCGCTGGCGCTCGGAGCGCGGCTGGACTGGGGTGATGTTACCCCGCCGCGGCCGCCCGCGCTCGACGGCGCGCGGTGCGGCGGATGTGGGAAGGCGTAGCCGTGCTTCCTCTCTATGGGCGAGTTGTCGTCGGAAGCCTGGCTGTCGTCCATGCCGCCCTCCTCGCTTGCCGACGTGTTGCTGTTGTTCCACGTCCGTGGCGCGAGCCAGCAGTACGAGAGCTCATGGGACGCTTCCTGCGGCTGGATGCTGGGGGCTTGCTTGCCCTTCTTCGCCCAGGGTGGTAGCCTCGCGCCCTTGAGCCGGGGCCCCAGGTGGTAGCCCACCCCGTCTGAGTATCGGACTATCGGTGCATCGGCCGACACGCTTGCCAGAGTCTGCAGTATGCCGTAGATCAGGATCCATCGGCCTCTCCTGGCGAGGCTCGGGTCGATCTCGCCGATCCGATCCGTCTTCTCGAACTTGACAAAGGCATCGATCAGATCGGTCTGGGCGAAGTCGCTGCCGAGGATGTAGACGTTGGTGGCCTCGGTGTAAGCCAGCTGTATGCGCCGCTCCACAGCTCCTGGGCGCTGAGGGCCGCTGCCACTAGCTGGCACGGTCTCGGTCCCGGTCTTGCTTCGTTTTCTGCCTTTGTTGTTGGCGCCCAAAGCTGCCATGTTGGCCGCCGGCGGGATCGACTCGGGGACGAGCGGATACGGGTGGGGAATGTGAGGATACCGCTGTTTGTTATCATATTCGATGAGGACGTCAGTCATTGGCAGCTCATCAGTATCCGCCTCAAACGCCTTATTCCCACTCTCCGACACCATGAGCCACTTCCTCGAGGAACGTGTCTCGGACCCATCCCACACGATGTCGCGATTGACAAGGTAATCGTACAATGTACCAAAGTCTTTCTGCAGAACCTGAACCACCGTCCTCGTGAGCCACAACGGCTCGTCACTCTCGTCAGAGGTAACCGCATCAGGAGGTGGTGGAGGTGGCCAACGTCCCCACGTACTACGGTAGTACGATAAGAAGAACCGCTGCAATCGATCAGCACTCGCCTTTGCTGGGCTCGCCACGACTGGCCCGGAGGTTGGCGATATGGACGAGAGTGACGGCGGCCACATGTCCTCGAAAGAAAAGGCCGCCAGTGGCTCCTCGGCTGCTTGCACTCGGAGATGCATCTCAAGGCTTGCCCGTTCGAGCAGCGCCCTGGTGATCGGACTGATCCTCTTGAAGTCCGATGAGGACTCCATCAGCGTCCGCTCTCTCAGGCTGCCGTACATGCCGGCAACGTGTAAGAAGCTCTCACGCCAGCCCTCTTCCCACCGAACCTTGGGATCTTCGCACCATGCCAGTAGGCCGATGGCTGTCTCCGCGTCATTGCGAACATCGTCGATGCCCCGCGCACTGAGGTAGGCAATGATAGTGCTCAGATTGTCGGTTTCCGCCTGAGGCATAAACTGCTCCATGCGCGAATGAAGATCTGAGAGAGCCTGACACAGAGAGAGCCCGACGAGAGAAGCGTGATAAAGTAAGGCGAACACATTGCGAACGGAAACGCTATACCGGACTTGTTCGGTCTTGCTGGCGTTGGAGGGAGGAGAGAAAAATATCTCGTAGCTAATCTGGCCATCCGTGCTGGTGATGATGGTTTCGTCGGAGAGCGGAGGCGTAGGTTGGCCGCCGCTGCGATTGCCTGGCTGGGGTCTGTGGCCGCCCATTTGGTCCCGAGCAGCTGCTGACAAGCTGCTTTGTCGAGGCAGTAGCATCGGCGGTGCGCCCCTTGGCGATGGCGAGAGTGTCATTTCGTCCTCAGTAGACCCTTCACGAAGCAGGGTGATGAGAGGCCGAGACTCCGTCGCTTCTATTACATGAGAGGAGAGTCTGAAGGATGGATTCGGTCGAGGGTTCTGCCCCTTGTGGCTTAGGTAAATAAGAACATCGCCATTCGGATCCCAGAGTTCTGGGTCTTTCCGCAGCTTGTTCCACCGCTGCACTGGCTTCCCCGTCCCAATCCAACGCTTTATCTGAGGTGTCGCCACTGGGGGCGGCAGTGCGGGCAATTTGGCCACTGGAGGCGGCGAGGCCGGTCCAAGAGATGCGTCCCATTGCGGGTCGTAGGCGTAATTCGCATGGGGGTATTGCGGCTGCTCTCGATCCTCAAGTGGTGACAAATCGGACTCGCCTGGACGGGGTAGCTGGCCAGGCCGCACTGTGGCCGAGGATTCGGGTCTGGCTTCCAGTGGCCTTCCCATGTCCTCGCGTCTGGTCTTCTTGCCGCCAAAAGTGAAGGCCTTTGCAATTCCTTTGCGCACCTTCTCACTGTTCTGGTCCATCACACTCCTCATTCCAGACTTCGATATGCCCACACCTGAGATATCTTCCGCCTTGATGGTGGGCTTCCTGGCTCGAGCATAGGCAAAGTCGTCCAGAGGATGCTTCTGCTGTGACGCATCGAGTCTCCGGCCATCGATGCTGCCGCTGCTTTGACTGCCCTCTATCGACAGTACATCGCCGTCCACTGCTAGATCTGGGGGACGAGGGGCGCGCCCATTGGCAGCTCCTAATCTGGCCGAATCCTGCCTGGATGGACCCAGGGCTACCGTGGGCAGTTCGTCAAGATTCGCGTCCGGTCCATGTTGGGCCTTGACTTTCGGTTCTGTAATCTTTTTGCGTACATATGCGCTGCGTCCCGACATGACTAACGTGGTATAGGCCCGGCCGCTCTGCTGCTTAGCTACTCTACAGTGGTCAGACGGCGGGAATCGTCCACGATTGGCCAATGGAAAATCCGGTTCCTTTCGTCGTGGTAATCATAAGCTGGCACTGGTTGTCCAGCGTTGATGGGAGGGGCTTGTCCGGTTCAAGAGGCTGGATGGATACCGCAGCTGGTATCCGGACCGAACCGGGGTCGGGCCGTGGGTGATCTTCAAGCTGGGGGCCGGGCGCAAGACGTTACTCTGTGATGATCATCTTAGTCACGACACGGGTAGCCCCATCCATTGGTATGACTATAGCTTGCGGCGCTGGTGTGACAAATATCAAGGAATGAAGAAAGAGGGGTTTCTCAAGTAGGGACAAAGACAAAGAAAGGCAACGGAAATGGCCTTGAGAGCTAGCAGTGTCAGCATGCGACAGACGCTAGTCTAATCCGACGAAACTTTGTGGGCCCGGCGAGAATAAGCTTGGTGAGCTGGCGGGGGGGCAACTATATGGCCGAGGCGCACGACCAACGAGCTGTGCTTTTGCTGGGTAGGTTCGAGGCGGATATCTGGTGCTCTCCGCGGCAGGATCCTCAACCCCAGACCCCTTTTAGCTGCAGGGTATGCAACCAGCTCATTCCTGACTGCTTGGGATTTGGCTCGGTTTGGCCTTATCGAGACCCTTGCGTGCGGCTCACAGAGTTACATTCCGATCCCTGAACCTTTTCCTAGCCCTACTTCCCAAGGCGGACTGATGGAGCTTCAGGCGTGCACCACGCGGCCAACTCAAAGACTCGTGTTTTTGAGAAGTGCTTAGGACGATAAGAAGGGAAACACTATGGCAGAGGCCAGCGCCATCGAATCACGCAACATGCAAGACCTGGGATGTTTGACGGATGGGCGTTTGTCATGAGACGCAAGTACTCGTGTCAAGGTGTCAGAGAATAAAGTAAATAGCCTGTAGTCCACCAGCAGGCCAGTCCTCGAGCCTCGCGCATGCGGCACAGCACCAATCAAGGCGAAGTAAGGGGAGTAAGGAGAAAGACAGAGGAAAAGCAACCAGAGCTCCGGAATCTGAGGGTATGGACGCCGATATGTCTCTGTTGTCGGGCCACGCAGCGAATCATCATTGATCAGCATGTCCTGTTGGCCAGATGCGCTGGCTTCTTCCGCAGAGACAATGCTGTGCCAGGTGCGCAATACGAAAGGCAGATCGTCTGGCGGATCGCGGCCCAGAGCTCGATGAATGCGCGCAGGGGTTCGAAGATGCAGAACCGGGGGACAACGTGGGAAAGTGGGCTCACCCACCTGTCAGCACAGGTGACAGGTAATTTAGGTGGGCACGGCCTCTCGTGGCGCGCTGTTATTTCGATGCCTCATGCCATCGCCAGGTTCTGCTCGGCCAGTTCCAAGTGGCGATGATGGTCATTTACTTGAAAAGCATGAATTCGTTTCAAAGAAGCTTCGGTCGAGCCTGGCGCTATCATGAGGGTGGCAGCGAGGGAAGGGCCAGCAGCGTGTTGCTCGACGGGGACGTGGGCCGGTGGTGGGCGAGATTTTGGTTGGGTATTGCCATCACTCAATGCCATGACTGAGCGCTGCTTCATTGGCCAGTCAGGCCAGCTATCGGCACCCATGCCATGACCCCCTGGAGAAGCCGAGCCTTGCACGATCCAACAGCCCCGGGCAATCTCATCCGTGGCTCTAAACCTTACCACCGCGGCGGGTTTCGATGATTGGCTTGGGCGACATCCTCGATTCAGGCACCGCCGAGGCCCTGAGATTTGGTCATTTAGTGATTGGCCTGTCTGATGAGGGGTGTCACAAAAGTTCAATGTTGCATAAAGCCTTTACGGTAGGTCTGGAACCTGGGCGGACGGAGAAAGGACGCAAGTCCGCCCATGAATTGGCCGTCGGGACGCAGCCGGTCTAGACAGGAGCCTGGCGCCCCACTCACTGATAAGGCGTGGCTAACCCTCTCATCAGGCAGGTCGGGAAGGGACTCTTATTAGTGTCGCTTGGGACTTCACGATGATGAACGCACTTGGCAGACGTGCAATGAACAGTCCCGCTCTCAAATCCCCTGAGCTGGACTTCTGGGACCCTTGTCGAGTGTTACTTTTCTGGTGTGGCCCTGCCCGAACGGGTTCAAAGAGCAGACTCGTTGTTGCTATGTTGTACGACATGCAACCAGTGGGCGGCTCGATGCCAACCGGCGGTCTCAGCTCCGCCAAGGCCCCCGGTCGAGAGGTCTGGCTAACCATGTAAGTCGGCTTGATTTCGAGGCTGAGATACGGCTGTCCGAGTCGGCTCCGCTATTTCGCATCCAGTGCCGAATGTGGATGGTTTGCCATCGGGTGCATCCTCGCAACGGGAAGAACATTGCTCTCGATGCTGCCCGATGGTGAGGGGCAAAGACCCTGAGGACCTCTGTGTACCAGCATGGTGCCAAGGTCTGACGTGCACGTCTACCGCCTGTGAGGTTCTTGACCGAGGTCACTGTGCCGGTGGACCCTGTCAGATGGAGAAAACCTTGGGCCCAGGTAGAGAAGCAAGGCAGATGGATGGCTATCTCTGCGGCTCAAGAGCTCCGATTGCTCGAGGGGCGGGATGAACGATTGCGACCTGTTCATGGCTGCGGATGGAGCCAGTGCTGGAATTCGAGTTTCCGCGGAAATACAGGAGGCTTATGCGCCCCGGGTATGAAGCATGCCGTGATCTGTGGATTTGTGTCCAACAACCAAGGTCACCCACTGCCTGGAGAGTGCGTTCTGCTGCTTCTTTGCCGTGATGGAGATTGTCGTATTCGTTTTCCCAAGGCTTCGGCGGCCAGGAGCCAGCGATAGGGGCAGGGATCGGTGGGAGGGGTTGGAAGCCGAGTCTTTGAGGTTTGGTTGGATCTTGCAATGACCCTTACCGGCAAGCCAGGTTTGGCCTGAATTCGAAATGGGGAAGGGCGCCTCGAGCTGCAAGAGCGTCTCGAAACGTGGCCGCGGAGATGATTCAAAGGGTCAACGTGCCGGAGGATGTGCCTGGCACGTGCCTGTCTCGAGGCTGATGTCTTGGTGGCCACGACGACGTGAGGTCTGTCTTCACAACTGGCGGCGGCGGAGCAAGAAAGAAAGAAAAAGAAACAGATCAGGCATCAAGAGGTTGATGCTTCTGGCAGCAGAAGAAAGTGAGCAGCGGCAGCAGCAGCAGTCTTGAGGCACGCGGTGACGGGAAGGAAGGACTGCTGCACCAGGGGGCGCGAGGAGCTAGCCCCAATCACGTTGTTTTGCGCAAAAATGTTGACGCATGGAAGGTGGAAGGTACGACTGGATGCCCTCGCTTTCCTTTTTTTTTTTTTTTTTTTTTTTTTTGTTGTTGTTAGTCGGCCTTGAAGCGGGCTCGCCCTGCCTGCGTGCCTGCGCTGCCGGCGAGTTCTGAACCCCGAAGCAGTTGCTTGTTGTCTGCAACTCGGCCTCCATCCCGGAACCTTCCCACCACTCAACAAGCTGCAAGCTGCAGGCTATGGGCCAAGGGCCGGGAGGCTATTTTCCAGCGGTGTTGTGTCCATGTTTGATGTATGCTTTTCTTTTGATGTCGTCGTCGGAGCTTTTTGCAGCCGTGCCTGTCGATCACTTGCGCCTGCATCCAGGCTGGGGACGAACCCCTGAAGGCCCCGGTTTTCTCCCGGACGCGGGCAAAAGTCACAAATCAGAAGTCTCGGCTGATCGACTCAGGGTCGTCGCCGTCGTCACCGGGAGCGGCCCGAATGCGAGAGCACCCGCTGCATCATATCAAGTTCGCCGCGTCGATCGTTGCCTATAGACCAAAATAATCGAGATTGACTTCCTCAATCCGATCCTGAAGAGCCTCACTCTTGGCCGGCCGGCTTCAACACGTCGCTTAACCATTCGTCATGCCCCCTGCTGGGGCCGTTTCACCCAGCCGAGCTCTGTCTGTCTTCCTTGTCTGGGCCCACCTGGCGTTTCACCTGTCGGAGCAGAATGCTGGCCACCCACCAACACCTCTTCACCCATCCCCAGTTCGTGTGGCCGTCCACCTTCCCAACATGATGGCCTCAATCAACTTCCATCGTTAGGCGACTTGTGGAGGAAGTCGAGCTGCCATCTCAGCTGCAGTCGGCAACACAATGGCTGCCATGAGGCTCCTGTATGGTCCGATCCATGGCACTTGCGAGGGAGTGAGGTAAGCCCACAGTGGGGCTCTCGGGTCGGAGGTTATCCTTCTATGGGACTGTCGCTATGGACCTTCGGAGTCAAAGAGTACGGGTGTCCGGTCCCAGTGGATCACCTTAGCGAGGTCGTCCCGTATCCAACGATTCCATCTACGCGAACGCCGGCGTCAAAAGTCCCGGCAAATGTCGTGAGACCCGCCGCTGGGGGAGCTGCCCTGTGTCCCAAGGTCGTCAGGAACATGACAAGGAGAAATCATCGCCGTGAAGATCCGTGGGTTTAGAAACGCGTTTCTGGGAGGCGCACGCCTTGTTGATCGTCCTGAGAGTCAGGCAACGAGAAACGAAACAGTGGATCGAAACCTCAACAGCCATCTTCCTTGCTGGCAGATCTTGGAATGCTTTCAACATCACACACACACTCTCTCTCTCTTTGAATCGAAACAGACCATCTTCGTATCCACACTTGCTCCCATGCTCCGAAGCATGGTGTCTGCCCGTTTAATTTTGCCTCTGTGCCCCTGTCCCCCTCGGACGATCCACCCGAAGTTTGGACTTCCGCAAAAGGGCGATATTGGAAAGGGCTGCACCTGCAGTCCTGTGTTTCATCAAGCCCCATTCATGGCAGTCAAGGGGTTTCTTCAGAGACCCTTCCAACCTGTCATATAATACCTGCATTACCCCAGGCGTTCATCGTGGGAAACATGTTTGATCTTCACCACTTCTAACACTTATTCTCTCTTTATTTTCCCCCACGTTGTGGGTAAGGATATAGCCGGCCCTCATCATGTTTACTCTTTCTAGCCTTGCCAGAGGCCTGGCAGCCCTGGCTCTTTTCGCCCTTCCCAGTGTCCAGGCGGCATATCCCAACCCAGGAGCCTGTTCCGGCGACTGTTTCTCACGACCCTGCTCTGATCAAAAGAGCCTCCGACGGAAAATATTTCCGATTCAATACGGGAGGCAAGATCATGATATATGACTCTGACTCGCTGAGTGGACCATGGACATTTCGAGGAGCAGCGATTCCCGATGGGAGTTCTATAAACCTCGCTGGCAAGGACGACCTGTGGGTAAGTGTTCTGAAATAGCTTTGCAACATGCATATATATGGCATAGCAAGTGGGGACTCCGAAGGATCTCGACGTTGAGGACTAATGAATTCAACAGGCTCCAGATGTTCGCCTCGTCGGGGACACCTACTACATGTACTACGCCGTCTCAGCTTTTGGCAGTCAAGCATCAGCTATCGGAGTCGCAACATCAACCACGCTGGAGGCTGGGTCTTGGACGGACCACGGTGCGACCGGCGTCTCATCCAAGGCTGGAAGCAACTACAACGCCATCGACCCGAACCTAGTCCAAACAGCCGACGGAAAATTCGTACTCAACTTCGGCTCGTTCTGGAACGATCTCTTCCAGGTCCCAATGGCCACCACGCCAACCAAGGCAGCCGGCAGCAGCTACAACATCGCGTTCAACTCGTCCGGCACCCACGCCGAGGAGGGTCCCTTCATCTACTACCGAGCCCCGCACTACTACCTCTTCTGGTCGTCCGGAATCTGCTGCGGCTACGAAACCACCATGCCCGGCCCCGGCGAGGAGTACAGGATCAACGTGTGCCGGAGCGAGAGCGTCAACGGGCCCTTTGTCGACCAGCGCGGCGTCAACTGCGCACAGGGCGGCGGCACGACCGTTCTGGCGTCCCATGGGAAGGTTTATGGCCCCGGTGGTCAGGGCGTGTACGCTGATGCTGCCCATGGCGGCGCGGTTCTTTACTACCACTATGCGGACACCAGTGTTGGCTATGCCGACGCCGACTACCGGTTTGGCTGGAATGGGTTGAGCTGGTCTACTGGCTGGCCTGTTGCCACGTGAAGTCGTGGCTCTTCATCACTTACCTCATAAACCAAGTGGCTTGTTGAAGCCTCGGCTTTTCACCTTACCTTTGCTACGGACATATTTACTTCCTCATTGCACATACTCGAAGCTTTCTTGTACATAACATCAAGACATCCTGCATCCAAGCGATAGCATCTCTAGCTAGACCTGTAAATAACATGAAGATCGGTGCTCATATGTTAAATTTCTTGGTTGTACCACGAAGAGAACTCATAAGTCACTCCATTCCCTCCCAGCATTTATTATACGCAGCCAATTCCAGTTGGCCGTGCGTGAACCAGCTCATAGTGAGGGAGACATGGCACACAATAAGACGTCCACCACCCCAATGCTCACCTTAGTAAATTGCGCTTTTCAAGAAATCAGAATCTCCATTTCTTTGATAGGGGCGTAGATCTGATTCGAGTTGCTAGGTATGATCTCAACAGTGATGAGTGGTCGAAATTGGTGATCAAGGCACCCCAAAACTGCTTCCCGCGGCTTTATTTCGGTAGTAGATGATCTCGTTGATGATCTTCTCCCGAACCCATCTTCAATTCAGGGTCAGCAATCTGCTCAGGGGAGTTTGATGCAGGCCTCAAAAGCTTCGCATCAGCGCCCCGTCTCACCCGCATCTCCTGCTTTGCGTCCACAGTTGAAGTATTCCCCAATTGCGCTACCCTTCGGCCTGTTTCGAGCGACACAGGCGGCCGCCTGAGCCTTTGGTTTCCGAGTGCTCCAAAGAGCATTTCCCTTGCTGCCGCTGGGCCCTGGCGCATCGTCACATTTGCTGACCACCTGAGCGCCTGCAATGAGACCTCACCCGGTAACTACACCGAGAACCGCGGCGATGCAGGAAGTCGGTTGCTTGAGTGGGCCCTGAGACCCATGTTCGATGCTGTCAGCATCGACGTCTTCGGTCCAGTCCCTTCGAGGCTAGAGGCACAGGGTGACCGCTTTTGAGTGGAAGAAGGTGGGCTGGTATGATCAGAGACGATCGTCACTAAATTCTTCCCCATATAACGAGGAGGAGGGGTTCTTCAGGTTTTGCATATTGCCCATATTTCTCGTCGTCTCCTCCAACAAAGAGACGACTTGCTAAGGCGCCATGGATACCAAAGAAAGCAGCGGACCTCGGTTCATCGACACGATCGCGAGCCCCCAAGATGCGACGCGGATGAAAGTGATTGTCCTCGGCACGAGCAGGTAGGTAAAAACCTCCCGGAAGACCGAGATGAACCAATGCGTCTAATGAACAAACAAGGAGCGGAACCTTGAGTTTATACAAGGCCTTCAAGATACTGGGATATAACCCATATCACATGGTCGAAGTCTGCGCCGGCGGCTTGGATCATTTCCAGATGTTTCACGAGTATGTTCGACTCAGCCATGCGCAAAGCGATGCGGTAAAACCGTACGGACGTCCAGAATTCGACAAGTGGTTCAGAGGGTTTAACGTGAGTGCCGACGAATTTATCGGGGACTGTGCCAGTGCTGATGGACGATTCAGGCCATTTGCGAGATCCCAAGCTACTCAGGAGGCATATTCTTCGTGGACGCCTACATTGACGACCCCGACGTCAAATTCATTCTGACGGAGAGGGCGCCCGCGGCCTTTGCCCGGTCCATCAACAACTCGGTCGGGCGTTTTGTAACGGCTGCGCACTCGTTCCCTCTGGGGATCTTGAAATACTTTGATACCTATAACTGGGCATTCACGAGACTCGTCGACGATATGTACCCCGTCTATTCCCGAGAGAAGATGCCAAGTGATCCAAACAGCGCCGAAAGTATTGCGCGTTGGTATGAGGAGTAGTAAGTTCGCCTTTGGTTGTTGTGAATGAGATGGTACAGTTGGGTTGGAGCAGCATCTGACCCAACTCCTGCAGTACCATAACAATCAAGAAGTACGTACCGCCCGAGAGACTGCTCCATGTGCGGCTTGAAGACGGTCTCGGCTGGGAACAAGTCTGCCCATTCCTCGGAGTCGAAATCCCCGACGCACGTTACCCCAGGGGGAATGACCCAGATGAATTCAAGAAGATCGCGCAGAGCTTTTTGGAACCCGGAATCAAGAAAGCTTTTGGTATCCTCACGGCCTCTGTTCTGGCTATTGCTGGTGCCGGGGCATGGTGGTTATATCCAAGACGTCGTTGAACATAGAACGTGGGCAAAGGGCTACAACCTGTCCCAGGTACAACGAACCACGGATTGTTTCGACGGGAACCTGCATTTGTTGGTCAAGATCTTCGTTTACTTGTCTCAGGTCACCAGTCGAATCTGGTTTAGCCTGGGGGACGAGACGTCTGACACTTGAAGAAGACTCAAATAGACTCGACAGAAGCAAGCTGATTTTATAAAAGTACCTCCAGGTACATAGTTGCAACAGCTTACACTAGTCTCTCATAGCAATCTGATATAAGAGCCACGCAAGCCACTCGCTCTTTCTTGTATCTATTTTTTCCGCTAGAAACTCTCGGTGAGAACGCATTCAACGCTATTCTTGGTCAACGTGTTCACAGCCCGGTACCCTGTGTGCTATGCGTCCAAAAGAACAGCTCTGAATCATCGGGACCTGCAGTTCCACCAAGATGGACGCGTTGTCAGATTCGCCACTGACGTCCGGAAATGGACCCAAGGACGAACGCTTGGTCCAAGGCCGTCGAAATCACGCACGAGCAAGGAATACTTCGCAAAGCTTGCCGGCAGTATGCTCAGCTCAGAAAAGTCGACCACAGTGATCTCGCGCAGATAGCTTTGTTAGTCGTCGCCGAGGGTAACTACTGTGACACCAGGCGGAGGTGGCAGGCCTTGTCACTCTTGCGACAGTTCCATTTCGGCCATTGGTGCTGAGATTGCAGGATCACGGTAGATCAATTTGACGATCAGAGGACACAGGTATGTGGACATGGGTGCAGACAGCCGTCTTACTTCAGCGCCAACCACATACATACGTTTTCAGCCCTTATTTGCTCCACTGCCCTCCCCGCCCCTTCCTGTGGGCGCCGAAATTGTTTCTTTATTCTGAGGCTGTAAGAAGCATTACATGTGACTGACGAGTTGAAGATAATGACTTGTATCTCCGGAAGCTTGCCATGGCATTTGGTGGATTTCATTGACCAAGGTAGTGCCATTCAAATGTTTAACGAGAGCTAGAGAGCATGATAAGGCCATTCAACATGAACATGAGCTCTTGTCAATGATTCTTAGGTCTTATGGGCCGGTTTTGCCTTTGGCCACTTCTACACTTACGTAAAATCACGTTATGGGTCCGAAATGACTGGAAAGTAGAGGCGTGGCATTAGATTTGTTATGTGATAGCAGTGTCTGTCCAGGGAGAAGTGCAGGTGCCAAAACAATCGCATCCTACCTGGATATCTAGGTTCTTTGCGTTAGGGACATTATGAGCTCCAGAAATTCGTTGGAAGAGGCACTGCCACTTAACGAAAAGTTAGCGCGAACCAGAGTTGTGCTTTGCTCGCAGACCTTGATTGGAGAAAAACAAACAGAAAACGTTTTGCAAGAGCCACATCAGATGAAAACGGTTATTCGAGACTACCCCTTGTAATCAGTAGGCCCATACTTCTTTTGCATCTTGCATCTTGCAACCCCCTTCCCTTCACTTGCAAACCAAAACTTTCTTTCTTCTTGTGTTTTTGAAAGTGGGCTAAAGACACCCAGCCGGTCCACCTTACCTACCTAGGCACTGCTCGAACAACAGGTCGTCTCACCTCTCCTTTTGACGCACTTTTGCATCGGTACCAAACCGAAGTTGCACCTTCAACTTACACTTTGATGTTACACGGTCAAGGCAACAGAGTTGCTGCAACGAAATTCGAAGTGCGTCTGTTCTATCTGCGTCCCCAATCGAGTGACCGCAGTCCTGCTGGCTCGAGTTTACCCACCTCCATCACACTTTCTCGCGCTTCTTCCAACACATCTCGACGTCACGCCACGGCCATTCATCACCACCTCTTTTCTAATTCAAGTGGAATTCATACACTGCACATAAGTTCAATCGCGCGTTGTTTGCGTTTCGTCCAGCTTTCACATCACGTTCATCCCCCAATGTTTTCCATCTTTGACCGAGCGCCGCGTGCCAACTGGTCTTAGCTTCCCTACCTCAACCTCTTCAGTCTACGGTACTTATCTCCTCCTCCCGTTTGTTTTCTTTAGGCGCGCAAAGAGACTGAGAGCGCGCTGACCTTTTCCTGCAGCTCACAGAAAAGACGACACAATGGCGTCCCAGGTTGACGATCCCGTCGCCTCTCACGGTCCTCTCATCCCCTCCCTTTTCGACAAGGCAGAGAAATACTGCATCGCCTGCGGAAAATCCGACAGGGTTGAGTTGTGTTCTCGCTGCAAAGGTGTCTGGTACTGCGACAAGAAGTGCCAGAAGGCTGACTGGCCCTGCCACAAGCTTCTCTGCAGCAAGTACGCCAAGGTCAACGACATCGAGCCAATTGAAGGCGGCTACCGAGCCTTCCTTTTCCGATCTGACTCCCTCGAGCCGGACATCGTCATCCTCCCCGACTCGCAGCACGTGAGCCGTCCTCTCGACTCTGTTCTCGGCCTCTTGCGCCAGCCTGGCGACTACGAGCGCGGCCCGCCAATCGAGCGCCCCGCGTTTGGATTCAACGGTCGGCTGGGCCGTAACTACATTGGTAAATACCACATCCAAGTCATCGTCCGCGCCAACTACATAGTCGACGGATCTGTTGGTAGGTCTCTCGTACGTATGATAATCGTATGGGAAGCAATTATGTTTTGGTATTGTTTTGTCTAAGTTCTGAGAGGCTACGTGCCCTGGAGGGGATAACTAAAGTAGCCTTTTAAGTGCAAGGGTTATACTTATTAATACTTATAGTTTTTCTTTTCTTTTAATAAGTATATATAATTTTTATTATAATTAATTTAAAATTATAATTTATTATATATTATATATATATAATCTTTATTATAAGAAAGCATTGCTAAAAAGGCTTAAAATTATAATTTATAAGTTTTAAAGTAAATTTTAATAATTTTTATTATTATATTATTTTTTAAACTTATAATCTTTATTATTATATTATTCTTTAAATATTATACTTATTATTTTTAATATTTAGCTTTTAAGATTGCTTTTTTATAAAGATTATTAACTTTTATATAAAGGCCTTAATTTTAAATTTTTTCTTTATAAAGGAAGTTAATATTTATAAAGTTAATACTAAATTCTTTAGTTTGCATTTATTTTTATTATGCATTTTTATAATATAAATATTATTATCTTTATTTTTATTTTTATTATTAAAATATACTTAATATTGCTTTAAATTAATTTCCTTTAGCTACTTTTTATTTTTTTAAAATTAAGTATTATAAGCAGCTTAATTATTTATTAGCTTCTTTTCTTATTTTTTATTATTTTTTTTAATTTTCTTAATAATTATTTTTTATTTAAATTACTTAGGTAATAATATATATTTCTTAATAAATCTCTTTATATATAAGTTTTATATATGCTTATTAATAATTTAATATAAAAAGTTTTAAATTTAAGTTAATATAGCAATTTAATTTTTTAATAGCTAAATCTTTTTAATTTAATATATATAAAAGATATTTAAAATTAAAATTTTTATTAAGTTATTTATTATAAAGATTATAATAATTTAATATTTAAAATAATAATTACCTTAATAATTTTTATTATTAAAAATGCTATATAATTTTATATTAAGAGTTTTAATACTTTTAATATAAATATATAAATTTTTAATTATATTATTAAAAAATATTTGCTTATTTTAATATTAAAAATTATTAATAATTTAAATAATAGCTATTATATTAATATTATTTAAGAAAAGTATTTTAGCTTAGGTTATAATTATAACCTTTAGCTTATTAATTTTAATAATTTTATAAGAGTTAATCTTAATAAATAGCTTATTCTTTTTAATGCTTAATATAAAAATAAAGTTAAAAGCAATTTTTATAATCTTTATTAAGATTTTATTAACTTAGTTTTAATTATCTTTATTATTAATAATAATTAAATTACTATTAATATTAAGTAAATAAAAGTTATTATTATTAATATCCTTATTAATATTTATTAAATAAGCATTATTAGCAATAACCTTGCTATAAAAATTAATAAAATTAATAAGCTTATCTTTATTCTTATTAATTAAGGTAATTTTAGCCCTTTTTATAACCTTAATAATAATTTTAATTTTTATCTTATTGCTTATTAAGAATATAATTATAATGTTTATTTTATTAATTAAAGTTATAATTATAATATTTATTTTATTAATTAAGATTATAATTATAATATTTATCTTATTAATTAAGATTATAATTACAATATTTATAAGGAAATCTTAATTTTATTTAAGGATTACAATAAGGCTACCTTTAATATTAATTATATTAACGATAATTATAGCAATAATTATATTAAGTATATTCTTAGCGTAAGCAATAAATGTAATATTTATTAAATAATTTTACTTATTATTATTATTTTCATAAGGTATATTAATAAAAGTATTAAATAACTTTTATAAGTTATTATTAATATTTTTTATTATAATAAAAAAGAAAAGATTTTATAAAAATTTAATAATTAAAATAAATATTTATAATATAAAGCTTTATAATTATTATATAATAATTATTAATTCATTCTTTAATTATAAAAAAAGTTAATAAGTTATAAATAAATTTAATAAAAGTTAATTTTAATATTATTATTAATAAATAATAATAAAAAGTAATAATAATAATAAGGTTAACTTTAAAATAATAATTATTAATAATATTAATAATTATAAGGTTATCTTTATATATAATAAGGTATTAAAAAGGTTTTAATTAAAGTATAAAAGATTAAAGTTTATATTAAGGGTTTAAGTTTAAAAAGTATAAGGTTTTACAGTTAATAGCGATAAAGTTAAAAGAAAAAGGTATTAATAATAAATTGCTCCTTTCTTAATAAAAAAGAGCTATTTTAAATTTCTTAATTAACTTATTTATTTATATATAAAGCTTATTATTATTAATAAGCTTTTATAATATAATATTTAAAGTTAATTTTATTATTATATTAATAAGATTATTCTTTTTATTTATTTACTTTACTTTAATAATCTTTCTTATCTTATATAATTTTTATAATAATATAATATTAATTATAAGGCATTTTTCCTTTATTATTCTTAGCTTTATAAGGTATTTATATAAGTTATATAAGTTTATATAAATAATTAAAGGTATATTTAATAATAAGAGTTATTTTATAGCTATCTTAATTATTATAGCTAAGGAAATTTCAATATTTACTTTATTTATTATATTATAAATTTTGCTTATTAATATATTTTAAGTAATATATTTATACTTTATTAATAATTAATAAAGAATATTGCTTATTATTATAAATTCCTTAATTTCCTTATAAATCTTATTTATAAAAATAATAATATATTTAAGTTAAGATATTAAGTTTTAATTATTTATAAATAATTTATTTATAAATATAAAAAGTTTTATTATTTTAAGATTTAAAGGCATATATTTAATTCCTTATATAGCATTATTTATTTATTATAATAATTATATATTTAGGCTTTTATAATTTTTTGCTTTTAAGTTTTATATTTATATAATTATTAAAAGATTATATAAAGCTTTTAATTAATAAATTAAAGCTATATATACTTTATAAGCTTTTTATTTAAAGTATTTTTAAAGAGCGTCTTTAATTATTGCATTAATAATTATAAGTTTATTAACCTATCCTTTTTAATAAATAATAATTAAGCTAATAATATTTATAATTATATAAGCTTTATTATAATTTATTAAGTTTTTAAGCATTAGCTTTTATTTTAATTTTCCTTATAATTTTATAGCTTTTATTTTAATCTCTTCCTTATTTTAAAATTTTAATATAAATAAAATTAATATATTATTTATTTATATATTTATTATCCTAAAGGATTATGCAAGCTTTATAATTATTAAATAAGGATTATATATAAAGCAATTTATCTTAAGCTTTTATTAATAATATCTTTAATATATATTAAATTAATAAATACCAAATTTTGCTATATTATATAAGGGTTAAATAATATAAATAATTATGCTTAAAGGGTATTTATTCTTTAATTTCTTTAATAGCTTTATAAGAATTATTTTATATAATTTTAACTTTACTTAAGGGTAGGCTTAAGTAATATCTTAAAATATAAAAATTATGCCTTTTTTTAAAATTAATAAAAAGGTAAATATAAAGATTATTTATTAATTTATTTTTTTAAATAATTAAGCTTTATATTAAAATTAATCCCTTTTTATTATTATTATAACCTTAAATAATAAATTAAGATTTTTTATATAGTTTTATAATTTTACCTTTTACCTTTTATATTATATAAAACTTTAAAAGATATCTTTAGCAATAAAATTATTAATTTCCATTTTATTAAACTTTTTAAATAATAAGCTTAATATTATAATAATTTTATTTTATCTTAATTTAATTATTAAATTATAATTTTTATTTTCTTTTTTTAAGATATATATAATAATATAGTTTTTTTTTATCTTTAATAATAATAATTATATAATAAATTGCATTTAAAGTTTTATAGCTAAGTTTTTTACTTATAAATATTGCATTTCCTTATTATTATTTTAATAATATAATTAAATAATTATTAACTTAAATATTGCAGCTTTATTTAATATATTTAAAATTATATTATAACTATTTATAATAATAACTTTATATAAACTCTTTTATCCTTTTCTTTCTTTTTATATATAAACTTTATATTATAATAAGTATTTTATATTAAAGATAAGTTTAACTTTAATATTTAATGCATTTTATACTTATTATTTAGCTATAATTTTTTATAATATTTTTATAGCCTTTAAAATAATTTTTACTTAATTTTATATTAATAATAATAATAATAATTTATATAATATTTATAAATAAGCATTAAAAACTAAAAATATAAAAATTAATTTATTTAATTTAATAATATTATTAATAGCTTTTATAACTATTTATAAAATAGCATTATTATTTATGCTATTATATAATTTAATATATAGGATTTTATATACTTATTTAAAAGCTTAATAATATCTCTTAACTTTCTTAATAAACTAATATACCTTTATAAAAACCTATTTATATTTAATTCTTATTATTTATACCTTTAAATAAAATTCTAAAGATGCAAAGTTTATTCTTACGTTATATTTAATAATATTTAATAGTTCTTAATATATATTAATTTAAAGCATTTATAATATTTATTATGCAATCTTTATAAATATAAATTTTAAGAATTTCACTTCCTAAAAAACAATAACTTAATCCATAATATAAAGAACTAAGCATTTACTTAAATATATTATATTAATTAAAATTTTATAATTAAATTTATAATTATTATATAATATAAACTTAAAACGCTTAAATATAAATTTATTTATTTAATAATAATAATATATTTTCTTAATTTTTATTATTATTTATTTATTAATATTTAAATTATTAACCTTTTTAAGCATTTAATATAATTAATTTATTAATAAATATTTAAAGTAATAATAGAATTTTCTTATTTTTATTTTTAAAAGAAAATATATAATATTAATAATTTAATTTAGGAAAAATCATAAGTAACCTTATTTTTTAAGTATTAATATAATAATTATATTATTAAAAGAAATTATTTTATTTATAATATTATTATAATATATTTAAAGCTTATTTATATTTACTAAGTAAAGCAAAAAAATAAGGTTTATATTTAAATAATATAAAAGTTAATATAATTAATTAAGGTAAAAATCTCCATTATGCTAAATAAATTAATAATTATTTTATTATTAAATTTAATTTTAACTTTTTTTATAGCAATTATATTAATTTAATACTTTAATTTTTCTTATTATAATATAAAGAATTGCTTTTATTTAATTATAAATATTAATAATATTTTTATATTTAGCAAAATTCCTTAAAAATAAGTTTAATTATATTTATTCTTTAAGATAAATTAGCTAGCTATAATAATTATCTTTATTTAAAAGATATTATTTCTTATAATTTAATATATAAATGCTTTATTAACTAAGAAATTAATATTTATATAATAAATCTTCTTATTAAGTTTTATCTTTATAATATATATATTATTATTATAATTATTATCTTAATTCCATTTATCTTTATATTTATAAAATTTATCTTTATTATTTATTTTATATTCCTTAAACTTATTTAAAAAAATATTAAAGTTATTATTATAACCTTTATATTTACATTATATTAAATAGCTTCTTCTTATTAAATATTGCTTATTAATTAAATATTTAATTAATTAATATCTTTCCTTTTTATAAATATAATATCTTTTCTTTTAAGATTATCCTCCTTTTTCTTCTTTATAAATATTATTACTTTAAGCTTTATAATTAATGCTATAAAATCTTAATTACTTAAAGCTTAAATAACTTAAGTTTAATTAATTAAATCTTTAATTTCCTTAAAATACCTAAGATTATAATTATTATCCTTCCCTTAGCTTTTAATTATTATATTTATAATTAATATAAAATTAATTTAAGATTTTATTTATAATATAAATTATAATTATATAATTAAGTTACATTTTTATTGCAAATCTTAAGTTTAAAAATAACTTTTTATATAATTAAATTAGCTTAAAAAAAGCTATTTTTAACTTAAGAATTTCTTTATAAGCTTTAATTACCATTATTTTTAAATTATCCTTCTTAATATAATTTTAGCTTAATGCTTATTAGCAAAGTTATAATTTATTAAATATTAAATATAAAACCTTATATAAATCTTTATTTAAGTTTTATACTTTTATTTTTATAAATATTATTATTATTTAATTTATATAATAATATTAATAATTAAAATTTATATTAAAATATATCTTAATTTTAAGGTATATTATTATAAATATATTAATTTAATTTATAAAATAAAAATAATAAGCCTTAGCTTAATCTTTAAATATTTAAGGAAAAACTATATATAATTAACTTAGTTAAATTTTAATATAATAATAAATATTAAAAAATATCTTTATTTTATTATTTAATAAATTATATAAATTCTTAATATACTTATAAGAATTATTAAAGGTTTTTATAAATTATATTAACTTTATTAAATTTAAATATTTATTAAAAATATATTATAAGGAAAGAGTTTTATATAAGTTATACTTTTTATTTAATAAAGGCATTTTTAAAGCAGCTTAAGATTATATTAAATATAATATATATTTTTAATATAAGCTTTATCTTTATTTTTTTATTAATAATAATAAGCCTTATTAATTATATTAGTTTTTAATAAATTGCATTATTAAGTTTAGGTTTTATAATTATATACTTAAAGTTAATAATAGTAATAAATATTATTTTAGGAATTATTTTCTTAATAATTATTATTATTTAAAGCTTACTTATAATTTTTATAAGGATTATGCTTATAATTATTATTTTTAAAGTTATATATAATATTTATTTATGCTTAATTTTAAGGCTAATAAGGCATTATAAAGCTTATTATTAATTTATTTTAATTTTTCTTTAACTTAAGTTATAATAATTAATTATAATATTATAAGTTAATTATTATATTTTATATAAATGCCTTGCATTTAAAGAAAGAGTTTTAAGTATTATTAGTAAGGATTTAGCAATGCTTTAAATATTGCTTATATTTATATTATATAATTCTTATAATAAATAATAAAAAGGTTATTATTATAAAGATTTTATTATATATAATTTATTAAAGTATTTATTAAATAAGTAATTAAATATTTTATTAATGCTTTTTATATAAGGGTTATAAATTATAATTTTAAGTTAATATATTTATAATAAGCTAAATTAATTAAAGTTTAAATAAATATTTTATTAATTATATACCTTTTAATAAAAATTAATAGCTTTTTAATATTATTAATTATTTTTATAAGTTTTTATAATAAATATTATAAAAAGTAAAATTAATAAAATAAAGAAATATTAATAAAATAAGTAATATTTAAAAGTAAGTTAATAATAATAATTTAATAATAAGTAAGTTATAATTATTAAAAGGAAAAAGTTATTAATTCTTTTAAGCTTTAAAAGTTAAAGCTTTTTTTTATTATTAAGTTTTTTTATATTAATTAAAAGCATAATATATAATTTATATTTATTTATAATATAACATTATATTAGCTTTAATAATTATAATAATTATAAGTTTTATTTATTAATAAAATAAAGCTTTATTAAGTTTTATTAAGTTTTAAAGAAAATTTAAAGATAAGTTTATTTTTAATAAAGTTTTATATATAATAAATATATATTTCTTAAATAATAATAAATATATATATAAATATTATAAAAAATACTATTTAGTTTATTTAATTTTTATAATATTTATTTAAGGAATTTAATAATATAAGGAGGCTTAAAGAAGTAATTATTATTATATAGCGCTTATTAATAAGGAGAATATAATTTTTAGGTTAAGGAAATCCTTATAAGGTTACCTTTTTTACCTTATTAATTTATAATGCCTATAATTACTAATTAGTATTAATAGGTTTCTTGTATGTATAATAATTATATGGGAAGCAATTATGTTTTAATGTTGTTTTATTTAAGTTTTGAGAGGCTACGTGCCCTGGAGGGGATAACTAAAGTAGCCTTCTAAGTGCGAGGGTCGTACTTGCCAACAGGATCAAATGCCAACAAATCCATCCTGACCTCCGTCAAGGCGACTGGAACCGAGTATCCGCCCCACTTCTGGGCTGGCAACATCATCGTTCGACGCATCGATCCCACGAGCGTCACGATGGCCGACTTTCGTCACGCCCTCGACTGGTTCGCCATTTATCCTCAGCATCCCCTCTACGGACGCGCGACACCAGCAGTTCCCCCAGACGCTGGGAAATACTGGCGTGTTGACGCTATCAAGGGGGTTCAGATCGTCGGTGACGTGCACGTCAAGAACGGGTCGGAGCGCTACACGGTCGTCACTGTGCCCGCCGACCACCCGATCCGCGGGCTCAAGGCCAAGCTGAATGGAGACATCTCGCCCATTTCCAAGCGCGTCGGCCGGCCTCTTCGTGTCATCATGCGGCTGGCCCAATTGCACGAGGAACTTGCGGATTACCCATCACCGTATTGTAGGCCAGCCACGGCCCTCATGCGCAGTCTGCACAAGAGCACAAAGGGTGAGTTGCCTCATTACTTTTTCAGTCTTCCCCGTGATGGGCTGCCTCACACCAACCAGGTCCTTGTCGTCCGCGCCGACGACAAAGACCTGTCCGTCGACGACGTCAGGGCGATGGTGTGCTTTTCCGATTCCACTTGCAGCGAGGTATTCCGGGCTGTCGCTTCCACAACCATGAATGATAAACCGCGCATGGAGGCTGCCATGCAGAGAGCGCTAGACTTCATGACTTGGGACAACTACCTCCTGGCGTTCGACGAGCTAGGAATTCCCCGGCCCCAGCGACCAGCGGAGGAAGCATTCGTTGACATGCGCGACCGGGCCACTCCTGACGACGTGGAAGATGAGTAAGAGCTTGATGAGGACGAAGTCGGCTGTTGACGCAGGCTTTGGGAGCAAGAGGTTGTGGAAATACCGCGGCCGATTTGGAAGACGCCGAAAATTCCTCAGAAAACTGCATTTCGCAGATCTAGACGACAAGCGAGCATACATCAAGGCTGGATGAGCTTGGCCTCTGGGTGGGCAGCGTGCCTACTCCGGGTGTCTCAACGGGGTAGATGGAGAATATTGTAACATAACACAACACAGGACAAGCACAACAAGGCGGATGCATGCCGTGATGGTCCATACGAGGTGCCAGAGAAGACGTCCGAGGTGGCCAGGAAGGTGCCCCAAGGGAAGAGAAACCGTGGCACTCGGATGTCCGATGGGATCAAGGGGAGAATGATTCTGAGATATGTAAAATGCCGGTGCCAGCATCTTCGGCCAGGGACCAGCAGGTAACAACTTGCTCAATCAGCCGAAGTTTACCCTTCCTCATACATAGATCAGGCACGACACCAGCAGATCAGGTGCAAGCATAATGAACACATCAAAACCTCGTATGCTCCCCGGTCCAATGAGCCATCAAAGTTCACCTGCCGGCTGGCCATGACTTGTACACAGACCATTGGTGCAATCAGCTGAAACCTTGAAGGAACGCGGGGCGTAACTACCGCGTCCAAGCGAAAGAGCGAGAGCGCGCTGGAGAGCGGGGAGAAGAGGGAGGAATTGTATTGTGTGCAGCTCCTGCTCAAACGTGGAGATTGGGGACCAGACCGCATAGTAGGCCATGGCAAGTATCATTACGACGGTGCTCAATGTCTCGGTCACCTTCATTCATGGGCACCCGCTTTAGGCACTTGTGGGTAAATCGCGGATTGGAACGGCACGCCTCAATTAGGAAGGGGGAGAGGAGGCATAAAATCGCAAACCTCACGATTAAGCATTTCAAGTAGCTTTTATGCATTATATTCACGCATACAGTAGAGCATATATAAACAACGGGCCAGGAGAGACCCGGGCAAGTACAAGCCGTTCAAACCGTCGCGTTGCGCCTGTATGTATGATCATATTGCCCCGAACTCCCGGTTCAATATCTCAGAAATATCACAACCCGGGGCGAACCCCAGGTTGGCCATGAACTGCGGGTCCGCGTCGACGCGGTCTATGTAGTCCATGGACGACAGGTCGTCCAGGATGGCATCGTAGTCTAGTGAGGCCCCGCCGAAGCTGCCGCGGTGCGCGGCGCCTGGGTTGGCGTGGGGCTGTTGGCCCATGTTCCGCGGCCCGTGGCCGCCGTGGATGATAGTATTGGTGTCCATTGCGTTCATGTTCGCGTTGTTCACCTGTGGGCTGCCCGTCTGGTTGAGGGCTGGCTGTGCGGATGGGGAGAATTGGCCCATCATGAAAGAGGATGTGCTTGGGCGGTGTTTTGATGCAAGTGTCGGAGTCTGGAGGCGGTTCGTTGGTATGAAGCCTGTTGTTGTGCCCGTCGGCATGCTTTTGGATGTGTGCAATGACGAGGCCATGGATGCATTCGATGCACCCGCAGGATTTGAGACGGCAGAGCCTGGGCGGGGCTCGCTGGAAAGCCTGTTCCCGGCGGGGCTCCAGATCATGATCAGCATGACCTTGATAGACTGCCACCTTTCCCTGCTCTGTGAGTTGAGGTCGGCGAAGCTCCTGTGCTGGCCCAGCATGGCTAAGCATGTTGCGAAGAAGGTTGGTGCGCCGCAAGGGCCGAACTGAGCCAGGTACTGCTCGATGGATTCTAGAATGAGAGCACAGGGCGACTCTGCCGAATTAAGCAATGCGCTGACCCACAGGAACAAGACCCTTAAAACATAAGCGGATGGTATGGTGGCGGAGCTCGAATCTCGAGCTACTATAAAGTTGCCAAAAGGCAGGCGCGGTTTTATTGTCTGATGCAGGAGCATCGTTACTTCTGCGGGATTCTCCGGGGCACGGCCGTTCTGTCTATGCACCGAACGTTTCCGTAGAAACTTGAAGACGTCGTAAAGCTGGTTGAAAGTGGTTAATGAGTAGGCTGGGCTTCGCGAAAGGGTGGCCGGCCCGGAAAAGCCTTGGCCGAAGCCATCGCATGGCGCCCACGGCTGCCACTCATCCAGATTGTCCTCTGGAATACTCATTCCCTCGAGTATGCCTGCTGTTTCGAGGCTGGGCATGCCTCTGCGATGGACGAAAATGAGGGTATCGAGAATGTAGCACCCCATGAGCGTTGCTGTCACTCTCCGCGAAAACCGCTCGTCGCCCAGATGGAGGTCTGAGACATCCAGGGCGATGCGGTGAGCGAGGCCGACCAGTATCCAGGCGCACGTCTTCTGGCCTTTGCCGACACTAATCAGCGCCAGAAGAAGCAATGCCCTGGCGTGCTGAATCTCGAATTGGCCCTCTTCGGAAGGCACGAGAGTCCGGGCAATGTTGTAGAGCTTGTCCGGGGAGTACCTATCATCAAGAGAGGGGTTGTTGGCAGAAAGCTTCACGCTTGACAGGTTCTGGTAAGAGGCCAGAGCCATGGCAGCCCAGAGCTCGGCATGAGCGGCGGATGCTGGACTGTTGCGCTGGATGTCAATGCCCTCCGGGGTGTACAGGTAGACCGTCTTCAAGAGGTCCTGTTTCTCGAGGATGGGGAACCAGCAATGCGTGTAGCTGAAGTAGATATCGATGAGTCTCCAATGGTTGGGTGGTAGTAGCAAGGGCCCTGGCGCGTCTGGTACAGCCTGGCCATCGATGTGTGTCGGAGGCGGCTCAGGGCCGGCGGTTGGGGTCTGGCCGCGGACGACGAGAGACGCCTTGTCGGCTTGTTCGGCGTCGCTGTCGGCGTCTTCGGACTCGACACGTGGCTGGGAGACGCCGCCGCCCGAGAGGATGCGGTCGATGCCCTTGTGGACCTTGCTCCTCCTCCACCTCTTGTGCAGGCGGTTGGACTTTTCCGAGTCCTTGCCGACCAGCAGGCTCTGGCCCTGGCCACCCTCGTGCATCAGCAGGTTATCGAGGGAGTCCTCGCAGCCGGGGACCTTGTCGAAGAGCCATGCCAGGGCGACCTCGAGGGTCTTGATGTAGCCGGTCTGGACGCCGCGCTTCTTGGGGTTGGCCTCGTAGGTGCAGGCGCGGTTCTGCGAGACGCAGGGGAAGCACAGTGGCTGGATGCCATCGCACTTCTCGCGGGCGGCGCGGCACTGGTCGCAGGCGCGGGAGACGCGCTGGCGCTTGAGGGGAGCGTCGCGGGTCGAGGTGGGATTTGAGTTGGCGGGGCTCGCGGTGGCGGAGGGTGGATTGTCGGCCTCGGTGGTTGATTTCCGCTTGGGAGGCATCGCAAGCTGCTACTGCTTGCTAGTGGCTGTGGCTGTGGCTGTGGCTGTGGCTGCAGCACGTCGTGCCCAAGTGTGCGTGGTGTTCCCCTGGCGATCTCATCTCCGTGTCATGGTGATGCGCAGCAGGGCGAGACGGCTTGGACTGGCATTCATCCGCAGGTTTCGTCCGGCCGAGTGAGCAGTGCGTAATGGAGGAAGTGGGAAGGGGTGGTGAGCGAATGAATTGCCCGGTGGGTGAGTGGTTGGATCAATTGGGTTGAACGGCGTTGCGTCGGATCGAACCGACCTCGGCAGCCGACGGTGACACAATGGGGTCGACGGCACAGGGTCTCTCTCTGCTGTATGTAGGTCAGCAATACAACCCACTGCAGGAGGTGTGACAGCCTAGTGTGTGCCTGGAAGCGGGACTGGGGCTAGGCTGCGTTGGCGTGTGCTGCGCGTGTGAGAGAGTGGGCTTGTGGAGGAGCAGGAAGGAGCCAGACAGACGCCAGCCAGACCAGACACGTTGTGGATCGGATCTGGGGAAGAGCGTATTCCTCCGGCACACAGGCAGAGGATAATTCTTTAACCCCTGGCTCCCCACCCGCCTTACAATTCATCCCACCTGTCCCACCCCGCCCAGCCCGGATCCCTGCACTCGCACACGAAACTCAAAGCCGCGGCCAGTTCCGCGGCCCCACACCGGTCGTCATTCTGGATTCCTGACTGCACAGGGTCCTTTTCGTGGGCGCCGCTCTCGCCAACGCCGTTACCCGTCGGGCCTTCGTCGTCTGTCGGGGTTTGCCAGTCTCGCAAGTCTCTGTTGTCCTCACCTTGCACGGGGCTGGTTAGTCTGTGACTGGCCTGCTTCCAGTATTACACATCCCTCTGTGTCATCACTGCTCTCTGGCTGCTCAGCTGCTCCAGCCGCGAATGCTGCCGAGGGAGCTTGGAGGACTCTCACCTGTCTCTTTCTGCCCTTGGCCCGCTTCTTGTGCCGTGCTGTGGTGGGCGATGCGCAGCCCTCGACTGAGCAGACCCGCAACCTTGCATCCCGAACCTCAACTCGGCCTCACCCCCAGTACTCACACATTCAATACTCGGACTCGAAACTTAAGCCCGCCCTCACCTCCTCTCTCACGAGCAAGATCGCCAGCATAAGCACATGGCCGTCGCGTGAGACCCACCCGCCTTGCCCCTCCGGGCGCGCAGGTCAAGATGGCGTCTGTCATGGCTGGCAGCAAGCGCAACTTCGCCACCATGGCCGCCGCCGCCGACGATTGGGATGATGCCCAGCGACAGCCCGTCTCGAGAAAGCTGAGCCCCTTCTTGAGCCATATCGTCAACGCATATGAGCCTTCTCCGCCGACTCCGGCCGGCTCACCGTCCAGAGGTATGTCATGTCGGGCCGTGCTCCTTGTCGTCCACGCTCACCGTCCATGACTGTTAACCCGGACACACAGCTTCTCGTTCTGCCCCGAGCTCCCCTCCGCACTCACCAGAATTCTCTACCTCCAGGGTTTTCGACTCCGATGCTTCCATAGTCCTGACCGGGCTGCGCGGCGCCGGCAAGTCCACTCTGGCCATCATCGCCTCAGGCGCCATGAAGCGCAAGGTCATGGACGCCGAGAGAGCCTTCCAGGACATGAATGGCCTCCCCACCCCGGTCTTCAAGAAGAAGCATGGCCTGACCAGCTACCACAGCCGCCAGGCCGACGTTCTGGAGGATCTGTTCCATCGCTGTTCCAAGAATACCATCATTGTGTGCTCCTGGATGGAGCGCAATGTCCAGGCCCTGCTACGAGAGTACAGCCACATACACCCAATCATATACATCGTGCGGGACACACAAGCCATCAAACATCACCTCAGAATACCCGACGATGCGAGGCTCAAGACCCTGCTCGACGCCAGTGGCCTCTTCTTCCGGAGGTGCAGCCACTTTGAATTCTTCAACGTCTCCGAGGACATGACGGAAAAGACCAAGGCCAACTCGCCCGACGGCCTGACAACCGCGCCCGACAAGAAGTCGCCTGCGCCCTACCTTACTCTCAAAAGGGCCGAGAGACATTTCCTGAAATTCCTGTCGCTTATCCTGCCCAAGGGAGCCATTCCCTTCATAGAGTCCGCCTTTCCCTTGGCGTCCATCCCCACCGAAGAAAGACAGTTCACCTACGCGGTTTCGATTCCGCTTTCCTCCCTGTTGGCCAACAAAATAGACATCGAAGACATTGAGACCGGCGCAGATGCCATCGAGATTGTGGTCGACGACCTCGTTTCACCCTCCGCGCCGGGCATAATCAAAGATGGCCTCAGTCCTGAACACGCAAGTAACATTAGTAGGGCTCTGGGCGACATGCGGAGAAACCTCGTCATTCCTATCCTTTACCATGTCGTTTTCCCCGAGCAAGCATTGCACGATGCTGCGTGGAAGTCCCTGTATCTGGTGTATCTACAACACGGTCTGCGCATGGCTGTGGAGTACATGACGGTCGACTTACGGCTGGAGGAAGAATACATTGCACAAATCCGCATGTCTCAAGGTCGTTCAAAACTCATCGGCAATTTACAATTAAGTAGGGAACCAGCGCCGTCGTGGATGGATCCCTCCTGGCTCCGGGCATACCAAAAAGCGCGGGATCTGGGCTGTGACCTGACCCGACTATCGCGGGTCGCTAGCCACCACCAAGAGAGCTTCGACATTGGCACTCTACGCACGAGAATCGATGACTTGGGCGAACCGAAGCTACCTGTCATTGCATACAACACTGGGAGGAAAGGGAAGACTTCTTCCTGTTTCAACCAAGTATTGACCTCAGTTCTCCCTGTTGGCTCAGCTACAAGCGGAGGTCACGACAAGGAGGAAGTGTATCCGTATCCCTCTATCACCGCCCTCCAGGCAACGCGAAGTCTCTACTCGTCATTTGTGTTTGACCCTATGAATCTCTACGTCATTGGCGGTTATGTGTCCTTCAGTCTATCCCCAGGGATGCACAACGCTGCGTTGAAGGCTCTCGGGATCCCCCACCATTACCGACCCCACAGCACCTCGTCAATTCGGAGCCTCCAGGAGGTTGTGATGGACCCATACTTCGCTGGCGCCTCCATCAGTCTCCCTTTCAAGGTCGAAATAATTAGCATCACACATTCCTTGAGCAAGCACGCGAAGGCGATCGGGGCTGTCAATACGTTGATACCAATCCGAGCACTGAACGAGGACGGAACTGTTCCTGAGGACGCCCGTCTCTTCCATTGCCGGAATCGGGCCGGGCCTATAAAGGCACTGTATGGGGAGAATACGGATTGGATTGGCATCAGGGCGTGTATACGCCGCGGCCTTTCACCCGCCAACGCAGTGCGGTCCACGAGTTGTGGCCTTGTCGTTGGGGCGGGTGGTATGGCAAGAGCCGCCGTGTACGCGATGCTCCAGATGGGAGTGAAAAATATCTGCGTACTAAATCGCACGTAAGTCTTGCATCCGATAGCACCGGAACTGTCCAACATTTTCTGACATTGGACGCTACAGATATTCGAACGCGGAAAAACTTGTCGGACATTTCACAAAACTACTAGCGAGGGACGATTTACCCCTATTTAGCCCCGACACTGAGGTTGAGACCCGCTTCCATATCCTCAAGTCGAGGGAAGAACCGTGGCCCGAGACATGGCGACAGCCCACGATAATTGTCTCCGCCATACCTGGCCACGGCGTCGGCGACACGCCGGCTCCCGACTTCACCCTGCCCCCACAGTGGCTCGACAGCCCGACGGGAGGCGTGGTGGTCGAGTTCGCCTACAAGACATTACACACACCGTTGTTAGACCAGAGCCACCGAGAAGCCCACCGAGGCTGGGTGACGATGGACGGCCTTGACATCCTGCCAGAGCAGGGGTTTGCGCAGTTCGAACTGTTCACAGGCCGCCGAGCACCGCGGCGCTTTATGCGGCGGGAGGTCTTCAGGGCGTACACGGATGAGCAGGGCCGGCACCCTGCCCACCTCAGGCCTCGAATAGAAAATATCGTAGAGCAGGAGCCATGAGATGGGCTCCAATCATGTCTTGCCCGCATCCGTGTGCGAGTCTTCATACCGCAGGCGGTCGATCCCCAACCCGTCTTCCGGTGTGGTCAAGGGGTCTTTTGTTACAGGAAAATGGCCTGTGGGAGATCATCTCCCACGAGATCGGCCAACAGGAGGCTGTCTCGCGTAACAGCATAGAGATACGTTTTAAATATACCCGCAAGATCCACGGCGAGTGCACATATTGCAAGATGTGTACGTGGGGATTGCCATACAGTCAAGTCATTTCAATTATCTGCCCGAGCCCACAGATCAAGACCAAGTGTACGGTATTCTCTGGGCATGCTTGCCTTTTCAATGCTCCCAATGAAATGTTGGCAAGGCAAATCGACCACACAAATACCCCATGCGAAAATGGACAGTGTTCATGTCTTGTCAGTTTTACTCCTCATGCATGGAAGGATGCGCACATAATCTTGTTTTACTGGACTACATCACCAGCCGTTCTGCCACGGATTGACAGAGAACACAATTGACTGAATGAAGGCGAGGTTCGGAAGCCGAGATGGACCCGAAGAGCCGGGATCACTTTTGGTTGACTTATTACGTGGCTTCAATGTGTCGACCTGGACGGCACCACGATGACTTCGGATGTAGGGCCGAGACGATTGGTTGCCGACGGCGGATGGTGATGCAAAGATTGGCAGTCTGCAGTAAGTTTTCCCGCCTCCACACCCACAGCATTGGCATTTCCCACAGTGAAACCTGTTATCTCCCCAGACGATCTCAGATTATTATGCCGACTGGTCAGCTGGTGGGAACCAGTCAAATAGCCAGGAAGCCCGGCGTGCGCTAGACAGATCGCCAAGGTTGCCGGCCCAAGCAGACGGTCAGCACGGCTAAGTGTTCTTCCCCAACTAAGACACCAAGCCCCTCGTCGGCTTCCTGCTGAAGAACATTCTGCTTCCGATACGTCAGCACTTCGCGTGGGCACGCCCGGGTTTTTGGACCTCGCTGCACAGACATGCATACGGCTGACCTCCCCCAGACCTCCCCCAGACTCCCCCCGGGTTGTGGGGTCGACTACCGGTCTACTGTTCGAGCAATTCACGCATGCCAGGATGCGGGGGTTCTCAACCGGTAGTAGTCGACTTTCCTCGACGAGTCAGCAGGCCCCTACTTAGCGGACAAGCCTTGGCTTGGGGCCGTGGCCGTTCGCAGCCGCCTGGTTCAATCCTCATCCGAACCGCAGAAGACGAGAGCAGAACGCCACAAGAGGGAGTGCACGATCGGATAGATGTATACCCCATGGTTGCGTCGGTCTGTCTGGAGTATGGACGAGGCCAGACTGCGAGACTCTGGGGACCCCGTGTTTGCTGTGGGGGTATTCCTGGGATAGTCAATAATACCGATACCGACTCCACGGTCCCGCAAGATTCCCCCTTTCAACGAATGAGCCCCTGGCACCGGCTGCAGGGAAATATTTTCATATATCAACCGTCCCTTGCCTCCACCAACCTCGCTGGCGACCCACTCCTCAGTGCGCCTCACCAACCCAGCCAACTAACCCTCGTCTCTTCCAATTCTTTTTTTGCCTTGCAAAGAAAAAGAGAGACAGGTCTCCGTTGAACACCATGACGCTGCTGGAACTCAAGGAGGACCGGCCCACGCCAAAGGCCGTGTACAACTGGCGCGTCTACACCACCGCCGCCATCGCCTCCTTCGCATCATGCATGATCGGCTACGACTCTGCCTTCATCGGCACGACGCTTTCTCTTCCTTCTTTTGTGGACGAGTTCAGGTTTGACTCTTACAGTGAGGAAGGGCTGGCACTGGTCAAGGCCAACATCGTCTCCGTCTACCAAGCCGGCGCCTTCTTCGGTTCCCTGTTCGCCTATATCACCTCGTACTTCCTCGGCCGCCGCAAGTCCCTCTTCGTCTTCGCCCTCGTTTTCAACCTCGGCGCCGGCCTCATGCTCGGCGCCAATGGAGACCGCGGCCTCGGACTCATCCTGGCCGGCCGTGTCCTCGCCGGTATCGGTGTCGGCGGGGCCAGCAACATGGTGCCCATCTTCATCTCTGAACTGTCTCCTCCCGCCATCCGTGGCCGCCTGGTCGGCATCTACGAGCTTGGCTGGCAGATCGGAGGCCTTGTCGGCTTCTGGATCAACTATGGTGTCAACACAACCCTTCCGGCCAACCACGCCCAGTGGCTGATCCCCTTCGCGGTCCAGCTCATCCCCGGCGGCCTGCTCCTGTTCGGCGCCTTCTGGATCAAGGAGTCGCCCCGCTGGCTGTTCATGAAGGGCCAGCGCGAGGAGGGCATGGCGAACCTCTGCTGGATCAGGAACCTCAGCCCCAGTGACATCTACATCGTCGAGGAGGTCAGCTACATCGACGAGGACCTCGACAGGTACCGCAGGGACGTCGGCGCCGGCTTCTTCAAGCCCTTCGCCGCGCTCAAGCAGCCCAAGGTGCAGTGGCGCTTCTTCCTCGGTTCCATGCTCTTCCTGTGGCAGAACGGCTCCGGTATCAACGCCATCAACTACTACAGCCCGACTGTCTTCAAGGGCCTCGGTGTCACGGGCACCAACACCTCCTTCTTGACTACCGGTGTGTTTGGTTGCGTGAAGACAGTGTTCACCTTCATCTGGCTCTTGTAAGTCTCATGTTTCTCCGACGTTCCTGACTTCCGAGCTTCAGCAACTAACCTGCTCATAGGTACATGATTGACAACTTCGGCCGACGCAACCTTCTCATATACGGTGGCCTGGGAGGCTCGGTCTGCATGTGGATCATCGGCGCATACATCTGCGTGGCCGACCCGGCCGGCAACCCCAACACCTCGGGCAAGCTGTCCTCTGGCGGCATCGCGGCCATGTTCTTCTTCTACCTGTGGACGGCCTTCTACACGCCCTCGTGGAACGGCACGCCCTGGGTGGTCAACTCGGAGATGTTCGACCAGAACACGCGGTCGCTGGGCCAGGCCTCGGCCGCGGCGTCCAACTGGTTCTGGAACTTCATCATCTCGCGCTTCACGCCGCAAATGTTCCTCGCCATGGACTACGGCGTGTACATGTTCTTCGCCTCGCTCATGATCTGCTCGGCCGTCTTCGTCTTCTTCCTCGTCCCCGAGACTAAGTCCATCCCGCTCGAGACCATGGACAGGCTCTTCGAGATCAAGCCCGTGCGCAAGGCCAACAAGGTCATCATGGAGGAGCTCAGGATACACGACGAGGAGTTCAGGCGCAACGCCGGCGATCTGGACATGGGAGAGGAATCGGACAAGGCTGGTGTCAGCCAGCTCGAGGACACGGACCTGAAAAGGGACATGGCGTAAATAACTTGGGTTTCGGTCCTTTTTTGCAGCGGGCGTGTCTGTCTTGGTGTGTGTGATACCATCTTTTATTCTTTTTAATTGTATATCTGGCGAGCGAGGTTGGACTAGAGCGTCATGAGCAATGTTCTTTACACAAAAGAATGATGATCCATGCTCCAGTGATCAATGACTTGTCAATGCTACTTTCCAAGTGACATGAGAGCCATTGTCGCATACAGGGCCCACAGGTAATCATGTGCCTTGATTTTCTCATCGACAACACTCAATCTCTACCAGGCTCAACTTCACGTAGAACCGTATCTCGCTGGCCGTCAAGACCAGCGGGAGTGCTCGAGAATCGCATAGCATTCCACCTCCCTGGCCTTATAGGCCGTGACAGACTGATTGGAAGTATTTCCAAGGCAAGGTAATGTGTTTTTACCGGGTCGGTGAATTTTCCAGCTTGTGCGAGATCCACCACACTCCGTGAAGTGACTGTTCCACCTCTGCTACAAACCCGGCTCATGTCATTCTCAAATTCACTGCTGGCAGGAACGCTCCTCGGTCAACGCGTACCTCGCTCGAGTCTTGCTCACCTCCCCTCTCTCTCTACAATCCAAGACATCCCTTCCGTGGGGAGGAGGTCGTGTTGGCGCGAGCGGGCTTCCCTGACGCCCTTCTTTGTTCACACAGTCCGAGGGTGCTATTCGAGAACTCTCAATGCAGGCCCTTGTCTGTAGAGCCGGACGCCACAACCTGCAAAATCAGAGTCAGGAGTTTCCACCGGGGAGTTAAAAGGCTGATTCCGAGGCGCTGTTAGATGGTGATCAGTCATCCATGTTTTGAAAGGATGCTGGATGAGGCCCTTGATGCGTGACATTACACTAATTGCACTGGGTTTCAACACATTCCGCGGCCGTGACCGCGGAAGTCTGGACCGGTTATCTCTTCAGCCGTGAGAGCTCGAGGACAGCGAGTCATTGTCCAGTACCGGGGCTGGGAAACACGAGACGGACAGAGCTGTGCTCGGCATTTTGCCTTCAGAACCTACGCGGAGGAACTTTAACGCCCGAGGCGATTGTTTGCCCGAACAGGCTACTTCGCGCCGTGAATAGCCCGCAGATCATGTCACCTGTGGCGAGTGAAGCAGCTATGGGGAAATCCTCAAACTGGACCCGCCATGGGCCGGACCAGCTCGTTACGATGACCGTGGCTCTCTGGTGCCTGAGCATTTGCAGTGACGGAGCCTGTCCAGATAGAGATTGAGGCTCATGATGACACCTCTGTGGGCACGGCAGGTATGAAGGAGCTCGTGCTTTGCTCTGGCAGACAAAAGCAAAGCCCACGACGGATTCGGAAAGACCTGACATGGCATCGCTGGTGACACCATCTTGCTGGAGCATTTGGCGCACAAGTAATGCCCAGCCAACCCACAACATCACCGTCGAAGGCCCCTCCCTTGGCGCCGGCATAACCGTAGCTGCATGCCCCCGTGTGGATGGCCTCGGAGCGATCTCTACACTGTGCTTCGGCGTAATGACTACTCCTTGGCTCGGATGCTGCTGAACTCGCAGAACCTGGGTGGGTTGCTGGCACACCAGCCTGAGTATTGGATTACGCACGTGAACGGATTTACCACCACTGTTTTGGAACTAAATGTGACTGCTTATCAGGGCACGGACAAATACATTCGTGATTCTAGGACGCATGGTTTCAACACGCTGGCTGGCTTGGCTTCGATGTCTTAGAGGGACCGCTGGACTCGATGCAGCATGGGATGGGTCACCTATAAGCTGAACATCGGGGCTGTCAAGCCCATGTGTACTGAACTCGGTGTAATATCTTCAGTGTTTCCATGTTCACATTCAAGTCTCATTCCAGGCCCATCTAGATGCCGTCATATTGAAATAGGTCCAGAGACGTGGGATGTTGCATCGCAAGGTGGGAACAAGTCCCGTCCCGGAGTCGGAGCCCTACTCCGATGCAGGGTGAGCGTTGCATGCGCATGTGCATTTGATACCCTTCTATGGGCTGCATGCGCGTTGGGGTTCATCGGAATAGTCCAGCGTCGTGGGTTGGGGGTGAAATACCATCCAATGTAACAACACAATACATCGGGGCTCAGCTATCCCAGCGAACCTTGAAAGAAAGCCGTTGGGATATATTTAGAGACATGATTTGTGGTACATACGTGCTTTGCCCCGTGATGCACTCGCAAGGAATTACGCGTAGCAAGGAAGGTCACCCGAAATGGTAACGTCGCACTCTGTGTAACACTTGTAAGGCCATCACATTACTCTGAGCGTTTGAGAGTGCCATTGTCTTGGTACCCGAGTCTATTATGGTATCTCGTGTGACAGATATGCAGCCCGTGTCGGTGTTTATTCTAGAAGAAGCAAATGCCCGTCTATCCACCTTTCTCGAGACGACCGGCCAAGCGCTCTAGTTCGCACCCCTATGACTGTGCCTTGGCTCTCAGCGCAACCTGCGCGTCGATCACTTCCTTCACCTTCTGCACCGGAAGTTCTTCCGTGCTCCGCCCGGTAAAGTACCGGTCTTGCTCGATGCCCTGGTATATCATGGCCTCCGTGCCCAGGATCACCTGCCAGCCCGCGTCCTCGGCCAGCTTGCCCAGCGCCGTGAAGGGCGTGGGGTTGTAGCACATCTCCAGGATGGCGCCCTTGTGCTCCTTCTCGCCCAGGAACACCTCGGTCACGGCGCGCGCCTGCTTCTCCAGCTCCGTCACGGGCGGGAAGTCGGGCACGCACGCCACGATGGCGCCCGCGCCCTCGAGCGCCCGCGCCTGCTCGACCGTCTCGACGTGCACGAGGCCGTCGCCGTACCCGCGCTCCGAGCACTCGGCGACGACGGCGTCGACCTCGGCCTTGTCGCGGTTCACGAGGTAGATGCTCGTGGCGCCGAGCCACTTGCGCAGCGCGTAGACGGCCGAGCGCGCCGCGCCGCCGCCGCCGATGACGAGCCCCGGCCGCCCCCGGAAGACCGAGTCGTGCCTGTCGGCGGGGATGTTGCGCAGGAACGACTCGCGCACGCCGACGACGTCCGTGTTGGTCCCGCAGAAGACCCGCCTGAAGCCGGTCGGCGACGAGGCGTCTGGCTCGTCGCGGATGTACATGGTGTTGCAGGCGCCCACGGCGCGGCACTCTGGCGTCAGCTCATCCAGATGTGGAATGATGGCGACTTTGTGTGGCATTGTTACTGCCGCGCCTGTCTTCTGGGTTAGAGCGAGTTTTATCATGTCAAACAAGGGCGAGATGGGCCATACCATAGAACTTTGGGTGCTGGCGGAGCTGGAGGAACAGGTCCATGTCTGTCGAGTCCAGCCGTATTTGCTCCCAGTTCAGTCCGATTTCTTGGTAGACAACATCGTGTAGCAGTGGAGACATGGACGCTGTGATCTTCTGGCCAAAAAGATAGCCATGTCTGTCTAGGTGATCTACTTTTGGCACATTTGTTGGTGGCTGTTGCACCTTGCGCCGTGGGGCATTACGTGGTGTGGTGGTTGTGGCTGTGGTGGTGGAGGACACGGTCATGGTCGCCATGATGCCGGTGGAGGGGCGTTCCAAGCTGATAGAATGAGGCATACGCGGAAATGCACTGGATTGACTCGGGTGAGGGGAGCTTCCGATATGTCGGATCTTCAGAGGCTGAAGGCTAGTCTGCAGACAGAAAGAGGCGCGACTGTGTCAACAAAATAGGGGCGGCTCTGAGAAGTCTGATTGTACAAATAGAGTAAAGTAATGGACCCCATCCGGATCCTTATACTCCTTCTTCCGACGTGTCGGGGACATGTCGAAATGCCGCCGAGGTCTTTAGCCAGTTCCCCGACTATAACGGATGATCCGATCCACAAGAAAGGGATGGATGGTCCATGTTCCGAAATGGTGCAGCCGAGCGCTAATCTGGAACTACGCAGTGCCACGCGACTGCTCGTAATAATTCGCGTCTGTAAGTCGTACTGGTGAATGCTTTCCCGCAGGGGTTAAAGACTTTTCAGCCTCCACTTATTACCGTGGAATCCACTAGCGAGCTGTTGGAGAAGAACCCCACGCGGGCTCCTTCCCTGGGGAGCGAATGTGGACCAGAGTCCCGACCATTCATTGACGGCCAAGTTGGTCAGCCAGGTTGTCTCGAATCCGAACTTGACCACAACTTCAAGGGCCTTGATAACAATGCTTGGCAACAAATTCTCCTTGAGAATGATCTGAATCATTGAACATCTGATAAGAATTCTTGTCTATGTCTCTCTACGATTTGGGGACACCGAGAGGTTAATTCTGTTGCTCGAGTAAAGGAGTAGGGCGACTGACTAGAGACGCTCTCACGGTCTAGACTTTTTCAGGCAGTTCCGGAAAAGAGGGCTAGCCTGTTCTAGCAAGACCCCATCACACTCCTTATGCCCGAAATGGGTGTCACCAGGCCACTGTTCCATCTTGTGTAAGCCGGACCATCTTGTATCCCCCGAGAAACCGATTTGCCCACCAGCTACTACGGGCCACACCTACTGTGGTCTAGTCCATGCCCAGGCCAACACTCGGCAGGGTCTATTGAACGTTTAGCCGGCCGTTATGGGGTTGACATCACCGGTATTACCAGGCTATCACTTTTACCACTGGCACACCCACACATCAACCAGTGTCTCATGTCTGGAAGAAGAAATACTCACTGCCACACACGCTTATCTTCGGCAGCACGAGAAGGGGATCTTGTGTGTTCCGTCATGGCGCGATCAATCTCGATACACAAGGATGGCCTCCCGTGGGGCTTATTAATGTGTGCTGGGCAGCTGTGGCCTGTATACATAGGTACAGCCTCTGCTTGCTCAATACGTATCTAGTCATTTACACATCCGTCCCATCAAACCAGTAATCACGTCCTAGTGACACAAGTCGAGACATTGAAGGCAAGTCGACTTGGAAATGGCCCAATAAAACGCATTGTCTGACATGTCACCATCGTGGTAGAACCTTATTGTCCTCCGGCCGACCGCGCGCTTCACAATATTGATTCACGATCAACAAGTTGCGTCCCCAGGAAGCTGCGTCTGAAACAAAATATCGTCTCGTTTGCCCGTCGTATCCTCGTGAACCGACGCCGTCCACGAGTCGCAACCGTGAGCACCCATATCAAGATAGAGTTAGGACGTCGTCCCTGGCTGACTCGTCTAGACCAAGGTTTTTGCATCTCGATCCAGCAGAAAGGCAATCGCATGACAGGTAACTCTATCGCACGCGTGCCTGCACGAGCTCGACGTTCGTAAGGCTGCTGCTAAGCGAGGACGGGGAGCCGTGCTCCGGGTATGGCCGACGAGACCTCAGGTCAACCAGGTAGGTGATTGTGTCTCATGATCCCATGTCACTTCCTTGCCTACTCAACACTGCATGGTGACTCGCCCAAGGACCAACGGCGCCAATAGAGTGCCTACTCCCTGGCAGAGAGTGGCAGGCGTCTTGTCTATGGGCGAGTCACCACATACTTGGGAGCGGGATGGGCTGGGCTAGTTCGAGTATTTAATGATCAAGTCCTCCCTTCTCCTCCAGTATCGATCAGAATCATCAGCCTCGTTCTTCACATCAATCACATCTATCTCATTACAACACATCTTCCGCTTTCTGTACAGCCTCGCTTACATTGTCTCTGAAGTATACAAGCCAGCAAACTCTCTTCTCAGATTTACACAACAACTATCCGCGAGGAGTTTTAATCCCGTGATTTATTTTACTGGATATAATTCACCATCATCACTCTGATTCAAATTTCACAATACACCACTCAATATGTCGTATCAGCTGGGAATCACCTCCATGTCGCTGGGGCGCGCCACAGCCGGCCACTCCCTCACACACAAGCTCAACATGGCCCAGAAATACGGCTACAAAGGGATCGAACTGTTCTTCGAAGACTTTTATGAGGAGGCAACCGCCCGTTTTGGGAATGGGGCACCCCCTTCCAAAGAAGCTCAGCTGGAGGCCGCACGATACGTGCGTGCTCTCTGTGCCGAGCGCGACTTGTTCATCATCTGCTTGCAGCCCTTCGCACACTACGAGGGCCTTGTGGACAGAAAAGCACATGAGGAGCAGATCGAGAAATTATATTTCTGGATCGAACTTGCCCACGAGCTGGGAACCGACATGATCCAGGTCCCCTCTTCATTCCTCCCCGCGGACCAGGTGTCCGAGGACATGAACCTCATTGTCTCCGACCTGCAGAAAATCGCAGACATCGGAGCAGCAGCCTCCCCTCCCATCCGATATGTGTACGAGTCCCTCTGCTGGGGAACTCGCTCGGACCTGTGGGAGACCTCCTGGGAGATCGTGAAGAAGATCGACAGGGACAACTTTGGCCTCTGCCTCGACAGCTTCAACATCGCGGGCAGGATATACGCCGACCCCTGCGCGGCCTCGGGAAAGTGCGAGAACGCCGAGGAGGTAGTCCGGCAGTCCATGGAGAGGCTGGTCAGGGAGATGAAGCCATACATCCACAAGGTGTTCTACGTCCAGGTCGTCGACGCCGAGAGGCTCTCGGCGCCGCTCGTCGAGGGCCACGCCTTCTACAGCGCCGAGCAGCCCTCCCGCATGAGCTGGAGCCGCAACTGCCGCCTCTTCTACGGGGAGGCCGAGTACGGCGCCTACCTGCCCGTCCGCGAGATCTGCGACACCATCTTCAACAGGCTGTACTTCAAGGGCTGGGTCAGCCTGGAGCTCTTCAACCGCCGCATGGGCGACACCGACAAGGACGTCCCCGAGGAGCTGGCCCGCCGCGGCGCCGTCTCGTGGCACAAGCTGATCAGGGACATGAAGCTCAAGATGGACGACGAGCCCGCCCCCGTGCCGTACGCGCCGGTCGTCTCGTATCCCCAGTACGTCAACCACCACCTCACCCCGCCGCCTTCTCCTCCAGACCACTAACCAAACCCCTGATCGGACAGGACGCTGGAGACTGCGCAGAAGGCGGTGTCGGCCTGGGTCCAGGGATTCAGGTCCAAGGTGGTTGACTTTGGGAAATGAGTAATGAACTCGCGGCAATTGGGGCGAAGCATCACAGCATTCGAGCACGGGTTTCCACAGGCGTTCAGGTTCACTTTGGGCATATTCCAGATAGATTGAACACTTTCTTAGTTGGCCTCCAATCGACGATCTCTTTACCTTCAATCTCAACTACTTCTAAAATATGCGAGTGATCAAACTTCACTGTGTCCATAGTCACCTCTATGGTAAGGCGTCTCGAGGCCAGACCAGCAACTCTTGGAAGCTCGTATACAGAGGTTACCTACTTCAAATCATCAAACCTACCCCAGTGGGCAGTGACATTACCCTGGTCTTGAATTTGAAATCACGGAGCACGAAAATGCGAGATCACATCCGGTCTTTGAGTACCGAGACCGACGAAGGTCTGACATGTGAATGAGACATAGGAATGGACAAGGCTGAGAGACGTTACCAGCCCGGAACACGAGGCTGGGGACCCTAGTGGGAAATTGGTTCGAAAATTCTCACCAATCAACCTGGATTTACAAGGGGATTGCAAGCGACAAGGTCACATGGAAACTCCGACAGTCCCACATGGAGTTGATTAGTGGAGAGACCTTCCCCGGGACTGGATCAAAGTCGGAAAGACTTTGTTGAAGGAGGACTCTCTTTGGCCAAAGCTTACTGTCATCTTTGAACATTTCGAGTTTCTTCCGCCGTGGAACCCACATACACCCCAGGTGCAAGCAATAATAGCCCCTCAGGGGCATCACTGCATCCAAATCTGAGCCCCGAGCATTTCCCGTGAGATTTAGATTTGCGAGCGTCTGAGAGATTCTGTTTCTACCAGTAGGAAGTCTGAGGTTGGTCGCAGTTCTTACCAAACGTGGCTCCTCCGTCAACTACATAGAATTCAGACCATATGCATTACGGACTGATTCAAGTCATTCAATAGTTCATCTTGAATTAATATCTATCTTGTTTTGGATGCAACACGGAGGTCGTATTTACCGCAGGCCCCTTACGAACACACTGCTTGCCTTCCCGTAAAATGGCACACAAGCTGAATTTGCGTCTATCAAATGGCGTACAAGATCACCGTACTAGTCAGGAATCACTACAAACTAGCCTGGTCATCGAGGCAAAGACCTTGTCACAGAGCAAGTACCAATTGTCTCCAATCGGAGAACCCCCAAGTAAGGTTCATGGTGGGCCTTCCTTGTCATCGGACAACTCCACGAGTATCCAGAGTCCGTCATGAGCTCTTGTTCCTGATTGGGCTTTTTTGCTTCATTGTGCCTGCATGAGTCCCCCATCAGAACCCTGACTGTTATTTGAATAGTTTCAAAGGAAACAGCAGCAACGATTCGAGCAAGGGGTAGACTAATGACTCGAGATGTACTTTGCGATATGCTTCAAGATACAATTCGAACTACGCATGTGCGATATGATTATAGATAAAATTCAAGAAATGAATCAGTCATTACACGAGACGCAACTTGAGCACTCCTGAGGACGATGATTCGAGAAGCGGTGGACATGCAATGCGAGACATGTTCTTACATTAAGTTCGAGATATGTCTTGCGATATGGTTAGAGATTCAGTTCGAGCACGTCTTTTAAGAAGCATCGTGCCATTCTAAATTTGAAATAGGACACAAAGATCTAGAAAACACGCAACAAGTATTAAAGTTTCGGTGTCATCCGAGCTATACCCACCTGACTAGCCCAGGTGAAGCCATTCACTTAGCTGGGAGCACTCTATGCTTCGATAATAAGAGCCATCGAGTATACACGACAGCGCATACAACCGCATAGCACTTACTATCGAAGCCGATCAGAATGGGGAACCCAACAACCCGTGCCCATCATGGGCCTCTAATAATATGCCAGCGAAAGCTCGCGCACGCAACAAGAGCCCCGAGGGGTAATCCGCAAGCATCCAGGAGAGCACCTCACACTGTAATCGACGGCCATCACAGCTGATGGCTTGATGCGTGTACTGACTAGCTTTCTCTATCGGAATTACCCAGAGCAAACACTCCCATGTGAAAGGGATGTGGGGACCCCGGAAACGAAACGCCTCTGAGCATGACGGCGAGATCCTGCGGCCCGCTAGAATCACATACCTTACCCAGCCCCAGGAGACTGGCAGGGTGCACTGAGTCTTCGCCAAAGCTTAGCCCACATCCCATCTATGCTGTGACGTTACACGCCCGAGGACCCGTCACGGGCCGAGAAAAGCTTGGTGTTGGTTCCCACGGGACGAGTGACCGTAGCCCCTTGACATGACTTAGACACAGACTTTAAGATATGGGTCCAGCCTCCTGCGCCTCAGCCTCTCCTCTCTATGAGCCTGCGACACGGCGAGGATGCTGATAACGTCCCGGGAATGGCTACCGGTTTGAACATCATCACGGGCATGAACTCCAGTTCTATACTCGGTCTCGGGCTCGGAAACTTACGTAGAGAGAGCGGTGTGAATCCGAGTCCCAGAGTCAAACGCTATGGAGGTCAATATGGAGCCAACCAGGAGGACCAGGAAAAATCATGCGTCACCACAGGAAACACGAATGAGAGCCGATCACAGCCACAGAAGAGAGGCGGAGGCTGTCCGAAGTGATAACTTTTGAAAACTCTGAACTAAGTACCCAGCAGCCTTGCCCCCCGTCGTATTCCTCACCGCTTGAGGTGCTTCGCCACAAACTCCAGCGCAGCCTGGTACCCGTAGACGCCGAGCCCCGCGATGACCGCCACAGCCTTGTCGCTGAAGTAGCTGTGCTTCCTCCACGGCTCCCTGGTGTGCACGTTCGACACGTGGACCTCCACAAAGGGTATCGACACGCCCAGCAGCGCGTCCCTGATGCTGGTATGTGTCAGTTACATGCCCCTAAGTGCTGAATCGAGGCATTCCGGGGAAGTTTCTTGACAGAAAAGGCCCCCCCCCCCGGGGGCGGGGGCGGAGGTGAGGGGCGGTGCCAGAATTAGGGAGTTCCGCAAGGCAGGAGAAAAAAAAAAAAAAAAAAGGGCAAAATTTACATACGCTACACTCGTGTGCGTGTACGCTCCCGGGTTGATAATTATGGCCTCGACCTTGCCCTCCTTGTTCCGGTCGCCATTGGGGCCGAAGCCCGCCGCCTCCTGGATGCGGTCCACGATGGCGCCCTCGTGGTTGGACTGGAAGGTCTCGAGGGTCACGCCCAGGGACTTTGATTGAGACTCTGCTGTGGATATGACGTCGGCGAGGGTGGTCGAGCCGTAGATCTGGGGCTCGCGGGTCCCGAGCAGGTTCAGGTTCGGGCCGTTGATGAGGAGGACGCGGGTTGCCATAGTGGGTGTTGGAGATGAAATTGACTATGAACTTTAATTCAAATGCGAATGGAGGCTAGTCTGTGTTCCTTTTGAGGTTTCTCTATCCTAGGGCGGATGCAATGGCATATATCGCAGAACACAATCCCGTATTAGTCCTTCAACTTGAGCAACCAACCGATGCCGGCCGGCTTCAATGACCGCGCCCTGTGTTCCGGGACACGCAGTCAAGCGCAACGCACCTGGTGCGCCTTTCACCGAGTCGGTACCGTGGATGCCGATGCCGTGCCTGATTCGAGCCGTGACGTCGACTGGTAGAACCCTGGGCCGAGCACATGCAGGACGGAGGGTGTGACCCGGGGGGTTAAAGTCTCTCCCGGGGCGGAAGAGATCTCATCCAGGAGCTTGCGTCGCCAAGTGGCCCTGTGCAACGTTGATCCGAGGACGCGGGTTGTACGCGTGGACAGTGAATTATTCACCCGACGGGACCCCGTATGGATACTTTTGAGGCCATACACAAGGAGAAAAAGCCTCTCTCGGTCCCAGGGTTGGTTGTCATGGTGCATAGGGCGAATAAGTCGATGTTGGGGGGTTCGGAGCAGCGACCGACTTATCAAGGTTTCCCTGAGACCTCGGATAGCCCGTGAACGTGGACGCTATAATTCAGGGCACTGTCAAGTAGTTACAGTGGGGTCACAGAGCGTCATGCCGCTATAGCGGAAATAAACCGCTTCGGTTGGCGGCGGCGTTGTGGCCTGGGTTGGCGGGGTACAGGCCTGTGTGAACACCATTGAAGCTGCCCTGCTAAGCTCTGACTGCCCTCACGTAGCTGGCTTGCTTCTTCACCTTGGTGTGACTATAGACTCTGCATAGCGGCCCTACTACACTGTCTTTATACCTCTAGAAATGGCACCTCAAATCAGCGAGAAGGAACTGGATGAGATATACGCATTCGCCGTGCAATTAGGCAAAGATGCAGGCAAGATGCTCATGGATGCCGCGAAGCTGCGGATGGCAAGCGGAGGGGCAGCACATGAGTCCGTGGAGAAGGAGAACGCTGTCGATATCGTGACCAAGACAGATACAGGCGAGTTTGATACCTTCACAAGCCCGTGTCCGCGTGCAACCGGCTAATACGGCCCTTAACAGACGTCGAGGCGTTCATCCATAGCTCGATATCAAAGACCTACCCAAGCCACAAGTGAGTCACCCGGACCTGCTCATTGGTAGGTGGAATGGGGTACTCAACACATCGTACAGATTCATTGGGGAGGAGACGTATTCCGCCGGCTCGTCAAAGGATTACCTCATCGACGACGAGCCAACCTGGTGCGTCGACCCGCTCGACGGCACCGTCAACTACACGCACCTTTTCCCCATGTTCTGCGTGTCCATCGCCTTCATCTTGGGGGGCAGGCCAGTGGTGGGCGTCATATACGCCCCTTTCCTGGGCCAGCTCTTCACCTCCCGCCGCGGCGGCGGCGCCTTCCTCAACGAGACGCAGCGCCTGCCCCTGGTGCCCGGCGTGCCCGTTCCGGCCAACGCCCCCAAGGGCTGCGTCTTCAGCTGCGAGTGGGGCAAGGACCGGCGGGACCCGGGCTCCGGCGAGGGCAACCTGGGCCGGAAGCTCGAGAGCTTCACCAACATGGCCGTCGAGGTCGGCGGGCGGGGCGGCAAGGGGGGCATGGTGCACGGGGTGAGGAGCCTCGGGAGCGCGACGCTGGACCTCGCGTACACGGCGATGGGGTCCTTTGACATCTGGTGGGAGGCTGGCTGCTGGGAGTGGGACGTCGCGGCGGGGATAGCCATCCTCGAGGAGGCAGGCGGCCTCGTGACGACGGCGAATCCGCCCGAGGACCCGGCTACGGCAGACATCCCGGATGTGAGGCTGGGCAGCAGGCTGTACCTCGCTGTAAGACCGGCTGGGCCCTCTGCCACAGAAACCGCGCGTGAGGGGCAAGAACGGCTGGTGAGGGAGGTGTGGAAGCGAGTTACGGCTCTCGATTATTCTCGGCCCGGGGCGTGATGTCAAGTTGGTTTGGGATAGAAGACAGGCGGCATCGGAGACATCAGCATAGAGTTGAAAGCTTTTGGGCCCGTCTCGTCAGCACGACTGGGCCCATGTTTTGATACAGGTATATGAGCAGAGGTGCCATCTTCAGCTCCATGTGGCGTGTATGTCCGGTGGTCCAGTTAATATACAGATAGACTTTTAGACTTCGGCACAGCGTCTTGACCTGGCCCGTGAAAATGAGTTTTGGTGGGTATCATGCCGACTTCTCAACTTTTTTGGGGTTCCTAATCTAGGCCGGGGAATGCCTCGCCCTGTGGCTGGCCCTTTTTGCCGCCCTTCCTCTTCTTCTTAGGCCTTGGACGGTCGCTGTCGCTGCTGTCGTCACTGTCCTCGGAATCATCGTCGCTGTCGGCTGCGCGCTTGCTGTTGCCATTGGCTCCGTCCTCTGCGCCCGAATCTTCCTCTTCCTCGTTGTCTGCTCCGTTGGGTTCTGCCCATACTTTCACGACCCTTCCACCACCACTGATCATGCGTCCCTCGCAGTCGAAGTTGACAGCAACCACTCCCTCGATGTCATCGTGTCTCAAGACGGCCTGGGTCTCCCGGGCCTTGAGATCCACGATCGCGAGGCTGCCGTCGCCCACGCCAACGGCGACCTTCTTGCCCCAGCCGAGCTCGTCTGGCAGGCGCGCAATGCAGTCCAGGCTTTCGCCGTCCTTCTTGTTGCGCCCGCCTGCGACGTAGATGCGTTCTTGTTGGTCGTCCCATGAACCCCTGTCCCAGATTGTGAGCACACCAGAGCCAGTCCCCACCGCCACTACAGCATTACTTCGCAGCTTCTTGGGGCCCAGGCCGGAAGGTATGAGTTCGGCGCACAGCAGCTCATCTTCCTGGTCCTCGCTCCTCGTGATGATGCCACTTCTGATATCGGTCACCGCCACTGTCGTTCCTCCGGTCGAGACCCACTGCCGCGGGACACCAGATGTCGACTCCGCGCTGGGCGGTAGTGGCGTGATACTGGTAACGTAGTCGTCGTGGGGGAAGTGCTTGCGAACAGGCTGCGCACCGATCGAGCCGAGGGGATCTTTCGAGCTGGGGTCCTTCTCGGCGCGCAGCTTGTCGCGCAGGTCGTAGATATACAGCGCGCCGCTGTCGGTCCCGACGAGGAGGTTCTGGGGGCTGAGGACGCGCATGATGGCAGGGTCGTCGGCGGAGGAGCCGCGGGGCGGGATGTTGATCTTGGAGATGACCTTGCCTGTCTCGGGCGAGAAGTGCTTGACTACCGAGTCTGTGCCGGCCGAGTAGAGAGCTATTGTGGTCGGTGGTGTCAGCCATTGCGGTCCCAGATACGCGTGCTGCGGCATTGGAGGTTGGACGCCGACGTACATTGCCCATCGTAGCTGTATGCCAAGCTGCGACAGCTTCCCTTGTGGCGCCGGGTGCTCCACACACTCCTGATCAGGCCCTTGCCGCTTGTGATGCTGCTGTTCTCGTCGACTTGTTCGTCCGAGTCGTTGTCGGAGGAGGGGATCCGGAAGGTCTCGACATGGCCGCTCGAGAGGCCCACGGTCAGGACGGGCTCGGTTGGGTGGACGGCCTGGGTGAACAGGTCCGAGGTCAGCGGGAGGGTGCAGAGGTTCTCGAACATGATGCGTATGTGTTTGCGTCAAGGTCAATTGATCTCAACAGGCACGATCCATCCCCCTCGCTTCTTCAAAGAGCCATGCAGCTAAGGCAGGTGTGGTCTTTGGATTCGGCTGCTCAAAAAGTTGACCACGCCGAGTCAAAGAAACTGAAGATTTTCAAGGTTCTAGAAGCCAGCTCCAGTCAGTGAGTGCACTAGGAGCTGAACGTGGGGGACGGCCCGCTTTGGTAGAGACAGGCATGTTGTACCTAAGTACCTGGGTACCCAGGTACCTCGAGCTGCTTCCAAGACAAGACGACCGAAAGCACCCCTACAACAGCATGGCCTCTTTCTTCATTTAGATTTTTTTTTAAAAGAAAATAATAATGACCATAATAGCCAGAGCCTTTTGATCTATCTACAGCTGACATGTCTGGACTCCTGCGTAAGGGTATCCACATCGAGGCCTCCACGGGCTGCACGACCTGAACCAACTAATACTGAGCGGTCTTCTGGCAGTGCAGTCGTAGTCTATATTTCTACGATCAGGTGAGAAGGAAATGGCAGACCAGGGATTGAAACAGGATGGTCACATGGATTTCATAGGATTCCATCGGTCACGTAACATAGACCATGCGTAGCTTAGGGGAAACCCTACATCGATTTTGGACTATAAAGTCACATTGATTTCTCAGGCCAGACGACTGGAAATCCTTATTGCGGAAGGAATGTGGTCAGGCATAGACTACCCTCGAAAATATCTCGGCCAAGCAATCAGGTTCAGAAATTCGAAGCCTTCATTCGTCTTGGCGATCATCTGGAACAACGTTGTATTACTCCGGGCTACCATCACATTTCAAACGGATGGAGATGTACAGGCGCAAAGTCCCTCTTTTCTTCTCAAAAAGTCGTCAGTCACTCGACAGCACGACAAGTACTTTCATGGATAGTAGGCACTGAGCCCTGAGCATCTCGCACAAGTCGCGCAAGAATGTGTCCACCGCCATCGTCGGCACCACTGACTACAACTCGTCTCTCTCAGCCCCAGCGTCTTTCCCCACCGCTCCAATCAGCGACTTCAATCGAGTAAAGTCCGGAGCGTCCTCTCCTAGTCCCCAAGCAAATGTACCTCGTACTTTCAGCTCCTTGGTCAACTGCTCAACCTTCTTCGTGATGCTGTGGGGGTCGTCAAACGTCCACCAGAGGGCCTCCTCCGAGTCGTAGTAGCATGTTGCTCCTTCGTTATCATCGTACTCGCGATGTAAAAGCGCCTTCTGAAAAGAATTCCTCATGTCCTCGGGAACCTCGTCATGCCAGGAGAAGGCACCCGCTCGGCCCAGGTCCCCGCCGGTGACGGGGTCCTCCAGGAGCAAGGTCTTGCAGCCGATGGGTGTCTTGGCGTTGTCACAGTCCTCCTTATCGACCTTGAACCACTTGACGTAGAAGCCAAGCCCGAAATTGATCTTCTCGCGCGGTACGCCGTCAGCGATGTATCTCATGATAGTGTTGCGACTGCCTCCAATGCTTGAATGGTGCTTCGTGATGTCGTCCCGGCGGTTCATCAGATCATAGGTCATGACATTCAGGAAGTCCAGGTGTGGTTCAATGTGTACGACATTGCGGCGGAAGGCAATCATGTCTCGCTCGATGCCGGGAACTGCAGCTGTGATCAACTTGGAGGGGCCCAACGCGGAGCGAAGTTCGCCGAGAAGGAGCGGGTAAGCCTCGATTTCCCACTCTTTCTCCGAGTTTGGAACCTGCTTGTAGTCCTCGCCGTTTCCGCCGGGGTACTCCCAATCAATGTCGACGCCTAGAGAGGGATCAGTCAGTTTATGATCGCCGTTGGTGGGCAAGAAACCCCGACATACCGTCAGCACCGGTGGCTTCCACCATCCTGGCCACGTTCCCGGCGAACGACTTTCGTGACGTTTCATCCCGAGCTGCAATGGAGAAGTCCGTATCGCCCCAGCCACCGATGGCCACCAAGATCTTGGTCCCCGTTGCGAAAGCCTGGCGTGCCGAGTCAACGCTTCGATCACTGGGCCACTCGCTGCGGTTCGAGTCCAGGAACAAGCCCGACCGCATGAAGGCAAGGGCAACATGGGTGATTGGGTTGACCAGGCTCTCATCGCTGGGTATCACATCGTGTTGCCTCGCAAGTATGTCAGCGATTGTGCCTCAAGCTCTATGCATGGAGCATCATGGTAGTTACCCAGTGAGATACATCAGACAAATAGGTTCTCTGTCGCCAGCCATGCTGCAGGTGATGAGGCCAGCCACCAGCCACACCAGAGCTGCCCCGGTGCGCCGAGTCAAAAAGTGCATTGCTCCAGCTTTGATGTGGTCAACTCATAAGATGTAGTTCAGGGCAATGGTGATGGCTTGTGGCTATGTGTGAGGGAAGGAGGTTGATGGAGCTAGGTCGGTTGCGGATGAGAGGTCCACGTTGCGCTCGTCCCACAAGCTCAGACCCCGGCACACACACACACACACACACACACACGTAACCGCAGCCGGTTCAGTTTTCATCAAGCACCATAAGGATGGCGCCACTTCTTCCACGTACTTTCCCCTCCAGCGGCTTTGAATCCATAGACTCATCTATCAAAATTGAAGAAGAAACACTATCGTTCTACGACCCGCGCACGTTTTATCCGGTGCGAATGGGTGAGGTCTTCCGAGAACGTTACCAGGTTGTCGCCAAGCTGGGCTGGGGTGCACATTCCACAATCTGGTTGTGCCATGACCTTCAGTACGCCAATTTTCTTTCCCTTCTCGTAAACACTTCTGTTTCTCATTTCTAACACTCCCTCATTTGAAGCAAAACCTCTACCGGGCACTGAAGATGCACATCAACACACTTCAGCATAACCGTGAGCTTGAAATATACCAACACCTCAATAGCCCAGCCTTGAAGCAGTTAGAACATGACGGCAAAGAACATATTGGAGAGCTCTACGACAATTTCAGAGTTGAGAGGCCACATGGAATTCATGATGTCTTTGTATTGCGTCCTTTGAAGGCCTCAATCAGGGACCTTCCGAGACTCACGCCTGATCGTGTCTTTGATCACCAAGTTGTGCCTGATATGCTTCTTCAAAAAGAACGGATATTCGCACCCGTAAAAACGGAGAGTACACCCGCACATCACTCACACTACAGCTGCAGCCAATTAGAGCATATCACTAGCCCAATTTATACACCCATACACAGTAATACACCCAACACCCACATACCCAACACTTATATACCTAACACCTACACACCTGACACCTACACACCTAACAACTACACACCTAATACTTATATAAACTAGGTGTATATGTGTTAGGTGTATGAATTGGGTGTGCAACTTGGGCGTGGGTGTTGGTTTAGTGCTGGCGATGTATGGGTGTACCCTCTGTTTTTGCAGGTGCAAATATCCGTTCTCTCTTCAAATCCTTCTTATCATGCATTTTCTGCATGCAGAGGCAGACGTCACTCACACAGGTTCGTAAAGCCAAAATGAATCCATACCCTTTCCTTTTCATTTGCCCTTAATGGAATGGAAGAAAAGGATGAAAGAAACAGGAAGCAAAAGGACAATACCATAGGGTTCAATATGTACTGATATCATCTCAGACATTCACACCGGCAACTTACTTCAGGGCGTCAAGAATGAGCAAGTGTTTGCAGAAATCGAGGAAGACGAGCTAAGCGGAAATCTGACTCCTCGAAAAGACGTTGAAGAAAGGACTATCTATAGGTTCCGATTTTTCCGCGAAGCTGTTGGCCGCTTATATCTTTGCGACCTTGGAGAACCCCTTGTAGGAAACGAGAGTACGGGGCCGGCCATGCCCACGCAACATCACGCACCCGAGGTCATCCTTGGGATGAAACGTGGACACGCTATTAACCAGTAAAGCGTCGGCATGATGGTATGTGGCAGTATCCAAGTAGCAATTTAAGAAGTCAATGAGAATCCTAACTCTTTGTGCGGGCATGAGATGTGATGCAGCGTGTGGACTTATTCAAGATTTACAATCCAGAGGACGAGTGCCTAGACAATGCGCATCCTGAAGTCATCTTGCTGCAATGATCGCGCTTCTCGGTCCACCACCACGTGAGTTCCTAAATCGGAGCCAGGAATCCTTGAAGTATTGGGATGAATATGGTTAGTATCCATGCCCCTAGATGAGTTATTTACTTCTAATCAGAACTCTATGTAAAGGTACAGTTGGAGGAACATCGTGCCTATACCAACCAACAGAACATTTTAACTCCTTGCGACCAAGCCAGACAGGAAAGGGAGCTGTTCATCAACTTCATCTCAGCACTCTTGTGGTAACTAGCTTCCAGAAGAGAGATTTGGTTCTTTTCAGGTGTTCACACACCTGTGGATAAACCGTGCAATGTAAAAGAATCAGCAAGCCGAGGACGATGGGTCTAATCTTGGAACCAGGGCGAAAATAGACCATCCCCACCCAGGTAGTGGTTGAGAAGAGCTTTGATTGCCTTCGATTTCCTCTATACTGGCATCTGTGATCATTCACGAGACCATCAGTAATCAGAACGACTTTTCACCATTTTATAATACCCGCGAATGGCGACAAATTAGTTGACGCTGTGTTCCTAAATAGTGATGGAGCCATCCCACCACCGCGTGACTGCGCCTCGTCCTTCCAGTGTGAGCAAGTTTTGCCCTTGGGTCCTCCACCACATGCAGGGGTCACATGTAGACCCTGCTGAGCAAGTTTCGATCATTCACGACACCAATGGATTGCATCAGCTGAGGGCAGCCGCCAAAGAGACGTCTCTCAGCATACTCCAATAAAAAGATCATCTGTCCCGCCAACAATCGGAAATTCAAAAGTTCAGATGACCTGGCATCTTCGCCTTCACCCCTTCATCCGAACATGGGACACAAGATCGATGCACTAAGCCATGCCTTTGATTTCTGCATTTCGATAATGGCGTTCGGTCTCTTCTTGACTGCTTACATGGGAAATTGTCGACAGAAACTATGGTATAGAGGCGGCACCGAGGGCTGGAACTCCAGCCCCAACGAGCGGATCCACTGCGACCTACCTGGACACTGCCACGAGTTGCCCGAGCCGCTTGTCTGGTCTCAGCAGTAAGCATATCCTCTAGCTTTCCTAAGCTTGTGGAAATTATGGCTGATGGTTGCGGTTTTGTTTCTTAATTTTTTTGTAGACTCACCGAAGCCACGCTCGCGGTTGCCCTACTGTCTCTGAGTTTGTTCGTCACTCGCATCGTCTTGGGAATTTCTCGCCAGACGTCTCGAACCATCTCAATCATATACGACAGCCTTCTTGCCTTTTTCTGGTTCCGCCTCCTCTTGTCGCAGGCATCAGGCGATTTCTCGGACCCGCGACACCTGAGCCCTCGGCCGTGGTATCTGATGCGAACATGTCCAACAGACACAGCTGCGGCGTGCTATGTTGCTCAGGCCGGCTTTTTCATATCGGTCCTTGCGGCTCTTTTCTACGGCGGACGATTTGTAGCTGCAGTTATAGAGTTGGTAGTGGTCTGGGTCAGGGCCCAAGAGAATGGGTATCAACGTGGTGCCATGAGTTCAGACCTTGTGGACGAGGAGAATGATCCTTGCCTGGAGGACGCCGCGGTGAGGGAGAAGGAACGGTATCGGTATCTTTATGAAGAGGCTTTAAGTCCTGTGGTTGCCTTCTTTCCACAAGATGTGAGGTAGAGTCATACAATGCAGGCATACCGGGCATGAGAAGCAGGTTCATAGTATTCTCGGTACAACGGTCTAGTCTATGGTAAATACGGCCGTGGCGAGGTGTGGGATATGGAGAGTCTGGGCCAGCTTTTATTCACCCAATAGGCTATACTAATCAGTGTTATGTAACCAATGGCTCATTGAGGCCTGAGTCGTTGTGATGTGAAAGAGATATGAAGGATGAGAAGCAAGAAGATTGGATGAGAAAAAGGTCATATGCTAGTTGAATCATTCCATTTATCATGCCAAGGTCCTGAAGATGACTTAGCTTGTACTCCAAGCTCAGGCTCGGCTAACGGTTTGCAAGCGGATATTGTGTTGACGGTCTATGGCGTCGCTGGGAGCTGTTCGCTCTAGCCTCGTCTGTCACAAGGCTGTCGCTGTGTTCTGGGCCACCTGCCACCATTGTGTTCAAAGTCTGTTACTATTAGCATCTTTTTTTTTTAAAAAAAAAAAAAATATTTAGCTGCGTGTTTAAGAGTTTACCATTGTATAAAGGGAATGCGTACTATTTATAAAGAATATGTATACGTCCTAAAAACGAGACCACCATCCCACTTAGCACCATGGAATGATTCCTGAAAGCCCCAGCATCTAGTTGGTCACTAGCGCCAGTGTCGGCAATCCACCAAGGTACCTGGACGCCTGGGCTAGGCACCGGCAACCAGGCATCTTTTTCTCGTTTTATGGGCTATAACTACTGCTTCGCACCTTCTCGCCCACAACTTCGGGGAAAGGAACGACCCTCACCGTCGATCAGCAGCACATCTCCACTCAACACGCAAACACCACCAGAAGAACCTGCATCGCCATCACCATCTTTCACAACCACTTACCCCACCCGTACTCTGTCCATGGCTTCCTCAAGACCCGCCGACATGCTTTGCGACAGCAGCGGCGGCAGCAACACGGGGGAAGCCCTCGGCGAGATCACAAACCGCTCAACAGCTCCTTGTCACACACCAGGCCCCTACGTCGAAGGAATGGTGCTGGACCTGCCCGTCAACTGGACACGTGGTACGCCCTCCGAGGAGCGAGTTCTCTTTACTGTCACCAAAGTCTTCGAAGTCGCCATGTCGCCTGTAATGGAGGTACAATGGTCCTCGAGCCCCGGAAAGGCGTGAGCGGCCATCCTCAAGCTCTTCGATCGGCGCTATGGTCACGAGAGTCGTTGGTGGAGAGATATGTGCCATAGCCCTAGCGTGAAGGCTTGTTGGCAGCGATACGTGCAGTCGGGGCAAGCACCAGGGTTCTTCGAATACATCAAGGAAATGGACAAGCAGGGGCGCCAATGGTACATCGATCCACTGGAAGGCGAGGAGGACACCGCCGACACATGGGAGACGACCGCAAAGAAAGAGGGCCTGTTGCAGTATCGGCTTCTCCAGAGTCTGAAGACTGAGATCCGGGCTTATAAACACCTCGAGAAGCTGCAAGGCAAATGCGTACCACTCTTCTACGGAACGACATCTTTCTCCCTCACACCACTTGGGTCGGACCCACAATTCTTCCGCGTTGATGGCATCCTCACCCAGCACATTGACGGCTCCACATTGGACAGCCTACTGGAGATGGCGGAGGCGTCGCCAGATGTTGATTACCAAGGGTTGGTTCAGCGCGTGGTGGAGGTTGCTGAGGATGTTAATACGTGTGGCGTTGTTAATGTTGACTGCGTTCCTCACAACATGATTATTCAAATAGGCTCCATGCAGCCATTTGAGTTCGATTTCTCCCAATGCTCTTTCAGGGAGGACTTCGCCAGCGAGGACGAATACAATGAAAATGTTAGGTATTGCGGCAACCCCGTTGGTTTCGCAGCCGTCGTGGCTAAGAGACTGAGCAGAAAGTTCAAACTTGGGATTCGCATTAAGTATGGTCCATGGATTGGCACAGAGATCATTGGTTTGGACTCGAAGGGTTGGATTTGATGTCGATCCTAAGTTTGAACCACGCACACTGGAATCTCTGCGGGCGAGCTTTGATTGAGTGGCGGCGGTTGGGTGATAGTTTCGGGCTTTATCTGCGTACACTCCAGTAGCGCTGCAAGGCGATCCCGTCAAAGAGTTGTACGCTCAAAAACCCAGCATTAGAGGCGCGGTGGTTAATCAAAGGTCTGAGCTTGTCGAGGCGGCTGAAGCCCGCGCGAAGGTGATTCTGCTGGACCGCAACGCCTAAACAGCACCCACCCGGGTCACCGCTTCTTGGGACTGGAATAAGGTCGTGCGCGCCGACTACGCCGACATTGACTACATGCGGCTAGCCCTCGAGGCGAAAGAGCGCTGGGCAAACGACGCACTCTGGAAACCATTCTATCACGAGAGCGGGGCATATTGGGTCTCAACGACGGACTTTTCACGGCGAGTCTAGGAAAACTTTAAGAAGCTCGGCGTTGACTCGGGGCTCCTTGGTCTACCTGTCGACGAGGCTCGAAAGACATACGGAGGCATTTTGAAGGATGGAAATTACACCGGTGTGAAAGAGGTTTTCATCAACAAAGTCAGCGGATGGGCCGAGGCAAAAGAGGCATTGAGGTGCACAATCGAGGAGGCTGTGAGAGGTTAGGCGTCGAGTAAATTGAGGCAGACGTCTCAAAGCTAGAGTTTGTGTACCATCCATTTCTTTCTGTGCGAATATCCGTTGTCTTAATGAGGAGGGAACGACGACGGGTGTCGTCACGTCTACCAGCGAGGTCCACAAGTCGGACTGCTTCATCTTCTCTACGGGTGCATATAGGGCAAAATTGCTCGCTGATAGCGCGCCAGGTCGTCCCGAGCTTCATGCCGGTGACCGAGTTGTTGCTGTCGGAGTGACTGAAGGATTTACCTCTGTTTCTGGGGAGAATGCGGCGCAGCTGTATGAGGGACCAGTAGGGATTGCGGCACTGCCTCCTGAGAGAGTTACTCCCAACAACTTCAAAAGTACCTCGTTTCGTGGGGTTTCAGGGAGCTAATGTGCTACAACAGGTCAAAGCAACGGCAGCGTCCCTAATTCACGAGACAGGACACTCAAGTTCTGGGGGCAGACTTTCTTCACAAACACATGGCCACACCCCAACGGGAGCGCCATCTCCAGCCCTCCCGCGGAGCCAGACTACGCCCAATTCGAGGTCCCAGCTATCCTCAAAGAAGATGTAAATTTTGCAGGAAAGGCTATCTTCGGAAAGTTGAGCGATGATTTCAATACGGAGAGCTACCGTATTTGTTGGTGAGCGCCTCGCCTGACTGTCTTGAGAAAGCCCATCACCCCAGTCGTGAAACTAATTCGTACGTAGGGATGCCCTCTCGCCCAGCGAAGACTTTATCATTTCTGCACACTCCGCGAGTAAGAATCTCTACTTTGCGACAATTGGTTCATTCCACGGCTGGAAGTTTCTCCCTGTGCTCGGTAAGCATGTCGTGCAGCTGCACCAAGGGTCTCTTGACGAGCATTGGGCCAGGAAATGGGCATGGGATAAGGCACTGCCTCCTCCTCCTGTTAAAGGGTGGCCAAGAAGGGAGCTGAGTGACTTCATATAACAATTCCGATGTAGTTGTACAAGACAAGGAGATTGAATTTTCCAGAGTGCCATTATTAAAGAGGCAGGAAGGTAATTGCGGGACCATCACAGTCGCTGTCTGAGAAACATTTGCTGTTAGCCCAGCCAGATATTAATGATGGATACTTCAGAATTACATTCAAACAGGCCTGAGAGCAATTTGGAAATCTAGGCATTGTTAGCTTCGATTGGGAAAGAATGTCTACCAAAAAGTAAAGAGCGTGGCGCCGGCACGAGAAGCACGTCTAGTCCTTGCTGCCTCTATCAACTTGAGCCAAACCGTTACCAGTCAATTCTGCAGCTCTTCCGTATGAAGGCCATTCCAAAAATTTCATCGACCAGCTCGCTTCATTGGGCTGTGGATTGAGATGCCCAACGGTTGCTCGTAACTGAGCAATCGCCCACCTCACCCTCGAGATGTCATCAAACACGACAACACACTCACAAAGCCTTGCACCTTACTAGCAAAGTTCTAGTGAACTTGCAAGGCTTTCTAGAGTGTAGCTCGAGTTTTCCCATGATTCTTTCCCGTGTTCCCGTGGAAGGTCCGAAAGAATTGTGAGAAAGACTGCCAACAGACCACATGCCAAGCTGCAATCGGAGCATCGGCTCATGATGACAACCGGGCCCAGCCTCAAAGCATCCCTTCATCCATCAAAGCCAACGACCCGATCTATCAATCTTGCAAGCGTCTGGGCAAGGGCCCCACGCCTGCAAATGGATGCCCCGTTGCCGGGAGTTGGGCAACCAGGTGGAGGATAATCCTACCGGTCACGGTATTGAAGTCCATTTTCGCCCTTGCAAAATCGTTGAGATGCATTTCTTGACATCCGAAGAGAATCCTATGGCGACACGTCCAGGGGATGTGACTGGTATTGTGTCGTGCGCCGAGATGCCGCCGGAGCAGCTCGCCGGCAGCAAGCAATTTCACGACGTCCAATATTGGCATCTCCCGTTCGAGCTTCTGCAAAAAGATTTCTTTCTTGATTCGGGGCATCATTCGCTGTAATCCGGTCCTGTGACGCTCGACCCGAGCGTTCACGCGCGATGCCAACTTGTCCAGCCGTTCACCCAGCACGCCGAAGGCCAAGATAGATTTGGCGTGTTTTGAGGACTGCCGGTACAGTATATGGTCATCGTAGGAATCCTTCATGGTAAGAATCCAGATCTCCTGCGGTTTGGTCTGGCCCACACGGCGTATCCGTCCCATGGCACTCAGCATGGTCGGGATGCTGTCGGGAAGCTCGAAAATGATCACGTTGTGGCAGTCTGTATGGAGGTCGACGCCGTGTCCCAAGACCCGCATGGTGCTCAGAAGGAAGTCATATCGCTTTGCCGGATTGTTGAACTCACCAATGACTGCGGCTCTCGTTTCGTCATCATGCCTCGGCTTGCTCCTCTGGGACAGGAAGTTGAACTCGGCCATGGCGCATACTCCCTCCACGAGCCATTGTGTCAGAGGATGGACACAGTAGACGATGACTTTCTCTCCTCTCAGCTTGAGCTCTTCCAGCTTGATAAGCAACCATCGCAACTTTGGGGAACGACGAACGATATGTCTGATCATGGATGCTCTATCGGCAGGAGGCTGGTCAGGATCGGTCTCTCGCCTTGTCATGCTGTAGTAAAAGCTCATTCCAGAATCCGTATTGTTTCGGATCAAATTCTTCATGTCTGGTTGATTTCCGCGGGATGCTGGTGTCTCAGAAAACCAGGAATCTCCCCGGACATCAGCCAGGCCGAGGTCAGCCGTGATGTGGCATAGGAAAGTGTCCCAGAAATTGTTGAATGGAGCCAGTGGGGTCTCATTGTCGTTTATGACCCGGGCCGCGCCAGAAGTTGAGTTCTCACCACCACCTGTGAAAAGGAGATCGAAGCCTCTACTTGCCAAATCATGGTATTCTTCCTCCTCATGGCCCCTGCTGACCTCGATGGTTCTGATCGAAACCGGCGGCAAGGCAAGAATGCCCGAGACGGTGGAAGACCCGCTGCTGGGCATAGTGACGACAGAGACGACGCCCCGACGCAAAAGACACAGGCGGTAGATTGAGCCCAAGATTCTGCGTGCGAACTCTGGGCCGAATTTCATGTGATGTGCCAACCATCTATATGCATGTGGGTTGAGGCGCCACAGGTGTTGACCGTTTCTCAAGGCCTGTACGTACTCAGGTGACGCATTGTGTGGGACAAAGGTCCCCGAGTCTGTGATCTCGAAAGGATCGAAATCGTCGTCAAACATCCTCAGAACGCCTTCAAGTTGGTCACCCTTCGGCCAATTGATTTGCCACTCGTTGGACTTATAGAGAGCAAACAAAAGACCACGAAAATCTGAGATTTTGTTGTCGACGGGGTTTGCCGTGAGAAGGAACTGAATATCTGTGTCCAGCAAGTAAGCCGTCTGTGCCTTTCTGGATTTCGGGTGCTTGATTTCATGTGCTTCGTCAGCAATGAGCGTTCCAATCATCGCCGGACTGAAGTTGAGGTCGTAGAGTCCAGGCTTTTGTGCCACCTTTAACGCCTCCAGTGCCTCATCATTGAGTTTGGAACCGCGTAGCGATAGCTCTTTCTGACGGGCATCCTCTTTCTTCCGTTTGACGAGGAATTCCGTACTCGAGAGCTCGCCATAGGTGCAAAGAATGACCGTACGGCTTGTTTCAGGATCAGAGGGGGACAGAGTGTCCAGGAACTCAGTGAGTGCTGATGCTGATGGTGGATCGATTAGCTGACTGTGCTGATCAGGTGGCAGTGAGTCGCTGCAGATGCACAAGTTCAAAAGTCCAGAAAAGTATGTCGCGTGAGCTTCCTGCCAGCCTCGAAGAGCTTGGTGAGTAGAAAGAACGAGGGCTGCTTTGTGCGTGCCGAAATTAGGGCAAGCTTCTTGTCTCTGTGCCAGGAAGAAAATGGAGGCAAGAGCCTCAATGGTTTTTCCCGTGCCATAGTCATTGGCGTTCACACAGCCCTTCAGCATTCCTTCGGCCTTCTTCACCATGAAGGCTATGTTTTGCACTTGATCAATCCTGAGTCTCAATGTAGACTTGGGAGAAATCTCTAGCGACTGCAAGTTGATACCCAGGAATGTGGCAGCATCCTTCGGGCTGTCAACGGTGGTAGAGAAGTCGCTCATGAAGTCCAGGCCAACTTTTGGCTGACCTTGTGGCTCAGATGTGTCGGTCCTTTTGGCCAAATCCTCCATGAGCTGTTTGCGCTCGTCAGGTAGCATTTGTGGGCGAGAATTATGACCCTTCTTCTTGAGTTCATCTGAGAGAAAGCCTGTGTCGTTCCCGTGTGTGCTGAACTTGTCCACGGTGTTCATCCATTTGCTGCGCTTTGCACGGCGCCTGGGCAGGTCCTCAGCTTCTCCGTCGTCCGAATCCTCTCGGGACTCTCTGCTGCCCTCTCGGTGGGCGTCGGGGCTTTGTTCAGGTTGAGATTCAGGATGAGTCTCAGGCGCAGGGTTTGAGATCGCTCCTTCCTCCGCGTCATCTTGTTCCTGCCGCTTTTGACGCTTCGACTGGTTCGTGTACTGGGGCTCAGCCGAAGCCGCTCGCTTCAGGATTTGGGGTTTGCTCCGATGTGTGATCGGAGGCTCCTCCGAAGCTGCTCTCTTCGCTTGTTGAGAGGTCGAAGACATGTTTCCAGCTAGAAATGAGGAATTCAATAACTGTAGCAGGATTGGGGGCAGGGGCTTTGGGAATCAATGTTTTCGAACAATATTTGAGGGTCCGTCGGTTTATCTAGGGGTTGTCTAGGAGCCCGAAACTTACTTCTTGATGGAGTTGCTTCCAATTTAGTGTTGGGTGTTAGTCGAAACTTGACAGGTTCGCAAAGTGTTTCGCTCTCTTGTTACCATCTCAAAGTGAAGAAGGAAAGGCAACTGGCCTAAGTCCCCTCGACTCTGTGGTGCCAAGACAACTGTAAATCCGCAGTCTAGGGCACGGTTACTGCCCTGACGCGTGTTTGATCACTCCTCGTCGAGGATGTTTCTTTTCCAGAGAAGCGGAGGTCTCAGTTACGAAGCCGTCTGGACCAAGCTGAGTATTGTCGCCCGGGGAGTCGAAGGTGTATGTTCTTTTGGTTAGCTTGCGAAAAGCTCGCCGGAAGCTTGTGATCATTCAAGATGATTTCCACTTGACTCGTTCGGCGCAATGAACAGGATGATGTTTCGTGTGGGTTCGAAGTGTGTAAAGTGAACCAAGTGTGTAAAAAAGAGGAAGTGTCTAAAGAAGGAAGGATGTAAAGGGGAGTAGATATTGCCGTTTTGATGGCAGTTCAAGGCTTGGGAACACTCTCTGAGAAACAGCGCTTTCCCAATGAATGCGGGGAAGAGTATGACCTGAAGCAGCCGTGTGGGCTTGCTGTAGAATCGAGAGGGAAAAGGTGTCTACCTGTCCTCAACTGTAGTGACTTCGCAGGAGGTATACGGTACGATGATGAAAGTGATGCCTTGCCCGACCTGCTGAAGCTAGAAATCAAGAGAAACCGAGCCTCCATGCAAGATGACCTTAAGCTGTTCGTGTTTCTGGAGTTCTTGGGCTTGGAGAGGGCTGACTTTCGGTGATATCGGAGGTGGTTGTTAACGCCAAAGAGTTGAGACGTAGACACAGCACGAGCAGGGCAGTGTTCGAATATTGGTGGAATAAGAAGTTCTCGATGCGGTTGGCGAATAAGGTGGGAGCGTTTTTCTTAAGCATCTGGGCAATTAACATGCATAAGTATGCGTTGAGGTCGAGAGAACGCAAAGACTGTGTGCCTCTTCTGGAGTGTTGCTCAAATGGATGTGAAGCTGGCAAAACCATCCGGCTAGACGAGAGCCACGAAAAAAGCCAGGAGGCAAGAGGACGGTATGAGTGACCAAGGAGTGTAATTGGAAACGTGGCTCTGGTCGCGCTGGAAGGTGCAAAGTCTTGTTGATGGGAAATGTACCATTTTCAGGCCGAGCAGTAATACCTTGACCAGGTCTCGAGATCAGCTCAATTTCTGCTGGTGGCTAGTGATGCCTTGAGCATAGATCACCTCAGAGGCGAAATGGTTTACCGAGCACCTATATGAACTCATGCTTCTGGTAAGCCATATCTTCATTACTACTTTACAAACATCCACCCGCAAATGCCATTACAGTTGGAAGTCGATGTATTTGTTGCTGTGGTATTTGATTGGCGATCTTGGAGAGTGTGGGCGAGATCAAAACCCTCAGCTCAAAGCGGGCGTCCTCGGCGTCCCAAAAACCACGATATGATTGCCGTGTCACGAAAGATGCCCTACCGCGATCGATGTGACGCATAATTCATCGGACTTCTGTATATTATGAGCCCATTGCCACCAATTTTGGTGAGGATTGGTCCACATATCATCAACTGGCAGGAGGCTGACCAAGTTCGGTCAAATTTACCAATACCTAGACAGCCAGACGCCGATGCATCCCCCAGGACGAAATGTGATCATGGCTTTGTTGTGCCTAAGGATCCAGGTGACCGTGATCAACTCGTATCAATTCGTGCGGGTGCTGTTCAAAACCGTCAGCTCTCTGCTGCGCATTCGGATACCATGAGCGGCTCCAGGCATCTGCAATCCAGGGTCGTAATGAGCGTCATCAGTGGCATCAGCCAGACATTTCTACGACGATTTCCTGACAGGTCTCTGAAATCTGTGCCCTGGCTCACATGAAGTCGGTCCTTTAAGCTCTAGGTCTCGTGGAAACTTAGCCCGACGGGAGGATCACAGATGAGTGCTTTGATTTGCTCTAAACAATAGTAGTACCTTCTGTTCCAACGCTTAAGAGAGGGGATCAATGTGCGCATCGCATCTCCGTACAAGGAAGCCCGCGTTTGGATTCGTGCAGTGGCAGGTCACAGTCCGTCTTCAAATTATCGCAAGCAGAGCACGAGACGTTGCGGCTGTGATCCAAAACATGTATGCATCATACTATATTATGTAGATGTGACCAATCTCGATCCCAGAGACTACCTAAATAACGCCAGTTTCTATCCAGACATAAGAAAAGTACCACTAGGTATCGAACCAAATAAATCAACCTCCCTGCCATGCATGCCATGTCCAATTTTATGTAATCCCAGATAGAGTCCAGCCACCCAAAATGGGAATTGCTTTCCAATGTCTCTCTCTTCTCATCATGTTCTCATGCGTATCAGAGCATCCGGCCTCATATGAACTGGCCACTGTCGTAGGGCATCGGAGGCGGTGGCGTGTAGTTTGAGCCCTCCTGGCCGTTACCGTTGCCTTGTGCCCACCACCCCGACATCCGCTCACGCAGAGTCTTGCGGTTGCCATTCGGTGTGAAAGGCGTCATTGGCGGGCCTTGCTCGAGGTCCTCGTGATAGCTGTACCGCTCTGAGGGCGAGGGACCAGGTCGAGGAGATAGGTTCATGTCGTCGAAGGTCTGCGGCCCCGAAGGACCAGAGCCGCGTTGCTCATGTGGCTCGTACTCGTCGTCCTCGTCGTAGTAGTTCTCGTACTCCTCCTCGGGGGAGAGGGCACGTTCGACGTCGTAGTTCGGGTCGTACTTGTGCTGGTCGTCCTGCTCGTTGTACTCCTCATCCTCCTCTGGTGGCGGGGTCGCCGGTGGGCGAGGGGACAGCGGGCTGGCGGCGATGGGGCTCAATGGTTGGGACATGGTGGACATCCTAGCCGAAAGTCTCTCGCTTCGCCTCCTTGCGAAGTCAGGAACCGGTGCCATGACCGGGACGTCAAAGGACTGTCCCTGCTCCATGTTTGGGGACTCGGCGATAGCTGACAGGCCACCGTCCGAGTTTGGCGACTGGAGTGTTAGAGCCATGTCGAGATCAACACTCTGCCGGTACAAGTGCGAGTAACGGACCGGGTCCGTGTTTTCCAGGTCCTCGTCTTGTGGACTGGCTGTGTCTTGCTCCGGTGGCGGGCTCGGCGGGAGGGGCGAGGTGAGCACAGGCGAGAACATGACCGCTGACTGTCGGTAGAGCTGGGACAGGCGGACGTCGCTTGTGTCCTCGGGCTCGCCGGCCTCTTCTTCGACTTCCGCTTCTTCTTCTTGGTCCTGGTCGTTTTCTGCGTCCTCGGGCGATTCCTCCATGCCACGGTCGAGGTCCGAGTCGGTGGGTGAGCCAGGCGCCTCATCATCGTCCATGATGTCTTGCAGCGCCTCGTCGTCTAGCCCTTCCTCGTCGTCGCCGTCCTGTCCTCCATCGTCAAGCTCAGCGTCGGAGCCGGTGATCGACTCGTCCACGGCGTCTTCCAGAGCCTCCTCGTCAAGATCTCGATCCTCTTCGCCTTCCATTTCTTCACCCTCCATCTCTTCCCCTTCCATCTCTTCCCCTTCCATCTCTTCCCCTTCCATCTCTTCCCCTTCCATCTCTTCCCCTTCCATCTCTTCCCCTTCCATCTCTTCCCCTTCCATCTCTTCGCCCTCCAGGTCTTCGCCTTCACCCTCTGGGAAGTCCTCTTCTGGGAATTCTTCGCCTTCCACGTCTTCTTGTCCTTCCCCGAATTCATCATCCATAATCTCTTCTCCTATATCTTCACCCTCCATCATGTCATCATCGAGGCCGCGATCTCCATCCTCATCCATCACGCCGTCCTCAAATTCTGGTTCTCCTTCAGCCTGGTCGTCCATAAATTCCTCATCCATCATACCATCTTCCAGTGGGGCATCTTCGTCGAATGGTGCCTCCTCATCAAACGGTGGCTCTTCATCGAATGGGGCCTCTTCGTCGAATGGTGGTTCTTCGTCAAATGGAGCCTCCTCGTCGAATGCTGGTTCTTCATCGAACGGCGGGTCTTCGAATGGGGGCTCTTCATCACCTTGGCCGTCCATAAATCCATCGTCCATCATGCCGTCGTCTCCCATGTCATCTGCTGGGAATTCGTCGCCACCGTCACCGGCGAAGTCGTCGATTGGTTCCTCCGGTTGGAAATCGTCGTCTAAACCGCGGTCATCGTCTTCCAATTCACCCGGTTCGTCAGGAGAGCCGAAGTCGTCTTGAAGAATCATCTCCTCGCCGTCATCCGGCATCGGTTCCTCGTCAAACTCTCCGGCGTCCCCATCGTCGTTGAAGGGCTCGTCCAGAGGCTCATCCAGTGGCTCCTCATCGAAGGGCTCGTCCAGAGGTTCGTCCAGAGGCTCATCCAAGGGCTCATCCAAGGGCTCATCCAAGGGCTCATCCAAGGGCTCATCCAAGGGCTCATCCAAGGGCTCATCCAAGGGCTCATCCAAGGGCTCATCCAAGGGCTCATCCAAGGGCTCATCCAAGGGCTCATCCAAGGGCTCATCCAAGGGCTCATCCAAGGGCTCATCCAAGGGCTCATCCAAGGGCTCATCGAATGGCTCATCCAGGGGCTCATCGAGGGGCTCATCCAATGGCTCATCCAAAGGCTCGTCCAAAGGCTCATCCAAAGGCTCGTCTAGGGGTTCATCGAATGGCTCGTCCAATGGTTCGTCGAGGCCGCGGTCACCATCGTCATCGAAGCCATCACCGTTATCATCAAACTCGTCCGCTGGTATGTCGTCCACCGGCATGTCGTCCATAGGCATATCGTCCATTGGCATGTCGGGCTCGGGCTCGAAATCCTGTCCGGGCTCCATATCAAGACCGCGGTCCATTCCGAGGTCGGCTGGGGCGCTGTCGTCGAAACCATCGTTTCCAAAGTCGTCACCGCCGTCATTGAAAGCGGGCTCAGGCTCAGAGTAGTCATCGACCGGGGCCGGATCGCCACCAAAGTCGTCAGCCACGGGCGAAGGCGAAGAGTATCCTCCACCGGGGCTAGCCGGGCCATCAAATTCTTCCGCAACTGGCGATGAAAGTGCGCCATCGTCTGCCGGCTCGAAATTGTCCACGACTGGCGACTCCACAGGTGTGCCTATGCCGCGAGATTCAACCTCGGCGGGCGGGGAAGCGGGAGGCGAGTCGACGATGCCGCTGTCCGTCGCCATCAACTCAGGCTCTTCAGGGACGTCCTCGTCGACTGGAGCAGCAACCTCCGACTGGACCGGCGACGGCATGCCCATGTCAGGCTGCGGGGAGGCCAGGCCATCTTGCTCAGACATTGCGCCAAACTCAGACTGAACTGGGGATTGAGCAGGTGACTGAACTGCGGATTGGATAGGGGATTGCACAGGAGACGCCATGGGTGACTGGACGGGGGACTGCATCGGAGACTCCATGGGCTCGTTTGCATCGCCCGCTCCCATACTGCCCGATGGCGACGGAGGCAAGCTGTTGCTGTCGTCCATGTCACCAGCAGGTGACGCAGGGGTGCTATCAACAGCAGCGGGAGAAGGAGGCATGCTGTTACCACCAGCGGGGGAAGGTGGCATGCTGTCAACAGCGGCAGGTGACGCAGGGATGCTGTCAACACCAGTGGGGGAAGGAGGCATGCTGTTCCCTCCGAAATCGTCATCGCCACCGGCTGGCGAGGGAGGCATGCTACTTCCGCCAAGGTCGTCCATCCCACCAGCAGGAGAAGGAGGCATGCTGTTGTTGCCACCAAAGTCGTCCACGCCGCCCGCGGGCGAAGGGGGCGTATTGTTCGTGCTGTAGTCATCCATACCTTCTGCACAATCACTTTGTGTAAGCGCGGCAAGACCTTCAGCATCGGAGTGAAACTTACCAGGCGCACCGCCAAAGTCGCGGCTCGACCCACGCTTGCCATCGTCGCGCTGCTCGCCCTCAACGCCGCCGATCTTGTCAAAGATCTTGCGCATCTTGTTCTTGAAGTTGAGCGGCGCGGGCTTCATCTTCTCCGGCTCGTCGGAGCATAAGGGCTCCTCGTCGGCGTACGGCGGCGTGGAGCTGCCGCCATCCAGGGACCGCGTGGGGGAGGCCATCGAGTCCTCCAGGATCGGGGAGTCGACGGGCGATGCGAAGGAGTCCATGTCGCCAGACTGGCGCTGGTCAAAGCCCATTCCGGGGGATTGCGGGGACATGCCGCCGTGGTTGAACTCGTCGTCCACGGGGGACATCCGTGGGCTGTCTCGGTTCTTCTTCTTGCCCCATCCGAAGATGCCTTTGCCGTCCTTGTCCTTCTTGCACATCTCAGGAGACATGGGGACGTCGTCCTGGGGTGATAGAGGTTGACCGTCATGGTCGCTGAAACCATCCAGCGAGGTCGGTGTCAAGTCTCCGTCCCTGTTCTTGCCGAAACGGCCGAACAGTCCTCTGCCCTTCTTATCTTTCTTGCCCATCTCGGGAGACGCTGGGAATTCGGGCTCAGGTGAGAGCGGGCGACCGTCTTGGTCGTTGAAGGTATCATCGATGGGCGACAAGAAAGAGTCTTTGCCCTTAGGCGACGAGGGCCGGTCCATCTTGTCGTCGTAGATGTCGTCGAAACGCTCATCTCCCTTCTTGTTCTTGTCCTTGTTCTTGCCAAAGCCGAACAGACCCTTGCTCTTCTTGTTCTTCTTGTCTTCTTCAGAGAGGGAAGAGAAATCATTGTCTCCATCAATAGAATTGTCGTCAAACTGACCGGTCTTCTCTTGGCCAGGCAACACTGGAGAGCCCGGTTGTGACTGCCTCTGGACAACAAGTAGGGCTGGTATGACGTCGTTGTTGCCAGTCTGCCGCTCATCCATGATGGTGGGGGACCCAGGCATGGAGCCTTCCTCGCCAGGTGACAGTGTCTCTGAGTTGGATCCTCTCAGTTTTTTCTTTCCATCCTTGTCTTTGCTGAAGAGGCCCCGAAGCCCAGACTTCTTCTCCCCAGTCGTGTTTTCGTCGAGCTGGCCATCAGCAGAGTCGAGCAGCATCGAGTCCCTGTCAGAAGAAATGGAACCTGACTTGGATCCTCGTCGTTGCTTCTTGTCTTTACCAAAGCTGCTGAATAGGCCAGTGCCCTTGTCCTTAGACCCAGGAATGCCATCCTCATCTGCTGAGAATGGCTCCAAGCCTGGAGAGACAGCTGACGAATCCCTCAGATTCGGCGAGCCAAGTGGAGAGCCAGATTTGTTCTTCTTGTCTTTGCCTTTTCCGAAGCTGCTGAAAATTCCGGTCTTCTTGTCGCCCTTCTCATCAACCAGGTCATCCTGTCCTGACCGCGGCTCGATAGGAGATCCGTCTCCCATCGTTGGCGAGTGTCCTGGAGAGCTAATCCGGAGCTTGTTGCCCTTATCCTTGCCCTTGCCGAGGCCGAACAAGCCGTGCTTCTCGTCCGTAGGCGACTTGGAGCCGGCCTTGGTCTTGTCTTTACCGCGGCCAAACAAACCAGTGGTCTTCTTGTCACGCGAGTTCTTCTCGTCGAATGCGTCACCATTGGTTGGCCAAGGCTCCTCCTGGCCAGGTGAGCGCGGAGAATCATCCTTGAAGGTTGGAGACCCAATAATAGAGCCCCGTGAGTCACGTCGCTGCTTCTTGTCTTTCTTGTCGCTGCCGAAGTCAAAGAGCCCAGGCTTCTTTTCTCGAGTAGCCTTGGAATCCTTTCCTGCTGCCCAAGGCTCGTCATCCTTGAAGGTAGGCGAACCAAGGTCCTTGCCACCGAAGATACCGCCAAGGAAGTCACGCTTCGTGTCTTCCTCGACGGTAGACTCATCCTGCTTGTCACCCGGGAGACCGCGAGACTTGTCCTTCTTGCTTGTCTTGTCGTCGCTCGCAAGGGACGAGAAGGGTGCAGATTCAAGACGGCCGTTCTTCTTGCCCGCATTTGGCTCTGAAGCGTCCTTGAGTGTCTGCCCGTAAATACCTTTGCGGCTCGCATCCTCGTTCGAGGCGAATCCGTTGTTGGGCATGGGCGGCGTGTTAAGCATGTCATCAGTGAAAGACGAGTCCGAGAAGCGTGCAGGAAGCTGCTCCTTGTCGCCTCCCAACGGACGGGATGACGAAATGCCACTCATTTCCTTCTCGATGTCTGCCAACTTAGACGTAGGCGACAATGGCTTCTCACTGCCAATTGTTGGCGAGCCGATCTTGCGAGAGGCGCCGTCCTTGCCCTTAGTCTTGCCGAAGAGGTCCTTCAGCTTGTTTGACTTGGGGCTAGAAGGCTTTTGCGTTGAACCAGGCAAGTTGCCGAATTGCTCATCAAATGGTGACCGTTGCGACATGTTGCCATCGAGAGGGGAGAGGGGCCGACGGGGCTTGTCCTCGTCTTTGCCGCGCTTGGCCATCTTGGACTTGGGACTGTCGGAACTACCCGACATGTTTGGTTCCATGTCTCGAGACTTGGACACAGGTGCTGGGACACTGCCGGGAGCCAGAGGGAGTTGCTCGCCTTCCTTCGTGTCGAGCTTCAAGTCTGGTTGTCCTGATCTCAGCGAAGGAGGCAGCTCTTGCGATAAGCCTGCTCGTTCCGTATCGGCACCTGGGGGAGGAGGGACCCCATTTCCGGTGGGTTGACCAGGTTCCTTGGCCGCTCCGCGTGGCATGGGCCTTGATGGCAGTCCTCTCCTCAGACCCATAGGTGGAGGAGGTACCATGCCAGGCTTGTCCCTGGCGGATTCATCCACCAGGTCTCGTTTCCCTTGTGGCATTCCGTCAGAAATACCAGGTCGCAATGAGGACGGCAAGTCAGATTTGGCTGGGACGTCGTCCTTCATGGACACACCATTTTCTGCGGGAGGCTGCTCCGGCAAGCTGGGCACTGGCGGCATTTGCACGTCAGCAGGGCCAGAGCCGTTCATGTGCGATTTCCTATTCGCGGCCCGCCTTTGCTTCTCATCCAAGAGTGGAACGGGCGGCATCTGGGTACCGCCAGGAATCGAACGCTCATCACCACTCTTGTAGGAAGATGGTGTTTGAGGAACTGCAGGCACGGGGTCCTGACCGGGCATCGGTGGCATCATACCAGCTAGCACGTGGGACTTCCTGTTCATCTTTCTCTGCTCCTTTGGCTCCAGAACCTTCGGCTCCTCCTGCTTGTCTTGGGTCAGGTCCCGAGCAGGAGCTGCGGCCTGGTTGAGCTCGGAGAAGTTGTTGGCTGCTGGAGGCATAGGTGGGGATGGGTTCTGGCCCGGACGCTTTGGGAATGGCGAAGCGCGTCCCCTTGACTCACGAATAGGCGGGTCTACAGGAGGGCGCTGTATCCCATCGCGTGAGTGGGGGATGTTGGTATCTATGAGAGATCTTTGCGGGCCATCAACACCGGTTTGGGGAGGTGGAAGGTCGTTTGGTACGCGGTTCAAGTCTCTACCCTGCTGGTCGGTTCGAACGTCCTTTGGTTGGGATAATGGGGCACGACCTCGCTGATCAGGCTGCGGTACTCCACCAGCGGCAGTAGGAGCGGCAGTAGGAGTAGCAGAATCAGAGACAATAGACTGCCGGTCGATGCCTGGTGGCAGCAGAGACGGCCGTTTGGATATATTGGAGGTCGTCATGGCCTCGGCTTGCTTCTTGTCCTTATTCTTCTTGCCAAACCACCGACCCATCCCCATCCAGCCGCCCTTTGAAGGGCTTTCCGTAGCGCTGGATGGCTCAGCTGAGGGTGTATTCCGAGCAGACACATTCGTGTCTAGCCTTCCAGCGTTCCGAGTCATGTCCTGTGAGGAAGAAGTAGAAGACCTTCCCTTGTCGTTCATCTGCTCATCTCGTGATGGTGGAGGAGGAGCTTGTCCGCCTCGGCCGTCAACCTTGACGCCCATTGGGAAGGGAGTCTGTCCCTGTTGTCCTCGAGGATCACGTGAATCAGAGGGTGGCTGACGAGGATCATTGAACGAATTGCTGAAAGGAGCAGCAGTGTTGTTGGCGACTGGCTTCTTTTCCCAGTGGTTGATGGGCGCCTTCGACTTGTCTGGCACTGGCATGCCACTCTCGTCGACTCGAGGACCCCTCGGGACATCGCCCAATTGAGCACCGAGGCCAGCAAGGCCGGGCTCTCGAGGCGGAAGCTTCTGACCGTTGTTGTATGGCACAGGCATGCGAGCGGCGTCCTTCTCGTTTGCTCTTCCGGGTCGAAGAGCATCGGGAGTTGCAAATTCAGAAGGCATGGCTCGAGGCCCACCTCTGGATGGAGAAGGCATCCTCGGCATCGGGGCAACATCAGTGTCCTGAGCAGGCTTACCAGGCTGGAAAAAGGACTGCCGATCTTTGAGCCTGGGAGGTGGACGCGATCTAGATCTCTCTCTAGCCGCAGCAACAGGTGGCAGAGCTGGCTCGCCAGCTACAGGTGGAGGCATGGGTCGGCCTCGGTCGTTGCGCATGAGAGGTGGCTCAGAACCCAAAGGCTTGTCTTGGTTGGAAGGCATCGGGGGCATCGGGGGCATCGGGGGCATCGGGGGCATCGGGGGCATCGGCCGCCCGTCCCGGGATGGTGGCTGGTTCTGTTGCGGCACAGGCGGCACACCTCGTGATGCCGGTGCGTCATTTCTCGCTGATGGGTCTCTCGAGAAAGAAGGCGGCGGTTGCGGCGGCTCGCCAGCAGCCGGCATTTGGCGGCCCGTTTCTCTTTCACCACCCATTTGAGGAGGTTGAGACCCGAGGGATCTCTCTGGGAACGGAGGCAACGGACGGCCATCCTTGGACACGGGCGGGCGGCCTTCCGCGCCATTGGGTCTGGGTCCCCCGAATGGCGAAAAGGTACTCGCCATTGCTGGATCTTTCAGAGGCAGTGGAAGCGGCAACTTCTCATCCGGAGCTCCGGGAGCACGAGCAGGTATAGGACGGCCCTTATCTGGCTCATTTCTCGTAGGCAGGTTGGACGCCTCTGTGACAGGAGGAGGCATGGGGCGACCGTTCTTGTCGGATTTCTGCGAGCGGACGTCCCCGATGAACATCTCGTCCTGCTTCTTTTCGGCGCCAGCAAGTCCTCGCAACTTCGATGGCGACGGAGGCCTTCCTTTGGACGGAGACGGCTGGCGACCGCGGCTCCCAGACCGCCGCCCGTGCAATGACTGCGGCGAGGGCGGCCTTCGAGAACCATCGAAATTGCGGCCTGGGGGAGACTGACGCCGTCCATTGCCATTTCGGGGCGAGCCGGACCGTTTGGGACCATCTCTTGGAGGAGAGGGCTGGCGGCGGTCATTTGGAGCTCTCGCATCTCTGACAGACTCCTGTGAGGGTCGACCACCTGGGAGCAAAGCATTCGGGATATCTCGTCCCTGAGCTTCTGGCTTCTGAGGGGCCGGTCTTCCCCGGTCATCGCGTGGGTTACGCCCGGGAGCCAATGCGTTCGGGACTGCAGGTTCAGTTGCAGGGCCACGCGGCCTTCCGCGCTCGTCACGAGCCGGAGGCATCGGCTGCTTGGGCTCATTTTGCATGTTGGGGAGGTCGCGGGGGTTCCGGGCACCGGGGGCAAGAGCTACCGGGACCTCAGGCTGAGTGGGTCGCTGAGAAGGAGGTGGTGTTCCTCGTGCAGCGGCAGGTCCCTGAGGAGGCTGCCCGGGGGCAAGAGCTGCGGGAATGGCCGCGGGCATGGTTGGCCCACCAGCTGGCCCGCCAGCCGCGCGTTGCGGCAGTGGACGCCCACGTTCATCAACCGTGGGCTGCTGCCCGCCAGGAAGACTGCGATCGAGTCTGGCAGGAGGGCCCTGTGGTGGCTGCCCAGGCGCAAGAGCTGTGGTCATGCCAGATCCACCGGCTGGTCCTCCGGCCGTGCGTTGCGGCAGTGGTCTCCCACGCTCATCGAACATGGGCTGCTGTCCGCCGAGCCTGGCAGGCGGCCCCTGTGGAGGCTGCCCGGGAGCTAGAGCTGCAGGCATGGCTGCGGGCATGGCTGGTCCACCAGGTGTGCGCTGCTGGAGCGGGCGTCCGCGCTCGTCGAACATGGGCTGCTGTCCACCAGGAAGACCGCGACCAACTGGCTGTGGGGGCGCGGGTCGTCCTTGGTCGTCACGCGGAGGCAAGCCGCCCTTGATGTCCTTAGCCAGACCGGGACGCTCTCCAGGCCGCAGACCCTGACCATCGCGGGTTTGTGGAGGCGGGCCTTGGTTCTTCCCGGGGTGACCAGTTGGTAGAACCACTGGTGCTGGTTGACCGGGTGCGTTTAGCCTTCCTTCGGGACCAGCGGGCCCAGGACGGCGTTGTGCCTCTGGGACCGGACGAGCTCTCGCGTCACGCTCTGGTTGAGGTGGCATGGAAGGAGGTAAGCCCGCTTGTGCGTTGCGTCCGGCCGGGGGTTCAGGTCGACCAAGTCCAGCCGGTTGCTTTCCTTGCTTGTTCGGAGGAACATTCCCAGCCGCGGTCATGGGAGCACTGCCGCCATTCTCAGACTCGAATGAGTTCCTCTGAGGATGCAGCCTGTGAGGCTGCTTCGCTGGGAGCTCTCCAGCCTTGGGCTTCGTCTCCAAGTTGCCCTTCTTCTCGCCGCGCGGCTTACCAAGTCCCATGGCTTGCGCGGCAGCCGGGCCCAGTGGCGTGTCGAAGTAGCTCGATTCAGCAGGCGTGGGGTTGCGGTTGGTTTCTGGTTGCACGCCCTTGGGTGGTGGGGCGGCGCCTTTCTTGCCTCTACCTGCCAGGAGGCCATGAGACTTGTCTTGTTGGTCTATGCGGTTGATAGGGCCAAGATTCTGTTGACCCGCGGCATTTGTGCCCGGGGCCGGTTTTGCAGAGTTCTTGGGACCGGGCATGAGAGGGCCACTACCTCCATTTTGCTTGTTGGGAAGGTCATGAGTTGATGAATCAGGCAGCATTTCATTTCCCTTCTTGTCTTGTTTGGACTTCAGGGGATTCATGTTGGAGAAAAGACCGCCTCCGGGTTTGACTGAAGGCTCATCTTTTGTGACGACGGCGTTCTCGCCAAGCCTGAGTGGTTGTCCATTCCTGGTTGAAGGAAGCGGTTGGCCAGGCTTGGGAGGCTATTTGATGATGGAGTCAGTATATCTTTTGCGAAAGACTGGCAAGTCTCAATGACGGTAGAGCAGCTTCACATACAGGTTCATTCAAGCCACCAGTCTGCTTTCGTTGCAAACTCTGTCCATTAGGTCCAGGATTGAGAGGCGCTCCGGCTTTTCGAATATCAGGCGGCGGAGTGTATCCAGCAGCATTGTTGTTTGGTACCGGAGCCCGTTGGAAACCCATGTTCCGCACGCCGTTTTGGTCGAGGTTACCGATGGTAGCACCAGCTGCCTGGCGTTGGTTCGGGGTGCTGGCAAGGTTCTTACCGTTGATGTTTGGGTTCGCTTTGGGGTTGTTCAAGTTAGCAATGTTATTGTTGTTCTTACCGTTTAGTTGCAGCCGGCGGCACTCCTTTGCCACCCTGCTTGGCTGCAGACGACGCGATGGGACCTTGGTTTAGTGGTGGGATGGGACCATCTTTACGTCGAGGGGGTATGCCGTTCTTTACACCAGCCTTGGTGTTGTTAATGCTATTGGGTAGCGTGCCTTTGGATGAGGATGCTCCCAGAGCAGGAGGTTGTTGTCCTTTGCCAATAGCATTGGGACCAGGACGACCATTGCCTCTGCCATTAGGCGCGGGAGGCACCTGTCTTTTGCCTGGCATGTCTTCGTCGGCGACGGCAGCACCCTGCAGCGGCCCAGCAGAATTGACTGCTCGGTTGCTGTTGGGTGGGGTTTGTTGGTCGTCCTTGCGGGTCGAAAGACGTGTTGGTGCGAGGGTAGGAGGCTGAATCGTCTCCAGATTTGTCCCTGGACCGGAAGAGACCCAGGAAGCCCTTGCCTTTTGATTCTTGTTGGTGGCCCCCGAGGTCCCTGTTGGTGTTGGAATTGGCGTTGTTTGGGCTATTCCTGCGGCCCTGGGGTACATCCGTAAGCACGATGTCCTCCTGCTGATGGCCGGGTGGGGCGGTATTTTTGGAGCGGTCGCGGCCACCGCGTCCACTACCACCCTTCCTCCAGAGCCTTCCAAATCCAAAAGTCCATTTTCCAGTACTCTCATTCGGGCCATTCCGCGACCCTGTGTTATTTTTGCTGGGCGACAAGTCGGGTGCTTGGTTGTTCATGGTGACGTTTTGAGCCGACGAGGAGTTGCCGCTCGAACCTGGGTTGTTCATACCGCGAGAAGTCGAAGATGACGGGTTTGAAGAAGAATTGCCAGATGGATACCAAGTCGAGGGCTTGAAAAAGCTGTAGCCCTTGTCGTATGACGATGCTTGGTTCTGTCCGTTCTTTTGTTGTTTCTTCTGCTTCGACTTCTTGTTCTTCTTTGGTGATCCAGGTCCTGCGCTCCTCGTGCTGTTCACGTTTTGGCTCGTCCACGTCTCTGGAGATTTGTAGCCCTTGATGGGCTTTCCTTTACCGAGCCTCCAGACATTCCACCAAGCCCATTCCCGATTCGCCGCCCCGCGCCCTCAATAGGGGGCGCCGTACTTATCGCCGTACCGGGCGCTGTTCTTTCCGAAGAATCTCCCGTTGTAGCCGTTCTTTCGCTTCCCCATGAACATGAAGGCTGCTGCGAGTGCAGAGAGGAGGAACAAGATGCACAGCGCAATCGACAGGCCCCAGGTGCCCTGCAGCTTGTAGCAGGTCATCTGATCAGAGGCAACGAATGTGACGTATGAGAGAGTGCCATTCCCGGCGTTGTCGGCCGGGTCCAATTGCAGTGTGGTGCCATTGCCGGACTGTGCTGGCAGAGCCGAGCACTCCGTCTGGCTCAGCTGTCCGCCGAGGATAATAACAACCACGACGAAGGGGATCAGAAACACGGTGTCAACGATGGCTGTGGCCATGTAAGGAATGTGAGTGTCGTCGTAAGCTGTGAAGGAGAGGAGCACCCAGAGCAACGCGGCAGCGCCCACGATAATGGCGCCTGTGAGCTGCGGTGGTGGAGCGAGGCTGGCCTTGTTGATTTGGGATGTGAAGGTGGCCACCAAGCCGATGATGGCGAGGAGGGCAATGCCTGAAAGCACGCGAGAGCCCACAAAAATGTGGCCGTAAAAGCCGTGGTTCCTGAAGCCGGTCCTCATGGTGAATGATAGTGGTCCGGTCGGATGACGGCTCGGTTTTGCAGAAGAGGAAAAAAGAAGAGGGTGAGACTGGGCGTCTCAACAACAGGCGACTTTTGATTATATCTGTGTAGTGGCCGAGAAGGGAAGGTCAGGATGCCGGTACCAGGCCGAGATCCAGTCGTCAGTGAGAATAAGAAGTATCACAGGTATTATCTTTAGTAAGTGCAGGTGGTTGCTTTGATGACAACCCGCAGACAAGACTCCGTTGAAACCTGGGGAAACGACCTAAAGAGAAGAAGGTGCCAAGGAAACGTGACAGAAAAGGGAAAGATGACAATAGGAAAGCAAAGATGCTTGATCTCAGTCCGTCATGAGAGTTTGGTAGACAGAAAGGAAAATTCCAAAGGAAAAGGGACCCCAACAAGCGTCCCGGTCATACATCAGGAAGAGGCCGGCCGGCTTATATCAGGCTGGTCACTTGTCTTGACTCCCAACGACGGCCGCCGCATGTGCTCCCGGAGGTCTAGACCCGGGCCCCCAGCCCATCAAGGTGGGCAATCAGATGGCACTTGGAGTGGGATAGGGCGGGGGTCGCGGATGTTCGAGATGTTGCCAAATACAGCCTGCAGTGGTACTTTGTTGATGAACCATGTCCAGGGTTTGGTTTGGGCATGTTGCGGGCCGTCAACGATCAACGACCAAGCACATGGCGGCGCCGCATGGGCGAGGCTAAGCAACAAGGTGGTAGTCGTCATTGCCATGACCAGGACCAATTGTCAAGGGCACGCAAGGCCAGTCAAGGGGAGCATCCAACGAGAGGCCGGATACACCACGAGGCATGCTTCGATTCTTTGTCCATCCATGTCGCCCGGCGGCGGCTGGCGAGATTGGGAGGCCCACAGACACAAAGAATCACGGGAATGTCAGTTCAGACGACAGGCGAGAGAGCTAAGAAAAGAGGAGAGCCAGGCATGAGTTGAGGTGAGCAGGGCCAATGGCGTCCGAGGGAAGCCTCCTCAGCTTGTCGGCGAGCGCTTAAACAGCCGCGATGGCGTGCTGCCCTGGGACGCTGCACCCATGGCGGGCTCCACCGCGTCTGCACGGTTGGGACGATCCCCACGGCAGTCGACGAGCTATGCTCTTTCGGAGGCAGAGGACAGTAGCACCAGCAGGGGATGTTCGTCAGTGTCTGCTGTATTTGGTGGTCTCGGCCCAGAGCTGCAGGTTGCTGGCTGGCTGCTTGAAAGTGAGGACGAGTTCGTCGCGCACGCAGACATTCAGGCCAGCCAACCAGCTGTCAGGCACCGCCCATGACCACCCACCCAGGTCTGCATGGATCCACCTCGGCGGCAACAACGCCAGGGCCTCGATTGGGCCGCGGCGTTTCTCTTTTGTTTCCGCCCAGATCCACCAATTTCTCACCTCAACGTCGAATGCACCACTCTCCCGCCGCAGGCTAGTCTATAACGATAAGAGTGCGTGTATGCTGTTGCATAATTCTCGTGTTGACGACAGCACAGTAAGAAACGCATGACAGGACTACTGTGGGCGCGGGAGGGACGCGACGCCAGATCTAGATCAAGCCCACAGTGCCGATGCGCAGGCGCGCGGATGAAACAACCCTGGCCACTGCTGGCGACCCCAGTGAGCCCCGGCCACTCGGTGCTGACCTCCTCCATCCGGGAGTGCCATCGCGGCGCAGGCATATACCTTCTCCTCTGTTTACGGCCGCCGCCTCCCTCGCGCGTGTCTCAGCTGTGGTCGCACCTGCCGGCTGGCTGGCTGGCCGGGCCTCACCACAAGCAGTCTACAGAGGAGCCGGAGGCTGTGCTGTAGAATATTAATAAGGGAGTCGCCTGCAGTGTGTCCTATACGTCAGTTCCTTTTAAGGCCTGAACAACAAAGACCAGCCATGATGACTCTGGCTATTTTGTTGTGGGGACACTCTTCCAAGGTCAAGCCACGCAAAACCCAGATTCTTGTCTGACCAGAACGACTGTCATGGATTGACAGTTCCGGTCAAGCATGGTAACAGGCAGCATCATAATGCCGGTACTTGGCTTGTACTAAAAATGATTTTGAACTCCAATACGCCTCGAGATCTCAAGTCTAACAAAAGGCGCGTCAGAAAACTGTCGATCCTCCTATGCTTGTATTATGTCTGTAGCGAGCCCGCAAACAATCAATTGAATCTTGCCAGGTCTCAGCCTTGATCAGATCCACAGCCTAGCCTAGCCTAGCCTTGTGCCATGACGCTGAAGCCTGGCCCATATCTCACACCATCCAGTTTATCATAATCGTCTACCCCAGTAGATCGTCCAGCCCCGAGCTTCCAGTGTTGGCCGGGGGCTGGCTGCTCCCCGCTGGCTTCGACTGCGAAGCTGGAGCACCCCAGATGCCGGCGCTGCTCTTCTCCTTGGCCAGCTGGCCCAGCGCTGGACCACCTCCCGTGCTCTGTTTCTTGGCACCAGTGCCGCTTGCATTTGCCCACAGTGCACCGAATGCGTCACCACCGGCAGGCTTCTTGGCCGATGACCCAGTTCCTGTAGGCCTCAGGGCCGCCATGCCGCCGGCCGAGGTTGGTGTCGAGGCCGACTGAGGAGTGGCAGCTTGTACAGAAGTGAAGTAATTCGGCCCGGACGGTTGGTAGCCACCACCCAGAGGCTTGTTACCAGTGGGTGACATGGTCGTGGAAGACGCGAGAGGAGTGCTAAAGGAAGAGTAGTTTGCCGTGGGAGTGGAAGTCGTGTTGCTGGCTGGAGGTGGAGTCATGGACGAGAAGCCCATCATGTCCGTGAGGTTGGCTGGAGCGGCCACAGGCGCTGGGGCCGCAAACGTGGCGCCCGACGCGTTCGACGTCATGAGCGGGTTTCCGAAAGCGGAAGATTGGGGAGCAGAGGTCTGCCCTGCCGGTGTAGCGGACTGGAAGTCGTCGAAGTCGTCATCATCATTGGCGGCGGCAGCGGCTGGAGCAGTGGTCGTGGACAACGAAGCCAAACCAGAGCCGTTGGACGGAGCTGCAGGAGCTGCCGAGGACGAGGAGGGAACGGGATCGTCGAATGAGAACATATCGACTTCAGGCTCTTTCTTCTTTGGAGGCTCGGCGGGCGCGGGCGTCGTCTTCTTGGTGCCAGCCCGTTCCGTTGTCTTGCGGCGTGATGGCTCGGGGTTGTCGTGTCCGTCAAACTCATCGTATTCCTCGAACTGATCTCCACCTCCCGCCCGTCGGCCAGTGTCTCGGAAGTCGCTGCTCTCACCGCCGAACCCACCTCCGTCGCCATACACGCCGCCAGAGTAACCACCGAAGTTGGTAGAGGGGCCACCGCCGTAGCCGCCACTCTCGCTGCCGAAACCGCCGTAACGGCTGCTTCCGCCGCTTGAGAACCCGCCCCCGAGGCCCGCGCCTCCCTCGACACCAGTGTATTTTGCCTTGTTTGCTCTGGCCTTCTTTCGCTCTGCTCGAATCCGGTCGACGTCGCCGAGGAGTTCAGTCAACTCCTTGGCGCGATTCCGCACATTGATGCCTTGGTCCTTGCCATTCTGGTCGATGAAATGGAACTGGCGCAGCATCTTCAGGAGGGTAAGGTGGGATCGAGCGTCGTCAATAACACGCTCTGAGCCGTGCTTGATGAGATACTCGAGCAGTTGGAGGGCTTTGTAGATTTGTCTCCATTCCTCGGCCGCCTTCTCTGTGAATCGCCGGTAGATCATGGGCATGATCTCGTTGAGGGTTTGGCTGCGCGTGAAACAGCTGGTCAGCGATCTTGCGATTGACCGACATTGCGATGGATGCAATCAATCATACTAGTTAAAGGTGCCATTGGCGATCTCCTGCATCACCGATGACGATGCTCCCCACGGCTCGTTGTTCGTGGCCTCGCGCACCTGTTGGCGTCGGGTCAGCAATGTAAGCGTCGGCGCAGGCCCCACTGTGGTTGTTGTACCTTGGACTCCATCTCCGTGTAGTTCATGACAGCTGTTTCCTCGGTAGTCAGTGGCCATCGAAGCTTTCGGCGTTTGTCGCAAGTCGCTCACCATTCTGGACCTTGCGTACTCCTGCCTTGATATCATACAAGGTCAGGTTGGATACGGTGTCCTTCAGACTGTTGAGATCCATCTTGGCGGTTGCTTGCTGTCCTGATGCAGACAGTGTAGTCGACTACGTGTGCCGAAATTGGGGGCAATCAGATCGGGTGAGGTTGACGAAGCTGGCGGCTTCCTTTGTCTGTCTGCGTTCGGGGGCGAGGACGGGGACGGCGACGGTGTCTGTGGTGCTGTTCCCCAGTTAATTAATGAATTGGCCAGAATGCTAATAAAGTGCAAGTGCCTTGCCGAGCACTCTCAAACCCCCTGGCGTGTCGGCCCAAGAAGCGTGTGTTAATGGATCCTGACTAAGACCAGAGCTTCCTACCCCAACCCTCCAGGAACTCGAGCCCCCTTTGACCCCCCCCTCCCAACCCAAGAGAAGGGCCTTCATACAGTCCTCATGGCTGTTGGAGTGTACAACGCCTGCCCAAATCAGATGCAGCATCAATTCGGTTGCTAGATTGGGTGCAAAAGACCCATGACTGTTTTGATAGCAATCCAATGCGGCCCGTAGGCCTGGAAGACTCGAGGAACAGGCTCAGGTCTGCAGCTACTGTCACTAATTGCCACCGCTAGCCTGCACCACACGCAAGCGCGGCAGCTGTTTCTCGAGGTCCTCTGCGGCCGTGTTGGAGCGATCCGAATGCCCAGGGAAGTTCAAGCGGGCTTGCCACTGAGCAATAGGCTGTAGGCATGTAGTACCTAGGTAGTGATCACGTCTAGCACTTGTGATTTATCACTTAGATGGGGAGCACGAGGTGCTGTCAAGATGGTCGAGATAGTTAGGTACTTGTTGGCTTGTTGTTGCCTCAGGCCAGCCCTGGCAAGCCGTCATTGACAGTAGAGGACCCCTGGTGATGCAGTCTAAGCATTTGAAAAGTTTCTCCCGCCAGCTTCTCAACGAGTTGACAGCTAACTCCATCCACAACATCATCCTCCACAATCTCAATCCGGCCTGGTCTTGTTCCATTGACATTCTTGGTTGTATTCCTAGTTGTATTTGATATCCGAACACGCCAAATCGGTATGTTGAGAGCTCTTACTGTACTGTACTGCGTCTTGTTTCTTTGCCCCGGGGTACAGGCAGCTTGAGCTCATCCATAGCTCCTGTTGATGTCACCCTAGAGACTGGCCCATCAAGCTCGAGCCTTGTCGTGGCCTCAATCTGGAGACTCGATGCTCACAGCTGCCACGGTCCCCGAATCGACCTCGATTCAGGTGGAGATGTCGGCTCAGTGGCTGTGGGAGGGGGTTGCGGGCAAAACAGCTGCTCTCTCGTGCCCGGCATACGAGTACAGCTCCCTGACGCCCGAGGCTCGCGTGAGCTTGCTCTCGCCCGGCTTTCACTTGGGAGGTGAGGTACCTCTTGCTCAGCTCGAGGGAGCGAGTGTCTGGGCTTGTCTCAAGAGGGCGTCTCAAGAGGGCGCCTCCAGATCTCGATCGGGGGCGTCCTCGAATCCGAAGCCACCACACTGCCCACCGAGCTCACTGGAGCTCGTCGAGACTGTGGATGTCCGGATGCCCAGGCCCAGGCTCGATGCTGCAACAGGAGTGCGTGGGCTTCTTCTGCCGATCTTGGCCGGTCTCTCACTCCAGTCCAGAGCTTGTTCCCCCTGAATTCCCCCTCTCCTTTTACCCACCTCGCACATCACACTTTGGTACCTGGGTACAACGCGCACTGCATCACGTATACGTGCATGTACCTTGACCCGAGCTGAGCGAGTGGTGAGGCAAGCGACCTCGGGACTGGCCCCAGGCAGCTTGGTCGCTTGCCAGAAAGCTTGGAAGCTTGCCCGCCCTCCCCAGTCTCTGGCCCAGGTGAGCTGTGTGTGCCTAGGTACCTACCCAGGTGCCTTGGTGCGGTGGGTGTACTGGTACTGTACGTGATGCACGCGGGGTCTGAGCTTCTGGCCCGGGCCTCCTCGCTCTGTCCTGTCCTGCCCTGTCCTGCCCTGCCCTGCTGTGTTTGTCTCTTGTATTTTGTCCCTCAAGGCGCTGCTTTCGTCTTCGCTTTTCGTCTGCTCTCCCAAGTACCCCGCCACGCTCGTCTGCCTGAGTGTGCTTATTGGGTGTATCCCTGCCTGCCAACTTGCGCGACCCCCGTTTTGCTAAAACATCACATCATTCGCCCAGATCCGTCATGGCCGCCCCGCTCTGCATGCCCCGCGTTATTACTTCCAGCTTCCGAGCTGCTGCTGCCCCTCGTCGATTTTCTCCCTCTTCCATCCCCAGCTTCGTCAACAAGACTTCTCCTTCGACTACTTCTCCCTTTCATCAACGATCAACTGCTTTCAGCTCTGCCCGATTCTTCTCATCAACATCGCCCATCATGTCTAAGGTGTAAGTACTGGACTCCATCACCCTCTCCTCGCATCTCTGTCAATGGCCTCGCAACCTTGGCATCTGGCACCGATACCCCTCTAATTCCTACTTCCTCCGGCCATTCTGCAAGCTCTCGAGACTAACACCACCTGTCCCGCAGTTTCTTCGATCTCGAGTGGGAGGGTCCCGTCCTTGACGGCAGCAACAAGCCCACCAAGGAGGTCAAGGGTAAGCAACATTCATCTGAGTCGAGACGGCACCACCACCACCACTTTCACCATAACTCCCTTCCCTTCTTGCCAGAGCTCCCGGGCTTCGTTGTCCTCTCCGCCCACACACCCGCTCGCCTTCGGGTCGGAGGCATCCGGCCAACTGCCTGCTAAAGAAAGAAAAAAAAAACCCTGCGACTCGTCTGCTCCCTGCTACCCCTCCTGACGCCATTGAAGACCATTGCTAACATCAGTCCCCCCATAAAGTCCAGAATGGTGTGATTAACTTCACCCTCTACGACGACGTCGTCCCCAAGACCACCAAGAACTTCAAGGAGCTGTGCGCCGGTACCCCTGGCTTCGGCTACGAGGGCTCTGCCTTCCACCGTGTCATCCCTGAGTTCATGCTCCAGGGTGGTGACTTCACCCGTGGCAACGGCACTGGTGGCAAGTCCATCTACGGCGAGAAGTTCGCCGATGAGAACTTCCAGATCAAGCACACCCGCCCTGGTCTGCTGTCAATGGCCAACGCTGGCCCCAACACGTACGTCACCCGCCCAGGCGGGGCCCAATTGTGTATACCCTATGCTGTGAACACGAGCTAACAGATCCAAACCAGCAACGGCTCCCAGTTCTTCATCACCACCGTCGTGACCTCCTGGTTGGACGGCCGCCACGTCGTCTTCGGCGAGGTTGCCGACGACGAGTCCTTCAAGAACGTCAAGGCCATCGAGGCCGCCGGTTCCGCCAGCGGTGCCATCAAGTACGGCAAGAAGCCCACCATCACCAAGTCTGGCGAGGGTCACCTGCCTCACCGCCAGTAAGCGATTAACAAGAGGGAGTTGGCTCGGCCCGAAATATAGGTGTCAGAACCAACTGCGCTTTTGTGGTCAGTTTTCATGGTGATTGGATGAGCAAATGAACTGAATGATAGGTCTTTGAACGTTGGACGGAAAGCTTAGTGCTATCTGGGCGTAGGCAATTCAAAATCAAAAAAGGGATTTGCTCTTCTACTTAACGTCGTGGTCAGACTCGTGTGACTCTAGTAGTGACAGCATGATCCAATTGATTTTCCTTGCCACGCAATGTTCGCGTTGAAATCTTGACCCGCTGCCCCCTCATCTCTAGACCTGAGTCGACGCTGTCACTCGGCGACCGTGGAAATTTTCGCTGTCTTTGTTCCAATGCATCATTGGTGATGGTAGTGGCTCCATAATCATACAATAATAAATCAACAGCCAAGTGCCTCCTAAACCCTCTGGATGGCTGTGGGATATCACAAATAATCCATTCTTTTGTGTTCCGTGTCACCCCTTGAACGCCGTTCCGTTCGCCAACCGAATGCAGAATATGCAAATGCAAAACCGCTTCCCACCGACCCGTCCCTCGGTTGGGCCTTTGCTTTCGTACCCATGAATGTCCCAGCCCCTCCTCGCCAGGCCGACACAATATCGGCCCAACAGATCATACTCAGTCGCCCAGCCACCTCTGGAAGTAGACGCAGTTCCCCGGGTTCACGGGCCCGCCCTCGTCGCAGAGGTCGAAGACGGGGCACCGGCCGCAGGGGGCCTCGGTGAGGCCGTTGCTCATGGGGCCGGCGCCCATGTCCTGGGCCTGCAGGTCGAGGACGTCCTCGTCCATGCTGTGGTCGCGCATGAGCGCCGTCAGCGGCGTCGGGTCCACCCTCGCGGCGCGGACGGTCCGGTAGCCCCGGACCTTGCCGACGTGCACCGGCTCGACCAGCCCGTCGGCCACGAGCACGTCCACCAGCTGCTGCACGTCGGCGATCCCCAGCGTCGTGTTGTTGGTGATGCCGCTGGCCGAGATGAGCTCCGCGATCTGACGCACCGTCGGGTAGGCGTTGTAGCCCGCGGGCAGGGGCAGCAGCTGCGTGCGCTTCGCCTCCCGGTGCCGGTGCTTCTCGCGCGGCGCGGGCGCCGGGTCCTCGCCTGAGATGTCCTCTGCGGCCCTCTTCTTGCCCTTTGCGGCGGCTGCTTCCTTGTCGCCTTTGAGCACGCCCTTCTTTGGCTGTTTCTCCTTGTGTAGGCTGTGGACGCTCCGGTATGTGCTCTGCCTGGTGATGAAATCGAAGATGACCTTAAGCAGCTCCGAGATGAAGGCCTCGTCCAGGTTGCTGTCCGTGTACCAGGGACCACCGGTCGCCTTCTCGGACGGCCGCAGGCTGGACTTGATGTACATTTTCTTGTTGGGGTGCTCGACGCTCTTCATGTCCTTGATGTACCCCTTGGACTCGAGGAACTTGAGGTGCGACTTGAGGACGGAGTCGTGCATCTGCAGCCTCGCCTTGAGGGTGCGCGACCAGATCCCGTCCGCGCCCGCATCGTCGATCATCTCGTACACCATGGACTGCTCCCTGTTCAACGCCCGGTATTTGGCGGCGTCGGCGGCTGGCCTCCATTTCCACAGGTAGCCGCCGCCCTGGCGCGCCACGGATATTAGGAGTCGGTCGTTGATGAGCGCCTGGAGGACGCGGAGGAGGGTGTTTGCGTCATCGGTTACGCCGAGGGAGAGGAGGTCTTCTTGGCTGAAGAGCCGGGACTCGTCGCCGTTGTGTTGGCATGATTCGTAGAGGGCGTCCTTCAGGACGCTGAGTTTGGCTGGGTCCGCGTCCGACCCAGATGGGGAGACGGCGGCCATCGTTCGCTTGTCAGGGAGTATCACGGGTTCGAGATGTGGTGCAGGGGCGAGGGTCGAGGTCAAGTCGGACTTCAAATTCGAGATTTGGGTGTTGAGGGTGAGTCACGCGCCGAAGGAGGTTGGAGGAGTTGAGGCGATTGGCAATGGAGGAAATGTCTGATAGGCGAAGAGAATGTCCAGATGGCCACCGATGACTGATAAGACGATCTAGGGCCAGCTTCGATATAGATGCTCGGAGGTCTGTTCGTATTTGTAGGGTGGGAGTCGTCGCCGAACACTCCACGCAGAGAGCTTTGGCAAACGAGCGTCGTTCTAATTCAAAAGCAAGCCCCCGCGAAATTTACTGCCGCTCCAGGTACCAAGCAGCGGCCGCCGATCTCTGAGCTAGCTCCTCACCGCCTGCCGTACAGGGACCCAATGGACCTCCTAGTCTTCCAGCCAAGTTCAACGTTTCTTTCACATCTCCGCAACAGCGTCTTCACTGCTCCATTTTGTACATTAGCGGATCTCTTCGAACCCTCTTTTGTTTCTCTTCGATTCAAGGATCTCGTGCAGAGACTGTAGCTTCACGTTATGGATCTGCCCCAAAAGCTGTGCCCACGCTCTACCTCAACTGGGCTCCATGATCGAACTTGTTGATAGCTCCTTCCAGGAAGGAACGGTAGGGTGATTGGATACTTGAGTGTATGATTCAAAATTTTGCGGTTGTTCAACCTTCAAAGAATACAGCAAAAAATCCTGCCATTAGCTTGAATTTAGCCCCAAAGTGTACGCCACAAATTGGCAAAATGAGGGTGTCACATAATGGTGGAAATGTACCTATGTACATAAACAGGTAGCTGAAAAAGGTCTTGAGCATCTTCTGATAATGAATTACTTGAATTATATCCACCGCTGCCTCCCACAGGGTAGTTGTGAATCACACTCAACTGCCCAGGCAAATCGATGCACGAGAAAGTCAGCACGGCAGCACTCACTTGAGTGCCTGTTTCGCAAAATCTAATTCTGGATATGGGCAACTACCTGCTCTTTTAACCCAAATTGTTGAGCCAGACTCCTTCGTCATCACTCACCCAGAGACGTTGGGCCATAGCCCTGACTTACCTTCGTGGCAAGTCTTCGCCTGTCCACTAAACCTACTGAACCCAGCTTGGGGGCCACTCATCTTCCTTCTCAAAACCACACCTCGCAATCCATCAACTCTCCCGAACGATTGGGTATGCGACAGTGCTGCTCGATCAACTCGAGCGAACCTGATACGATACTTGTGGAAGTCTTTTCGTCTGATATCAGGGCCTCGTGTGGTCTCCAGCACTGGCTTTAAACTGGTCATTTGAAGTACTCTTGAGGCATCTTCTACTTTTGCTTTGTTTGGTCGGTTTTGTTGGCTTTTCTCAACAGCTCGCAACGTTGTCAACACCTTCTACACTCATTTCCTTCCATCACTCTTACGCCACTTCCCGAGTGCTATCCCTTTACTTGCTTGGACGCACTCACGGAGCTCATGTCATACCCAGTCATTTCATCTGCTACTTATTGCAGAATCATTTCCCAGTACATTCGTTCCTCAACGTCAGTTTCCGTCGCTTCAGGTCATGCCAGACTTCGGTCTGTGACACTTTATTCAACAGCCATACGGTAAAGCTTCGGGGTCTCCTCGTAAGGGAAAAGAAGTTTCGAATGTCCGGATTCTGACTTTGAAATTCTTGTCCTCTGCCAAAGTCACTTCAACTCTTTTCGTCTGACATCTGAGTCTCTCTGCACTACCCAAAGACAAAGGCCCACAAAACCGCAATTGCCCCTTTTCCATTTTCATTTGAAGGTATTGCTTCCTTCAAGCTACTCAGCGCAGAATAAGGCTTCTTATTGACTGCCTGATTAGCAGATGAAGAGGTTCATGCCTTCATGATGGCTCAGCAACCACTTCCGTCTCCTGGTACAGAGACCAACGATGCTTTGGACCTGGCATCCCAGGCTGTCGCTTCGATGAACACCCAAGGTAGTGGGCCAATACCCAACTCTCGTTGTATCCCCGCTTATCCCATCAGTCGCAAATCATTCAACCAGCCCCGTGCGGTGCCACCTATGATGCCGTTGCCTTCCCACAACGCCAGTACGGCTCTCCCATACCATGGAGCCCCTCAGAAAGGCATGATTTCTGCGCAGCCTGGCGTCGCAGCCCGTCAGAGTCCCGACCCGGCCGAGCAAGGTGGCAGTCATAACGAGCCAGAAGTCGAGATTGCTCGTGAGAATGAGCAGCAGGATGTCGAGACACCCCGAGAAACTGAACCGGTCACCGCCGACGCGGCAATCGCAGAGACACAGGACGAGGTCTCCTCTGATAGCTTGTCAGACGCAGACGTGAGTGACGGACCTGAATCTCGCATTTCAGCCGAGTCTGAGGACGATCTCGACCGTGCCGACAAATACGCCTTCAGCTATGGCGGTCAGGCCTACGACCACCGAGTCCCTCAGCACTTGACTGGTGGTACTATCCTCTTTGCAAACAAGGTGACACAGGGCATCACGATCCTACAGCACCTTGAATCGGCAGAAGGCAATGTGTGCCCAAAACTCATACCTCACGATCAGGAGATGAGGAAAACTTTCAAAGCGGTCGAGTGCATCTGGGTTGGCATGCTACCCAAGCCGCAAAGCAGCCACGAGCACGCTGCTTCCACTTCAGCACAGCCTGAGTCACGGGCTGATGCCGCGTCTCCTGCTGCACAGGACGGCGGGGATGACGCCGCCGAGCCGCAACTCGATGGCACGTCCAAAGCCCCGAAGAAGGTTCAGAAGAGGGTCAAGAAATGCCAGCCTATCATAGACCTCGAAGACGACCAGCTGGAAATCGTCCCACACGCCCCCAATGCGCTCCGCGTCGTCGCCAAGAAGCAGACCAAGACACTCAAGACCTGGCACCTCTACGCCTTGACTACTTCGGAAAACAACTCGAAGCTCTGCCAAGGCTGGAAGGTACAATCTGACGAGGTATTTTTCTTCAAAGCGTTCCGCGACGATACCGCCCCAGGCGCCATGAAGCGAAAGCAGGCCTCGGACGTCAAGATCAAGGCAGTGATCTTTCCACCCCATGCTACTCCCGCTTTGGTCCCGCAGTCTCCTCCCCCAGATGAGCGCTCGGCGAGCCATGTCTCCGCTCCCGCGACTCCGACGCCTGGTGGCCTACCGAGCCCCAAACCTTCTGGGGGAAAGGGAAAGGCTGGCCGGACTATGCGCGATGTGACTGCGAAAGCGACTTCCAAGGCTGGAGATGTGCTAGGCCAGGATGGTGACGATGCTGGAAGCCCAGTTGGCAGCGTTGAGGATGACAGCGGTCCTGAGGCGGACAACCAGCTCACGGCTGGACAAGGGCCCAAAGAAGTCAGCACAGCCCGCCTGGAGACCACCCAGCCCGAGCGAAACGGTGCCGTTTACGACGATGGCGACGAGGATGCCTACCCCGAGCACGCTGTCTCTGCCACGAGCGACTCTTACAAGAACTTTCTCGACGAGATGGTGCGCGAATTTTCTGGCATCGAGTCCATTGTTGCGAAGAGAGGAGAGAAGAGAAAGAGAGTCGCTTTCGAGACCGGCTGCGACGAGGTTGCGAACACCCGCAGAAAGACTGGCGACCTCTCCAGAAGCAACGTGGACGCCCGGGGCAGCTTGGAGAGGGAAGGTTCAGCCTCGTTCGTGGTCCAGCAGCACACTGGCCACCTGGTCAGGAAGCTTACGAGCATGATCGACAAGATGGCGGCGAATCAAGATGTCGCGGGTCTCCGCCAGTGCGTCACGATGGTGGAGAGCATCGAGAAACGCGGCTGTCCTGGCCCGACGAGCGCTCTCGCGCCTTACCTAAACATCACCTCTAAGAAAGACGCAACCCCCCGAGCTTGTTGTGGAAAGCTGCGCGAGATTTTGGTTAGTTTCCCTTTCACCTCCTTTATGTTTTCCTTTTCTCGAACAAGCAATGCTAATTCATTACTTGCAGAATCTATTCCCCAATCTCGAAAATGTCGATGTGGACAACCACGTCCTTACTTGCATGATCTCTGGCCTTCGGCTCACTGGTCAATCGATTGACATCGGCCTCATTGAGCCTTGCATCAAATCATTCAGTCGCCTCTACGTACAAAAGTTCGGAGAGACAGCCAATCACCCGACCACAATGGCGAAGGCCGACCTTCTCAACATGATTTGTCAGGCGCGGGATGACGCGGAGACGATGGTCAAGAAGACCCCTCTCAACTCGGAGTCAAAGGTATGGGTTCCCCATTTGGTGGGTCGATCCTCGTGACGACACTGAGAGTGTCGATATTGACTAGATCGTTCATGGTGAATCCAAGAAGCCATAAAAAAGGCGGTGGGACGATCAATGGGCACTGTGGTGTTTCGGGAATTTGCCATCACTCAACCAGAGTGAATTCAACAAAATTGGGGGACTTGATGGGAATTACGCATGGGAATTTTCTGCGATGGCTTATCATTATGGGCTCGTATCAGGAAGCTTAAGAACATGGCTTTCAGGCGGAGAGATTGATAGAGGGCGTGGTACCATCTTTTTACGAGACTACTTGCTATACCTTGGGCACGGTACGGTGCTGCCCGTATCAGCTGGTTGAATGGAGTCAACTGGCCACAGAAGGTAGTAGCTAGGTAAATTGCCAGCCTGGAGGACCTCCTACCTAGGCAGTTTGCACTGATTAGACCTTCAATGCAACGAAGATTTCCAGACCTCTGCTTGCAGCGTCACATGAGCAGTTCCGAGCGTTAGCCAACCGGACCTTATACTAGCTCGACCGTCAGGCGGCATGACAATTGCTGAATTGTCTTAGTGGTAAGCCATGGAAACCTTGAATGGCGTCTAGTCCTACAAGTGCCACCTCGACCGTCACTTGATAAGCCTAACAGTATGGTCTTGCAACTGGTTATTTCAAAAATCCTTCCCTAAAAATGAGATATCCACAAAACTCTGTAGAGTCTTACAAGCGTCGGAGAACTCATAATACTGGGAATTCCACAGAGATTTACTGACGATCGAGAGACGCTACTCCGCTCTGAGACTGTCACACGAACTGAATACTTCATCATTTCCCTTTGCCATTAAGAATGAATACATCCTTGTCGTCATCCTGCGATACTGGACGGTTATTGAGGGACCCCAGGCTTGAACACTCCGCCTCATTCCCGCCTACAGATGTCTTCGAAGCTTTTAGTTCTTCAGAATCATCTCCAGTACCACACAGACGAGTGATCGCACTCTATGTGTACTGGAGCGAGTTTCTTATCTCCCATAACCAGACTGACACACTCTTAAAATGTCTTTTAGGACCTTCTTATGTCCTCACAAGTGCAGTCATCAAAGAGCAACTATATATCCAGGATGAGGACCCGGCCGAGACCGTAATCGCGGCCATTCGGCGAGCAACATCATCACTCTCGAAGGGGGATACTTTCTGCTTCCTTTACAGCGGCCTTATAACCGACAGAGTTGACCCTGCCACATCCAACCTCATCGAGCCCAATCGTGCATTAGAGACCTGGCTTGATAAGATGATTCAGACCGGTACATGGCCAGAGGACTCAAAGCGTCTCCTGAGCATCCATAAATCCCCGGATACAACTCAGCGGCTTGGAACCGCAAGGCCTTCACACCATGAGGGCGCCGGGCAGGAACATGTCTTTCTCTACGGGGCCAACGAGCGTGGCGAACACTCTGTTCAGGTTCACTACAACACGGTCTATCAAACTTGCTTCGAACACGCCGACTTCGAGGTATTGAGCAGTGTGGGCTTGTGCTCATCATATAAACTTCACGACAGCAAGCGCCCCAAAATGGCAAAGTCAGTCGCACCCGGGTGTCCTCTTTTCCTTTTGATCCCAAATACTTTTTGTTCCCACGTACGCATGAAGAATTGTAAGCTGATGCACATGTACTTGAAGATTATGATCCCATTCCCCAAGGAAAACCCTGCGCCACCGTCACGAGAGCATTGGAGCCTCGGCGCTCTCCTCTGGAAATTTGCAAGACTTGATCGTTTTTGCAATGCGCAACATCTGCTCGGATTAGGTAGCATGTCTGGCCGCCGCACCGCGACTTCCAGTAATCTAGATCCCGCGAATGAACATCATTGGATCAATCGTCGTTCCTCTTACTGGATCCTGGTGCCAAGGATGACGTCCTGCGACTTAGGCACTCGCCCACCTCGTCTAACCCTACGGGTTTGCAAGCTGACGTTCTGCGCATGAAGCCCAAGAATGAGATGCTGCGCGACGAGAAAGCTGGAGACAGTGAGCCTCCTCACTAGCAACAACAGCTCTGGGATCCCATGCCTGGACTGGTTTAGGCAGCTGGTGCGGCTGATCCAATCAACCAAACCACGCCTGGTGGGGCGAGGATTGGGAATAGCGTCCACGGGTCCGTGGTTGACTGAAACATTTCAGGCAGAAGCTAGCCCGCTTCACAGCATCCGTACGCTCTCCTCGTATCTCTCTGATGGCATCTCTCAGATATAAAACCCGCATAGTCTCTCTCTGTCTGCAACTGAGGCGTCCTGTATGTGCCGGTCCATTCAGCAGCCAACGAGCATACGGCATCATGTCATCGCAGGACAGCGCCGGCGGCAAGGTACCCGCCCCAAAGCTTCTTAGCCTCGCACCAGAGGTTGTCGAAAATGTTATCAAGCAAGTGAGAGACAGGAGAGACCTGTCGAATACGCGGCTGGTATGCAAGGAATTGGACAAGCACGCCGCGAAGGAGCTCTTCAAGGACGTGTTTGTCTCCCCATTGGAAGAGCACGTCAGCACTTGGAACAGCATCGGCCAGGACGACAATATCCGCCAGATACCTCGTCGTGCAATCATCCACACGCAGTCAAATATCGAGCATGACAGCTTTGGTGCTGACAGAGAAGATGAGGAAATCAGCGAGGAATTCGAGGAGGCCCTCACAGCACTGTCTAGGTTTCCCAACGTCGACTCCGTGGAGATCGGCTTTACCCCCGAATGCGTTGGTGACCGGCAGACGAGCTGGTACGAGGACGTGGTGGAGGACCCGGCGCGGCGCAAGGAAATGCTCACGCTCGTCTTTCAGGCCGTCAAGGACAGGGCGGCGGACAAGGAGAGCAAGACGATCAGAAAGCTCACGATAACCAACCTCCAGAACTGCCCGATCCCGGATTTCACCTCTTCCGACCTCTTTCGCGACGTCATGGGCCAGCTGGAGGAGCTTCACATATCTCTCACCCAGGAATCCAACGAGCACGGGCCGGACCACGACTACACGCGGGTCGAGTTGCAGACCTTCCCGGCTCACCTCTGCTCGGACTGGCTGAAGCCCATCTCCGGGAACCTCAAGGCCTTGTCTATCTACCACAGGACGGACAACTGGGGCCCCTTCCCGGGCTACTTCGACCCCAGCGGCATCTCGTTCCCCAAGCTCGAGACGCTGGCCCTTGGGTATTACACGCTCGCGCATGACAATGACCTCGACTGGGTCCTGGCCATCAAGTCGCTGAGGAAGCTCATCCTGCACAACTGCATGATCGCCTCGTGGATACGCATCGACTCGGAGAACATGGAGGAGTGGAAGGTCCGCACGCACGATTGGACCAGGCTGCCCGACGATCCCGACGACAGCTGGGGCGACTCGTTCGCGTACGGTGGGAAGTGGAGCCAGTGCCTGGACCGCGTCGCCGGAGACTTGCCGAACCTGGTCGACTTCCGGTTCGACCAGGCCGAGTCGTACTCCTTCAACAGCGGGCCCCAGTACGGCCTCGAGCACCGGGACAGCTGTGGTACCAGGGTGTTCCCCAAGAGGTACGTGTGCTTCGACAACGGGATCTTGCCGACGCATTGGCCGGAGGCGGAGGACGATGGGACCCTGCACTCTTGGCTCGACGACGGTTTCCCGAAAAATGTCCACGAGGAGACCTTGGAGGAGGACCAGAAGAGCCTGGACAGGCTGCTGGAACGGCTTAGGAGGCCGAGGAGCTAGGTGGTGGCGAACAACGCGTCGGGTATATCGCATTACTCGGAGCGAGAATTATGGGACGAACGATCGACTCTCGGCCGACTCCACTGTCTGTGGGATGCGACTGTCTGACCGCTAACGGTATTCCGTGGGGTAACAACGGATGCCTGACACCTTTTTCGCATGTGGGCGCCGCAGCGGTTCTCGCGGAACTTGACTGGCAAGGCTCTACAAGAAACAACAGACACAACATGCTGGGAGGAAATATCATCAAACTGGGGGGGGAAACGAGACCAAGCAGGATGGGGGTCAAAGATGTGTGTTATTGGCCTCGCAGAAACAAGATCTTGTCGACACTGCGAACTAACGGTGCTCACAACGTGGGGACCACGCCTTCTTTATGTTTTGTTCTTGAAAAGTGTCTCTTAAACAACCAACACGGACATGCAGCATGGTATCTATTTCATTACACATTAACCCCCGTCTATAGGTGTGGTGATAAAGGCCCGAGGCACGCAGAGGATACCGCCCCTGGGGAACCACCATTTCGCTTTCCGTTCCGCATCTCACAATTCCGAGCAGCTCTTACAGAGCTAGGGCGGCGAGGGCGGCCATGCCGACCCAGCTGGCGACGACCTTGCCGGCGCCCGAGGACGCGGCGGTCGTGGAGGTGGAGCTGCTCGAGGCGCTGGTGCCAGAGGCGGTCCCGCTGGCGCTGGAGCTCTCGGAGGAGGTGCCGGTGGCGGTGGCGGACGCCGAGGCGGAGCTGCCAGTGGCCGAGGCCGTGGCGCTCGCGCTGCCGCTGCCGGCGGTGGACGAAGCTGTGCCCGTAGAGTCAGCCCCAGTGCTCGACGCGGAGGCGGTCGACGAGCCAGACGCCGTCGCGGACGCGGAAGAGGAGGAGGACGAACCAGAGTCAGTGCCCTCGGTGATGTTGAACTGGTTCTATATGACGGGAGAATTATCAGCACATAAATTCTTGTTGTGTTAAGGCCTGGGGGTCCTGGGGTTTTTTAATGCTTACCGACTGGGCGTAGATCTGCTCGGTCTTGGTGCCGTTGGTGAAGTTGATGGTGTAGCTGTCTCCCTCGGTGATCTTGCTGCCGTCGATGTCGTAGGAGCCGTCGCTGGAGGCGACGTCGGAGGCGATCAGGACGTCGGTGGGCGGGTAGGTGGCCTTGTTGGACAGGTAGATGTTGAAGGAGGACTCATCGCTGGAGACGGTTTCCCACTTGATGGTCTGCTTCTCGCCGGTGCTCCAGATGGTGTTGGAGTCGGGCGAGGTGACCTTGAGGGCCAGGGCGCCGGAGGCGAGGGCGAGGAGAGTCAGGGAGGAGACCATCTTGAAAATTAGTTGCTGGTATTATTTCGTTCCGGGAAAAATTGTTAAGAACAGATTCGCGAGCGAGTGACGAATTAGCTGGAAGCAAGAATAAACGATCGTGAGTTGTGTCGTTGGGACAAAGTCGAGCGATGAGGACAAAGAAAGGGCCCTCGTCCCGGCGACGCGGATGCACGTTAACCTTATATCAGAGGATCAACAAAGACGCATGGCTGTCAGGCGGTGCCGTATCCCAAATTTAGCCCACAGTAGCTTCTTCCCCTCTGCGAGTCAGGGGGTGGACGTGGTGCCTGGCAGGGTTCAGCTGTCCTTGTGCAGATACGAAACGGTTGCTCATCAAATCGGCATTGGCCGACTCGCTGTTGATTCGTGTTTGTGGAGTGACAGCCAGGGCCCGCAGAGATCGTCTGGCGTGGTCTGGCTTTTCTCCTGACCCCGGGAAAAATGGGGGAAAGCCTGTGCCCGATGGGGAGCTGGAGGAGGAAGCAGGCGCCGACATAACCGAAAAAAAAGGGGCCGCACTCGACTACTGCAGGCCTACTGTCACTGTACAAGTCCCCCCCCCCCCTTCGGAACCGGGCCCCAGGAAAGATCAACGCGTTGTCTCTGCGCGTCGAGAGCGAGCCTATGCCGTGCTGGGGGGGAGCCTTATCATGCATGCTGTGGAGATGAGGGTGGGATGGGACGGGATGGCTCGCTGGACAGTGATTGCTCGGGTTGATTAGAGTTGATGTGACAGAGGAGGATTCCACTAGCCTAAACAGAATCTTCCCTGCCCCTGGCGCTAACCGTTCGTCTCGGGGTGTCCCCGGGAGGTGTTCACTCCACGAGGATAAGACCCGAGATTAACGAGATTGACAGCGGGTCTGTGTGACCTGGCCGCAGCACTCCTGCACGGACAAGACTCACACTAATCCTTGCCAAGCTTCTCATGTAATTATCAACCCAAAGCTTCTCGCCAGCAGGCGCTCGTGATGGTCGAATTTGGCCTACCAGAATGGGTAAGGATCTCTAGAGCCAGTGCCCAATACGGCCATTTTCTGGGAGGATCTCACTGCGAGATGATGAAGAGAATCCTCCTCGTTCGAGGCTAACAAAGCATCACGATGCCCCGGCCGTCCCACTTCGCGTTCGCGCCCTTGAAGGATGCCCCAGAGCGCCACACGCCATGCAGGCTCGCAGCCGGCCCGCCGCCGTGGCTTTCATTGTTATTACTCGAGGTTTCTGCCCGATGAGGAGCTCGAGCTGGGTATTGCGTGAGTCCTGCCAAGACGAGGCAAACTGCCCATCCCTCCAGCTCGCGGACATCCGGCTTGTCTTCGCGGCCGAGACCAGAAAGGGCGCTGGGGACTCTCCTCTCAGTCACGTCTCATTGGACAGCCTGACACTCCGGCCCTTTCCCGAGACATTGCAATGTAAGTCAAACCAGAGGGGATTCGGATCGGTTGCGGTAATAAAAATAGCGGCCTGTGGTAAACCCGAGCATACTGTCGGGACGCGGAACAGAAGCTGAAGGCGGGCTCTCACGTGTCTTGTACTCATGTCTCGTAACGCATGGACTCCATTATAAAAGGCTGCCCAGCACCGCCTCAGCCCAGGCGCAGAATCACACCATGTCTTTGATGGGGTTGTCCCCCTTGCAGCTGAGACAGGCTAAGCCTTAAAAAAGACATCTATCTACGCGGCTGCAGTCATATACACACAAAGAAGCAATGCCTTTCCGCCATCCTCAGCCTGATCAGAACACCCGGAACTTTCTCTGAGCAGCTGTCGCAGTGCCAGAAATGCCGAACCACGCCATATCCTCATCACCCATTACTGGGACAGTATGCCCGATTCCAGTACCATAAATCCCCACAACATTGTCTCCATACACATATTTGGTATAAGCGGCAGAAGGAGTGTGCTCCAACATCTGCTCAGGAACATCCGAGTACCCAAAGACGCCAGTCCACTGCTTGATCGTCTCATTGAAATTCTACTCAAACGTGGTCAGCCTGCGCTCCGAACAAAACCACCCAAGGAGGATGACGTGTGCCGTGCTTCCTTACCTGAGGTAACAAAGCCTCGTCCGCGGTCCCATGGAAGATCAGCATCTTCGGCCTCGAGCCAGTGTATCCCGGGAACATGGCCAGCGCAGTATCCGCCCACTCCTTCTGCGTGTGGATGCTCTCGCCCGAAGAGCACGTCGAGTTCCAACCGTCCACCGTGCCCGTGTAGAAGCAACCCGCCGGGACCCCAGAGTACACCGTTGCGGCCTTGAAGACGTCCGGGTACGCCGCAGCCAGGACATTCGTCATCATGGCGCCCGAGCTGCTCCCCGTCACGAACACGCGGGAGGCGTCCGCGCCGTAGGTGCTGACGGTGTGCGACACCATCTCCGTGATGGAACTCGTGTCCGCGCCGCCGCCGTGGGTCAGTGCCTCCTGCGAGGAGACATCCCAACATGTCCCGTTGTAGGGTGACTCGGGGTAGATCACGTAGAAGCCGTACTGCTCGGCCAGGGCTGGATAGGGTGTTGCTGAAAAGTAGGCCTCTGCGGTGCCCGTGCAAAAGTGGATTGCGACGACGACTGGAGCGTTGATGTTGTTTCCCGCAGAACTTAGGGAGTCCGGTGCGTACAGGTACATCTTGGTACCAGATGTGTTTGGACCAAAGTCGGTGACCTGCTGGAGGGACGCCGCTTGAGCGGCCGTCGCTAGAGCAGCGGCGCCTGCGATAAGTCGTGTGAGTGAAGTCATCTCGGTCGATATCGTGTCTCTCCTGTCTGAATTCCAAGCTTGCAACTCAAACAATATTCCCCTTCCGATTATGGGGAAACTCGCCCCTTTAAAGGCAAGATCAAGGAGACATTTACCAACGGAGTCGGCTGCATCTGTGGCACTACAGTCTCCGTTGCGGAATGTCAGGGCCCGGAGGTCTTCAGGGGCAGGAGTCAGTCATTACTGCTGGCTTCGTCGGCGTGTTATCACTGCAAATATTACCCCTGTCGGGCAGCCGAAAGATCAGGGTCCAGCCCAGAAGTCCGGGAGGCGTGGGCCAAGCGGCATCAACCGTTCAGTGTGCTTCCGTGCCGACCCAAGAGCTCATCGGGCTTCACTGACTCGGCCCCGAGGTAAAGCCCGCGAAATTTCAGGACATCGTGGGCCTCGCTTCGAATCCGTACAGAGCGACGATGGATCTATTCGTGACTGGTGATCCAAATGTTTGACTTTGGACGACTGTCGATTTGCACAAAGAGTTCTGGCGTAATCTGCATCGGAAAGCAAATTGTCGAGTCGTGGTGTTTGCAACCTGGGTAGAGGCTCTTCTGGCTGGGCCCTCAGTCAGACGGATGTCAAGATGGAGTGTTTGCTTCCGTGCATTTCCCAACGTGAGGACACTTGTCAATGACGCATGAATGTGACATCTGGGAAAACGTACAACCGTAGCATAGAGAGTCTCTGCCCCTGAAGAAAAATTCCAGAAGTGGCTGTGTGACCTTCGCTCCCGGGGAGAAAAGTCAAGGTGCTTGCCATGCTTTCTGCCGTTGAATTAAGCTTCAGCTAAGGCAACCAACTGGATCCGCACCTGGGCATGCATGTACTGAACCATCTTCATGCAGGACTCTCTGAGCCACACTGTTACTACCAATGTCTTGCATTTGACAGCAGGCCAGCCACAGAGCCAGGATCCAGTCCTGTGGTCTGATTCCATTCGATCGCGACTTTGTGTGTTCCAGATGATATCAACCCCTTCAGCCGTACACCTTGAAGATCGAGGCGGACACAGGCACAGTTTGACCAGACCGATGACTGAAATGTCGTGTGACTGGCAACACAAGATGTTCGACTTAGATGGCCATGGAGTAGAAAGTAATCGAGGTCGTCTGACGGGTTGACCTATGACATTTAGTGTCTCAAAAAATCATCCAAGAGAATCGCTGGAGCCTCACTGCTTTGTCTGACGTCCCATTCGTCTTCATTCCAAGACCCGGGATTTACGATTTACTGATCCCTGGTCTCTCTGTTCTCTTGGGAAGCCACGGCGGTTCCCGGACCTCACTGCCCAGTTGAAAAGTAAGCGCGGGGGATATCCTGAGGCCCCAAGACCCGGATCGAATCGTGGCTCGGCCGCACCCTAGTTGTGTCTTTGTCGTGCAAACATCAAGCAAGGGGGCGAGGTCTTATCGCGGGCTGAAAGTGACGCCACAGCTAATCACAGAACCAGCCTCACAGGGTTCAATGAAAGATTGGCGGAGAGGGCACAACGGCGATCTCAGAAGAGCATAACGGCCGTTCCTACACCTCTCAGCCCCTCAGCCATTGTCCACTCCGGCCCAAGCTGACCCCTCCTTGCCCACACCTCCTCCATGACACGCAGCGCAGCAGCGATCGTCCCAAAGCTCGAAAGCGGCCCCAGCGCCTCCACCATGCCGCGGAAGATTCCCTCCTCCTCGGGCAGCGCGAGGCAGCCGGTGACGCAGAAGGGCCAGACGACGGCCCGGACCGAGGCGGGCGCGGGCGCGCTCGCGAGCAGGGCGACCGTGGCGGCGACGCTGGCGCGGATCTCGGGGCACGACGGCTGCCAGCCCGACACGACGGTGGAGAGGTACGTGAGGGTGGCCTGCGCCCAGACGAGGCTTGTCCAGGTGGTGCTCGAGCCCGGGACGATGGGCAGGCCGGTGTTGTACTGCGCGATGAAGTCGATCGGGTTTATCGCGGCCGACGGGGCGGGGCCGTCCTGCCTCTGCTGCTCTAGGCACTCGATCAGCCCCCTCAGGAGCGTCTCGATCTCCGATGCCCGCGCGACGAGCTGGACCATGGACAGCGACCCTGTCTTGTTCATCTCCTTCTTCCAGGCGTGCAAGTCCGCCACCTGCGCGAGAAGGGTGATGACGGCGTTCTTGACGCCAACGACACTCTCGAGGTTGATCTGAGGCCCTGTAATGTCGACACCGGCGAAGTTCCCCGAGACGGAGTTGAGCAAGATGCCGTGGAAGTTATATAGCCTGGGCGTCTGCTCCAGCGCAATGGCAGAAATGACATCCGCAAAGAGCAGGAGCGCCGTGAAGAACTTCATGGCCGCCTGGTCAGAATTGTAAGGGTAGGGTTGGCCGTCCGGCGAGAAACCCAGTGTGGGCATCTGTGATGCCGCCCCTAGCTGCATCGTTATCGCGTGCCAGCAGTAGTGCTTCGCATCCCCCTCGCCGCTCGAGCCGTGGTGCTCCATAATCTGCTCGAACATGACGAAAGCTCCGTCCAGGTGCACCATCCAGCTCTCGACACACGCCACCCTGCGCGTCACGGCGGCCTCGAAGACGACGAGCTGGACGATGCTCTCCATTATGCGCGCGCTTTCGACCAGGTCTGACCCGACTCCCTTCTGATTCACCACCGCGACGTCCTGCTGCAGCTCCTTGAGGGTGAGCTCGTGCTGCTTCTCCAGCTCGGAGCGGTTGTGCTCGCGACAGAGCTCGTGCCCTGATGTCAGGTTGTCGGTCGCGACTGCGAAGCAGTAGGTCGCCAGTGACAAGGCTGAGTGCAGGAGGGTCCTCTTCCGCATGAGCAGGATGAGGAGCCACCCTCGGCCGGACTGTAGTAAGGGCGGCCGGTAGAAAGGAAAGAGGAAAGGGAAGACATAGTCGAGGTAATTTGTAAGGAGGGTGAGCTCACGCTCGCCGAGGCTGTTGTAGGCCACTGAACTCGCAGAGGTCGCTGATGAGATGCCTGGCGCTGTTGCAGTAGGAGCGAAATGATGTCCCTGGATGTACATGCCGTCCACAGCAGACAAAGCGCCCGGTTCGGAGGTCGTCGACGGAGGGGTATTATTACTTGTTCCATCAGATGAGGAATTCTGCGGTGAGTCCCATGAGCTGCTCGCCGATGAGGCACCCTTGTCCGCCCCGGTGTGGGCTGCTCTGCTGTTATCATCGTGACGGCTGGTGAAGGTCGAGTCCGAAATGGTGTCGACCATGCTTAACTCCTCGATACCGGGCTCGATCCCGGTCAGATATTTCCTTTCCCTTCTCCAGGCCGCCTTCTTCTTCACCTCCGCTTTCACCTCATCAGCTTTCTGGGCCTGCCTCTCCCCACCGTCCATCCACTCCGGCTTCTCATCGCTGTAGAGGCACGATATCTCCAGTGAGTCACATGCTGCGCAGCGGGGACTAGCCTCGTCACACTTCTTCCGCCGGAGACGGCAGGTCCAGCAGCCGTCTGAGCTACGAGCTGACGGCTTGGTGGTCATGATGCGTGAGTGGTCCTCACAGACCAGGTCCGAGATGGTCACTACGTCGTGGGAGGATTAGAACAAGCTCAAGAAGAGAGTCGCAAAATGTAGGGTAAGCGCCGAGGCAACGCGGTCTTGGTAAACCGGGCTGTGCCAGGAAAGCGCCACGGCACCGATGGCGCAACCGGAAGCGTCGCCGCTGAGTCTCGCAAGAATCGTAAGCGAGTCCCTCGAACCGGACTTATTTCTTCTGAGGCGGCACGGACTCTGCCATGCGATATGAAATGAATCTCAGATTCGATCTGACTTGATGCGATGGTGGAGCTGGAGCTCACGAAGGGTTGAATGAATGGTTGGTCAGCAGCTTTGTCGTCCTGGTCAGGCATCCCTCCTCTTGGGCCTCGATGCGGTGTAGTGCGGTGCGATGAGTCAGCATCAACCCCCCCAACCATAACAGCTCCTCGGCCAAGTGATAGATGGGGACCATCACGACTTGGGTCAATTTTATTCAGATCACGAAATGACCCACGGTTCAAATTGGATGATAGTAACAGTTTCGCAGCCCACCGGCGCCAAGGTTCAAAGAACGCATGCAGCCCCAGACCGAGAAGAAGCAGACTAATATAGCATACCGAACATACAGGGGGCAGCAGTGCGCCATCGCACCCCGATTTTATACATGTTGGCCCTCCACTGACAGCCCATCGCACTCCTCTTTTCATGCCTATATGCATACGCGCGAGCCTAGTCGACCACATTGCTTCAAGAGCAGCAAATAGTCGGCTCCTCTGCCGCGCTCGTGTTCGACCTCGAACCCTCCCACAGCGTCTCCCATGAGAATATGAAGGCGCCAAAGTAGGCACCGACGATAATAGATATTATTATGTATCCGTTATAATTCATCGCCAGCCTGTGATATGGGTCAAGCACTCGTCAGTATTTTCTGTATCCTCGGGCCTTTCGCGGCATCATCGCAGGCTAGGTACGCCACTCACATCATGATGAAGTACGCGACAGTAAACTGTGCCGCATGCAACAGCGCCCTGATCATCTGCTGCCACACGTTGGGTCGGAACGGCGCAGAACACCCTTGCTCCCCGCTCGTGACAACACTTATCCCCCCAGCAGCAGCAGTGGCGGCGGCAGCAGCTCCCCGGGCAGCCTTCGTAGCCAAGCCCGGCTTCTCCCTGACGCCGGCGGTGGCGTCGCCACCACCCACACCTCCAACCCACTCGGGCCCGATCACGGCCGTGGTGCTGGACTTCCTAGACCCGTTGCAGCACTCGGCCGGTGCCGTAACAGGGGCCGGCAGCGTTTGCTGGTTCGCGTCCGCCGGGGCCGTCGGCGAGACTTGATGGTACCGCGCCTCGGCGGCCTCCCTGTGCTTCTGGATGAGGTAGCGGTCGAACTGCTTCGTACTTCGGCGGAGGGCTTCGAGGGCCATGACGAGGAAGATGACGCCGAAGCAGGTGCCCACCATCGCCCCCGAGGAGGCGATCTGCCATTCTGGTGTGATGAAGCACGCGCCGACCGTGTGCCAGTTCCAGAGCATCTGCAAAGAAGGGTTTATACGTCAGCCGGTCGTTCAATCGCTGGTACTGAAGCGTATTAAAGTAGCACGGATTGACCGCTGCCCGTCGTGATCGGACAGGGCTAAGTAAGGCACGCACCTGTATCTCGCAGACTCTTCCAGCACTGCCCACAACGCTACTCATACTCATTCCCATCGAGCCCATACCGGTAGACATTGCTGCAGCCGTAGTAGTGGTCGTGCTAATCGTCGCACTCGTTGCCGTCGATGAGACAGACATCGCCGTCGCGCTCGTCGAAGTAGTCAGTGTCGTTGCCGTTGAGCTCATCGTCATGCCGGACATGCCTGACGTCGTCCCCATGTCCATGCCTGACATATCCATGTTGAGTCTTCTGCTGGAGTTTCGAAATGAATGGAAGGTCGTCTTGAGGTGATGGGAGTTCTGGCTCGCAGGCTGTCATCCAGCACGGCGGGCGGAATCAGTGTTAAAAGCGGAGAGCAGGTCGGACTGAACTGCGAGCGGGCCCGTCTGGCGGGCTCTGGTCCCTTCAGACAAAGGCAGAAGATCGCTTCCTCCCCTCGATCATGCGTAGAAAGGACGTTTTGGACTGGTCCCGACGAAAACACGGAGTTCTAAAAATGGACTGAGACAAAAGAGCCAGAAGCGGGAGCGGGCGAGGAAAGACTTTGTCGGTGGTTGGGCATACAGGTCGAGATCCAAGATCACGAACAGTCTAGCACGGTAGACTGCTTTCCGTGGCCTTCCTGCTTGTGCACAGAAATAGCAAGGGGTAATTGGTTCCAAACTTGAAGTGTAAAATGGCAGGGTCGACCGTCTCTGGTTGAGGCAGGAAGGACTCGGTCGGCGGTCTGGCAAGAAGATGCAACATTCCCGTCTGCAAGGCCCACGGTGCCCAGCATTTTCCACAACAAAGCCACATTGGAATCGCAGTTGAAATGTCCAAGTCAACACGGCTCACATCTTGCCACCCTTCCCCGTACCTCGTCCCAACAGATGAAGTAGTAAAAATTGGTATGTATCATTTCTGCTGTCTATCGTCGTCAGATGCCCGGCGACACCAAGTACAGAGAATGCAGAAACACCTACTTGGCCCTACACTCCTGCGTAGAGGTCCTTTGTGCTTTTGCCCACGTAACGTGTCGTGGGTATTCCCGCATGCACTCGTGCCGCGGACAATATAAAATCAACAATTCAAACCCAAACGCCATTCCCAGCTGCACCGAATCCCAGTAGCAACGGTTCTCCGACTGGACAGTATAACGCACAAAACCAAAGGCCCGCAAAAAACAGCGTGGTTAGACCGGTCGGCAACTACGCCTTGGCCTTGTCGCCCTGCAGGGCATACAGCTCCCTCCTGGCGCCCGAGGCGTCGCAGCTCGAGAACTTCCAGTAGTTCCCGTTGATCCACCCGCCGATGTTGATCAGCCCCCACTTGATAGGCGCAGGGATGGGCGGCCAGTTCGCCCACTGGCCCTCCTCGAACTGGGTGGACCGGTCCAGGTTCAGCAGGAAGAACGGGACCACGTCCGTCGTGCCCGCCTTGGTGACCGTGTTCTTGCCCCAGACCTTGAAGGTGTTGGACGCCTCGGCGGCACGGGGTGTGTCCGGGGCGGGGGCGTTCGGGTGTTCGGCCAGGCTCGCGATCGTCTTGATCTCGGAGTGGAAGTGGTTCTCGAAGTTGGCAGCGAAGCCGTCCATGATGCGCACGAGCTCGGTTGGGTCGAAGGATTGTGGGTTGGGCTGGACAGAGAGTAGGTATTTGTTGAACTCGGCGAGGCCGGGGAGGAAGGACTCTGCGGATGGTGACTGTCAGTGTGCTATGCTTTGCTCTTCTCCTGGCTGGCACGTTGTGGGCAGCCTCCAGCCCAGGCATTGATTTCCGACGTACCGTGCTCCTTGTGTGTCTCTTCAAAGACGGTCTTGTCTTCGAGAAGCTCCTCGATCTTGGTGAACAGGGAATCCTCCTCGTCATCGTGGTGCGACTTGACGAACTTAAACCAAGTCAAAGCATATCCGATGAAGTCGGCCTTGTCCGCGTCCTGGACATGTGGTGCTTGCAGGTAGATGCTGTTGTACCCTCTAAAGATGGAGTTGTGCAGCAGCGCCATATGCGTTGCACCTGTACTGAAGAGGTCCGTCTGTGATGATGCGCGGCAGTGCGTGTCAGCCGTCTTGTCTCTATGGCCTTGGGGGGACACGCAGTCACGCAGTCCCGAAACGGTGAGGTGGGTGCGCCATACCTTCTTGGACTCGTACTGGGGAGTCGCAACAAGCTTCATGGGCTGATCAGCCCAGGGCTTGGATCCGGAAGCTGGGGCTGTGGTCATCATGAATGGTGATCGAGACACAAAGACGCCGAATAGCAGTGTGGCAAGTCCGAGGAAAAGGGTCAATGGAGAAGGCATGCTGGCGGTCCAAGGAGTGATATTTGGAATGCGGCTGCCCTCCAGGAGTCTGCCGATATTATGTATGCTTTCCTCGAGCGTATCGGCTGCTTCCTGCGCGTCTGCCGACTTGCTGCAGAGAGCTACTGGCTGCTGTTTGAGGAGGGACAAGAATGGCACCATCAGGGCCGTCGTATGATCGGTCACCCCTCGCCTCGGCCCATGCTGCTTAGCAAGCTCCGATCTGGTCTGCTCGCCATTTCCCCTTGGAAGGCTGGAGCTGCTGTCACCTGTCAAAGGTCAGTGCTTCAGGTGCTCCAGGCACAACTAGAGGTGCTAAACAAGCTCCGCTGTTGGTAATTCTTAGCGTCCCATTGGGCCCTGCACGTCGCAGCAGGGATGTGAGCTTCGGGTGTCCCCACTTGTTCCCGGGGAAGCCGCCGATCGTCTTCGGGGCTTACAGGCCTTTTTTCGGTCGAGAGTCAAATTCGGCCGTCCGTTTGATAACCATTGGATAAGAAGCGCCAGTCGTCCGAGCCCGATAATGGAGGTGTCGGGTTGTGCACGACAACCGAGTACGCGTATCTACAATTAGTAGGTAGCCAGCCAGATTGGTGCAGCAGAGTCGCCATTCTCCATGTCCCCAGATTACTAAACAATGTTCAATACAGGATAGAGTGGAGTGTCAATTTCGTCCGTCACGGCCTGGGCTGGGCCTCCATAGAGTAAAATTCGCATCTCACCTAACCAATCTTTCGCTTCCTCGATCCACCAGCGCGGGCGAGTCACCGTGTAGGTCTCAAGGACCTCCCTCGTTCATGATCGTGCCTCATATATACCCATCGCATGTGCAGCTCACGCTTATTGTCTCCTGTCAGTCCTGTCATAAAGCCGGCACCAACAAGCAAGAACTGTCTATGGAACCACAAGCCACATCTCCGGATTTCTCAAGTCATGTCCCACACGGAACGGCTCGTGGCAGCCGTCACACCGCCCACGGTACCACCAAAGTACACAGTATCAAATATGCCCTTGTTAGCACTAGCACAGCTACCAGCACGCTCAGGAGTGTCTCTTTGCTATCCCGAAACTGTGTTCGAAGAGTGGTTTTGCATAGTCCAGGAGCGTCTTGGCGTCTGCCTCCTATCCAATTCCCGTCGATTTGGCACCCATGGTTGGTAGGGTCGCCACAAATTGGGCATAGCCGCGAAAGGAAAGACCCTCCTTGAGCGGGTCACATAGGTGAGGTGGGTGTCATTGTCAAGCTTCATGAGCAAGGAGCGTACTTGCCCTGTCCATGTCTATGTCGAGCTTGAGCGTAGGCGGAAAGCGAAGATCGGCTGTTCTGAGAAGATTCTGTTTCAACAGGGCTTGCAATGTCTTCATTCCTTCGACATTGAATCGTGATTTGGTACAGCCTTCATTACCACCTTGTTGGTCTGGGGCTGTTGGCTCAGGTAGATCAGCCCCGAGGACTGCGAACACCTTCGCTGGTCACACAACATACACTGTTGGATGCATGTTGGTCCTTGCTGAGTCAATGCCCAAAATCAAAGGTTCCATCCTCGGCTCCCCACAACACAGCTCTGAAATGGCATGATGCGTGGGAGATGGAGCCACCCACTCCAGACATAGTAAAACCAACGCATGCATTCAACTCGCGTTTTCCGTGTCCCTGACTTGAATATAGACTCTTTGCTCGTATATATATCTAGACTCTGAAACATTTTGTACTCACGAGATGCGACAAAAAATTATTGGTACTGGGGTTGTTCTTTGCAACAATCTACTCCTAGACTTTTGGGAGGTGCAACGCAGTGCTGTCACTCTGAGCCAACCTTGGCAGCCCGGACTTTGGTGCTGCAACAGTCAGAATTATATCAAATCTTTTCTCAAATCGATACTATTGAGCCTCTTCATTGTCGACAGGTCTTGTAATATGATAGTAGTAAGAGTCACTTAGCTTGGGCACTGCAGGCGAGCAATATTATACAACCTGCTCAAAACTCCGTCTCAAGTGCGCGGCCATTCGACCCATGCACCATCACCAAACTGAAGCAAGTTTGCTGAACATGCCTAAGCATACAGGCGTTGATAAGTATACCTTGAGATACTTAGCTTGGAAACCAGTTAGCTCAACTTCCAAAGGTGGTTTCTGACTTTTCAGGTTAAGAAGCAGCCCCAAAGAATTGTCAGTGGGGAAAGTGGCACAAGGCTATGAATGGTGGAACTACGCAGGCATGACTCCACGAAACTAGAAGAAGTGCGGAGGTCGCATCCTTGGTAGACAACATCAAGGAACCCCGCTCTGCAAATCGCTCGTGGATGAGAACACTTCAAACTACAGTATCATGGCGCACACAGGTAGGTTGGAGAGCGACGCGATGAGACGATGGAGGCCTCTGTGCGTCTCTGAAGGTGTCTGATCGACGATGGCACGCGTTCGACAGTTGACTTTTATTAATTTCTGGCCGGCGCTCCAGTGTTTGCTTGGGCTCCAGTAAGTGGACTCCGGAAGAAGAAGGCATCCCGATCTTTACGTCTTCGTTGTATCACACCGATTCGCGACTGCAGCTCACAATGGCACTTTTCGTTTCTTCTTTTTTGCTTTCTTCACGCATCATCGTCACACGCAGTCACTGTCACGCTTCATCACAGCTCACGCTCGCACAGACAAACAAACAAAACAAACAAAATCAGACGACCCTGAGAACGACGAAGGTGGCCGTCACCCCGCAACCCTTCCTGTAGTCCCCGGACTCGGCGCTCAGCACCTTGGCCTTGCCGCCGGCCTCGAGCCCGGCCACCTCGGCCTTGAAGCCCTGGCTCTCCCAGATGTCGTCGAGCACGGTGGCGACGACGACGCCCTCGCGCTTGGTGACGCGGACGAGCTCGCGCAGCGCCTCGGGCCCCACGTGCGTGTGCGTGAAGGTGCCGACGCACACGACGACGTCATACTTGCCGTCCTCGACCTCGAGCGGCTTGTTGAGGTCCGTCGTCTGCAGCGCCTCGTACGCCCCGGACTGCCGGGCCACGGCGAGCATCCCGGGGCTCAGGTCCCGCCCGTCGATGTGCTTGGCCCCGAGCCGCGCCAGCTCGACGCCCGCCAGCCCCGTCCCGCACCCGGCGTCCAGGAGACGCAGCTCCGGGCTGATGGTGGGCGTGCCCAGGGCCTTGGCGACCAGGCGCGCGACGGCCGCTGGGCCGACGTAGTTCTGGGACGGGTCACGCAGGTCAGAGTCATAGGTGGCCGCCCAAGCGTCGTACACGTCCTGCGCCTCAGCGGCGTTCTTGAGGACGTAGGAGCGGGTGAGGTGGGGGTTGTTGGCTGTGTTGGTGGTGACGGACATGGTGGATTGGGTCAACGGATGATGGCTAAGTGTGTGTGGGCTTTGGGGGTCTGGAAACGACAGAGTGTCTTTGTGTGTGTGTGAGGTATGCTTGGGCCTGGGTTGAGGTGGATGACGGAGGTGCAGAATCATTCCTCAGCCTCTCGATCGACCGCGCGGACGACGGGCTTTAAATATTCAGCTCAACACCAAGCAACACGACGCCCCGGATCACAATGACAGATGCCGACGACATCGAAGGCTCGGCATGTCCAAGATCAGCACTACGGTTCCCACGGGTGCATGAGGCGCTCGCATTCATTGTCAACAATTGGCTGCCGAGGGAATAGCTTGGATGCTCAAACCTTTAGGTACATGGTGTACCATGTCGAGAACCCACCTTGGTGTCGCTGGGCCATACAGCAGCCGCACAGGCTTCACTTCGGAACTTGGTGACTGGGAGTCCGCAGGCGATGTGACGCACCTGGGGAAGCTCAGTCCCTGCACCCATATGGCGCAATCGTTCGCATGTTACGAACTACATGCCAGCTGGCAAACTGCAGTTCTCTGTCAAGACTGCGTAGGGCGGGTTCTACACGTTTGTTAGCAGAGTGGGATCGTCCCTGGCAGAAAGCAGTACTGTCTAACTGACCTTTTTCAGCTCAGGAAATAAAGCTTTAATGCTTAATTTACATTAAATTTCATTTTGATTTTCAAATGAATTTTAAAATAATAGCTTAAAAATAAAGTATAAGTTTTTTAAAAATAAAATAAAAATAAATAAAAAATAATTATTTAATACTTTTTAAAATAAATAAATAAAGTTATAAAACCCCTTCTTTTTTAAATTTTTTAGGGTTTTTAAATTCTTTATTATTATTTTGTGCTAAGCCCGATTAGGCCTAGTGGGATGCGAGGAGGCAACTGGTACCTGCATTCAATATGGAAGACTGAGGCGGACCTTCTAGTAGGCACCGATCATGTCGATCTGCACAAATGTTCAAGCACAGCCTGGAGGTCACACATTGCAATGATCCCGGGTGAGCGTGGCTTAGAACGCGACTCCTTCCCCGCTATCCTCAACTTAGTCCCGACGGTTAAGCCCTCATCATGGTCAGGCAAGCGATCTAAGTCGTCGAAACTAAACCGCGCACCCTGGGGCTTGCCTGTCGCCGTCGCCCCTTTGGGCTAGAGAGGATGCACTCTCGCTCCTCAATCCTGCTAGGACACAACCCTTGACGTCAGGATTATACTCGAGCCTCTGTCTCTCCTTGTCTCCTTGTCTCCTTGTAGCATAAACGGGCCGTGAGAAGAGGAGGGGACTGTGTGCTCGCACCGGAACGGGCGGGTACCTTCTACTGCCTCGTTGCTGGCTGACCGGGCCACTTCCGACTCGGGGGGGGGGGGGTTGGGCATGTGCAGTTATTTATGTGCCCACATGCATGCGACCTGTCTGCCCGTGTCCTCTGCATGTCGCCGTATGTGACTATCATATGATTTGTGCTGGGATCGAAGCCCTTGGCGCCCAAAATGCCGCGGGGAAAAGGTGGCCCCGAATGTGTTGGCGTGTTCCGCCGTGGGTAACCGGCTCTGACAGGTCGGTACGGTGCCGCTCGAGGACGGTCGGGTGGGGTCAGGAGGTGGGGACCGGAATCCTGCAGCGCCCGTACCGTTCGGGTGAGAAGCGCCGAACGCTCGGTGCTTCAAGGAGAGGAGAAGTGGTCCCCGCTTGGAGGACGCTGAGAATTCCTATTAATTCGTGGAAACTGAACGTCACGCACTTGAATGCGACTCAAGATAATTCTGTAATTGCTTGCGAAACAATTACCTTTTCTGCGAATGGCGACGACGCTGGCATCCTCCCGGCCCTTGGGGCCTTGGGGGGGCCTCCTCCTGTGACTTTCAAGCTCCGCGGATGATCGCGACTCTGCAGGGAAATACGCGACTGCACCACATCTTTTGGGCCTGGCCTATGGTACCGCGAACAGCTGCATGAGATCGACGCAGAGTGACGTAAAGAGCAATTTCAAGGGCTTGGATTCTCGATGAAAAGGGGCCTAAGCAAGCATTGCTATATTGAAGGAGGCAAGAGGCCATCTGGCGGTTACTGGTCCTTCCCCGCAGGGCGCGTGGGCGGATTTTCACAAGGCGGCGTGGGATCGAAAACAATTTGTGTCGCTATTACTAAATTCTCCAGTTGTGGACTCAGCGAATACTCGCACCTGGCTTCGGCATCTGTCATGGCTGCTCTGAAACTTTAATACAGCGGTTGGACTCTGCAGTTTCCACAGGTTGAGTAAAGACCGATTGGCGGGCTGGTCGTGTCCTGTCATTTATTTGTCGAGTGATCCTTACATGCGCTGTGTACCAACGTCTTCTACCCACCCAGCCGTCCCGTGGCCTAGAACCCGTCGACCTGCACCCGCGCCTATATGATGTAGGGAACAAGTGTGACGGTAGCCCTCAGTCATCCCATGCCCGATGCTGCGTTGGTGAGGGGTACCAGGTTCTGGCTATTTCCTGCAATCAATATCGGTTCACAGCATGCAATTGTCGGCGTTGAATTTCCCCGGACAATTGCCGCGGAAACCTGGACGAGCCGCCAGGTATTCCAGCTGTTTCCAGTCGCGCCGTGAACCTTCACAACGGTATCGGGTCATGTGAAAGCATTCTTGACATTTGGAATATGTTCTTCCCAGTTGCCCGTGGCACAGCAAGTAGTAACTCTATGCTTGAGCAGAATTACCTAGCTTTGAACTATTTCACCGAATCCAGCGGCTGTGGCGGCCCGAAACCCCCTTGCTTCTAGCCACAGGTGCTTAGTGCAAATGCTTGAGGCAACTCTCCTCGAGGAACAACATACCATGCGATCTTTACTGCACAACGAGAATTGGCTTGCTGGAGGGTGGCCGGCTGCAGTAGGTAATACATGGTGGAAGCCTAGTCAGATTCAAGGGCGGGTGCACTTGTAGTGGGCTCTCATATTCACAGAAATTTCTTGATGATTTCTTCTCTCGTCAAAAGTGGGATCAAACCACATTAGAAGAGGGGTTTCAATAACATTGGATGAATTTATTCTAGAAAAAGCTAGTTAAGATGAGAGCTTGGTTGACATGACCGGCAGGGCCACATGTCGAATGGGTTGTCATGCCCAGATATCTCTTGAATTTCTACCCTGCTGGTGATGGATGAAACATATGCATTGTTCTATGCCTATGAAAAGTTATGATGCTGTTCCATTGATACTATATCCTGGGGGACGCAAGATGGCAACTGCCTCCTAATCCCTTGAGAACATTTATAAACTGCTTGATGTCTCAACTTTTAAGCTTGCGTTCTTATAACACACTTCATCTTCCGGACCTAATTTGCAAGTCTTAAATGTTGCTTCCAGATTTCCAAAGTTACTTCCTTCTGGTTGCTGGTCCAGCTCTGCAGCGGCTTTCCGTTCTGCAGCAGCTTTCCGTTCTGCAGCAGCTTTCCGCCGTTCGTCACGCATTTCAAATTCCCATAATGGAAAGACTTCAAACTGGGTATGACTTAGGTGCTTAGCTCATGAGATGACGGAGTTCTCATCGCACCTGGGGGATCATGCTCACCTCCCGTATCTTCCTTGGTGCCCATATCTCATACATCTTCTTCATCTTTCCATCGACACCACGCGCCTCCTCTCCGAAGTACCGGTTGACATGGAATCCCCCGATTCCGAAGTGCAGACTCAGCCAGGCCTTGAGGTGATAGGGGTTTGTTTTCTCGGACAACCAGTCCGAGAGTATTGTTGAGGTTGAGGTTTCGGGCATTTGGTGTGGGTCGGTGGACAACCATTCGCATTTACGGATAAGACTCGAGAGTTCACTACTGTGGGCTTGGGGCCGGCTGATTCCTTTTGACTGCTTTCCGATAGGAAGCAGACGTCGAGGTCGCGATTGTGCAGACAAGGCCGATGGCCTGTGTCCTACTGAAGCAGTCAAGTAAGTATATAGGTAGCAGCTTCCTGTGACTGACATGGGGAGTGAGCAACGAAGCCTTATGACAGTGTGTGTCCGAGCACTGGAGTCTGTCATGTGCAGACTCGGGAGAAACACACAATCTTCCGCGGAAAGAGTTTGTTCTAGAGCATCACAAAGGACTAAAATGAAGAATAGGATATGATCTCACTCTCAAATTCGCTGTCATTTGGTTCTTCCGTTGACTTTGATCGCCCGGGTTGACCCGTCTTTCGTTCCTGCCGAAATCCCAAGATTGGCACATGTACTCAACGAGCTCTCAGCTGGGGCTGCGGATTTCATAGCGGGATGTTTGCAACAGCTGCTTCCACCTTTCTGTCCCTTGCTGGCGTCTATGCAATCATGTTGTGCCGGGCACCCTTGGCGCAAGTTCTAGGATTGGTTTCGCTTCGAGTCCCCAAAACTGAAGACCCGGTACGTATTGTCCACATCTCGAGAAGCATCTTTGAGGGAGTCGATGTCTTCCTGTGGAAATGTCAGCGACCAAGGCTTGCGTGCTTTGAGTGGTGGTACTTTACCTGGCTGAGTGAATCTGGTGACCAAAGTTGATACATGGCGTGCCCGATCAAGCTCAGTCCGTAACCGTCACGGCGGAATCGCCCATCTAGGAACATCTTAAGGAGAATGGGATTGATCTCCTGGCTCGAGAAATACTAGACTTCCCATCCTAGGCGATAGTATCGGTCGCCGTCCAGATGCACGCCAGCTGTACGCTCGATCTGATTGTCTTCAGCTTCAAGTGAGGAAAGCGAGCTCGCCGCACGACTGTGCTTAGACATGCTGCCGTCTTCGAGGGTTCGGGGGCCGTGATGAGAGTTGTTGATAGGAGTATAGGTGTGCGCCGATGTGGTCTCATGATAGTGGATGGATTTGCCGAGCGGTCGATGTGTTTGTCCAGGAAAGATTGAGTGTGCAGAGAAGGCGCAAATCCCCACAACTTTACGAAAACACGTACACGCAAACATTTAAAAAATCCTGAACTCAAACTCGGGGATTTAGGCATCACTGAAGCTCAGCAGGGGCTTCAGGCCTTCCTGAGAATTCACTCGCCGTTTGGAGCCCATTATCTTAGACCATCCACAGTCGTTTGTGACGCAGGTCATCAACAATATGGGGACAGGTGATTCACTGCTTCGGTGTATGATGGCTTGCAAATTCGACGTCATTTATTTCACCCAGTTCAACAAATTAAAGATGCTAGTTCTGTATGCGTGTGTGGGCAACTGAGCAGCATCACTCCCTAATCCTCGGAAGTCTCATTCAGCCAGCACCCAGTCTGCTATTCCCTTGGCGTGCAGCTCCATGGTGTCCAGAAGAGGTACTGCAACATCCTCAGCCCTCACGATAAACTGTAACTCTGTGCAGGCCAGAAGCACAACCTGGGCCCCATTTTTGATCAGCCCGTCTACAACAGCGGCAGTCCTCGCCCTCGTTTCGTCTCGGAAGATCCCAGCACTGAGCTCCTCGAATATGGCCTTGTTCAATGCTATCATCTCCTCTTGCTCCGGGATCAGCACCTCCACCCCAGCCTTCTCGCTCAGGCGACCCTTGATGAAGTCGTCCTCCATGACGGTTTTCGTTGCGAGCAAGCCGATCTTCGAGAGGCCTCTCTTCTTGATCTCATCCGCCGCAGCGTCGGCGATGTGTATCAAGGGCAAGCCTGCCCCGGCTTCTACTCGCTCCGCGACCTTGTGTCCGATGTTGCAGCCGATGGCGAGACCCTGCGCGCCCGCCGACTTGAGGCCCTTGGAAGCGGCGATGAGCTTGTCCGCCGCCGCATCCCAGTTCCCGGCGGTGAAGAGCGCGGAAGTCTCTGCGTGGTTGAATGAGTGCATTACCATTGAAGCTGAGGCTGCGCCCCCTAGTTTTTGCTGGACATGGCCGTTGATGGAGGTGTAGTAGAGGGCTGTCGAGTGGTAGCTCATGCCACCAAGGAGGCCTATTGTCTTCATGTTGTCTGGTGATTGGTATGCTTTCACGTATTGAGAATATGACGATGACTGAACTGCAAGAATGAAAGGAAAGGAAAGAAAGAAAGCAAATAGACAAAATTGCAGGCCGTGGAATCCGCCGAGGACTCTCGAGTGTGGTCTGGATGAGTCAACCCGTGCTCAAGTGAGGGGACAACGTCAACTGGCAGCAAACTGAAGTGGGGCTTGATGACCTAAAGGGCGTGTGCATCGCAATTGAGTAACACCAGAACGGAAATTGGCTCACGTGTGAATTTGTTTATTTATTCATTTATTGAGGCTTGGTTGTGATCCGACTGGCCACGATTGCGACGATTTATGACATGGTGAATACTTGGTCTCCAGTAAGGACGTCTCTAACGGTCCCCACTACCACATCTTTTCCCAAGCTCTTCGGAACACATTCATGCCCTGCAAGCGTGCCCTGTTGTTCTCTTCAATTCCACCATCTTCCCAAATCCTGCATTCCTCGTCACACTGCTCTTTTCCACTGAGCAAGTCTGCTTCAGCCGCTGATACGAACTTTGTTCGCTTGACAACCTTCCAGAGGACAAACATGAAAGGTCCAAACGCCACCGCGAAATAGTCCGTGATGAAGCCCTGGTAGTCGAAAGGCACAAAGATGTCAAAGCCGATGAAGAGCAATGTAAAGCACCCGAGGCCACAGGCGAAGTATGCGGCCCCCGGGGTCAGCGGTGCAATGTAGGGCAGTGACGACAGAGGCACCGCATCCGGCTGTGCCATTCTTGCTCTATACCAGCCAATAAAGGTCCACAACATGCCGGTATATGTCGCAATGAGTGCGGTAGTCGTGAGATCGACGAACCAGTAGAAGACGGTGACGGTGTTGTTCGATGATACGAGGAAAGTGATGCAGGTGATCAGAGACACGGCGGTGACACAGTAAATAGGGACGCCTGCTTTTGTGCAGGTAAGCAAGAACCTGGGAGCTTGGCCGTCTGCAGACAGTCAGTCAGTAAGATTTCACGCCTGTGAAGCCTGCGGTGGAATTTTGTGCTAACCTCGTGCAAGACCATACAGGGTTCGAGAGGCCGAATACAGGTAGGCGTTTCCACATGACCTGTTTTGGCAATTAGCATCATTCACCAAAAGCAAGGGTACTGCCGACTCACAATCCAGAGGTAAGGATCAAGAAATTGATGAGACTAGGCAACCCAGTAATGCCCAAGTTCTGGATTCCAATAACCCAGGGAGATGCTGCCGCTCCAGCCGAGGAGTCCTCAATCGCTCCCATGAGGCGAGGGTCCGTTGGGGAGCAGATGATTCCCACAGCAAGGACACCAATGACATAAAATCCCACAAGGCGGTAGAAGATCAACTTTGCTAGGCGAGGAATCGTATGCCGCGGGTTCTGAATCTCTCCAGCAGAGATTGCCAGCATGTCCGGGCCAGCGATCGTGAACCCTGCGTAGATAACGACAGACCTGAGCACAGTGTAAGTACATCCACGTGGCATATTCAATAAGTAGTTATCAAACTCACCACCAACCCAGGAATCTACCAGTGTCTCCTTCGGCATAATATGGGATCATATAATTACCGCCGCCCCAGTTCCTGAAACCATATGCATCCTTCTGAGGGTTCCCACCACACATTGTCACGAGAGTAACCATGACAAGACCGATGAGGAGCAAGACTTTGAGCGAGGCCATTACGAATTCGCTTTCTCCATACCACTTGACGGCGACAACGTTCAAGAAGACACAGATACCCATTGCGAGTGCGATCCATGCGGCGGGATTGATCTCGGTATTCCAGAATTGGATGACTGTGGCCACTGCTGAATACTCCACACAGACCTGGGTGTCTCGATTAGCAATTTGGGTGAGGACAAACGATCAAGCGGGGATCTAATTACCAGCATGGTCCCGGCAAAGCAATATGTCCAACCCATGGCGAACCCCAATGCAGGATCAACAAAGCGAGATGCCAACTCAAATATTGTCCCCCGAATAGGGAGAAAGGCGCACATCTCGGCGACACACAGGTAGCAGGGCCACACGAACAATATGCCCCAGAACAGGTAGCCGAGGACGAGCGACAAGGGGCCTGCTTCCGACAGGACGCTGCCAATACCGACGAAGAGCCCCGTGCCGATACTTCCGCCGATGGCCATAAGCTGCACATGTCGTGGTGAGAGGCCTCGCTGCGTTTCGAACTCGGCCCGTCGCCCGAGGCCGCCACCGGCGACCTTCACATCGCCGAGGTTGGTGTCGGATGTAGCCTGGGCGGAGGAGATGCCCAAAGGCTCCTTGTGGTCTTCTGGGACACCCATTGTGTCGGTCGGTTGTCTAAGCGACTCGGAAAGAGGAATGAACGACAAGCGCTGGTCAGCAGAGAGGGCGAGGCGGGCCACATGGTTCAACATATACTGCACGCACCGCAGGCGATCGACACCGCCTTCCCCGGATGTCGCGTGGTGTCTGCTAGTCAGCCGTCAGCGTAAGGACGCCCGATAAGCAAGATTTGACCCCAGGAAGGGGGAATAGCACTCACGAATTGGGGGTCAGTCCTGAGCTTGGCAACAGACATATCTCCCCCCCTCGGTGGAGACCGCCAAGGGCCGGCAGAGAGATAAGGAGAATGCGGAGGCTGTCAGATCTTGGCTGCCCATATACGGCCTGTCGCCCAATTCGATGACTACCGGGGATTGTTTAAAGCTCAGTACAGCATTATTGCGGCACGTGTCAAACGTCCAGTCCTGGCTAGCCTCCGCCGGATGCGAGGATCTCGGCCACATACCAAGCCCGCCTCTCTCGCATCTACCTGCTTAAATAGGCATTCATAGGCGAGTGCTCACGACAGCAGCTTATGAGCGGGAAAAGCCCTATCTACATGTAATACTATCATCAGGTCAGATATACGTCACTCTATTCCAAACTGTTTTGATATGATCCTACGGAGCGGCATTGGAACAAGCCTGTGCGAGGCCAGATGCAGCCAAGGGAGTCTACGGAAGTAGGCTTCTGGATCTGTCTTCTCTTTTCCGAGTGAAGCTGACGAGTAGTTGTCTATGACATTTCCTCCGCGATATTATTACAAAAGGCACAGCGTTCAAGATAGCGGCTCATAGTGCGCGAAGAGACTGCGCATGGCGATGCCTGGAATCCGACAAGTGACCCGCAGGCACACTCTTCATGACCTTGGCACGAGGCTTGAAATGTAGAGCATGATGCTGAGCTCGGGCAAAATCACAAGGGTCGGTCCCCATACCTAGAACGCCCAAGACCTGTGACGAATCGTGGTCCAAATCCCTTCCAGGGTGGTCGAAACACTGGGAATGCACCAATTTCATCAACTCTGGTCAGGCAGCGCATCTCGGATATATCTATCGAGATGGAGTGAGACCAAGCACCCGTGAAAGCAGCACAACAATCTTACAACCATGTCTCAAGTTAAAGTAGCAGAAAAACTGATTTAAATGCACAACCGATGTTCTAGATTCTATAGCTGTGATATCACTCGCAGCCCCGTAACATGATGCAACCCGCAGAAACACAATTCGTCAAAGTCGTCAACCCATACACAAAATCCACACCTAATCGAAGCTGATTTACAAGAAGACAAGGTGTCCAAAAAAAAAAAGAGAATCCCCAAAACAGTGCAGGCTTCCTATCCTCCTAAAGACGCCTAGCTGACACGGTCCACCTCAGTGACGTTGAACTGCATGGCCAGGCTGTCGGCTCCCTTGTATGTGCCTCCCTGGACCCAGTTGTATATCGAGCCAGACTTGGTGGTGGCGGTGAAGGTGGCGTTTATGTTGATGTCGACCTTGTACTGCATGAAGAAGGCATCGGCGGTGCAGAACTTGCCCGCCGGGCAGGCGAGAGCAAAGGTTGCTGCGCGGGTGGTGGTCGAGCCCACCATCTCAGCATCGTTCTGTGCGCCGACATGTCAGCGAAACTGCGTTTGGTTCCTGGGGGAAAATGCAAAGTATCGAAACTCAAGTTTTTCAAGGGGGTCAAGACTCACGTTTAGTGTCTCGAGCTGCCAGTTGGCCTCCGTCCTGACTGAACCCTCGCTGATCAGGGGGACCCCGACCTTCCCCTCGACCGCGACGCTTCCGCCCACCAAGGCTCGAATCTGTGTGTTAACGGTCCTCGACTCAGTGACAGCGTCCGTGGTCTGGAGGGTGATGGTCTGCGAGACGGAGCTGTTGCGGTTGTCCAGGATCTGCGAGCCAACCGACATCTGGGTCCCGCGGCCCGCGGGCATGATGCTGTTCGCAAACCCCTCGTAGTCGATGTTGGTGATAGAAATGGAATTCAGCTCGTCCAGGAAGTCGACGCCAAAGCTGCCGAAAATCTCCATGGAGTCGCAATTCGTGCCGCGGAGCCGGGCCAGGATCCCGGAGCCGACGGGGATGTCGACCCACGTGGGACCGGTCGAGTCGGGGATCGAGAATATGTCGCCGAGGACTTCAAATTTGTTTCCGGCGTCGGTGTCGAACCTCATCCCCGAGACGTAGATGCTGTCCGCGTCGGTGCGGGCGATTGAGAACTTGGTGATGCGCTCGTTGTCGGCGAATGTGAACTCGGCATCTGCGAGCGATTCGTTGGAGTGCAGCTCTGATGTGTTGCCTGCGTAGCTTGTAGCCTTGATACCGCGCAAGTTGGTAGATCCCCTATTCCAGCACCAATGTCAGTAAATGCTATGACAAGCTGACACTCAAACTAAGTGCCATCGATCGTGGCGTTGTAAGGGCATGACATTGCATCACTTGATATAGTCACCATTGGATTATTTAAGAGCAGCATAATTGTTTTGAAACAACTTACATAAAGACACTACAAGATATGCGTTAGTTATCAGTCACTCAATATTCCGGGCCGGGAGATCTTACTGGATGTTCGTGAAAGGGCCGTTGAGAGTAAAGTCCTCGCATTTTGGGTTCGTGCCCGGCTTTACGTCGCCGTCCAGGAAAGCGAGGAAAGGCCCTTCCTTCGACGTCCCATTCTGACGCTTCAGGAGGGAAGAGTCCGGAGAGACGAGTTGCTCATTCCTGGCGTCGAGCTCATCGATACCGTAGGTCCTGGTCTCAAGCTGAACCCCCTCGTCCTTGAAATAGTCGATGAGCTCTTGAAGCTCCTCCTCTGTCATCTCTGGGATTTCTGTGATGTCTGGCTTGGGGTCCTTGGGAGGGTCAACAACGATTGTCTCGTTGCGTGGGAAGACTCCCGCTGGAGCATTGTCGGCGACGGGAGCTGCCAAGGCAGGTTGGAGCGCAAGTAGCGCGGCTGCGAACGAAAGGATCTTCTTGGTGCACATCTTGATGGAATTCAACGGTTTTCTTTAATGAGTGCAATTGGGTGAAACAGGCCTTCAAAGAGTGATAAGGCCGTGTTAGTCGAATGGTTCGAACAAGAGAATGACTGAGTGGAAACGAAGGACGCAGCTCGTGCTGTTGCGTAGAACTGATGGCTGATGTGTTGATGAACAGATCTAGTCCGCAAATGGTGTGTCGCTTCCCTTTCTTAAGTATTGACATCGCGAGCCTTCAGACTGTCTCTCGGCGTGATCGAAACTCTCCACTACCTGGTGATGAAGGGTGTCACCAGGGCTGAGGCCGCCAAGAACATTCAAATTTAGTATCTGCTCCGCCCAATGTGCCTGCAGGATAAGCTCATAAGGTTGAAGATCACCCCTGTCAAGGTTCTTCAGCCTTGTTGATCTTCCAACGTGTTCCTCTGTCTCCACCTTTGGACGAAAAGGGATTGAAGAGGGTGCTATCCACCAGGGCAAGGTGCAACCTCTTACTGGCTGTCTTGTTGCCTTGTTGCCCGTTTTGGAGCACCATGGTCCCTTGAATCTGCGTTTCGGACGTAGTACTGTTGAATTCCTGGCCCTTGCACCCAAGTAAACAAAGCTATAGTAGTTGGTCTGTGGGTATAGAACTCGCCAGGGGCACAGATCCCAACGTCAGGCGATTTGTGCCGTCGGTAGAAAGTTTGCCAAGGCTGTCACAGAAACAATGGGACCATACAGCTCACCTTGATGCGTCTAAGCTATGTTTTAGTGCAACAGAATAGCAACGGTGCTCTAGCCCTCCCTTGGCAATCAATGCTTCGGCCACTCGCCGGCCACGAACATTCATCTGAACAGCATCTGAGATGACTAGCCTATGCTTTCCTGGATTATGCCTTAGCGTCTGTGCCAGAGTCTAGATGGCCTCACAGCTTGGCAACGAGCTAGGTCCGGGCCATTCCACCACCGCGCGCGCCTACCCATCAATGAGATGCATTTTCTGGTGTTTCAGAACACGATAAATACGGTGGAAGCAAGGGTGGTGATATAACGCGACATATACTGAATCAATTGCTGGTCACGGGGTCCTATACCATGGCAAGCTTGCTTAACTCCCCGGTAACGGTCGCTGGTAGATTTTCCCAGATCTCTGTTCATCCCAGAGAGAGAGAGCGCCAAATTTAGCAAAGACCTTGGTCATGATCCCACCTGGCTACATGCTTGGCCAATCTGGAGAGCATGAAATATATCATGGTCGGACGAGCGCGCTTTTGTTTATATTGAATACGTACCCCGGCTCAAAGTAGAATCTATTCTTGCACAGCGGCCATGCCAAAAATATCAAATTCAGTAGCCGCGTCAGTCATCGGTCTCTTGGAGTTCACAGTCCTCTTGGGGGTCCATCATCCTCCTGGATATCCCTATCTTCTTTGGTTTTCATCGTCTTCGTAATCCCCCTTCTCCTTCCCGCCACTATCGTGAGGGTTGTAGGATGCCTCACCGCTGCTGATGGCTCTAGCCGCGGACCTGGAATCATTGTCTCCCAAAGACTTGGGTGGGGATGGATTCCTACCCAGAGCCACTCTCGAAGTAGCAAGGCCGATACGATTCGCAGGTTTGGCTGCGGACTGTCCTCCACTAGACGACAATATTGAAGCAACAGACCCAATGTCTGCCGGTCCACTGTCATCGTTGGCCTCGCTGTAACCAGTGTTGAGTACGTCGGCACTCCCCACACCAGCAGAGATCATACCCTGCAGCCAAGTCCTCAGCTGTCCATCGTCCCCCTGGCCAGCGAAATCGTAAATCAAGATTGATGATTGGCTCGCTTTCCCTGGGGGAATCTGATTGGCGAGGACTGCTTCGTTGTACGAGGAAGCCTCTGACTCGAACACTACAATGTAGTCGGCCGAATCATAGAGCTCAACATGCTGTGGGTTCGTTCCAGGGTTGAAGATACTCTGGAAAGGGTGATCACCGAATGTGGACTCGGCAGCTTTGACCAGCGATGCTAGGAACGCAACGCTCTCGTTGTCGCCTTCTTCGTTGGGTATCTCGTCATAGAAAATGCCGTCGATCGATATCTTAGGATCTGCGTTCCAAGAGTTCCATTGGGTCACATTGCGGTTGATTTCATCGCCGGAGCTGGTGTCGTAGTTGCAGTGGACGTAGCCGAACAGCTGGACGTTGGAATAGGAGTTCAGCTCGGTCACGCCAGCTTTGTACTCGTCACTGTCTCCTGGGGTCGCGCTTCCAGGACCAGAGTCGGGGTTGATGATGATCTGGAAGATCAGTTGGCTATTCGCCTCGATCGCCTTGTAGACGTCATCCCAAGCCCCAGTTGCCGGCCAGGCATACTAAGTTACTAGGAGTTAGCATTTGAAACAAAATGGACGGGCTTTGTAGGATGAGTCTCCATCATATGACCAGGAAGAAAGGGCTGAGAAGGAACAAATAAAGAAACAGAAATTTGGGGGGGGGGTGGGGTTGGTTAAGTCGATGCCATGAAGCCACTTACGAGTGGAAGAAGTAGGTTGGTAGCAGAAGCGGCTGCTGCAAAGATTTTCAGAAGAAAGAGAGTCTTCATCTTCATGGACTGTGTTGTGTTCTGACTTGTAGTCAACCAGGTCTGAAAATAGAGGACGATGCTCTGTTCAAGTTCTGAGCTTATAAATGTTGAGAATTGTTCAGTTGACTGCATAGATCGCGAGTGGTGGATTCATCGTCAAAGCACCATTCACTAGCTCATGTAGGCCCATGCAAAAATCCATTAACAACTGAACTTGCCAGCAATTAGGTATTGAGATCGTATTCAATGAAAGGGCGCAAACTGTCATTGCCCATGGACAATCTCACATGGGCTTACACATTGAAGAGTTTTTTAAGCAGAAGTGACCAGAGACATAGAGACGATGATGGTTTTACCTTGCTCCGGGCGTCTCCTTTGCTCAAGTGACCGGTCTATGTATTCACTTGTTCTTAAATTGAATCTGCTACCTATCTCCGATATCAACTCAAACGGTGAGTTACGTTCAACCAAGGTACCTGTCTTCCACGCATGTACGCATCTTTTACGACTTCGAGTGGTTCTCTGCCATAACCCGCTCGAGCCTCGCCACAGACTCCTGTACCTCCTGTTCCGTGGGCAAATTCACTATCAACAGATACAGGACATCCTGCTGAAGAATCTTCTTGATGATGCCCTTCTTCCGCTGGCCCTTTGGCCTTCTTGGCTGTCTGGGCCCTCGTGGTGCTCTGCCGCGAGCCATGCGCCGTTGGTCCTTGTACTCTCGCTTCATCGCCCTCCGATCTTGTCTGGCAGCGCGGCGCTCCTGGCGCCTGGCAGCCGGGTTGACATTTCCCCCTGTGAGCAGGGAGATCAGAGACCCGCTGTTAGCAGGATGGTTGGGGTCGCTGAAGCGTGAGGAGAAGGCTGGGCGGGCGTCTGCCGGAACGGCAAGGGATGAGCCTTGGTGTTCTCTCTCCTGATCATGACACTGTTAGCGAGATTGTGACAATTTGTATAACAAGTTGACGTAAACTCACATAAGAAGCCTGAGCTTTTCGGTCTAAGTAGTCTTGAACCCATTTCCCAGCTCCTTTCCATTTCTCCTTCGTGCTCTCGTTCACAGCTTCTTTGCCCTTGCCCTGCTGTTTCAAGTCCGACTCCGCAGCTCGATCCAGTTCCGGAAAGACCAGAGCAGCTGCTTCAGGCAGCTCGATCTCCCCATGCGTTTTGCCGCTCACGAGCCTGATATTCTGCATTCCTTTCTTCATCTTGGACATCTCGGCATCGGGGTTACTGTATTTAGCAACGGTCTGGTTGATGTCCAGCCTCTCCGCAGAGAAAAGCGCCTTGCCCGTTGCATTGGCGAGCTTACTCAGGGGACCACGGGGCTGCTGCCCAGGAACCTCGTCCTTGAATGCCATGACCATGGCATACAAGCCGCGAGGCATGAACAGCTCTTGATTCACCCGGTCGAGAAAGGTATTCCGCCTCGAGCGCGACTGCAGCTCCTTTGCAGTGCCGGCAACGACTTGGACGACCGTGCTAACGATTTGAGAGGCCAACTCTGGAACAAACCCAACTACACCCGCTGCGATGAATATGATGTCGATCCAAGGATCGGACTCAAGGTTTTGATTAGCACAAGGCCAAGCGATGCTTGATTCCAGACAAGGCGCTACTCACCTGGCTGGCTGCAAGCCAATCCTTGAGGAATTTCAGGAAAACTTCTTGGCTCACACCACAGTTGTCCAGGACGGGAGCATATGCCCTGATGAACCCCCGGTCCTTGTTCCGTGGCCGCCTCTGAGGAATTATGACCGGGCATGGGATCCGCTGGGTGGGATGAGGCGGTGGTCCAGCCATACTGAGCAGGTCGCGGATCATTTGCTCTTCTTTCTTGACTTTGCTCTCCTCAGACTCGTTCTCTGCGGCCGCTGGCGTGACCAGGTCTGCCTCGGACTCGGCATACGAAGGAGGCGCAACACGCTCTGCCATGTCGTCTAGCTCCCATGCAGCTTCGTCATCCACCTCGACAATGTCTGAGTCGTCGTCACTCGTCGAGCCATCATCGTCGTCTGGATACCCCGCCTCGGAAGCCTTGGACTGACGCTTTTTCTCGTCTGCATAGTCGGAAACGCGTTCAGCTTTGCCGCTGCGTACGAGCTGATCGGCTGTGGCTTCGTCGGCAACCTCAACGTACTCCGGAGGAGCTTCAGCCGTAGGAATTGGCGCCGATCTAGACGATGAAGCAATCGCGGGACCGGTTGGCTGGTCTTGTGCGGACCTGGAACGAGAGCGTGCACGGTAGTCGCTATTTATCGCTCATGTTAGTAACTGCTGACTTCGGACCTTGGCGAAAGAATTGTATATTCGAGAGTTTTGGCCAAGACGATGGAGCTGGTTGTGTGTTGAAGGTCAAGACGAGTGAAAGAGACTTGTTCCATGCGATTGTGCTGAGCTGAGGTTCCACATACTGTATTGCTTCGCTCGCCATGCCCAGGCCTGAGCCCAGCATCCTCACAATGATACCCATATCGAAACGATCCGTCGTGATGTAACCGTCCTTTCTTCTGCGTCTTGGCGACTGTGAGGTCGATGCCAAGGGAGATCGCTCATAATCTTAGCCTAAGGACGTTGTTGGCCTTTTAAGGAGCCCCTCCCTTTCCTGCAGTGTCAGCCGCAGATCGTAAGCCACCAGGGACATTAATTCACTCTCTGACGTTAGTGCTTACCCTGCACGGTGCTAAATGCACGCCATCTCTGTCCTGGCTGAAGTAGGGCAAGTGGCGCTTCACAACACCGTCGTTCCGAACTCAGAGCACTCACTCGGCTACTCTTTTCCCCAAATGTAGTAAATGTACGCAGAATGGAATTGTTCACTTCTATTGAAAACATGAAGTTGGTCGCTTCTTGAGGGATGTAGACAGCAATGGCCAGATATTGCCACGTGCATCCATCTTGAGGCTGATCGACTCAATCACCCGGATCGACTTCAGGGACGAACGAACCCCGAGTCCCGAGTGATCGCAATGAATGTATGACTATCATCACTATTCTCACAAATACAGGGCTTGGACCGATCTTGCAGCGACAAAAAAGATGCACATGAGTTTGTCAGTTTCAGGTTGCAGCAAGAAAATGATTTTGGTTGTATCGTCACGGTCAGCACTAAAAGCAACCGGACGTTGGGCCTAAGGTTCAGGGTTAGACGTATTTTTGGGTCTTCGACCTTTAAGCATCGTGCATTGTTATGCCAGGCAGCACCCTGCGAAGATCCCGTTGGCAGGCTCTAGCTGTGACTGATTCGTGCTGTTCCAGAGCGCAGGTCTAGAACGCCAACCCCAACTCAAGCTGCCCAGGACCCAGTCATACGGACCGTAACAACGGGGAACAGCATCCATCCTGGCCCGAGCGAGGGTTCAATCCAGGGTCTGGGAAGGCGGCGACTCATGCATGGCTCCAGAAAACACAAAACGCTGTATCTATAATTAAAAGCTTAAAACATCCCCAGCTTACATCGAGACTGAACCGAATATGTCTCTAAGGGTGTGGTCCATCCCGGTAAGACGGGTTGTGGCTTGTAGGCTCTGCGACCCGGCTTACAGTAGTCTCGGACTCGACGCCCACCCAGGTATTCACCACAATGCCGCCGCCGGCGTTGATTATCCTGTCACTTGAGTCGCCATCACTATCTCTCCCGTGTGTTGAGAATATAGTGACATCGTTGCCTTTCTTGCTCATGTCATTCCTTGAGCCATGGATCGTGCCCTTGCGAGCCGTGCCCATCTCGAACGCGTCGTTACCGCTCTGGTTTGGTATGGTTGATTTGGATTGCCCAGAACGTCCGTAAGACATTTCTCCCGTCCAGAATCGTTTTGTGAACAGGGGACGTACTGGAGTGCAAGTCGTCAGTGCAAATGATGGGAAGTGGGCCATTCGCGTCTTGAAAGGGGGCTCACAGATGGGGGCCTGGCCGGCACAAATGGCAACAAAATCCTCCCGGCACGACCAGATAGCCGCTGTTCCGCCATCACCTCCTACCAAGACCATAGACACTCGTAGGATGGCAGCGATCATAACGAAGATGCCGGCTGAGAAGAGGATGACAAGACTTATCTTGCGCTGGATGGTGGTCCTCACAGTCAGGATGGCTGGAGCAGGTATAGCCATGATGCAAAGGTCGGTAAAAATGTTCATGATGAGCGCAGGGAGCATATAAATCTCCGCTTGGGGCTCGCAATTCGCTGTCTATGTCAGCTCTGCAATGAGGCCGGGCGGGCGTCGATCAAGTCCATGATCCGAGGAGATCGTCTTACCTCCCTGATCCGGATACATCGTCCACATCCTATAGTAAGGTCGACAAGAAGCGAACAGTATGCATATGATCGAGATGAAGGTGCAAGAAACAAGAACCAAGCTGGGCTTAATGAACTTGTCGACTCTTAGTCCGTCCACAACTCGCTGATAGAAAAAGAGCATGTTGAACTTGAGAGACCAGATGAAGACAATGTATGTCGCAACGCCAGCACAAAACCATTGAGTAACCCAGATATAGGGTTCAGCATCCTCTTCGGTAATAGTCTTGCGCTGTTCCAGGGACAGCGTATAAAGGTCTGCATGTCGGCCACATATGTCGGCCGCTACTGACATTACAGTGTAGACAACCTATTACCGAGTCAGTAATGATGTGCCTAATTACTAGTAAGAATTGAACAACAGACCCATGAGAACCAAATGATATAGTCATCGGGTTTAAACCCTTCAAACCCAACCATTTTCCATCGAGTGATGCATCTCGCGAAGATCACGACGGACCCTATAACATAGAGCGTCCACATCTCGACCAGAGGATTGTATGTGAACGCCATCTTGATCAACGTGAGGCCTGGCTAGCCTAGTCGCTTCTGAGTGATAGATCCAGTAAACCTGCAAGTACATGAGGCCACGTGGGAACGCCGAACCGGAGAGGAGATTCCATGTGGGAGGGTGCAGAGCCGAGGAATGGCGCGGTTTTAAAGACTGCGACTGTGCAAGTGGATTTCATGATCAGTCACATTGAAAACTTGGCGGGAAAGTTCACAGTCCACCTCCTATTCGAATTACTGTGAGAGTCGCCCCCGGGCAGCCCAGAATGTCTAGGAGTAGTGGGGACAGGGCCACAAAAAAACTGCCACTTGCACGTAATTGTGCCTATGTACGCGTACCTGCCAGGATGCCGAAGACCCTGCTTCTAGACTCGATCATCCACATGCCCAATACGGGAAGCCCTCAATGGTCGGCCCGGCCTTCTTGGCCAAGCTGGCTTTGCTTCGACTATGTGGACCCTTTCTGCGACGGCAAGGGTGCTCGAGGGGCGGAGTATCCGGTATTGTAATCTTGGGCCGCAGAGTAAAGGAGGTCTTGTCCAAGAAATCGTTCTCGTCAAATGCAGCGGAAACATTCCGTGCTCTCTCTCAAGGGGGAAGAGGTGGCCAGACAGCTGCTGAAAGCCGGCATATCACTATCGATCATGATTAATATTTCCGAAAGCGTATCCTTCCTCTGCAATACGATCCCCACCATCGGCAATAGCCGCACGGCCGGCATTAAATTAGGATTTGGAAGCGACTTCTCATTTTGGAAGAAGTGAACAATACAAGGTTCCCAATTCGGACATGGACTACTCCCTGGACTCGTTCATACCATCACGGCGATGTGTTTCAGCCAGGAAGAGCGAGCAGCCGGACCGAAGCACCGAATTGGCGTCTGCAGGCGAAGCTCATCTTACATGAGCCGATCTACCTGCCAACCGTCAAGCAAAGGATCGACAGGTTGCAGCAGGGGCGGGGCGGCCCAACCCCCAAGACTTCGGGACCCACTGGGGACCAATGAGCTGCCCGGGGCGGAAAGACAACTTCGCCGGGCCGGGCTGTGCCACTGGGGAGCGCTCATAGCGGCAGCATCGTGTGGATCGCGGATGGAAGAGGGGTCCTTTGGGGCAAACTCAACTACATGCAGTAAGATCACACGTAAGCGAGGGGTTGTTGGCGACCGGCAGTGAGTCCTGTCTCCACTGCCCCTGGATTCATACGGATCTTGAGGGCATGCTCGCGGGTTTACATAAGAAAACGATTCCCACCCACGAGACAGACTCGAGGAGGCTTCGATACAGACAGCTTCTCCCCTCTGCCCCCCTGTTTTCAAATTCACCTCAACGCCGAGTGATTCCCGCCCCATTGTCCGTCATCATGAGTTCTACCGCCGAGTACAAGATTGACTTCACGGTAAGTTTGTCGGTATACGGATACGAGCACCCAGAGCTGCCTTTTCCCGTTCGGTGCAGTTTAGATGAACCAGCATACTAACGAAATTGCCTAGACTTTCCAAAACGTGATCAACAATAAGCTCACCTCAACGGCAGGGACCAGACATGGCGTAAACCCCAGCACGGAGGAAAAGCTCCCCGAGGTGCCTGTCTCCGGCCAGGAGGAGGTCGACCAGGCCGTGACAGCCGCCAGGGCGGCATTCCCAGCATGGCGTTCCAAGTCCTGGGATGAGCGTAGCGCCCTTGTCCAGAAGCTCGCGGACGCGATCGAGGCAAACCACGATGAGATCCGTGACCTCCTGGTGAACGAGTCGGGCAAGGCATTCTCCACGGCCAACATGGAGATGCAGTTCGCCATCGGGCACCTGCGCGTGACCTCTGGGCTCCGGATACCAGATGAGACCGTCGAGGACACGGCTGAGCGCACGGCAGTGGTCCGGTACCGGCCCCTCGGCGTCGGCTGCGCGATTGTCCCCTGGAACTGGCCCCTGCTCCTGGGGGTGGGCAAGATCGGGCCTGGTGTCATGGCCGGCAACTCGATCATCGTGAAGCCCTCGCCCTTCGCTCCGTACACCCTCATCAAGGTCGCCGAGCTGGCCGCCAGGATCTTCCCTCCCGGCGTCATCCAGGTGCTCAGCGGTGACGAGAGCCTGGGCCCGCGGCTCACGCTGCACCCTGGCATCAACAAGGTCAGCTTCACTGGAAGCACAGCCACCGGCAAGAAGGTGGCGGAGGCCTGTGCGAAGACTGTCAAGAGGCTCACGCTCGAGCTGGGTGGAAACGACGCGGCGATTGTGTGCGATGACGCCGATCTTGCCAAGGTCGTGCCAAAGGTCTGTTCAACTCCAGAAAATGGCCTTGATGAATTCCAAAACTGACCCAGGCAACAGGTTAGCACACTTGCCCTCATCAGTTCCGGCCAGATCTGCATGAACGTCAAGCGGATATGTAAGTACAATTGCTCTCCTGTCGCGTTCCAAATTGCTCCTCACGAGCCTCGACACTTTCATCACAGGCTTTGTGAAGCGCTGACAAAATGCAGATGTCCACGAGAAAATCTATGATGACTTCCTGAAGGCCATGGTGGACTTCATCAGCAACAACCTGAAGTCCGGACCGGCGGCAGACCCCAACACGGGCGTCGGCCCTGTCCAGAACAGCATGCAGTATGCCAAGGTTCTCAACCTGTTCGAGGCGGCCGACAAGGAAGGGTGGAAGATCGCCACCGGCGGCCTCAAGGAGAAGAAGGAGGGCAAGGGCTTCATCCTGCCCCCCACCATCATCGACGACCCGGCCGAGGGCTCGCGCTTCGAGGCCGAGGAGCCCTTCGGACCGATCCTGCCCGTCATGCGGTGGTCCAACGAGGCTGACGTGGTCCGCCGCGCCAACGGGTTCGACTCGGGGCTCGGTGCCTCTGTGTGGAGCAGCGACATTGCCAAGGCGACCAAGATTGCCGACCAGCTGGAGGCCGGTAGCGTGTGGGTGAACACTCACTTCGAGGTTGGGCCGCACATGCCTTTTGGTGGCCACAAGCAGGCTGGTCTGGGGATGGAATGGGGTGTTGTTGGCCTGAAGGGGTGGTGCAACCCTCAGGCATTCTGGACCAGGAAGGACTAAGTTAGCTTGCCTAGGTAGACATAAGTTGACCAATGATCGAACATCTGTCCTCAATGTAATGAAGCATTATTTTGATATGTGATGTTATGACACGCTGTCTAACACTATCAAATTGTCGCCAGGGGTCCTCGATGGCACTTGGCAACATACTCCCACTTGTAACATACCTAGCTACATCTCTTTTACCTTAGCTATATTACCTCCTCTTCGTTGCGTGTAATCAGCTGTCCGTTAGCCAAGCAAGAAGCTGGCTTAGGCTGGCAGAATCCTGAGTACCTATTTTGCTGTCCTATTGTGCTCGACACCTGTTTTGAATTGCACCTGCCCCCACCGCAGGCCGTGCCTGGCGCATAGTTGCACGTCTCAACGCAAGTCGGGCCGAGCGCCGTGCTGGACGAGCAGCGCTGCACATTCTGGCACTGGTACCCTTGGCTGCAGTAGTAGTAGCCCTTTGAATCTACGCTGCAGTCCCTGAAAGTGGCGCTGCGGCCGCGCCCGTAGACACCGCCTCCAGCTGAAAGACCGTCTTCGAGAGGGCTTGAGTCAAATGCAGGGGTCTGGTTGCTCAGAGACGATAAGTAATCCGTCATGTTGAACGGCGATGTTTTTGACGACGGCTCAGGTGATGCCGGGGACTCGCCAGCTGCGGCCTGCGACCCGTTGCTGGAGTATCCCGTTGATCCAGAAACACACAGAGTCGCATTGCTCCAGATGGCGTCGGCAGCGTACTGCCATAGAGCCGCATAGTTGAATATCGTCTTTGGGGTCCAGAATATACGGCAATCTGCTGCCTCGTATGTGAACTGAAGTGGAGTCTCATCATCCTGCCGCACTTGATCCCGCAGATTGACACCCGCGTCGACAATATAGACGTCGTTGGCGGTACTGCGGTTGGGGAGGAAGTTTGCTCCAGGCGAGCCCGCAGATGTAAGAAGGTCCTGCGCAAAGCCGATGTTCGCATCGAGGACCGATAAGCTGTACGACCGCGCTCCGCGGCCTGCTGACACGCCCTGCATTGGTCCTGTTGTTGGGCGTCCTCCGATAGCAACAACTTTGACACCAGCTTGATGGTGCATCATTTCGACGAAAAGAGCGCATGACGAGCCGCAGATACCGTCCGTCAACTAAAAAGAAGGAAGATAACGCTGTCAGCTTACGCGCACACACGTACCAGACACTGAGATGCTTACCAGAATAATATCCTCGGCAGGATATGGAGGGCTCGCCTGCGGAGCTGGACTGTATACGGCAAAGCTGTCGTATTCTTCCCCAATTGCGCTTGATGTGAAGACTTCGCTGGACAGGTTGTATCGTTGCTGAGAAACCATAGTTGTTAGCACAGGCGCAGGATAAGAGGAGTATAACGCTGCTGAACGGGTAAAAGTAGGAACCCTGGATGGACTCACTTTCGCCGTGAAGCTATCTCCGTTGTACTCATTAGAGCCATAGAACTCCGCCCAAGACGTAAAATTAACGTTCGTTTCAGCATTGATCCGGGGAGTCGCGATCCATTCATCAGCTGCGAGCGCCTCATAATCCGGGCTCGATGTCGACAACCCAGCGTAATACTCTGTCAAGGAATTGCCCATGACGTCTGCGGCGTGGTGAGCTCGCATGCGAGACGCACCATAGGGGTCGATGTTGGGGAAAAAGCGCTTGAACACGTCGAAGGCGAGCAACACCTCTCCACCAGTATTTTGTTGGAGATCGATGACTATCTTCTCAACGTTGCCTGACTTGCTCATGTTGATGAACTGGTCCACTGCTGTCTGAGCCGTGGAGAGTGCGTCCCCAAACATGTCAAAGCTTGGTATACTGAGGACCGATGCGGCGGACGTGTTCAATAGATATCCTGGATATTCGTCAGCGTCAAGATAGAAGAAGCCAGGCTGTTTCGCCACACACCTGTGATATAGCCTCCTCCGTAGGTGCCAAGGTCTGGCTGAGCAACATCAGCAGCAGGAGGATACCAGAATTCGCCGCTCCCCCACCCTGTTGGTGTTGATGTACTACTTATGGTGGCTGTGCCTGTCGCCGTCGCCGCCGCCGTCGCGCTGGAAAACGACCCCGTGGCTGATGCGATGCCGTCTGCACCTTCGTCGTCTGAGCTGGGATCGTACGACGCCGGCCAGAATCCCAGGACAAAGAAGTTGTAGAAGTCGCCGCCTGTTGCCAGCGGCCCAGTTGGGCCCTGGCTCCAGTAGACACCCAGGTACTTGTCGGTGATTGTGGTTCCATTCTCAAATGTGAACGAAATGTTGTCCCCGGGATAGAAAAGAGTGTTGCCACTGAAGGAATTGAAGTATCCCTGCACGTCTTGTGCACCACTGAGCATCAACTGATTCCAGTCCGCGTGTGCTTCTGTGCTGCCGTACGAGTTGTTTGTGGCGAATGCGTCGAGGTAAGTTGTCACATCTTGGTCGTTGATGGACTTGACAGCTGAAGGCTGATACGTGGTGAAGGAGTTGCTATTGTAGACATCCGCTGTATTCCATTTAGCTTTCCTTGTTTAATGCAAATGGGTGAGGTCCAGGGATGGCGTACCAGCCAAGTACACTTTGGGAAGCTCGATCCCGTCAGAGGACAATGACACAATGTCATACGGGCTCGCAAACGTGAATGCAGCGAGAATGCCAGCGTTCACATAGAGATGTGCATCGTGGGCTGAGACCAAGAGGAGCTGCAAAGCCACTTCGAATTCGTATTGGTTCTTGAAAGCACCATTGTTGACAGCGTTTTGTAATTCAGACAAGCCAGCAAGTAGGTCTACTGCTGGCTGCTGATAGTCCGCCGGTGGATTCTTCAGATATGCCAGAGTGCTTTGGAATCGAAGGGTGTCGTTCCAATAGGCGATAAATCGAGTGGCAACGGCTGCGTTGAAGGGAACACTTGTCAAACAGTCGTATACAAGACTGGCGTTGAAGACGTCCTGGCCTACCGAGTGTCAGCGTGTACTTGAGAGGGGCGGCGAGTTAGATTTCTGTAGGGCGGTTCATACCACCTAGCCCATTCACAATTTGGCCGCAAGCGGGTTCTGTTAACTGAGGGCGAGCGCTCCTAGCAAGTAGACTCAGGGAGAGTACTGCACTTATCCACTGCGTGAAAGCCATGGTTGCCGAGTTCCAGATGTATTACTGGCTTCAACATCTGATTGCATGACAATTGCGCAGAAGGCTCTGGACTTATATCTCTACGCAATTCACATTTCCATCTGGTTGGGGCTCTCAGCCGCGATCTGGACCCCAAAATAACAACGGGCACGGGTGTGGCACGGGTGTGGGACATGTGCGCATTCTTCCACGTGGGCGGCTTACACAAATAATGTAGACTAATTCCTGGTGCAACCTGACTCGGCAATCTTGTCAGCAAGTGAGAATTTCATTGGAGGGTGATCTTCGGAAAATTTGTTGAAGGATGCACGAGGAGGATTACCAAGCCCTCGAGCTGCAGTGCGTTGCCTGAAGTGTTCAGCCGCAATCTCCACTGCCATCGAGACATCATCAAACCACGGGAATCCTGCAATGCAACACACCATTGGCTACCCTTGACTTTAGCCTCGCTCGGCGACAAGGGACAGTATATATTTTACCCATGCCAAATGCGCTCTTGTTAGTTGCCCGAGCCTGATGCGCTCTTGTTTGAAGTCCGAACACCGGGGCGCTCTCAATAGCATACGTCCAAGACAGCCTGCAAGACACCGGTAACTGCGCAAATGAAAAGAACAGAAACATCAATCTAATTGTTCAATGCTACTGGCCATGTCAAACTCTCAGCAGACACACCGGTACACTCCGTTGCCCGGCCCGAAATGGCTTCGACTCTTGCGGATTCTGTCTATCACGGAAGAGGAGGCTGTCTGCTCACTGGAGGCGTTTGACATGAGCAGACTTCCGAAGTACGATTGTTTGTCCTACACTTGGGGCGATCCGATGTCTCGAGATCTCTACCCCCCTGACGATCTTCAACACGAGATGTCCGCATCTTGCGACAAACAAATTCGGCATGCAGACGGCTCCATCATCAAGGTCACCGAGAACCTAGTCCAAGCATTGAAGCGGCTCGCCGAGTTCGGCTATTCTTCATCGCTCGACAATCCGACTCCGCAGTACCTATGGATTGATGCGATATGTATCAATCAGGGAGACAATGTTGAGAAGGGCTCTCAGGTCGCGATGATGGACGTGATCTACAGTCGTGCCGAAACCGTTGTTGTATGGCTTGGGGAAAAAGACTTCCATACCGCAGGCGCTTTGAAGACGATGAAGGCATTGGCAGAGGTGAACATCAACACGTTCGAGGAGACACCCTATTTTGATGACTACGATGCCTTCACTGCGTACGACACCATGATTGAAGCTGGCAAGACTTTGCAACTGCCAAATATCGAGGCCGGCGAGTGGCGGGATTACGCCGCCTTTCTTCAACGGAAGTGGTTTGAGCGCATTTGGGTCGTACAAGAGAAGGTGTTCGCTAAGAACACGGAGGTTTTCGTGGGCCCTCACAGGCTCTCTTGGGACTACATCATTGAGGCAGCATCCATCCTGAAGCAGAGCGGACTAGCAAACCCGTTACAAGCCCTTTATCTATTCGCCGTGGATGGCTACGATTATTACCGCAACGGGACAGTCTCAAGACTATTCGAAGATCGTCTGAATAATTATCAGATATTTTCAGACATTTCCAAAATTGCAACAGCACCGACAACCCTGGAGACACTTTTATATCACTCGAAAAGACTCAACGCCACTCAGCCGCTAGACCACGTATATGCTATTCTAGGCATCTGGAACTCGATGCGAGATGAGCTCTTGGGAACAAAATGCATTCGGGTTGATTATACGGCATCGGTTGCCGACATTTATGCTGGAGCCACGGTTATGGCAATTCGGGAAAGTGGCAACCTTGGCATCCTCTCCTTGGTGGAGAGCAGACCAAGCACGACAGCCCCTAGCCTCCCCTCATGGGTCCCCGACTACAGCCAAAAAGCTGGAATTCTGCCACTGACGCCGTGGCCTCGGAACGCGTCCACAAAATGGCCTTCGAAAAGATGGAATGCAAGTCGTGGGCTGGCCTTCGGATTCCAACCCGACACAGAAGAGAAGGTCAGCCGCAGGCTCGCCGTCCAGGGCTTCAGACTCGACGTAATCGAAGATCTCGGACCGACATATCAGCAGATTGATCGGGAGTACCAGTGGGCGGATCTACTTCAAGTCCTGCTGAATGGACACATTCAGGGCCAAGTATCAGTCCGGCCGTCGTACTATGAAGGCTTTTGGAGAACGCTCATCAAAGACTCATTCCGCCACCAACCCGCAGGAGAGGACGCTCAAGAAGCATTTGCGGCACTCGTGGTAGACCGAGTACAAGGTTTATGTGCGCAAGTACATGGACTAAAGGAGAGCATCCAGATTTTACAAACCAACAAAGGAGACTTAACCCAGATAAATGAACAGAAAAGTGAGCTGGATGAACTGGAACCGCTCTTGGAAAGAACCAAAAGGCTACTTCAGAAGCTCTCCGAGAGGGTACCGCACATCTCCACATGGTCAAAGCCATGCGAACACTGCGAAGGCGAAAAGAAACATGGTTCTATTATGTTGGAAAGCAGCACTGATGGTGATATGAGCAATGGCGAGAACAGAACTGCTTGCATGTTGAGGGACATCGAGTCAAGCTTTTGGGCTGCCTATTCTGGAAGAAGGCTTTTCAGGACGAAGACGGGTTTCTTTGGCATATCGAACCAAGCTCTCCAAAACGGAGATAGTGTCTGGATCCTTGCGGGGGCAGAGACACCGTTCGTTTTGAGAGATAGAAACGGAAACGAATGGCTGGTTGTTGGCGAGGCATATGTCCATGGTGTAATGGAGGGTGAAGCCACAGAGAACCTCCCAGACTCACTTAGCAGTATTCTTTTGATTTGATCACGTTTTTGGTAACGTAGCGGAAGTATTTCCGCCTTTTCACATATAGAGCTATCTGAATCTGCCCTGGAAAATAGGAAGTAGGTGACGATATATTGATGGAAATGTTCGGAATGTGTTTCTTTTGCCCGGCATCTCTGAATGAAACGAACTCTTCCCAGCTTCACTTCACCCTCTAAAATGTTTGTGTTTCATTGCACCTGTGCCTTACGCTAATACATTCCATGGGTTTGCTGAGTCCAGATTTTCTTATAGGAGTACAGACGCAGGCCATCCATGGCAGGATTGGGTATTCTTGCAAGCAGTGCCCATGGCTCTCTCAGATCAGTTCCAATGAGGTGGGAGCTTACTCCAGGAATGTGAGGGTTAGGGTGCTCCCTGGGCTGCTGGCTGTCGACAGGGGTCCCCTTGCCTCGGGTCTGTTCAGATTTTTACACATTCAATGACCCTGTGAAAACACAATTCGGCCCCTCGGCTGTCCATCAATTCAAATTTGGCGCAGGCTTCCATGCATTGTCGTTCGCCGTCTGACGTCAAAGATGAGACATTGCAGGCTGTATTGACACTGGAGTACGTTCGAGTCACGTGTGCAGTCAGATGACCGCGTGGCAACCTGAACAATTTTTCGCGTCTCGAGGTCACGCCACGTCGGTGACTTCATCCCAGACGAGTCAACGAGTCCTCTCGCCAGGCAGCGCCGCCCGCCTGCATTCATTTCGACAAGAGCTCGGCCGGCAGAGCGCGTATCGTCGCCATCGAATACCTTGCCCGCGGGCACGATGGCGGTCGTCTTGCGTGGATGGTCTCGGACCGCATCAACAGCACTCAAGTTGGCAACGGCAGAGAGGATCATTGGCTACCAATTCAACGATGTTGACCGCTTATATGAAGCTCTCGATCAGACGAAACAATCAATGTCTTCTCCAAGTGGAAAGCAATCGCGGGACAAGCCAAGGAATGCCCGACTCGCCTTGGTGGGAGATGCTCAGGCGAAGCTTTATTTGGCCCAGAAATGGTACGATAGCCGAGGCATGACCGGGAACGAATGGTCGATTATTGCGACGGAGACTCTTTCAAACCAAAATTTTGGTGAATTTGGCTTCAAATTGGGCCTTGACGAGTGTGCGAGTAAGTTGCTTCACACAAAAGCTTCTTTTTTTCTAGGGGCGTTATCAGGCGTCATTCTCCCCTTCCCAGACATTGGTGTGGTCAAAGGGGTTTATTGAACAAGACGAACTTATTTTGCTGATTCAACTCAAGTCCCGAACCAGGTCGAGGACCCGTATGATATGGCTACCACAGTTGAAGCCGTCTTCGCTGCTGTGCAAATGGATGGCGCTAGTCAAGAGCAATTTCGCAAGATCATGGCTCGGTTTGGTCTCCAACATGAGCTTGTCGAACCGATACAGCGTGCGTGGATCTACGAGGCCGTCAAATCAGTATTACGCTTGCCAAATCACTTCTTCATCGGGCACCACTTGAAACTTCAGCAGGCGATCTTCGACACACAATTAAGGCAATCAACTGCCCGAGGAGAGAAAATCTTGGGAGGGCGTGTCATGAGGTCGTGGGGGAGTATTAAGAAGTTATGGAGGACCATGAAGTGGATTTGGCTGCCACCCCGCAAGGTGCCTAGGAAGCCTAAAAAGATAAGTGTCAGTCTGCGAGGACAGAAAGCACCTGTTCTCCGGCCAGTACCGCGGTCACCAGACATTGTCAAACCCCTGGTCGAAGGTGCGCGGCCCACGGGCGCGGAAACAATCATTACACCTTCCAAGGACGTCGCCACAAGCGAGACCAATATTCTCGGCGAGAAATCTCTCGACGGCTTTGAGGATGACGAGCGGGCCGCAGCACCGGAACAGACGACAGACAGAGAGCACCCCGTAAAGAAACACGAAGCAGCTAAATCATCGCCTCCTGAAGTACCCACGCCGTCGCAGCCCCGGAAACCACAAGCACGGCCCGTCCCTCCCAGCGGAGACGCTTTAGCCGATGACAAAGGGACGACGACAAATGATTCGCAGGACTCAAAAAAGGCCTCCAGAGATGAACCCGCGACCAATTCATCCAGAAACGATGACGCTGCGACTGGCGCTGAACTGGAAGTCGAGCATCAGCCGGTTGAGGCGACGGAAGCAGGCGATTCAGAGGAAACTTCGAAGCGAGTGATAGCGCTGAAAAAAGAGGCCAAGCAACTCAAGGCTGTACAAATGAAGATGGAACAAGTATTTCGTCAACTTCGGTCAGACGGGATAAGGAGAACCCGAAAGCAGTCAGAGGAGTTCGTCAAGTTATTACAACATCGGGCGCGGGTCAAAGAATTGTTGAAGGAGGAGAATTTGAAGAGACAGCCCAAAACACCGTCATAGATTGGAGCAACTGCCACCCTTGCACACGTTGGCCGCACAGAGAGAGGAGGAGGGAAGGCGAGAGAAGCTAATGTTGCTGATTTTTCCTGGATCCTAATGGCTAGATCCTGGAAAGAAGCCCGGTTGCGAGACAAAATGACGCGTGAGGCCCGAGAAGTATAGATGTGCAAAGTTATGGCCCATTGCTAATGTTGCCGGTATACCTTAGCATTGTTGAAAGTGAAGGCATCAGGCTCTGTGCGTCAAAGGACGCAATACCACCATAGTACTACAAGCAACTCCTCACTCTCCATACCTCGTCCGCACCGTGCGCTCAGCCATTCTTGACCCATCAGTACGGCTCGTGCTCACCCCCATCAAACATCGCCGGTCCCGGAATCCTGACGTGGGTCGCCGACCTTGGTGATCTGGTCCCTGTCCTCGTCGCTCAGCTTCAGCTCCAGCGCCGCAAAGTACTCCCTCATCCTCTCCACCTTCTTGGTCGTGTTGAGCACCACGACGCCCTGGTCAAGCTGCCAGCGGATGAGGATCGTGCTCTCACCCACGCCGTATTTGGCCGCGAGCTCCTTCAGCGTGCCCTCGAGGTGCATGCCCTTGAGCCACGTGAGCGGCGCCAGGCCCATGTAGCTCTCGCACGCGATCCCCTGGGCCTGCAGCCACCTGGCGAACTCGGGCGCGCCTTGATGGTATGCGTTGAACTGGATCTGGTTGACCACGGGTTTGATCTCGGCCGTCTTGAGTAGATTCTCGACGTGGTGCCTGCGGAAGTTGGAGACGCCGATGGCTCTGGCCTTGCCTGATCGTTGGACGGCCTCCAGTTGCTTCCAGGCGTTGGCGACGTCCTCCTCGACGTACTTGTCACCACTACTGAAGTAAGGACTGTGGAGGATGTATCTGGAATGGGTCAGCTGAGGCTCATCCGGAGGTTTGAGTCCTCTAGGTGACTCACAGATCAACATAGTCCAGCTGGAGCCTCTTCAGACTGTTTTCAAGGGCCTCGGGGAGGTCCTCGATCTTTCCCTCGTTGATTGTCTGGACGACCTTGGTGGCAATATACAGCTCCTCCCTCGGGACGTTGCTCTCCTTGATCGCCTGGCCAAGCTCGGGCTCCGTGCCGTAGCCCTCTGCGGTGTCTATGTGGCGATACCCGGCCTTGATAGCTTCTTTTGCCATAGTGACCATCTCCGGGTTGAAGGCGGAAAAGCGATCCACCTTGTACCAGGGTGTTCCTGTCCCAAAGCCCAACTTGTTTTCATTAATAAGCACATCGTCCTTGGTGTTTGGCAATAACTTGTCAGGTCAAACGTACCACGGCAATTTGCGAGCCATCTTGAAGCTTGGTCAGTGGGATCTGAGGGTAAGACGCCATGGCCGGTGATTATCAATGGAGAAGTATGATTTCGATGAATAAGAATTTGGGGCCAACGCTGGGGGTGATTGATGGAAACCAAATTCGGAGTCGACGGAGGACAGGTCTATGCTTTATGTGTCTTCAAGAACCACGGTATCCGTATCTCAATATCAGTTGCTGTCAACCAGGGATAAGCCGTTGGAGTACTTTGACAGGGCCATTTTGCAACCTGCATAAGCTGTCATCCGTTGGCGTCTGTTGGCCCCCGTTGGCGTCCGTTGGCGTCCACAAGTGCGGGGCGAAAGTGGACAATCCCAGTGGCACTCCCGCTTCTCTGGCTTGTGCCCCGTCATTTCCGTGTTGGTTGGCAACTACTGAAAGATTACCAAGGTTGATGATTGGTCCTTCCCCTTGCACAGCATCCTCTAGAGCTGACAAGACTGCATCCTATCTTGAGAAGGCCGGCACTCCGGAACCCTAGGACGGGAAGAGACGTGAGTTGATCCCTGTCGGCCGTGAGAGGTTGGTTGCAGCAAGGATAATGGCGCGTCCTGCTTTGCTTGGCCTGCCTGAGGATCGTGGGCCCGGAATGGCAAAATGCTAGATCCGAATCCTTCTAATATCGAACAATGGACCTTTGCAATATTTTGCTCCATTTCCGAAATTTCGAATTATGTAGAAGCATTTTGTATAGTGTTTAATATCCGATGAGTCTGAAGACGTCTGTGATACTCTTTGCTGTCTTAGCAATGAAGACGTGTATGGTCCTTTCCCCATCTGGTCCGCGTCTCCGTTTTCTCCGCTCATTGAGAGTGAAGATGTCGCGTCTCGGTCCTCTTAATTTATTCGGTGAGCGTCATGGCAGGCAGTTGATACCTAGCTATTCCATCATGCAGGTCGGTGACATGCCAGATGATACCACAAGTAGTATTCAGCGCAACAATGCTCGCCTTTGCTGTGATCCGACGTGTTTCGAAGCACAGGTCCCACCAGATGAGCGTTGAATTTTAATCTGTGAGTATTTCGACTGATGATGCTGGCCCAGTGTCCCAACGTTCTGCAACTGTGCAAAATATAGGTGTCGTCTCGTGTCGTCTCGTGTCGTCTCGTGTCGTCTACTGCCACAAAAGATCTGCAACCAAAGTTCAAGTAGATTGAATGTCAGGAACAAAGACGAAAGAGATTTGCGACTTGCGGTGAGAATACCACCAGCCGATTCCAGCTTATATATAAGGTGTGTATGTGTAGGGAGACCAAGGCATTTGACATGTCGAGAATGAGTACCTAGATAGTCTCTGCGGTATCTGGTACGTACACGTGTAGCAATTCTACGGCCTTAGGATTCAAAAGTACAGGGTCCCCAGGCAAAAAAGGAGCTTCGGAACGGTTGTCGGGACTTGATTGGAGAGCTTGCAGCAGGGATGCATCACCGCAGAAGCCGACAAAGTATAAGATGGCGTTCAAGCATGATCTGCAGAGTTGATGATCGAACAGCCTTGATAGGACTTTATCATTCTTGCTTGCGGGGAACCAGGGAGAGAGACCCGAAAACATTGTGCATCATCCTGCAAATCTGACCATCGAGAGAGCTGGGGAAGAAACTAGCACGCGGAACACTAGCCATATCGAAAAAACCAGGTGTTTAATATCCAAAAGAACAACGTCCCTATGGCCGCCGCCCTACAATGCTAGATCGTATAAGACAACTACTAGGGGTCCCTTCTCTTGATCTTCGCTCCGAATTTCAAATCGTTTATCCGGCGAACGGGCAAGTGATGATGTCGCAGCCGCGCGGGGTGGGGATGTTCTCGTCAGGCAAAGTCTATTCACCGCGAGCGAGAGTTCAGGGCCACACAAACTAGACCGAGCGACAAGTCCTCCTCCCGACCAGCGGGCATGAGCTGGCGCGGCGACTCATGGCATGCGTCATTAGGCCCAACGTCATCCAATGTGTCCGTTCTCCAGCTCTCTTGGCCCGTTATAGCAATCCTGATCGCAGTTTTCAACGCCCTCCATGTTGCTGGGTTGAAGTCTCTTCCTCTCACCAGTTGTTCCATCTCTGACTCGTTGATCCACGGACGGCTTCCTGAATCCTTAGGCCCGAGTCACGGCGGTCCAGAACGGACGGACTCCTGCTCGGCTAGGTAACTTCATGCCGGTCTTTCCCTCGACCCGATGTTTGTTCAGCCCGTGGCTTGGTCCGACTGCTTCCCGCCCAAATGGTGAACACCATCCTTTGGGATCCTGACGTCGACAGTGCCAAACATCTGCCACGAGCACGGGAACAGCCCCGCCCTCGTCCGGCACCTATGCTGCAGCATGCAGACGCGGCAACCGGAGCTCTTTGTCGCTCTCTCAATCACGTGGTCATTTGCGACGTTGACTCTAGTCCTCCGCCTGCTGTGCAGGCGGCTCACGAAGAATCGGCTGTGGTGGGACGATTATTTCGCCATCATCGCATATGTAAGGAGTGTCCGGAGATTGCTGGCTCGAGGCGCCCCCAAGCCGTGGGCATGAATGTTGCTGAAGTCGACTGCAGCTACTCAATGTGGGGGTCGCCGCTGCGATGATCAAATGTAAGAACAAATACATGTACTGTAACTTTCCAGTTGACAATGTCTGACGCCCCATCGACTAGGGACCCAAGATGGATTCGGTCTCCACATGAAAGATGTTCCCCGGCCTCACCCCGAGATCCTCCGTAAAGCAAAGATTGATCTGTTCATCTTGGAAATGTTTTACATACCCTCGCTCAGCTTCTCTAAGCTTGCTGTACTGGCATTCTACTGGAGGATCTTCAACAGCGTAAGGAGCGCTAAAATATCAATTATCATCTTGGCGGTCACAGCGGTTTTATGGCTTGCAGTGCGGGTGAGTCCTCTCGTGTGGCTTCGCAAAAGCCCAGCAGCTAACGGGGACACGCAGCTCGTTCTGAACATACTCCATTGCATACCAGTACATGCCTATTGGGATACTTCAGTGGCTGGAGCTAGGTGCCCCTACCGGGACTTATCGTTCTATCATGGCAATGTGTCACTCCAGTACATACATTTGCTTTCCGATATTGGTCTTCTCATCATACCTGCTTTGCAGGTCCAAAAGCTCCGATTGAACCGAGCCAAGAAGTTTGGTCTTACGGCTCTGTTCATGTTCGGCATTTTTGTCTGTGCGGCCACGATCGCCGTGATCGTGTATTCGACCAAATATGATCCGAGCGTCAGCGATGAGTTCTCGTGGAACGTGGCCAGCATCTTCATTTGGACAATCGCGGAGGTGAACCTGGCCATTGCATCAAGTGAGCTACAACCGCCCCGGTTCCTTGTGCGCTTTGCTAACATATTACTTCTTCAGCTTGTCTCCCTCTCTTGCGCCCTCTTTTCAAGTCGATCGGTAGGGACTCATCACAAAAGTCGAGAGGGCCGCCTAGATTACCGACGCTACCTGGCTACCAACGGAAGGATTTGAACCGAAACCCAACGCACGAGAGGGCCTCAATCGGGCGGTTGCGGAAAGCAAAGCTTTGCACACATCTGAGAAGGGCGGGGGAAGGCCCAAAGCCTGATGAGATAGAAATGAGGGCTCCTGGATCGAATGAGCAAGGCCAGCGGGGGATTTTCGACGGCACCTGCGGGTCGGACGCAGTTGTCACCACACCGCAGCCGTCTACGAGCCGAGAATACTCGACGTCAGCGGTCATGGTAAAGAGCGAGTTGTCTGTCGATGTAGCCAGAGCAGTTTAAATCTGAACACCAAAGCACCCGCCCCATCCATGCTGTAAAGGAATGCCTACAGAGTTGTGGTGACCTGTGCACCGAGTAAAACAGTACACTGTCTGCTTGCTCAAAACTTGCTTGGAGCTCACCTACTACAAGCAGGCCCGTGTAGTCTAGGTGGACTGGTGACCATGTTTCTGCGCGAAAGATTTAGTAGGGCCAGCTGCGTTACAGGACTTGCAAAACTTCGGTCATCCAGGTTGCTGAGATCCGGCGTCGGGACTTAGTGTCGTCCAGCCCTCCTTCTGAAAGCAATGGGAAGGACCCCTCGAAACATCACTCAATTCTCCTCCGCCCCAAAGAGTCATCATATCGAAGACTTGCGGTGTCTCGCATCTTCCAAAGCTCCTCCATCGCGTTTCGAGCCAACGCGCCCTGCCAAAACCTCACTCGACCGCACCGAACGTCCGCAACCTCCGTAGTACTTCGAGACGTACGAAGCCCACTTCCCGACACGCCCATGCGAGTGCCCCCATACCTTTCCAATACGTGGATTGTCGACTCAAACCATAATGGCGCTCGCGATGCTGCTCGCGGTCTTCCTCGGCGTGTTGCACCTGTTGGCGGGTGTTTGCGATGCTGACGTGGTCGACGACGACCTGATGAACCTGCAAGCATTCATCTACACCAATCCCTACCCCATAGCCAAGCCGTACGACTGCAGTGTCATCGCCGCTCTCGCAACGAAGGGACAATGCATGAGCTACATCGGTACCGACGAGAATCCTCTAGAGTCACTCGCCTCTTGCGAGCTGTACTGCTATGAAACAGCTTATGCCAACACTTGGGACGTAAGTATTCCTGGAGGCCGTGCAAGCATCCTTATGGTCCGAGGCGTGACAAAACTCGATTTGCTTGGAAATGTTGGGGCGCTGACAGCCCTACGCGCAGTGCATCGCGCCCGCCATTGACTACAGCAACCCGGATTGGGCCAACATCTTCACGGACCAGAGTTTGTTCCAGTGGACTCCTGGCACCTGCAGCTGCTCCAACTCCTCGGACCCAACGCCGTCCGTGAACGGCGACGATGACTACCCGCTTGCCAGCCTCTCCAAGGGGGTCGCGGTCAAAGTCGCGACCCAGTACCCCCGAGACCTCGCAACCTACGGGTATCAGGTGACGCCAGGGTACACTGACTTTATAGATCCCCAGGTTAACTGGGACTTTGCGACCATCGACTGGCTCGGCGAAAACGGGGCCTCGACAAGGATTGGGATCTTCGGGGTCATGAACAACGGCGCCAACCCCAATGTTCTGCGCATCCACGAGGCCTGGGCCGGGAGGGATAGACGCCCGAACGGCGTGCGGGCAGCCTTCCACGACGACGTGATCAGCTTCTGGAGGCTCACTCCGATGTTCAGGAACCTCAACACGCTCACGGAGATCCGGTTCGACACGGTCATTGAGGACTCACTCGACGCCTTGGCTCCATGGGCATACCTAACAATGGGCAGTAAGCAGCCCCTGGATTCATTTTTAAGCCTCTCAAGAGCAAAAGTCCCCTTTCTGTAGAATATACCTGAAGGGATTATCACTCTGCAGCTTTTGACCCAGGCGATGACCCAGGCGATGGGCACACTCATGTCCCCCTTCCCCCTACAAATATTTGAGTGAAGTTTCTTCTTCGATACTTTAAAGCTGACTCCTAATACTCCAGTGGACCCAAACTCCGGTCTCGTGGTACGAAGAAACGGTGTTCGAGTCAACGAACAGCACGTTTTCAGAACGATCCTCGCGCGGGCAAGATTTGCAAGGAGGATGCAGCAAGCCATCAACGAGTATGTTGAATTTTCTCATCGGAGGATCATGGCGTTCTACTTCACGAGTGGCATGCCAGGATTCGACTTTGCTATTTACTTCGACGGTTACAACGAAGCGACCATTGGAGACGCGACCTGGAACTGGCAGTGAGTCCTCGTGCGGCGTTGCGTAGAGGTCGCCAGTAGACTTGACGGCCGGATGAAAAAAGTCTTGAGGAGACCTGGCAGGTTTCGGTACTGAGCATACCACATCCATAGAACCCCATCAAATGGAAACAGGACTTTGCTGATTTTTGAATCACATTTCAACATCAAGAGTGCATGTGTGTGAATCTCTGCAGACATCTCAACCTTCTCGCGATCAATATGTACATGGTGTGAAGTGAGTTAAGCTTGAGAAGACGCGCGGGGCGGCTCTACAAACCCTTCGATGCCTCTCGGATGTTTAGCAATCAAGCGTCTCATTTCGTGTTTGACACTGAAAGAAAAAGCTTCGTCAGATTTTGGGTCAAGGCTTTGGGGGATGCGAGCTCTTACGATCCCCTTAGAAATGCACGATGATCATGTCGCCCTGCGTTAATAATATTGTCCCGCCTGTTTCCATCCAGATTCAGGTAAGCATTCGATCTCCGCATACTTTGAGAGGCAGGAGAGGCGCAGCACCTACATTGCGTATACTGCATTCCGATCGTCAAAGGCCTCTTCTGGTTGTGATGGTCGCATGCTCCCCAAATATTTACTAGCATGCTCACCAGTGAACCGGTACCGCGACTCCCGCATCATGCCGAGGTCGACTGGCAGGATGTGATGATCAGCGAGTGACATGAGCCTTCGGAAGAGTAGCATCCACCCACGCTCGTTGTGTGCACAGCAGCAACAAGAGTCGAACAGGATCACGCGCCGAGTGTCCCTGTCGATCTGCACGTTGCCGGGCCAAACGTCGCCGTGGACGAGGACGGGCTTGATGATCCTGCCTCCTGTCTGGAGTGGTCGCAACAGTCTAGGGATGACCTTATCGAAGAATTCACCCCCGATCTCGTCCATTTCGGGATCCGGTCCTCTAATACTCTGTTCCCATTCGATGTCTGACCGAAGTTGGCGGCTGAAGAATTCCTCCCAAGTATCGCACCATTCATTGATCACCGGTGCGATACCGTTGAATGTGGTGATATGAAATCCAAAGTTTCCAGTAGGGGACACAGAGGTCCTGTGTAGTTTTTCCAGGACCTCAACCACCTGTGCTGGCTCGGGAATCTTGTCGCTTAGGTTGCGGAATGGTGTTAGGAAAAATGATGCCGAAGACTCGAGCTCAAGAGGTCCGTAACCCAGTGGAATCGCTGTGTTTTCTGGGAGATACTTTTGTAGTTCCGCTTGGCTTTCAAACTCACCCTTAGCAAGCTCGAGATGGCGAGGCCGTCGTATTATCTGCGATTATCATCAGCAGTCATCGGTCATATGGGAGTGTCGCTGGAGAATTAGCAGGACCTTGAGAAAAAATCCTAGCTTCTGTCCGTGACTCTCTGCCTCAACCTTGTACCCAGTAGACCAGCTGCCCTTTCCATGCGGCTCGACAGCGATAACCTCGCAGCCGGTGGGCAGCACTGTTATGAAGTTCCGAAATTAGAGCCGCAACCGGATCACTTGTACTACTTAGATTGGGCCGGCATCCCGGAGCACAACCTACCAGCGAAGATAGCTGGATCCAGTGTTTCATTCATGGCAAAGTTAAATCAGCTACAATGCAAAATCGTGCTTTTCGACAATTTAAAGAGTAAACAGAACAATTCACAACGTGTCGTGGAGAAGTGAGAGCAGAGTGTAAAGTATTAGGCGGGGTATCACCTCCGATCATGCACGCTATTGCTCCGAAGGGCCGGATGGTCAGCGGCGCAGCCTCAACGCGGCTCCGCCCCCGGACTTGTCCTGATGTCGTTCTCATTGTACCAGACGCCTGTAATCCGTGTATTCAGCTTCTTTGAAGGTTCCGTGGACCTCAAAAATCTGTTCAATGGTGTTTGAGTCCGTTTTTAAGGATAGCATTGGTCGAAAAGAGTGCCGGCGTGCTCAGTCGCAGTTGATGCTGCCAGCCTGGGCCTTTGACAGCTTCCTATTGAGAATTCAGAGGTGAGATTCAGCTCCAGGCGTAGAACTCGTTACAGTGGAGTGTGACAGTCTTCGACCCATGACCGCCTTTCCACCTCAATGATGGGATACTTCTTCGATCTCTCTGTCCACTTGCCACTTCCACTGCGTGCTGGCCCTTTAGAAGATCTAACGCCTGTAACACAATCGGATTGTCATCCCACACGGTAACTTTTGGCAGGTCCCATGCCAAAGCCTCCTGCAGAGCGTCTGAAAGCAGACTGGCCACTTGCTCCGACTGCCTTTGATCAGGCTCCTCAGGGAGGTGGATCCTTAGCACGGCTAGCTGTTGCTTTCTAAAATCATGGTACCAGTAAACCCAAGAATCTCCGGCCTTGGTGATCGCCCCACGGTGTTCGGTCACTTTGCCAAACAGTTTTAAGGCAATGAAGTGAGCTCTTCCCTGCAACAGATTGATGAGATCGGCCGTTGGGGCAACGGCAGCGAGCGTCTGGTCTCCTGAGATCTGCGTCTTACGCATCTCTCCTTTGACGCTTTCTGCATCCCTCGCACAGAGACTCTCGATATCTCCAGCTGTCAAAAAACGGTTTCTGGGCAGGTTCGATCGTCCATCCAAGGTGGCGTTTGTCGCACATTTCAGGATAGACTCGAAAGCAGGAAGCGGCGCCCAGCCCCTTTTGGAATAAAACTTGAAGACGTATCAGAACTTGGCCCACCCTCTAAGGTTTCCACACTCACGTCTCCGATGCTTGTATACAGCATACTAGCCGTGCCTACTCCAGGACCATCCATCCACTCCGCTATGTGTTCCATCAATACCGACGCCAGCCCGGATTTCCTATAATCGGGGTTGGTGATGACGCTGGCGATGCAGTAACCGTCGCCCGTGGTCAGTGCCGCCCGTCCATCTTTAACGAGGAAGAACCTGTGCAGGGTCTTGCACGTTGCGAGGATGCAATTCGGGTTGTCCGTCGGGAAGAGGCACCAGTAGCGTGTTGATCCGGCCACGGCGAGCGGGAGACTGCCGAGGTAGTCCTCCAGCTCTATGTACTGGTCCTGGGAAAGTGGTGCAGCGAAGGCTGTGCCGGCCAGCTTGCAGCACTGCAATTGTTGCTCAGGTTTGGCCTCCCCGACAGCGACCTCAACAGGTCCGTCTGCGAGGTTCAATGTGATTGTGGCCAGCCTCGATGCCATCGTAAGATGAGGTTTGTTGCCTCGACATGATCGACAGTGTAGTGTTATTGACAGACGGATCGATGCTGGGATCATCCCGCAATGCGGGGGATGTCACGGCGACAGGCCCAGGACGGCTCCTAACCCTCGTCCGCTTCCAACAGCGTGGCAGTGCACATGGCTGCGGTTCCTGCCACCATTGGCTGTTTTCGCTCTCTGCGGCAAAAACGTCTCTCTTCCTCCTCAACAATTACCATCTCAGAGAAGTGTGTACGTTCCTCAACTCTGGGGCAGATATCCATCCTTTTGAGCTTGTCTGCCGGGCAGGACAGCATCCGCTTTGTCGGCTCGGAGCCATGTCGCCGAGCGCCGACCGAGGCTCTGTCTGGATCTCCCGGATCGACCGGTTTTCCAACACACCCGAGAGCCAATTCGGTACCCAAAATTCGCGAATCATCAAGAAGCTTGGCGAAAGTCGGCGGCAGGTGAGGCAGCAGAGGCGCCTCAATTTCCGCGACTCGATAGGGTGTTTCGAAACATCTCGCTTGGTGGTCCCACAGCCCTGCTCATCTCCGTCACGCCATCAAAATCCGGCCAGGCGGCCAGGCGGCCAAGCGGCCAAGCTCAGCCTGGACCGCACCTGGATCCCGCCCTGGCTTCTGGGCTTCTCACCACTCGAGAGCCGCAAAGCTTGTGGCCCTCAAGACTGATATGTTTCGTGCATGTCTGCAACATACTGGATAACCTGCCTCGGTCAACACGCACTTGCACGCATCACAAAACCCACGGCCAGCTCTGGTGATGAAATCCACAGTGCATCGACCTACCGTCACCGTTTGCAGCGAACCTCTTGGACAGGATGGAGAAGAATGGCCCTCCCTGGAAATGTTCCCATTGGTGCATTAAACCCGGCTGAGAAAGGCTGCCCACTTTTTCCTCAGGGGGGCCATCGTCAAGCTCAAACGACATTCCCCAGCAGCGCATCGTGGACCCCGGTCTGTTTCCCCTGATGTTTCCTCAAAACAGACCATCCTCCCGCGCTTGCGGGAAGAAAATAGACCAATGGCAGTACCTCACTATCTAAGTCGTCCCCGCCGAGGGCCCCGGCCAGTGAGCAGACCACACTCTAAATGTTAGCGGTGAACTTCAGGTAATGCTCCTGTAATTACATGGGCATCCTCCCTGCCAGGGGCCCAGAAGGGGCACGACGGATGAATAAATATCATGAGGTTAGATACTTCACGAGGCACTCGTCCTCTCTCCTGTTGCTCTGCATTGTGCTGCTCTGTCTCTCACTCACTCTCTTCGACGACCACTCTTTTCGTTCGCTTCATTCTTTAAGCAACTCGCTCTTTTAGGCTCCGGACAGCCCTCCAACAAGACAAGGATCTTTTTGCAACACACGAGACTATAGTAGTTTTACACATCGACCAAAAGGTTACTCCTCGATCAAGATGATGATGAAGCAATCCGCCCTCGCCGTCCTCGCCGCCCACCTCGTGGGTCTGGCAGCCGCCGGAACCAAGGTCTGGGATGGCAGCTTCGACGACCTGACCGTCGCCGACCTGGCCGACTGGTCCTGGTCCAACCAGGCCGGCCCCTACCAGTGGTACATCCACGGTGACGCAGACACCTCCAAGTACCTCGACTTCTCGGCCGACGCCGCCGGGCCGGGCGCCACCAAGGGCGCAAAGGTCACCCTCGACAGCACCGCCTACTGGAACGGCCAGAACATGCGCCGCACCGAGCTGATCCCCTCGGTCACGGACACCAGCTCCATCACCTCGGGCACGCTGTACTACCACTTCTCGCTCAAGCGCGCCGAGACCAACGCCCCCTCGGTCGACCGCGAGCACCAGATCGCCTTCTTCGAGTCGCACTTCACCGAGCTCAAGTACGGCGGCTCGTCCGCCGACAAGCTGCAGTGGTTCGCCAGCTCGTCGAGCCAGTGGGAGACGGCCTTCGAGGCCGGCGTGTGGCACAACTTTGCCTACGAGATCGACTTCGACGCCAGCACCGTCGGCCTCTGGCACTCGACCGGCTCCGACGCCCTCGCCCAGGCCGTCGAGCCCGTCAAGGCCAGCGTCAGCTCCAACGGCGCCGACTGGCACGTCGGCGTGCTCGAGCTCCAGGGCTCCGGCACCGAGGACGCCACCGAGGACCTCTTCTACTCGGGCGTCTACATCGAGAGCGGCGACCTGACCACCGCCTTCTCGAGCGCCGGCTCCTCGTCCGGCTCCGGCTCCGGCGCTGCTAGCTCTGCTGCGGCGGCCCCTTCGTCCGCTGCCGCTTCCTCCGCCCCGGCTAGCTCCTCCGCCGCCGCCGCTGCTGCCACCACCGAGGCTGCCGTGCCCACGGCCGCGGCCCCTGCCACCACCGCTCTGGCTTCCAGCTCCAGCAAGTCGTGCGTCAAGAGGACCAAGACTGTCTACGTCACCCAGTCCGCTTAAGCGATGAGGGACGTCGACGGTGACCTAAGTCATCGAGGATGATGAGAAGATTGAACGGTGTAGCAGCATTTGCACTGGGTCGGCGCTGGATGGCGCAACTTCCTGTACATAGACTTACTTAACCTTGGCGTGCTTCGTGTCAATACTACTTGCTTCGTGCTTGGATATGTTTTTCCAAAAGTGAAGTGACATTGTCGTTCCTATCTTTGTGTAAGACACGTGTGACTAGTCAACGGTACTGCCCAAAGCTTGGTCTAATAATACTGTAGTGTAGCAGGTGTCCCTCTCATTTCCTTCCCTCTCGCGCTGACCTTGTTGACGCACATGTTTTCCTCTTTTGACGACCTCCAAGCCCTTACCTTCGCCTCAGACGTTGCTTAGCTCTGTTTCTTGGGCTGAGTCCACAGCAATGGTCAGAAGTCAGGCGTGTGCGACGGAGGCAAAATCGCGGTTGAAAGGTTAGCTCCGACATGTAATCTGTAGGTGTGGCTCGTGACACCTTCCACGCGATGAATCTCAGCAACCGCCGCATTGGCTAGGAGGGCTAATCACTGGCTGTTGCATTATATTTCGTGGCTTCCTGTGTGTTTCTCAGTCGTCGAAGTGTTTGGCGTTGGCATCGAGGGTTGTGACGGGGCCACTGTGCTAGGTGAATGCGAAGCCGGAGTAGGGGCGGTCGTCGCCGAGCTGCTGAGTCTGAGAGCACTCCCTCACACAAGCCAGGAATCTCAACTTGTACTTCAGATATCTGTTGCTGTGAATATATTGCCACTCAAACCTAGACGGGCCGGAAATGGGACCGAACGTTGTGGGAGGCACCAAGAGGGGCAGGAGGGAGAAAGGCCCTCTAAGTTCCAAGGCTGCCCGACAGTATTCAGGAATAATCCAGTGTTGGACCGCGCGTCTGTCCTCTGGGTCGATAGCCACAAATTTGCTGCCATGATTGCCCTCGAAAACTTCGGTATACATCTCAGAGGGCATGTCCTCCTGGCAATCGTATTGAGCCCTTGGCTTGATGCCCTGGTCGAGAATGTAGACTATCTCGAGTAGACCGAAGTACATGAAACCATGCTTGGGACCATACATACTTAGCCAGTATGGCACAAAAACAAGGAGAGACCTGGGAGTTGGGCCAAGTTGGTACTCTGCGGCCGTCGGGAGCTCTAATGCAAGTCGGCGCGGTGAAGGACGCTCATTAGGATAGCAGATTTGTCGCACTCCGTTGGGCAGTAGCTCATCCGTTTTCGGGCTCTTCCAAGAGCCACACGTCGCAGTTCCGGCACGAATGCACATGATGTCTGTGGTTCGTATCATGTCCGAGATTTTCTGGCGAGCGTGCGGCCTGTGGACGGGATCAAATGTGGCCTTCTGGTTCAGCTTGAGGAAAACCTCTCTTGCCTCGACACAGACAGCCAAAAGCTCCCGTCTAGACCACCAAAAGCCCGGATCGTCGGTAGACCCGGAAACCTCCCAATGGATTCTCTGTCCCCGCTGACAACCGGGAACGTAGTGACGGTGGCAATACTGACCGTCTCTGTCCCACCAGGAGACAAAGTCGTCATCATTCGGTTTGGCCATAGGCTCCAAGAAGTGAACTCTCGGCCCAGATGGCCCAGGAGTAGCATAGAATGCAAATTCCCAGACAAAAACGCGCAGCTCAGCTGGGAGAAGCTTGAAAAGCGTGAAGGCTTGGGTTTGAGGCTGTTGTGCTCGGCTTGGTCTGATGATGTCATATGAAGTGGGCCATCCAGGCGGACGGCCAGAGTTTCGGTAGTCAACAGAGGTCTTTGAGGACTTTCTGGTGCTTAGAAAGGTGCCCATGATGTAAGATTGCGGGCGTGACCAAAGAAGAGAATGCTGCACTGGTGTTGTGGTTGGCACAAGGTTGTAGAAGATGAAGTGAGTTGTGTGAGAGATGGCGGCAGTCAACTTTCAAGTGTGGGCTCGGAGGTATGTGGCCAAAGATTAATACACACCTGGGCAGTCGCGTGGCCGTTCTAACATGCCGACACGTCAAGACGGCCGGGTCATTAACAGCCCACAGTTAGCCTTCCCCGGGGGCTTCTTGAAAACAGCAGGTGATGCATCCACAGCAACAACTTTCACCTGATCTTCCGGGCAACAGGTTTGATATGCTGACTCCAGGTTCCAAGTTCCATTCCTTTGTGGCCAGTTTCACGCCGTACAGTGCAAATTCAAACTTTCTCATTCAACCAAGGCACCCATTGGACTTTTACTTAAAGAATCGTGGACAATAACGTACTGTGATCATCGCCAACGGATCGTCTGCTGATGAAAGACTGCTTTTTGGCATGTTGCGTACGCTACACAAGGTTTAGTTGCATTTTTCATTGAGGTCCAAGATGGAATTTCCATGCTCGAAACCTAAATTCATACAGAGGGTGGTATGTTGAGGCGTTGGAGGTAGGCCCGCGCTTGTGAGTCCAGCGTTGTTAAGTTACCACTCCATCGAAGGCTCTACAGTCACTGGCCGAGACTCGTGACATCTTGCCAGTTCTCCAGTCCAGACAAACTCCGCATTGGTCCTTACTCCCCCAACATTCTTTCACATCCCGAAGTGTGCTGAAGAGTCCACTCATTCGGTATACATTCAACAGGTTTTCTTGCTGATTTTGGCCATCAAATAGATGTTGACCTTCCAGTCATCAGAAGCCCCGATCAACTTCTTGGTTGTCTCCAATACCGGCCATACATATGCTGGCACATCCCAGTTCTTCATGACCTCCTTGTTCCCCGGGCTGAGCCCGTAGAAGTTTTCCTGCATGCCATGTGCGAGGACGTTGTACTGGTGGGCCAAGGGAAGTGGATCGGCAAGGGCTGGTCCGCGGCTCGACTCTGGGCTTGTTGCGGTTTGTTCATTGGCGTTCTCCTGATTATTCTGTCGAAGCTTGATGCCGTTGTCGAGTAGAAAAACAGCTTGCAGGTCTTGTAGATCGATCATCACATCATCGATCGAAGGGGTCAAACTTGTTGTTGGGCTGTTGTTGTGCCCTTCCTTCGCCTCTCGACCCCACTCAATGGCCTTCAAAAGCCAGCTCGGAAACTGTTGGTGAGCTTCCATGCCTTTGATGGTCGTGACAATAGAGAAATTGATATATATAGTATCAAGATCAAGATTGATGGCGAGGTTGGTTGCTGCGAAATTGTTAGCCACAACAGGAAAGGTTTACAGGGGCAAAGTACTGCGTAAAATCCAGTCAGAAATCTTTACTTACGGCGCAATCGCGGTCGCATGTTCAAGAGGAAAGCTGTCACGTATCTGAGGGGAGTTCGAGTAGAGAAGTGGAAGATGTCGAAAGAGTCATTAACATGGACTCCTTTCTTTATCGTCAATCGACTCTGCTCAACATGCTCGACGAGGTTGAGATAGACGTCGCGAGTCTCTGGACAGACGGGACTGAGTCCATTCAAATCGCGACGCCAGAAGAACCGTCGAAACTTGTGACGTCCTGGAACATTCCATTGTTGTTGGTAGATCTCAGAGTTTGCGATGAGCATGGCCAGGTCATTCCGCACGCCGTCGTAGTTGAACGATGGTGCAGCAGCTGGGTCATTCAATCGGCCGACTCGCGGTGAAGTGCAGTGGGTTGGGAACTGGAGGTAGTGCATCCTGGTCGGGATACAGGCATATTGCCAGATGAGGCGACGAATCTCCTCAGGCAGGAAAGCGAAGCGATGGAAGCTTGTCACGATGATGGATTGGGCAGCACTCCCCGTCGCACGAGGTCTGCAGTGACGACTGTCTTGACTGGGCGGGGGGTTCTTGTGTTGTGTCGTCAGCCATTGTGATGGACCACCCCGCTATGAGGTGATGATGTTGTCGTACTGGAGGGCTGAGGGAAGGAGGCTCAAAGGCTTCGAGCGTGGGTTGGATGGCGTTGGCGGGTGGCGCGTGGGCGCGTGGTTGCATGGGAGGCTAATCCAGCGAGGTGTTGATTCTTGGGAGATGCAGTGAGCTTAGAGGAAGGCATGTCCCGGGATTGTAAAGTTACAGATAGAAGCGTGGTCTCGCCGTCAACACACTGAAGGCAGGCAAAGATTGCAGGCAGTAGGCGTAGTGTGTCAAGTGAAGGGTGTGGTGAAGGGCCCAAGTGAATGACGCTTGCCTCGACAAGTACTCACTGAGACAGATACCAGCCATTCTGCTACCAAGCTCCCGGCCTCGACTACAAACACAAACCACTGGATTAACCACACCTGTTCGTCTCATACACCAACGGTGGTATGACCCACAGTAAGAGATGGCTCAGGATCCCAACCTTGTTCTTGTTAAGTATAAGAGACAATTCAATTGACTGAGTGAACGAAAGAACTACACAGAGAACACGGTGGTACCATTATACACACCGAGCTCATCCCGTCCCAGAAGGAAGCTCTCCGGCGGGCCGAGGTAGCTGGGCCTCACACCTCCCAAATCAACGACCACCTTCTGTACTATTATGCTAGGCATCAGAGCCCAGATGCGCAAGGTGTACGCACCCTCCTGCGGCACTTTGAAGGAGCTGGTGGTGTAGTTGCCCGTCTTGCCCCAGACGCCATCCGCGACGGCATATCCCCAGCCCGCAGGCAGGTTCTGACCAACAGTGGGACCAACGGGCGACACCACCGTCAAATTCGTTGGCGCAGCCGATCCGGCCGGAGACAGGTCGATGGCGTACTGAAGCGGGGTTCCGTCGCCGAGGTAGTTGTGGGACGGCGAGATCCAGACGGTGACGTTGGCCTTGGACGAGTTGCTGAACAGGTACAGCTGGTACTCGAGGGCCGGGGCCGCGTCGGTGGACAGCTTCTCCAGGTCCTGGGGCACGAGGCCGACGCCGTCGCCCGTGCGGCCGATGCCCTTGAACGTGTGGTAGGTCACGTTCTCCGCGGCGGACCCGTCGATCGTGGTTGCTGAGCCGGACCCTGGCACGATGGCCTGGTAGTTTGGCGCGTCGATGGCGACGTGCCCGTCGGACTCGATGAAGCCCTCGGAGAAGTTCGACGGGGGCAGGCGGTTGTACACGGGCACCTGGATGATTGGATCCTTGTACCCGTACTTGCCGAGCGAAGGGCACGAGTTGGTGACGTTGATGTTCACAGTCGTCACATTTGGCGCAGCAGGGGCACTGGCCCAGTCAACCGTGATGTAAACCCGGGTGTCACCACCATCGGGGCCGACGACGCCAGTATCTTGAGAGAGCTTCACGTAGGGGGCCCAGGGCGACGCAGTCCACGTGCAGCTTTCTGTGCCGCGGGAGAAGACCTCGAAGTACCGGGTGGCAGCGCCGTATGGCTCCAGCGGTGGGACGGCGAGGCTGTTGCCGCTGTTGGTGTGGTACTTGTCGTCGCCTTGGACCGTGCCGTTGGAGCCCTCGACTCCGATGCCGACGTGTCCAGCGAGTGACACACGTTGAGTCTGGACGTAGCTCATCGCGGGCAGGGTATTTCGCATGGGCTGCTGCCAGTATCCGTCATAGCCGAGATGAGTTTCTGTTGGTTTCGTCAGTCAGTCGGCATCCTTCTTCAAGTCATCCAACGCCTTGGGGAAGACTAACGGTCCATCATATGCGCCCATTTCCCGTCTAGCATATCATCCCATCTATCCGTCAAGTCAGAATCGGCATCACTGAGCTTGAAGACATCCATCATCGTAGGGTTTGCTGAGTTGCGCTTCTGGCCAGCGTACAACATATTCTTCGCCGACCCGATGTAGATCTGGTTCACAATGTTTCCTCCCATGATCGGGTGGAGCACCATCTGGAAGAACGCCGGCTGCGCGCTCTCGTCCAAAGCATCGTACACAGCCTCGGCCTCGGACTGGATCTCAGCCCACTCCGCGAGCAGCGCGTCACCCTCGTTGTAGTTGATGACGCTGTACGACTGGGGCTCGATCAGCTCGAACTTGCGGCGGTTCGCCATCGTGCCGTAGTGTGTCATCAGGGACGAGATGTTTGCCGCCAGGTCCGGGCCGAACTCGCGCGCTACCCAGGCTGTGGCCCAGTCCGAAGTGCTGTCGACATCCCAGGTCTCCGCGTCGTAGGCCATGTCCAGGAAGTGGCTGATTGGGATCTCAACGGGCTTCAGGTCACCGACGTTGACGATCCAGATACGATCGGCGCCACGCGCGTAGGCCATGTGCATCTACTCTGCTGTCAGACACGATTCTTATCAAACTGGTCACCGGGGCTTCAAAGACTTACTTGCTCTGCGGTCTTGGCCAACTTGACCGTGTTGACCCACTTGTAGTTCCTTGGGTCACCGACGTAGTCGAAATGGTAGTACACGCCAGCACCGCCAGCTCGGCCAGTCTCGTTCGCAAGCGGGAACCTCCTGATATTGCCCCAGTTGTCGTCCGCCCACAACAGCGTGATATCATCCGGCACCGACAACCCGTCGAAGATGTACGTCTGGACCTCCTTGTACAGGCACCACATCTGCGGCACAGTGGAGATATTAACCCCGCCCAGGCCCTCGCTGATGATCTCCTGCTGGTTGTGCACCAGCGTCTCGAGCATCGCGACGATCTTGTCGACGCCCAGGCCCTCGATGGCCGTGTCGCCCGTGCCGCGCATGCCCATCGTGAACAGCGAGTTGCGCGCGTACGGCTCCGCCCGCGCCACGCCGTAGCGGAAGTACTCGTCGATGGTGGCGTTGTTGAGGTCGTACGCCCAGGCGCCCGGGTAGAAGTTCTGGAACTCGTTCTGCGCGCGCATCAGCGGCTCCGTGTGCGAGCTGCCCAGGACGACCTCGTACGCGTCCGCGAGCGGCTGGTTCTGCGGGAAGTCGACCTCGTACATGGACGCCCACACCGTCGGCCACAGGTAGTTGGCCCGCAGGCGGAGGATCAGCTCGAGCACGTGGGCGTAGAAGTCGGGCCCGTAGCCCGCCGCCCCGTTCTCGGCGTCGGCGAAGTTGGTCGTCACCCAGTTGGTCAGGCCCGGCTGCTCATCGTTCAGGAAGATGCCGCGGTACTTGACCGAGGGCGGGCCCTGGACCTTGGTGAGGTTGGCGGGGACGAAGATGTCTGCGGTCTGGCGGACGGGTGTGTCGGCCCAGAAGTACCACGGAGACACGCCGATCTGCTCGGAGACGTCGTAGACTCCGAATATGGTGCCACGAGGATCGCTGCCTGCGATGACCAGGGCTTGAGCTACGCCATCAGTCGGGTTTGATACCAGCTGGGACGTGAACGATTCCCATTTTCCTTCGATCTCGGACACGTCTATCGCGCCCGACGAAACGAGGGCGTCGATCAGAGTGCTGTTTCCAACGGTGCCAGCAATGATGACCACAGACGATAGATCCGGGTCCGAGTAACTCGGCCCCTTGAAATACTCGGGCTCAGTGGTGGAATACTACATATGTGGTTTGGTAAGCTTGGGACTCTCAGTTCAAAGTTCACAACTCGAAGGCAACTTACGACTGTGTTGTTCTTGTTGTTCACGGGGTTGAACGAGTACAAGGCGGCGGAAGCACTGCTGGTACCATTGGTATATGTAGAGTTCGAGGTTCGGGTACCGGTGCTCAGTGTGTAGTTGGTGCCTGTGACCTTGCCAAAGTCGGCAGCCAGGTCCCCAGCTGCTCGGATGACGCCCCAGTAGTCGTTGTCTGATACCAGGATCTGACCGGCGGATACAGGCCCTCCAGCTATTTGCAAGTCCCCATCTGAACCTTGAAAAGAGACGACAGGTTTCTGACCGAGGGCCGCAACAAGAGACGATGCGCTGCAGAGCGCAAGGAGGAAGTGTGACTTCATCGTTGGCAACTCGCTCTGCGGGAGGGAGTCCCGCGCCGTGCAGAGCTGGATGGTCGATGAGAAAGGTGAAGCTCAGGAGCAGCCTCACTCACGGTCTTGCTTGCCTGTGGGGTTCAAGAATCCCGCCACTGACTACCGGTGACGAGAAGACCACACTCGCGTAGAGCAGGAACATCACGAACAGGCCCGATATATAATGTTACCGCTATGCCCCAAGGAAATACTAGGGAGGCTCCACCCCACCTTGGGGTAAATACCACGTCCCGGGGAGACCATGGCAGGACGCGGTGAGGTAAGGGCAGCGGCTGAGCAGCTTGCCTAGCCCGCGGGTGTCTCCTCGGTCAGGTACCGCGCTGCTGGGTAAACACAGAAATGGAGAAATACCAACGCACTAGCATTGGCAATCTTGGAAGTTCCCTGGGCTGAAGGCGTCAAGAGGGCCAGCCGCCTTGCCGGAATGGCGGGTAAAGGGAAGGTAGAGGCACGCGTCAAGGCGGGATCCTGGCCTCGCTTCCGCAAGGTGACAGCAGCATCTCGCTTCCGGATCCCCGTCACCGGAACAGCTTCACGAAAATTGGGCTAGGTCTATCTATGATGACGACGCTGTCGATCTTGGAGATATGCACACCAGGAGCTTTCCGAGATTCTGGACTACTAGAAGACGATTGTCGATGTGACACTGAAGCAGACCTGTGTGGTCATTGGTCGCGGAATTCAGACTCGAAAACGCCCGTCAGGAACACTGCTCGGAATTCATTGACACGAAACGATGTTTCCCCGACGGTCAAGGATGGGACATGAGTCCCGGAAATGACCCCAAGGAAACCCAATGCGGGGGAGTCTCTGGGGAAAACTGTTGTATTCAGCCGGAATGCAACGCCCCCTGCCATTTCTCCATTTCCCCACGGCCGTTGACCTTGGCGCTGCATGGGAGATCTGGGATCAGGGGGTGCAAAGAAAGGGGGCCATAAGTCCAGACCATACAAGATGAGATAGATAGTAATGCTGTGGGCGTGACTATTGCCAACTATCACGATTCAGGTAGGCCACCCTCACAGATGTAATGCATGCAGTTCATACAGAAAAGTTATTTAGTCATGTGTCCCTTAATTTACATTTTCAGATCCAACGTGCAGATGTGACATATTAGAGTTCTTCTGGTGCGCTTTGGGGTTTTCGGAAGCCAACCGAACTTTGAATATCAAGGTACACAGGTACTAGACCTGTTGTTGCACAAGCACAATATCAACCTCATCAGCACCAACCTCAGCGGTCACGTCAAATACATCCCCAGCCTTCACTTGCTTGACCTGTGTAAGCTCGCCTGATTGGTACAACCCGTAGAGTCCAGCTGGGAGGTTGTTGATCTTCAGGTCGACTCTGGACGGACGTCAGTAATTGTCTTCCGCAATATCCATTCGAGTGGGCGCTCTTCAGTGAGCCGTATACGTACCTGCTGTTGGAACCATCCCAAGTCCTCATCGTCACAACAAATGCTCCCACCTCCTCGTTCCACTCGCCACGAAGGAAGTCGACTCCAGTGGACAGATCCACTCCTTCGACATAGGGGTATGTCGCATGGTGTCCATCTTTGGTCCAGGGTTTCTCCCACATCTTCTTCTGTCCATCCCTGACGTTCAAACGGCCGTAAGCAATAGCGGCGTTGCCAGTATACACATCCATGGCAACCCAGTTCCCCTTATCGTCCTGAAGATTCCCGTCTTTTCTCGGGTAAAAGAGCCCACCCTTCTCCCAGGTTGGGTTCAGGTATGCATCCGCGTGCTTGAGCAAGCCCGCGACAACATCCCTCTCGCCATCTGCCGGTGGCGCTGACACCTCAGAGGTCCATTGCACGGTGAATCCGAAGGTGGTGGAGGAGTTGGACTCCCCCATCGGCGTCTGGAGCTTCCCTCCTTCCAGGCCCTTCTGGACTTTCGAGGCCGCTCTGGCAAATGTCTCGGGTGAGGCAGTCGAGCTGCGCTCGTCCAGCTCCTCCTCCCCGTTCTTGAGCGAGGCCCGGATCTCATGGGCGACGAGTATGTTGTTCAGGTTGACGCGCCCGTCGGGGTGCCACGTGAGATAGCCCTTTATGAGCTTAGGATACCACGCGTGGACGAACTCGGAGTTCCACGAGTTCATGAACGAACAAGCCCAGGCGTTGCCGGAGATGCCATCGAGGTTTACGAACGAATCCTGTCTTATCATCCAGTAGAAGACGAAGTTGTCATCCCCCGACCCGTCCGGGCCGACGAAGCCCCCGTTCTTGGCCTTCCACGCAGCCTGGTACTTCTCCAGCACGTGGGACACGACGTCCGTGCCGTTGCGCACGTCGCTGTACCTGATGCCGATGATGGGGAACTGGTTGCAGATGATGAAGACGCAGTTGGGCTCGCAGCACACGCCCATCCAGCCCGTCTGCTCCATCTCGTTCACGATCGTCTGCTGCAGGGTGGTGCGGGTGTAGGGGAACTTCTCCGAGCCGAGCCCGAAGAAGACCGGGTTCCAGTCGAACGTCAGCGCGCCCGGCTCGTCGTGCCTGTCGTCGTCGAAGAGCATCGCGTAGAGGCTGCACATCAGGAGCAGGTGGCCCGAGAACATTATGTTCTCCCTGCACACGGGGTCGGGCCAGGGCTTCCGCAGCTCGGTGATGTCTGGATCCACGTACTTTCCGGACTGGCTGGTCAGGAACCAGTAGCCCCAGACGTCCCGGTGCATCATCTTGTGGATGAGCTGGTCAAACAGGGTGCGGAAGACGGAGCGGAGCGCCGGCAGGCGGTGGTAGTGCGCCAGCCCGGCGGCGTAGGCCATCGTCGCGATCTGGTACCGGTAGGAATCGAAGACCTCCTGCCCCGGGGTGGAGCCGCCCACTGTGGCACACGGGGTGAGCTAAGAGATTCATACCACATGGGCGGGGCGGGACGGGGCCGTCATTTGGCCAGAGCCTTTCTCTCAGCTACAAGGAGAATTTGGCGGCAAGCAGTAAGATGGTGATGAGGACGATGGAGATCACGAGATCGAATTTATGCGTGGACATTTACTTACTGTGACGCCATTCCCCGTCTAACTGTGTTGCAAGATTGTGAAAATGGCGGATATGTCCAGCTTGGGCCTGATCGAGTTTGTTGGAAAAGTGCTGGATGATGTGCGATGGGAGCTTGGGTGGGAAGGCGGAGGTCGCCTCCAGGGTGAGGCCTGGCTCCAAGGCCGTGGAAGTCGAACTCGTGTGCGTGGCCATGTTCGAGGGTAGGTCGTGTTGCTGTGAGGAATTGGGGCCTTGTGCACTTTTCTGAGGACGGATCTGGCAGACTAGGTCAGCTTATATGGAAATGCTGCGATGATACGGGATAGTATGCTATACTATGACGGTCCGAATCATGACGGGCCGGGGTCTTTCATCCCGACGGAGGCTCCGTTGGTGCAGCTGGATTTCCGGACTTCCGTCCGTGCAAGAACGGAGCCATTCTGACTCGGTGGTTTTGTACGTGGGCCGCCGCGTCGCGAGTTCCCCCTCTCGGATTCGGGGTTGGAGCAGAGTCCGTACCTAGGTAGGAGGCGGGCTCGACACATCGAAAAGGGCCTTTCGTCCCACAAAGATTCTGTGATCCTTGCGTTTGTTACATTTGCCTCTACTCTGACTGCGAAAGTACGGCTGCGCTGCTCCGGAGACCTGACCGGGGTGCTCCGTTAGACCCTTGCTAGCACGACATATCTATCCCGGCCTTCGACCTAAGCTCCAATACCTTAACTCACGTCATAAAGCATAATGAGACTGGTCTAGCTCGGCTTTCCCCTCTTTAGGGCTGACCGAATTGGTGTGCAAACCAGCACGCTGTCAGAAAGCCGCAGGGATGAGCCAATCCAAGCCAGGGATGACGGAAAAGAACAAGTAACGTCCCCGGCCCCGATCTGCCGCACCCCCTGGTCTGCCGCACGAGATGCTCGGTGCAAACACACCTTAAGACACCCACTATTTAAACACGCTAAATTAATTCCCTATTAATTTTAAATATACCCAAAAATGATAAAATAATATAACATTAATTTTCATTATTTATAAAATTAAAAAAAGAATTTTTAATATTAAATATTAAATTTTATTAAAATTAATAAATAAATTTTTTATATTTTATAATAATTATATTTTAATATATTTTTATATAAAATATTATAAAAATATTTAATTAATTTTTAAATTTTCTTATATAAAGTTTTCTTAGGAAATTTATTATATTAAAATATTATTATTAAATATGTAGTTATGAGCGTGCTATAGGCAGAGTTGTGAAATACAAACCAGATATAAAATACAGATACAAATACAGATACAAATACAAAAAAATACAAAATACAAATACAAATACAGATACAAATACAAGAAAAAATATAAATATAAATACAAATATAAATACAAATACAGTATTTTATATTAAATACTATATCTATATTTATATTTATATTTAAATATAATATATATATATATATATATATATATATATAAAAGAAATTTTTTTAATTCTTTTAAATTTTTAAATAAATAAATAAATTTTTAAATAAATAAAATAAAATTTAATAAATTAAAAGAAATTTTTTAATTCTTTTTTTTCTCTTTTATATATATATTATTATTTTTTATATTTATATTTATATTTTATATTTAATACGAATACAGATACAAAAAAATACAGATATAGATACAAATACAGATACAAAAAAAATACAGATACAAATACAAATACAAATACAGTATTTTATATTAGATACAGATACAGATACAAGATACATAAATACAGTCACAACTCTGGCCATAGGGGGGATAGCAGCATTGCGGCATGATGAATTCCACCCTCCCCGGGCAGATGAAAACAATAATTATGCCATAGATGGTTAGCGGGCCCACCTTTAAATCTTGGCACTTCTTAACTCCAAGATCGCTCTAAAAAATGCATCTCGCTTATTTTAAGGAATATAAAGAGTATTGGGTTGGGCCTTACGTGGTGCTCGGGCAAGGCCTATCGGCCACTTGCTACGCTTAACCCTTCACCCCAGCCGGCCCTTTCTTAATTTAATTACCAGCCTGGCAGAGCAAATTTAATTTAACTTGAGATGTCAAGTTTGTAAGGTGGAGCCACTTTTCCTTTTTCGGCACAACTATCGTTTTCGTCCGCCCGGGGGAGGGTGGAATTCGTCGTCCCGGCAGCATTGGGCACGATAGGTACTATGGGCAATTGGCGCCAGAGCCCCGGCAGGCAAGGGTCACGTGCTGCAGCACATGACCACCCCCAGATAGTCTTTAGCCAGAGGGAGGTTCTGCAGCCTACGGCCGCAACCCTCCTTCCTTCTATATAGCTGATTTGAATACAACCAGTCTGCTATCACCCACCAAAACATATGTTAACCCAGCTAATAAAATAAATTATTTTTTATATAATATTTTAATATTTAATATAATATTATATAAATAATATAAATTTAAAAATAAAATATTATATTTAATTTCCTTAATTTAATAATAATTATAAAAGAAACTTAAAATATATTAATATTATTATATAATTTATTAATATTCCTTAATACTTTTAAAGAATTAACTTTAAAATTTATTTTTTATATAATAAAGGCTTAAGTAATTTTAATTAATATTTTATTTATAAAACTCCTATAAATATATATATAAACTGTGGATTTGGCGTCTGTAAATATTAATTTGGATTTATTAGAGTGAGTTGAAAAGTGGGTGTTTGCATGGGAAAGGCGCGGCAAATCAGGGGGTGCGGCAGATCTGGGCCGGGGACGTTAAAAGCTATGCGAGTAGAACCCGGTATTGATGAGATCAGACTGCAAAGGTCCCTTGCATGTGACGCGCCACAACTGCGAGGCTCTTTATGAGAGCAACGTGACTAGATCTTGTGTAATCCTCAACCACCCGTCGCCACAAATCTTCGGTCGATTGAGCATATAGGGCTGGCTGATAGCCGAGTTGAACATCGCCAAATACATTCCAGCTTCCATGGGTTTTCGCAATCATACATCACTACTTGCTCTGAATTGACAAGCCTAGCTGCAAGATACGAATCTGAAGTTTCAAATTGCAGGCAAGCCCTTAACAGTAAGGAGTGTAGCGAGTCCACCGTTGCCTGATGATCCAGATGGCTGCAGTGCCTATGCCCAACGAAGGATTTTCGGCAAGGAGAAATCTTTGCCGGTGTCGTAGGCAGTTCGGGGTGTGGTGAAATGTCATTCTTGTAGCTGTCAATTCAGCCTCAAATTCGCTCTTCACAAATACCAACAATTTTGAAGATTACAAGTAGCTCGAGATATGTCTCGCGCACAAGGCCGCGGAATATTGGACAGTCCCGGTGGAGTGACTCAATTAAAGGTTAGGCTAATGAGGCATGGAGGCTTCGAGAGAGAGAGCCGGGCACACCTTGAGGCTGGCCAGAACCAAGCGGAAGTTGAGGAGCCACCATACTAATTTCCCTTACACTCTAGCACTGAGGCCTATAATACCTAATGCTCAGTAAATGCAATAATCCCACCAGGAGCCAATCCCACCGACTTCCGAGTTGGGCGGATTTGTGCACATGGTCAACCTTTCAACAACCCCGGTCGACGAATACTAAGCCGGTATAGTAGGCGTCCAAGCGTATTTGGGCAGCATTGCCATCCTCTCCTCGGGGCTGAGGTCGGTATCGGAATACACCATCCGCCCCTTCTCCTTCTTTGACTTCTTTTCTCCCTCGGCCGGCGGCGGCGCGGTCGGCGCGCCGTCCGTTGGTGTCTTGGCCGGCTTGATGCCAGCCTCAGCCATGCGGATGAGCTGGTCGATGTCATCGCCTTGCCTCGCGTTTGCCACAAGCTCGTCCACTGTTGATGCGCCACCAGCGGCAGGGAAGCCTGGCGCGCCAGGCTGGCCGGGATAGTAGTTCCCAGCCGGATAACCTGGCCGTTGGGGAAGGTTTGGTGCGGTCGGCAGACTCGGCGGGCGGGCGGGAAGAGAGGAAGCAGGGTACTGTTGGAAACCAGCAGCAGGAGGAGGGCCGGTCGGTGGGTAGTTTGGGAAGCCGGGTTGAGCGTAGGGTTGTGGAGGGGCGAATGGTGAGTTCTGGCACATACGTGTTAGCACACTCATGATGCTGGAGCCGCCTGCAACCTATACTTACGAAGGTGCCCGGGCTGCCATTTTGCGCGGGACTCTGTACATTCGCCGGCGCCGCATTCGCGTTGCCGTTTGTGCCTGTCGGTATTCCTGCCGCTTTCTTGGCGCGGAACTCGGCGAACCTCCTCTTCAGCTCCTCCGGGGTCTCTATCCTGATCTTCTTGGAAGGTCGCTCCTGGCCTGGAGGGGGATTTCCTGTCGCCTTGAAGCGCTCGTCCTGGGCCGCCCAGTAGTTTTGGTGAATCCTTTGTTTGTGCTGCTCCCTGACCTCCTCGGGAACACCTTCCATGCCAAAGATCTCGACGTCCAGGGCTTGACGATTAGGGAGGGCATTTTCGACGTGTGAGAGTGTCTCCTTATGGACTTGGTTCATGTGTACGGAGAGACCTATAGTTCGACAACAGTCAGGGACGAATCATACGGAAACAGGTGATGGACTGGGGTTGACCGACCTCCCGCTGTGTTCAGCCTTCGACCACAACGATCGCATTTGAAATGCTTGGCCTTCTGGTGAGAGATCAAGAGCTTCAGATCCTCGAAATCACGCTCGCCTTGGGATGGTCAGTCGTTATTTTCCTATAGAGCGCTGTCCGGTTGGGGGGGGGGGAGCACGAGCTCACAGTAGTAACACCAGGGGCGCTCGAGGAGCTCCTCGATGTTGGGGTGTGAGCGCTTCTTTTTGCCCATTTTGTCCGATGAACACAAGTGTGCAGGCTTTGCGGTGTCTAAAGGTGCTCTTATCACGGGAAATATGAATGCGCCGGTGGAATTAATGACAACAGGGGCGGTGGTCGGAGCTGGGTGATAGCTTGGGCGAGGTGGTCGTTGGACGAACGCAGCTCAAGTCGTCGAAAAGTCCAGCCTCCCACCGCGGAGAGAACGCGACAAATCTGCGCTAGGACGGATAGAGGTTAGTGCATCCCGCAAGTACCCAGGTACCGCCTGGGGTGGATACGTCACCGACAGAAGCCGTCCCCGAAAGGACCCCTGACGTTGACTGATGACCCGGAGCTCACTGTCTTGGGATGCAGCCTCATAGACCTGCACTTGATATTTTGCTGACGGTGCCCTGGACCTGACCATAATGAGAGCTCAACGACTTGACCATATCTGCTGCTTCTATATTTGAGTTATCTTTGGCATTCGGGTCCGCTGCCAATCGCATGAATCCTCTACGCAGTGAAAGGTGGGCCAAGGACCGGCCTGTCGACAGCAGTGTAGCATCATCCAGCGCAAAGAATTCCCTGTTTGGGCCACAACCCTGGCCTTGAGGCTCGATCCTCTGAGAGCTACACGGACACGAATTCAGTTGCTGATCTGGTCGAATCTCGGCTCAGCCAGAAACGAGCTAGGGTGCACATGCTATTCACAAGATCGCCACGCCACGGACAACCGCAGTTCAGAGCTCATGTCCCCTATTTGACTCGCGCCTGTCTGGTGGTATCTACTGTGCCGAGCCGCCCTTCAAATCTGCCTTGGCTTGCCACACCTCCAAGTCTAAAGCTCACCATGGGTCACATCTAACATCTATATTCCGTCTTGGTCCTGTGGTTCGGTCGATAAGCATTACTTCGTTTTGATTTATGTGATTTCAGATTCGCTCGTCTCTTGTCGTATGATCCATGGGCATACTGGGCTCTGCGCGTTTTCAAGCCCGCTGCTTGAAAATCTACTTGCGTCACTCAGTGGCAGCGACAGGGCGCTTGTCCACACAATATCCGGAGTCACTTGTTCGCAGTGACCGGACTTGAGAGGACGCTTGTTTTATACCTTCAGAAAGCGGATATTCTTTTCTGTCCGTCTCTTCACTCTCCTGCTCTCACTTGTGAGCTCATGGGAACACCTACCTCATCGATTCTGGCTCCCGCACGTTCGGCGAAACTCACGACACGTTTCCAAGCCCCAAGATGGCTTCGGACCCACCACCACCACCACCAGCTGTGACCCTCAATTCAGCACAGCTTCATGCCCTGTTCGATATCCTCACCCACGATGAGACTTATCGTGAAGCCGAGAGTTTCAAATACCCATATGCAATTAAAGACTACGGATATCCGTTCAACCACGACCCCTCGCAGCCCGCCACCACCCCAACCTACAACCCCAAGTCCGCTTCCCCCTTGCTTCAGCTTCTTCTCACCCAATGCATACTACCAGTTCCCGGGCTGGGTGATCTGCCTCCAGATTTCTGGCCCACGAAATTCCAGGGCATCTTGACCAGGCTGGCCGACGCGAACCTCTCAGAATCTTACGACAAGGGCGCACCGGGCACTAGGAAGACTCTGGCAACCCTGGCATGTGTGATTCATGAAGCCGTCACGCGAGGTCTTCTGGGGGGCGTGGCTCAGGCCAGTGAGAAGGTCGACTTGCAGAAGGCCGAGTACGACGGCACTCAGGCAACAGAACTCGAGAGGGCATGGAACGAGTGTGTCCGTGAGCTCGTCCACGGGAACCTCGCCGACGAGCTGTTCGACCACTGTGCCAAGAACGAGGACTTTGAGGCACATTCCCCAGCAGTCAAGGCAGCCGCGGATTATGCCATCCTGCATATTGCATCGCTGCTCCACCACATCCTGGTGCTTTCCGCAGAAGGGCAGTACATGGTGAAGCTGATCGAGAATGTGCACAAATTAGTGCCGTATACGATGGTTCGTCAGACGCTGAGGGTCGGGAACGCGGCGACGATGATCAATGGAATGATGCGTATCTTTCTCGCCAAAATGAGTGTCGCGGCGATGACAAACTGGATTGGATGGACGAAGGAGGCCGACGACGGCATGAATCTGCTGCAAAGGTATGCCTGTTTTTCTGACGCGAGGCTTGTCCTGGCGTAGAAAAAACAAAGTGCTGACCAAATAACTCGCAGGATAATAAACCTTGTGCTATCTTGGGACGCCAGTGACTTCCGGAAGCAGGCCGAAAAGGTCGAGTCCTCCAAGGACAAACCCAGCAAGGAACAACTAGCTGCGCTTCGTGAGCACATAACCTTGCCGCGGGAGGTTCAAGACGAAGCCCGCCGGACTAGCTTAGCAGAGCACAAGTCTATTATCGCGGTGATCCTCGACTCGACCGAACCCAACCTAACAACTTCAATGAGTGAGGCCCAGCATACGCAATGCCTGGAATGGTACTCAGCACAATTGTCAGTGCGTGACCGGGATGAACTCAGCAACGTGTTTTGTAAATCCACTCCAGACTTCTTGACGGGCGTGATGCGTGATGCCGTGTCTGCGTATGAGCCATTCATCAGGAGCCTTCACGGCAGCTTGGACCTCCGGCCTCATGTCACCGCGCTGGAGACCTTCCTGAACGACTTCATCGAGACGAGCAAGCCGAAGCAGGTGAAGAACCGCAACGGCGGCAAGTGGAAGAACCTAGGGGCCGGCAGCGGCAAGAACACCCCCGTGCAGACGCGGCCGCCCTCGGTAGAGGACTACGTGGCCCTGCTGCGGCGGAATCGGCATCTGCTTTACAAGTACCTGCACCAGTTCGCCGAGAACTGCACCGACGTCCGGGAGAAGTTCCGCGACTGGGCCAACGGGACGATACATAGGTTCAGAGATGCAAGCGGCACGGAGGCAGCGAACAAGACCGGGCCTGGCTCAGGTGCAGCCGGCGCCATGAGCGACTCGCTGCAAGCCATATTTGGCCAGCTCCCGCCAGAGACGCAGAAGTCGGTCCTGGCTGGCCTGGATTCCCACGCAGCATATCTTTCCAAGGCTTCAACCATATCCACACAGCGCATGCAACGTATACTCGATGCGCTCAATGAGGCTGAAAAGAAAAACGGCGAGAAGGAGGGCAGCAGCAAGCGCAACACCCCGCGAGGCAGCTCCGAAGGTGATGACATGTCTGGCCCGGGAGTCTATCTGATGCGGTGGGAGTCATCTCTGGACGGCACGCTCATCACGCCCGCGACCGCCCATGGGCCCGTCAGAACAGGCAGAGAAGTCAAGGGCGAGAAGGTGTCGGGCAAGACCGGTTCTGAGGGCGTCAAGGATGGTTGGGACGCCGGTGCCATAGCCAGACAGGAGGATAGCACTGTGCCCCAGGCGCCAGACGTCAGCGTCGTGATGGAGGCGCTGGGGGAGAGCTTCCGGGAGGTGGTGAGGGAGGCCGTGGGCGAGGTGGGACCGCCAACACCGCCGGAATCTGCAACCTAGTGCCGATGGGTCGGCTCCGAGGCGGGAGGGACGGAGGCGGATGTTTCTCCGCAGATTTTCTAGAGACTCTGGTTGATACAAAGAGGCTTAAAGATAATGCACGTAAATCTTCAAATAAATTCGCTATTTTTCAAAGCAGGTCGCTCATGACGCTCTAAAGCTTAAAGTCTCGCAGCAACACTAGACGCAATTAGTATAAATATGTACATTATGCATTTCTCAACAAGATGGACCCCGTATCAGCCCTTATAACCACACCTGCTTGTCCCTATTATTAAGTCCACCTTACCGATAGTCTCGATAGTGCTGAGCAGGCAACTCCACCGGCGCTTCCTGCTGTCCCAGCTCTACCAGCTCCTGCTGCTGGTTCCTCACGCCGTAGGCCCCGACGCCAGACACCTCCGAAGGCGGAGCCGGGCTGTAACCACCTGCTCCAGGGGCCACGGCGCTGTACCCGGTCTTGCTGTAGTCGTGCGGCAGTCCCGCTGCCCCCTCGCCCGGCTTCTGCCCCTGTTGCGCTTGCTTCCGCTTGCGTATGAAGAAGAACAGCCCCGCCGCGACGGCGATGACTACCAGGGGTATGATGACCGCGATGGCGACGGTCACGCCCGTGGAAAGGCCGGCGCCGCTATCGTTGTTCTCTCATTGCCGGCACTGCCCGTGTTTGTTGGGCCGGTGGATGTCGCCGTGGACGTCCCCGACGCGGCCGCGGTCGGAGCTCTGGTAGACCATCCTGACGCCGAGGGCATTAATCCCACCGGGCGAGGTCATGCTCACCGCCGTCGTTGAGGTCGTCCCGCCCTCCTCAAGTGTGATGCTCACTGTGGTGCCTGACTCGGGCGCGATCCAGGTGCAGAAGAGAGTCTCCCACACGCCACCCAAAGTGCTGGGCGTCACGCAGCCCAGGGTTATATCGCCCCGGTACGGGCAGCACGTCACCGTCGTGATGGAGCTCACGCCCGCGTTGTCGTTGCATGCTGTCACGTAGCCGGCTGGACATTGTATACCCGGGGAGAAGTAGTTTGTTGATAGCGAGGTAAAACCCTGGGGGAGGCAGGCTAGGTCCGCGTCGATGACGGCGACGCCTCCGGAACTATATACCCCGCTACATGATGCTGGCGGGGTGAAAGTTGTTGTGAGGGCGTCCAGCGGGAAGGAGGACAGTATTGGCGAAGAGTATGTTGACGTTGTTGTCGTCATGATGGGCACTATCAGTCCTGGTACAGAATACCAAGGTCTTGAGTTGGTGGCCAAGTGGTTAAAAAATGAGCCGGCGAGAGCTCAACTCGAAGGGTGATTTCGGACCCCTGGGGACGACAGCCGGGCAGATGTTTCGCAGCTCGTGGAGTCGTATATAAAAACTGGCGCTTTTCCGGTATTTCCAAGCCGTCAACGAGTGCTGGAGACTGTCAAACCTGAACGAAAGATGTCGCAACGGCCCCCGACAGGAACAAGTGAAAACAGGAGTGAAACATCAAGTGAAAGGACGAGAATCAGCTTGTCAAACAGCTCGTTCCACAAGCAAGAGAAAAAGAGTAGCCTAATCCCCAGGGGACCAGATACTCTGCAGCAGATTAGATCTCACCACAATACGCGCCCAGGGCTCCTGAGACTAACACGCAGGGTTCCGAATCCTTTGGGTATCAGAGCTCGCTCTGCAGGACCAGCACTGGCTGATGATCACTGCCTGCTTGTGGTAAATGCAAGGTAGACGATGCGAGCGGCGGCCGCTCGGAAATAAACCTTGATCGTTGCCGGCGCTGGCGATGCAGTGTCTGCGCCATCCTGCACGGTCGAGGGATGACACTCAGAGGGATAAAACCGACTTGCTCGTCTCTGTGTGACCAATCGACACAGCAGCCTGAAGCTTATGTCGCATGAAGGAAGCAGACGCTGATGGCGACTAATCTCCCAGCAACGTCGACGCTGCTCGGAATCGTCCCACCCGGGCGTTCAAGGTGCCTCTGCTGGACAGTGCGGCTGACATGCGTGCAGGCTGACATTGGTGGCCCACTTTGATCCTCGTTGTTCTGAACTCAAGGCGGTGACTGTTCATCGACTGCTCAAGGCTGGCGAGGATGAGGATGGGCACCGTCTGTCTCCAGTTCTGGCTGTCAGAACGTGAACTTCGCATCTGATGGGATCGCTCGAGGCGAGCGCGCATCTGTCGTGATGCGCGGACCTCGCTTAAGTACTTATGCAGCGGCAGTGACAATGACTGCCGACGTGTGTAACTGTAGGCAATCGATCTCGTGCAGCACACGTTGCAAGCTAGCCCTCATGGAGCATAATGGCCTGCAGCTGCCCCTGTCGGCCTGGGCAGGCAGCTGGCAGGTCGGCACCAGCCAACTGGGGCTAACAAGTCTTCCAAAGCCAGACACAGAACGCCAAAATGCGAGCCGCTCGGATTATGATTGTGATGTCTGCACTTGGCTGTTAATCATGAGGGCTGACAAAGGACCAACGACAAGACGGATAGCTGCGCCTGAGGTGTGCTGGGAAGGCGGCCATCCCCTCCGAAGGATGGAGAAGCAGCACCTGGGCAGCTGTGCAGTTGGGCAGTTGGGCAGGCCGTTGCCATTGGGTCCTGGCCAGATGAGGGTCATTCAGGCCCCAGGTATCAGGGTCAAACCCTCACCACTTCGTCAGGTTGTCAGACAAGCCAAGTTGGCTCCTGCAACAGCGTCTTTAGTAATTGGGTATTTAAATAGAATCAATTCTAAACAGGAAATTTCAGTCCGTCGACAAGTTCTTGTATGGCAGAGTCTGCATCCTTTTTCCAAGTCTGGTCAAGTGGTCACCTCGCTATGCGTGGACAGGAGGCTTGCTTCCTATGGATTGTTACATTCGCTACGGCTCATCCTTGCAAGTATCAAGCAATTTCTCTTCTTTCGGAGCACTAATTGCTGCCACGAAAGACACAGCCATACCCCAATTGTGTGTGTATGGGGGGGGGGTTGCTTCTAGGAGATCTTTATTGGAGCAATAATGAAAGAAAACTGCCCGTGTCAGTCGGTGGGGTCAGCTGGTTTTCGAGAATCTGGCAATTCACTCCGGCGTGTCACAAGGACTGTTGTATATCGCATTTGGAAAAAGCACATGTAGTCTAAACCATACGAGAAGCTTCTACGTAGGTAAAGATACTCGGGGCAGCGAGGAAACTAACAAGAACGCATCGAACAAGAAACATTCCAACATCCCACCTTTGAGATAGTCTATTTCTATGCTTATATCTCAGTAAAATTCTCCGAGTCCACCCAAAGACCTTAGCTCCGGGTCTCCTGTCTGGCGTTAGGGACTTGAGATCAGCAGTGTTACGCTACGTACTGACATACCAGGTTTGCCCCGCCACCCATGGAACCCAGCGGCGGAGTACGTCGTTGTCAACAGAAAAGCCATGGTTGTTTCAAAGCAAGGCGAGCCAATTATGTCGGGGACGCCAGCGTGCAAGCGTCCTTACCAAGACCTCTACTCCTCCTGCCAAGTCCACCACAACGTCTTTCAGATTGCCTTTCTGGGAGAAATGTCCTCGAACAGGTAGCAAAGGAGCCTCCATTCCGACAACCACCTTCCATACCTGCTTTGTTCAATCTTAACTGTCCCCACTAAGACGACGATGTCACTGATGCTCAATGCCAGATCCAGAATTGTTTCCAAGATCTCCTACATACGGGACCCTGAGCCGGAACAATTCAAAAGGATACTACTGTATAGTCGTAGAGGGATGATTCTCATTCGATGACTGGTGGAAACGTGCAGCGTTGACAACCAAAATGATTAGAATCCATCTAACCGCGTATTCCGACAGGCCAAATCTTATACAGGCCGTCTTGGGAGCGCCGAGTTCATGGATTGGCAAGGAAGAGCCCCTGACCCTCACATCTTCTTGTCCGTTTCTATAAAGAAGACAGTTCCGCTATTCTCGGCGACTGTGATAATTGTCTGTACCGGCTAGGATCTCCACTTCGTGACCATCTAATTAACCTTAGCAATTCGCCACGATGCGGTTTTCTCCTTTCGTTTCGTCCACAGTTCTCGCTGCTGGCTACGCCAGTGCCCACAACAGCAGCCTGTCCGACTCCGATGCCGCCATCTGGGACAACGTCAATGACCTCCATGTCCGGTCCGAGATGCAGGAGCGTCTTGCCAAGCGCCAAACCACATGGAACCCACCGTCTAACCTCGTCACGCCCCTGAAGCAGGTGCGGGATCATGAGATGTCTACCTACAGTAACCCTCTTGGATTCAAGAACTACGGATACGATCAACTGATTGCCAATAAAGGGTAAGCGAATGACATGTTGTCTACCAAGACCACTGTTGACTCCTTTGCAGACAAGTCAACTACTGCGTCCGCTGGGAGTCCGGCACCGCAGTGACAGAAGCTCAGCGCAACCAGATCGCCACCGTCCTCCAGGCTCAGCACGACAAGTGGATGAAGTGGCTGATCGGCTTCGACAAGTTCCCCTACAGCAGCGTTCCCGTCAAGGTTGTGGGCTGGGCGGTCCGCGATAAGAACCTCCTCCAGGGCTCGACGTCAGGCATCGACGTCTACACCAACCAGGACAGCGGAGGCATCCCGGAGTGCGACCCCGCGTGCGGCCGCTTCTTCCACCAGGACAACAATTACGGATCCTGCCCCGGCGGCGCTGCCCGCCACTACGACGTCTCGCTCTGGCTCACTGATGGTTTCTCGGGTGGTGCTGGTGGTGACTGGGGCCAGCGCATTGGCCGCGAGTATTTCATGGGTGCCCTTGGGACGGCTAATATCCACATTCTCTTGCACGAGATGGTAATGCCCTTCTGTCTACTGTTCCTGTTTTCGGGTACGTGCCGTTCGCTAACTATTTCGTAGGGCCACACCTATGCTCTTGATGACTGTAAGTTCCCTCGCTGAATACAACGTTCTTCCTGTCTCTGTTTCCTGTTACTGTTTTCCCCTGCCATTCATGCGTGAGAAAGTTACTAATCTTTGTGTTCTTTTTCCTAACATTTATAGTCTATGGTAAGCAACCCCTTGGTCTTTTCGTTTGACAGACCATATACTAACGCTGATGCATAGACTGGACACCAACTGGAGTTACCAACTTCATCATGCTTGCTGGATCTGCTACCCAAATCACTGATTTCGATGGCTGGATGATGCGGGATTGGTGGCGTAACTTGAAGAGCCGCTATGGTTTCTAATTTCGCGGTCGGCTTAGCCACGTGTCTCTGCATGAGAAAAAGGTGGAGGTCAGCGTTGTACATACATTAGCTACTGGCAGCAGCAAATACTTCGATGGACTTATATGTCTCATGCGTACCCCGTTGTTGATCGCTTGTGCCCAACATCAAGACCATCCGCAAGTCGGCACTGCTGGGGTTGAGACCAAGCCTAGTGTCCCAGCAGGCGCTGAACGTTTGAAGCCAACAAAAGTTCATGAGCCGTCAATGGATTTCTGTGAGAGACTACTGTAAAAGCAATAATCCCGTTCAACCGTCTACTTAGAGAATACGATGTAGTATGAGCGCGACTGTGACATAAAGAGACTGTTGACGTTCTCAAACTCGCTGTTCTTTGTCGGCCAAAACTCTATACATGTAATATATTTCTGCGCACTCGGCACTTGCATTTATTTGCAATGCTTGCAAGGCTTATTTCTGCGTGGGGTGAGTAGCTCTAGAGGGTCTTGAGGATGATAGACATGACGTTACCCAGTCGACATTCCGGTCCAGTCTGGTAAAACACCCATCATATCCAATCACCAGATTTTGCAGATTGTCGACAAATAGGCTACCCCTGCATGCAATCTCTACTAGTAGCTAGACATCCTGCGATGTACTGGAAGTAAGGACAATACCAACATCTTGGTATTCGGAGGCGAATCTGCTCGGTACCGTTCTAGCAACTGCCCGCGGTGCCTGGGCACATGTGCATGCAGGCATGCCGTGCATCCCTTTTACGTGTGGCCTCTTCCAGCGTGGTTGGCCAATTAAGCGAGCTGCACGGACCCGGGGCTAGTGTTGTTGGTGGGGAAACGGTGACCCACTCGGGACGTGGATTCCAAAATATTGACGGGGCCAACTGGCAGTGGGCAGGCACGGCCCCTTGAAAAGGTAAAGGGACCTACCTGCATGTAGTCCACAGCACTCCGTGGAAGCTTGAGCTCGACAAAAGTCAAGCCTCCGACAGCTTATACGCCGACCTCGACGTCACTAACCCCAGATCAACTGTTCTTGCCGGCAGCTTGCCCACACGGTCGCTGTCAACAACAACAACGCTCCAGCCCAGCTGTTTTCCTCTTTTCCATCAGCTTCGTGTACCGAAACATTTGTTTGTTCATACTAAGAACTAGCCTCGCCTTGCATTGCACTGGCCCAACAGGCACAGGACTCTCCTATCTTTTGTCCCTTTTCTCGCGTCCGCGCCGTGGCTTTTCCGGCCCCTCAGCTACACTCTTTCTCGTCTCGTGGTCGATCCCACCCCATCCCATCCCATCCATTCTTCAAATCCAGATCGAGTCGAGTCGAACCGAAGCAAGCCCCGAGTGCGGAACGAGGCAGCATTCCAGCCGTCCATGAAACATTCATCCAATCGACATGTCTGCAATTGATCCGGGAGCATCTTCAATCACCGTCGCAGGTCCGTATCCAGCTGCAGCAGTTGCCATTTCCACTCTATCGCTGCGGCCGCTGACCTTTTGCACGCAGTTCGAGTGCGTCCCTTCACTATCAGGGAAGCCGCCCAAGTGTAGGTCCCGTCCCCTCGAGCAATAAGCTGCTGTCGTCCGCCGTGCATGCTCCCACTGACCCCTTGAAGAGTAAGGAATGACGATGGCACACTCTTCCTGGGCGACGGCTCACTGGCCGCGGCGCCAACACCCAAGCTGCATCAGAGAGGCATTCGAAACATTGTCAAAGTAGTTGACCACCGGTGCCTGTAAGTCTCTCCCCAACCCGGTAATCCTCACCGCTTCCTTGTCTTCTTTGGCTCACCATTGGACTTGACAGCGTATTCGATCCCCCCGAAGACAATCCTATGCAGAAATTTTCGAGATCCGTCGTGCCTGGTTCCGGAAAGAAAGTCAAGGACCAAGTCTTTGCCTTCGATCGAATCTTTGACGACAATGTCACCCAAGCCGAAGTCTACGAAGCAACCACAAAGACTCTGCTGGACAGCGTCTTGGACGGATACAACGCCACGGTGTTTGCATACGGCGCGACAGGGTGCGGGAAAACACACACAATTACCGGGACCGCTGCCCAGCCCGGCATCATTTTCATGACCATGCAGGAACTGTTCGAGAAAATTGCCGATCGGGACGAGGAAAAGAACACCGAGATAACTCTGTCTTACCTTGAGATCTACAACGAGACAATCCGCGACTTATTGGTCCCCGGCGGCAGCAAGCAGGGACTGATGCTCCGAGAGGACTCGAATCAGGCGGTCACGGTGGCTGGGCTGACAACGCACCGTCCCAAGGACGTGCAGGAAGTCATGGACATGATCGTGCAAGGCAATGAATACCGGACAGTATCTCCGACAGCAGCCAACGAGACCTCGTCGCGTTCTCATGCAGTCTTGCAGATCAATGTGGCACAAAAGGACCGCAATGCCGCTGTCAACGAGCCGCATACGATGGCAACGCTGAGCATAATCGACCTTGCCGGAAGTGAACGGGCCAGTGCCACAAAGAACAGGGGAGAAAGGTTGCTGGAAGGGGCCAACATCAACAAGTCCTTGCTGGCTCTGGGTAGCTGCATCAATGCCCTGTGCGATCCCAAGAAGAAGAATCACGTTCCCTACCGCAATAGCAAGCTCACCAGGCTGCTCAAGTTCTCGCTCGGAGGCAACTGCAAGACGGTCATGATTGTGTGCGTCAGTCCCTCGAGTGAGCACTTCGATGAGACCCAGAACACCCTTCGTTACGCCAATCGCGCCAAAAACATCCAGACTAAGGTCACCCGAAACGTTTTCAATGTTAATCGCCACGTCAAGGATTTCCTTGTCAAGATTGATGAGCAAATGGAGCAGATCAAGCAACTGCAGGCGGAAGAAGACCGCAGAGGCCACTTTCTTCGCCAAATTCAAAAAGAATCTTGAGAAGAGGCAACAGGTGTACCGCGAGGGCGTCCAGCGCATCCGGACGGCGTATGAGAACTCGTCAGCCGAGAGACAAGAGAAGATCAACACCATGAAGCGTCTGAAGCTCTTCGAGCGACGAATCGGCATGCTCTCCGCTTGGATCGCTGCTTTCGACACCATTTGTGACAAGCGAGAAGACGAGGGCATGCCACCGAACTTGGAGGCGATGCGCAAGACCGCACAGGGCATCTTGGCTGAGCTGGAGTCAAGTCGGCAGCATCTCCATCAAAAGCTGGAACGCTCGAATTGGGAACGAGCTATCGACTCTGCCTTGCAGCACAGCATTGTCCAGCTTCCATCAGGTGATGGCATTGCGGACTGTGGTGAGGCAGCCAGCCTGGCCCGTGAAGCCGACCTCCTGAAGGCACAGCTTACGCGAGAGGCAAATCAGCAAGTATTGGAGCAGGAGAAAGGCGCCGATGCTGCAACTATCCAATCGCTTCTCACGGCTCAATTCGAGATGCTGTCTTCCATGACGGACCTCGTGGCCATGGAAGAGGAAGATGCTGTCGCGCACGCGAAGGAAATCATCAAAGGTCTGCTCGAGACGGGGTACTCCGTGGCGTCTCACGTCATCAAGCCTGACGGCTCTGTGATGCCCGCTGAGATGTTCCCACCTTCCAAGCGAGGAACGCCCAAGAGAAAGAAAGGCTCCAGCATCCATATCAAGCCGATTCCCGCACCGGCACTGGCTGCTGCGCCGCCCACGCCCGTCCGCGAGCATGGTTCCCCGTTGAAGTCCCCCAGGCGCCGGAAGGCAGTGAACGCAAAGAAAGGAGTTTCCTTTACCCCCGTGAAAAAGAAGTCGACCCCAAAGCGTGTCCTGCGCTGGCGAGATGAAGAGACTTCTGGCACCCTTGCGGACTATGATAAGACGCCCAAGAAATTCGAACCCAGTCCCATCTCAGAACCCCGGGAGGCTTCTCCGGATGTAGCTGTGCCCCCACGGCCAGCAGTGCCGCCATACCTGAATGGCGCAGGTGACTCTGGATCGGACTCGAGCCCTTCACTGGTGGTGCCAAAAACCGCCAGCCTTCCCTTGGCTAAACCCAGCAGGTTCCAGGCAGGCTTCTTGGCCAAATCCCAACCCTCTCAGGACGATGGGTCACCGCTCTCGGCACCTCCCTCAATGCGACTGAATTTAGCCGGTGCGTCAGACAGGATTTCTCCATTACGAGCCCTTGATGTGGACAGAACGGGTAACCACCTTTCTTCTCCACGATCTACTGGATCCTTGCGGTCGAGCCCAAAGCCACCCAGACTTACACCGTTGGATGAAAATAGCCCTCCCGCTGCGAATTTCGCCAACACCTCCTTCTCGCCTGCCGCTTCGAACAGTGACGCCGAGCCGACCACGAAAACGATCGATCCGACAAAGCTCCGATCCGCTCTTCACCTCGCCAAGAGAAGAGACCGCCTATCCTCGATGGGGGGCACTGCGAGCGCCAACGCGAAGCGTGTCTCTAGCGTCGGCTCCTCAGGTAGCGGCATCGAAAGCAGGCGACGGTCTATTCATCGGGTCTCCTCCTCGTACTCCGGACCGCTTGCCTCGTCAACAAATGGGATCTCCCGAGACCGAAGACGACGAAGCGGATCTGGAGAGGGATTCGGAGCAGGTACCGCAGCCTCCGAGCGTCGAAGAAGTCCTCCACTCAGCTGCGGCACCTCGCCTCCCGGCGGTGGAGGAGCCGCTCGCGCCTTCACCGCTGGCCAGGCCAGACGAATGAACATGGGAGGCAGCATGAGGCTCGAAGGGATGGTCAGCCCCAGAGGGGTTGCGGCCAAGTCGTCAGCAGCAGCGCAGGGCAGGCTCGATAGTAAGGCTAGGAGAATCACCATCGGCGGCGCTGCTGGCCTCCCAGGCGGGGCCGGGCCATCGAAGCGGCCGAGTGTGGTGTGGCGATAGGATCATCAGCACCGGAGAGCCTACCCCTCTCTTTCGCCAAAGAGGCGGTCGCCAGGGAGACTGTCACCGTTGCGAAAGTCTCTTGGTGGTGGTGACGACGTGGTTGTGTCTCCATCTGAGGATTGATTTGGCTAGTTGAACGTGGGTGTGGGATAACAAGGCTAAGCCGTGATTCGTCAGGCCATGATTGTTATCGGCCGAGACTGCTTTTCTGCATCTTGCCATCAACCCTTGTGTGGTGGTGGGTGGTTCTGGATTGTATGGCGTTGTTGGTCTGCTTTTGGTCAGCGACTACTGGCAGGCATCTCCAATTGGTGAAGTCCAGGCTGCAATTGTATCTATACTTGATGTTGGTTTACATGCTGGGCTCGCTCGCACACCCTGGAAGGCTAGAGCAGCACTTCTTCAACTGGAGCAGGGTTGTATTAGGCATGTACACATATGATTAGGATGAGGAGATTGCATAATCATGAGTGTTCCCAATCTTCAGGTCGTCGGTCTCGACGAGCTTGGTCGTGATGGTGCTCCTGAAGAGCCATGGGAAGGAGTCGATGTGGATGGCCGAGAGGTGAATCTTTCCATTGTGTCCTGACTGCACCAGCCCGCTACCGGGCAGCTCCGACATGGCACCGGCCAAGCACGGAACCAGCTGTAGTTTACGGCTCCGTGTGGCACAGACCGTTACGGCGATCCTTCAAACCGCAGCGTTTGCTTGGAAACCAGGAGATGGGGCAAGCGAGGACCTGTGCTGTGCAGGTAGGTAAGCCACGCAGCGGTATCAACTCACATCAATTCATCTATGCCTGGCCTTTCCATTCTCTCCTGATGACGACGTTTCTCCGGGTCTCTCCTGTCACATCGAACACCGCACCCACACCGGGCAGCGACATCGCATCGCTCGAGGCATTCCTCGTCATCTCGATGCGCTCGAAACAACAACAACGACGCCCTTGACCAATACCCACGTAAACCTAAGATCATCATGCGACAATGTGCTCAAATTTCAATCCCGGCTGTCCCCGCCCTATTCGGGGGTCTGGGAGAGGGCATTGTGCAATCGGTGGTCGCGCCGAGACGCGGCGATACTGGAGCTGAGCACGCCATCGGCAGTTCGGATCTCGTCAATGGACCAGCGATACCCAGAGCAGCAGCCCGGCGCAGCAGAGTTGCAGAGACGAGCCGAAAACTCACAGTGGACAAGACCTGTCACGTCATTGACCACTGCGACATGCTAAGAGGACCGTTGAGCGTGGGAGACCCCGCACTGGCGAGGTCGCCGCCAGTATAAGAGCCGTTGGGGCGCCCACCCCGTGTCCTACGCTCTTGTGGAGGTGGACGTGTAGAAGAGCCTCAAGCCTCCATTGACTGTGGGGGAAAAAAGCAAGTACCGTAGCACCTCAATTCGGACCAGGGACTACACTCCACTAGTCTTTCAACATGGCACCAGGAGCACTCATTGATGAGCCGGTCAACACCGCCGCCATCCGCTCCAAGAACTCCGATGCCCCAAGAGACATCTTCCCAGACGGCATCAGGACGTCAGGCCAGCATCCTCCTATCTATGATCAGCTGAAGCCATACTCCGAGTTCCCCAAGGAGATCACCGGCCCGACGCTATGGCGGAAGGAGGACTACGTCAACAACCCAGAGAAATGGATCCACCCCTTCACGGACGAGGAGGTTCAGGAGCTGAGTGACACCGCCGACCGGTTTATCGAGGCCGGTATTCCCCTGACTGGCATCACTAAAGTAGGCCTTCATCAGCTCCCTCAATGCAATTCAGCAGACCCAGCGCAGCAAAACCAGCACCCGTATGAGCTAACCAAACGGCATAGGAGAACTTCCCGCTGCCCAAGCTAGGCAAGGTCCTCCAGGCCCTGCGGGACGACCTCCTCAACGGCAAGGGCTTCATCCTCTTCAAGCGCTTCCCGGCCGGCGAGTGGGGCCCGCACAAGAACGCGGTGGCGTACATGGGGCTGGGCACGTACATCGGGTACTTCATCTCGCAGAACGGGCGGGGCCACGTGCTGGGCCACGTCAAGGACGTGGGCGACGACCCGACGCAGATCGACCGGGTGCGCATCTACCGGACGACGGCGCGGCAGTTCTTCCACGCGGACCCGGGCGACATCGTGGGGCTGCTGTGCGTGCACCGCGCGCAGGAGGGCGGCGAGAGCGACATCGTCTCCATCCACAACGTCTGGAACACGCTGCAGGCCGAGCACCCGGACGTCGCCGAGCTGCTGGCCCAGCCCGTGTGGTACTTTGACCGCAAGGGCGAGGTCAGCGAGGGCGAGGAGGAGTGGATCCGCACGTCCGTCTTCTACCTCGAGCCCCGCGGCAAGGGCCGCGTCTACTGCAAGTGGGACCCCTACTTCGTCAAGAGCCTGACGCGCTTCTCCGACAAGGGTGTCATCCCGCCCCTGAGCGAGGCCCAGTGGAGGGCCCTGACCATCCTCGAGGAGACGTGCCAGCGGCTGGCGCTGCACATGGTCCTCGAGGTCGGCGACATCCAGTTCGTCAGCGACGCGCACCTGCTGCACGCCCGGACGGCTTACACAGGTACGTGAAGGACGGACACTCGCATGTTCTTGCAAGACAGAATCTGGGTCTTTACTGACAGTGCGAATTCACAGACTTCCCCCCACCACACCCTCGCCGTCACCTACTGCGGCTGTGGCTTGCCACGCCAGAGTCCGAGGGAGGATGGGCGCTGCCTTTCCACGACAGTGATGAGAAGAAGCGCGGTGGCATCCAGGTCAACAACAAGCCTCCGATATGCCCTCTAGACGCCGAGTAGGCGAACATGAGCGAGTGAAATTTTGTAAAAAGTGGCTGGTTTATATAAAAGCATGAATAAAAAATACACCAGGTTCGAACAAGTTGTAGGGTATCTTAACTTCTCATCGACAAACTGCAACCACATCAACTACTAAGCAAAAGCTCATTTATTAAACTGCCCTTGCCATATCAGATCAACCGTTTGCCCTCTGGTGCGTGATCTCGTTTCATCAGCGTACTGTTAGGGACAACAGTGCTACGAGCAACCTGTGTCCCTGAGAAGACTCCCTCCAACTTGGGCAGCGTAAAATGAGATGCCTGTGATGGAAAATAAAACTATATCCGCATACCGGGTATGTGAGCTGGCCAGTGACGCTTTCCACAACCAAATGGCACTGCAACTTTACTTCCTACCCATGGTTGCTGAGGTCAGGGGCGCGTGCCGCGAAGATTGGCGTCAAGCTGACCCCCCCCCCCCCAATAGGCTACCATAGTCCACGAAAAGATGAGCATACAGCAGGTCGTGAGACCAATGCCGCAGAAGAACCCAATAACCGTGCCATCTGCAAAACCATCATCCAGTTCCTGGGCTCGTGCGCCGGTATCTCCAGGTCGTGTTGTCCTCCGCGCAGGCCGCCAGGCCGTCTGCGTCAGATCTTGGGCGCGCAGCGGCGGCTCGGGCTGACGGACTGCCTCCATGAGCGGCATGCTGGCAGGCGCCCCTGTCTCCACCAGAGGGTGGCTGTGGTCGGCGGCGACGTGCTCTGGTGCTCGGGGTATCTTGGCTGCCTTTTTGCCGGCTTTCTTCTTGGGTGCAGGACTGGCAGGGGCAGCAGTCTCGCGCTCTGCTCCCAGAACATAAGAGGCGGTCGATGTGGATGTCAACGGGCTGTGGGACCTGTAGTCTTGGGCGGTCCCTACGCGGGTTTCTTGCGTCTGGGGAGCCGTGGAAGCCGCCACGGATTCCTTCATGGTGTCCAGCTCGGCCGGCCTTCGAATGGTCTCGACGAATTCTGTAGCTTCGTACTGGCTCCTGGAGTTCTCGCCCGCTACCTCCTTCGTGGCCTCTGAATTGGCAGGGACGCGAGTAGACTCTGTCGGCCCGTGCCTGTGCGCATAATCATCCGTCACTTGGGGATCCTGGTTCTCTATTGTGGGCAAGAACGTCGCAGAAGTTTCGACGCCAGAAGCTTGGCTGTGATCCTCGATGTCCTGGCATCATTGTTAGACCTTGCGGAATGCCGATAGTAACAAGTTGTGCGCACCTCTGAGTCTGCGATTACTGCGGCTCTCTGGATGGTGGATTCAGCGGAAGGGCTCCACCTTGTCCGGTCTGAGCTGCTGGAAGGAGTGAAGATCCGTTGGATTCGTTCGGTCGGTTCGTCGTCCCAGTTGACTACATCGTCGACTGCCATTAAATTTCGATCAAAATCGTCCAATAAGCGCTGGACTTGTGCTTGCAGAGCGTCATCATCGCCAACACTAAATTACAGACTTGTCAGCGATGGAGAATGCGCATGGACATCCGGAAAGGGGGGTGGGGTGGAGAGACTCACAGCGGAATGACATCTTCGTCTTTCATATCCAGGATTATACTTGTCAGCACCTCTGCCAGCTCTGGCTCGAGGGTTGAGATTCGTTGGAAAAGAATCTCGCCTAGTTCATCTCTACTAGTAATAGTAAACATGGTTGGAAGTCTCTGTCGAAGTAGGAAGATCAAGTTGCGTGGGTATCTGGAACAGTGTTATGTTGTTTGCGTGTTTGTGATACGGTGTTGTGTAGGTTTGGGGGAGTCGGACAGATTTGGATCGAGCAGCTTGCAAACTGAGAGGAAAGAATAATGGGCTGGCTCTAGTGAATCAGACATCTTATGAACGACTCTCCATTTAGCGATTTTGAGAAATTACCCGATTTACAGATCTCAGGGTTGAGACAGATGCTGAGTGAGATTATTACACTCACTACAACAAAACGGCGTGGCGTGGCCCGACGCCGCTGGGTCATTTGCTTTCTGTGCATACAGTTTTGACCTCAATAATCAACCAAGCTTGGTCCTTGGTGTTGCCATCAAGGGCACCTGATAGACGTCACTTGACCTGGCTTTTGATCTTTTTGAGATCGCGTCTGCTCTACGGCAACGCTAGCACTTTTGAGACGGTTTATAGTCATGAGTAATTTTACATCCACGGTTCACTATTACCGGTGATATTTTCATAATTATTTGATCTGCAAGGAATTTGGAAAGGGGCCTTTTTCCAAGGCCTCAACTAATATAACTACAATCCTATTGCCACTTCCGAGACAAGACAAATCAATCACCGCTTTTGTGCTGCGGATAGATTGCAAGGCCTGTGTGAATGATTTTCAAAATCTGGCGCAGAATTCCGGCATATTCACGACTAAACTTCGGAGATGCAACTGGCAAGGATTTGTACTTAATTTGCTGTGACTTTCATTGTAGCGGAAAGAGAAAATGATATACAACCACACATCCGGTGATGTTATTCCGGATCTTGCTTTAATGTAGCCCGCAGTCTTTCCAAAATCCAAGGTCCCGCCTGGATTTCCTCGGCCTCGGATGAGCCAGACTCCGAGGCGGAAGTTGGCAGCGTCGACACCTTCTGGTCGTAATTCACCGAGAAGAAGAACGGCACGCTGTATCTCTCCTTCTCAGGGCTCCTGTTCACAACCCGATGGACAGTACTCCTGAACTGCCCGTTCGTCCACCTCATGAAAAAATCTGCAATGTTTACTGTCAGGCTATTCGGCGGTGCAGGTGCTGAGATCCACTTGGGCCGACCAGAAGCTGCGTCTGGTGTTGGCGAAAGGACCTCCAGCCCTGGATTCGAGTCGGACAGGAGCAATGTGAAGCACTCGTAATCTGTGTGCGCGCCTAGACCGATCTCGTCTGCCTCCTTGGCCAAGTCGGTTGAGGATCTGGGCTTCTGCGGAGGATAGTACAAGAGCCGGGCGATGGTTCCCGGATGCGTTGTCATTCCATCGAAGTACGACTCTTCTAGCTCCATTGCTAGAGCGAACAGCCTCAGGAGGTGCCGTGCGAGCGTCAGGACCTAGCTTCTCGTGTCAGCGCAATGCTATAGACCGTCGCGTCGCTGGGCACTACCTACTTCACCGTGGTATTCCCTGATCTTCTCGAAGAATCCTGGAAGATCTTTCTCACTGGGCCAGACGTTTGCCCCATTTGGGTATGATACCAGATCTAACTCCACATACTTGCCGTCGCCACCTGTGGGGTCGAGTTTAGGCTCGTAGCCCCAGTTGAAAGCCTCCTTGGTCTCCTTGCTCGTGGTCTTCCAGTCGTCGGGGTTGACGTTGGAAACATCGCTAGGCTCCCAGCCGCGGAAAAGACCTGAGTTGTTGATATGCAGTTCCTTCTTCTTGGCCTGGGGCAACTCGTGGAAGAAGCGCCTGGCTTGTTCCAGGATACCGGCCTGGGCCTGCTGGCTGACCCCGTGGTTTGTGATCTGGAAGAACCCTATCTCACGGCATGCTTTCCCGATCTGTGCTGCGACAGATCGCCTAGCTGATTCGTCGCCGTTGAGAGAAGGGCCTATGTCGATCAGAGGGATCGACTCTCCACCACTGGAATACACGGCCTCATTGATCCGGCTCATCAACGCCGCCTGATTCTGTTTGATCTCTCGAAGTGTGACATCGCTGGGCGGTCTTGCGACTGTGGCCATGATCCCTTCTACAAATGAATGACGAAGTCGGTAGACGTTAGCTACCGCAGTCTCGTCGGACGGTGATGTGTCAAGCTCGTGGCATGATGAGCTAGGCAAACATGAGCGGGCCGGAGGAGATAAGCAAAGGTGGGGTTGATTTGGCCCATGAAGCTGATAGACGTCACCCAAAATCTGTGCTCGTTATCTAGCCTTTCGACGTTGAAATTTTATTATTATTTTTGCAAATTGATTTGCCTCATCAAGCGAAGAAAGCCTTTCCGGCAAAACCTGGCCAGATTTAAGGCAGTCGGAGTATCCACTTGGAGTGAAGCATGGTTTGGATCTGTACGAACGCCTCAACTCAAAGGCCTACACAGTATTCGGACGCACTCTTCAGAGCTTATGCCTAGAACAATTCTGCCTGTTTGGGCCACGTTTGCAATGAGCCTTTTAAAATCCTTGAAACAAAATGATGGACTCGAGGAGTGTGGTAGGAATGAGTATTTAGAAGATCTCACATCAATTCCGGAGTCGTTGATAACTTCGATTCAGGGTCTGGACTGAATTTAACGGGCACAATTTGATAGCCTGCTTTACGACTCACTGGGTCAAGTTTACACTCGCTGGCGGTGGGACTCTCAGTTTGTATTGATGATGCAAAGAAGCAAGCTCCGTGCTGCATCACCACGGAACTGTACTGTAGATCTCGAGGATGCCAGCTGGCGGGCAGGACACCCAGGTCCGCATTAATTTGTTTCCGAGCAATTGTTTGCCGCTGATGCTACGCTACTGAAGCTACAGAAGATCTCAGCAGTACTTGCTTCCGCAGTGCTTAATATTGTCGTTAGTATTGTTCCATAGCAGAACAAGGAGCGGTCTATGGCATGATGACACGTGGAACGACTGACAAAAGCGATATCGTGGGAAACTCTTCACGAACGTCATATGGTACCGCCCCCAGACACAACGAGACCTTGCTAGAATATCTCTTTCCATTGAATGGGTACATTTCTAGAAGTAGGGAGAGCGGGACGAGCGCAAAGAATTTCTGAAACTACCTCCAGATTATATGGCCGTGGCAATGCCTGAATCTTTGAGGAGCTGCCCGAAACGTCGTTACAATACTAAGACACAATACCAGTGCAAATCGGGGTACCGATGCGAAGACAATGCTTAGACTTGGCACACCAGGCGTCATAGTCTTCTTGAAGGCGACAGTGATCGCCCTCGGTCGTTCCAAGCAGATCTCTCGACTATAGATACCCCCGCGAGTCCTTGCTCCATCAACAGTTCCTTCCTGTTGGCCACCACAACACACACAATTCACTTCACTTCATCATCAATCGTTAAGATAAACCCACAAAAGTCATCACAGACTTACAACTCTCACTCAAAATGGACTCCAAGAACTTTCAGACCCCACCTGGCTCGCTGGGTGCCAAGACCGTGGGTGTTCCCATCTACTGCGTCGTCATGTAAGACACATGCAGTGCACCATCCGCCGGCTTTGGAGGGAGCAAGCCCTCCGCACGTCAAACACCTTCACTCTGAGGATCACATTGGGATTTCGGGCAGAGCAGCTAGACAGTTCTCAATCAAAAAGCTGCGGCGATACATCAAATCACCCAGTCCACTGGGTTACCCGGAGTCACCAAAACATGGCATGGCAACCTCCACATCGACAACAAGGCCTGGCGCACCTGAGCAAAGCCGTTGATACCTGAAGCTTGCTTCAACGGGCCACCAACCTCAACATGTCGTCTATCACTTCCGACATCTGACTTTTTTGACACCTGCTTTCGTTAATATTCGAGATATCCTCCTCCCTTTCGCGCCAAACTCCCAACTCGGCCATTTCACTTCAGACGGACGTTCTGCATTTATCCGAGACGACGAGTGGATGGGCGGCGCGGTTGCTTGGAACATTCAACTCCTGGAACACAGGGTGGCATATCCTTCTTGGATGTCACTCACAGGATCAGGGGTGTAATAGGCTTTTTAGTCATTTACATATTGACTTCTACCAATAAAAAGGCATGTTGTGGATGGAACACTGCTTCATATTCACTGTGATCATGTTATTTGCCAATTCCTTAAAAGTTCTGCTGCATCTCAAGGTTCTGATCCGCTCTTCGAGAGTTGTATTGTGCTGTTGGGATACTTTCCCTCTTTTGATCCCCAGGATAGCCACGTCCCAGAATTATGTGCATCTGTCACGAAGCTGCCCACCCGAGCGATAATAATAACTATCATGCCGTACGTGCCATCGAGAGATTCTCCAGTTAGGGCTTCAATCGACGATTCAATTACTGAAGGCTAGCCCAATGATACTTGCCATACATGACTATAGTAATGAAGCCAACGTAGGGAGAGTTCCAGATGCTTCTAAAGCATGATGATAGGCGTCCGATGAAGTGCAAAGTACATACAGCAGGAGGATGGTCACGCACTTATTTGTATTCCTAGCCTAGTGACCATTGATATACTGGCGCTGTGAAATCTCAGCATGCCACCGTCCAAGGCGTTGTCATTGCTACCTTTACACTGGGAGCTATGGTCGGCTGCCTCTCATGCTCTTATACCGCTGACAAGTTTGGACGAAGACTGGTCATCTTCGCAGCGGCATTGTTGTCACTGATCGGAATGGTTCTCGAGTGTTCTTCTTTCCAGCTTGCCCAGCTCGTTGTCGGAAGAACTATCCTCGGTGCCGGAGTTGGTATGCTCAGTGGAACTGTTCCAACACGGTATGGCTTCTCATGTCCTCGCTCATATGTTTCCACCGAATACTATAAGAGTCCTCGACTGACAACGACTCTTCTTCCACAGGCAGAGCGAGTGTTGCGACCCCAAGCACCGCGGCCGCCACGTCGTCTTGGATGGCCTTTTCATCAGCCTGGGATACATGCTATAGGCCTGGATCAATCTCGGCTTCTACCAATTCAAGACCGGTCCTGTCACATGGCGCCCAGCGGTCGCCATCCCCATCTTCTTCGCCCTCACTCTCCTCGGCAGCATCTTTCTCATGCCCGAGTCCCCACGCTGGCTTGTTCGGCAGGGCAAACACAAGGAGGCCGAGGACACAATCGCAGCGCTCAAGGGTGCTGACAACGCTGCCAACGAGCGTGCTTTTTGTGTTCTTGTTTAATTTCTTCATTCCGATTGGGTTCCTTGGCGCGAATTTCTTGTACTGCACTGAGATCGCGCCGCTGGGGCTGAGGGTGGCTATGTCGAGCATCTCGACTGCTAATCATTGGTTGTGGTAAGTCTCACAGTCTTTCAGATGCTACTAGTAGAGGTGACTTCAGGAAGGCTCACGACTTTATAGGAACTTTGTCGTCACTATGATCACGCCAGTTGCCATCAGCACGATCGGATATCAGTATCATATCGTCTTCACGATCATTGGATTCTGTATCCCAGTATCCGTATACTTCCTTTACCCAGAGGTAAGCATCCACAACTGCATTTGGCCATTGTTGTCTGTATCAGTTCACAGACTAACAGGAGGCCTGACTCTCAAGACCATGGGGCTTCGGCTCGAGGACATCGATCTAATCTTCCGTGAAAGTCCATCGGTGATGAAGACCGTGGCCCTATGCCCGGAATCGGGTCTCGTCCAAAGATGAGGAAATTTTGGAGAAGGACAAACACGAATACAAGGAGGTTGCCTGAGTTTAATCAGCGGCCCAGGGCCAGATAGCAGAAGGATCATGACCTGTGTTTGGTTTAAGGATGGCAGGCGGTTTGCGTACAAGCCAGTACATACCATACCAACTTCACATGCAGCCGGCAAAAGTATTGCGCTTCTTCAGTGCTAAGCCTCCCATGCCATCTATTGTGTCGTGGGACTACCTTGACTAGTCCTTGTCCCGTGTGGTACAGCAAGCATGTACGCTTTCATGTGGTTGTTGCCGGAAACGCTTTTTGCCATAGCCCCTGCTCCGTCGTGTCATCTGGTCGGTGCGAATATAAACTAGAGGAGTTGTGCACACGCACATTTTCTGCACAATTCCTGCACAAGTCTGGTAGCCTGGTCATTGTACCCTGCTTCTCGGCGCAATCAAATAGCAGGGGTAGACTGTGTGGCAGTGTGTGCTGCGCCGTAGTGGCCGCAGTAGTGCAATGCGCGCTGGTGGGGGGTATCACTTGGCCCCCAAGTTAAAATCACGATCCCTCCCTGACGCGATGGCATGTTTGAGCCCTGCTGACCCCATAACCCCCATCAATTGTGGTTGTACTTCCTCAATTCTCGCAAGAAACACCATGGCTGCAAGCACTGTGCTGTCGGATGGCCAAGCGTCAGACGACTGGGCCAAACGTATGGGAATCATCCGTCGATTGTACCTGGAAGAGGACAAGACCCTCCAAGAAGCCATGAGGATCATGGCATCGGAGTACGGCCTTGTTGCATCGTACGGCTAACCACCCGTAGAAATGTAGCCGCGAGACTAATCATTATCAGGGTCAAGGTGTACAAGAAACGTCTGAAGGATTATAATTGCCGCAAGAATATTCGCTTGACACAGTCAGACGCCTAAGCGTATCAAAACATCTCGTCTAGACAACGGCCAGCCCACGTCACACTATCCAATGGCCACGTCGTTGCGACCGATCTTCTCGCGACCCATATACAGCGCAAGATGAATCGTACCCGGTTCCCGGCCCAGGTTTCAACTCCAGACAGGTTCTATTTCCTAGAAGCGGCTGACAGCTATACCCGCTTGTATTTGGTCAGCCATCCTCCTCCTTCTACTCACCACCTTGGGCATTGCTGACTTTCACCTCAAAGCTGGCATGTGGTGACGCAAATCACGCGGCCACTTCTGGAGCAGCTCTCGCCAACTTACAAAAGACGGATCCGTATACACAGAAGTGGAACGATTTCGTCCAGACACTCAGCGCTGCGCTTGATACGCCTGAAAGCATTCATTCCGAGTCGAGCCTGGGCGACGCCCTTGTAGTGATGCGGCAAGCACCTCAGAAACTCAGCACGATCCTTGAGCATAAGTCTCCCAACATAATCGGTAGCATTTTTATATTCTTGGTTGTGGCGACTCCACGCCGTCCCGGGCTGTCGGACCAGGACTCGCAAACATTTCTCAAGGTCGTGAAGAGCCTCCTGAGCTTCGGGGCTGCGGTCGTGCCTAGCGGTCATCCGTTGCATCAGCTACTACGAAGCCTTGCCAGGTGGGACACCGAAGATATGCAAAACTTTGAGCGGATTTGTGTTCATTCCATAGAATAGGGAAGTTTTTCAGAAACTACGAGTGATGGCTTCGCTGGCTTTAGGATGTGTGAAGTAGAGTCGACGACCGCTCCGTCTTTCATGCCGGTGTTTCAACACTCACACTACCCTAGGGTATCTGCAATGCTGTGGGTACTTGCGGTCAAGGGTAACTACTGGAACTCCTTCTAAAGTTCAGAGACCGCTCTTAAGCTTTAACTCCGTCGCATGGCACCCGCGTCATAAGCCCCAGAGTCGAACCCCTTCTGTAAAATAGGCCTCTGCTCGCATTCTTTGTTGTTTTGATGTTCCTATCGCCCACAACATCAGCCTACTATATTAGTGTTGCTGAGCAAGGGTGCGAACTCACAAGAAGCAAGACTTTGTCAATGTATGCAGCACCGCAGCCGCAACGGAATCTTCTGAAATGCGTCGTCTTGTGCTGCTTTAGCCAGCTGCTGGTTGCGAATGCTTCATGGCACTCGTCGCACTTGTGGTATTGGGCGACTTCCGAGTTATCACCAACAGTGCCTTCGTCCGAAGGTCTGCCAAGAACTTGAACGGAGGCATGCTCTTCCCGACGAGGTGGAAAACGTGTCTCAGTTGCTGGTGGGTGCCCCCTATTTGCCGCGCGTGGCGGAAGGTGTTGATTCCTGAATCGGCGTGGATCTCCGTCATGAGATGCAAGTAATTCCAGCCCGGTGATGTTCACAGGGCCGACACTTCTTGTGTGGCTTATCGTTGGCGCAGGTGCCGGACGAGACATTGCGATTCCACCGGGGTAGCCCGGGTTTACTCCTCCACAGCCCCAGGCGCTGAAATCCGACTGGCCATATGTACCTAGCAGGGATGGAAGTGCTGGCGCCGATGTCCTCGTTGATAAGTCTGACTGAGAGGAGCTTCTCGTGGGTGATGAAAGCGGTCCAAGTGGCTGTGGCAGAATGAAAGGAAACGGTTGCCCGCGAGGGGGTAGTGACGGTAGGGAGGTGGGTGCCGTCACTTTGCCGCCGTTGAAGTTTTCGGAACTTCGAACAGTGTTTGGTGCATCGTAGAGTGTTGTTGCATGAAGACTAAGTGATCGAGGTTGCTGTGACGTCCCATCGCGGCTGTTACTGCTGACATCTTTGGTCTGTTGTGATTCGGATGCCACATGTGGACTCATTCTGGTGAGACGAGATCCTCCGACGAAACTCTTGGAAGTTTCTAACAAGATAAAACAGATTGAATCAATCTCGATTTGGATGGGACGTCAGACTGACTTGCATGACCTCCCGATTTATGGGGTTTGGGTGTGGGCACTCGTAAGCAAGGAAAGTGAGCAACACCCCCAAGCTGCTGCCTCGCTGCTCCTTCTGGGGCTAACTATTCTAGGCCTCTTAGGTCATCTATTTGCGTCTAGATCCATGGCAAATGCCTCACCGGTGAAGTGCAATGATGCAGGTATGTGGTGCTGAGGATTTGGAATTGTGGGACCCTCGCTCTTCGTTAGGACGTGGCTTTGCCGCACTCATGCAGCCATAGCGACTCACATGATGGTGGATGCCCGGGTATGCCAGATTCTACATCCGGAGACCGTCTCTGCGGCTTTATTCGGGTGATAGGTCAACCCCTCTTTGTTGATAACACACATCCGCAGCAAGACCGTGACTTTGAACATGGCCAAGTATTAATTTTCTCCCGACGAGTAGTTATATGTGTCTTTAAGCTAGGAGCAAGCGTCTGAATATATTCATATGCGTTTACCTTTCAGCTTGTATCCCAATTCGATTATTTAGGTGTCTGCTGCTCTCCTTCTGTGAGACTTATTTGTAGCATAAGTCCCGATACCCTGCCCCTTGAAGCTGCAACTGACTCTAATGTGGTCGACGTACTCACCCACCAACATCTCAACTGCCTCAGTGCCCCAAGGGACATCTTATCAATTTTTTCTCTGTTGTCGAGCACAGAAAAATGATAGAAGCACCTATTGCTTGGAGTGCTTCGGGCTTGTAAAAACCGCAAAATATCTCCCGCAATGTGATTTATCCGTATTGATATCCGGCAATGTACGCTCGGATGGCGTTTGCCGTACATATTCTATCAGTATTGATATTCAAAGAACAACGTTTCGTGACATCCCAATAAAATGTGGGCATTCAAGACAATCTCAACTTTATCTCGTCACATGCAAGTTTGGAACTCTACCACTTGCAGCTCTGCAGGTTTTCTACACTTTACCTAGATACCTAGTATAGACAGCCAAAGGCTACTTCTCATTGAACTTTACTATTGGAAGCCCGCCAATGCAAAAGCTTGTTTGAGGCTGACTGTGCAAGTTTGCTTCAGTGGACATGATTGTTTGTTGTCAGGTCCAAAAGCAACGATTAAGTGGGGCCAAGCTAGAGGGGCTTTGTCCATCTGCTACATGGAGGGTATGCGTCTCCATGCAAGATATCTGAGTAAGCCTTTCGCATTTGTGGTGATGATTTGAGCGATATGATATTTGTTTGAACAGGACATTTTGCATTGTACACTCAGCATCGGTTGGGCTCAGAAGCTTTCAAGGGACTGTAGTGACTCACAGTCAAGCAAACCCGTCTTGAATTACGGACTATGGTGGAAAGCAGTCACTGTCTAGTGTTCATACAATGGTCTGTCCTCTACCAACGGCTTTGGGTGTAAACAACAGGGCCACCCAGAGCCTCTCATGCTTGAATAGAGATCTGTGATTGTCACATTCTTGTCTCACAATTCATCTACTTTACAATAGGCTTGGGTTAGTTAAAAAGATTCCTCAATGCTGAATAGGAGATCTTGACTGTTGTGGTCGTATTGGAGGAATCATCTGATGTGCAGAGAACCTCACTGTACGGGATTCCATTGTACATTGTGTTTGATAGCTTTTGAGCCCCAAAGTACAATACCGCCCAAGGCAAGCGATGAATTGTCCCTCTCAATTCAATGGGAAAAGTGCAGATACCAAGATCGCGATGCTGGGTTACTTAAAATCGCGGACTCTTTCACTTTCGCGATCTGATCTTCCCTTCGTCAGACCTTGTCACCATCCCCAGAGACAGATCAAAAAGCGGAAATACTACATAAATCCTTCATGATGTCTCACACAATCACCAAGTACGACGCCAATATCCTCAACCACCACGCCAAGCGTGGCGACGTCGTGGAGTTTGGCAGAACTCTGGACAACCTGGCCCAGCGAGAGGCCCCCAACGGCTATGATCGGGCTGACATCCTCCTCCTGGCAAAGGACGAGGCCGGCGACAACATCATCCACTCGGCGTGCGCCATGGGCAACAGGAGTGAGCCGCCACTCCAACCCAAACTCTCAAGACAAACAATAATTGACTCTTGTTTGCAGACATCATCGTGTTCATTTACGGACTCAACGACTTCACCCTCAAGCCCGGAGTCCTCCGATCAATCATCAATGCCCGAAACAACATGGGCAACACCCCCATCCACCTTGCCACCCAGCACGGCCAGCAAGCTTGTGCGGCCGCCCTGCTCGAGCGAGGCGCAGACCTCAACGCCGAGGGATCGTTCGGACTTCGCGTCGCCCACTTCGCCACCAGAGACCGCTACCCGGACATGCTCCGCTACGTTCTCCAGCGTGGTGCCGACCCAAATGCTGTCACCAGGTCGGGCGACACACCTGCCCACTTCGCGGCTCGCAACCGAGACATGTTCTGCTTGAGGGCTCTTCACACAGGTGGTGCCACTCTGCGCGGCTACAACAGTAAGTAGCTCTCACAGGAATATCCCGTTTGCACAAAGACAACGTCTGGCAAGTCGACACACTATCTTCCTGCATATCACGTGCTAGCTTTATACCCCATGGGATGTTTTCTTCGCCACTTCAGATACTGACGTTAACTCCTGCAGTGGCGGGCGAGACGCCAGCAAACATCGCTGAGCGCATGAGCTACGAGGTGATGGTTGTGTGGATGAAGGAGCGAAACATCTTTTGAACAGGGTCGGTCTCTCGAGCAGACGGGGAGGCAGAGCAGAGGACGGGATAGACAGTGAGCCCAGGGTTCAGAAAATGGCATTTTGAGCTAGCTTTCGCGATGACGCCAACGAATGGAAGAAAGTCTTGAGAGTCACCTGAATGAGACAACCAGAATTTGGCCTAGAACTTTTCTACGTGCGATATCAATCCAGTGCCGCCGACTCATAGATGTTGACTCCCATTCAGCCCTCTCTCCTTATCATGTGCCGCCTTGCACAAACTGTCAAAGTATCTTGGAAACTTTTTGGCAAAATACATCTTCGGAAAACCCTTTTTGCTCACACAGTCTTTTGTCCAACATGTCCTCGCTAATACATATGTTGCCGAATAATCATATCTTTCCTGATACATACTTCGAAACAAAGTGGTGTCGTTTTTAATTTGTATACATATGCTTCTTAAGCAATATGCATCCTTCGAAACAAACATGTCTGCCAATACATATTTGCAAAACACGCTTGTACCGAATGCTATCTTTTGCTACGTGCCCCTCTTCGTCAATGGCCCATCTTCCCCGTCGTTGGATGAATTATACCTCGGGAGACAACCTATGCAGGTCCATCAATGGCATGCACGCATTCGTTGACAAATCCGACAAACTGATCCGGAATGCTCAAGTATGGGCTATGACCAGACTCGAAGACTTTGCCCTTCATACCGGGAATTTGATCGCATACAAAACGCTGGAAGTCTGGAGGAATGGCTAGATCCCCGCTGCAAATCACATAAAATGAAGGTATAGTCAAATCCTCGCCGGCGTACTGGTTCATCGGCTCAGTCAAGGCTGCCGTTGACGTCGGCTTCAGATCAGCCATCAGTCTCACTGCCTCCTCATCCGCAATGTCACTGTAGAAAGCTGATCTTGCAGCACTGGTCGAGTGAGCGAGACCGTCCTGGATTTATGAGCATTAGCATGGCTGAGACTGATGGCAGTGTGATTGATGTCAGTGACTCACGGCCCTTGGTTCTAGATACGGAGGCCATGCATCAGACCCGGTCTGCATGGCATGGTGAAAGGATCCCAAACTCCCGAATCCTCGTTTTGTGACGGCGCCTGCCGCAACGAGAATAATCGATCGAATGCCGCCGATCTTCCCGTTTTTTGCGCGCCCCTGCAGAGACTGACCTTGACATATCGCAATGCCGGGAAGCGAGCCGCATGAGTGAGCAACGACCACGATTTCCCTGCCCTTGTCAATGGTCAGCAAGTCCGACCTAGCTGAGCGGAGATGAGGCATGCTGACCTTATCCATCTCTGGCTCGATAATTCCTAGGAGAAAATCACGATCATGACACCAAGACCTGCTGGCGTCTCCAAGGCTGGGCAGCGAATGGCAAATGACTTCATATGAGAGCGCTTCAAGCCTCTTCTTGGTATCCGACCAATAGCTTGCGCCATGCCCAGCGCCAGGAATTATAAGAAGTGTTGGTTGGCCAGACAAGAGCATCTCGAACAGTCATTTGAATTGGTTCTCAATATCTTAGGAAGTGCACCTTCGAGATTTGCAGAAAGCGACTGTAATGTATTATGTGGATGATGCCATCGTTTTAATCATATGATCTGTCCAAACAAGTCCGATTTTCCAGCCGACAAGACGCTAGTGGGCCCCAAGAGCCAACGTGTTTCCGTTGATAAGAAGAATCGCGATGCAAGCTTTAGACGCCAGAACGGACCAGGACAGGCCAAATGCATTGTATCAACCCACATCCACATTTGAGACATCGGACTGGGTTTTGTGGATATTGCTATTCCTTCGGGCACATAGAGGAGCTCGAGTTGGCCCGCTATGCCCACTGAACGGTCGGCGATTGGACGCCTGACAACCAACATGCACTGTAACTAATTTCGGGTTGCTCCTGCCCTGCAACTCTCTCACCTCTGTCAGAATTATGAAGTGATCTGTCAATAGAAACCACCATCAAATCTCCATACGATGATGTCGGATCTTTATCGGACTCCCGAGCAGGTTAGGAGATGAAAGACTGACACCCCCACTGCGAGACGGCATAGAATTCAAATCATACGCCGGAAGCCAATATCTTGTAAACATGGATGAATCAAAAGTCTGTCCATATGATCAGTTGACGTTCTCATCAATTTCCTATCAGTCAATGCCTCTGAGCCCAATGAGCAGGCTTGGTCAGATGTAGATTCGAACAACAGCAGCTATCTTCTCGTTCCGACAATTTTCTTGACCATCCTAGCCATATTCACCGTCGCGTTGCGTTCCTGTGCCCGGAGACTCAGAAACATGCCCCCTGGCACTGACATCTACCTGGCTCTGCGGCTTTCGTGTTGTAGTGCTATGTGCCCCCCTAGTCGATCAGGATTTAGAACGACGCATGTCAGGAGAACGCCAAGGCATGAAGGCCCTGGATGATTGAATATAACAGACCAGATGTAACACTATCTTCCTTATTCAAAGCGGGGATTAGTTAGTTACACATGCATACGGAAAAGGCTGTGACGTGCATAAAAAGCCTACCCTCCAACCAATGAGAACATACCAATCATCCTCTTCGATGGTCGCCAAAAACACTTTCTCAGTCCCATGACCTCCAACAGGCAGCATATCTTTGGGCTTGCGCGTCTTCAGATAATTCATATGCCAGTGTGGTTTGTACCCTCTCCTTTGAAGTACGAAAGCCTATTTCGGAATAGCGCGTAGGCAGCCGCGCCGGCGCGCTCATGCCATCCAACACCTAGCCCCCAGGCAACACAGGAAGGATTTCTGCTAATTTCCCAGTGAGCAATGGCAGATTTATAAAACTTTCTCGTTGCAGAGCTTTTAGACGCGGGCACGGCACCAGCATCGTTGACCCTTCTATACAGTCTCTTGCACAGAACATGCCCGTTTAAATACATACAGCCCGCCGCAGGGAAATCTTCTCACCAAAACACAAACAATCACCTCGAGTTTACAAAGGTCAGCTGAGAGAAGAGAAAGTACCAATATGGTCTACAACAGCCCCACGATCCAGAACGGCCGTCTCATTGCAGCCCACCGGCGCAGCGCCTACTTCAACGGCCGGCTTTACCGCGTCTCTGAACTCATCCAACATCCGGCTCGAATTACTTTCCGCGAGTTCTGCATCTTGATTTGGCTCGTGTATGCCTTGTTCCGCGGGTTCTGCTGTGCTCGGAGCATCCTGATCTTGGTCGGATACGTGGATGTGAATCGCCTTTGCGGCACCGGGCAAAGTTTTTACGGCTGTAGCTGGATTGTCGCTTGGGGGGCTTTTGATATTATATGGGTCTGGCTAGGAAATGTGGTGCCTTGGGCCATTTTCTGTGCGGCAGTGGTGTTCCTGGGTGAGGTGGCGATGAACTTGAAATGATTGATGGGTGAGCTTCTGGAATTACACCTGTGAAGAATGTGCACCACTGGAACTTGGATCTGGCTCATGAAGTGCGGAGACTTGACGGAAAAGTAGACAGTCCATCATATAGACATAAGAGCAAATGAGACAATGGCTCCAAAATTGCAGTAATCTAATGACAACCACCGTGCTCTAGCTACAAAGGGAGTATTGAGGCAATTGTCCGCCGAACAGAATTTGTTCAGGATGAAGTTTGAAACGCACACCAAAATTTCTCAGCAATGATTTCCGTCATAAGGGTCAAAACCCTCACCTATCCTCGTCAAGTCTGCGCTGATTGTATCAGTCGCCGGCGGCCCACATGAACTCTGTAATAGTCGTCGTGACCAGAACAATGCTTCCGTCATATCCCATGGCGGCTCCCGTGGTGGTCGTGGCTTCGCCCTGTGCAAGCACCTGGCTTGGCCAATCTGCATGCCATTCCGGTCGTACGCCTGCGTCACCATACATGGCTGCCAGATCGGCTGCTACGTTGTCAATAATATTCGCTGATGATGGCCTGATCAGGGAAGAAGAAACACTGGAACTGCCGTCACTGGCAATCCCATGCATGGCGAAGGCCGGGAACTCCAGGCCTGTCGTTGTGCCAGGGCCGACCACGTACGTGCTTGGGGAAAACCATCCTTCACCGAGGACATGCGTAACCGTAACCGTGGGCATTTCGTTATGAGCCACACTGTGTGGGGACGCCACAGTCGTCGTTAAAGTCATGGTCGTGAGAGAGTCATCGGTTGTTGGCATTGGAATATGCACCATGCCTGTCTCCTCGATTCCAAAAATGCCTAGTGTTGGCAGACCATGAAGCCATGAATTGAATGGCGCAAGAAGGGACATGAAATCTGTTGCGATTTGCAGGAGGAAATTGTCGGTCGGATTTGCCTTGCGACGTGGCAGTTCGACGATCGATGCCGTTGCAGATGCGGCAAGATTGATGGCCAAGGAAGGCGGCGGCTCGGTGATGAATGAGCCGAGCGTCTTGGTTCCTAATGGACCACTGTCCTCAATGACCAGATCGTCAGAGTCGAAACCGTGCATCACGTCGCACGCCGCCGCTCCAACATCGCCAACAGACTCTTTGAGTGCGTCTTCAACCTGTCTCATGAATGCAAAGCCAAGGCCGAGAGCAGGATCTGCGCCAGGGAACAGCTCTGTGAGTGAGTCCCCGGCCAAGGCCAGCAATGGGCTCAGCGTTCCCAGGACTTCAGTAGTGTTCTGAGGTGCGGTTGATGGGGAGTTGATGTCGCTGAGCCACGTGCTGAGTTTGGCTGCGCAAGTGGACGCGCCACCTTCGGGCGGAGGATACAAGCAAGACCACGTGATGTTGTCCGTGTTCTTTCCCGCGGCACTGGACACCACTGTGCACAACGAATTACCGAAAATGAGACTGGGGCTGAAGTCTGGCGTGTTCAAGTAGTTGTCCATAGATATATCGACTGTAAAGGTGCTAAAATTGAGGGCGTCTTGTTTCGACTCGACACTCATGTCTGTTGCGCGTTTCGCAGCACCTCCACCAATGGCGCCGGCTTGGCTGTAGAAGTTGTCGATCAGAACCTCCGAGAGTAAGCTGCAGTTTCCCTTGTACAATGAAATCCCCGAACCTTCAAAGACCAGCGCGTTGTCACCTGGCATTTGCAATCCAAGCTGACCACTGATGGGATTGTCTGGTGACAGGTCTAGAGTGTACGACTCTCCGCTGGCGAAGGCCCCAATGTACTGAGGATTCGTGCCATTTTCTCCGAACGAAAGGAACATGGGATTGGACAGATCGACCGTGTCTTGTGGGGTGACCGCCACGGCGACTAGATCCATGGAAGCCGGAGCTGTTGGGAGTGAGTAGCACGATGTTGGTGAACGGGGAACAAGGACCGTGACGCCAGTCAAAGTTAGACTGCTCAAAGCAATGGCCGAGTAGGTCGTCAGAATTTGCGAGGACGTGCCCAGCGAGACGCCAGAGGGAAGTATTGAAGAGATGACAGCGGGCGAAGACGTGCCAAAACTGATCAGTGCGGCAGATGAGCCAAGAGCCATTTCAGAACTGTCAAGGCTGAAGTTCGCAGGCAAGGCCTCTGGGATGCCCGAAGTCGTCAAGGCCGAGGGGGCAGCAGTTGGGGCGATGGTTGATGAGATCACCTCGATGCTTTCATCTGTATCTACAGCGACGGAGAGAGCAACAGAGCTGCTGGCCAAAGATTTCGTGACGCTCGAAGACAGTAGTGGTCCGAGACCACCAGATAGAGAAACGGCAGATGCAACAGTGGGCACTGCCGACGTCTCCGCTAGCGGATTGGTTGGGAGCTTTGATATCGACTCCGGCCATGGAGAGGATATGAGTGATAGCGAGACCGGAGATGAAGCTGCAGATGAGAGCGCACCGGTGCCCGCGAAAGTGCCGGTCAGAGTTGACGTCCAAAGGGAGGGCTCAATAATCGCTGGGGTCGAACCTCCGAGGATGGAAACGACAGCGGGGCTAGAAGCCATGCCGAGAGTTCCAGTGGGAATCGAAAGTGGCTTCGGTTGGTCAGCTACGAGGTCTTGAAGAGGTCTGATTATGACTTACCGGAATGCCGGATGGCAGCTGGGGGGATTTGGATGAGACATCAGAGCATTCACATGCTGTGAAGACTGTCTGGGTGACATAGACGGTTTGTGCATCGGCAAGCCAGGCGAGGAACAAGCTCGCGATGATCACGGACAGAGGCAGGCTGCTGAACAGCGCCATGACGAGCATCAAGGTCAGCAACACCATCATGCGAGCAGACGGTCAACGTCTCAGGGCCACGGTGGTCTGAGGCAAATAGTAGCAGAAGCGATAGCAACACGAAACGGCAAAGAGTGGCAGCAAAGTCAGGGTGAGCTGATGAGAAAGAGTGATGATCATGACATTCTCAAGAATGACAGGCCAAGCGAACCCTCGAATACGATAGCTCGAGGCAGAGACATGCGGCTTCCTGGACTTGTTCACGGCACTCGAGGAAGCCGCACATTGGCGCCATCATCCTCGCCATGGAAAGAGCGCACCCAAGCTTTACATCTGCACGCAATCGAAGCTTCGGCTAATACCATTTCAATGGAAGGCCAGGTAGTTCGCAGTCCCGCATATGCATGTTGGCACCTGGCAGCAATGGAGAACGCTTCATTCGGAAAATCGAAGAGAGGAAGTCGTGGGTTTGACTGCCCAACACCGTGCGCATCTGGGCAGGCAGTCACACTGAACGAATTGTGAAGCTTAGGAAAAGGGAGGAAGCCTCATTGAATTGTGAGGGCATTTCATTTTGAGGCATTGTGAGGCGCGTATGAAGGCCAGCTCCCATGGTGTCAACATTTCTGGCCCTTCACCTGATGTTTTGTTCTGTACCCAATCCGTTTCCAGAGCCAAGCTACCGAGGTACCTAGGTACAGCAGAGATGCGGGTCCCCGGACAGTCGGGTTGAGCCAATCAGGTGGGGGAAGATGGGACCACTCTTATCTACACGTGCTGATTGCACTAACAATTTCTTTTCAACCCTACGAAAATCCACAGCCAAATTTCTGCTTGCATTGCATCTTTGAGCGCCCCGGCCGACCCCCCACACCCCTTCGACAACGACATCGCGATATCGTACCGAACCTCGGCCGTTTTCTCCCACCGACAAGTCGATACCCTCCCAATAACTCAAAATGGCCAAGATCTCGTGAGTGTGCACCAATACCTGGCGGAGGTCGACCATGGGCGTCAATCCAAGCTGTTGCGGGCCGAGCGAACTGCGGTCAATCGGGCAAGACGCAGAACGACGCGGAACCGACGTCGAACCGAGAAAAATTTCACGACACAAGGCAGACCAACTCCGCAACCCGAACTCGATGCTGCCGGACGACCGCAAACAGCTTGGATAGACGACCGAAGGAGATGGAAAACAACGGCCAACTAGAGTTGGGGCATTCAAGGAAGAGTTTTACTGACGGAGGCCTTCTCGCAGACGTGGTGCCCCCGGTGGCAAGCTCAAGATGACCCTGGGTCTCCCAGTGTATGTTATTCCGACCCTGAAAACATCGACTCGCGACCCAACGAAATCGACACGATCCGCGGACGAGCCGGGGACGAAGATGGGAAACTGACAGGACTATAGCGGTGCCATCATGAACTGTGCAGACAACTCCGGCGCACGAAACCTGTACATCATCTCCGTTAAGGGTATCGGTGCCCGCCTGAACAGGCTGCCCGCCGGTGGTGTCGGTGACATGGTGTACGTATATTCGAACCCGGCGCGCGATCAACAAATTCTCCAGAACCGCCAAGACACTCGACCACGCACAGTCACACCACATCATTCCAAACCGATACCCTCGAAATCGTGAACTTGGACGAAAGCGCAGTGCATCTTGCTGACATTGGGCGCTACACAGCATGGCCACCGTCAAGAAGGGAAAGCCCGAGCTCCGAAAGAAGGTCCACCCCGCCGTCATCGTCCGCCAGTCCAAGCCCTGGAAGCGCACCGACGGTGTCTTCCTGTACTTCGAGGACAACGCTGGTGTCGTAAGTGCACCCCGACGATCAGTTCCACAGGGAGCCGAGCAGGATGGGCCCACAACAATTGAATGATTGCTAACAATGTTTCTCCCAGATCGTCAACCCCAAGGGTGAGATGAAGGGATCCGCCATCACTGGCCCCGTCGGAAAGGAGGCTGCTGAGCTCTGGCCCGTGAGTTCTCCCCTGCAGATTTCCAGCCACTCGACTCGATACTGACAATGTTCAACAGCGTATCGCCTCCAACTCTGGTGTTGTGATGTAAATGGGGACGTTGGCGACGGTGGGAAGACTTCCGTGCGAGGATCAGCGACGAAGGAAACGGGTCATACAAAAAGAACGATCCAATACGAATCCGAGACCATAAAGGCTCGGCAATGAACGGGCTTTTACGGCGTGACTGGCAAAAAGAGAGAAGTCAGGCTTTGCATTTTTTTTTCGGCTGGCGTGTAACGGAGGTTCATACCAATGGCATGAAATTCACCGACCATGGGGAAAAGGTCGGTTCAGCTGGCGCCCGTTCAGTCCGCTCGATGCTGCGAAGGTGGGCTCACGCAGGGTGCACCGGTATTCCAGCCCCTGCGAATGTCCCGATAGCACAAGATTCCAGCGTCAATGACCAAACACGCTTCATGATGTGTAAACGATCATACGGGGTGAGAGGCTGTGTCCGTAGCGGGTCGCACCGTACGCTGCTGCTACTCCATCTGAGCCCATGCGGCCAACGAGACTTGCCGTACCAGGTTGCACGCCTGCGAGAATATGTACTTGAAGAAAATCGTGCATTTGCCTGCAGGAACCAAGTGCGACATTTCGCCCCGCATCCACTAAACGGCGCTTTGACGGTGCCAAGACAAGGCTGCAGCCTTGCCGACTACATCATCTGTCCTGCTCACTTTCACTGACAGCAGGTGCAGTTAGGATACAAGTCGAATCTTTACGTTGAGCGCTCGTCGCCTACATTGTCTCTGATTGAGGAGTGAGAGGCTGGCGGGCCAAGAAATACTGTGCGGCAGCAATTAAATAGCACTACGCGCACCAGTGTGACCTGGGTTGGCGTACAGAATGTACCTAGGTAAGCAGTAAAATGTTGTGACACATATTTTGAGTCTCAAATTAATAGAGTATTAGAACTGTATAGATCCACTTTGAGGATGCATGTGATCATCCATAGTTATGCCCATCATATTTCTAATCGACAACAACTCACCACATCCGATCTAGACTCTAGCACTTGATCGTCATTTGCATTTGTCGCGGCCGGTTATGTTGACTTAGTCTTGAGAACTCTTAAATAATCATGTCATGTCAAACTTTGTATCTGGCGCATTTCTTCACCCAGCCTCAGCCGTCGTACTACCTGGGCAGTCCCCTGAGCAGCAGCAAACGCTGGTTTCTCACCTGCGGCACAGTCTGCCTCACGCATGCAGCAGGGTGACCCAGAAGGCTGATAGTTGTCTGTGGAACAATGGTTTCAAATACGCCCACCAGAATCCTTTATTACACTTGAAAGAGAAGCATTGGCCCTTCAGGCTTTACAATTTCACGGTTGCAGATTGAATTTATGGTATAGATGTTTCTAAAATTCCCAAAGATTTTCCTGATATGATTTCATCTTTAAAACATGTCTTTGCCAACATGAAAGTCAACAGAAGCTAATCAAGTTGATCCAAGTGAGCATATGGTGGGCACATCAATCCCCGTCTCGGGCTGATGACTCAGAGAGAACTCAATAATTGGAGGTCTCATATGATTGTCTTTTCAGACAGAGAAAGAGTCCTCAAAGCACTTTCCTTCATGGACTGCGTTGGCATTGCCCCGTTCTCTGGCAGCTTGTGTTGTGCAGGGTGAAGACAACAAATGCAACGTGGAGTCCTCCGTAAGCTTGAGAGCTTGCAACATGTTTTGCTTTGAAAATCTACGGCGCTGTCGCTTCGTCCTCACACCCATGATATCTGGAGGGACGCAATTGTCAAAACGTCTCGAACGCGTGACGCAGGAAACATGCAGCCACTCATATTAGCATCAAACGAAGCACAATAACAAACCTAAGAGCAGCACAACGCTGGAGTAGACCAGCATTTTACGAGAAAAATAAAGATTGTAATAGCATTAACGATGTCAATTGAAAATCCCAGGACTCGTTTCCTCCTGATGATGCAATGCAATGCAATGCCATGTACTACCGTCGCTATGCTGAGCCAGTACTGTGCCCTCGTGAGTGTATAAGAAGTGAAGGGCAGGACAAGCAGAGTATTCGTGAGACCTCTCCTCTCCTCCCGATTTTAAGCCTCCTTCCCGTGCATGCAGCTAGCGATACGCTTCCTCTTACAAATTAGAAATACACATAAAGAGAAAGACGACAAACATACAATCCATCCAATCTCTCACCTGGCTGGCTGGATCCGTCCTCACTTAGCTTTGCGGTCCCCATCCGGGGGCAGGCGCTCCCCCTCCTCCACCATGCCTATCGCCATTCAGTTCCTCCCTGCCGCCGCCGTTGGCGTACGACCGCGCGTGGGACTCCCAGATACTACCCGGGAGGGCCATGTGCGCAGGAGGCGGCCCGTCCGGCATGTACCCGAGCACCTGCCGGTCGTCGTGCTGCAGGGGCGCCTGTGACGGTGCGCGTATGCCGCCGGGAAGGGCCGGCGGACCGTTGTACTCGCCGCTCATGAGGATGCCGCCAAAGTCGCGGTGGCGGTCCTGGGGTGGCAGGTTCTTGCTGCCCATGTCGACCGGGCTCGGCTGCGCGCTGCCTCCTGCTGCCGGGTGGGGGAGGCTCGGGGCTGACGCGGTCACGGGGGTCCGGGACTGCGATGGGGGCATCTCTGGCTGGGGAGTGGGCGTGGACGTCTTTGTCGGGTTCTTTTCGTCGCTCTGTTTCTGCTTCTTGCGCGCGAGCGTCTCTTTGCGCTTGTTCACTGCTTGGCGCATAGAGCCGTTGGCCCATCGAGCTGTACAAGATGGGTTGTCAGTAAGCGGTCAAAGAAGCTCGAGAGAATAGGGGCACTGCGGCAAGCTTACCCTTCATGCTGGCGCTCATCTTTTCACTCTTGGTCATGCTCGCGTAGTCCTTCTCACTCAGGTCCTCTCCCTCAGCGGAAGAAGGCGCGGGCGTAGCGCGACCTGATCCCGGAGGCTTAGAATTACCCCGGCTATTCGTCGACGGCAGAGACCCTGGGCCACCTGGCAGGCTACCCATCGGAGGAAATGGGGGGCCATTCGGCATCATAGGTGGCATGGACATGGCACCGTGAGGAGAAGAGTTCACCGGGAATGAGAACTGTCCTGGGCCGGCTCCGGGCATCGAGTGGGGTTGGAGGGGCGCACCGCCGTAAATGTGTTGCTCGTAACCAGTCTGTCCGTGGAAGCTCGGGGGCGGCTGAAGCGGTGCGAGCGGAGCTTGGTGTCCGGAGTGAGAATAAGACTGGTGAGGCGGTGGAGGTCCGTTAGGCTGGGGGGTCGCATTCTGGCGGTTTCTGTTAATAATCTTGATCCTCGGCTGTTTCTTCCTGGGAGACTGGGGAGGTTCGATATGGGAAGGATGTTCGACAGGGGCGTTGGTGTGAGGGGCGGAGAAGGGGTTCTGGGCACCAACCGGGTGAGGCGGAGGTGCTTGCGCCGGTCCAAGCCGCACTGGAGCTGGTGCTAGTAGTTGGCCAGGACCGCCTCCCGTCACGTTGATGAAGGGATTGTTGGGTGGGGCGAGTACGGGAGCAGCTTGCTGATGCATGTATCCGTGGCCAGGTGGCCCATACGAGCTTCCATCGAGCTGAGAGGGTGCGAAGTTAGACGGCATGGAGGTAGGCTCTGGTTCTTGCTCCTTCTTGGCTCTGCGACCTCTCTTTGGCCTCGAATCAGCAAGCATGTCTTTGATCGGGTCAGCCAGTTCGGAGTAGTTCTTCCTTGGGCGGTGGCGGAAGGAGTAACTGCTCCCAACGGTGTGCATTGAGCTAGTTGACGACGAGGTAGACGGCCGGAAGTCCTCGGTGGGCGTGACGGTGTCGTCGTTCGTTGGAACACTGCTGCCCGCGCTGTAAAACGTGTTCGGAGGAATCTCAACCTGCGTGGCAGCAGCAGACTTGCGGCCGCGCTGCCTCTTGGGAGCTGGCAAAGACGCGTCGCCTCCTTGCAAAAACGCGGCTTCAGCGGGAGGCTGCTGCTGCTGGGCCCCATCGAAGGATGAAGCAAGGGTGTCTGCGGCGGCGGCGCGGCGGCGCTTGCGAGTTTGGGGTTGCTCTTCTTCCACGCCATACAACTCACGATCTCTCGCGGCTTCGGCATTGGCCAGGGCTTCCTGCTCGGCCCTCTCGGCCGCTTCCTTCTCAGCAGCCGCTCTGGCCGCGGCTTCACGCGCGGCCTTGGCTCCAGGTTTCGGACCCCTTCGCTTCTTCACCGGTTGGTCTGGCGGTGGTGCCTCGGGCACTTCAGGCTTTTGCGCCGGCGTGCTCTCTTCTACAGCAGCTGGAGCCTCATAATCGCTATCGAAATTCTCGGCGCCGGCATTCTTTCTGCGGCGGCGAGTCTGCTTCGGCTTTACAGGCTCCAAAGGAGTGGGGGCTCTGCTAGCTTCCTTGCTATCATCAGACAGGATACGCGGCTTTCGAGTTCGCTTGCCTGTGACGATGCCCACTGGGTCGTCTACCGCAGCCTCGGCGGCCCGCTGGCTAAGCTTCGGCCTGTTGCGGAGTCGGTTGTTCTGCAGGCCATCCCGTTGCCCGATGGGATCTTGCCTCCCGATCATGCTTGGCCGTGGGTCCCATTCGAAACCATATGCCTGTGCCGCAACCTGATCTTGATTCCTCTCGTAGACTTCAGGGTTGCTCTCTGGGTGCTTTAGCTTATTCTCGTCGATAAAGTTCGCACGGATGCCTTTGACCTCGAAATCTCTCTTTTCCACAGAAATGGCACCGTTCGTCTTGGCCATATCCCTGGCTTCTCGGGCCATTAGAGCAGCATCGTGAGCGCGGCGACGAACAGCGTTGTCTTCGTCTTCAGTGACGAGCTTCCGCTTCTTCCACTCGTCTTGCCAGGCACCCAGGGCATTGGCAGATGCCTCTAGGGCATTGAAGAGATCTTCAGTGGACATATTCTTGTGATCGTCGAGGACATTGACGAAGTCGGTAGGAGACCTGATGCGCGTAAACCTGTACTGTTTGCGTGTCTTGACTTTACGAATTGGCTCAATCACCGGCTCTGGTGATGCATTTCTGCTAGCAGGCAACGACTCAGCAGCCGGCGTTGGCATGTCCGACATAGGCGCAGGGGTTGGTGCATTGGACCCTGAGCCACCATCAAGCCGAGACTGCCCTTGCTCTTGGCTTCCTGAGTCCCGCTCCGGGGCTAAAGATTCGACATCGTCGGCAGGTTCGCCTGGATCCTCAGAGTTCTGGAGATTTGGGGTCTCCCCGGGGGTCGGAACACCATAGTCTTGAGCGACTTCAGGGTATGCATCTTGGGCATCAGTATATGGCGTGAGAAACGAGAAGTCCCGAGGAGTGTGAGCCCGCATCGGTCGAGGCTGCGCGATAGTCTGGACTGTAGCCGTGACACGTCGCTTGCGAGGCACCCGAGGCTCTCGAGGCTCTTGTTCAATACTCTGTCGAATCTTTGGGGGCCTTCCCGGTCTGCGCTTCTTAGGCGTCTCAGGGCTTTCAGGCGTTGGCACGGCGGACGCGACAGGATTGACATCGGTCTTGGCCTTTTCAGTCTTTCTGCTGGTGGACGATCTCCTTTCTGCTTGAGTGGGCAGTTGAGATGAGTCTTCTTCGGTTGCACTTGAGTTTCCGACTAAGCGGCCCAAGCGCCTCTGAAGATAGCTTATAGTCAGCGATTGCAACATAATCGAGGCAACAGCCCATTCACTGCCGACAAACTTACGCGGGTGCGAGGAAGTGACATCGGTGTCTCTTGATCGTTTTGAAGAGGCTCAGCTGCAGGTTCCTTCTGATCATCAGGTTCTGAGATCTTTGTCGGCTGCTCAGTCGGCTGCTCATCCACAACCGAGGAAATAGTATTTCTCAATTCTCTGGCGAGTGCTGAGTTTCCAAGAGGCCCATCAGGAGGCATGTCCTGAGTGGCGTCCGAATCAATTGATTCCTGAGAACTTGGTACTTTTAGGCCCTGTGACTGGTCTGGAAATGAAGGCAGCCATTTCAGTCCCAGAAGCCCCAGATTCTGGATCTTGAGAGGACTGAGCATCAAATCGAGAGTTATCAACCTCGGACACTGCGGAGAGGGCCGAAGTAAGTTGCTGGCCGAGATCTGGAAGACTAGGCACAGAATCCTGGTCCTCTTTGATCTTTTCTTTCTCCTTCGCATCTTCCTGACTGGGCTTGTTAACAGCTGGGAAAGTAAGGGCTTCTGAACTATTTGGCGCAGACCCATCCAAACAGGGCAAAGCTGGCTCTTCTTTTTCGGGAAAACTTGTTGAAGGTTCGTTTTCTTGTCCGATTGTTGTGGGTGACGCAACCTGGGTCCCAGTGAATGTTGACGGCTGAGCGTGCCTACTTTGAGATGGTGACTGGCCAGAAATATTGCTTGCAGTTTCTGAGCGTTGGCTACTCGAGGAGCCAGTCAATTGCATGGACAAAGGCGCGCCCACCTCGATAGTGTCTTTTAGCTCCGTATCGGAGGGCTGCTGATCGGGTGATTCGGCCGGCCTTGCGACGGGCGCAGAGATTGACTTTCTCTGCTGTGTCCTGCGGCGTTGGGGTTTGGGCGACACAGTCCGCTGCTTCTCGGGCCTGACCCGTTTGGTGACAGCAGTGGAGGGCGGCTGTGCCCCCTCCTCATCGTTGTGAGGGTCGACGGTGGACCGTCGCTTGCGGGCGCCGCGAGCGCCGGAGACGGTGATCTCAGTCCTGTCGTCCTGCAGCTCCTTGGGGGCCTGGTCCTCTTCGTTGTCGTCGTTCATTTGGGCATAATCAATACGTACCCGCTTCCGAAGTGAGTGGCCGCCCTTGACTTTGGCTTCATCCTGGTGAGCAGCACCGTCCGAGGGATACTCCAGGGTCCGGGCTCGCTTGCGGCCGGGCTCATGGCGGGGGTTCTCGGGGGTGGAGAAAGTGAACGAGTGATTAAGAGGCTGTTTGGGCACGCGGTCTGAGCGAGGAGCAGCCCGGTGGTCGTCGAGGCCCATGGCGTCAGAAGCGACTGACGGGAAGTCCGCAGAGGTGGGCGACGAGAGGTAAGGATGAGATGGGGTGTGGTGGTTGGCGGCTCTCACGCGACCTCGGCTGGAGGTTGGCGTGCGGGCGTTGATAGAGGAGACCTCGTCCCCGAAGTTGATGATGTTTGTGAGCGAGACAGGCGAGCTGCTATGCGCATGGTGGTTGCCCGAGGAAGAGGAGGGCCGTCCTGCTCGAGATGAGCCCCGAGGCCTGCCTGGGCCTCTCCTGGTACCGCGCTGTTGCTGAGACTGATGAGACTCCATTCGGGTCTGCATGCAGCCAATCAGACGGCCCCGCCCGGCGCAGAGAAAGGACAATAGGGAGAAAAGCCGGCCGCTGCTATTGAGACTGGATCAGATGCCAGAGGTCAGCCCGGCCCCGTTGCGTTTATTCCATCGACGTCCGGCCAGGGGAGCAGGCCAGGAGCAAGATGCAAATTTGCAGACGGTGCTTCAATGGGTGAGCACAATGGGGGCTGCGCAGGCCATGCTGAGTAGAGGAGTGTGTGGTGAGTAGGGTACGGTATTTACGTGTCAGATGAAAATAGCAGTTGAGATGACATGAGCAGCTTGGCTGGGCTGGGCCACTACCACCTTTCTGCCGCGCTGCAGCACTGCTACTGCGCTGCACTGCACTGCAATGCAGGCCAGAGCACCAGAGCACCACGCTCACTCACTCACTCCTCGCCCCTTTGGCCGGATACCCGAAACGGGGCTTTTCACGTACCTCTGAAATACCAGAAAATAGAAAATGGATTTCACACTGTAAGTCTCAATGGGCCGCCGTGCCGTGCAGGGGGTCGTCGAGGGCAGAAGGTGCCAATATCCCAATGCGAAACGCGAGGGCTGTCGCTGCTGGTGGCTCCTGATCAAGACGGCTTCGGAATTTTTGGAGCCTCTTCTTGTCATGGCCTGCAATAAGCCCCTAGGGCGCTTGGGCCACTCTGGGCTCTGGGTATGAGGAGGTACAAGCTACTATACCCAGTTCAACGGGTGAGAGAAGGTATCTTAATATTCGCCAATCATCTTTCAAGGACTCATGCTAGCCTCATGCTAGTCGTTCTGGGACTAGCGTCTCTTGCTTGCTTCTTCCCTCCCATTGTCCGGCCCCCTGTTGTTGCAGCTTGCAGCTGCTGATACTGGGGAAGAGGGTTGACGTAGCGGATCAGTGCGGGCGGGCATGTTGCGTTTGACGGGAAGCTCAACCACCACCAACAACACCACCACTTCCAACTAGCTACCACCGTCCACAACAACTTGCCAACATCGCCAGCTTGAGGCACAGCACTCGCAAACTGCAACTCGCCACCCAATCCCAGCTGACCCTTCTGCGAAGTCCTTTACTCTCTGCCACTGCCTGCCATTACCCGCGATAGCAACCCACAATGGCTAGCAAGCGCGGCACCAAGTCCTCCGCCGCCGACGAGCTCGACGAGCTGTTCGAGGGCATCGGCGACGATGCAGCAGCCCCCAAGAAGCCCGCGACCAAGGCTCCGGCAGCAGCAAAGCAGAAGCCAGGTGACGACATCCTGGCCGAGCTCGAGAGCGAGCTGGGAGACAAGGTCCCGTCACGGCCACACACCCCGCGCGTCCGGGATGCCTCAAGGCCCGCCAAGCGTGTCGGAACCCCTAACACAGACGCTGGCCGTCCGTCAACCGAAGAGCCCAAGTCCGCCCTCCCTCGAAAGTCAGGAGAGAGCACCCGATCGTTCCACGCGAGCTTCACCCCCAGCGCCACCTCCTCCGAGCTCCAGGACACCGAGAAGACCAAAGGCACTGTTGAGCAGCAGCAGACAACAGCAGCAGCGGGTGGCGGTTGGTGGGGCGGGATCCTGTCAACGGCTTCGGCTGCCATGAAACAGGCTGAGGCTGCCGTCACGCAGATCCAGCAGAACGAGGAGGCCAAGAAATGGGCTGACCAGGTGCGAGGCAACGTTGGTGCTCTCAGGGGTCTGGGTAAGTTGGGTTTCTATCGTTTGGTTCTACACAGTCCAAGAGAGAAAGGAAAGAGGAAAACAAGGAAATGCGTTATAATGCGAGCCGCCTCAAATAATCGAACCCTACATGCGCTCTCGCAGTTAAACCATCGGTGTGTCCGAAGGGATGACCTGATGGGCCTGCAGAGAGTGCTACGTCAGAAAAGACCAGGAGCAACCGATAGGACGATTACATGGGCGGCGCGTGTATCGATGGGTCATTTACATTGCTTCATATTGGGGTCAAGCTAGAAGGTGTTCGTGCTCGATGGGCTGGCCACCGTACACAGCGCTGAACGGCTCTCATCATCTCAAGCGGGATGGATGTCGGGTCCATGGGCTGGTATCCCAAACTGTCACCTCGAGCAACCGAACCATTCAGCCTCCAGTCTCAGTGGGTACTGAGATGTGGGCCAACCATGTGGTGCAGTCGACAGACCCGTATTCTGCCTCGATTCCACCGTTTCCACTGGCACGGCTACCTTAGCGCGATTGACCATGCAAGGCTGACACTTACATTCTAGGTGACGGTATTGCACACAGGGCGCTCCCTACCCTGACTGACATTATGAACACCCTCGCGCCTCCAATCTCCCAACACGAGCGGCTTCTCATCCACATCACCCACGATCTCGTCGGCTACCCGTCGCTCGACCCTATCATCTATGGTGTCTTCAGCCGTGTTATGGCACAGGTTGAGGGCGGTGACCTGATGGTGGTACAGCGCGGGCATGAAAACACCATCAGGTCCCCATCCAACGAGAAGAGCGGCTTCTTCTCTGGCGGCCACAGCACAGCCGGCTGGCGCGATGGCCCCTGGTGGCGGGACGTCGGCTCGCCACGTGATCTCGGCTTGATCAAGGGTCTGACTGAGGGCACGAAGCTCTGCCGCGCCAGCGCCGAGGCCTACTCCACTGAGTACTTCGCGGCGTCGGGCGGGATCGAAGGCGCCAGGGAGCGCGCCATCGAGCCCGTCAGCGAGACCAACCCGGTCCGCAGCTCTGACCTCTTCCTGTCCGTCCAGGCCATCGTCACCGACGAGGACAAGGAGCTCTTCGCGGGTGCCGCAGCGAGCGAAAAGGAGAAGGAGTCGTCGACCGTGGTCGAGGAGGGCAGCAACGACGCGCAGGTGTGCTTCGCGGTCTTCATCCTCGACCCCGTGCACGAGATCCAGTTCAGCGCCGTAAGCCAGGCCGTGCCGGCCCGGTGGGTCCGCTGGCTGGACGCCCCGACCCCGTTGACTCCCGCGAGCAGCAACGACGGCAGCGGCCGCGGCGAGGTGGAGAATGTGCCCGAGGAGATCAGGGACATCGTCGAGAGCGGCGGCGACCCGCGCGAGTGGGTGGCCGAGTGGGTCGAGGAGGTTCTCACGCTCTCCGTCGGCGTGGTGGCTCAGAGGTACGTCGCGCGGCGAATGGGAGTCGGTGAGGGTGGCATCGGCAAGGGGAAGAGGAGGATGGAGGAGGTCGTCGCGGAGGGCGGTGGTGAGGCTGCTCGGGCTGGTGTCATCTGATCATGCGGTGGTTGAACTGTGTGCATCATAACATCAAGACGGCCCTCCTCGAGTTGTGACAGTATTGGGTTGAAAGCATCATGATGTTGGAACCTAGTTATGAACACTAGGATTCAAGGTCTGCCATCATTGATGCGATAATATGGGGGTTTCACGGGAGTCTGGCACTGGGCCTCAGGATATTCCTACAGCACGTTTCAATCTCAAACGGTATGTTTATATGCAAAGTACAGTTAGAGTGACTCGAGCTCTCAGTGACGCCCGTGCCAAATGTTTACGCGGGCGAATACCTCTCAACAGCCTAGGGCTCGTGCTAGATGACCCGTGAATATGTTGTCCATAGCTGCAGTACGTTCATGAGTATTCCTGGTACTATTCTCAAGAACTTAATCTGGATCTCCTTTGTTTGCATTGCAGATGAAGGTCTACAGGTAAGTTGGAAATATGAAGCCATTAAGATGTTTCGAATTCCTCATCTTGCTCGTGACGCCTATGGGAATTTCAAGTACTAAGGTATTTTATAGTACAATAGAATCTAGCAAGACATGTTCACTACTCTGCGGAGTATAGGAGAATTTCCCCCGATGTAATCTCAAGAAATGGTGGGCTAGTCACGCACACACTCCAACATCTGGGATCCCTGCGAGGGTGAGATTGTAACAAAGAATTGTAGACTAAACCTATGCAAGTCCCGCCGTTGTCCGCAGTTATTCCGAATTTTCTCCCAAATATCAAATCCCCATCACGCCCGTGATGCGCGAGTCGATACCCTTGCTGCTCCCAAAAACGTTTTCAGAGGGCTAGATGTCTCGATAGGATAAACTCTCCTCTCCTCGTACTTCTGACGTGGCAATTGATAGAATACCCCCGTCGCTGGGGGTTGGTTTTGTTTTTGGCATGCGGGTGACTGCATATGTATGTACCCGGGCACGGTTGGTTGCATTCACTGCCCTGGTGGTCAAGACATCACCATAGGGCGGCGCTCGCCAAGATGTGTCAATCGAGGCTTGTATGGCCGATCGGGTCGATCGCCCTGGGCACGCCAGGGGTTGTCTGTTCAGCCAATCCATCCCCAGACATACTCCCAGAATTCCCATTGCGCTTGAAGCATTCCAAAATTGAACAGAAATGCTTTGCCAGCTATCCCTGAGTACATAAATCCTGACCCATCGCTGTCGTGGGCACATGTCCAATATGTTCGAGTGCTTGACCTCCCTAGCTACAATTCTGACAGAACTGGGAATATGTGAGCGTCATCATCTATTGGCAGGCTTCGCGGAATTCCTTGTTGAAATTTGGCTCTCAGACTCATGGGGTTCATACTCTCAAATGTGTCTATCGTGGAGAAAAATCGCAGATTCTACAGAGTGATTTTCCTACAGAACCAAATATTCCTCCGAATCTTTAAAACTACATACTGCCCGGACAATTTCAGAAATCCAGGGCGTTGTTAAAACTCATCGACACGGTCCAATATCCCAGCAATTCTCTCGTACTTCAATATTATTCACCGAAGCATAAAGCCGCTTCCGGGACATATCGCTGTTTGTCCCCCAGTCCTGCTGCTTCCGACCAAGCTCAGTGGACTTTATAGACGGTACGTCAGAGCTTCGAGGTGCCATTAGATGTAACAGAGTTAGATGTATTTCTGATGGATACTAAATTTGGAAATTATATACCTGGACAGACTCATGGCTGTCCATGCGATACCCATGCCCCAGCCCTTTAATGAACGCATAATTATATACTATGTGCTACAGTACTGTAAATTTAGAAAGATCTTTCAAGAATATCGTCCTGTTACACTTGCCTGACTAGGGTGAAGATCCTAGCAGGGGTTTATGACTTGAGGAAGACTTAAACCTAGACTGTGCCCTCTTGCGCCATTGCGGATAGCTTCGACGTGATATCTGCTTTTGCACTCGTCAATTCCACCCGATTACGTTTCACGTCACACTGATTCGACCTGTTATTCTCTATCTCCGGTTCCAACGGACTAAATGGCAGGTTTTTCTCGGGCATGGTCACACGAGCACGGGAACAGCCGATATGATTCCAACGCTCACTGTGATGCACCCATGGCCCTGGTCCAGGCCCCGGTCTTTAGGGGCGTCGCGAGTGTGCGGGCCAGAATGGTGAGCTCGACTGCACCCCGGCAAAGGACCGAATGGCCACCAGCACTCGCTGCGACTCAGCAAAGACGCTGGAGTTTCCTTTAGCCAAAAAGACAAGCTTTTGAACCGCGCGCGCAGCGACTTGGCCAAAATTAGGAATGAGTGGGGCCCCCAACTGGCCGCATTGCCTCCACAATTCCGACGTCCACTCTGCCTGCTTCGGCCATGCCCATTTTGATACTACGACTCTGGCTTATCTCCTTCGAGATATCTCGCACATCTGCCCCCGGCCAATGATGTGCCCGTGGATCAATGATGTGATGCCGCGACTTGCGAACCGCACCTCGCAGCCCAGGGGTGGGTGCAAGCATTGCGCGGCAGTGCCGAGGCAATGTCACCTGCTTTGGTTGCACCTGTGCCTCCCTCGACTGTCCGGCAGCGTTATATCTTAAATACAAGTCCAGTTATGTAGTCACGAATGGCTTTCACTTTGTTGCTCGTGGTTCGTCCTCCTGCAGAAACACCTTCTTTCCTCCTCCGCCCACATTCCGCACCCAGGATCAGTCCGCACTCTCGGTACGGACGGCTCGTTCTTCGCCATGGCGACTGAGATCCACCGGGTCGGGTCGGAAACCCCTCCTTCAAGTTCCTCCGAAAAGGACCGTATCGAAGAGAAGAACACCGTGATCTCTCAGGACGTCGAGGGGAACTTTGACGAAGAGAGCAAGCGGTTGGTTGCAGACCGGGCAGAAGCGACAGAGCTTACGCCTGTAGAGGCTTTCAAGTGGTACGTTGAAGGCGATCAGTCACCATGTATGCTCAGTGGCAGCCCACTACTTTCAGACTACAGAAATACTGACTTCTGTACCCAGTCCCAGAAGTCGCAGCCTGCGTGCCTAATACAGACGATCCCAGCCTCCCTTGCAATAGTGAGTGCTCTCTCCTGCCTCCCACAAAACCTGTCGCTGGCAAATTCACTGACCTTCTCTTAAGCTTTCCGTGCCTGGTTCCTGACCACTGTATTTGTTGTTGTCTTTGCGGGCGCAAATCAGTTCTTCGGTCTTCGGTATCCCTCGTTGTCCATCGGCTATGTCGTCGCCCAGCTTCTTGTCTTTCCCATCGGTCGGGCGTGGGAGATCCTCCCTCGATGGAGATTGCCCCTGGGCCCTCTTTCTTTCGACATCAACCCGGGCCGATTCAGCATCAAAGAGCACGCCCTCATCGTCATCTGTGTCAACATCAGTGCCAGCACAGCCTATGCGTCGGGCGCACTGGTCTCGATTATCAGCCCCGTCTACTGGGATCGTGACTACGGCGCGGGCTTCTCTTTCATCTTCCCCCTGACTACACAGATGCTGGGGTTTGGCCTCGCTGGCCTCTCACGTCGATGGCTCGTCTACCCGGCCGCTCTCATCTGGCCGTCCACGCTGTCCTCTGCTGTTCTTTTCCGTGCTCTGCACGAGCCGCAGGATAATTCGCCGGCAAACGGATGGACCATATCGCGATATCGATTCTTCTCGTACTTTACGGTCTTCGCTTTTGTACTCTTCTGGTTCCCTGACTATATCTGGACAAGCCTCAGCACATTTGCCTTCGTCACCTGGATCGCGCCGCACAACCAAAAGGTCAACACCATCTTCGGGATGAACTCTGGATTAGGTCTCTTGCCAATCAGCTTCGACTGGACGCAGATCAACTACGCCGGTTCACCCCTGATCACGCCGTTCTACATCACTTGCAACGCATTTGCGGTAGTGGTTCTCTTCTACCTGTTCCTGTCGCCAATACTGTACTATTCAAACGTATGGCAGAGTGCATACTTGCCGCTACTCTCCTCGAGCACCTTTGACAACACCGGCTCATCATACAACATCACACGGGTCGTCGACGACAATCTCAACTTTGTGCTGTCCAAGTACGAAGAGTACTCGCCAATGTACATCTCCATGTCTTATTCGCTGACGTACGCCCTGTCCTTTGCCGCCGTCACGGCTATCGTGGTGCACACGTACCTGTACAACGGCGCTGAGATCTGGGCCAAGTTCAAGAACTCGAGACACGGCGGGGAGGATATCCACAAAAGGCTTATGAACAACTATAAAGAGGTGCCGGACTGGTGGTACGCTATCTTAACCGTGGTGATCGTGGCGCTCGGCTGCGTGACAGTCAGCTACTGGGACACCGGCCTGCCAGTCTGGGGATTCATTGTGGTGTGCTTCGGCATGGGTGTAGTCCTGATCGTACCTGAAGGAATACTGGAAGGTACCACCAACCAGAGAGTGTAAGTTTGACCCCTGACACGTTTGAGGCTTATGGCGCTGACGAAGGATATCTCAGCTTCCTGAACATCATCGCCGAACTTATCGCCGGGTACGCATGGCCGGGTCGAGCTATTGCCAACATGTGCGTGAAATGTTACGGGTACAACAGTGTCAAGCATGGCATGGACTTTGCGCAGGATTTAAAGCTTGGCCAGTACATGAAGATCCCGCCTAGGGTCCTATTCGTTGGCCAGTTGTACTCGTCAGTTTTGGCGACTGCCACACAAACTGGAGGTCAGTCTTCGTACTTGGTCCAGCCTTTTGAGATGATTATATGCTGACAGATACCCAGTCCTGCGCTGGATGATCGGCAATATTCCCAAGCTCTGCCACAGCGACAACACACAGCGCTTCACCTGCGCCGGCGCCAAGGTCGTCTACAACGCCTCGCTGATCTGGGGCACGATCGGGCCGCAGCGCATGTTCCAGGTCGGACAGATATACCACGCGACAGTGTACTTCTTCATCATCGGGCCGGTCGTTACCGTGCTGGTCTACATGATCTACAGGCGGTATCCCAACAGCTGGGTGCGCTTCATCAACGTCCCCATCTTCTTCAACGCCGCTGGCAACATCCCGCCGGCCAACACGACGCAGTACAGCCTGTGGTTCATTTTCGGGTTCCTGTTCAACTACCTCATCCGGAAGAGGGCCTTCGCCTGGTGGAAGAGGTACAACTATCTCCTGCAGAGCGCTATGGACACAGGGACCGCCATCGCCACCATCGTTATTTTCTTCGCCTTGAGCTATCACAACGTGAAGCTTGAATGGTGGGGAAACACAGTTGGCTCGGACACGGACGATGCTAACTCTGTGCCATGGCTCACTGTGCCGGATGGCCAGATCTTTGGGAAAGCCCGAGGGCAATTTTGATTTGATCCCAGTATGGGAGGATGTGAAGCGTTAGAAATGCATTTTCGGGGTATGAATAGACACGAATTTAGATCAAAGTTTGCCTTCCTGGAGCCCTGCGAGTTCTCATAGTTGAGATCGGCGAACTGGAATCTTTCACGCTCAGTTGGGGTTCTGATGCCAGCACAAAGCTCAACTTGCCATCGTGCAAGACTCTGGTGACTTCGTATACAGTGCCCGGAACGTACAGCCCGAGTTGTTCAGGTGTCTTTGATACGATTGGTATGGTACCAGCGAAATTCAAACGAATTCCATATATTAAGCATAGCACCTCAGAACTACTAGTAGAATCTCATCTTACAGGTGAACTTGATCAACGCTGCCTGTCGCTTCCAACCTACAGGCTCCGGCACTCGACGATCTTGACCGTCTGCGTCGGGCGGTCCTGCATCTCCGTCCTCACGCCGCCAATCTTCTTCAACGTGTCCATGCTGCCCTGCGAGTGCGCGGGGATCCTCCCGAAGACGGTGTGCTTGCCGTCCAGGTGGTCGCACGCGCCCAGGGTGATGAAGAACTGGCTGCCGTTGGTCCCCGGCCCCGCGTTGGCCATGCTCAGCACGCCCGGCCCGTCGTGCGACAGGCCCCGGACGATCTCGTCCTCGAACTTGCCGCCCCAGGCCGACTTGCCGCCGGTGCCGTCGGCGCGGGTGAAGTCGCCGCCCTGGATCATGAAGCCCTTGATGACGCGGTGGAAGATGCTGCTGTCGTACTTGCCCGCGTTGGAGAGCGTGATAAAGTTCAGGCATGTCTAGATGAGATCGTTATTCACAGGAGCCATGCAGATCAAAAGTGGATCGGATCGAGGAGGGTGATTTACCTTGGGAGTCTGTTCGGTGTGCAACTCAAGCTCAATGTCGCCGAAATTTGTTTTCATCAGTACGCGTTGTGGCAGCGGGCCACTCGGCTCCTGTCCTTCCACCAGAAGTGGGGGCTCGGACTTGAAGAGCTTCTTAAAGAAAGACATTATGTGTGTAGAGCTCTGGTTGCGTAGAAGCCGGAAGTCAATCTGCCATTGCAGGGAGTTGCAAGTTGCTTCGGAGAAGTCCTTCACCGCTGATTGTCAAACACGAGAGTTGCCTACCCGTGAGTACTGCATTATGTAAGCCATTTTTTGACAGCTGAGGACCCCAGAACTCGGCCGAGACGAGCTGTATCAGAGTGTTGAGCAACAACTTGCCCCCTTCAATCGGCAGGAGCGATCCCGAATCATGCGACTGGAACGGGGGTCCCAGAGCAGTGTTTCAAATCCGTGGGTAAGACTTGTGCCGGACCTGCCGGCGACTCAATCCAATTCTCGGGCATTTTTGCCCCTCGCGTGCTTGCGACTCCAGCTTGCATCTTCCGGCGGGGCCCATGTCGCCAGCGCTAGTCACTATATATCACTTTGGCAGTCGCAGGCCGTTCATCCAGTCTACAACTGATATCTGGGCGTATGGGATCTTCATCTCGAGTCTCCGTGCAGTGTTTTTTAATTGTGTTCATCATGTTGTTTGGGTTCAAGCACTTCTTCCCTGCCCTCCTTGCGTCACAGACAAGCGTTACAAGGGCAACGCAAGTCGTCTTGAGCGACGCCTCTGCGAAGCAACCTCAGACGGGCAGTGTCGCTTATACGCTTCCCACTGAGCGCACCTTTTTACTCAACGTGCCAGCTGCATATAAACATGAAGAGCCACATCCCCTGGTGCTCTCATTCCACGGAGGTCAGTCACCAATGGTGTTGTAATCAGACCGAAGGAGACATTTGCTGATAATGCAACAGCTGGCGGCTTCAGTGAAAAGCAACAGCGCATCACGGAGCTCTCTGATTCGTCCCTGAACATAGCAGGGAAGCCATTTCTCACTGCCTATGCACAGGGCGTGAACAACACGGAATGGAACATGAGACACATCTGGAAAGGGGCACCGTACGAGAACAGCTCAGTCGACGACATCGCCTACGTGTTCGACATCATCAAGGCCATCTCATCCATATACACCATCGACCGGTCCCGCATCTACGCATGCGGCAAGTCCAACGGCGGAGGCTTCACCAGCCTGCTGGCATGCCGGCCAGACACCTCAAGCACCATCGCGGCGTTCGCGCCCGTCAGCCCGGCCCTGTACCAGGGCACCTACGCCTTCCACAACTGCACGCCGTCACGGCCCGCGCCGATATTCCACGTCCACGGAATCGAGGACGTCATCACCCCATTCTACGGGCGGACCCCCGAGGAGGGAAGCTTCGGCCCAGAGCCGGACGTCAGGCTCTGGCGCCGGCAGTGGGCGGAGCGCAACGGCTGCGCCAGGGGCGGGTACCCGGGCCAGTTCCCCCAGCCCGACCACGTCAAGGAGGTCCACCCGGGCGCGTGGGAGGAGGTCTGGGACTGCCCCGGCGCGGAGGTCAGGGCGCTGAGCGTCGAGGGCCTGGGACACGCTTGGCCATCCACTATTGGGTTGGACTTGGCTGGGCGGCCTAACCACACTGCGAACTTCAACCTGACGAACCAGCATCTGGTGCAATTCTTCTCTAGACACTCTCTTGGGAAGGTTTCTGAATAATCCGAGGGATGGTCCACAGCCCAATCTGTTTTCTCTTCTGCCTGCATGACTGCGTACCTGCGGGTGGGTACGTACCTGGGTAGTTGGATAAGGCGCTCACTGCTGGGCTATTACAATTGATACAGCCTTGACAGGATAGTATAAAGCCTGTACGTGCATTTTGATGCCATGGTCTGTGGTGCATCAACTCAAAGTCCGCTGCCTCTCCGAAGAATCCGATTGCCAACTTTACTGAGTGTCGGGTGCTCCAATCAGCCACACGGTTGTCGCCTTGGTCGCTGTCAGCAGCTCGACGGTCAGGACTGTCAGCCTCGGGTGTCATTCCCGGCCCACAACACCGCCCCGATACATCCAAGTCAAACAACCCCACTGGACCGTAGAGGAATGTTGGATTATACCAAAGGTGGTTCAAAGTCCTGACATTTTCGGCACCCGAGTTTCGTCGAGCACTAAGGAGACTCCCAACCATTTCGCGGTCCTGTCAAGGCAGGGATAGACTTTCAATAGTATTTGAGAGTCAAGCCCGCCAAGAATCTTGGCCTCTTCCTAGAAATTCATTCAGCTGTGAGGCGTCCACACGCTTCAACAGTCCGCCCAATCGGTACAGTCGGCGATGGACTCTTCTCTCAGCTACCTCCTCGGAGGGCTGAAACTACTTCCTTCGTTCGCCCTCGGCATCTTGGCATTGCTGATAGGATATGTCGCGTTGAATGAGTACCTGCGCCGAAAAAGCATGATATCGGGCCTCGCGAGTCCACCGCAAAATATCGTTTTCGGGCATCTACCGTATTTTGCGCACAAGGGCGTAGCAGAGCCTTGTCGCGAGTGGTCGGAGAAGTACGGACCAGTCTACCAGATCAAGCTAGGAAACATCACCGCGGTCACGGTGAATACCGCAGCGGCAGCCAAGCATATTTTCAGTCACCAAAGCCATGCTACGAGCTCTAGGCCTGAGTTATATACCCTACACAAAGTACGTCCCAGATATCATCAAAAGCGATGCGTTCACCGCTAATCTCCCTCTCGCAGCTCGTCAACAATGCCTCAGGGACGCCGATCGGGCAGACTCCTTATAATGACTCGTTGAAGAGACGTCGCCGAGCTGCCGCAGCGGCTTTGAACAGGCCGATGGTACAGACATATGTGAGTGTTTAAGGAGAGAAGGCATTGAACCCACTTTCAACATTTACGCGGCTGACCTGTGTGTGCCACCCGCCATAGACGACGCATCTTGATCTAGAGACTCGGCATTTCATCAAGGATCTATTGCAATACGGGAGGGATGGCGCGGTTCCCATAAACCCAATACACGCTATACAACGCATGTCGCTCTCCCTTGTTCTGACACTGAACTGGGGTGTGCGAATGCGCTCGCAAGACGACGCCCTCTTCTCGGAGATCGTGCACGTCGAGGAGGAGCTGAACTACTTCCGCGGCTCCAGCGCCTCTCTGCAGGACTACGTACCGCTCTGGCGGCTCTTCCCTTCCAAGTCGGCCCAGGCCATCGCCCTGCGGAACCGCCGGGACGCCTACATCCTAAAGTTCGACCAGGAGCTGCGGGGGCGCGTGAAGCTGGGCACGCACGCCTCCTGCATCCAGGCCAACGTCATGGTCGACCCGGAGGCCAAGGTCAGCGAGGAGGAGGTTAGGTCCATCAGCCTTTCAATGCTGTCGGCCGGCTTCGAGACGGTGGGCGCGACGGTCGCGTGGAGCCTGGGCTTCTTCTCTGCGCACCCTGAGATCCAGGATAAGGCGTACCGCGAGATCAGCAAGATGTACGGCGAGGAACAGCCGCTTTGTGATGCTCAGGAGGATACAAAGTGTGAGTATGTGGCGGCGTTGGTCAAGGAGTGCTTGCGGTATTTCTGCGTGGTAAGGATGAACCTCCCCCGGTCGACCATCAAGGAGGTAGGGTACGGCGGGAAGATCATCCCGGCTGGGACGCTTATGCTTTGCAACAACATGGCTTGCAACTTTGGTACGCTCCTCCCCACTGCTCACTGCATGCCGCCTTGACTGACTATCAGACCCTGAACTGTGGCCTGATGCCGAGGTCTTCCGGCCGGAGAGATGGATCGAGCACCCTGATGCGCCACTTTTCACGTACGGCCTCGGGTATCGGATGTGCGTGGGTGCGACCCTGGCGAACCGGGAGCTGTATTTGATCTTCATGAGGATACTTCACAGCTTCAGGATCGAGCAGTACGCCGACTTCGACGACAGCCCCGTCACTGGCATCCGAGATGCGCGGGAGCTAGTGGCCATGCCCAAGCCGTACAAGGCATATTTCATTCCCAGGCACCAGGACTTTTTAGAGTCCTCCCTGGCTGAGTAAGATCATGAAAAGAGTAAGATGTGACGTGGCTCGTGGCTTGTACTGTCCAAGAGTGGTAGTGCCCTGGAGCCAAGGGCGGTCGGTGATTATGGCAATACCTATGTACTTACGGACTGACTGAACTGGCATAACATCCATGACTTAGAATTTATGCCAGCACTTAAGTCTTTTGACACTGGATCAGTGTTTCCATGCTTATAAAGCTACCCTGGTCTGGACCAACTGACTCGTTTGGGGCTTGAGAGGGACACTTCTGTGGGCCTGGCGCATAAGGGGTTAATGAACCAAAATACCTCACAAGTGGCGACGAAGGATCCTCGATTATCGGCGACTCCATCGACTCTAGAGGGATACGATCCTTTTGAACTGCGCTGTTTTCTTCGCGATCAATACGGACTGTGCGGGAGAGGTTGACGCTTCCAGCCGTTGTGGCAGCACCGCTCCCGCCTCGATACGGGCTTATGTACATTGATGCTAGAGCAACTAAAGCCGAGTGACACACAAGCACGAGCCCGTCTGTGCTGTTCGAAAGAGTCTGGACATTACTGAACCCGGCCATTATGACAGCGGATTGACTCTGAGTGACCAGCTGTCTTGAAACAGCGGTTCCACAAGACATCGGCGCGGGCTGATCTGGGCCGATGGATTGACAATCGGTCCGCAAGATGCAGTTGCCTGATGCCTGAGGCGCTGTAATACCACATTGTGATCAAAGTCACTATCATGGGGCTCACCGTGGGACCTCTACGGCACCTGGGTTGCAGGAAATCTCGACAATACACCTATGCACGAGGGGCCAAGCTGATTGGAATGTTCTTCTGGCCAAGTCCTACAAGACGGTTTGATCCAAGCAGCTGGAGCTTCAGGATGCCACGGGCACGGTCACACCACTTTCACGGAAGTACTGGTGCGGGAGGCCTTCCGGAACTGACATATTGAAGAAGCAGCAAGCCTCCTCGGCCCTGTTTTGTATTACCATGTATCTAGCTTGGCAGATAAACATTGATGATATTACTCGTCCGGCTGTTGTAAACAGTATAGTGTGTATTCAAATACGTACATAGTAATTGGTCTGCCATGTCAAAGCTCGCGGTATAAGAGGGATGAGGTAGGGTTGGACCCTGGATCAAGCCCAACGTGGGGAGCGCGGAGTTCTGGAACTCCAGAGCTGCAGTTTTCGCCTAGACAGCCTGCAGCTGGAACTCTCCTTTTTACACTTTACATCCACGAGGTACCCGACAATGCAGCCTGCCCACCGTACGCCCGATCGAGGCTCACACGACAGGAGACACAAGAACACGCAAGCACACGTGCCCCGTGGTACGGCCAGTAAGAGGTCACCGCCGTTTGGGTTGCCCTTGTCCAGGAGCGCGACATGTTGTTACCCACGACTACGGAGGCGCTGCTTGGCAAAGTCTTGGACACGCGACGGTGACGAATGCTTGTGCACAAAGCCAATATTAGCCAATTTCCTAGCGTCAAGCGGCCCCTGAGGACTGGCTGAAAACATGGAAATGGAGACTGGCGAGCAGAAGAAACAAGGCAGACAAGGCAGATATGGTAGATGTGCAAGCGCGCGAAGCAGCTGCGCTGCCTATCTACAGACGCTGTGCCCATCCTGCATGCACCCAGCCAGCGTTCCTGGGCGCTGGAGCACCCTGCAGCACCCTGCAGCGGGCCGGTGAGATCCCCGCCCCCACAGGGTCGCCAGGCCACGGGGCCGCAGGGCCACAGAGTCGAAATATAGCTTCTGGAGCACCTATCTCCTGCGCCAAGTGGGCAAGGGAAGCTGCCCTGGGGCGTATTTGTTCTGCTGCGCCAGTTCGGGAGGAGCAGAAGGGGCGTTTTCAACTTCCCAAGGGGCATCCGGGGGTTCAAATTTGGAGGCAGCCCGCCAAGCTGGCCATGGGTTACCGCCAAGCAGCGCCAAGTTGGGCCCGAAAATACCTGGAATCAACCACCCCCATGGGCCTTGCCATGGGGCTGCCATGGGGCTGCCATGGGGCCACACAACCGCGCACTTGCAGCTGCAGTGCCGCCCAGAAGTGCTGCTGCTGTGGCTCCAATCAACAACGGCGGCGGGCCAGGCCTGTCAGAGCAGCCATGCCAAGCTTGTGGTTGGCGAGCAGGATGTCAATCCGCCCATCCATGGATCCTGAGAGATGAGCTGGCCTGGGGATCGGGCCCCCTTGGATGGAGCGACGAAAGGGGATCAGCTTTCAGGTACGGCAGTGCGCCTGTACGCCCAATGTTTGTGTAGGACGCTTCCCCCTTCGGCAGAGGGAAGCCACGACGGCAGAGCACAAGCTGGGAGCGCTGATATTGTCTCAGATATCACCTTGTTTTCCTTCCCTTGGTCTTTCCTTTTCCCGATCAAGATTCACCGAGATCTTGCTTCGTCTCGAATTTCCAGCCTTGTTTCCCCTGTTTTCCCCTGTTTGGGTTGTTTGTTTGTTTTCTCCCTTCCCTCTTTTGCGCCTTCCCCTGGCTCACCTTCTCAATCACTCCTTCCAAACACCCCGAGTTGCCTTGCGACTGACGTGCCACTCACTGCTTTGGGAACGTGTCACACCTCACGCTTGAGCTTGATGGGCTTGTGCAACCCACCTGCTTCTCACCTGCACGCCCCTCAACAAATACATCATCGAATCAGCTGCTCTCAGCTGCGGAGCTGTCCTGTGGCCTGATCCTTTCGCACGACCAAGGCGGACTGGCAGCGTCAACGGCCAGACTTTACCTGGCGCATCCTTGGAGCGCAAAAACATAACATCAACTACATCATACCCAGCATGACTAGCAACGCAGGGTCTGAGTGGGAGAACGCCACAACCGTGGTGGGAGAGGGCGCGGCCGCGACGGCCGACAACGAGAAAGACCATGCCGTCCCAAAGCATGTCAAGTTCCACGTGGACCTCAGCGATGCCCTCACGCCCGACCCGGGCACCGAGGACATGTTCAACCACCCCAAGAACAAGTTCGCCTTCTCGCCCGGCCAGCTCTCCAAGCTGCTGAACCCCAAGAGCCTCAACGCCTTCTTCGCCATGGGCGGCCTCGCCGGCCTGGAGAAGGGCCTGCGCACCGACATCAAGAGCGGGCTGGGCTCCGATGAGGATATCCTGGACGGCTCAGTTGCTTTTGAGGACGTTGCGACCAAGGGCGCGCCCAAATACGGGTCCCTCGGGAACACCGCGCCGCACCCCGGCGAGGAGAAGTCGGCTGCTGCTGCGTCTGGCGCGCACCACGCATCGACCCAGGGTTTCTCCGATCGGCAGGACGTGTTTAACGACAACAGGTAAGCTTGATCCCATTTCCAACTCATCGCGCTCACTCGTGGGAGTGGGCGGGCATATTTCGACTGGGGGCATGCCGATAGCAAGCGCGCCAAGAGCGTCGATTAGAATGGAGTCGCCATTGTGAGGTCATCATGGACTTGGACAAGGAAGCTGCACATAGCCTCACGATCGCCCGAGACTGGCAGCTAATCAACCTTTGAACAGACTTCCTGAGAAGAAGAGCAAATCGCTGCTCGAGCTAGCTTGGTTGGCGTACAACGACAAGGTCCTGATTCTTCTTACAATCGCAGCGGTTGTCTCTTTGGCACTCGGCCTCTACCAGACATTTGGCACTACCCACGAGCCTGGTGAAGCCAAGGTGGAATGGGTGGAAGGTGTTGCTATCATTGTGGCAATCCTGATCGTTGTCATCGTGTAAGTAAATCTCGGGCGCTCGCCGAAGGCTACGTCAATCACTTGTGGACCTCCGTCATGAGCAAGTGCTAACTCATATCGCCCAATAGTGGCACCCTCAATGACTTCCAGATGGAACGCCAGTTCAACAAGCTTAACAAGAAGCACAATGACCGCACGGTCAAGGTGGTCCGCTCCGGCAAATCTCAAGAAATTTCAGTATTCGATGTCATGGTCGGTGACGTGGTCCACCTGAGCACCGGCGACATGATTCCTGTTGATGGCATCTTCATCGAAGGGTACGGCGTCAAATGCGACGAGTCTTCTGCGACTGGTGAATCGGACCTCCTCAAGAAGGTCTCCGGCAACGACGTTTTCGCAGCCTTGGCAGACGCAGCCGCGTCTGGACAGGATCGGCCAGAGCTGGAAAAACTGGACCCGTTCATCATCTCCGGAAGCAAGGTCCAAGAGGGAACAGGAACCTTCCTTGTGACTGCCGTTGGTGTCAACTCGAGCTACGGACGAACCGCAATGGCACTGCGTACCGAGCAGGAAGACACCCCTCTGCAGAAGAAGCTGAACATCCTAGCCGACTGGATAGCCAAGTTTGGGGCCGGTGCTGCACTGATTCTCTTTATCGTGCTTTTCATCAAGTTCCTTGCGGCTTTGCCTGGAAATGACGCGTCGCCATCGGACAAAGGCCAGGTATGTTTGACAATAAACCCTGCTCAAATACTTTTAGTGAACTTGGCATTATCTGACTCAATTCTAGCAATTCCTCACCTTGTTAATTGTCTCTGTAACGGTGGTCGTCGTGTGAGTATTACTGGTCCTCTTCCTATATTCAGCCACTGACAGAGTGTCTAGAGCTGTGCCTGAGGGCTTGCCTCTGGCTGTGACTCTCGCTCTCGCCTTCGCCACCACCCGAATGATGAAGGACAACAATCTTGTCCGCGTTCTGAAAGCATGTGAAACGATGGGCAACGCGACAACCGTATGCTCAGACAAGACGGGAACTCTTACACAGAACAAGATGACTGTGGTCGCTTGCACCTTGGGAAGTTGCAATAGCTTTGGGGGCACAGAGCCGTCGCTCGACGACACGGAAAAGCGCGATTCTCCCGAAAAGGAAGTTGTCGAAACTGTGCCCAACGTTCCCGTCAACGAATTCGTGGCTTCCCTGAGTGATGAGACAAAGCGACTTCTAATCCAGTCCAACGCAGTCAACTCGACGGCTTTCGAGGGCGAGCAAGACGGAGAACAGACTTTCATTGGCTCGAAGACCGAAGTCGCACTACTGACTTTCTCACGCGATCATCTCGGTGCCGGACCAGTCCAGGAAGAGCGATCCAATGCGAATATTGTGCAGGTCCTCCCGTTCGACTCCGCGAATAAGTACATGGCAAGTGTTGTGAAGCTTGCCGATGATAAATATCGAGTTTATGCCAAAGGTGCCTCTGAAATTCTCGTCAGGAAGTGCGATCGCATACTTAGCGACCCTGAATCCACTACTGGCGTCGAATTGAAGGATTCTGTACGCGAGTCGATTCTCAGCACTATCACTTCCTACGCCGGCCAGACACTGCGGACTATCGCTTCTTCATACCGAGACTTCGAATCGTGGCCACCGGCAGGTATGGAGTCCAAGGACGATCCGAAGGGCGCCGATTGGTCAAAGGTCCACGAATCCATGACTCTCGTGGCCATCTTCGGAATCAAAGACCCTCTTCGGCCCTCCGTCAAGGATGCTATCAAGGACTGTCAACGTGCGGGTGTTGTGGTGAGAATGGTGACAGGCGACAACATCCTCACGGGCCGCGCAATCGCTAGAGAATGCGGTATCTACCACCCAGAGGAAGGCGGCATCGCCATGGAGGGCCCTGACTTCCGGCGAAAGGACGAGAAGGAGCTCAAGGAGCTGGTGCCCAAGCTTCAGGTCCTTGCGCGCTCAAGTCCCGAGGACAAGCGCATCTTGGTCCGTACGCTGAAGGAGCTTGGGGAAACCGTAGCCGTCACCGGCGATGGTACCAACGACGCTCCTGCTCTGAAGATGGCCGATATTGGGTTCAGTATGGGCATTGCGGGCACGGAAGTCGCAAAGGAAGCCTCCGCTATTATTCTCATGGATGACAACTTTGCTTCGATTGTGAAGGGTATGATGTGGGGTCGTGCGGTCAACGACTCGGTCAAGAAGTTCCTGCAGTTCCAGCTCACGGTCAACGTTACTGCCGTTGTCCTCACGTTCGTTTCGGCTGTCGCTTCGGCCGAGGAAGAGTCGGTACTCGTAAGTCGACCCCGGATAATACCTGAACTCCTTGCCTTTTTCTTGTCACCGATTACCGCGATATACTGGAAATATCAGCCGCTGACCTATATAACAGAACGCCGTGCAATTGCTCTGGGTGAATCTCATCATGGACACATTCGCAGCTCTGGCGCTAGCGACGGACCCCCCGTCTCGATCTGTACTGGACAGAAAGCCCGATCGGAAGTCCGCATCACTCATCACTCTTCGAATGGCCAAGATGATTATTGGGCAGGCAATCTGCCAGCTGGCGATTACGTTCTGTCTCCACTTTGGCGGCGGGACTCTTATGGGCTACGACGGAACATCTGAGCACGAAATGAAGAGGCTGAAGACGCTGGTCTTCAACACCTTTGTGTGGTTGCAAATCTTCAACGAGGTCAACAACCGCCGTCTCGACAACAAGATCAATATCTTCGAAGGCATTACACGGAACTGGTTCTTCCTTGGCATCAACCTGATCATGATCGGCGGCCAGGTGCTAATCATCTTCGTCGGCGGCGAAGCCTTCGAGATCGTCCCTCTCAACGGCAAGGAATGGGGCCTGTCCATCGGCCTCGGCGCCATCTCGCTGCCGTGGGGCGTCCTCATCCGCAAGTGCCCCGACGAATGGGTCGCCGCGTGCCTACCGTGGTTCATCCGGAAGAGGTGGGCACCCGAAAGCATCACGCCGAGCAAGATGGAGGCACACAGGCGTAACACGTTTGAGCTGGAGGAGGGCATTCGACCGCCGCTGCGCACGCTCTCGACGCTGCGCGGGGACCGGGCGAGGCAGAACATCCGCGGCGGGAGTGGCTTCAGGGCGTATATGCACGAGCAGAAGGTCAAGGCCAAGAAGGCAATAAAGAAGACAGCTGCGCCGGCTCACGCCGTCGCCCCTGTGAAGACTGTGGAGAGTGCTTCGGAGCAGGGCAAGAGTTGAAGGATGGGCGAGTTTCTTTCGATGGGGTAATGCGTTGACGCGTAAAATTAGATAATTCGACAGGCAAATACAAATTCTTTTCGTGAAGTAGAAGAGTACCTTTGGAGATTGGATTAAATATGACTTGATTGGTCGAGCTGGTAGTTCAGGTTCTAAAAGGCCTGATCGCCGGAGAGCGCATTAATCGCTACAAGCACGCTGCGACGGAATGTGAAATAGGTTGCTTGGTGAAGAGACGAATTGCCAGGGAAGAACCCTCAAGTCTCGTTGCGGTAGTCAACCCACTCTATGAGTGAAAGCGCCTGTTTGGCGGATTCACGGCTCGAAGGCTCCCATTTCAGCAATGCAGATATTGTAAGAGATAGCACTCGGAGGGATTTGAAGTCGTAATCCGAATACTCGTCGACTTGGTACTCTTCCTCTTCCTGACACTTTCTGATGATAGTTCTCCTCCTCTCTTCGAACGTGTCCACGTCTCTTTGATGGTGGCCTGTGGATACAATTTACTTCGTCAGCTTGAATTTGACTTGAAAATAGAACTTTCGCAACTCACCATTGACTTCAGAGTCCATGCTTCTCCTTTGCATCTCCCTCCACAGCGAATGCCATTGGGCTGGTAATGGACCAAGCTTTGACACCATTTGCCCAACAAAAGCACCGTCAGAGCCGTGCTCAAATGGAAATGGTGATTGCTGAAAATACAAGGCGTAGATCTGTGTAGAATGAGTTGGTTAGCTACCACACGAAGAGGCGCGGTACGCTGCCCCTGTTGGATTGTGGCTGAAGGAACGTACAACACAGCCTGCCCTCCACAGGTCATGATGGGAGTCGATCGACGCACAGAAAAAGGTTTCTGGCGACCGAAGGTCGATTGGCTGCGGAAGTGTCGTGACTACTTGCCCAGCTGGGAACGCCAAGCCCCAGTCTAGGAGCCGCATGTCCTCCTCGTCCCGGTCAGTCCACATATCCCAATCCGCAGTCTTGACCAGCACGCGAGGCATGTTGGGCGGGAGTGCTTCTTGGCCAGTGTATGTGGCTGTGATGGGTTGCCCGCCCAGGGCGACAAAGAAGTCCTCATCACCGTTCAGTGCTACATCGCACGTAAAGGCAACGTTGCCGAAAGAAATATCTGTAGATGGCTTGTTTAGATATCTCCCCTTGGCTCGGAAGAACAACTACGTACCTCCATGGACCACGCCAGCTCGGTGCGCAAAGTCTACTGCCTGAAGTACGCGCTTCGAAGCTCGAAGTACTGTGTCAGGTCTCAGAGTCTCACCAAAAAGACCACATGCACGGAGTACCCTCGCGACTGATGGCCCGACCAATTCCGTGACGAGGCAGTTGTGCGTGCCATTTGGCCCGGAAATTTGGAAAGTCTCCAATAGACGGGTGAAGCATCTTGGTTGTTTTTGATCACTGCTGGCGTGGTGCTTCTCCAGGGCCAGCAGGGCTCGTACCTCCTGGTCTTGCTCGAGTGGGCCCTCACTTATTCGAGACTGTTTGATCTTCAATGACACCCATTGGCTGCTTTTCGAGATCAGCTGGGGTCCACACGACTGATGGGGGCCGCTCGGCGGTCGTACCTCTGACGAGTATCATGCGCAAGCCACACGGTCGCCTGCCCTCCGAAGCCTAGCTTGTGCTTAATTACAAACCTCCCGTCTTGGAAGGTGTCGCCAAGAGCGACAGGGTGGAAGCCGCCAGGTCGGTAGTCCTCAGGGGGCTCGTGTGGCTGGACGTTGGTAGCATTCGGGAATACATCTTCAGTCCACTCCACCATGGTGATTTGACGAGTGACGCGCGCGCGTTGTCCCGGCTACACACACCTAGTCAGGCTGGTGTTGGAAGCAAAGTGTAACTTCGGTGCCGCCGCCAGTTGTGTTGAGTTAGCCGCGCTAGAAAGAAAACTTTTTTTTTTCCTCTGGGCATGAGATGGGGCGTTACTCTTGAATTATGCCCGGCGCAGTTTGGGCTCAAGTAGAGTGCGCGCCGTGCCGCGCAGATGCGGCCAACGGCCGGGCCTTCTGTATGCGAGTGCTGCGTAGCGAGCAAATGGGAGGCGTACGTCGATACCAACTGCCTAAACGACCCGGGTGATCGAGGTGTTCCCTGTCTCCGTGACGACATGCGTCACGTCGCACAGCACGCCGGGTGCTGTGGTGCGAGGCAAAGGAAGCGCGAGTGCCAGGGGTTGCACTCGGTTTCGGTGCTTACTACGCGATACCGGTACCGTGGAGTTGGAACCGAAAGTGATGTGAGATAGTTAGATCCCGTTTGCGACGTGCATTGGCTTGTTCCGACAGGCATTAGTCTCGCGATAAGCCGGTCTCGTCAGGTTCAGATGGTTGTCACTGGCGGATGCCCTGGTAAGTTAGTTTAACGACAACAATGCTGCAAGAATATGTGCAGTGATCCTGCAACCCCTAAATCCAGACCAAATCACAACCAGCGACTATGTTAGCCACCGTCACATAATTGCAACACATTATTTGAGTATGCCCAGCTGGGCAAATCTTGGAGGGCGGTTCAATTGCCGGGCTCATACCTGGCAACCAATGTCATGGAGGTCAGCACTGCGGCATGGGGCCTTTTTGGCTTGGAAGGGATCTTTTTTTTGTCCTATTTTTTCTTGTGGATAAAGTCTCCGAATCCGAAAACCATTGATCTTTCGCCAGTAAAAATGTGACTACTGCACGCGCTTGAGAGGGACCGAGGTAGCATCTTACCGTCAGCTTTGCGATACCGATGCCGAGTACCATTACGAGTGACAACACAGTGGCCAAAAACAAGAGTTCTCTGGGCCGTTCCATATTTGGGAAAGACATGTGCCAAAGCCCTGAACCCTGCACGTGGGAATGCATCACGTTGGGGCATGGCCCCCAATATCGCCTTATTCCATCCCGCCAGCACTGTATCCAGGTTGGCTCTTTCAGCCTATCGGTTGGGCGAAGGATTCCGATCCCAGGAGTCTCACGCCTCCTCTCTTTCGCTATCGCCCCCTCCTTGTCACTCCCTTGAGCGTGGTGTTACAGAACACCTTCCAATTATCTGGTCTCATTTTATCATTCTGGTTATCTGGTATAGTGGTTTTTACGATTGAGTATCCGGAGGAAGGTCCGGACTTAATGTTCTCGTGCGAAATGTCACGAAGCTGACCAGGATGGCCAGATTGGCCCGATGGGCACAGAAGCTGTTCGGCCGGATCAAGAGCCCACCTACAGTAGCGACAGCGCCCCAGGCAGCAACTTCAACCTACAACGCCAGTAAAGAGAGGTCCGAACAGACCATAATCCGGCCAGCAGGCCCACCACCTCGAGCTGTCCACGAGAGACATTGGCAGAAAGAAGAGCGTAGACGGGCGAAGAGCGATGGTGGTGGCTCCATCCTCGTCGTCCTGCTGGGCTCTCCAGGCATTGGAAGGAGGTCTCTAGAATATAAGGCATGTCTTGCGCTATAAAGCTGCCCTTGAAGGCTTCTCTCTTGCTCACGGTGTCCAAACTAGCTGCTTTACGACGACATGGACGGCGGGGAATTGCTTGAACAGGCCAGGTTCTATATGGAGGAAGAAGTACCGACGTACCTCTGTGGCGAATACGTATACAACCTAGACATCATCACATCCGCAAGTGACCCGATCCTAGATTATGGCCAGGGTTTCGGTCATTCTTTCTTCAGCGTCATCCTGGCGTATGACATCCACTCACAGGACTCGTTCGATGAGGTCGCACGCCTGTACGACACTATCTGCCGCCACCAGAAGAGCGGCCAATCTGGGTTTGACATCTTGGTCCTTGGGCTCAAGGCAGACTTGGATAGTGCAGACGGACGTGTTCCACGAGACATAGGCGAGAGGTTCGCTTGGGAGCGCGAATGCTCCTTTGCGGAATGCTCGGCCAAGTCTGGGGATGGGGTCTAATTATGAAGCATTTGGTATGGTTGTCGAGTATGCTCATGGCATCACGGTGCAGTTTTCTGGAGACCCCGAGGGCCGTAAATCTTTTATCGACCAAAGCCGTGCCCACCTGGCTCGGACCATGCACTCTATCGAGACACGATAACCTATGTCTACCCCTGGAGCCGTGGCAAAGCTCCTAATGGCACAGGCCCTCCGTGTGTTCTCCAGCACATGTTGGTTGAAAAATTGTCTGTAGCTAAGAGTTCGAGTTCCTGTCTTCTAATATTCGAACCCACCAGTTCTATGGGTCTCCGCATGTGTGTATCTGTCTTTTTGATGGGCCATGTACCTAATTCGATCCTCAGCACATTCGGCTTTCATGCTATGCGGAGATCGCTTTTCGAGTGTTAAGTGTCTCAAATCTTTTAGCTATAGGTCTTTGGTGATAATATAGTGGGCCATAAATAAAACTACTCTTCTGTCGCGAGAACCCCCAGCATTCCATACTTTGGGGGGGGGGGGGACTCACGGCCGTCAATCACAGGTATCGCATCTGCATACCATGGAACTTTCCGCACAGAAACATCGTCTGAGATAGCATGCAGGCAGCGGCCAGGGGCAACTATTGCGCAATATGCATGACCTGGTCGCGACGTGGTTAATATCTAACGAGTCTACAAAAGTACGGTTCGACTACTTTGCTGACCACCCTCACGCACCTAGGGCCCACAGCAGAGGAAACTCTTTGCGTGCGCCGAAACACCTACGCTTACATCCATCACTTGATCCATGATTCACTGACAGAGAGTCTCGCAGGACACTTCTGCACGTGCCTTGGACCGTTCTAGTGCTCTGCGCAATGCGTGGACGTGGCATTGGGTTTGACGGTATTCGCGTGCGTCGAACTTGAAGCAGTCCAAATGAGGTTTCGAGCTATTCGTAGTATCTCGATAGCATTTGAAAGTGTCTGAGATCCCGTGACTTCGAGAACTCACATATTTCCACCGCCGCCGGGAGTTGTTGGTGTCGATGTTGATGTTGGAAGAGATTAAGTTTCCGGTTTAGGAGTACGATGGCCGTCATTAAGTACTTCGCCCAGCCGGGTGTAACCGCGATGAGGCTCAAACGACCATGCAGGCAGGAGACACGCTGATTGATTTGATCATGAAATAAAGAAAAAGTGGCGACAAGAGCTTGTATCATCTTGCTCGGGCAGGGGTGGGGGGGAGGGCTGTGGTCTACTGTCTGACTGTCAGTCCAAGGCAAAGCATCTCGACCCGCTTCTCCGCGTGACCTCCGAACAGTCCGGTCGTCTGCCGAAGCCACCAAACCTCTCCAGACACTATTCATCCCTGAATCAGGGGCTCAGGGGCTCCTCCCCACGGCAGGGCAGATCAAGTACAGGTGCTTTCTGAAATACCTCACTCAGGAGAAGCTTCACACGCCATCTGAAGGGATCTAGGGGAAAAATCACTCCTGCCCTCGAGTAAAATCCAGGGTATCAATATTCAAATTTTGCACACAGATACCAAGCCAATCTATCTACCTCGAGACATGTCATGTCATGTCATGTCATGTCATGTCATGTCACGTCGTTCATTATCGAAACAAATAAACCGACCAGGACTGAACCTGCCTGGACCCGCACTTTTTCCAAGCCGACCCAGTACCGAGCTGGCCAGCCAGGCGCCGCCCATCGAGATGCGCCAGCCCCCTTGGCCCGGCGCGCATTGCATCCCGTCTATACCTGCCTCATTCAGAAATAACCACGATCATCGCTGATGTGAGCTGGGTGGGTTTCCAGTCTTCGATCTCGTCAATTTCCGCAAGAATAAAAATAACAAACGATGCAGGGCATGGCCCGGGCCGGCCGCCACCCCCCGTTCCAGGTCCTCTATATCCCGTGTGCACTCCAAACGCCTCCCATATTTGCACCAGTCGACTCCATTAGGCTCTGTCCCCAGTCTGCCCAGTTGAAGTCCTCGTCCATGTTCACATCGATGTCCTCGGGTTGGACGTCGTTGTTCCCACCTTGCAGCGGGAAGCTGAACGCTCTCGCCGGCGTGTTCGCACTCATCGGCCCGCCGCCGCCACTGCTAGCCGTTGCCACGGAGCCAGGGGTGCCTGCAAAGGTCTGCGTGGCTGCGACCGGCGTGTCGTTCCACAACCACGGAGGTAGGTTGCCCTCGACCTTAAGCGCGTCGACCAGAGGCGTCTGCTGCATTCTTGGGTCGGTCGACATCGAGGTCCCAGGGACTGCGCGACTGGTGGCTGTGTCACCGTTGCCGTTGGCGAAGTTGGCGAGAGTCGAGTCCTGCCTTGGGATCGGGTCGCTGCCAGACATGAAGGGGAACCCCACGCTGCTCGTTGCAGCGCGCGCGATATCGGCGTACTGTGGTGAGAAGGCTATAGGCCAAAAGCTGTCGGGCTGGAAATGAGGCTGGTTCATGACGTTCTCCACAATTTCCATGGCCCGTTCGTCACCCACGTTCTGACCTGGCAGGCTGCCACCGATGCCCATGTTGTTCGGCACCTGTGGAGGCGCACTGACAGCCTCGCTCTGTGGCCCCGATGGTTCTTGTTGTTGCCCTTGCTGTTGTGGGAATGTCGGGAAAGACTTGGTCTCCCGTTCTACCTCAGGTGGTAGTCGCGGTGCGTTGACAAGTTTTCGCCACCTCTCATTGGCCACCGCACTCTTGACTGACCCAGGCATGGCTGCGAAGCTTGCCGGTGCCCCCGCGTTCCTGCGCTCTTCCAGCTCTAGCTCCTGCGCAGCTTGGGGATCAGCCTTGAGTCGAGCTATCTCTCCTTCTCGGTGCTTTCTGGCCTTGATGTAGATCTTCTTGAGCGGCAGCCAAACGGATTGATCTCCTGCTATACGGTTCAGATCATCAGTATTGGGGCTAGCAAAAGTAGCATTCAGGGCCGCCCATGCTCGCTCAACAGCAGCGCTCCAAGGGCGACGAACGACCTCCATCAGTACATATGCCACAGCATGCCATGCCGTGTACGTAAGGAAGAGCCAGCGCCATGGCCTGGATCGTGGGTCTGTGTTGAGTTGGTGGTTGTACTCGAAAATCTCGGTGGCGGCGGTGAAGATGCGATCACGGATTGCGCTGGAGAGGATCTCGCCATCAGGCCCTGGGAAGAGCATAGGTTGGTATATAACAAGCGTCATCTTCGCGACGATGACGCGGGCTATGTTCGCCGCCGTCCACAAGATCGGGTCCTGCGAGGCGTCGGCGCCGCGGAAGAACTTCCCTTCCACGCTCGCGTATACCTCCCTGACCATATTCTCACGCTCTTCGAAAGATATTGCTGCATCTCGGGGGCAGGACCCAGCATTTGCTGAGGACATGGTGTGCAGACGCCTCGCAAGCCCGCAGATCTCGTATCTTATTAGGGAGAAGGTCATGTCTGTTGAGCCCTGCCGGGCTTGAGGCATCTCCGTCGTTTCTGGTGTGAGATCGGTGTCGTTGATGTTGAGAGGAAACTCGGTATCGAAGGTCCGGTCGACAATGGTCAAATCAGTGCCCTGATCCTCGGCTGCTCGAAGGTCCAGGATGCAAAGCGCCCAAAACAGTCGCCGCCGCATTTCGATCTCGAGCGGTGTCAGGCCCGGAAATGACGTCCCGTCGCGGTGAAGGCCCATAGATTGACCCATTCGGATGGCGAGCCCTGTCAGGGTCCAGGACACTCGAGTATCATCGTGACGTCTGACCAGAACCAGGAAGAGAATAAAGGCCTGGAGAACAACCATCTCCGACGACACCAAAAACTCGGCCTTGGCAAGAGACTGCTCCAACGCAAAGCGATATTGCGAAATCAGCCTCGGCCTATCGACTCCGAAGTTCTTCTTGGTCTGTTCCTTGTTAGTACATGTAGAGAGAGGTCGGGCCAGGGGGCAGGGCTCTCACATCTTCCTCGTCCATGGAAGTGATGGCCGCGAAGTAGATTGCAAACATCAGAGCCTCGTTCCCGGGTGTTAGGCTATCCAGGTTTTTTCGCGTCTCCTTGACTAGAATTTCGACGGTCGGCACGTGTAGTATTTTGACAATAGGGTCCACATTCTCCTGATAAACCTGCCACATGTATGGTATTTGTGAAGGTAATGGATGCAAGGGTCGCAAATCGACATCGGCGGACCTATACCCAAGAACAAAGGCGTGGTGGTCACCGCCTGACCGGGTTGTTCGCGGTGGCTATTATACTCTCGTCATCCGAATCACTCGATTCTCCGTCCGTGAGCTTTTGGGTTTCGTGCCGCAGTTCGTCAAGCTAGTTAACTGGTCAGCGCTGCGTGCTCGCACTCTACAAAGCATTGGATCGGCAACTGCACCGACCTCATCCGTGATCTTGGACCAGAATGCACTGCTGACATATCTGGTCTTGCCGTGGTCATTAATGACCAGCCTCCCAAACTTCTTGTTGACGTTGTCGGGTCGTTGCGCGACGTTGCCAGAGCTAGAATTGAAGTTGTAGGGGGCTGCCATCCTGCCGTCGCCGGGCGCTGGAGGCGACCCCTGACTATGTGTGCTGCCCGCTGTCATACTTTCTGCCCTCTCGTGCCTCGGCCCTGAATTGGGCGTGTGGAAATCGGTCCCGGCATTGGCGGTGGTGGTCTCGGGGGAATCGCCGCTGCTGGAATGATTCCTCGCAGTCTCGACCTCGATCTGGCCGCTCAGCTCCTCGACAATGCCCTCCAGCTTCCGCAGCCGCTTCATCAGCTCGATCTCCCGCTCGCTGGATGGCTGCTTGGGTGGCGCGTTGGGATCCTTTGGTCGTGGGCGGCGCGGTGCGCGGCCTGGGGCAGGAAAGATGCATGGGATCTGGGCTCGGCGGCAATTCGAACATGGCATGTGCTTGTCGCAGCGTACTTTTCTCCTCCGGCAGGTGACACAGCTGCGAGGGTTCAGACGGTCGGAGGGCGTGGCGGTCGGCGTGTAGACCTGTGCGCCTGGAAAGGCAGGGTGTGAGTGCGGTTGTGGGGATGTGGTGTTGTGGTTGAACGCGCCATTGTTGCTGGGCGAGTCGGTGGTTGACGGGATGTGGAAATCAGCGAAGGAGTCGTCCGGGCTGGTCGGGTTGGACGGGTTCGAGGCAGAGGTCGGGGGAGGGAGCGGCTGCCCCGAGTTGTCCATGGTGAAGCTTGGACTCTGGTCCGAACTTGGGCCTGTCTCACAAGGGCCGTGCAGGAGGTGCCGCGAGGAGGAGAGAGGCGTAGAGTCGCTGCCGGACCAGACGAACAGTCAGGTAGGCAGGCGGGCAGGTTACGGGTCAGGCTCGAGCGTGGAGGTGTTTTCTGCGCTGAGATTGGGACTGCCGAATAGATTCGAGTTTCTGAGTATGTCTGCCTCGAACTGAGAAGAGTGTCTAGATTTCTAGACTGGGAGAGCAATTCCTGGATGCAAGGCGGAGAGGCTGGGTTTGGTTGCGGTTGTTGCGGTTCGTGGGAGCCGTCGTGCGGTGCGGCGCCGTGCGGGTGCGGTGCGACTCAAGCTCTGGGAGGATGAGCGACCCGGACCTTGCCCTGGTCTCGGACCGTCGATAGGCGAAGGCTTCCTTGTTATTGTTACTGGCGTGTCGGGATTGGGAGACCTGACGCTGCCGGGGCTGAGACGCTGTAAATTTCAACCTCGAGGGCGAGGGCAATGCGATAAGGCAGTGCAGGGCCGGCGAATTCCCTCATCGGCTACAGAGTTCGGACAAAGGGACAGGAAAGAAAAAGAGGGTGGGTGTGTGGGAGTGGTGAGAGAGGACCGGTCTGAGTGCACCGGGTGATGGGTCGTAGAGGAAGAGAGCAGCCCAGCAAAGCAACCAAAAACCCAACCCCTGGGCCACTTGGGCAGTTTGAGCTGAGCGATGAGGGTCACAGGGTCCAGTTCTTGTGTGTCTGACGCTCCCACGCTCCGTTGCTAGCAGCAGCAGCCACCACCGCCGAAGACCGACGGACGGGCGAGACCGTTGCATGGCGTTGCGCTCCCGTTGCGGGACCGGCTGGCCCTGCAGCACCAGCACCAGCAGGAAAATTATGTCAGCGCGGGGCAGGAGCACAAGCACTTGGTCTGCCCGGTCGGGCCTAGCACCGATCCATGAGGCTTTATTCCCGATGAGGCATCTCATCATCGGCATTGAAATCCTTGGCGGCTTCTATCTCCGGACTTCAAGTACTGAGCGTCTGTACCTTTATCGAGATCCAGCTCGAAATGTCCCATATTTTCTGCATGCGTGCTTCGAGTCATGCCCTCTCCAAAACACGTTGGCGACGCCCTCTGGTGAGCCTCTGGTGAGGTCAATCACGTCGTCGCTATTGTGCATGCATCATCAAACTGAATCTGAATTGAAAGTCGGACATACCCAGTCACCTACACTCTTCAGGTATCTATCTGATCGATGCACGGCGGAATCCCCTCCCGCCCTACCCCCAATGCTACCTGACTGTAGACGTGAGCCAATGACTGGTCGCAGCCGAGTTGGCCGAAACCATGGTGTGCATTAGGTACTCTGCGGCGTATCATCGGCTCTGCACCTCTGTCTGTGAAATTGCTCGTGGCTGTCGCTGGTACGGTGGCCGGCAGGTCCTGCTTGCTGCTAACGGACGTGGTCAACGGCTACCCGTGCATTAGCATCATCGCCGCCTGGTCGGTGACGCTCTGGCGCTCAACTCCAGTGCTTCAGGCTAGTCTTCACGGCAAGCTGAGCCGAGCCGCAACACTCGGCCGAGGGCTGACAACTTCACCTCAGTGGTTGGAGTCCCTCCTCGCCGGTCATGCACGCCCTACGATGGTTATCTTCGGTGCCCAAGCGCCTCCGATCTCGCTAGCCGTCTGTTATGACAAATCCCAGTACTCTTTTGTGTAAATGATGGACCGGATCGCATGGGAAGATGTCAGGTGTGACTCAAATAAAGATGGCTATTGTACCACGCAAAGAGTAGATCTATTTCCTAGATTGGAACCAGCATGATGAGAATCAATTAATATCTACTTGTACACGTGCGACCACCAAGTCAATGTCACCGCTGGGCTGGAAGGAAGATTCAACTCCACTCGCAAATTCCATTCACGTCGGGCGTTTAGGAATATGCGGAGGATGCTACTAGCAGAAACTACTATACTTCTGAGAATCACGAGATATGTACAGGTTGAGTAATATTTTAGTTGACCGTGGCGAACTTTGCCCATGGTGGTCTCCCTCGGCCTGCCCGCAGCCAAGGATGGCCTGTCTCAATGGACCTCGGCTCAGCGCGACACCACTAAACATCCGGACTGCCATCTCTTGTCCCAACATCTGAGGGTCGCCAGCCGCTGTCACAATGCTTACAGCCCCGTGCCTCCGTCATGGGCTCAATGGGATAGTCAATTCCTTCCCCAGATCGACAGGCGCTCCCCAGGTGTTCTTGACTAGGCGGTCTTGTGGTGGTGCGCCCCGTCCACTATCGACCGCAATATCTCCGGGCAGAGTGCGTCACCGGCCCAGGAACCCGGAACCACCAGGGCTACGCATATCCATGGCTCCATCACAGAGCCACGCCCGTGGGCTCTCATCAGCCAGCTCTCCTAATTTTAAGAGCGAGAAAGAGAGACCGTCCATGGCGGAAGCACGGCCGAGCTCCAGCATCATCCTGCTCTCCCCCACCAACCAGGTCCTGCTCCTCCACCGCGTGCAGACCTCGTCGTCCTTCCCGTCAGCCCACGTATTTCCAGGCGGGAACCTCTCCCCCTTCCACGAGCCCCCGCCCCCGCCGGCGGACTCGCCAGACCGCCACCGCGACTCCCCGGCCTACCGCCTCGCCGCGGTGCGCGAGACCTTCGAGGAGTCCGGCATCCTCATCGCCAAGCGCTCCCCGGCGGACGACAACCTGCTCGTCGTCCCGGAGGCCGAGCGCGAGGCCGCCCGGGGGCAGATCCATGGCGACAGGGTGAAGTTCACCGAGTGGGTGGAGCACACCCTCGGGGCGGCGCTGTGCGTCGACGACCTGGTCCCCTTCACGCGCTGGGTCACCCCGCCGAACATGCCCAAGCGCTTCACGACCCAGATGTACATCTACTTCATGCCGCTGGCCGAGTCACCCGGGACACCTGCCGCTGGAGATTGTGGGCCCGTAGACGTGGACGTCGTTCAGACTCCCACCCCCGACGGCGGCGTCGAGCACACGGCGGCCACCTTCGCCGACGCGTCCGAGTGGCTGCGCAGGCAGCGCCGCGGCGAGATCGTGCTGTTCCCGCCGCAGTGCTACCTCCTCACCCTCGTGGCGGAGGTTTTCGCCTCGGTGTCGCCTGAGAGCGTGGGCAACGACCTGGAGGCGAGGTACGCGGCCCAGCGCCGGGCCCTGGTGGACTTCGTGCGCAGGAAGCCCACGGCTGGTGAGGCTGCGGTGGAGGGGGGCAAGAGTCTACACCCGTCGGCGCTGATACCGTGGTCGGAGAAGGTTATGAGCCCACACACTTTATTCATCCGCGATAGTGATGACAGGATCGTCCTCGGGATTGACAAGCCTGGCCCGGAGCTGAAAGGGAGCGGGGCGGGCGGTGACTTTGAGAGGGTCGTGTTGGTCAAGTTCGCCAAAGGGGGCCCCCAGGACGTCGAGGTTAGGGGAAGAGACGAAGTCTTGAGGGAAGAGAAAGCTCTTAAAGAGAAGGCCAAAGAGGCCGCGAAGTTATAGCTCTGGAATAGAGAAGTTAGACCGATGATATATGCTTTCTCAGCTCGTCTCCGCGGGCGCATGGCTTCTGCGATCATTCACTCCGGGGCACGCTCTGTGCAGTGCATCCCATGCACGACCTCTTTTTCAGGACTCACTCTCACGCGGATCGTATCACGCTTCAAAATTTACACATACGCTCATATATACTCAGAGACTAGACCCCAATATGGTACGTGGATCTCGCAGCCATACGGATGTACACAATATCCAATCACCCATCAATTGCGCTGGACGCCAAGCAATCAGAGCCGTTTTCTCTCCTTACCGCGCCGAGTCCCGCGCCAGAGGCAGCACACGCTCTTCGACTCACACCACTTCTTGACGTCCATGGGCGAGGCCTCGCCGTCGTAACCCACTCTGGTCAGCTGACCCTCGTTGAGCCAGGCGGCCAGATCTTCCAGGATGACCGGATCGTACATGAGCATTTTCTCGTGCCATGATGGGTTCTCCGGGTCGGTTGTTCGTGGCGTAGAGGTGACAGCTCTCGTGATGTGGCTGAAGAGCACAGACTGCTGAGCCGTAGGGCTGAGGTCGAGGGTAAGCTCTGTGTCCTCGTTGATAGACATGTCCACAGCCCCACCGCCGGGAGAGGTGAAGATCTTTTCTGGCGAAGGGAGGCCTGCTGAGTCGTCGCTGTCAAGATCCGAATCTAGTATCTCCGCTCTTGGTTGAGTGGTTGCTTTCCTACGCTTCGGTGTCGAAACAGCGGGCTGTGCCTTGGGCGGTGGAGCCATCGTGGTAGTGGTTGAAGGACCTGCTGCCGCCGACGCGTCCTTGCGAGGACGACCTCGTTTCTTCGGTGGAGATGCAACACTCGCCCCGCCGGTGGCTACATCAGCTTTCTTTGTCCTTGCACGCGGCCTTTTTGGTGCCGGCGCAGTCGCCCCGGAATCTGCTGCGGGTACTTTCTTCTTTCCTTTTGGGCTAGGTGAACGAGCACTTGTAGAAAACGATGCTGCTGTTATCGGGGTTCTGCTCCTGCTCTCCCAACACTGGTTAAGTAATGCAAGCATTCCACTGCGGCTCTTGACGGCCTTGAAACCGAAGGAAGACACTTCTTTCGCCAACTTGGCGTCTGTGAACAGCTCATAATTTGGCCGTGTATTCTGAATCTTTCTTGGCATCTCGGGCGAGATTTGCTTGATGTCTTCTGAGGTTTGCTCTTGGTTGCTGGGTGGCGGTGCATCCCCTTCCTGGGTCAAATCCGTGATGGGCGGGTGAGATTTCCCTAATGACAAGTTGGAAGAGTCGGCGGCAGCAGCAGCAGCCGTTTTGATGGTGACCTTTGGCTGTGTCAAAAAAATATGCGACTTGGGAACGGGCGGCTGTGATGAGGTTGCCACAGGCATGCTCTCAATCTCGATGAGGGATGGCTCGGCCGTCTCAGCTTCCGTCCCGCTAGCATCTGGTAGCTCCGGCGGAAGGTCCTTCCAAGGGTCCAGGATCGCAACCGCGTCGTCTTCGGGGAAATGTGAACCCTCAAAATCAATGACCTCTATGTCTACCATTTGGCCATCTTCATCTCTGGCGCTCACCGACCAGAGTCCTTCACCACGTTTCGTTGATACCAGGGTCAAGTCATTTGCGCGGGAGAGTCCCTCCAAGGACTGGACATTCTCGTTCGCGATGCTGTTTGACGCTCGTAGGGCGGCCTGAAGATCTCTCAGAAAAGTCGGCGATTCTTCCCGGACGAGTTGACTTGATGTGCCAAACACGAAATCCTGTCTGGCTGACTGGCGCATCGCAGCCTTAGGAGATAGTAGTACTGGCTGCTTTGGTGGTGCCTTCTTCTTCGTGACCTTTGTAGTCTTTCCTTTCCCCTTGCCTGCCGTAGTTTTGGAAACGTTTCCCTTTTTGTCAACGTTGAAGTATTCAAGGATGGAGTCTTCTTGAAGTGGGTCTTCTGGGGGCTCAACAGGCTTGGGGGCGTATGCTGCTGTGGCCAGTTCTGTGATTGTTCGAGGCTTTTTCTTGGGCGCTTTTTGTTTTATTGGAGAAACCTCACAAGATTTCTGCTTTGTCGACTGACCTAGCGAGGTCATTTCAATAATCTTTCTTTTTCCCAACGTAATGGGCTCCGGATTGGTGGGAGCGCATTCCTTCTGCTCGGTGACTTTGTGGGCGTAGGCGTCGTGGAGATTCTTGAAGATGTCTTCCCTAGGAGGTTCGTGTACTGATGAATGGGGGACCAGTGATGTTGGTGGTGCGTTAGTGTTTGAAGGAGCAAGCGGAGTTGGGAATATCTCTGGGTGGTTATCTTCGCGAGGAGGCGTCCAGTCCCTCCGTCTTTGAACTGCCTGTTCCAGATTGATTGGTTCCGGAGTCGAAGCCCTTGGTTTTGGCTTGGTAGCACCGTTCTTTTTTGAAAAATGTTTGCTGATTGTCTCGCCGTCACTCGTCTTTTTCCTCTGCGTCTTCGGCTTCGCCTGTGGCTCGACAGCTTCGGCTGACACGTCGGTGTTTCCCAAGTCGACTGGCGCCTTATATCTCTTCCACGGCTTGGATCCCAATGGACTGCCCTCAGTACCATCTCGAATATCTCCCTCAGGTCTCGTATTTGTACCATCATTGTTGCCATTGGGTGTGGCTCCGTCCGAGGACAGCACGATAACCTCCTTCGCCACACGCTTCGGCGCCTTGGTTGTCTTGCGCGCCCGCTTAGCGACACCCTCCTTCGGCGCAGGCCGCTCGGGCTCATCGATAAAATCCGCTGAGTCGTTCGCACCGGCCTGCGCACTCCGGAGAAGATTTGCAGCGCTCGTGAACGTCTTGGACGCGCTCGCGGGAATCGGAACTGCAGCACTTCCGCTGCGCAGTGCTGTTGCCTTGGGCTTCTTGGTGGCGAATTCGGTTATATCAGGGAGGGGTGATGAGGACAGCATCATGAGTCGTTCGAGAGGCGCCTGTGCTCCCGGAGAGGTGCTGATAAAGCTGCTCCTAGCCATTGCTGAGGGTCGCAGGGCCGTGCTCCAACCAGAGAAGCATATGCGCCAGGCGCATTGTTGTACGTACGGGAGCTTCAGTGTGAACAGAGAATGCGAGTATACACGATGCAGCTTAAAGAGGGCTGTGTCTTTGGCTTTGCGGATTTGGATATATGGTCAACTGCTGGCTTTCGCGTGCATAGGATACAAGAAGGCTCTCCTGTACGAGCCAAAACAAAGGCGCGGCCGCTGGGCCGTCAGAGGCTCGATGTCCCGAGGTTCTTGGCGCAACGCGTTGGTCCCGCGAGATCAGCTGGGCGGCGGACATCCTGACTAAGACGGTACCTGGGTACATCCAGCACAGACGGCAAACGTGGGAAAAAAAGGCGGGCAGGCGCTCGGACCAGCCCACGAAAGTCGAGAAACTTGGTAAATTTCAGCAAGCACCATCATCACCCAAAGCCCGCGAAACGGAGAGCTCGACTGGACGACCTTCTTGACCCCCGACAAAGCCCCCTTCAACTCGTTCACCCAGACAACTCCCCAAAACCACCGCCAAAATGGAAAACGACCGTGGCGAGATCGTCGATCTGTAAGGGCAAACCCCCTCCGAGCTTCGACTGCAGATGGAAGAATGGGCTGCAAAAACGATTGAATGAATGGATGTGTTCATGGGCGGAACCAGACTGGCTAACCCACATCTTCCACCTCAAACAGCTACGTCCCCCGCAAGTGCTCTGCCACCAACCGCATCATCAAGGCCAAGGACCACGCCTCCGTCCAGATCTCCATCGCCAAGGTTGACGAGTCTGGCCGTGCTGTCTCCGGCGAGAACCACGTCTACGCCCTCTGCGGCTTCGTCCGCGCCATGGGCGAGTCCGACGATGCCCTGAACCGATTGGTCCAGCGTGACGGCCTCGTCAAGAACGTCTGGAGCGGCCAGCGATAAATGGGAGGTCAGAGCTGAAAAGGCGTGAAAGAACATGGGAACTTGAAGGTATGCTCGGGCCTTGTCGTCGGCTGCGCGGTCGCATCCGCCAACGGCACAGCGCAGTACCTCATGTCACCTCGGGTCATGCTGACAGCTTGTTCGCTCACAGGGCTACGGTTGTTTGTTTTGGTATCTCGGAGAGGCTGGACATCGGACATCAACGATGATGCTTCATGGAGTTAGACGGCACGGAACTGCATCTTGCCAGTATTGAGATCTCACGAAACCAACGTCCGCGGACTTTTCTCGAAACAATTCGATACCCGGACGAGCCAAACATGAATGTGACGAAAATCCCTTCGAGTCCTGTGCGCTATATCGTGCCCTCCATGCGATCGTCTCGTCTCCGCGCTGTGCCCACCTCAACCGAACGTGCCCGTGTCGTACGTGAACTGCCTCGGCTGGCAAAGTCTGTCCGGATGCGCCTGCGGGAGCAATCCATATCCGGGGATTCTGGGGCTACCTCGATAGCTCCCATGCCGTAGATCGACCAGGCCTTGAAAAAGCCGCGGCGCTCAAGCTGTACGCTGTGGTACAGATACGGGTCTGACATTCATATCCACCAAGTCGGCGTTTTTAGCCGTGGAGCTACTTGTCAAGGGGTTACTCTCTCTGCACCTGTCAGGCATTGCATTCTCCCTGGGCTCTAGACCTCTCTTCCATATCTCGTGACAGGCAAGGCGTCGTAGACGAGCCGCCACCGAAACCACAGCCAAGTGTCTGTAGGTCCCGTACGCTACAGGCGGCCGCACCGAGAGCAAACGCCAGCGCGTGGACCCCAAAGTGGTAGCTCGAATGTGATCCTCGCTGTAGAACAACCTAGCTCATGGGCTCATCTCGTATATGCTAATTCTCTGACGGCCGGGGCAGCTGACCACTTGATTGCCCTGAACTAAGTACAATATCCACCACATCCCGATGTTTGTCCCTCCGTCAGAGCTCACGCACGATGCGTCCAACACCACACAATGAGTGATGCCCAACATTGCATTCGTCACGCGAGAACTGCTAGGCGACCACCACTAACGAGCCGATTGAATCCTCGGCAAACAGTATTTCCACTCCATGACTGCATCTATACGAACTTGTAGGCCGCGCCTGAGGCTTGAATGACCTGAACTCCTCTATCCTCGCGGTCTCCGACTCCGGGTTCGGACGGCGATCACGGCACGCCCTGAACTGTGTAGTTCACAATGTATATTTGCCTGATAACTGTGCAGGGATATCTTGACATATATCAGCACGCCTACGATGCGATCAAATATTTGATGAGTGGACAGGCTACTCTATGTCGACGGACTCCTGGATAATGTCCATGCTCTCAGCCGCCGGGCTCAACTCGGCTTAGGCATCTTGCTTGAGCCAAAACAGCACAGCGTAGACCAGCTGTCCGGCTCAGTACCACGAACAACACTGAGCAGACGATTCTCCAGCTGGCCAGGCGTGCAACCATGAAAGTGGAGAGTCGGGATATTTACAGCTTCGCGTTTCAGGCCACCAATTGAAACCACGAGTTTCGATTTCAACATGTTTCATTAATTGTTCAAAGTCGCGATCTCCAGTTGATGGAGGACATTTGTGCCTGTCTCTCACGCCCCGAGGGCTCCCAACCCTGCTCTGGCAGCCCTGGCACCTGGCTGGACAGTGGGCTGGGGCAGCGCGCCGGCAGAACGCGCTAGCCAGGAACAAAGATCGATCTGCAGGGCCCCATGACGCAGGTAATGAGATCGAGAGATCTGGAGAACTGCGACCAATCCACTCCCTACCCACTGGGCGGAAACATGTGAAGGGGGAACCGTAGGTCTTTGTAGTTTTCTCAGCAGCTCACTATCGCAGCTTGAATGAAACCATCATCCGCTTTGCACATATTCCTCACCATTCATGACTCTACGTCGTGTGTATGCTACGGCAAGCTCGTACATTCAACAATCCACCAGAGCTCGCCAAATCGCAACAATGGCACCCAAACGTAAAGCACCAGTAGCCACCGATCTGGCCAACGGAGCCACGCCCAAGAAGCCGAAGACAGCCTCCCTCTCTGAGCCCCACCCCTTCCACAAAGAAGCCGAGCAGCATGGTATAGTGCTGAGGAAATACTACCCTCACGAAATGAGCAACGCCCGTGCTCTGGCATACAATGACAATGCCCTTACCCGCCCCATCGAGGAGCTCCAATCCGCCATGCAGCAGACCGCCGCTGCTCGCAAGAAGGTGAAGGCTACGGGATCCGTAGTCCACTGGTTCAAGATGGATCTGAGAATGAAGGACAATACCGCCCTCTCCATGGCGAGCGAAAAGGCCAAGGACGCAGGCGTGCCACTGATCGGATTATATATAATTAGCCCCCAAGACTGGGAGGCACACTTGACAGCCCCCATCCGTGTCGACTTCATGCTGAGGACTCTGGAGGTTCTGAGGGCCGACTTGGACAAATTGGACATTCCACTACACGTTGAGGTGGTGGAGAAACGGAAGGACATCCCACAGAGAATCGCCAATCTGATGGACGACTGGGCCGCGAACCATCTCTATGCCAACATCGAGTACGAGGTCGACGAGCTGCGGCGAGAAGCCAAGATGGTGAAAATGCTGGCTGGGAAAGAGAAGGCTTTCGAGCTCGCGCACGACACGTGTGTAGTCCCACCTGGCAAGCTCATCACCGGATCTGGGAGGCAATACGCTGTTTATTCTCCGTGGTATCGCTCCTGGGTTGCACACGTTCATGCAAATCTGGACCTTCTGGAAATTTTCAACAGCCCAGAAAAGAACCCTGCATCTGCAAGGTCAAAGTATGAGACACTCTTCAACTGCAACATCCCAGAGGCACCAGCGAGCAAAAAGCTCTCAGCGGAAGACGCCAAAAGATACGCCTCTATCTGGCCGGCTGGGGAGCACGAGGCGCACAAGAGATTGGAAAAGTTCTGCGAGGAGAGGGTTGGCTCGTACGGCGCGAAGCGGAACTTTCCTTCGCAGAATGGCACCTCGACGCTGTCGGTCCATCTCGCCAGCGGCACAATCAGCGCAAGGACCTGCGTGCGGACGGCAAGGGACCGTAACACCACCAAGAAACTTAACGCCGGGAACGAGGGGATCCAGACGTGGATAAGCGAAGTCGCGTGGCGGGATTTCTACAAGCACGTCCTCGTGAACTGGCCGTACATATGCATGAACAAGCCATTCAAGCCCGAGTACTCCAACATCGAGTGGTCATACGACATGGATGAATTCAACGCTTGGACTCTTGGGAAGACTGGCTTCCCCATCGTTGACGCCGCCATGAGGCAGGTCCGCCAAATGGGACACATGCACAACCGCGCCCGTATGATCGTCGCCTCGTTCCTCTCGAAGGACCTGCTCATTGACTGGAGGATGGGCGAGCGGTGGTTCATGGAGAACCTGATTGATGGCGATTTTGCGTCGAACAACGGGGGCTGGGGCTTCTCTGCCTCGGTGGGCGTGGACCCACAGCCGTACTTCCGGGTGTTCAACCCGCTGCTGCAGAGCGAGAAGTTTGACGCTGATGGGGAGTATATCCGGAAATGGATCCCAGAACTCAAAGACGTCAAGGGCAAGGCGATCCATGATCCATATGGGAGAGGGGCGGGCGCGATTGCGAAGAAGGCTGGATATCCGAAGGCGATGGTCGAGCACAAGGGATGTAGGGAGAGGGCGCTGGCGGCTTATAAAAAGGGAATCGGAGCTGAGAAGTAGGCTTTACAGACAACCCTCAAGAGAAGATCAAAAGGCTGCTTGAATTCATGTCTTTTCTGAAGACTGTCTCTTTGGGATCCAATACAGGCCAACTACAACAAGACTGTGTTCCTTACTGCTAGCCAAGTACCCAACAACTTGGAAGCTATAGCATACCTACCTAGGTAGATACCAAGTGATATCCTTACTTCGGTGCTTTCTGTAGGTTCCCAGCAGGGGATTGGGTGCATGGCCTGCAAAAGTGGTTGCTGGCCTTGGAGTGGCACCGGTCTCAGAATGGAAGCAGCAGCACCAGGGTGGCTACGCGCATGTCGACCAGCGCACCTTCCCTCTCAGGCGCATCGAATTTGTATGCCACTGCGGGGCTGTGTTTTCTCTCCAAGTCAATACCTCAAGCTGACCTCGTCGAAATCAGTGACCCTACACGTCACTCGCGACCACACGCGTCAAGCTTGACTCAACCTCGTCCTTCACCAGTCCAACCTCCCACTGCGCCCTTCATCCCCGTCTGCTAAACCTCGAACCTACCAATCCAATCCTCCAATCTCAATTCTCGACAGCCGATTCTTCGCTGTCCCCTGCTCGGCGTCAACATGTCTCTCAAGCGAGAGGCCGACCCCTTCATCAAGCCCGACCCAGACGCGAAGCGCGTCAAAACCGAGGGCGCGGATGACAACTTCAGCCTCTCCTCGATCCCCATGGCCCCGCCCCCGGCCGCCTTTGCCTCCTCCACCTCTTCGGACATCGCGCGCAAGATCGAGAGCGGAGATCGCAAGGCCCTTGGTGCGGTAAGTGATTCTCAAGACGGTGCTTCGCGTTATCTGTTCGAGAGCGCTGCAGCATGCCAACAATCCCTCCAACTCTGAATTTCTACACCCCAGCTACCATTACTGTCCTATCGCGACAGCTTTATCCATCAGAATGGCACCGTGTTCTTCTTCTAGTGCGTTGTGCGCTAACACACGTCACGCGTTGGATGTAGGCTCCCAAGTTTGGCGGACCCCCTATCAAAAGTGGCAAAAGAAGGTTCTTCGGCAACACCATCAAGGCTCGAAGGGACGACGACTGGGTCTCGGCCCATTTCAACAAGAGTTCCATGGTCGTGGAATTCCAAATGAATTGCGCCCTTTCAAAGCAATGGTCTTCGATAGACGTGGAGCAGGAAATTTTTGACAGGCTCATCAAAGCAAAGTTTGACATTCAGCCATCCGAGGACTGGGGCTTCCTCGACCGCAAGTTCCGTGGATTTGTCACCAATGTATGTATACTGATCCAGCCTTCCGAATGCAAGGAAGGCTAACCACTTACGCCGGTTGCAAGCTCAAGACCATCTTTCCTGTTCATACGCCCACCTCTCGCGTGGATGTGCAATGCACAGTGGGTGTTGTTCAGAACTTGAATGTGAGCAAGGTCGAGGTTTCTCCTAAATTCAAGAAGGAGGAGCAACCCCTTGAGCGAAAGAGCGAACGTCTCGAGTAAACGAGTGTTGGCGTGGAGTAGATGGGTGGCTATGGCGTACATTTGAGGGACTATCGACAGGGAACGGATCCTACTGTTATGCATGACTACTGCATATATGGCGATGCAACTTTCTTTTCAGCTGTGTTCCAGTTGGTATGAAGCCATCGAGGTATCTTGTACACTGTTCCTGAAGATGCTTGTTAATTCTGCTCTAGAGAAGGATGGAGGAGCTACCAGTTCCATGAGCTTCGAAAGGCTTCTCAATGCGCACAGAATGAAGTAGGGGCAAAAGCCAAGATATGCAGTTTTCATAAATGGCTATTTTTCTCTCGAAAGTCGAGTATGCTGTCAAAAATTGGTCAATAAAAGAAAGAGTTTGATAGTTCTTGCGCTCTACTGACGCATGGCTTCGAGAATGTGAATGTCCAGCTTGGTACCTACGTAATTATAATATGTCAACATGGCCGTACGAAGCCACATAAACTTTATGGGCGAGCCTGGAGTTGCAGAAAGACAAGACCGCCGTTGTGTAGGGGGGCAATGGTGCTGGTGCTCAGGCATTGCTGTTTCAAACATCGAGCCACCGTGTGCCCCTGCTGAAACGCTTGCTGTCCTGATGCGACACCGGAAGTGGAGCACCAAACCACGAGGTTCGACGACCTATATAATTCGACGGATTCACTCCTCATCTTCTCTGGTTTTTCCAATTTTTTTCTGTAGTCCCCTTGTTCTCCGGGATCCAGCTCCTCGGCGGTTGTTGAGCTTCGTCAACGCCTGGCCCCTCCAGCAGCACGACCAGTCATGGGCGCATGAAGGCCGAATCACGACCTGCAGCGACGAAGCTTGGCAAAACTCCAACCACGACCCAGGAGCCATCGACAACCATGTTCTCAGTTCCGCCTCTTTGAGCTCCGTCTCCCCTGCGACGGAAGATCGGAGGTGTAGAGCGCAGAGAACGTACCCATGCGATCCGCATCATGATCGAGCAGTGCCCTCAATTCTTGGTCTCTGCTCGTCATGATAGTGTTGAGCGCAAATACTCCGTCGGCTGACTGGGCCCAATCTGCTGGCCGCCTCCACCGCAGCAGATGTCAACAACACCCAACTCTCCCAGTCGGCCAGATGTTGAGCCCCCCGTCCGGCCCCCACTGAAGACATCGTTTCCTAGCCGCTAGGCTGGGGCGCGATCTGGAAGTGGCTGCGTTTGTCGGATCAGAAAACCTGTCTGACCCACACTGCAAGAGCTTCGCCTGTGGTCACTCTTTGACCCACCGGCATGGTCTCGCGGTGGTCGTGTCTGTCGGACAAGGCCCGTCTGGCCCCGCTGGAAGGCCTCGTGCACAGCTCCCTCACACACAGGGGAACAAGCACGGCCTGGAAGCCGGAGCAGTCGGATGGGCGCCATCTTCCGCGGAAAGTTTAGACGACGTCACGCCCGGTTCCCTTTTACCTCGCCAAGGGAGACACACACAAAACCACGAAGACACCGAAGTGTGTGTCTGAGAAAAAAGCAGAAGACGACAATTTGAACTGGATTCGTTCAACGCTCGATCTCGCGCGCCCATGGAAGTGTCGACTCTCCGCCGGAAGTCATCCCTCTGCCCCGCCACGGTTCGGTTCCTGCAACACCGTAGTTGAGCCCCGTGGTCTGCGCGGCGGAGGGAGCTGGAGGTGATGCGAGTCCACTGGAATGGAAGACGCGCGGATCTTGACAGAAGAGCGATGGGATGTTGTCCTATCCGCGTTGAAGATGGAAATTAAGTCAGCCCCTCATAATGCAGAGAGTGGGGCAAAAGTTTTGTGCCTGATGAAGCACATGGGAAAAGACTGTTGAGGTCTGGCCATGATGATCTCGTATTAGATGGAAAGGCTGGCTGTATATGGTCTTGGAAATTGTGTGGAGGGTCCCTTGTTGGAGTGCCTGGACCTTTACGTGGTGCGAGGGATAAGACGCACCGATTTGATCAGGGTGCATCGACGAACACAGGCAGTGAGACACAGGCAGTAGAGCTTAGACAGCGCAATGGATGTTCATTATCTACTTGCATGCTTGAATTGTCTCTGCAATAAGAGTCCAGGATACCGAAATGCAGACCATTACTGCTGACGACTGGCTTGTAAAATCCACCTTTTTGAGTGACCCCTAACTAAACCTGCGATGTACATCGAAGGCACTCCAGTGGACAGCCACTTGACACAAAATGCTGTCATTCCACCACAGCTGCTACGGTCGTGGGATAGGCTACCAGAGGAAATCATCGAGTAATGCAACCCGCAATGTCCAGTCATGTTGATCTGGGGTAGCCAGGAACACCTGTGTTCAAACGTACACATCGACCTCCACAGCAGGGCAGGCTCGGAGTCCTTGTGCCCCCTGCTATCTCATGGTCTGTCAATGTTGACTGCGCGTAGCGACAGAGAGATTAGTTCGTAGCGTGAACTGGGCTATTTGGTCAGCTGCCTGCTGGCGACAGCACCAAACTGCCACCCTCATGCTCTTCTCAGTAGGTGTGATGTAGGATTAGGCTGCGCTGTCAGCTGCGGGGTCATCCCCGGATTGCCCATACTAAACATCCTTGCGATATCCAGATTGTTCACCACCGACTGCGACCAGATTGCTGGGCATGCATAGCTTCTGCGTTCAGCTCTATACTCAACAGCATCCTTGACATCGCCGGACACCGCACTCATTTGCTGTTGCAACAATCGTCAGCATTCAGCATGCCCCTTGAGCCGCTAAGCGCCCTCTCGCTGTTCTGCAACGTGCTTGATCTCGCCGAGAAAGGCGTCAAAGCTGTGAAGTTCGCCAAAGATACCTATGCGGCTGCCGATGGCATCGCCAAGGACCATCGCAACCTCGTGGCTTTCACCACGCAGATGGAGGACATCGTAATTGGCATACGGGGCAGCGTCCAAACGGTCGACGTTTTGCAAACAGCCGACGAGGAGGTCCTGAAAGTTGCGGCTACGTGCCAGGACCTCATTAACCAATACAAGTCTGTGCTCGAGAGGTGTCGGGCTCAGAAGAGAGGTTCCGTAAGTGCGAGTACCAAGGCAACTATTCGGTCTGTATTTGCCAAAGGGGAGCTCGAGAAACTGCACCAATCTCTCGAAGCCCAGGGCAGTATGCTGAGGACTGCATTGGCGTCCACTGCGAGACAAAACTTGGGCATCCTGGTTCATCAGCTTTGCAACGCAGACGTCGAGCATGGACAGATCAAAGATCGACTCGGATCTATCCAGAAGCAGTTGAAATCGTTGGAAGCTAAATTATTGGATCCTGATGATCTGGTGGCGAAGCTGACGGAGGCCACCAAAATTTCATCATCTGCTTTGCTCGAACTGGATATTGCCTTCATCTTGACAAGTCTCGAGAACAGTGCCACCGGTCCTTCCTGTAACCCAAGATACAACGATGTGTTTGACGCTGCGCCAAATACTTGTGATTGGATCTTCGAAAGCCACAAAGAGCTTTCAAGGACTTGTCATACCCTCAAATTATCATTGAGTGACTGGCTGAAAGAAGGCCATGGCAGTGAGTAAAAACATACGTTGTGCATGACGGTACATCACTGCTTGCATGCCTTAAAGTATACTAACACATTTTTCAGTCTTTCACATCGCTGGGAAACCTGGGGCGGGCAAGTCGACACTAATGAGACACCTATACAAAAGCCCAACCACAAGACAATTACTGCAGATGTGGGCTGGAAAGAACGAATTGGTGTTGGCCAAGTATTTCTTCTGGAAGTTCGACAGTTACCAGAATCGGTTGATCGGACTGAAACGGTCCATCCTTTATACAGTCCTGCAGAAAGCAGAAGTAACTTCACAATTAATGGCTCTGCTCTTCCCGAACCAAATGGGCCAAGGTGCCTCACCTTCGAAAAGGGAGCGGGAGTCGTCCATAAGTGATGACGAGGTGGAGTTGGCTTTCTCGACATTGGTCTCCACAAAGGCGGGTCTGATGGGCAGGAGATTCTGCTTTTTCATTGACGCTCTGGATGAATTCGACCAAGATACTGCGAGAGAAGATTATGTCGACCTCGTCCTCCTTATTCAACAATGGGCTGAAGAGTCTGATGCTCATGTCAAAATCGTCGTGTCGAGCAGAGAATTCCCCGAGTTCCAAGCGTTCGACCAGGGCCAAAGGATCCGCCTCCATCTGTTCACGGTGGATGACATGAGAACTATCATCCGAAGCCGGCTCGAAAGCCACCCTCAGTTCAAAGGTTTGAAATGGCTGGACAAGGGTGCAGATGCACCCCTAAGTCATCAGAAGCTCGATGATGCACATCATCTAGTCGACGCCGAGTCATTCATCAGCTATATTGCAATTGCGGCTGAAGGAGTGTTCCTCTGGACTGTTCTCGTGGTGAAGGAGCTGAGAAAAGGACTGTCTCGCGGCGACTCAATTCAAAAGCTCTACGCCAAGGTTAAGAGAGCTCCCAGGGACCTGAACAGGCTTTTCGAGTCCATCATCTATAGTATCGATGATGAGTACCAGCGAGAGGCTATCATTCTATTTGCCGTCGTCTTGCGGTTTTCCGGGAACGGTTCCCCTGGACTCAGCCTGATTGAATGCTCATTCTTTTTGGAGGCCGCAGATGCCGGCGTGATGGACCCATCGCAATGGGAACCTAAGATTGAGAAAAACTTTCTTGATGAGCGGAGAGCCCGAACAGAGATTCAAATCAGTGGTAGATTCAATGGCCTTCTGGAGATTTCGCCCTCGAAGGCATCGGTCAAGTTTCTCCACTCATCTATCATAGACGTCATGTCGCATTATACCTCCCAGGGGCTCAAGGAACACAACCTCACCGATGCACAAATTGACCAATGGTTGTGTTGGATGATCTTCGTGTGGGTCAAGCAGGTGCTGAAAAGAGCTGCCTCAGTTGGCAGGTCCATGGAATTTGACGTGATGGCAAAAAAGCTGATGAGCCTGCTGTTTACGTTGCGAAGCAAAACTCTGGAGGACAAGACAATGATAATGCTCGACAAGATTGACACTGCTCTATTGCTCACTTGGCAGAAGTCACCATGGCAGAACCCCGACGAGTGGAGAAAAGCGCAGCCTTCTCGTCGAAGCGGCTTCATCATACCAAATGGCATGGAGATGGAGGTCTACTCGCTATTGTTGGGTACAGTGGAATCCGGCCGAGCAGACTACTTGTTCTGGAAATTGGACATGATACAAGTCGCCTGTAGAGACGGAGCATTTGGATCACTTCTTCTTCACTATCTGAGCACGGTTTCTCTCAGTCCAGGGATACTTCAAGGAGTTCTTGAGAGGGGCGTTTCTGTCAACTGTACAAGTGACTGGAGGGAGAGCCCTACCTGGGGCTTCTGTCGCCCACATTTCGTTTGGCACGAGTACCTCGCAAACGTCCTTGGCGCACCCTTGAGCAGTCGGAAATACAACCCCCGCGAGTACTGCCATCTATGGGAAATGGTAGAGGTCTGGCTCCGGCATGGAGCGGATACTCGCTTCTGGATTGGGCTCGGTGTGGACAGGCTCGAGGCGTACCAGTCCGTTGAAGGCAGGATTGTACGCTGTGCATATCTGTATGAGGTTGGGACTGTGCGTCAAGAGGCGAAAGCCAGGCTGTTCCCGTACCCAAACGCCCGGGCATCCGTCCAAGAGCTGGTTGCATTCATCTCTCCTCACAATCGGAAGACTCTCCTGGAACTTCTGGGGTCTAAATTTAAGTAGACCTTTGATTCATGAATTATCACGTCACTTGAGATTTCCAGCTCAGAGGCTCAAATGTGCACCGTCACAATTAATGAGCTTAGAGCCTCATTTTAACAAAGGTGTCTCTGAAGGTGAAGGCAAGATAGATGAGCATATCTTGTCTCAAGATTTATACCTGTGTCATTAGAATTGGATATAGTCTTTGAATTTGCTCCGTTATACAGGATGATCTCGTGATCCTCTGCGCCCCAGAAGACATTGGAGCCACCATGCACAGCTCCGGATATGATGCTGCTACACGATAATACCTATTAGACCTTCCAGCGGAGAAGACGACAAGGCCCCAAATATCTCTCTGCAGATTTTATCAGCGAAGAGAGAACAGTCAACAGCAGTATTGAAGTTAGGTTTGCAATCCTCAAAAGAATTTGTGCTCAAAGGACGTCATGGTCACTTTGCTCAATCATGGCGAGTCAGGGATCTTAAGCAGCAAGGATTGTAAGCCGCAGCTCTGCCATTGGCTAGGCCCAGCCAGGGTACCCATGTTGGGGCCGCCCTGAAGCATAAATTTTCTTCATTTGGTTATTGCATCACAATCTCAATTTTCACAACTGGACCACAACAACACGTAAGGCGTCTTTCAAGACGCCCGGCTAGCTCAATCGGTAGAGCGTGAGACTCTTAGAAAAAATCCTCACGATTCTGACAAGATCTCAAGGTTGTGGGTTCGACCCCCACGTCGGGCTCAATTCCCGGCGTTAATCGCCTCATCTTTTGCCTTTTTGCCTGTCGTGTCGAGGATGGTCATTGTTGGTGATGCTGAGGGTCTTCCGGGGACCCGTTCACGGAAAACAGGTCTGTGAAAGGATCATCTATGATATCCACTTCCTAATACAGTAACTAATAGTTCAGGTTCTCGCTGTCAACCCTCACTCCCGGTCTTCTCACTGGCTGTATGTTGCAACACAGGGGCTAAATTATTCCTGGGCTTAGGACCATCCTTCTGCGATTAAGGCGTCTAGGCACCTGGATCTACTTTGCCTTTCTAGCAGCTCCAGATACACTGTACTATAACTTGGTCCACCTTGCGTGTTGGAGCTCCTATGTGGATCCCTCTTGGTCAACCAGATATAAGAAATGTATAAATTAAGTATTCTAGTTATCCTATGCCTAGTATCCTTGTAGCCTATCTGTAACGCCCGTATATGGCTAGTAGTAGTGACGACTTTGGATTTAATACTGGAAATGCTAAATAACATTGCACGTAAAAGCAGGTCAACATGTAGAAAAAGTACCTTTGCATTGCTACTAGGCCATTGCAACAGGTGGCTTGTATCTTACGCCCAACCTCTAGCTGAGCATCCTGTAAGCTAGGAAATGTATGAAGGTCGGTATGAAGAACGACTGCCAGGCCTGTAGAGTACTAACAGACGCCTGATTGCTATAGACACCTCTTTGCCTTGATTTGAAGATGTAACGAGGACAGGGTGTTTTCAGAAATTATGCTTTAAGCGCTATTAAAACGGACCATTGTTCCACCTTATCTACCTAGGTACTTAAGTCTAGCATATGGAATACTTCATATCAGCAGTAAATAACCAAGTGAGTTATGGCTTGTAAGTGGTCTCGTTTTCAATCTATATATATATATATATGCTTCTTAAGCAATATGCATCCAGTCCCTTCATATAGTAAAAACGCTTAAACACCCAGCGTTAAAAAAATACAATGTTGATAACAGTAGGCTTTAAACACAATTGTCTGTAGCTTGTGGCTAAGAAAAAAATGATTATGGCTTGTAAGTTGCAACAAATGGGTTAAAATCTGCTAACTTTCAATCTTGGTATTTAGACACGGCATAATCTCCCATCTCTGGTGGTCTTCCAATACTTGTCATTGCCAACGGCCACATTTGCCCAAAACAGACCATGCAGATCGTATTTCTCTTTGGCCCTCAACAAGGCATCATAATTCGCGCCGAAGTAGTCCTCTTTCCAGTTCACGTTGTCCCAAGTAGCCTCGTTCATGTAAGTTCCTCCTCCCGGTGTGATCTCACGTAGCTCTCTCTGCCACTCGTTCAGCTGTTTTTGATTCGCACTGATGGCATCCCAGTCAGCATCCTCTGCCAGCGACCTTGCGAAACTCAGAGTGAAAAGCGCGTCACGCCAAGACGGCAACATGGCGTTAGATACTGAGTTGCTGCGGTTGACATTTGCCGCAACGGCTAGAAATTTTGCTCCGCCGTCACTGATGTTTCGAAGCGCTGCGACGAGCCTGGGAAGGGAATCTGCAACGTCTTCTACCGTCGAGCGTGGAATGAGTCGGCCACCGAGCGAGATGTTGCTCGTGTAGGTCTGTGTGGCCCAGTATTTATAATGCTCGGCGAAGCTTGCGTGCACCTTGGCCGTGTAGTTGCTCACAAGCGCAACGTCCAGCTCGGCTACATGGTCCAAGAATGGCGCAAGGGCTTTATCTAGGTCGCATGTGGTCTTTGCATCCGTCAACGCTGCGAATTCCAGCGCGAGAAGCTCCGGAGTAAGCGTCCAAACAGTCGTCAAACCCCTGATGTTGTCAAGTGCAAGGAGCTGCTGCAGCCATGAGGTGACCGCGGACCAGAAAGCCGTGCTGTTGCCCGAATTGGCCAAGACGAAGCCTGCGCCAGCCACGGGCCCGTCTGCGTAGGCGCGAACCGCTACAGATAGAACAACGGCGAAGTTGCCGGCTCCGCCTCCACTCAGAGCCCAGAAAAGCTCCGCGTTCTGGGTGGATGAGGCGGTCAGATAGTCCCCGGCGGCAGTCACTACCTCCCACTCCAGGACCTGATCCGCGGCCAGGCCGTACGCGCCTCCGAGGGGCCCGTGGCCACCGCCTTGGGTGAAGCCACCTGCCAAGCCGACGGTCGGACAAGAGCCGCCGACGACGCGGTAGCCTCTCGCGCTAGCTACAGGGTATAAGTCACCATACTCAACGCCAGCACCGACGCGAACGGCGGGGCCAATGTACCATGAGCTTTCATAGTTGGTAAAGGTGATGTCTTTGAGATTGTGCGTCCATAATGCCAAGGATCCTGCGCCGGCAGATCTCCCGAGGAAGTTGTTTGAACAAAAGCGACGCCGCTAATGCGGCACAATTACACACACCTATATTTCCACACACCCCCCAGTTTGACTAAGGGGAACCTTGTCAAAGTGTAGGAATCGAACCTACAGCTCTCCCTAAAATAGTAGCTGTTTCCATTACGCGCAGAGCATTATACGCGGCAGGGAATCGAACCCAAGACCTTTCACTATTTAGGGGCTGTCTCCAGCGCTTGGCGGCGAAAATCTGTGATGGAAAAGGCTAGCGTCAGGAGGTTTTGTGCGAACCGGGCTCATAACTGTTGAACAAAAGCGACGCCGGCACAATTACACACACCTATATTTCCACAGAAGTCGTGCCCGGTGCTCTTGATAGTAAGCCGGATGTTTTTCTCTTTGGCGAAGCGTACACCGGCAATTACTTGGTCCGCATTGCGTACGTCGATAGCGTACGAAGCCAGGTTGCCCAAGGTGCACGACCCGTTTGCTGGAAGGAAAGGGCTGCATGAGTTATTCATCCAGTAGGGAGACATCACATTTACCGGGTCGACCTCGCTGGCTAAAGATTAGTTGTGCGAATAGGTATTGGCAATTCAGACTTAGTGTTGACTTACTAGTATGGTGTCAAGAGCAACCATTGTTCCTGAATTTGGGAGCACTTTCCAGAATCCACATGAGGTATGTGGCAGGCCTGCCCTGGAGGAATGCCCCTGAGGAGATTTCCCTCAACTGTCTGGTTCAACTGATCCCACATAATCTGATTGGGCCATGCTGTGTCACCTGGTAGGGAACGACATGCTCCTTGATCCGCAGCATCAGAGGTCTGTACTACAGGCATGATTGTGACCAGCCATGTGAACAAGATTGTGCTTGCGGACACGAGCATCGTATGCCAAAATTGATAAGAAAGGCACGGAGCTGAGCCTCGTATACAATGACGGACATAATTTGACTTGTTAGGACTTTCTCCAGCCTTTACTAGTGTGCCCTTGCGTGAATACAAACTGTCTTTGGGGCATTTCACTTATTAATGCCGGTCGTCACCACATTGGTCCGATCTCCAGCAGGCATCAATGCATGTGCGTACTCGACCCTGCGTCTTTTATTCGACAATACCCGCCATCTGTGTCTATCTATAGACGCTCAGATGTTGCACTCGGAACGGTAGTTTCAAGGTTCATCAGTTAGCATGGGCCCTGTGAGGGGGCTTTGCCGCGTACTTGCATTTTGTAAAGCCCCTTGAGTGCAGATAGGTCGTGTGATTGAGGAAGGCTGCATCGCATCATCTGCGGCCGAGTTTTCGCCCCCCAGACCGGTGCTCCCTTATCTCGGGGGAATACCTCTGTATGGCCCCCAAAAAAGGATGTTGTGCCTTGTTCCACAAGGCGATGTTTCATGCACAGGTCGCGTAAGCGCTCTTTGTGGCAATACGAAGGTAGAGACGTATTGAGGGGACGGCACAACGAATGCACGGGATAATTTACAGTGTCTCCAGAAAAGGCACAACAGTGTTGCACGAGCGGGTCATCCGGCCACAGCCTGATTCACGTCATGCGAGACCAGCAAGATAGAGTGACGTTTAAGCTTACGATGAGGAAGTTGAATGTTCTTCAAACATTGCGCGGGCAATGCAACAACATGTTGAGACCGTGCTATTTGGGCCACAGCAGTGACGATTCATTGGTGAATGAAGTTATTGCTGTTTTATAATTCTGATCCACTGAACATGTCATACCTAAGTAGGAATGAAGCATTGGCAAGATTCCAGTCAATTTATCAGCCGTGTGGCTCCAGCTGCTTGGAAATTCCTAATTATTGCTATTCTGCTGTCCCGATGAGTACTTTGATAGATGCATCCTCGGCGTCCTTAGACATGTGGATTCTGACTGTTCTTTGGGAGAGCACTCCATTCCTGAACCCACTTCTGCATCCATTCAAGCCTGACTGGGCTCAGACTGCGAAGCGTCGGGCTGGCTTCAAGAGCTTGCTCGATCCTCATGGGGTGCTGTGGTGCGCTACCAGAAGAACCCGTGTCAGCCGCCCATAGCTTCTCGAAAAAGTCGCTCAGCTTCACTGCTGGGTTTCTGGCCATCAGGTAATCGTTGTTCTCCAGCTCCTGAATACTCGCGCGTAGGGTGCCCAGCCAGGCCGCTGGTGGAACTGCTTTGAGCTGCCTTCCTGATGTGTTGGTGACCGCAGTGAGCAACTCACGCCAGGGAGCAGGATGCGGATTGCGCAAGTTGTAGACCAGAGCACCTGAGCGCCTTTCCCCCGCCTCTTTTGCTTGCGTGGCGGTAGCTATCTCAATCAGAATGCTTCCAAGCATGTCAACAGGCAAGAAATCAACATTATCATAGTACGGACCCAGGCTGCCTGGGACCTGGCCGAAGTGTAGCGCGCTCAGCACCATGCTAGGGAACCACTCGTGGCTATTCCACAGGCCCTGGCTTCGCACGGCGCCGGCGACCTGGCCCACACGAACGATGGTTGTCAACACGGATTCGCCAAATTTCTGAGCTGCGGCATCCATGAGTAGCTCGGCTAGAAGCTTGGATTGACCATAACCCAATGGTGCCGACATATCGAAATCTGTGAGCACCTTCTCGGGTATCGAGCCGGACTGATATCCTGCTACCGCGGCAATGGACGAAATGAATAAGAAACGGCACGGTTGGCCGTCCCGCGACGTGACGGTGGCTGCAGCGAGGGCTAGCAAGTTCACCAATCCCGCGAGGTGAGGGCGGAAAGCAAGTAGGGCGAAGTTGAAGTTAACGGGCCACGCGGAGTGAATGATGAGATCAACTTTTGAGCACAAATCATCACGTACGGGACCTTCAAGGCCAAGGGACGGCGCTTGCAGATCGACCTTGAGAAAGGTGACGCGATTATTGTCGCCCAGCTGGGTCAGATCGAAACCAGCCGCAGCGAAGCTTTCGAACTGACCAGCACGCCCCCCATCTTCACGGCGGTTTAAGCAGAAAATATGACCGATCGAGTCGTTGTCAAGGAGGGCCCTCAAGAGGTGGGTGCCGACAGTCCCAGTGGTGCCAGTCACCATGACATTAGTTCGCTTGGGAGCGTTTTTGGTGAGGGCAACAGTATTTTTCGAGACAGCAATTTGTTGAATACGCCCCTTGTAGGTTTCGAGTAGATTTTTCATGACCTCTTTGTCCTGCTCCTGATGAGTCTGCCCTTGGATAATGGCCGCGAGCTGGGAGACCGTGGGATTCTGATACACAGTCGACAGCGCAACATCGGGTCGGTGAAAACTCCTCCGCAGCGCTCGCGTGAGTTGAAGGGCTTGCAGTGAGTCCATACCGCGGTCAAGGAGGCCTTCGGTGTCGCCAAGGTTAGACCAACCCATTATGGTGTGTACTTCTTGTCGAATCAGACGAGTGACCCCGTCGAGCCCCATTGGAGATACCACCATGCCAACAGTCTCGCTCTCAAGATGGTGAGGGATTGCTTCTGCTCGTTCATAGAGCTTTTCGATCTCTTCACTATACTGACTGATGGAAGCCCCTCGCATGAAAGTGCCCTTGCCCGCGCGAATGAGACGACGATCGGAAGGGACAACGAGGATAAAGAACTTCTCCACACGTGCGTGCGCAGGGGCACTGCGATTGGCCTCCTCGACACTCGGTCACACACGCTCGATCAGAGCAGCTTGACCTGACGTAGACAGTGACTCATCTGAGGCCGGCTCGAGTAGAAGAGCGGCTTGAAACCGCTGCGCACCAATTACGAGAACACCACTCAGTTCCGGGTTGCTGGCCATGATGTGGTGCTCCATGGATATGGGATTGGTTTTCTCGCCGTTAAGGAAAGTAATGATATCATCAGCACGAGCACGCCAGCGCCACAAATCCGGAATTGTAGGATGCCGTTCAAATAGATCTTTGGTGCGGTACTCCTCATCAAGGTTAAGCCCGGGCACTGTGAAGCATGGCTGCATGTTGGCAAGCGCCTCTTCACGACGAATCACGAGTTCGTAATCACCTTCTGAAACCTCGTGGAAGTGGGATCCGATACACGGGTGGAATCTGATGTACCGCCACAGAGTCCGGGAAGACTCCGATGATGGGAGCAGCTCCTCCGGAAGTAATTGCGGAACGATGCCAGTCTCGGTGGCACCCCATAGGCAGCGCAGATACATCTTTGCTGCGATACGGTCACCGAGATCCTGAGGCAAGTCACCGCCGATGTAAAGGATGGTCTCGAGGTTTTCCGCACAGAAATCAAGTAGCTCAGGGCTCTGCAGTGATGAAATCTGATCAGATGTGGCATAGCCAAGTGACCAAAGTGTCAGAAGTTGACTTACCTGAGCGATCTCAGCGACTAGTGAGGAGCTCCTCCACCGAGGGCACCGTAAGGTGTCGTGCCGGCTTGACGGCGTCAATGACAGCGAGAGCGGGTGGTGGGATTGGATCTGTTGTGATGAATGTCCGGCATTGGAGGTGCGCAAATAAAGCTTGATGTGCAGCCGCACTGTTCCGGGGTGAAGTTACAAAGATCTGACAAAGTATCAACGACCAAGGTTCGGCGAGAGGCAGAGGCAGAGGCAGAGGCAGATGGAACTATGAGATTGGCTCATAGGTGGTAAAGCCAATGGGTCAGGAAAGGGAAATAGAAAAGACCCACCACGTAGCCGGCTTTGATTGCGGCCAGGACCATCGCCGAGTAGCGCACATCATTTGGACCAACATAGGTCAGGACTTCTGGGTGTTAATGGGAACCAGGACCCAACTGATCCAAGAGCCACCAGGCTAGGCCATCGATGACATTGACGAGTTGCAAGTACGTGATAGACACCACGATGGAACCCATCACCCACTCGCCATACTCAGCTGACCTTCTCCCATGCGCCAGGCGGTCGACAACGTGAGATATCAGGGCATCCTGCCACTGCGCAACGTCTTCATGTTTTTTCTCGACAGACATGATTGTAATGGCAATGAAAATGGCGAAGGCTTGTGCTACTGATTGATTTGGCAAGGTGAGGATGGCGTTTGTTGTCAGATAAAAGAAGGTCCCTGGGCTGTCCAGGCTGAGTTTTATTGACTGTGTATTCTGACATGATGTCTCATATGTTTCGGGGGCCATTTATCCCGCACCTTGGCGGGGCTGACCACAAGTCCACAGCCAACCAGACTTCATTCCGGTGATTGGAAGACATGTACACACTGCACAGTACTCTTGTACACCAAAGTACCTTGGGATGTGGGATGAATCAGGGCAACGGTTGCCTGCAGTAGTTCAGTCTAGACCTGCAGCCTTTAACTCATGACCGCCGGCGGCTCTGCCCGCAGCAGAAATGCCACCAACACAGTAACAACAGTGGTTTGATTCGCAGGGGACATTGTCTGCTTTGCCCGAGCTGCAAGATCCAGCCTCACAAAACCACCTGAAATTGTAGCCGCCTGCTGGGTGGCCTATCGGAATTCAAACGCTGTGGAAACCCGCAGCAACGCTTCGCTGCCAGTGCGGCCTGTAACGACAGCAAGGCATGTCTCAGTGACCCTCCAAGAGCAGACGATCTTCTGCCTATAATATGAGCGGGATCTACATGACCATTTGATGATCTCTCAAAGTTGTACTCGGCTCCAAATGTCGCCCGGCTGTTATGCTATCTTTGAGCACGGCGATTGTGATGTTGATACTGATTCTTATCCATCGCTGTGGGAAGATGTGTTTATATGGGAGACAGATGGCCAACTTGGCCAAGCCTTCGGTGGTGGCATACCAAGTTGATATTGCGACGAGGTATTTCAGGAACGCTGTGACTTTCTCCGGATCTGTTGCCTCCAGATATGCGGCATGGTAACCCACTCCGGCTTGTTTGACAGCGCCTATATTACCATACATATCCGTCAGCCAGACTTTGTACAAAGTTGGGACCTTCCCTGAATCACGACAATTGAGGAAGGATCCACCAAATAAGGGTTGAATTGGGGGCATTTAGAGACAGGTGATATTAGAGCACGAGCCGATGCCGAGGGCTGCGGCTACAATCTGCCCTACCAAAGCGGCACCAATGAGCCAGTCGCCCATGTCATATTTGCTGGCGGCAAGGCTTCGGGCATAAAATCGCAAGGCAACAGCAACAACACACAAAGGAGTGAATACGCCAACAAATACCTCGAGGCGGTATCCTGTATGTTCGGGTGAAAGGTGCGCTTGGCTTGACATGGTACCAGACTTGCGGCGATGGGTGAACAATAGAGGGGCACGTTAAGTGAAAGGTCCAATGAAAGAGGGCCGGTAAGCAAGCTGCCAATATGCGGGTGACTGACGAGATGGACGGCTCTTCGTCCGCAAATTTGACTTTGAAAAGCAATCAGAATTCCAGTGGGCCGGAAATTTGTTGCCTTTAAAGAGAGATGACTGCCGCTGTGCGCCTCAGCGCTTGACGATCACTTGCATACCGAGGGGACACCGGCCTGTACTGTTTCGGTACTAGCCCAGATGTTGGACTCGAGGGCCCCAAATAAAGCTGCTCTGTAGTGGAAGAGGCGGGTTGTGTTGGTGACCAAGTTAAGGGCCAACGGCGTCTACAATCCTGCACCTAGACATCGGCAAGGCTCCAGGGCGCAGATGTTTGATTGTGCCGTCTTGGCGCTTAATGATCACTTGCATACCGAGAAGACACCGGTCTGAGACACCGGTCTGTAAAGACCCCAAAATAAAGCTGCCCTGTATCTGAAGAGGCAGGTTACATTAGTGGCAAAGTCTGTTAGAATAATCGCTTGGTATTCAAGTGCTCTGGTCTAGTCTGGGTGAGCGCTCAGCCCCCTTAATATAGACGATCTAGAATACAGTGGCAAATGCTAGGAAAAAGAGACATCCCGCATTAATAATCAAACTATTCCAGAGCATTCCAACAAAGTCGAGAGACCACAAGCGAAACGACACCAACAGCATCTGCACTCCTGCAGCTAGATATCGGCAGAGTTCAAGGGTGCAGATGTATACTTTGTGTATATTGAGGTACTACACTCAGTGTGTCGAGCTGCACGTCTTGGGGTGTCACAATGGTTGCAGTTGTTTGCCAACCACATGATCAATGGAAGCTGGAAGCTGGAACCTGCGGATTTACAGGCCCGGATGTTGTTGATCTGGAGGGGTAAGCGGCTCATTCACGAGTAGTCAAGCGATAATTGTGACAGTGTTAGAAGAGGAACTAGAAAGCTGGAGTCATTGATGGGCTCAGCACCCATAGACCAAAAATCTTCAATGTCCTGGTCTGCAATTTATCTTTTATTACAACGGAAATTTTCTCCAATCTAGGCAGGGTTTGTCATCTTCGCCTTCCTTTGATCTCGGTCTCACTCATCTGAAAGTTCTGTGAAGATTATGGCTGAACCAGTGGCCATCGTGAGGATTTCCTGCCGGCTGCCGGGGGGAGCAAATGACCTCAATTCTCTCTGGGAACTTCTTGCCGATGGAGGTGAAGCGTGGTCCCCGGTTCCGGCCAGTCGCTTCAACGCGGCAGCCTTTCACCATCCCAATGCCGACGATCCCAACGGTACGAACAACCACCGGGGCGGCCACTTCATCGACGGGGATATTCGTGATTTTGACCATGCATTCTTCCACTTGTCAGGACAACAAGCCGCCGCTATGGACCCGCAGCAACGGATCTTGCTGGAGTTGGCGTACGAGGCGCTCGGGAGCGCGGGACTGAGTCGTGAAGCGATTGGTGGCTCCCGAACAGCTGTGTACGCTGCAATCTTCGGTATGGATTATGAGCGCAATCTTGCTCAGGACGTACTCGATCTGCCAGTTTACCAGAGCGTTGGCACCGGTACTGCTATCCTTGCCAACCGTATATCCCACGTCTTCGATTTGCGAGGTCCGTCTGTAACTCTCGACACAGGGTGCTCAGGCGGCCTGGTCGCCCTGCACCACGCATGCCGGAGCCTATGGAATGGGGAGACGGACGCAGCGCTGGTAGCGTCCGCCAACTTGCAACTGATGCCGGACCAATACATTGGAATGAACAACCAGCATATGGTTAGCTCCAGCGGCCGTTGCTACCCTTTCGACGCTCGGGGTGATGGGTATGGCCGTGGCGAAGGGTTTCGCCGTTGTGGTGTTGAAACGCTTGTGCGATGCCGTGCGAGGCCGTGACCCTGTCCGCTCCATAATCATCAACACAGGCATGAACCAGGACGGCCACACCGCCTCCGGCATCACTCATCCTAACCGCTCCGCCCAAGCCGACCTCATACGTGAAACGTATGCCCGTGCTCGCCTGCGGCCACAGGACGTCCTGTATGTGGAAGCTCACGGCACCGGAACTGTCGCTGGAGATAGCGAGGAGCTAGCGGCTATAGATGAGGTCTTTGGGGGCCCCGATCGTTCTCTGCCCCTCTTTGTGGGTTCCAACAAGGGAAGTATAGGTCACACCGAGAGCACGAGCTGCGGCGTTCGCCGCTGGACGCCTCTCTCACCGCACTGCGCTCTGCGTCTCATTCCATAGGGGATTCATGGCGGCTACGTCCAAGGCTCGAGGTCTGCCTCCAGGTGCGATGCTGTCCCTAGGGCTGGGTGAGCATGACACAGTCCCCTTAATCAATGATCTTTCTCGTGGCCATGCGGTCGTCGCTTGCGTGAACAGTCCAAACAGCGTGACTGTGTCCGGCGATGCTGCCGCGGTTGACGAGGTACTTGAGCGCGTCAAGGCCCGTGGAGACGGCATTTTCTGTCGCAAGTTGCTTGTAGGCACGGCATACCGCAGACACCATATGAAAGCTGTAGCTGCTGACTACAGAGTGAGGTTGGGCGAGCTGGACTTGACCAAGGCATCTGCCAGAACAAGGAGAAAAGAAGAGGACCACAGCGATGTCTCGATGTTTTCTTCGGTCACGGGCCAGGTCTTGTCTTCTCACCTTGGTCCGTCATACTGGGTCGAAAACCTTGTGTCTCCAGTCAGATTCTCTGATGCAGTCCAGACTGCCATGCGAACACATTCGAGTCTTGTTGGGGGCCATACTCTCTTCGTTGAAATTGGTCCACATCCGGCATTGGCCGGGCCCGTTCGCCAATGTCTTGCTGACACTCAAGTCCCGAAGCTTGAGTATGAATATTTGTCAGTGCTGCGGCGCGGGCTCAACGCCGTCTCAAGTGTATTGGAGCTCGCCGGCCGCCTCTTTGAGCGTGGGGTCACGGTTAACTTCAGGGAGGTGTTGGCACTGACTTCTGGAGCCGACACGGCTATCGTGGAACCGGATCTGCCTACCTACAGCTGGGACCGATCAGTGAAGCACTGGCACGAATCACGCCTAAATCGGGAGTATCGAATGCGCAAGGAAGCTTATCACGACCTGCTCGGTGTGCGGATGATCGAGTCGAGCCAGCCTCGCTGGCGACATGTGGTAGGCCTTACTACGTTGCCGTGGCTTGCGGATCATGTTATTGACAATTTAACGATTTTCCCGGGGGCTGGCTATGTCTGCATGGCGTCCGAGGCGGTGTTTCAGCTTGCAGCCGAGCAGAAGTCTCCACGAATACTCAAGGCATTGGCCTTCCGCGATATTGCGTTCCTGAGGGCGCTTGTCGTTCCAGAACCACCACAGCGTGTTGAACTGCAATTAAGCCTTGAACACCAATCAGCGGCACCTCTTTTGGAGTTCTCATTCCGCGTCATGGCCTTTTTCGAAGACGAATGGCATGAGCACTGTACTGGATACGTCGAAGGCATTTTGAGTCAAGTAGGAGAACTTGAAGCAGGTGAATCCGCCGTCATTCAGCAGTGCTCAACAAATGGCACGGTTATGGATCCCGCAAAACTATACACCGATCTTGCCGCGAGTGGCAACACATACGGGCCTACATTCCGAGGCATCCGTTCTCTTAGCATGGCGGCTGATGGAACAAGGACGGCGGCGGTAATCCGAGTCCCCGATATTGCGGCAATCATGCCGGCGCAACATCAGGCACGGCATATCTTGCACCCATCGACCTTTGACAGCATGTTCCACGTAGGGGTTCCGATGATACGCCATATTCATGGCGCTGGTTCCGTGATGCCTGTGCACATCGGGGAAATTTTGATGTCCACCCAGGTACCTGCGCTCAAGGACCCGGGCTCAGAACTCGATGTGTCGGCTGAAGTCACGTCTAGCCACTTCAGGACTACCAGTATTGAAATGGTCGTGACAGATGGGTACGGGCATTCGATCATGCACGCATCTGAAATCGAATCCCGCAGTCTAGGCGAGCACATCCGGGAAGCTGACAGCGCGGCTGATGCACAAGGCACTTGCTACGAGCTATCCTGGAAGCCCGACCTCGATTTCCTTCGCATCGGCGACCTCCCCACGAAGCCGAGCATATCTGACCTGGTAGCCATATTAAGCTGGAAATACGCACACTTATCTGTCATCGAGCTTGATGCTGGTCATGGAGATTTGGCTTCGGTGTTTATGGCATCTGTTAGGGTTATGGCACAATAGAGACATACGATCTCACTGATACTTCACCAACGTTCGTCGAAGAAGCCCGCAAGAATGCCGATGGAAGGTCGCTTCGCTTTCAAGTTCTGGACGAACAGGGAAGCCTTGAGGCTCAAGGCTTCACACCCCACGCATACGACGTCGTCCTGGCTTCGGATCCCCGATCCATCGCCCACACGCCTACTCTACTTCGGAACACCGGGCTGCTGGTTCTCGTGCTAAAGTCGGAAACGGATTTTGATGAGGCATGGCATACCAGACTCCGGCAAACCTGTCGTGATTTCGAGATCCAGCTATCTTTCAAGGATGCGGCCCTCGATGCTTTTGTGGTTGTTGTACGAGATCTCAACACAGGCACTGCGCAGTCTAACGTCAGACTCGTCACCCACTCGGCGATTGAGGAAGCGCCCTGTTGGATAATCCAACTTCAGGGCCGATTGTCTGCAAACGGAGTCCGCGTCACCCGTGAAACTATGAGCCAATTCTCGGCTGAGTCTGAATCTGGAGTTGGTACGTGCACCGTGATCGTCGACGACCTGCCATTTCCGATTCTTTCAGACCCAGACTGCTTTGAAGACTCCATTTGTTTGCTTCGAGAGAAGCACGAGATTCTATGGGTGAGCTTGGATAATCCGCCTTCGATGTACTAGATCACTGGTGTTGGCCGTACAGCGAACGCAGAAAATGGCGATTTGCGTCTCATCACAGCCCATGTCGCCCAAGAAGCGCTTGAGCATTCGAGGCTGGCTGAGATGATCCTTCACTGGCTGTCCCGGGTCGCGGATCGAGCTGGGACATCACATCACGAGCGAGAGAGAGTACCGCATGGACCAGCACGCCGCGGTTTTAATCCCTCGTTTGCGTCACAGTAGCCGCCTTAACAAAGCTATCAGTTCCCCAACGCGTGGCCGGATCCAGCACATGGGTGTTGAAGAACGTCGCTTTACAGATACGGCACGGCCTGTTTCCCTCCGAATCGACGACAGCTCGCAAGGCAACGGGAACCATGTGCTCTTTACCGAACACCACCAACAAGGGACCGACCTAGCTGGCCATGAGATCGAAATCGAAACACAGGCCTTCGTGCTATCCAAGGCGAGCGAGAGCAGTCCGCAGGCATCCCCTGTGGGAAACTATGCTGGAATAGTTCGTAGAGTTGGGAAGTGCATCGCTAGGCTCGCCACAGGAGATGCAGTAGTTGCAATCTCACCAGATGGGTGTGCCGGAGCAAACAGTTTACGTGTTCCGGCCTCGTACGCTTGTAAACGACCAGATGGCCTCGTTGATCAGCCCAGCGTTGTCGCTGATTTGTTTCTCCCCGTGGAGGCCGCGACTTACGCTCTTCGTCATCTTTGCCATCTGCAAAGTAAGTGCGGTACGGTTCTGATTCACGGTGCTCTCAGCCATCTCGGACGAGCGACAGTGGCTGTTGCACGCTCCCTTGGTGCAAATATCGCAGCCACGGCAGCCGACGCTCAAGAGGCGATAACCATAACGGAGCAGCTGGGCATCCTCCCCGGAAATGTAATAGGCCGCCGTAAGTCGCTGCTGCACCTTGAGAAAAAGGGAACTCTTCACTTGGACGCCATCATCCACACTGGGACGAGCCAACACGGTGTTCCAAGGCTTGCGTGGACCTGGCTGAAAGCCTTTGGACATTTGGTGATATTCCCGGAACAATTCTCGAACTCCAGTGTCGGAACCACCTTGACGGGCGCCAGGCTGCCAAGGAATACGGCTGTACACCTGTGTCACTTCCCAGATGTTCTGTACGAACACCCCGACCAAATCGCCGGAGTGGTAACACACGCGGCAACAGCCATCGAAGAATTGCCGATGCTTGTCCGTGGACTTGATCTAGCCATCTATGATGTTACCCAAACTTCAGAAGCTCTTCGCCTGCTCAGACGTGGGGTTGATACCAAGGTCGCTCTCTACACCCGGAGCAATTCGCTCATACGTGTGGCTGTACCGCCCCGAGTTGATGACAGCTGGGCTGATTCAAATGCGACTTACGTCGTCGCGGGCGGCATGGGCGACCTGGGCAGGCGGCTTTTGGTGCTCATGGCCCGTCGCGGAGCAGCCCATCTCGTCACGCTCTCGAGGCGGGAGGTTGACCCTGAGGATTTCCGCGTTTTCCAATCGCAGCTTGAGGACATTCGTGCAGGATGACGTCTTCACTGTCTGAGATGTGACGTGACAGAAGCGAGCAGTGTACAGGATGCTGTTGCTGCCCTTGCAGATTTAGGATTGCCACCTGTGAGAGGAGTCGCTCAGTCTGCTGTCTTCCTCCAGGATCGCACCTTGGAAAGAATGAGGTTCACGGACTTCAAGCCTGTCACACTCGCCAAGATAGAAGGTACAATGGCACTCGAACGATATTTCACATCGCCGCATCTGGATTTCTTCCTCATGCTTTCATCCGCGGTTGTTGTTACCGGCGCCAGAGGGCAAGCCAACTACAACGCCGGCAATGCTGTCCAGGACGCCTTGGCCCACACTCGCGCTCCGGGCTTCATGTCTTTGAATATTGGCTGGATCGAAGATGCGATCCATACTTCCAAAGACAAGACCAGACTGCAAGGATTATGGCGCACCGGCCTGAGACCCATACTCCCACATGAACTGGAGCGCTATCTTGATTACGCTCTCGGAGCAGCATCCGACCGTTCTAACATGCGCCAGGCCGCGATTGGCTTCAATGCAGAGTCACTCTCACACGCTTCAGCTAGAAATGGCAACGTCCATTCAGCGTTGTTTTGTCATGTGAGAGGGTATCCTGCGGCCGGCAGCATCTCTTCATCAGCTGCTGCGGTCAAGTCATTTCAACAAATTGTCGAGAGCGAAAATCTGGACAGCGTGGTCGACTTTATCAGCACAGCTATTACTGGCCATCTGACCATTCTGTTGTCTGTGGATGCCGCCCAAGTTGCACACGGGGGATCCATTCTCGATCTCGGCCTGGATTCCTTGGTTGCCATTGAGCTCCGAAATTGGATCACTCGCGAGTTTGACGCTCCTTTGCAGTCTTCTGAAGTAATGAAAGATCAGATTATCCGCGCACTGGCTCAGAAGGTGGCCTCACGTTCTGCCAAGATCCTACTGCGATCGGGCACTGACACGGACCACACGAGTATCACAACCCCCGGGTCAAGCGCGGTGGAAACTCCTACGGAATTGCCCCGGCTCCCATTGCCTCAGCTCCAGGACATACTTCGACTGTTCGAGGAGTCCCGCGTCGCCATCGATACTGAACAAAATCGACGAGAAACGTCAGACGCAGTCCAGGCATTCCTGAATGGACCAGGACCGGAATTGTACCATCTGGCTGAGACGGCGGGCCTTGACGACCTCGCTGACGCCTATGAAGGCCAGGTATACCTGATGCGTCGCGAGCCAATCCCGGAAACCGGACCATTCACATTTATTCATCCTGTAGAACTACCTAGCCACTCGCAAGCAAGGCGCGCTGCAATCTTGACTGTGGCTGCACTTGACTTCGCTCGCCGTTTGGCTGAAGGAAAGGTTGCCCCAGACACGCTCCATGGTGAGCCTCTTACCGTTGAAGGTCGCGAATGGCCGTTTTATGCCACACGGCGCCCTGGACTTGGTGTGGACAGCATGGAACGTCACACACCTAACCACATGGTTGCTGTGATGCGGCGGGGCCACGTCTTCCAATTGACTCTGCCTGACCATGGCCAACCTCAAAGTCTTCCAGCAGTCCACCAAGCTTATGACCACATTTTGGAATTGTCGGAGGACCCTTGCCCATCCGTTTGTACTCTGACTGCAGACGGGCGCGACTCGTGGGCTCAGGTAAGAACTTCAACCATGTGACCTGTCCCTCCACTTGGATATCGCTGATAACTTTTTCCTGCTAGGTTCGTTCGAATTTAGAGACTGACCCAGGAAATGCCGCCGCCTTAGCTTGCATCGACTCAGCAGCCTTCGTCACGTGTCTTGATGACGAGAAACCCACCGACCCTGGACAGCGATACACGCAATTCCTACTCAACGGTGACCGCCAAGGCTCATGCATGCCCCGCCATCTTCAGTTCATCTGAGCTGTGGGGCGGGTTATGGCGAGGAGAGTATCCCCAAGTATTTGGTCAAATTCCTCATCAGGCAGAGGCAGAGGTTGGTGATGAGGTCGGCGACTGCGTACCAGCCTGAAATAGTTTGGGTCAATGCCACTGTGAGCTGGACCTCGACGACAATACTCATCCACATTGTAGCTTTGCGTATGACCTGTGTGGCATGGAGACAAGTCCATTGAATGAGCTGGACCGCTGCATGGATTTTCTCTCTTCCTGTGTTGACACAGTGACCTGCAAAGTGCGAGGTAGAGAAGAGGAATATCAATGTGGGGGGGAACAACCTAGTGATGAACCAGGATCGAGAGTTGATAATTTGGCCGGGACAGATTTCTGGCGGCGGTTTCTCCAAGCCTGGAGTTCGGGAGGTGATGGTAACATCGGGTCATGTCTAATGACTTGCATCCGCGGTGTGCGTCCAGGTCGGTGCGCAGGTCACAGTTTAACTTCTGCAAATCGTAGTGGTCCTTTCCTTTCAAGTGTGTCTTACCACCGGGAGGAACAACACCGCCAGGCCAATCTTATGCAGTACACCGTATTGCATGTTGCACATCGATGGCTCGAGGATAAACGATGTTTGGCGTTGAGGAAGACAGTACGGTCTTCATATTTCAGGGGCCCAGATGGTGCTCACAATGGGTCGAGGTCATCCGCCCCCACCAAGCCACAGTAGCCTCTGGAACCATGGAAAGGCGCCGATTGGTGCACTACGACCTGCGACGAGCCGCACCCGCCGTCGACACTAGGGCCCCGCGCCCCCCCCCCTGTCCGTTGTCAGCCCGTCTGCCGAGAACACCTCTCCGGCTGGTCCCTTTGTGGCATTGGCATTTGTCCGTGGAAGTGGCTTAGCTTGCTAGGCCCGTCCGATTCCACTTCACTTCGCTTCGCTGTCCGGAAGCCATGGTGGCCGACGCGCTCCAAGCTTCCTGTACAGCATCCCTATTGTCTCCCTCCGGACCGCAGGATGGATAACCTGACCCAGCTCGCGACCGGTGCGTGTGCTTCTTGCAAGCCCCTCCTCCATCAGCTCCCCCTTCCCACGCCTGCTGATGCTGACCTCGACCTTGTGTGTGCATAGACATCTCCTGGTCCTCCCTCCCGACCGAGTGGCTCCTGGCTGAGCTCGCGAAGCGCGACGATGTGGCCGACACAAAGCCCGAGTGTGGCTCGGGCAAGAAGGGCTCCTATGACACATTCATGCACGTCGCAGCCTTGATCCTGATCCTGGCACTCAGCACAATATGTACGCACCCAACGCTGCTTCTGCTACCGCTGAACCCGACTTGGGGCTGTTTGTCGCTGACCTCCCTGCCTCCCACAGCTTGCGGCTTTCCTCTGATATCCAGCCACTCCCGCAGCCGGCGCTCCAACAGCATCGTCTTCTACTCCCAGCACTTCGGCACCGGCGTTCTGATTGCTACCGCATTTGTCCACCTCCTCCCGACCGCCTTCCAGTCCCTCAACGATCCGTGCCTTCCCTACTTCTTCAGCAAGGGCTACAAGCCCCTGCCTGGATTTATAGCCATGTTCTCGGCGATGGTGGTGGTGGCACTCGAGTCTTACCTGACTACACGAGGTGCCAGACACTCGCATTCGCACATGTGGGAAGACGATGAGAGCGACGACGAACACGGAGCTCGTCCTGGGCACAGTGGAGGCGTACTGGCAGCTAGGCGCGGACTGAACCGGCCTGCCAACATTGCATTGGAGGATCTGGGCGCTTCAGAGGGGCTCATGGCTGGCGCGTCTCCGCTTCCGGAATCAACGCCGACCCTACAAGTAAACGGGAAGAGCAATGGCGACGCCGACGAGTCGAGAGGGGGAAGAGCGCGCGACGACGACGATGACGAGGATCGCGAGTCGATGGATCTGGAACTGAACATGGACGAGCTCTCCACCGTGCCCCTCGACGGCGGGAAGCCCAATGCTGGCCCCAAGAGCCCGACGGTGCCTCATATGCCAAGTCCGGAAGAACAGAGGCGTCTGATGCTGCAGTGTCTGCTCCTCGAGGCCGGCATTCTTTTCCACAGCGTATTCATCGGGATGGCTATATCTGTAGCTACGGGCCCGCCGTTCGTGGTATTCCTCGTAGCGATCGCCTTTCATCAGACTTTCGAGGGCCTTGCGCTTGGTTCTCGAATTGCGGGCCTCCACCTACCCAAATCGTCGCCCCGGCCGTGGCTAATGGTCCTCGCCTATGGCACGACGACCCCTATCGGCCAGGCGATCGGACTTATCGTGCACAACTTCTACGACCCGATGAGCCAAACGGGCCTATTGATGGTCGGCTTCATGAACGCCATCTCCAGCGGTCTGCTGCTCTTCGCAGGGCTGGTACAGCTCCTGTCCGAGGATTTCTTGACCGAGAAGAGCTACAAGACCCTACACGGGCGAAGAAGAGTCAATGCTTTCATCGCGGTGATAGGTGGTTCTCTGCTGATGGCGCTTGTTGGTGCTTTCGCGTGAGCCTATTTTATGGCTGGAGCTGTGGATTTGGAATGCTCGAAGTATCTAAAGCATGCATGGCGTTGGTGGGAGATCTGAATACAATACTTTCCACATAAACATGCTTCTGTCAAGGTCTTGCTACGGAGGGACTCCTGGGAAATGACGTCTCGTGGGATAACCTTCTGCGTGATCTCGGGAATGAGACATCCAATTGGATCACGTACTCTACGGCACCTCGACCCCTACAGAGAGCCTGTACCAAGCCATCTATCTACATGGTTCGGCCCTGGTACCCCTTTCCTTATATCCCACGGATGCAAGCAAGATACATGGGATCCCGGCAGCAGCGAAGACAGCCCGCATCTCGGGACCGGCCATTGGAGTCTGAGCCTCTGCCTCCCGTCCATCCTGCCGTCATGTACAGCTTGGTAGGACTTACCAGTGATTATTTGACGATGGAAAAGCATCATCTCGAGAAATATATCACCTCATCACGTCAGGGGAACAGCCTTAGATCCTGTCCGAGCTTCGCTGATGCACTCCCAGGCTGTCTTGCGCATGAAGATCGCCGTAAGTGGAAGGGGCTGGTCACATCCCCTCGTGAGCGCTGCACGGCTGCACAGCACAGTCACATTTCCCAGATACATTAAATATGCTTATTTGGAGAGTATTGTACGTAAGAGCTGTCCATTGAACCTATCCGAGCCCATGAAAGATGTTCAGAGACGCTGTGCAGTCTGGCCCCCTCGCACGGGACAGCCGCCACACGTGGTGCACACAGAAGATGTGGCGTTCTCTTAATTTTACAAGCTTAATCGAGATATATGCAAGTCAATACCAAGCTTTTGGTGCAATTCTCGCAGTGCAGGCCGTTCTGGAACTGTACGCGTCACCTCGTCGTTCCGGTTTGACAGGACCGGCCGGTCGGACATGTCCTAGGCCCCGGATGCGGGAACGGGGCAACCACTGCGAGCGGAGCAGGCCGGCGCATCTTCCCACAACAAACATACCTTTGAACATATCTACACGTTAGAGCATGCGTTGGGCAACAATGAAAATCGGCTGCATAGGGACGAAAAACGCCTCCCAGAGTCCAATGCTGATCTAGTCCAGCGGACCAAAGCTTGATCGGGGGCATTTCGTGCTCATGTTTGCTTGGGGAAACTAAGGCCATAAAGATTTGCCCATCAAGGAAGACCAAGCAGGAGCAATTCTGAATGGAATGCGCCATGTCTCAAATTGTGAAAATTGAAATGAGGTGGGACAAAAGTGTGACAATACCACTCACCACAAACCAGCAAAAACAAATGATCTGGCCCGGGCTCGAACCGGGGACCTTCAGTGCTCCCACAAATCACCCTGGACGAGTTAATTTAATGTTAGACTGACGTGATGAACCAACTACACCACCGGACCATGTTCTTGATAAATTGGGAAACATGTGGATCATATCAGTGTATCGTGCGAAAATCTTTTCCGGCGGTTCGGGGCCCGTGGCTGGCACCCAACATTCCTTGGCAGCTAGGATGGGCCTAGCAGGTGCCCCACCACCTTAAGTCCGAGACGCCATGGTTTCTGTGGTCAGAGATTGATTTGAGCTGCGAGTGTCATAACTACGGCCGAATGACCCGCTAGGAGTGATGTCGCTTTGTCTGCAGGAGCATTTTGGGAATACTGTATGCCATGGGTTAAATTGATGGGCGTCATCAGGCACTGGAATATGTTCATGGCCGTGTTCATCATGACCCAATGGTCCATGGTCCTTGAGAGACGGAGAATGGCAAGATGTGCGTGAACATCGAACCCGCCCACAACACCACGTCCGATGATGCTCCCAAAACGTTGCAGCTCATGCGCCAAGACGGCATCTCCGTACATACGCCTGTTGTGCTTCCAAAAATGATCTCAAAACATCTGGTCCTGTTGTCGAAAGCGCTCGCCACGAGGCGCAGTCTATTCCCGGGCGCCTGGAGCCCTAAGGCCCTGAGACGACTAGAACTTGGCGTTCGGTTGACTGGCCAGACTGGTCGGCGTGCTCACTATTACTTGATCGTCCGATATGCCATGTTCTGCACGTCAGCTTTATGGCTATTAAAGTTATTTTCAACCCAAAAACTGGGGTCTTGTCCTTCCCGGTTCGTCGACACAACCACTCCGAGCCAATCTCCAGATCCCCCTCAAACCTTGCACTTCGGGACGGACAGAATGGGCAGCCTAAGCCCTACCGGACGTCACATAGTATGCCTCTTGGTGCAGGATTTGGAAGTCCAGCCTTCGATTGATTAAAGCTCCCATAAGCAGCATCCTCGTCTGATGTTTCGCCCCTTTTGGCGAAACACATCACCTAAATCTTCTATGTTTCTATCACGTTGGGACGAACAGGATTGATACATCTCACTGACGACGACTTCCATTTGTTCGAAACACATCACCTAAATCTTTTATGTTTCTATCACGTCGGGACGAACGTGATTAATACATCTCACTGACGACGACTTCCGTTTGTTCGAAACACATCACCCAAATCTTCTATGTTTCTATCACGTCGGGACGAACGGGATTGATACATCTCACTGACGACGACTTCCGTTTGTTCGAAACAGCACCAAGTGTTTCCATTACTACTGTGAATGCTATGGAGCGTTCGCATTGCTTATGCTGAGGCTCATGGAAGAGTTGGTCTACCAGTCCATTGCATACCAAACTCACGATGGCAGTTTTTTATATAAGAAGGAAGGCAAGCCCATCTACACTTGGATATTTCTCGACACATCACACTCAGACAAACACAATCCTCCCAACATCAGTTCCACCAACTTGTGACAGTACGAGCCAATATCTACACCAGAAGCAGCATCTTCCTGATATCCCGTCACCACCACCTTAGAACATCTACACACATCCTCAGCAACCATGCAGTACTCAAAGCGAGCCATTGTTGCCCTTGCACTCCTCAGCCCAGCATTCACTTCAGGACTGGTTCTGCCATGCATCGCCGTCAGAGACAACAATGCAGTCGCTGTGCCAGACTGTCCTCTTGTCTCGCGTCACCTGCCCGGTGCCATGCCCGTCAAGCTTAGGGCCCGCCACGGCGGAGGAGGCGAGACAACCGAGGGCGGAGAAACCAGCGGCTTGAGCGGCACAGGAGGTAAGTAAATCATCCTTCAGGTAGCAGTTCTCAAAGAACACATACTGAATTCAATGTGATGGGCAGGTGGTCCATCTACCGGAACCGGGGGAACCGGTACTGGCGAAGAAGAAACTGGCACAGGAGGCACAGGCACCGGGGGAGGCACAGGCATCGGGGGAGGCACAGGCATTGGGGGAGGCACAGGCATCGGGGGAGAGACTGGCACCGGGGGAGGCACAGGCACAGGCACCGGGGAGGCACAGGCATCGGGGGAGGCACAGGCATCGGGGGAGGCACAGGCATCGGGGGAGGCATAGGCATCAGGGGAGGCATAGGCACCGGGGGAGGCACAGGCACCGGGACCGGGGGAGGCACAGGCATCGGGGGAGAGACGGGCACCGGGGGAGGCACAGGCATCGGGGGAGAGACGGGCCCTGGAGGAGAATCTGGTACCGGGGGAGAGACGGGCACTGGGGGAGAGTCTGGCACAGGCACCGGTTCGGGATCGGGATCTGGCACAGGATGCTCAGGAGGTGGCGCGTATCCATCAGGCCTGCCGGGTGCTGGAGGAGGCCTGCCGGGTGCTGGAGAAGGAGAAGGCCTGCCGGGTGCTGGAGAAGGAGAAGGCCTGCCGGGTGCTGGAGGAGGCAGCAGCACTTCTGGTGGTCAGGGTGGTGAGGGTGGTCAAGGTGCTGACGACGAGTCTGCTTAGTATGGCAGGTTGGACTTTGCTGCAGTCTTCTATTCTCGATTGTATTTTACGTATGTATCTGTCCTTTGTACGGACCTCTTGCAATTTTGCCATGCTGTTTACCAATGTCATCTGGAAATCAAGACGCTTCAAAGCAGTATCCCAAGTGGCTGATGATGTAGTCCTAGAGGACTTTAATATGTTTGTCCAATAAAGACTGCATATAAATCATCGCCCGAAAGACCATCGCACAACAGGCATCTGAAGGATTTAGGTAGAGTTGAACAGATTACTCTAGTATGAATTCGTCAGTACGAATGTATTCAGGGGAAAGTCTCTTGGCTCTATAGTCAACTAATGGTTCCTTTCTTTCTCTGAGGAGTACAGGATTGCCACTATCAAGATACTATCCGAAACACAATCGGGCTTCTCAATGCTACCGGTATGCTTGCGGTGTCCAATACAGCTAATACTCCGCTCGGCTGTGGAGCAATGCGAGAATGGTGTGCAGCTCGTGTGAAGATATGTGTTAGGTCTTGTGGACCCACACGACCCTAGAACTGGAAGAAATTTCCGCGGGTACCGTAGAAAGAGAGGGACCTGCCGAATTAACGGGTGGGGAGTCTCAGATCGGAAGGAGCAATGCATCGAGGATGCTGGAACCGGTGGGACTGTGTTATCCCGTGGTTCTTTAGAAGATTGAGCAGGATCTTGGGATTGCTATCTCGCCATTGGAAGTGGGTTCTCTCGGCTTCTTCCACATCTGTCTGTGGATTGCGCTGCAGACCGAAACCCACTCTGTGTAGGAAAAGACATGTGGAGCCGCTTCATCAAGAAGTTTCGTTGCAGTGCCCTCGTGTAGACTGTGTAATGTATAAAGCATGTAGCTCTGGCTAATACTGGTCAGCATCTGTAGAAGGGTTCGTATGAGTGATGCCCAGGTGCTTGAATCTGACTACCCCGGTACGTGCACCATAGCTAGAAGCGGTGGCCAAGCACTCAGGATCTTGCCTTCAGCCCTATTTACAACGTTGTACAGTCAATGAAAGAAGGCTGCACGTGGGTTGCCACGAGAGCTTTCGCCATGGACGGGAAGCTGTAAATGCCACTTTCCCTTTTCGTCGTCACCTCCTGTTGGCCGAGGCTTCACGGTGGCATCGAGTCAGTTTCGTGTCACCCTGAAACCTTAACCGTTGTTCGAATCATTTCGGTCGAGCCCAGATGCATCTCTTGCACGTGGTCGTCGCGCCCAGCCCGGGACAACATTAGACATGCACTGCATTTCTTGCGCGAGTCGTCCTGCGCCAGAGCCTGGCCATGCATGTGGATGAACATTCAAGATCCCGCCGGATGTGTTGCTTCTCAAAGCGGGGTGCACTGCTTACTCCAGAGACAACATAGATCGGGCTCCGTTTACATGTATCATCGGACTGACGAGGGCAGAGCCAAACACCGTCTCGCGAGCGCGAAGACGAGAGCACAGGTAGTTGTCATTTGGTGAACAAGTCGAAGCCGGCAGCAGGCGGGTTATACGAGTGGGCGCCGGGTCCCGAGCGCTCGGCAACGGACGGTTCTGGGTAACACGGCCCCCCTGAAGCCCGCTGTTGTGCAACTATCCGAGATGAACACCTTACAAGCGTCGGCTTCTTCCACTGTACTCAGGTATTTCATTGGACTCGATCCGGCCGCATGAGGACGATTGCACCTGACATCGACAGACGTAGTCTAATGGCGTCCTAAGTAGTACAAGGCTTGGCCATGTATCTTCGGATGAAGCCGAGTCTGAGCGGATCATTGTCTTGAATTCCAGCAGGCCGGTCCTTCGGGCCCATTTCATCGAAAAACAGTTTCCAGATGACCACAGTTTCGGCGTGCTTCCTTCCTTGACCGTTTATTCTCACTGTTCTTTGTTTTCGTCCTTTTTTCCCTTCACCTCCTAGTAGTCCTTCTGTTCATGTCCACGTGTCCATGTGGCGAGCGCGGCTGTGGCGCCACCTGCCAGCAGATGCAGCGCTGCGCCCAGCGTCTAAAATAAATCCCGGTGACGCGGTAGTTAGGCGTTGCTAGGGTGGTCTGCTTGGTACGATGGCAGGATAGTGGCAACTGGCCAGCAAACGGACAGAGGGACCCCTGCTGTCGTGACTTCACTAGGAAAATAATCCGAGTCCCTCACCCGTAATGAGGGGAGCCCTGGGGAGGCATCCTGACGCTCTGAGAGGCAGCCGCCGCCAAACAGAGTTGCAATGGCCCGTCAAGCTTCCTGGACCCTGGCTGCCCCGCCAGTGTGCATTGCTTTGCCAGTGGCGCAAGGAGTGGATGTCAAAGTCTGTTCCCGGGGCTGCATCCCCTTCCCATTCGCCGCGCAGACCAGGACAGGCCCGCCATTGCTCAATATTTCTGGGCCATTCACAGCCCGAGGCCGCCATCAAGGCTCGCAATAGGCTGGACCCCCGATCCGGCCAGGGACCAATCGAGCGTCCGAACCTTGGACGTTGCTGTGATCGCTTCACCTTGTCGAGCGGGTAAGCAGGGGCCGCCGCTCGTAGTCTTTTCCAGCACCCTCCTTGTGCCTCTCCCATTTGTCCTCACCTTGCGTGAAGATGTGGAGATCACCGAATCCGGCCATGTACATCATGGATTGGCGCACCGGCATCCGTCCTCAAATCTCGAGGATGAGCCAGCCGAGCCTGGTCCCTGGGCTCCGCTCCTGAATGTGGGCTCGGCCGGGGCTCCGCGGTGCTACTTACTGCATCTTCGCTGCGCGTCCGCTGCTTGATCTGTGGACTCGGTCCGTCTTGAAGTACCCTTTCGCGCTCACTTCTCTTGCTTCCTTTCTTTCCTTCGGTAGCACTCGTGCGCTCATGACAATTCTTCGCGGACGAGACCAGACCATGCGCCAATGAGATCCGAACCACACCCATCGTGACGAATTGACCCTGCGTATTGCACATACACAGCGGCAGGAGGATCTTTCCAACCAGAGTACAGACGCAAGGGCAAACGGAAGGATGTGGGACTATGGTGACGACAACCGGGGGCCTGAAATGGCGGCCATAGCCCTCGTCATGACATCCCTGAGCGTCATTGCGGTTGCGCTGCGGTGCTATACCATGATTGCGATACTTAAACGCTTCTTGGTGGAGGACTGGCTAGCCGTTCTCACATGTGTGAGTACTATTGATGCCTGTTTGCCGGTCGAATCCGTGCTGATACTGCATCTCGATACCAGCTCCTTCAGTGCACCTTCTGCGCCTTTGTGATCCTTGGTGTATCCCACGGGCTTGGAGCTCACGTCGAACATGTCCCAGAGGATCAACGGCCCAAGGCCCTGATCTTCAAGTGGGCAGGCCAGATCGCTTATATCGTGGTGTCGACAATGGTCAAGTTCGTCGTCGGCATTTTCCTGCTCCGCCTGTGCGTCAACAATGGATGGCAGCGCATTACCATCTGGGTTCTGCTGGTTCTCGTTGGGCTCTTCAACGCCTTCTACGTCTTCGTGGCGGTATTTCAGTGTCAGCCTGTACCGTTCTATTGGTGGCGATATGCTGAAGACGCACCCATCACTGGAACCTGCAACGGCAAGAAAATGGCGACCATACCGACGTACATCGCCGTGCTCTTGGGCATCGCAGGTGATCTGATCCTTGCCCTACTCCCAATCACTCTCATCAAGCATGCGAAGCTGGACAAGAAGACCAAAATCTCAGTGATCTGCGTCCTTTCGCTTGGTTCACTGTATGCCACACCCCCTTCTGGCTTTCTTGACTCCGTTCCACCCGTGGACGTGGTTCACTCAATCTTCCTCGACTCCGTGTTGTCGTCTGCTGTCCAAGTCCTTCTCAACTAACATCGGGACGACCACAGGGCTTCGGTGGCTACCATTGCACGTATTCCATACGCTCAGCAGCTTCTCTCTAACCCAGATTACCTGTACAATTTCAGCGACTTGGCGATATGGAGTATCGTCGAATGCGGAATCGCCATCACAGCTTCGTCACTTGCAACACTGCGCCCGCTCTTCGTCAAAGTGAAGCTACTCGCAACAAATCATTTCACCAGCCGCTTCACATCATCCATGAATGGTGGCAGCGGAGGTCTGCCCATGTTCACCAATAAGACAAACAAGACAAACACCTTCGTATCATCGTCCCAAGTGCAGAATCAGGACGAGAACCGGTATACTACGGTGACAGAAACGACGACAGCGAAGAAGGGAGCCGGCATACTGGGAAGCGCATCCGACTCGAGGGACGGTATCCAGGTCAGAAAGGAGTTCGAGATGTCCGTCATCACGCGGTCGTCCAAGGATAGCATCGATCAGCTTGAGAACGAAGTTGACGAGGTGATCAGCCCGGGCACTGCGAGGGCCAACAGTACCCACAGCAGGGGCCAAAGTTTCCATCAAAGCCTTCGCTTGAATCCTAGCCCTAGGTTGAGCCCGGCTCCTTCTCGACCAACACTCCAAGATGCGCCCGTTTTGATGCCATCGACCGCGACCACAACTCCAACAGGACCACCCTTAACACATGCCACGAATGGACACTTCATTCATACCAACTGGCAACAAAACGCATCTCCACAAAGCTCACGTTCTGCTGAAGCTGCCAGGAAAGGCAGTTTCGGCCAGGTCGCAACCCCCTTTGGAGGCGTTTCCGTGGACCATAACGATATGGAACTGCGCTCACCTCCGCCTATCTTGACTCAGTCACCTCGACATGGTCACCAGTCGACCAGCTCTCAAGACAGTTTTCGATCATCCAGGACACCGAGATCGGCTGCCCCAAGCTTTCACCTACCAACAAGAGTACAGCACTACAGCATGGTGTCCTCTGCCTCAGGCCACAGCAGGTCAAGCACGTCCACCAAGGCCAACTCCCGCGGGACATTTGGCGCAGACGGCTTGCCTCCACACTCGCGCTTGACAGAATCCGGTTATGGCGAATATACACCGGGTATCAACAGCAACCCATCAAGCCTTCCCGGAAGCCCTCAGGTCCACTCCGCCAGTCGATCACTCAGTCACTCACCCATCGCACCCCTACCAAACTCGAACGCGAACATGAGATTCCCCTTCGAGAAGCCCGACCCTATCCCGGAGGTGAAAAAGTCGAAGCGGAAAACGCGAGTGAGCGCCTTCCTGGCAGACAACTCGTCAGTGTCCAGCGTGGACACCGGGGACCGCAGTGACGACGAGCTCACCAGGCCGCAGTGGGCTGGCACGGATCGCGAGGCGCCGCCGAGCCCGTTGACGAGCCACCCCCCCTTGTCTCCGAGGGAGAACTGGGTATGACAAATGATCGACACCTCGCCCCCCTTCACCTAGACGAAGAAAAGAGGATCACTCCACCAAATACAGGTGATCTTGCAAGCGTTCTTTTGATGAATTTAACACTCTTTCATCTCTTTGCAGTACCACTACATACACTTTAATTTCATATTGGACATCTACACGTCAACTATTGATGGCGAAGGCTGAGCGAGCCTGTTGTGTGGGTTTAGGCGCAGGATGGCAGCGAGTTGCGTCTTTTCATAGCGTGGCTCTGGTATGCAGGGCATGAGTCTTCATTTCTCTATCAGCATACATATATACCCCACAGAGAAATTGAAAAGAGCTTTTGAACCGAACGAGTACTGGTGACCCATGAATGATGAATGGGAGGTGAACCTGTGCATGAACTCGGAGGGTCATTTCCTTCCTGTCCAGCGTTTCCGTGATTCACCCGATCAATTTATTCAAGTTGCTGTTCTCGCATGTGATTCATCACGCTCTATAGGTTTCTTTGGTCACCGTCTGGCGCGACCAAGACACGATTTGAGAGAACGGGAAGAGGAAAAACGCTTCAGAGCGAACACCGCTGGTCAGGTGTTCATGACAAGACTAGCAGACAAGGGTGTCTAAAATCTTCATTAATTCCTTGAACACCTTTGCGGGTCAGACATGTGATCCCCACGTGGAACTCCCCATGCGTGAGAGATGGCCGAGTTGGTTCTGGGTGGCGCTAGTGATGGGTGGGTCCCCGTGCCCGCGTCAATCCACGTTAGAGAGCGCGCGCTGCAATTCGGGAACCCGCTAACACTCCCTAACAGCAACTCATTGCTGCCCGGTTTCGGTGATCTTATCTGTCAATCTTATCAGATCATCGAGATAACCATGCCCCATTCTCCTCTTTGGTTCCACGACATCCGAGCGGATATTGCGACTCCCGCCTAGCCAAGTTCCACCATCCACTTTAGAGGTTCCCCAACATCCCATGGACGACAATGCAGCAAGCGATGGCCTCGGCGATCGTCTGCACCAGCAATGGCCCGCCGGGCTCGTCGGCGAGGCGGCGCGGCTTGCAAAACCGGGCGGCTTGCTCAATGACATAGACGACTTCGCCGCTGCAGGCCACCGCCGACAGATCCCCCCTGATCAGATGGACTACCTGCGCAACTTGCTCAAGGTTCTACTGGATGGTAGAGACATAGTTGCAGCGTACAGCATTGTCATGCTCATTCTCCTCGCTGGCTTCACAGTACTTCATCTGCTGGAGAAGAGGAGATGCCGGAAACGGTGGCAAATGAGGATGCGTGCATCCTCCAAGACAGTCGACATGGAACCTAAATCTGGCGACGATATACCAGAGGCAACAAGCTCCTCGTCCTCCAGCAGCTCCCACGGTATCACGACTCCATCGGGTGCGATGAAGGATATCGTCCAAGTCGATCTCGAAAGACTGCCGCTGCTCGGACCACGTCGTAAGCAAGCAGAGACAAGCCTCTGGGCTCGCACGAAGAGACGCGTCGTCCATTGGCTGGAATACCAACCGAGACCACTCCCAGTGGTCAATAGGACTTTGCCATCAAACGCTACGTCCATATTTGTCGGAGTTTGGGTCGGCATCAACATCTTCTTCCATTTGTATCGAGTCAACCTGCTCGACCTGAAATACTTCTTCTGTTTTGCTGACCGAGCCGGCTTCGTTTTCATTGTCAACCTACCTCTGCTCTACCTGCTGGCTGCTAAGAACCAACCGATCAAGGTCCTCACGGGGCGCTCATATGAGTCTCTAAACGTCTTCCATCGTCGGGTAGGCGAGTGGATGTGCTTCGAGGCGGTCGTCCACTTCGTGAGCATGGTCATCTGGCGCTTTGCCCCTATCAAGCCGGCCTGGTTGGACGGCGAGGGCGGCGCCAGGGCCTACTTTACTCACCCGCTCATTTTGCTCGGTATTGCTGCCTTCGCCGCATACGAGCTGCTATGTTTCACGTCCTTGGGAAGCTTCCGCCAGCGCTGGTACGAGATATTCCTTGCGTCCCACGTGGCTCTACAGGTCGTGGCGCTTGCGTTCTTGTATCTCCACTTCCATACTGCAAGGCCGTACGTGCTTGCGTCGCTGGCTATCTTCCTCGTCGACCGTGTCGTGTGGCGCTTTGGACTTAAGACTGCCACGATCGCGACGGACCTTTACTGTCCTACCTGACGGCGAGACTATCATAATGTCCGCCAACTGGGACAAGCCAGCGCCGAAACAGTCCTGGTTCCCGTGGCCTCGACAGAATATCAAGCATGGGTGGAAGCCTACCGATCACGTCTTCCTTACTGTACCGGCACTGGGCCGGAAACACGCACTCCAGGCACACCCCTTCACGATCGCGTCTGCTGCGCCGCCGTCACAACATACATCTGGCAGTGATAGTGAACAACCGATCCACTGCTGGATGAACCTACTGATTCGGTCCCAGAAGGGTTTCACCACCGATTTGTTGTGCTACGCCCACCGCCATCACCGCGTCTCCGTTCGCCTCGACGGGCCCTACGGCTCGTCGCACGCCCTAGAGATGTTACGTGCAGCCGAGAATGCGGTCCTGGTTGCAGGAGGGAGCGGTATCGCCGTCACATTTCCCCTGGTCTGGGCCCTCCTGCTGGGTGAGGGGGCCGACGAAGATGAAAACAACGGGCTCCTGGCGTTGGGAAAGAAGAAGCGGAAGCAAAGGGTGCACATGATGTGGATCGTCCATTCGGATGAACATCGATACTGGATACCGGATGCAACGCTCGACAAGCTTGTCGCTGCCGGCTTAGACCTTGTCGTCCCGCCTTCAACAGCCGTTGCCGGACGGCCGGATGTCGTTGGAACCGTGGAGGGCTGGATTGAGGGGACCAATGACGGTGTTACTCATAGCAGAGAGACTGCTGTGGTTGTCTCGGGGCCTGATGGCCTGAACAGGATGGTCAGGAACACATGCGCTGAGGCTATGGGGCGAGGGGCAGATGTTCAGCTCGCAGTGGAGAAATTTGGATGGTAATGATGGGTTTGGAATTCGCATGGCTGAGCACAGCTACAGCAGGCGTTCTGGTGGGAGAACATGGGTTTTTGGAGCATGAAGAATGACATGAGATACACTAGACCAAGCAAAGAAATTGTCATAGAGCGTACTTTGCGAGAGTAGGGCAACAGTGTTGTCATAGAATTCTTCTAGGCTTGGCTGAGAAACGATTGAAATACCATGGCTCTTGCGCACGTCTCATTATAGCACGGCAATTGTATTCCTCAAGAGGACTTGGTCGTCTTTGCGGCGGTGGGCACGCAGATTTGAGGGGATCTGCCAAAGGTACAGCTAGCTAATGACGTATCATGCATACACATATTTATACTAGGAATAAAATTAGGTAAAGCGAGGCGCCCATTTCTATCAAATTAGCTACTTTGCCGTGAAACAGGCGCCGTTATGTCCGACTGGTGACCATCTGCCATCACCTGCCACCTAAACCCAGCTCTTCTTAGACTTCGTGCTGAAGTCTTTGATGGTTTTCCCTCCAGCATCCAAGTATTGCTGCCGAGCAAAATCAAAATCAGAATCGAATCGGATCCCATTGCGACGCCTAGTGAATGGTATAAGACGAGGAGCTGATGACGTTGGATCTCTCCAGACAAACGAACGGAGCTCTGGGAGAGAGCCTGCTATGAGTATCACAGCCGGCTCAATGATTCCCCATACGACCAAAGTGACCATGTCAACTGCGAGTGCGACGAGTTGTCAGTATCCGAAATAGTCATGATTTCGGCACAATGGAATGAGAAGGCTCACATGTGACATCATCTCCGATGAGAATATGCATGACCGAGGTCTTCACCCAACTGGCAATGCCGGCGCTGGCCACCAGATTAGCCTGGAAGTGAAGCTGAGTGAGAGGAAAACTTACAAAATTCCGAGTGCCGTGAGTACCAAGGCTCCAACCCAGTCTCTCTGCTTCGCGGTGTTTTTGCGGACAATATAGAGCCCAACCAGAGAAATGAAAACGTTTAGGAACCCAGCCACAGCTAGCGAGGCTTAGCACCATGTCCAGTCTCAGGTGGTGAAATGAAATCTGAGGCTACTCACCCGTGTTCATGATTGGAATAGCCACTTGCACCAGGGGAGCCCAACAATACCCGAAGTTAAGATTATCCCAATTCTTCCTGATCGGCGTGCATTGAACCCAGAGGAAAAGCCCAGAGAGGCCAGAGATGATATTCGAAGCGAAGATGACCGCCCATGTGAAACGACGAGGCCAGCCCTCTGCGATTCGAAGGAGCGAGACTGCGAACCCTATCCTAGCCAGTGCAGTGGCCATGATATTGATTGTCGAAGCGATCGTGTCAAGGAGGGCAAACTCGCGAATCGTCCCAGGGCTGAGGTTTGTGACGTGTCTGCCGAGGCCGTCGCGCCCTTCAAACACAGTCACCACGGTGTAAGTGAGGAACAGTGTCTGCACGGTGGTGCATGGTCAGTATCACTCTTCGTGTATTGGACGACAGCGGTGGAACATCCATACCCAAGCAACAATCACGATGTAGTCATCCCACCAGAGCCGCATACGTCTCCTGAATTTGTTGTATATCCGCAGGCCGACCACAGTGCCAGCCAAGATGGTCATGACCCAGCTCAACACGTTGACCTTGGGCTCGATGTAGCGGTCCTCTGCCGATAGCTGGACGACGACCGTTGTCGGGGCCTGCGTCTGGGGCAGAGGGGGCAGCAGCGGGTTGGCAAGTGAGGAGTTCATGATGGGCAGTGTGTGTTTCCCTGAGAGGAATGGCGTGTGAAACGAAAACGAGGATCGATGCGAGCTGGTGAAAAGCGTCCGCAGGTCGAGTATATACAATGTGGTCTGCCAACCCTTGGCCCAATCACGTAGCCCCTGGATGTTCGCACTTGCGTGAAGCTGGGAAATTCAGCAGAGTTCCCAAGGAGGTCGTCCTGTCGCACATCGACTCCGCAAGACACCACCTCCTGGGGCGGTGCGCGGACCGCGGCACATAGCCAGCGAAGAACCGTTGACTTTTGTTTGAAAACACAAAGTGCTCCACGCCCAACTATCGGACAGAGTTCGGGCGGGTGGCGGCCGCTGTCAGAGGCCCTGAGTAGCCGTCATCCAAATACGGGGCAATACGAACTCCGCTAACATCAGTCCACAGCCCCCCCTTGGGCCGTTGGTTCGGGGCCGAGCGTATTGTGAGACGCAGTTTATCTGTCGTGGAGCATAACCTTAACTATGATATGCATAAATCATCACGGCCGTCGGATAATGCGGAAAATTTGGTGATTGGCGGGACCGGTTTCGAAACAGAGGAGTCCATGTTGCGATTGGAAATGCTTCCGCTATCTCTGAATGTGACGTTCTGGGGTAGCCGTTGCGGATGGACCGTCGGTTCGTAGCCCCTGGCAGCCACGGTGCAATCAGCGTCCTGACCAGCAGTGACCCCAGTCACACATCAGTATCAAAATATGCAAGCCGAGAAGCATAATATGTCATTTGGTGATCGATGAGTAATGTCAGTCCCGTCTCTCAACTACGTCGCGACCTGACCGACCAGACCGTTGGGTTGAGGAGGGAAGGCAATAGGTAGGTAGCCAAGCATTGACAGATCGCCGCTTGGCATACAAGGAGCACAACCACAATCTGGTCAAGGAGGGTCCCCCGGGTCAAGTGAGTCCAAAAAGTGACACAGGCGGATCAGGAGTGGTGTTTGACATGTCTGGCCATTCGGTAAGTTCCCTAAAACTAAGTATACCGGAAAGCTTACAGCCTGGCCCCAGGAACCTCTCAACCTTACTGGATGACGACGCAGAGGTTATGCTTGTGTTAGGTGATCGGGTGGGGGCTGAGAGTTCATAACCGGGTGACTGTGAAACGGACAGTATAAGATTTCAGAAGTGTTCAGACCAGGTGCGCGGTGCCCTTGCTGAGAAGATAAAAAGCAGCTCCACTGCATGTGATGAAGCCTATGGCTGGCAATTTTATTTCGGTGCTGAGCTAGACGAATTCCTTCGCGAATGCAGCCCAAAGTACTTTAGGAGTGCCCTCACATTGTGAAAGTACCAGTTTTTGGAATGACTACTGAGTTATCTTGCTGACACTTGCAAAGCTTGGTCAATGAATCCATCCTGCGAGATCTCTCAGTGAATCAAAGAAAGCCGATATGTTCGAGGCTGATCCAGGGGCCCTCGCCGCTCGCTTTTCTGCTTTACAAGTGATTACTCACTCATGTTTCAAATGACTCAGATCTAAATTCAGCAGTCTCTGCATTGGACTGGCATGCCAGCTCTTCGATCAAATGAATCGAAGCAAACAGACATTCTAAGCCAGAACGCAATGCGAGTCAACCCTGTGGATCTGCCCAGAGGGATAAGTCACAGAAAGTATAAGGCCGAGGTAGCAATGGGAACAACAATTCAGCAAATCACGAACAATGACCATCATCTTGACCGAAAAAAATCTTCGCATTGAGAAGTACTATTTATGCAGTGACTTGGAGTAGAGGTCCAGAAGAAATCCACCCCTGATGCCTTCTGAGAAGGATTACAGGCTCAACCCGACGGAGCAGGCCCAGCCGTGACGGTGACAGTGATGGTGGCACCGATCGTGAACCCAGAACATTCATTGGCCTCCCTGGGTGTTGTGGTACCTGTGGTAGTGGTAGGGGTTGCAGTGGGCGACACTGCACTCGAACTTGTGGTGGGTGGCAGACTCGTGACTGGAGGTGGGGCCGCGGTGCCGGTTCCAAGTTCGAAAACTTCGAATTGGGTGGCCAATTGGCTTTGCAGGGCCCTTCGGTCCAGAGGGACGGAATCATTGACAGCAATTCCAGAAGGTGGAGTACCTCCATGTGAAATGTCGACCTCGGCGCATGTAGTGTAGGCTTCAAAAGATGTGTTGTCCATGTTTGGCCAGAGGCTCCAATCCCAAACCCAGTACAGTGCGAGAATGTCCGATGTGATGTCCTCAGGGATTTTGATGTCGGTCTGACAGTTCACAGAAGTCAGGTTCTTGGAAGCGCCCTTGCGATGAGCGTTGATGGGCGAGGGGTTAGAACCTTGGTCCTGAAAGCAGATTTCGTCATCGAAGTAATGGGTGGCGATCAGGCGACCAGATTCCAGCGAGTTATCTGCAGTCCAGTTCCCATGCACACCAGCAAATTCTTCATCTCGGAGGGTTGTCGAGGCGTAGACGTAGACGTTGCCCGATCGGTATGGCCTGCCCTCCGGCACTTGGGGCGCAGAGACGTGACCGTTCTCTCCGTACGTTAGAGAGATCCAAGAGCCTGCTGAGGCGTTGAGACGTGGGTACTGTGGGTTGGTGTACCCGTTGGCAACCTGCTGGGAGGGGTGGCAGAGAGGGGTTGTCGAGTCTTTCGCTGTGATTCTGTAGGTCATAGAGTTGTCCGAGAAGGAGGGATCATTTCGTGCAACAAAGCCGCGAGGGAAACCAAGTGTTGAGCTGAAAGATCCGTTTGAGGTGATGGACTGCAATGCTTCAAGCCAGGTGTGTGCGGAAGCACACCCAGAGAACAGAAGGAGGAAAAAGTATGATTTTTCCATGATCTTTGTTTTGAGTAGGTGGAAGATGGTTGAGTGTGTCAAACAGTCGTCTCTGTGTTGTGTCTTTTGTGGTTTTGTGTAAGATTGTTTGTGCGTCCTATGGGGAAATGTCTTGGAGTGTAAGGCAGTGGTATGATGATTTAAATGGGAATTTGAGGGCACATTCCCGAACGGACAGAAGGGACTCAACAGTAACAGAGCTTCTAAGCCCTGATTAGAATAGCTTTGTGACAACAATGGTATTGCGGCCCGGGAAGTGTCACACAATGAGGACTGAAGGCCAGTCACATAATGCGAGCGGGATTCTTTGAAGACATTATTGTATTGAAGACGGATTGTAGTCAGTAGCGATTCTATTGCAATTTTATCATCTGGTCTTTCAAACCATGTCAGTCACCCAAGAGTTCCATTCACCCATGGTTAGAAGGAGACTTCTTCACAATTAGATGCGGGGCATTGGAAGACTGAAGACAACCACCGTCGCAACTCCGCATAGTTTGGATATCAGCTCATATCATGGGCATAAGGTGTCAATGGTGGACCAGATCTGTCTGAAAGGTTTCTCACGAATCTAGTGGCAGGCACAACCCCCTGCTGCAGCAATTACTTCGCTCACAGCGAGACTACACCTTCTGCAAAGTCCCCAAGCCGAATTAATTGTCACCAATTTAATCTAATCCCCAGACAGCTGTCACAGCATAGTAGTTACACCGACGTCCTGACCAGCGACCAGCGACATTTTCAAGAACATATTTACCAGACGACGCTGTGCCCAAGAAGGTGGAGTAGGCAGCAACAGGTCTAGATTGACAAACGGGATACCTTCACTGGTCCAGTCTCAAGGACTACAAACGCCAATAGATGGAAAGCCACTGAGAACTCTGCACCAGCGATGAGAACACAATTGTCTTCGCTCAAGGCCCTGCACTGACAGCAGGGGAAGGGGATGCACACAGGCCGTACGCCTACCTGAGAGAAAGCTCTCAAGGTCTCAGGCTTTCTGGCGTCAGAGTTGTGACCATCTCGCCCACTTCAAATGCAAACATCGCACTCTTGATCAGACGTAGTCACACTTCCACAAATCTGATTCCCAGGTCCCTGGTTTTCCGTCCACTGCGACTATGCCTGATGACTAGCCTCCTTGGGGTTAACCTGTCCGCAGCTTTCCCATCTTGATTACCCTTACCAAAGGTCTCATTGGACAACATTCGCCAGCAAAAGTTCTTGTACTGGCCTATCCGGCAAGGCCAGAGAGACTAACCTTCCGTGAGACTGATTAGTGGTGACCCATAGGCTAACAAAGGTCCAATCACGGGCTCTCGGCGCCCCAGTCAGAAACTTTGCTAAAAAGACAGCAAGAAGCAGTTTCATGGGTCACCTTGGCCGGATTCGCAATCTAGGGCTCGTAAGCAATGAGAAAGACCCCTGGCCCAAAAACGACATCAGGTCCGCTTGCCAAGAAGGCACAAAATTAACTGGCGCTTTGAGTAGTCATGACATTACCCACATTGGAGGTCTTCAAACGCTGCACCATTGCATAATACATCAACCGATGTGGTGCGCCAACCACTGACAGAGACCACTAATCCCAGCCGTTTTCAGTGAAAACTGCATAGAGGCTTAGCCGTATGCAACCCGAGCCGAGGCGCAGCTTCACGGACCATTGGTCCTTTCTAATCTTTCCCGACCGTAATGCAATGCGACAACCTAGTCACTGATGAGCGAGTAGCGGAACATAACCATGACCAGACTTTCAGCAGCCAAAGACCCTACAATGGGAACGATGGCAAAGCAGTATGCCGCCATTTGGAAGGCTCCGTTGCTCTCCGGGGCCTCCATCTCAAGGCCGACCGATGCCAATAGTTGTGGAGCCTGTCCCACGCCACGTGTGCAACCGCTACTGGCTGGGTGCCCAATCGCTGAGACAGACAGAGGCCTCCTACTACGGATTCAAGGGCGTAGATACCATAAAAGAGCATCAAGATCCAAAAGCGGATTATGTTGTATTCACCCGGAAGTGTCCCTGGAGACGGGGAATGGTTACTGGTGCTTGTGGTGGAGTGGGGAGCTGACTGCATGTAGCTTATCCGGGTGTGTTCCACAGCAAGCCTTGTTTTTACTCCGTGTGTAAACGCCTCCTTTCAACGCCAGAGGGGGTTTCCCATGTTGCACAGCAGCTCTAGTCATTGGGTGGCATGATCAGCTGCTCTTGAGGCAGAGGCATGGCCAGCTAAGCATAGTCGCACAGCATAAAGGTGTGGCGTAGCAACTTGCCGTGTTCTTTGCTGGGCAGGATGGTTTGCTTGGGCAGAGATGTGCCTAAAGTAGTAGGCTGCCTTGCAGGTAAGCTCTGAAAAACATCCACAGATTTTCCGTTTGTACCTTAGCGCCCAGGCTGAGTACCCATGCTCATTCCCATCTTGTGGTGGTCTTGCCCTTGGCCTCCGTCTCAGCATCTCCACCGCGCACAATGAAGTTCACCAAAACAATTCTAATTGGGTCAAAAACGAACTGGCGAATGTCTAAGGAGTTCTGGATCCGTGCCAAGGATCTTTGATTGGTGAGCCTGTACCTGCCTGTATGCAAAAAGAAAACTCCTGCATGAGTACTTGCAGCCAATAAGCTGGGTATTCGCGGATACTGTGCAATACATACATCTGAGGTACAAATGCGGCGTACTTTTAATAGTGCCGTCCTTGCATACGGTCAAACACCGCAACGACGTCCCAAAGGCAGGCTCTCCTCACCGGCGGCCTTTTTCTGATACCCAGTCATGCGCCAATGTTTCAAACAACTGGGAGTGATCTGCCTGAAGGAAGACGTTAGTGCTAGGATGATCTCACTGCTAACTAGCAAGGTATCCCATAGAGGGGCACATGGCTCTTAAAACACCTGTGAGGTACTGCATATCGTTTGTCAGAAAGAGAAATTACGCTTATTATATTAAATAACAAGTAAATAATATATTATTAAAATAACATATTCTGAAAAATTGTGTAAAGGTGGTGAGTTTGGGTGTGTTTGTGCAAATCTGCGTTGTTCATTTTGCCCCACTATAGCAATGCATCGGTCTTTGAGGCTAGCGCAAAGACTGTCTAGCCTAACACGAAATACTTAAGGAGTCCAATCTCCCGTTTTGTGATGTGTGTAGTTCTTTCAGAATTTCTATAATCACCTCCGGGAATTTACTTGCCTTCTGTCATATCAGTGGTTTTTTTATGATAAAGTTGTGAGCGGATCTATTCTGATGCCCATGTCTCTTCCACATCCCGACAAGACCTTTTTCATCCTCCGATCATTGATTTACCACCCAGATGACCTCATTCAACTGGGTCAAGTCATCACAGACCCCAGAACTCCATACATCCGACTTGCACCACCAGTACCTCTCACTGATCCCCTGAAGGCACGCATAGCCAAATCTAGTAATTGGAGCTTAACCTTGAACGAAGTCGACGAAAAGTCCATTGGCGTGTTTGCTCACATTATCAAAATCTTGTCGGCCGAAGCAGGCGGGTCTACGTCTCAAGTCGAGGTGCTGAAGCGGCGAGGCGCGGTTCTGGAGACCCAATACTTCGAAATCTCTGAAGACCCCACCTACGTCAAGAGAACCTCGCAGGTCGAGGTGATCCGGGATGAGTTACAGAAGCTCAGAAGCTCGGGGAAAACACTCTACATGGTGACTGGAATCAAGATTGTGAGGTGGCCAGGGGAGGCTCTTCATGAGCAAACGGATTCGGCGACGGCAGAAGGCAAGGCATCAGCTATCCTGGACCCCGAAGGGCGGGTTGAAGGCGGCTTCGATGCAAGGACGCACACGTCTAATGCCACGATCACCGCCGAGACTCCAGATACTTCCTATGTTGTGGCATATCGCCTGCGTAGACTGAGAGTGAGCTGGATACAACGCCGTCTCGATCTACGCGAGGAACAGGGCGGTGCGGAAATGAGCGGGGTGGGTCGCTGGAGCACCAATGACGAGGAAAGCTTTACTGTAGAAGATGATCCTGATTGTTGGGAGATCGAGGATGCGAGTGCGGATTTCAAGGACTTTGGGCCATCTTTGGCGATGAAGGACGGCAAAATGGAGGCTATCGACGAAGAGGATAGCAGTACTTGCTTAGTTATCCGGGCAGCATGACAGCTTTCGGGCTTAGGTAAATTTATCATTGCTGATTAGTTCATAATGCTATGGGGATATAGTCTTTCCCAACTACTAGTATCGAGATAGGGCGTTTGAATATTAACCCTCGATACACTTACCCAGCTAACAAATGTGATGGACAACATGGAAGTAAAGACTGGAATATAATGACCATTACCTTGCAAACAACCTCTTCGTCAAGCTATACTATGTCCTTCTGACGTAATATATCGGCCAATCTGGTGGAAAAAAAGCGTTTTCTTGTTATTCCAGTAGATGAAAAGTTTTCGTATTTCATCCAGTCGTCTCTCCCGCATTCCGGTGCGAGATAGTTGCAAGTGCCACTGTTTGATGTGCCTACTGAGCGGCTCATTACCGTCAGCATAGCCTTAACAGCCTCCGGTGTTTTGAACCTGCTCTCGCGGCCCTTCACTAGCTCAACAGCATACTCGCCAGCCCGGTTCACCTCGTAGAACTGGTACAGGAGAGCCACGTGAGCAGCGACGATCGGAGTTGCGAATGATGTTCCGGACATAACGACTCGCATATCGCATTCTTTTCCCGCATGCTCACACGCAGAATTCGGACGAGACTTCTTGGCGTCCCAGCAGAAAATTTCGAATTTTTCATCCTCGGCCTGTTGCCGGAGATGCAAAGGCCACGTGGATACGATCCGGTAGCCAATGGTTGCAAAAGAGTACGATGAGGCATCGTGATCCGGGATAGCGCTGAATCCCTTGACGGTCCCATATCTTCCTGTCGCGAGACACTTGAAAACATCCTTGTGCTTAGCTGGGTAGTGCATTGACTTATTGTTGCCATGGTTGCCAGCAGCGGCCAAGATGATCACTCCATTTGAGATGGCTGTCTCTATCGCTGTTTGGAGCTCCGGCGATCTATTGGTCAGGCCAAAAGACATTGAGATGATTTCAGTCTTCCATATCTGGATGGCGTGATCCAGGGCCTATGTTACACGTGATTAGACTATTGCTATGTCGAATCTAGGCTTCCAAAGTTTTGTTTACCTCGATGATCTTCTGTGCAATGCGCGCATCTGTCATGATTGTCGTCCTTGATTTTCCGATGCGAGCCACCGTGAGCTGCACATCTGGTGCCAATTCCAGCAGGAGACCAGCCACAAAAGTTCCATGGCCGTCATAATCCACAGGTTCGTGCTCGCCGTCACCAGAGAAATCGCGAAACTGATGCTGGTCTTCGATGTCGTCATATGATGACCATCTTGTCGACCGAATGAATGGGTGGGAAGCATCGATGCCCGTGTCTATGACGGTTACCTTTGGTCGATTGCCATCATTGGGTGGTATTCGGTCGAAAATGCGGTTTCGAAACCTTTTGAAATTTTGGAACCAGTTCTGCCAGTCCTGCCAGTGATCCGATGCCCTGCATTTCAGTCAGCCTAATTTATCAGTACCTCGAAGCCATGCAAGGCTGGATAGGAATCTCGACTTTGAATCTTCCTTCAGTGGCTCCATATCAGATAGCAGTCCGATTGCGTCGTTTTCTGTCAATCTCATTAGCATTAATCTTAGCTCGCATGGAGCGGAGTTGGTACCGTTGGCTGTGAAAGTTGCAACATTTGAGCTCCTTTCTTCTCTTATCGCGTCGCCGGCGTGACGCACGAGACGCGCGTGAGGATGGCCCTCTAAGTTTGATTTGTATGAAAACGAGTGCAAGAGCGCCTGATCAACCCCTCGGGCGAGATTGAACGCTGCTGCCGCCGCCTCGTCTGGGTTTCCGGGATTCAGCGTCGTGAAATGCTCCCATGCAGCGGCTTCGAGAGGGGCTATGATGCGGTTAAAAAACTCCAAACGCATAGCCTTGTTGTCATCTTTCACATTCGCGAACGTGGCTGGAGACAAACAAGCGCGTATGGCGAGGCGGAATTGTGGTGGGAAGCAAAAGAACTCCGGCTGATCGAAGGCTCCCAGCGCTCTGAGATAGAGGGTCTTTCCTGGCTCGATGGCTTTCTTCTCCAAGAATGATTCTAAACTCTCTCCGAGGAAGATCTCGAGGAGCATTACCCCAAGCATAAGAATAGGAGGGTCGTCGTGGCATTTGTCAGGATTCGCGGTGACTTTTGGCGCATGTGCAGAGTTGCCGAGAAAGGGTCGAAGCGGAAGGACCCCAGATCCATCGAGGAAGAACAAAATGTTCTCATGTTGCCAAAGACTTTTGATATTGTATCCACCGTGCAGGTAAAGCAGAGAGTACGTAAGGAGAATGGCAAGAGCCCATTTGATGTCGAGACCCCATTCTTTCTCTTTGATAGCGATCAATGCCTTGAGATCAATCTGGCCTCGGAGGCTCTCCGGTTTCAACGTGGCTTTATCCGCACGGTGAGGAGATCTGATCAGAACGTTTTCTGTCAAGATAAGATTGAGCTGATAGTAGCTAGGACCCCGGTTCTTCAAGTAGTCGCAAATGCAGTCTGGTGGAATCGTTCTGGGTTCAGACCGCAGTGTCAATCCTGGTTGGCTTCTTGTGGCTGGTCAACGGTGGCAACTTACTTGTCTCCTTTGCCAGTGCTGACTTCCAACTCATGCCACTGGAGCTCAGGATTCCCTCCGGGATCGCAATTCGTCATGATGCACAAGGACGTGGGCTTGGGCTTTCTGTCGCCTTGTTTGTGAGTACGGAGTCTCAGTCTGACATCTCTTTGGAAATGGCAGCCACGTTTACACAGCGCTGCACCGAAGGCATTGGAAACAAATTGACAAGAGTCATCGTCCGGTGGCTTCAAATCCTTGGGCATCTTAGATGCCTCTATCTCGTCATCCAAGATACCGTTCTGGTACTCGTACTTATCTGTCAGGCGCTCCATTTCCTGTTGCAAATCGAGCCAGCTTTCCATCGAATCTGGGGATCTAAAGTAGAGGAGGCTGACTAGTCTATCGTACGAAGGGCGCTTTGCGTTGACGATGTCATGGATCTCTTTTTGCCGCTCATACTGATCCACCTGCTCTCCTGTCAGCTTCATGTCATGGAACCGCAGCCGCCGGGAAATGCTCTTAGAAACGTACGTATGATCCACCTCCCGGTAGCTGTGCGATATTGAAAATTATGTTGAGGGGGCCGACTAATCTCCTGATGTCCTCCATCATATTCTCGGCTTCCGTGATGCCGATGCCCTGTAGATGACCCTGGAGAAACCAGGCTGAGACTTCGATGTTACGTAGGCAGCCGGACCTTTTGTCTGTCTGACCGAACTCTCGCTGCAGCTCCTTGCTGATGTTTGACAAAGCGATAAGTGCAGATATCGTCCACGTGAATTCCCAAGGGAGGGACTCGTTTTCATTTTGCCTGCTCAGGCCGGCACCCATTATGGTGTCACGAGACGAGCTCGGTTGAAGCTGGCTGGTGACGGAGTCAGAAGAATGTGTATCCGGGCGATTGAAGACGGAGGTCGTCGTGAGCCTACCTGCTTAGTAGTCTCAAAGTAGCCCACCAGAGAAGGAAGCGTGGGCATGACAGTACGGAGGCCCCCGCCGCGGGAATTTGTACTCCGAGTTCGGTGCACCAAACTCCACAGTATAGCTGTGCTCAAACACTGTGGACCTAATGGCCAGGAGTACTTGTGAAGTACACACACACTCCTCTCGTGCTCCAGAGTGTTACGTGCATCTTCACAAGGGTGGAGATTGTGTCACAGGCCAATCATTCGATCCAGATCTGCGAAAAAGAATTCGCTGCAGTAGCGCTTAGTTGGGTCGCGTCGTCGGTAAAAGTTCTGGCCTACGCAAAGTCGATACCCTTGAATCTGCTGTTGTCCTGACTGTTTTCGATAGTTTCTTGTTCGTCCCCAATTGTCATCGACAATCCGCCGCCTATCAAAATGACCACAAAGCGAGAGCACGCCGAGATACGTAAGCGGTCCGAAATATGTTTCCAGTCTTTTACCGAAATATCTCATTCGGCCCAAGTCCAGCGAGGAGGCGGCACCTACGACCATGTTATCAGTGGATTGATTGACACGTTTTCGCGGTTCCGGCTTTGGATCTCCAACATTGGCGTCTTTGCAGATGACCAGTTGTCTTTAGACTATCGAGTGCGGGAGGTTGGCGAAATCAAGGAGTTGTTTCTTGGTCAGCTCGGCATCATTGAGTGCCGGCTCCTTCAGTGTACGCCTTGTTGATCATTTGAGTCGTGCCGAATCATGCTCTAATTACGGATGGAGATAGTTCATGAGATGTTCAGCAAAAGCACATCTGAAGATGACACTTTCGTGGCGAGAAACTCGAGCGATCTCAACGCAAGCCGCCGTGACATCGTTCCTACCACCACCACGCACGAGACGAGCGAACCCGATCCCTTCAAAGAGTGGAGTTCGGAGGAGTTGCTCGCTTCGATCCATCGAAGCATCGACTGGCTGCAACGTTTATCAAATTCGATCAGGAGAGCTAGCTCGACCAGCCAGAATGCCAGTGCCAAATATTTCAAGATTGAGGACTACAAAGGAGACAAACAAGCCTCCGAAAGCGAAGTGCGGGGCCGCTACAAGGCGATGATACACGACATCAGTCCTGGTCTGCAAGACGAGTGGATGATTGACCGGCTGGTTGACACAATGATTTTACGTCTAAAACGAGTTTTGTACCGACGGTCCCGTCAAGTTGAATGGTCGTTTCCACATGTCAAAGCACCATCATTGCAAAAGACGCCATCTCAAACATTGGCACAAGCCCATGACGTTCCGCAGCCAGTCTATCCAAGCCAAAGCGGAACAAGCATGCCCAGACTCTCACTAGGCATGGATCAAGACATCTCTTCTAGAGCTAATCGGGCCACGACATTGAACATATCAACTTGGAAGCGCAATCCAATATACAAGAAGTCAGAGATATCTAAGGCGGCAATGACATCAAAAAGTTCCGCGCATGAGTTGACCATCCCGCCCCCACCCAAAGCCGCTACGGCCGGCGAGGACTTCACCTGCCCCTATTGCCGTCTTGTGTTGAGGAGTGATGTTAGCAAATCACCCCATGCGTGGAGGTGAGTATGGAGTAGGTCCTTTGAAGAGTTGGTCTAGGAGGTATGAACATACCTTACTTGGTTGGTACGCTAATATGTTTTAGTAAACACGTGAAGCTGGATCTGGAACCGTACATATGCATCTTTTCAAACTGTGGCGAAGGTTTGGAGATATACCGTACCGAAGCGGAATGGCTTTCACATATGAAGACTGCTCATCGTATGGGATGGTACTGCGTCGCCGCACACGCAGATCACACACCTTTTGTGGCTGAGACGGCTGAAGATTATAAATATCACATGATGACAGTTCACGCTAGCGAGTTTTCAAGCGAAGAGCTTTCTCTCATCACGGATATCAGTCGCCAGGCCATCTCGCCTACGATTGAATGTTGTCCGTTCTGCTCAGACGCCCCCACGACGTCAAACACTCTCGAAAAGCACGTCATCAAACATTTGCAACAGTTTGCCCTGCTGTCTTTGGACATTCCAGAACAAATCTCCTCCCAAACAACGGAGCCAAAGAAAAGCCCAACGCATCAGTCTTCTATTGCTTCGAGGTCTCTGGACTTTTCTACGGACGAAGAAGCGGCTGAATCCGAAGCTGAGACACGAGAAACGGTCAAATTATTCAGACAAGAGTGGGAAGACCATCTGGCTTTTAATGACGAGAACAAGTCTATACCAGATGACTCTATGGACACTATGGACACATTGGACCCAGATTTTATGGATTACACGAATTCGCCACCTCCTGAACTGTTGGATGACCAAATGTTCGAATTGGATTGGAAAGTGGTTCAGGACTCAACAGAGCAACGGAGCGTCAAGTACGTCTCATCTTCCTGATTTACAAGCCTAAACTAACCAGCAAAAGCATGGGTCCGGAGAGAAGTGACCAACCTCCGCTTCCCGCACATCAAGACACACCTAGAATTACGATCCCCAGGATATCGATTGATGGCCAATCCGACTACGAAGACGAGAGCACAGATGGGAACGACACGGATGCGACACGGGATGATTTCCCAATTCCTTCAGAGACTGACGAGGCTCTTGACTTGGAAGACCGAATTTGGCAAAAGGCCGTCAACCACGCGAACGGCGCTACCCCATCGTTCTGGCCACCGGGTGTCTTGAAAAGAATAATCACGAGACAGGCTGTCACAAACGAGATCTTGAAAGCTTTCCCGAACTATAGCCGAAAAGAAGGCGAGAGTATAGCGGAAAGGGTGTGGGAGGACAGGTCCGGAAAGTGTGTCAAAATCTTCACCATTCTTGTACTACTCGACGAGGTTCAAGTGCTCGTGGAACACATCCTCGGATGCCCGCAGGGCGTACGTGACCACGACCTTCCCCTGACACTGAGGAACAAACATGGGAGTCCCAGCAGAAAGCTCTGCCGAGCAGACTCCGAGACAGTATGTTGTTTCTCTAAATGGAGACCCTGGAAGTCAGAGCAATTTGAACTTTTCCAGAGGCGCCTTGCGGTACCTGTATTCAGGTTCGACAGGAGAAACAATGCTATCATCCACCTCGATCTGGACGAGGGAGACATCTTGCCGTGGTGCGAAGAAGCCGTGGTTCCACCAGTCAACGCAATGGACGGCGGGTATGGCACAGTGACAAGAGTCAAGATCCACCCTAGATGCCATGAATTTCATGACACATTGAGAGCAGTATGTCTTATCCTTCTCTAAGCTCACCCCTCAACTTTTGCTTATCTGATCGTAGATCAATGTCGCCGGCGGACTTTTCGCCGTGAAAAGGCTGCGGCAAAGGATTGTTAATCAATTCAGGGACGAGGTCGACGCACTCAAGAGATTCAACGGGAAGGTCCATCCACACCTTGTCACTCTTCTGGCGACATTCACGCAAGCGGAATACTATTGCATGATTTTCCCATGGGCCGAATGTGATCTTGAGCAGTACTGGGAGAACAACCCGCAACCAGACCCAGGTGACATTGAACTGGGTCGCTGGCTTTCACGACAATGCCTGGGGATCATGGAAGCAGTGAACGTAATACACAACCCTAGCCACCTCAAATCAGAAAGGAAATTTGGGAGGCACGGCGATATCAAGGCGGAGAACATTCTTTGGTTTAAATCCCGGCCAGATGACCCCACAGACCGTGGCACTCTGGTGATATCGGATTTGGGCCTGACAGCGATGAATAGCGAAAAGAGCCGATCGATGCAACCAAATACAGGCCTGAAGATGACACCATCTTACAGACCCCCAGAATGTGATATCAAGGGTGGAACAATCTCCCGAAGCTTTGACATATGGACGCTGGGCTGCCTCTATCTCGAGCTCATGTGCTGGTTGCTGAGGGGCAATGCAGGGAAGATCCAATTTGATCAGGCACGAACAGCGCCATTCATATTCGGTACTAAGGCAGACATCTATTTCGATATCGAAGAGCGAAAGCAAACCACGCCGGGAATGTTTGTATTCAAAGTGAAGGATGTCGTGTCCAAGGTAAGATGAATCATCTCCCAGCCCATCCGCTGAGACAACAGACTAATTCTTTTCCAGACCATAAGCGAACTTCACGACGACCCGTACTGCTCACGATGGGTACACGACCTGTTGGATCTGGTTGAGAACGACATGCTAGTTGTGCTGTCAAAGACCCACAAACGCAAGACGTCCCAATTTTTGCTGCACAAACTTCGAGCCATGGACGACAAGGTCCAGTCGAGTGCAGGGTACAGCACAGGTCCAGCGCCCCAGAGCAGAACCCCCTACTGGAGACCGCAGGTCGGCACCTTTGCCGAGCTGAACGAAGTAGCGCAGAAGTATGTTCTCGAACATGGGGTGCGCACACACGAATCTGACGAGCGGCCGTTGGAGCAGTCGGAGGACCTGGCAGAACTGGATTATTAGAGACTACACACGTGCGGTTCCTTGGAACTCACACAGATCACTTACATTGGAAGAGAGTGGCATTGTCAGAAGACGTCGAATCCCCGGCGATTTTGGATGGGACAAAGTTTCGTTGTCTGATCGGAAATGATTAGGGAAAGTCGGGCCTCCACTTTTCCAAGTGCGTTTTTGGGAGCTTTATTATTTGTTGGTAAGCCATTTCTGTGTTTCTTAAGTATTAGAATTTTGTTTTGCCTGGCTATTCTGGCGTCGGAGTCCCCTGTGGAAGAGACGGCCGCTGGTTGACGAGCACCTCTAACGCATGCGGTCGATGTCTTGTTACCAGACCTGAAGGGGCCTCAAGTGGGGCCGGTGATGCCCTCTACTGCTGACGTCTTTTTCTTGGAAGCAATGTGGCGTCAACCATCTAAAGAGATGTTGCCTTGATTCCCCGGGATAATTCTTTTTCTTCGCCTCGAGATTGAGTGCTGCAGGAAACACACGACTCAATTGTTACATAAATCGTGAGGGTTGCACGGGTAATCAAATATCCTCCATGTCGATAGCCGGATATCAGCATCCGGAATGCGGGGGATGATTGACGACATGTCCTACCGGTACCCGGCTTCGGAGCATCTGAGTAATAGACAATCGACAACATCTTCCATTACTAATATTCACAGTTTACCTTTTCGGCTAAGTATTAACACAGTTCAAGCACACACCAGTCTCAATTTCAGATTCACTGCAATAATCACCAACCGACAACATGGCAGGACCTCTCAAAGTAGCCGTGCTGGATGACTACTTCGGCTTCGCCGGACCCATCTTCCAGAAACTCGACTCCAGCAAATTCGAAGTAACCATCTTCAAGGACACGCTGCTCCCTTACAACCACCCCAAGACATCTCAGGATGAGAAAGACAAGCTGGCCAAGCGGCTGGAGCCGTTTCAAATCATCTGTGAGTACCGTCAGACCTGCATGGAAACGCCCAAGACTGACTAGCGCCAGGCACGATGAGAGAGCGCACCCCGTTCCCGAGAGACCTCATCTCGCGCCTGCCGGGCCTCAAGCTCCTCCTTACGACCGGAACGCGCAACAAGGGCTTGGATCTGGACGCATTCAAGGACCACGGCATCCCTGTTGCGGGCGCGGTGAGCGCTGGCGACAGCACAACGCAGCACTGTGTGGCGCTGATCCTCGCGCTGGCCCGCAACATCGTGCCGGACGATCGATCCGTCAAGACGGGCGGATGGCAGACCGGAGTGGCAGTGAGGCTGTCAGGCGCAGTTCTCGGCGTTGTCGGGCTGGGGCGGCTCGGTGCTGCTGTGGCAAAGATCATGCACACTGCGTTCGGCATGAAGGTGATCGCGTGGAGCACCAACCTGACGCAGGACAAGGCGGACGAGCAGGCCAGAGAGGCGGGCTTGCCTGTCGAGGATGCGGATGGGGAGAAGACTTTCAGGGCAGTGAGCAAGGAGGAGCTGTGCCGGCAGTCAGACGTCGTCAGCGTGCACGTGGTGCTGTCGGACCGGTCGAGGGGAATGATCACCAAGAAGGAGCTGGAGCTGATGAAGCCCGAGGCGCTGTTCATCAACACATCGAGAGGCCCTCTCGTGGTGGAAAAGGACCTGCAGGACGTCCTGGAGCAGGGCAAGATCCGCGCAGCAGCGATTGACGTGTTCGAGCTCGAGCCGTTGCCGCTGGACAGTGCCTGGAGGACGACCAAGTGGGGACAAGATGGGAGGGGCGAGGTGATCTTGACGCCTCACACGGGTTACGCGGAGAAGGAGACGCTGGCCAAATGGTATGAGGAGCAGGTCGCAAATATCCTCAGGTGGGAGAAGGGAGAGCAGCTGGCCCATGTTATGGCCTGATTTGCTAAATGGCTGGAAAAGGCAGAAGTGTCCAGGTGGATTGACTGATTGATGCAGACCAAAGCTCATGACGGATCTAGGTACCAGGGTAGTGTGCACCTTCCAAACGACCTGAACTGCTACTCGAATTGAACATCCCTGGCATCTGCACTGGTGCCTTCCCATTTCGTGTCAAAGGCGCACCACACACACTCCCACCTAGCCTTTGTTTACTGCACGCATTGTGGACACTGTCTGATGCACGACTGCCTACCTTCCTCCTTACCTGCCTGCAAGAGTGTCTGATCTGTATCCAGTCCGCCCATCGCGTCATAACGTGCCGCGACCGCCTCTGTTTGGCAAAACTGTCAGTCACAGCGAGTCGCTCCCTGCTACCATACTCCTCCTTCCCTCCACCTGCCTCAGAAATCATCGGTCACATTTTTTACCTCAACCCTCCTTTCCCCTGCTCGACTGTCCACAGACCTTGCAAGTCTCCCCGCCCGTATTCTTCTTCCTGGTACTGGTGCAGTTATTGTTGTGGTTGTTGCTGTTGTATTCCCGCTCTGCTTCGCTGACACGCCTTCCAAATGCCCACAGACGCCGTCGAGAGACTGCTCGCCAAGATGAGCAAGACGGGCTCTTCAGACATTTTGCCTCCCAAGGTGGAGTCTGGCGAGGCACCAGGTCCTGGTGAGTATCTACTGTCTTGTTCTTTCTGGTCTGGCACCCCGACAAGAGGTTACTGACCCGGGCCACAGACATCCCGCCCTTCCCCAGCTACTCCATCGAGCCCGAGCGTCCCACCACGGCCAACTCTCCCAGATACCCATTCCCCAGGCCATTTACTGGTGGCCCCATTCCAGCCCCTGGAACCCCTCAAGACCGTTTTGCGGCTGTTTTGGGTCGTCCTCGTTACAGTTCCATGCCCACCCCATTGATGGGCATGGGCATGGGCATGGGCATGGGCATGGGCTTGAGCACGAGCACGAGCACGAGCACGTCGTTCCCGGACCCCTCCCTCCAGCAGCCTTCGGCATTCAATATGCACTTGGCTGCTCCAGGCTTTGCCATACCTGGAGCCCTTCCTGCGCCTCAACCTGTCGCCAGTCTCGTTCCACCCGCCATGCGCAAGTTGCAAGCGGACGCAAGTAGCAGGACCAACAACAACGGCGGGGGTCGTGGCCCGACTTTACCTGAGCCGGGGGCCCCAGTGACAACTTGGTAAGTGACTTCACCAGGGACCGGCATTCTCCCTGGCTGGCCTCGAGGGAGGTTTGCCAGAAGGCGTCCCAAATGAGGATTTCTACTATCATATCTGCTGCCTCAGTCTCTGCGGGCCCACGCGTAAACATGTTACTGATACTGACCCATAAAGGCTGAGTTTTGAGTGTCAACGGCGTCATTTCAATCCCGAATTCAAGACCAAGGAGACTTTCACCAAGGATGGAAGACCGAAGTACCAGTCCACGGTGATTTTGAAGGATGTTGTCATCAATAGCAACACCCTTTTCAACGACGCTGCAGACGCGAAGGCGCATGTCGCCGAGAAGGCCCTCAGGTACATTCGCCGGGAGTGGCCCAGGAACGGATTGCCCTCGTCTTATGGCGGCACTCGCAGACAGGCCGCCGATAAGAAACAGGTGGAGGATCTTAGCCATCGCGAGGAGGAGCTGCGGCGGATGATCAAGCAGCGTCACCAGACGAAGAGCGCAGAGCCGCCCCAGAGCAGCCCTCCAGTGTCCTCCGGCGTAGATATGTCGGATCCCGCCCAGGTACGAGCCTTTGTGGAGGGCTTCAAGCTCGGCCAACTCGCAGCTCAGCAGGAAGCTGCGGGAAGTGGCTCCTCACCGCCCAGCATCCCGCATTCCCGTCGCAGGTCTCGATCCCCAGGCCGCGGCCGGAGCAGCTCACAGAGCAAGGCGGACGAATCCTACCGCCAACGCTCCCCAATTCGTGATACAAGCAAGACAAGCCGTGGGGCCCTCTCGCCCCCACGCTACTTCGATGGTAGTCGCCATGGTATGTGACCTCAAGTACCCTTTTATTCAATCGAGCTATCTCAGCAGCTCGTATTCTCGTGGCAAGCTATATGCCACGGATGGTCGGTCTTTCACAAATTGTAGTTGCTGACCAAAGACTCTCGGAAGATTCCCGCCTGCCCTCGACAGATAGGTACCGGCCCCGCAGTCCTCCTTCAAAGAAGTGAAGGAGCTTGATGCTGCGCGACGAAGTCTTTGGCCCCAGTGAATGAACGGGAGATGTCATGGTTCGCGCCCGCGGCGGCCATAGGCAGTGTTTTTGACACTTCTGTTTTCCAGCAGCTGTTGAACTGGCTGCTAATCAAGGCTTGGTTGGCCTAAACGGGGCGGACTTGAACGGCCCTCATTCCATTGGGAGTAACGGCTTCAGGTATTGGCTGCCACTGGCCACCTCTTGCACATGCGACTTCCCTGGGACATGGCAGGGAGCTTGCAAAGCTCGGACTCGAAGAATCAGTCACTCAAGAGATAGAAGCATGCAAGACGCCTGGAGCCTCTCACCATCGTTCTCGACACTTTATGGTTTCTTTTGTTGGGCGTTTCCTTCAGGGCGAGATTCCTGCCAAAGAATACTCCCTGGAACGAGCTGAGGCTGCCGGGGTTTTTGACTCCTCATACTTGATGAATCAGTCTCTTTGCATTTGACTGTCGGCGAGGAAACCTGAATGACATCTTTAGCGAGTACCCATCTAAGAGAAGCCTGCAGGAGAAACCGTGAGCCATGGTGGAACTCTCTGACACTTGGCTTTTCTGGGTCTGAAAAACTTCTCAGGGAGGAACTATCTGTAAAGGCATTCAATTCGGAATGGAGCTTTGATAGGGTTGGCTGTAACGTTGGTTTCAGATACATATAATTGATGAGGCGATGTGTAGTCCCCCAGCCATGCTGTCGCCTTATGCTTACTCAGGCTTTTAAGGCTATGACTCTCATTCACCTGACCTCCTTGCGTGCAGTGTTTTAGAGGCGGCTCGGCATCCTCGCTCCACCGTCTAAGCGAATCACACACCCGTTCAACATGACATTCTCAATGACATGCCTCGTCAGCGCTGCGAACTCGGCCGCCGTCCCGCCACGCTTAGGGAACTCCATGGCCTTCTCCAAGCTGGTCCGGACCTTGTCGCTAAGCACGCTGGTCATGGGCGTCTCGAAGGTGCCCGGCGCGATGGTGACGACGCGGATGCCGTGCCGCGACAGGTCCCTCGTCATGGGGAGGGTCATGGACGCCACAGCGCCCTTGGAGGCCGCGTATGAAACCTGCCCCATCTGCCCGTCGAATGCGGCGGCGGACGACACCATGACCACCACGCCGTGCTCCTTGTCGCCCGAGGGGGTGACGGAGGGAGGGGACTGCGACAGCTGCGGGAGGAACTGGCGCACCAGGTCGATGGTCCCGCGCAGGTTGATACTGAGGACGAAGTCGAGCGATTGCAGGCTCAGAGGTCTATTCTTGCCGTCGAGGATCTGGGATTTGGGTTAGCTGGTCTGAGGGGAAGGAGGGTTTGTGATGTGCGTGTCTGTGTAAAAGAGGCTTGCCATACCAGTGCCGGATTGCCAACCCCAGCGGCGGGAATGATCCCACCCAGCGGCTTGCCCGTCTCATGTACCCACTCAGCCGTGCCCTTGACGGCGGCGGCGATGCTCTCCGTGTCCGTGACGTCCACGGCGAAGAACTTGGCGCGAGAGGGGCCGCCTAGCTGCTTGACCAGCTCGGCGCCTGCATCCTCGTTGAGGTCGAGGACGGCTATGTTCCCGCCCTCCTTGTTGAGCTCGACGGCTGTTGCGCGGCCGAGGCCGGATGCACTGTTTTGTGGCAACCGTGTCAGTGAACGTGAGCGTGAAGCCATGTGGGTGAGCAGCCAGGGCGGGATGGGGTCAGTCGGGCAGGGCAGTCTTGCATGTGATCGCCCGAGGGGAGCGTGTTTGGCCCTCTTCCCCAGGCACGCTAGGGGTGTTTGGCTGAGACCACTTACCCGCCTGATATCACGAATGTACGGCCCGCGATCTTCATCGTGAGGACTGAAGACTGGTGGTGCGAGATGTGGGCGAACCGTCAGTGGGTGTTGCTCAATACACCTGTCCGTCTCGTCTCACTGACCACTGGGGCCGGGTTGTCATCCGTGAGCCTCGGCCTAGACCTGCGCGTCCGACCACCCGCTTACCTCATCACTCGCCAACACATTGTATCTCATGCTGCGGGCCTGACACGTCGTTTCTCTCGTGGCATGGCAGAAAAGAAAAGAAAAGAAAAAAGTGAACAATTGCGACAAAAATGGCACAAGATAATAAGGGCAAAATGGCAACTAAGATCCCGCCCGGACTCGAACCGGGGACTCAGGAATAATCAGGAATGAGAAAACATCAAAATCCTACGTGCTAGGCCAACTACACTACGGGATCGAAATTTTGGGAATTGTGAGAGACTCATGACACAAATAGATTTGGGGGGCGGAAGTGAAAGATTAGTAATAATATTACTCTAAACTTTTAAAAAGAACTATCCATATTTATAATAATTCTCAAGAGATAATTATTATTTGGCTTGCTGGAATTATAATAATTATAATTATAAGGATATAATTAAAACGATAATTAAGAGGTTTATAGGCCGCAAATACCACCAAGTCAGCCACCTGGATGACTATCTGCACTCTTTTTATACATGTCTCTCAAAAGTTTCCTGCTGGTCTCATTCACTTACTTGATATACCCCCTTTAACTGTGAAAAAAATAGATACAGACACAGGAATAACCCGAGAAAGACTGGCGCAAGGCCTGGTTTTACAAGAGTTGCCATCTAATGACGGAGAACGTAGGCAGTGCGAGTTGGGCCACATTTAATGGGAGGTTAGAAGGGGGACAAGTTCGCTAGTTCCATCGTGTGTATACAATTTACCCTGATATGTTAATCTGAGAATTGTCAACTCAGATTGCTACAGTGGGGTCCACGGTTAGTCCTGGAGGCTTTAGAAAGAAAATTCTGCAACACAGGTTTATCTTGACTAGTTAATTCGGAAAACGTTTCTACCATGATGTTGGTTCTGAAGAAATAACGTTGCTTCTCTGATTCGCACAATATCTAAGTACTCTTATGCCATCAAGATAAACAGCGTGTATTATTTAACTAGCAACTTTATCTGCATCCTGACTTGCAGTGATATCTAGTCTTCTGACGATACATGTGGACGGGCGCATTCGTGCCTGGATCCTCCCACATCTACCCAAATGTCTAGCTAGGCCTCAAGCGCGGTACTCTTCTCTCTATGCAAGGTCAGTATGAGGAATGTGGCCAGGGACAGTGCTGCGATCACACACGCGCAGATATGGTAGCAACCATGCTCATTCGCGTCAGCTTTGCAATACAAGTTCGGCTGAGCGCAGCACGACGTGTCTCCGGCTCCACCGCAGCAGTCTTTAGACGAAAGTCAAGAAACAATCAGAGTCTCATGATATTGGGGGCCGAAGAAAATCGTAAAGAGATGTGTCGAAGGTAGGAAGCTGCACACTCACTTCCCAGTCCGCGGCAGATCTGCGCCGACGCGCCAAAGGCCATCAGGGCAGTCAGGAAGATGGTGGTGAAATGCATGTTGATGAAAGTCTTGTTGCGAGGATGTTTACTTTGAAGAGACAAGTTTGGACGGAAAATTCCAAAGAGAAATGGAGTCTGCATTTTTGAACGTGAACTTGTGTTCTGCAATGTATGAGCGGCTTCTTTGTCTGACGATCCTCCACTCTTTCTCTCCAGCGACTGGTACCACGCATTTTATACATGAGAAGGCTGGCAGAGCGAAGTGGTCTCCTCGAAGCTATAGCTATGGATACAATAGCACTGTCTCGTGTTCTGCGAAATGCCAAGTTCGAGAGTCAGGCCAATACGTCTCAATAAGGCAGGCCACTGAATAAGCTCGGCTTAGTCCGCGGGCGTTGGATAAGCTTCTTCAGGGGCATCAATGCAACACTCGCCGCTGGCGCCGGTTGGCCGCTTACTATCAACCAAGCGAACATGAGCGCCGTTTAGTGACGGAACGTGAATATGTTAGAATGTAACGATGATCGATAGAAATTTACCCTATGAAAAACTGGCCGACCGTGATTCTGCCGGTGCTTACAAACCAGAGTCCCCTTCGCACTCGGCACAATGTATCTGCCAAAACCAAACCTTGTAGATGTCCACGCCTATACTACTGCCATCTGACCATACTGAGCAGGCCCACCTTCCGGAATGGTTGAAACTTCAGAGATTTCATGAAATGATCCGCAGGTGTGTCCGCAAATTCTCCTTTTGCTAGGCGCTTAGCAGGTCTTGTCAGCCACGCATGGGTCATAATCATCGTCCCATGGGAACGCCTTGAAGACGACCTCAGTGCAGTCGGCCAACTTCGAGAAATCGTTGTCTAGGGTAATGAGTTTCTTCCATCTACGAGTACGTCAGTATCTTTTCAAAATCAGTCTGGACCCAGGGCTCCAGGGGGTCCAGGGTCTGGGATTTGGGGGGTTGGGGACATGTCAGAGAGTCAGTCAACAGACACAGTCAAAAAAACATACCCATCGACGAAGTCCTTGATCCAAGCCTCCTGGCTCACAGCGTAGACGTTCCAGGAGTCGCGGGTCTGGCCGTACTGCGACAGGAAGAAGTCGCTGGGCAGCGTGGTAGGGGCACCGCCGTCGCGGGTCTCTGTGTAGTAGGTCCACGAGTCGAGCTCCCCGACAGTGGTGTCGAACGGCACGCCGGTGTGGTTCTTGCCCGCGCTGTGCGCCCCGACCAGGGCGACGAGCTCGTCGTCCGTGAAGCCCCTGGCGGCGAAGACGCTGATCAGTGTCGGGGCCGGCAGGATAGGCGGCGGCAGCTGGCCATCCAGGGCTGCCACCGGGTTGTCCGTCCGCCCGACGTAGAAGGGCGTGTAGGGCCCCCATTTGCAGGCCTTGTTGCCGATGGCTGAGAGGGCGTCAGTCTCTTGATAACCTTTTTACTTGACTTTTTTTCGGAAGGTCATACTCACCGCCAGCCAGGTTGATCAGGTCAGCCACCCCGACCCTGTACCTGTTGGCCACATCGCGGAGCTTGGCACAGATAGGGATGAGTCTCTCGTTGTCTCGACGATTGAAGCACTCGTCGGTGAGAACGATGGAACCATCACAGCCTCCTCTCGGGAAGCAGTCATGGAACGGCAGGCGGATGGACTGGCGAGCGTAGTCGGTACAGAAGCCATACTCGTCGATGAAGTCGTACTTCAGCTCCTTCGCGATGTAGTTCCAGACCTCGGGACAAGTGGCACCCTCTGAATTGGCCTCTGGCGCGCCAATGACACCAGCGGCCATGAAGAAAGAGACGAGAGCAGCCTTTGCAAACATCTTTGTGAGGTATAAAGACAGATGAGTATTTTCACAAATGGTAAGAAAAAGAAAACTGAAGAATAATAACGACCTCGAAGTCCGATTCAGCTCGAAACGAATGTCCCCAACGTGGTACGCCCTTCTGAGAGTGAGAGTTCGACGGTTAGAAAAGAGCACTTTCAACGGAACCCCGAACCAAGGAGGGCGCCACCATCTTATGGCTCATCCTCAGCCTCCATGAACTCGCTTGGGCCGCGCCCACCAATGACGAGGCATCGATGTCTAAATTTGCCCTCTCCCTCATCAGCTGGCGACGTCCGCGGCCGCCGGGTGAGCCCATCGTCGTGAAGCAGATGAACTAGCTGATATCCGAGGATGGACGTTGATCCGCGTGAGGCTGCCCGCTGTCAAAAACGGACGGGCTACAACTAGCGCATTCGCTTTGATGATAGGTAGGTGTAGTGTTTACGCGACACGATTTTGGGTGCAACACGAACAGGCTCAACATTCTGACCGGCCACAAAACTTATCCGAGGTTGACATCGAGTACGAGCAATGGGATCGAAAGCATTTCCAATAACGAGGTAAGCGTGCTCCTGCCATGGTTCAAATTAGTGCTTCTTTGGGGAAAGCTGGATTGAATGTTGCGGTATTGACCGGAGTACCTCAGAAGCTCTGGGAGAACCGGGCAGAACCTCGAGGAATATTGCGCCTGTCTCGACGAATCAGAAATCGAAAATTGCCAATGTGTATCTTCCTCAAGTCATGACGTTTGTAGGAGACAGGAAGAATGTGGCGAGCTCGGCCAACTGCGCTACTGGCCCGCAAACCTGAAGGGAACATCTTCAGGACCGTTTGGAGTGAACAATGGGCTATAATGCAGAGGAGCACCACAAAACACCACAGATGGGAGAGAACTTGGGAGCATGTCGTGGACGCTGAGCAATGACTGGTTGGAGCTTTCCATACCGTTAATCGGTGTTATCTAATTATTCTACAACCAGCTCGTGTAATAGACGACTCAAAGAAACGCATTGAAACTTGGGCTTTCCTTGCTCAAGCTTCCTTGGCCTCTGATCGCACAACCGCCTCGGCCGGAATTTCTTTTCCGCCGATGCCCTTCGGCTGACACATGTGTACAATTGCCGTTGGCACAACAGCTGAGGCCGAGAGAGCAGCCAGAAATGCCATGAGAGCAGAAGGCTGCACATAGGTGGCTCCCTAGCCAGGATCTCGGCGGCGGTGAAGTTCTTGTTGTGGATCTCTGGGGTCTGCCCGGTTGAGACTAGGTAGACGATATAGCCGATCCAGGCCGAAACAGTAAGCAGGCCGATTGTCCTCAGCTTCGGGAGGCTGGGTATCCTTGGCTTGTTCCATGGGAGGCTGCACAAGTAGTCCATGGTGGTGTTGCACAGCAAGTAGAGGCCCGCAACGACGAGCGTGTCCTGCAGGAGAAGCTTGACCCAGTATGGAAGAGAAGATGGCCCGTGAGTGAACCGAATCGAACCTATAGTCTGGTTGTCGTATAGCTCATATCCGTATGCTGGGCTGGAGATCTCAACCAGGCTGAATCGCCAGGCAGTCATGAGTGCAGCGAGAGAACCGAGGCAAATGCCTGTGGTGGTCTTTGTCATCGCAGAGTTGGCGGCTGCTTCGACTACCATTTGTACCAGGAAGGTGTTCAACGCAGCGCTAGCTACCGACGAATGTCCAGCAGCGAAGAGCAAGACGGATATGAGGTATTGGCAGAGGTTGATGATGCTGCAATTCAGGGTCCGTCGTGATGAGCCGAGCTGTCGGGCTGACCCCTGCGGCTCGGTCTGGAGGCAGGCTAGGTGGGAGGCATATTGGCAGATAGCCTTGGTGAGTGAGGAGCTGAGGAGCATGCAAAAGAGCAGGTTCTTTCTGTCAATGGAGCTATCGACGTCTGGTGACAAATACAGCACCAAGGCGGCGATGGCGAGGTCGCATTGCATATAGAGTAAAGACACCCAATGCCATTGTGCAAAGGCCTGCAAAGCCCGTGCAAAGGCCTGCAAAGCCCGTGCAGTGAGCCTGGAGCCAGTAAGACCAACAAGCCCTGCCAAGACAGAGTTCCACATGAGGTTGACAAGTTCCGGTACTCGGACGGGTTGCGGCCCCGTATTCGTCCAGGAGTAGAGGAGAACGATAGAAACTTGGGTGCTCATGAATGCCAGGCCAGCGAGCAGGGTGGTGGAATTGATGTTGAGGCGGTCTCCGACTTGGACTCGAAATACACCGGAATCCTCGACTTGCAAGACGCGCGATTTCTTCAGGCGAATGTAAGTGATCCGTATGATGTACACCAGGTGGAACACATAAGCCATGGCGATAACAAGTGCTGGTCCAGCCTGGAGGCCGTTGGCAGGGATCATGGCCAGGGCGGCAATGGTAGTAGGCGCGCGAGTGACGAAGAGGAACAGCGTGCCGTAGAAGGTGAGGCGCCAGTCCAGGTTGGGACGATCTTCCAAGTGCCCTGTCCACTTGAGGACATTGCGAAGGCTGTAGACGATTTCGGACCACAAAGCGGCGAGGGAGAGGTCAAGGCCCCGCCGGGATATGTTGAACTTCGCAACCATGCTCATGCCGAGGAGGGTCAAAAGGTGGTGGAGGACCATCTCGGGGACGTGCAGGTAGTGGGGCAGCTCCGAGATGTAGATAACAGTCCGTGAGCCCCAGCAGAACTGCTGAGAGGGATTCATCGGGCGGCGGAAGCCGGCGATGTCGTCCTCCGGGGGTGTCTTCCATACTGCTAATCCGCACCCAATCAAGGGGATGGGCTTGACGATGAGACCGAGAAGCATCCCGAAGAAAAACAGATACTTCTCATAGTTACCCCGGAGTTTGTGGTAAAACCCAGGGCTCCACCATCTCACTATGCGATCGACTGCAAGGCGGTACAGGGACCAAGCTGCGAGCCCGGCGAGGAAGGGCAGGAAGGGCACGTCCTCCCGCGAGAACTCGAGTTCGCCCATGGTCTTTCAAGAAGGCATAGGCGCTCGGTTGCTGGTGATTCGAGTTTGTAGCGAATGTGTTTTGGTAAACCTGCTGATAGAGGGGCGGTCACATAGAATCTAACGAGTGGAGATTCATAACGATGACAATGTGGTTCTGAAATAATGAGGGCCGAAAGGGTTTGTGCGACTGCCAGGTTCCGGCATCCAACTTTTCAATCCTGTGTACCCGTCGTTGTGCCGCCCTCAAGATCATTTTCTGGCAATGTGCCTTCCGCGCCGGTGGTTGTGGTTTCCCTAAGCTCGTCGTATCCGCATGAGCTGATCTCACAAGATGCGGTTCGGTCCCGGGCCAACACGGGACCAGAACTTGCTAAACAGTGTCGTCTGTCAGTAAACTTCAACCATTTTTTTACTGGTGCACCGTATCTGTTCACTGACCTGTTCACTAGGCGATGCTCAAGTCCGAGGATGGACATGCTAGCGCGGCGCCGCGGAGTCTCGAGACGTACGGACGCAACACTATGCACACACACGACGCGATGTCCCCACTGACTCGAGATCTGACTTATCGGGATAGCTCTTCAGTAGTTGCTGCAATGGGTATATTTAAGCTGTCCCGGGCAAGCTGTTCTGTGCTGCGGGATTGGCATGTGGAGCTCTCCACATCCGAGGATGTGGTCGATATCATCCTCGAAGTCTGTTCCATCCTAATCAAATTTGTATCATCGAATCACATCATATCAACATCATTTGAGGAAGCCACCTTCTGTCGCAAGTCACCGCGAGAGTTGGTTGGAGGAAGGACCGTATCGAGACACGAGGACGACTGCGCGCCAGCACTGAAGGAACCTGCAGCGAGCAACAAGGAACAGCGTCAGTTATCGTACTTCATTTTTCCACGAATTGATGATTATGGCGCTTGAGAAGTAAATGTGTCTGCATTTCTATCAGTAACACTCATTGCTGTGCTCATACAGCCTCACACACACCCTTCGTCGCTTAAAGGGCCATCCTCAACCTTGAATCAATGTCACAACTTGCAATGTCAAAACCTGCAATGTCCAAACCTCCAGATCCGAAAATCCAACCAAGCCAAGAACGAACTTCGCGGGAGGGCTATCTAGAGTACGCTTTATCCAACACCAGAGACAACTAAAGAGAGCAAGGCGCCGCCAACATCTCATGACGATGAGACAGAACTTCATGCCCCGGGCGTCGGGGACCAACCTCCAACGGAGCCGATGAGCCAGACGGACCAGGACCGCCAGGTATTTTCGAAACTTCCAGTGTGGAGGAAACGGACGCTGTTTGTCTGCTCGTGCGCGCTGTCCTTCCTCCTCCAATTCGATATGGCCGCCGTGGCTGTGACTTGGACTGTAAGTCAACAAAATGCCTGACCCGCGCGGCTTTCAACGAAAGAGGGACGAGAAAGACGTGTGTGAAAGAAACCAGGCGACTAACGCATGTCCTTTCACGGAGCACAGAAAATCGCCGAAGACAAAAAAGCGCCCTCAGTCAAGATCTTCGCCCTGTCGACAGGCTACCTGCTGGCGCAGACGGTCTTCCAGCTCGTCTTCTCGCACATCTCACACGCCGTGGGGAGGAAGTTCATGTACATCACCGGGCTGCTGTTGTTCCTGGCGGGCGCGATCGCCGCGGCAACGCGACCGCCCATGGACGCACTGATTGGCGCGCGGGTGGTGCAGGGTATTGGGGCGGCGGGCATGTTCACCATGTCGGCCATCGTCATCGTCGAGATGACGCAGCCGAGGCAGCGAGCAGGCTGGACGTCCCTATCGCAGGCGTTCGGGGCGTTGGGGAACATTTGCGGGCCGCTGGTCGCGGGGTCGCTGTGCAATCACTTCGGGTTTCCTTGGGTAAGTCTCTCCGAGTCTTTTCGGATTTTCTTATGTGTAGATAGTTTGGTGCACAGTCATGCTAACGTGCAAAAAAAAAAAAAAACACAGTCCTACATCTTCTTTTTCGAGGTCGGCATCGCCGTTTTCCTCCTCTCCGCCCTCGTGCTACTGCTGCCAGGCGAGAACCGCAGCCGCAAGGACAGACTGCGCGAGCTCAAGGGCTGCGACTGGTACGGCATCTTGCTTTTCTTCGTCTGCTCCGTCACGCTCCTCGTGCCCATCAACATCGGCGGAACGACCGAGGGGCTGGGGTGGGAATCTGCGCCCGTCATCACCTGCTTCGTTGTGGGTCTCTACAGCCTCGCCGTCCTCGTCTACCACCAGCGATGCCTGGCAAGCCGGCCCGCCTTCCCCCGCGAGATCTTCGCGCGGCCCGCCACCAACGTTGCCTTCCTCGGTAACGCAGTCTGCGGTGTCCTGATATCAATGGTCTTCTACCACCTTGTCCTCTTCTGGGACGGCGTCCGGCGCAAGTCCATGGTTGAGGTGGGCAAGATGCTGCTGTCCGTGACGCTGACATACCCGGTGGCCTTCGCCATTACGGGAATCGCCATCAGACGTTGGGGGCGGCTCAAGTATGCGACGGCGGCGGGCGCCATGCTGGTGACCCTCGGCTTGGGACTGATGCAAATCATGACGGAGCGTGCCTCCCAGGCGGGGCTGCTCGTCATCTGCGTGTGCGCCGGCGCTGGGTGTGGCATATTTATGCCCGCCATGGTCAACGCCGTCATCGCCACGACGGACTCGCGCTGGCATCCGCATGCGATTGCCATCCGTACCCTGCTCTACACGGGCGGCCAGTGCGTAGGCGTGTCCCTCGGGCTGGCCATCTTCACGACCGCATTCCGTAACCGCTTCGACGCCCAGGAAGGCGACGCCGCCACCAGGGCAGCCGTCGCCAAGGCGGTCCTCATCAACCCGCAGGAGCTCATCAGCAAGCTTGAGATACTGTGGAGCCTAGCTCCCGGCGGCGAGCTGGTCAGAATGGTCGTCGGCGCGCTCAGGGCGGTCTGGGTGGTAGCCTGCGTGTTGGCCGGTGTGACCGGCGCCTTGGCCATCTTGATGAGGCTCCCTGACCTGGCTAAGGATAGCACGACGGAAAGAGTCCTCCCTGACGAGGAGCGACAGGAGAAAAACACCGAGATGACATCACGACGATAGCATGGCGTTAGAACCGGTGCCAAGTTTCTCGTAAAGCGGGCGCTGAAGGCGTAATGGAAAAGAAGGTGTTTGAATGTGGCTGAGCGACGCAAGTCTATTGTATTCGCAGTCTTCGATTGCTCCTCGGGTCCCTAGATTCTCATTCCCCTTACATGACTTAGGTATCTTCTTAGGTATCTTGTATCCTCCAAAAAAATGCATATGCAGTGCAAGGTCTAAATCATGCCAAGGTACCGTGTCTCAAAAACAGTGTCTTTAGTGGCGCCCTTGACCCCAATGCTGACAACCTCGCCAGGCACTATGTCCACGAGGTTGTCATCGAACTTGACGCCGTCATCGTCGCATTCCACCGCCAGACCCTTGATCGGGACCTCGGCGCTGACCTCGACAGCCGTGCCGTCCTTATTCAGCACAGCCTTGAGCTCCTTTGGCTTCTGCAGGTGCAGGTACTTGAGCGGCTCAGGCCAATTGACATATCTTGCCAGCTGCTTGCCAGTCTTCTTGCAGATCGTGTACGCGGCGACTACGGTGCGAGCCTCCTCGCCCTTGCCTGCGGTTTTGACAGGGACTTCGACGGCCAGAATCTCGGTCGACCTGTTCTCGGGCAGTACGATATCCTTCTTGACCGTTTCGCTGTACGTCTCCTTGCCTGTCTCGACATCCCACGCCTTAAGTACGGTGTCGACGGTGACGTCCTCAAGTGTCAGGTTGCTGCCCCAGACCTCGATGACGATCTTGGTCTCGACGTCGACTCGTGTGTACTTGTCCTTAGGGTGCTTGTGCTCGCGGCGCGTTATGCCGATGCTCAGAGGAGCCATCTCACGCTTGACGGTGTAGTAGGCGTGCTTGGGGCGCAGGTAGTAGTCCACGATGGCCCACGAGGTGACAGGCCAGCAGTCGTTGATCTGCCAGACGAGGGCCCCGCCGCAGTATTCGCGCCCGGGGCCCTTCCACTGGCGCTTCCACAACCGGTACGCAGATGCTAGGCACTCGGCCTGCATAAGCTGCGTGCAGTAGATGAACTGCTCTATTGGGTCTGGCGCATAGCGGAAGTTCTCGACGAGATACAGGGCTATGCGGCGCTCGTGGCCGTCGGCCTTGTTGTGGAAGTCGACGGTGCTGGACTGTGGGTACCGGTCTGGATCGTCCTTGCCCTTGGGCAGGTAGGCGTCGATGGTCTTGAGGTTGGGGAAGGCTTCCATACCAAACTCGGAGACGAACCGCCCGACAAGCTTGTCGAAGTCTTGATATTTCTCTTGAGACCCGTGCCAGACGTTCCACTGATGTAGGTCGCCCACTGTTGGGTCTGAAGTAGGCTTGCCTGCGCCCCAGGGGCTACCGAAGTGGTAGTACGTGTTGGGAATGAGCTCGGAGCAAGCATCGGCCAGGATCTTCTCGTAGATGTATCGGGCGGGGAAGTCGGTCTTCAGCCAGGACTCGGCATCCTTGTTCTCGAAATCGTACGTGAGGTTCTCTGACTCTTGGTACTGGTAGTCCTCGTTGTTGCCGGCCCAGATGACTATGGAAGGGTGGTGTCGAAGGAGCTTGATGTTCTCCTCGGCCTCGCGCTTAATTGACTTGAGGATGGAGGGGTGAGCTGGGTAGTTGCCACAGCCAAACATGAAGTCCTGCCAGACGAGAATGCCATACTCATCGCACGCGTCATAGAATGCCTGCTCTTCATAGATACCACCACCCCAGACGCGGATCATGAATTGGTTGCCGTCGGCGACGAGCTTGACCCATTCATAGTATCGTTGACGGGAGATGCGTGGCAGGAAGTTGTCGGCCGGGATCCAATCGCTCCCGCCGCAGTAGATGGGAATGTTGTTGACCTCGAAGAAGAACGAGGTGCCAGGCTGTTCTTTCAGGGCGCGCTGGATGAGCTCGGCTCGGCGGAGGCCAATTTTCTTGGTGACGCTGTCGATCTCGTCATCACCATCGCTGAGCAGCGTGGCCTTGACGGTGTACAGAGGCTGCTTGCCGTACCGGACAGGGTACCACAGTGAAGGGCTGCTGATGCGGAAGGTTGCTTGGAGGTCAGCGCCTCCCTTGATCGTCTCTGATGCCACGCTCTTGCCGTCCAGCGAGACGTCGAAGCGGATCTTGTTGGCTGGTCCCTCAACGTCGGCATGCGCGACGACGGTTGCGGTCTCTAGGTCCTTCTCGACGGTGGTATCAAAGTACAGATCCGAGACACGAGACTCGTAAATCTCGAGGTTGACCGGCCTCCAGGGCCCGCAGGTGTTGAGGACTGGGCCCCAGTCCCAGCCGAACTCATATTGCGCCTTCCGCACGGCCAGTCTCGAACTGTCGCCGTTCCAGCAGCCCCATTTGTGGTCTGGGTACTTCTCGACCTCCTTCCAGCCCCTCAGGTAGGCACTGTCGAAAGTGATGACCAGCTGGTTGTCACCCTCCTTGGCGGTGGAGGTGATATCGACGCGTTCAGGCGTGAACATGTTGTCTGACTCCAGGATGGTGGTGCCATTGAGAGCGACCGTGGCGAACGTGTCCAAGCCGTCAAAGGCCAGGACGGCCTTGCTGCCCTTCTCGACTGCTGGGGCTGTGAAGGAAGTCCTGTAAACCCACTGCTTCTCTCCTATCCACTGGACTTCGAGCTCGTTCTTGCCGATGTAAGGGTCTGGGATGAGGCCATGGTGCATGAGGTCAAGGTGGACGTTGGTCGGGAATTGGGAGACGGGCAGGAACTTGTCATTGTCCTTGTCGGCCTGTCTGAACTCCCAGTTCTTGTCTACGGGTATGACCTTGGCTGCCATCCTGCGAACTGAGTGGAGGTGCAGGTTTTGTTGTTGATGGAGGAGGAAGGGCCTTGGAGGAGCAGATGGAATAGACTCTGGAACATCAAGCTGAGGGACTGTATCCCGTGGCGAAGGCGTGAGTCTTGTCATTGCGAGATCTCGGTAGGAATTGTCCCATGGGCAGGAAGGGACGTGTGCTCCTCTTATACACCGACGTGGGGAAGTGACGACCGGGTGGTGTGGTGATGCTCTTGTTGGAGAAGCTACTGCACCGCACCGCATTCATGCAGCTACTCTCCCCAATTCCCTCCCCAACTGCCAGGGGTGCCATGCAGCCTGGGCAGCGTACCGTACGGTTGTGGTAGGATGCCCACGATGGAGACCCCCTCATCGAGGCCTGTTCCATGTACCGCGACCCTCACCACTGCAGCCGCACGCAGGAACGCGGGGGGTGAGCCGCCGAAATTCATGGGTGGTACGTTACGCACTTGGTGGCAGGCCCAGCAACCCTGGATTTCATTTACGATGTCGGAGATGACCAACCATAGTCTCACTGCCGCTTCTACTACGCACTGCCCAGTAGTGTTTTCTAACTTCCAGCCTGTAGCACTTGTCCGTGTGCCAATTCTTATCTTGGCCGAATTGTAGAACTCTATAGACAACGCGGTGCAATGAGCAAACAGGCCATGAAGTGAAGCCTGGTACTGAGCAGGTAGACTCGACCGTCTCGTCCCCACCTTCAGCTAAGCCGTCCCTGAAGGTTCCAAGGCCGGAGTGTCGGCCAGATCTTCCACGCCCTCTTGTCCTGTCTTTGCTCTCCGGACAGCACCACGTTGACCTCATGTTTCCCGAGGATTTCCCACGTGAAATCCACTACAGGAAAGGTCCCTACCGTCCAAAAATGACATGAGGCTAAGGAAAAAGAATCACCCTAGGCCTATGCAAGGGTAGGCCCATCCCAATCCTTGCGGGTGCAGCCCCTCGGGATCGCCTGTACTGTAGGCGGGCGGACGAGGGCTCTCCGCCCGTCCCCTTCCAGCCTCTGGTCTGCCCGCGGTCTGCCGACCGCACGGCTCGGGATGTGACCACGGCTGCTCAGCCTCATCAGGTCGATGCTCGTCGTCGTCCCCCGTCTCGGCCCACTGCTTATCACCCGGCCGAGGCATGTGGTGTACGTACCGAGTAGCATGTACCCTGGACCGCGGTGCATGCAAGGCCGTCATTCCAGTCGTGGAAGTTGGCCCCACTTGGACTTGACGAAGGTGGGGGTGGAGCCCGTCATCAGGGTGGACTCACGACAGGAGCAGTGTGCTTGGCTTGGTCTCTCATCGGTATTATTATCGAGGCCCTGCAGCTCGTGCCGGCTGTCCTCCACTTGTTTCCTCCGCAAAGAAAGTCCATAGGTCCGTCGTCGGCCTGATCTCTCCAAGAAAACAAGAGAACGTGAGTGACAGTAGGTAAAAGGCAGACCAGCAACGCCCGTAGAACACCCAGCTGTCTCTCCGATATATATAAATAGAGCAATTCTTAGTCGTGTGTCCTGTCCAAAAACACCCCGTGCCTCAAACGCCGCATGCCTATCTATTGCCGTGGGCCAAGAACCGCTTCAACCGCTTCAAACAAAAAGACAGTGGTATCCTGGAAGCAAAATATATCAACGTCGCCACAGAACAGTAGAGCAAAAGTAGAGCAGAGCACATCCGAACAAGACAGGACAGAACGGGGAAAGGGCTCCTGAGCCTCAGCAACAACCCCTCCTGCTCCTGCGATTGCTCAGCGTGAACACCTCTTCCCAGTCCCTCATGCCGCCCATTCCCCACTGGCTCCTACTCTTGCCCCTGCCCCGTCCCCTCCGCCGTCCGCCCCCGGCCCCGATGTCGTCCGTGGTCAGCGAGCTCTTGATGCTGGCGCCGTCGGTGCTCGCGCCGCTGTGCCACAGCCCCCCGGCATCGCCGTACTGGATGCCGCTCATGGGATCGTCCGGGTCGATCTCGCCCAGCTCGATCTTGGTGAGGATCATCCTGGCGAGCCGGCCAAAGACCTCGTCGACGCCGTCCCCGTTGAGCGCGCTCACCTCCATCGTCACGGGGACGTTGACGCCGCTCGCCCACCGGCTCGCCTCGGTCGCCGACACCTCGCGGCCCTCGAGCGCGATCGTCGCCCGCTGCTCGTGCCCGGTCGCCCCGCCGGACAACCCGCCGCCCCACGGGTCCCGGTCTGTCATGGTCGCCATCGTGCTCCTGCTCGTCGTGCTGCTCACGCTCGCCGCCGAGTACGAAGCGTAGCTGCTGGCGCCGGCGCCCGCTGGCGCTGTTATCGTGTTGGAGGAACTGTAGCTGGAGGGGGTGGGCGGCGGCATGGACGTGTCGACGAGGGCGTTGCTGTCGGCAAGGTCGAGCTTGTTGCCGGCGAGGACGAGGGTCAGGTTCGGGGAGGCGAGGGCGCGCGCATCGTTGAGGAAGGGCTGTAGGGAGTGGAAGGATGCGTGCGATGTGATGTCGTAGACGAGGATGGCGCCCGCGGCGCCGCGGTAGTAGGAGCGAGACACGGACCGGAAGCGCTCGGTGCCGGCGGTGTCCCAGAGCTGTGTACCCGGATCGAGGAGGTCAGCGATGCTTCGGCCAGCGCGGGATGGAGAACCCGGCTCGGGCGTGTGCCCGCTGGAAGAGGGTGGGGCTTTTGTGGTCTGACCTGTAGCTTTATCCGTTTCCTCCTTGCGCCTGTGCCGACTTTGATGATCTTGGTCGCGAACTCGACGCCGATGGTCTGTGACGAGAGGACCCTCCACTCGTTCTTTACGAAGCGATGTAGCAAGCAGGACCTGGAGTTGCGAGACAAGACACAGATCAGTGAGGGGTTCTTGAACGGGAAGCGTCTGTGTTGTTGTCTCTCGCAGATGGTGTTCGAGGCCGGGTGCAATCCGGTCGGGGGTTCATTCAGGGGGCTTCGGTGTCGATGGCATCACTCACTTGCCCGTCCCGCTAGGTCCAAGCAATATGATCTTGGCCAGATAGTCGTACATACTACCCAGCTCCTAAACAACTCGCCATGCCATGTCAGCGCGTTTCCCACCAAGTCCGATCCTCGCTGCATCGCGATGGTGCGTCGTACCTGGTCACGCGCGGTGAGATTGCTCTCGTCGCTTGCGGCGGAGGAGCGCCGCGGTCTCGTCATCGTCGCGTCGATCAGCCAGTCGGTCGGTCGGTGTGCAGCTCGATCAGCTCGTCGTGTTCGGTCGAATACGAGTTCGGGACGGGTCGAGTATGGTTTGCGCGTTGGAGAATCACTGTAATCTTTGGAGTGTGGAAAATACAGAGCGAGAATGTAGAAGGATTATTGCAGAACAGGTTACGGAAGTGGTACAAGAAAGTCACAGTGTCGCACGAGGGCATTACCATGCTATGCTGATTGATGTGGTAATTGTTGGCGGCCATTATTAGACCACCTGCAGTAGTAACACGCAGCCGCAACATCCCGGCCGCAGGCCTTGGGGAAGAGAGCACTGGAGACCCGCCGGTTTCATGTGGTCCCTGGCACGTGCTTATCAGCCGCGGCGATAGGCCTACACAGGGATGGCGGCCAGTCCAGTGGGCCGGATGCCAGGGGGCATTGTTGGCAGACGGGCATGTCGTCAGACAGACCTGCTTTGAGTGGGCCCTCTCTCCCTCTGCCTCGGTTTCTCTGGCTATTAGACCTCCTCATTGCAGGGTTGTGCTGTCTGTCGCGGCAATGAGGGCACGTTAAATTCATCAGCCCATCTTTGTTCCTTTTTTTTTCTGGACAAGAAACCATTCTCGTGATCATATCGCGATGCTGTCAATACGTCCACAGTTATCCTCAGATAAACTAGGCACAGATGCGCCTCTTTTGATGCCATGGATGACGAGCAGACGAAGACATGGGGCGCACAGAACCAGGCACTTATTTCAAGACCGGAACTGAGACAACAAGCATGCAATCTATAGCTGGCTTGCGTCGTGGATCCCCAGGACTAAATTTTACGTGTAAAGTATTTCGGTACCAGAACACAGAGATACCGGCATTTGGTCGGCTTCTGCGAAGATGACCCATCGGACATCAGCTCCGCACTTCGGTCTGTCTAATCCCGCGCCTTGGCCGCGGCTTAGTCCTACATAAATGCGAACGAGAGCGGCATGTGGGAGCAGTGAACTTCGGTAGTTGGAATCACGATTTCCCCTCGAGAAAACATCGAAAAACACCCACCCACCATCATGTCCAGCTCAAAAGTTCACGTCGCCGTCACCCAGGCCGAGCCCGTCTGGTTCGACCTCCAAGGCGCCGTAGAAAAGACGTGTAAGCTTATCAAGGAGGCCGCGGCACACAAGGCTCAGCTCATCGCGTTCCCAGAATGCTTCATACCAGGCTACCCAGCCTGGATATGGTATGTCGCATCCGGCTTCACCTAGGCCATGTCCCCCACTCGCTATCGCCGCCCACCAGCTAGCTCACGCTCACACTACACAGGGACCGCCCGGTTGACTTCGACATCAATGTCAAGTACATCAAGAACTCACTCCGGGTCGCCTCGCCCGAGATGGACACGATCAGGGCCTGCGCCCGCGAGAACGCCATCGCCATCTCGCTGGGCTTCTCCGAGAACGACGACGATTCCCTGTATATCGCCCAGGCGCTCATCGGGAGCGACGGCGAGATCAAGGTCCACCGCCGCAAGATGAAGCCCACGCATATGGAGCGCACCATCTTTGGCGACGCCCCGGGGGGCGCCTCGGGGGACAGCGGCAGTCTAAGCGGCTCCTGCCTGGCCTCCGTGGCCCAGTTGCCCTTCGCCCGCGTGGGACAGCTGTCGTGCTGGGAGCATATCCAGCCACTTCTGAAATTCAACACAATTGCCCAGCGGGAGCAGATCCACGTCGCCGCCTGGCCGAGCGTGACGCCCCACTCGGGGACTGGGCCGGACCTGTGGTCCATGTCTGCGGAAGGTCAGTGATCCTGCTTTCTATTATTCGGCACGTATAGCGAGAACTGACCTCACTCGAGGCTGCCAAACCCTGGCTAGGGTCTATGCCATCGAGGCTACCGCCTTTGTCCTGCATTGCACCGCTGTCTTCACCGACAAGGCGATCGAGGCAAATGGCACCGCGGGCTCGCCTCTGATGGGCGCGCCCGGCGACGGCTCCTCGGCCATTTTTGGTCCGGATGGCAGGAGGCTCACGGAGCCCCTGGGAGATAAGGACGAGGGCATCCTCTATGCAGACTTGGACCTGGATGAGCTCACGAGGATCAAGATGTTTGCGCATTGTACAGGCCATTACAGTAGACCTGATCTCATGTGGCTCAGTGTGGACGGCAATGCCAAGAGCCTTGTCAGGGGAGCGGATGTCAAGGACGATGAGAACGCACGTGTGGCTAAGCAAGATTAATCTCGGCTCTTCCTTCGTCAAGTGCTAGCAGAATAGTTGGGGCCAACACGATTTACGTCAAGCTGTACATATGCCTGTTGAATGACCTGGGTTTCCTTTCCCACATTCCCCAGCCTCTACACCACCTTCGTGCTCAATTCCATTGTGTAGTGATACGTAAGGCATGAATCTCATATTCGCGCGCGTGGCCAATAGCATGATCAGAGCCGAGACTTCCGTTCCAAGCACAAAAGTGTAGAAACACGCTCTAGAATGATATCATGCAGGATCAAACAGCGGCTTCGGCCGTGCCAATAAGACTCCAGCCTTGAATGCAGCATTAATAGTGCAGATAACTCATGAAGAAGCACTATGCCTACTTTACATCTCGTCCGCCTTGTGCCTCGTGGTTTAGGCGCGGTTGAGAACACAGGAGCAACCACGAGCATCGCCAGAGGAACCACAGTAAGGGCCAGCAGGTAACGCGAAGCAGCGCGCTTGACATCATGGAACTTCTCGATCGTCCGCTTCTCTAGAGAATACGTAGAAACGTCAATAGAAACCACAATCATCAGGAGAGCCGAGACGGTCAGCGCCGATATTGCCCCGAGAAGGCCTTCAAACACCGGCGTGCACGCGGCCCAGGCCCTCGGTCGAGCCAGACCCTTTCAGCCGGTATGTGGTTCACGAGCAGCAGGAGCAGCACGCCTGCCTGCATGAGCACCTGGGAGGCGACGGCGATGCGGACGTTGTCCGGCCTGGACGCCCACTCTATGCGCATCGCGCACGCCAGGACCCGCTCGCCGGAGAAGAGGAACGTGATGGCCGGGATGACGCGGTCGTGGCCCTTGCGTCGTGGGACTCGGCCAAGAGCATGGAGATGGTTGCTGCTGTGGCATGCAGGAACAGGAAAACGGCCAGTGGCGGCACGGCGACTGGTATTGAGGGAATTCCTCCTATCTGAGCGTTATTCAGGGGGCAAGGGGGCTACGCCGTGTCAGTCAGCATGCTTCTGCTTTTAATCGAAGTTTGTAGACGTACCTCTCTCACTTGTGATGAGAGTGGCATATTAGGATTCTCGAAAATGTCGTCACGGTTCCGAAATCGGGCAAGCTGGTGATATGGGAAAGCAGCGGTCGGGGAAGAAGGGGGATAGACAGAGCAGTGCCAGTGATGGCGTAGCCACGTGAGAACACAGCACTGCTTTTTGTCCGATGATATTATGTATCATTTCCACTTGAAGTCTCATGCGGCTGTCATTTGCGTGAGCCTATGATGAGTCCACGTCAGTCGGAGATTCCAAAAAAGAAAACAGCCATCTCTACCGGTACATTTCGCGGAGTGTTTACTCTGAAGCTGAACTCATGACAAGTCTAATACCAACCTGAATTATATTCTCCCGATGGCGTTCAGGTCATGGCTTTGTGGAACCACCCGTTGGACTTTCTCTAATGAAAATCTCCCGATAACACACCATTCATATGTACGTACAGGAGATATGAACCTATTGAAAACTACTAGAAAAGTCTGAAGAACAACTTGGACTCTTGCCTCCCCTTCTCGCCAATCCCAGCATCGCATGAAGTATCATCGCTCGTAGACACTAGACACACGAATTCTTCCCTACACATATTCACCAAGATGGCTGCAAATTTTGCTCTAGTTACTGTTCTTTGGATTAGTTGCTTTGCCATATACTCAGTCTTTTTCTTTTTCGCGGATGATCCGTGAGCGCGAGCAACATGTGCATATTGGGACGTCACGGTCAGTTTCAACGCCATGGTTGGCGAGTGCTTACTTCTGTGGTGTTGAACACTCTGTTATGAGTATATAAATCCAACCATTCTAATTCGTAACCATCTATGATTCTTAGGAACGTTCACTTCAAAGTTTCTATCGAAAAGGGCGTTTAAGTACGCCGACCTTAAAACCGGTTAGGACAACCCGTCTTCCGATCAGAAGCATTCCTGCCCTTAGGGCAAGGCTTCCCCCACCCGGTCCGTGTATCGCAACAATCAGCATCCTGTAGCAAGACAATCAGATTAGCGACTGGTTCAACAAGCAGATTTACCTAGCGTAAGCCAAGAAGAGGTAGGTAGGCTTACGCATTGCTCTGATGTGATGCCAAACTTGGCACAATAATTATCTGTGTCTCCACCAACATTACACGCTCCCTGCCGATTGCAGGCATCAACGTTATCTTTTCCGCCCCAGCGGCAATTCGGGCCAATGCTGCCAACGATCATACACTATAAAGCTCACGTCAACACTAAGCTCATTTGTATCTTGCTGTTCTTCCAAAGCTTAAAGGCCATAAAAGGCGGGAGCAAAACTTACAGCAGCGTTTACGGCACTAGCAAAGGCCATATTAGCAAGCAGAGCATCAGTGGGCTGCATTATGAAAGTCTAAGCTGAGCGGAGTCTTAAAATAAAGATGCATCAAAATGCTTAAATGGTATCTTAGGGCTGAAAGTTTGATGCATAAAGAGCTAATGGTAAGGAAGAGAAATAATTGCAAGTTGAAGTGGGATCCCTTTGTTTATATATCTTTATTCGCGATCGTACAGGCTCATGAAGAATCGCCTCGGATTCAAAATCCAGTGCTGTTTACAGTCTAAGCTTAAACACAATCGAACAATTCTTTTTCAACAAGAGGCAGCATTGAAACTATTTCATGGTGTCCTTATGTTCTATGCCCATCCAATTTCGCATTAAAGGCTGAAATGCGCTTAAATCGGGGTATAGCCACAACATGGTGCCACTATTTTAAGAGTTCTTTTGCGCAGAGTTCTAGGCAATGAACCGAGCGCAAAGCGGCAAAGGCAACGAGTCAATTGCAAAGCTTAAGCGACTAAAGATTTAAACACTTAAGGTAAGAGAAAGTTTAACGATAACAACATCGGATTTTGTTGAATCAACCCCTACGCTCAAGCGCATACCATCGCTTTTCAACTAATGCCCCTAATTCTACGCCCCTGAGTATATAAGCTACAATTCGATTTTCAGAATATCAAGTTAGATCGCCTTAGCGTTCCTAAAAGAGAAACTCATGCACAATCTTAGAAGCTCTGTTCCACTCTTAGTGGCTGAGGGTGGCAAGACATTAATCTAGGCAGGCCCGGGGCTAGCTTAGCTGCTTGTCAACACGGAGCGAGTATTGTATTTTGGCAAAATATTATACATACTCTCTTGATGCAATTTTGTTTGCTTATGGTGATAATTATGAACGATCATAAATCTTCTGGAGATCCTGCACGCAATTATCTATTCCACATCAAATGAAGGGATGTGGAACATCTCGCACGGCACCAAAATGTGACATGTAGCTGAGGCACCTAGTAGTGCATCGAAATAGGGATGAGCCAGAAGTTTGGATGAAACAGGGCTGAGAAGGTTGTTTCTCATCTGTCAAACATCTAAAATGCATAGGTCGGGAGATTGCATACAGAAATAGACAGAGTCGGTGTGTCCAATAAGTCTTATGCCTCCTGTGTACAATGAACATGGTAAGGGTCACCCGATGGATGGATCGTTCTTAAACATAACCCAAGCGCGCCAGAGGGTAAGATATACTAGTATATAAAGCTGGCAATCACTCCAAGATTTAATGGCTGCAATCCCTTCAATCTATACTACAACACCTCACTTGCTCACAATCCTCATCACTACAATCATTCTATTCAAAATCAGTCACTCATTGCTGCCCAAAACACACATCTACACTTAAAAATCACTGCATCAAACTTTCAAAATAAATTCTTCTTATGTCCTCGCTAGCATCATCTCACTCATGTTGGGAGTTGCAATTGCCAGTCCAACAGAACTCGCCAGCAGGCAGAAGCCCCCCGGGCGTTGGTGATCCAAATGCAGACATAAGCCAGTTCTCAACCATTTTCCATCCCATGAAACCAAGAAGCTGATTTACATTTTTCAAAGTGCGACAACCAATTTGATTGTTGCTACTCCTCCAAGGCCGCCTGCTTCAGGCAGCTGGGCTATGGCCCGGGAAATATCTATTGTCCGCTACACAAATACTGCGCCACTGATGACAACATTGCTCGAACCAAACGTGTAAGTTTTATTGATGGCAAACTTCTTTCTGCCCAAGCACTCATGTTAATGTTACTTTTGAACAGAATACTGATTGCTGTTCCATTTCTACTGGTTGGGGTCGTGGATGTCCGGGCAAGTAGATTAGACAATTGCATTCCTGGGACTAGCATCATTTGCATTAGGCGGAGAGGATTTGAACACGGACTTGTATCGAGTATGATTTAGACAACTTCTAGATATGCATATAGAGACAAGCTACAGACTTCGAAAACAGTTATGGGTTTATTGAGCCCTGGCCACTCTGCTCTACACTGTCATAGAACAGCTTCTAGTCCCCGTAGACCGTGACCTCGTGCAGCCCTGCAGCCCAGTCAGCCTCCTGGTCATTGTGGACGTTGATGACGTTGTGGACGTTAACCCTGATGTAGCGGAACCTGCCAGCGTCCGAAACGGCGGGGCTCCTGAAGCCGGGAGACAGGTTGGCGGCCTCATCCACGAGCGTCTTCCACGTCTTGCCGTCTGCGCTGCCCGTTAAATTGTACTGGATGTACGTCTCGGAGCCGCCGACCTGTCTCGGGGTCAGGTCGATCTGCGTCACGGCGCAGTCGGCGCCGAGGTCGACCTCCCACCAGAAGGGCGCGGCGCCGGGCGAGAAGAGGTTCTCGTCTTGGTCCTGGATGCCGTCGTTGAGGAGCGAGGCATTGACGCCGTTGACGCTCGCGTTGGCGGGCTGCCCTACGCTGAGGATGCGGCCGCTCTGGACCGGCACCACGACGCCCTTGTCGTCGTCGTAGTTGAGATGGTGGTAGAAGTGGTACGAGGCCACGCCGCCGCTGGTGGCGATGGGCAGCAGGATCTGGCGGTGGCTGGCCTCCTTGTGTGCCCAGTTGGCGGCCCAGCGGTTCGCCGCCTCGATGTAGTTGTCGCCGATCTTGGTCACCTGTCCGGACTGCGCGCCGAAGGTGTTGAGGTTGCCAATGTTGCGAGACGCGGACCATGGGCCGCTGAGCTTCTGGGCGGCAATGTACTTGCCCTGGGACGCGTACCAGCCAGCCGCGGTCGAGGTGAACAGGTAGTACCAGCCGTCGTTCTTGATCAGGGCGGGTGCCTCACGGTGCTCCTCGGGCTGCAGGTTCGCCACCTTGGAGGTTACATTGGTCCAGTCGGCTGTCAGGGCGTACAGGCCGAGGTTCGTGTTCGTGTTGATCGCACAGACGATGTATGCGGCGCCGTCGTCGTCGGCGAAGAAAGTCATGTCCCGCGAGTCGTCGCCACCAGGTCGGAATGCCCCGCCAAAGGTCAGGTTCTTTCCGGGAGTGCCATATGCCACGGCCACCTGTCCGAGGCCGTAGTCTGTGGCCCTCTCAAAGTGCGCCCACATGAAGACGCGCCCGTCCTTGGGGTTCTGCGCCCAGTTGATGGACTCGAGCTTGCAGTTGCCGTCCTCGGTCGATGCACAGACTTCGGCCTTGGTCAGCACCTGCGTGTCCCCCTCGAAGGTGTAGCCATCCTTGGATGTCTGCTGCGAAATGTGACTGAAGCCGTCGGCGTCAGTGACGTAACCGTACCTGTAGTGCGTTCCGTCCGAGCCCTTAAGCTTGCTCTTGACCTTGAGCGAGGATGCGACCGTGTTGTCGTAGACGGCCAGGTTCGAGCCGGAGCCAGCCGTTGCGGTAACATTGAGCTCCGCGGACCTGTCGATGGTCTTGTTGCTGGCGTTGATGGCCTCGATCTGGAAGCTGGAAGACCCTGACAAGCCATAAACATCATAGCCGTTGCCCGGGGCAGTTGCAACGGTGGCGTATGAGCCTGAGCCGGCCTTCTGCTGGATGTTGTATGCAGCGGCTCCGTCGATAAGGTCCCAGCTGAACTTTACATTGTTGGCTCCGTCAGTCGATCCGGCCAGTTGGAACAGCTGTGAAGTGACACTAAGAGCGCAACGTGCGCTCAGCAGTAGAGCAGCAGACGCCAGAAGCGAGGAAAGACGAGTCATCGTGTTGAGATCTTCTTCAAGTGAGTGTCTGGTTGTGCTATGGACCCGAACTGATGTTTTGATCAGCGTGCCCAAGCTTTATTTATAGGAATAGATATCATTGTGAGCATCCATGGGCCCCGGGGCTCCGTCATCTTGTAGCCTAGATCCTTGACGGGACCGACGCACATATAAAATTCTCCACAGCTGTCATTCCGTACGCTCGTTCGTAGCTGAATCTCGGCATGGATTTCCAGCATTGATTTATGCGGCGTGATTACAAGCCCGTGAAAACCATCCAAGTCGGGTCAGAGGAAGGGGTCCATAGCAACGTTCAGCAACATCAGAAGAGACAAGCTCAATAGACGTCGGCCAATTATCATCAAAACTCATCAGATCTGATAGCAGATGTGGATTGCGAAGCTTGTATAGATCGAGCACCCAAGCGGAGCATCGCGCTGACTGGCTTGCAGGCTTGACCGGTACGAGAGTCCATCATTGCCTGTTTGAAGGTTCCCCAGCATCCTTCCAGTCGACGGTAACCTAATTTCAGCTGGGAGGCTGGCTGGCGTCTGCGTCGTGATAATCAGCCGCTTCGCTGGTTCCGTTGTGTTGTCGTTCATGCAAGGGTCAAGTTACCGCATCTCGCTTACCCATATCTCGAGCTTGTTATCTGCCTAGGCAGGGACTTCATAGACCCTAAGCTCATGAACGGAGTCGACCCCATCTGACGTGTGTGTGGAGCCCGGAGACTTGAAGGACCCCGCCGGCTCTCGGAAGCTTAAAAACCCACCTGTTCGCCCATTCCAGGCGCTGCATGGGCTGGATGGGATGGACTCGCGGCAGTTACGAGCTCGGGATGGGCCTTGATAAGTCGACCCGGCTGAGCCGAGACAAACCACTCGCCTGATGGCTGCGAGAGCCCAACAGTCAAGAGGTGCCATTCCCCCCTGCAGATACCGTAATGACGATTCATCTCGTTTACCCCCGATCTCCGCATGCATCTAGGGCTGATCCAAAAGTCCCTAAGACCTTTAACTCATTGCGATCCTAAACTTTCTTTCTACTTATAAATCTGTTAATCAAGCAACACTGGTTTGCAAAAAACTGAAGAGTTGCTGTCTAGAGCCTTGTATAGCGAGAAAACTGTCCTCCCTTATAAGATTAGTACTGGGTTTTGTCTTGTGACAACTATTGCTGTTCCAATTCAAAGTATACAAGTAGTCTATAGATCTGTGACTTAATTTGTCAAGCTCTGTCGGGACGCTCAAAATTGTCCGAGGCCCACGTACGTGGGCCCTCGGAAGATATTCGACTTAGTTTAAAGCCTAAGCAGCTTCTTCAAGAGGCCTTAGCTGCGTCAGTCGCCATAGGTGGATGTTTCTATTTCATGTTTAGCAAGCGCTTGACTTTTCCCAAGCAAAGCCGGTATGAATCTCTAGATAGGAACGCTGCTAGACTACTTAGATTGCTCCGCGGTGTCTTTCGCCGTGAATAGGATACGCTTTTTAGGGCCTACATCAGGTCGCAGTTATGCAAACTCGGCTTAAGAGCCAGTTTAACCGTCTCGGTTCCCACCTCTCTAAGAGAGCGCTATCACGGCACCCACTGACAGCCTTGGCCGGCTCCGTTGAGATGGTCTTAAATCAGCTCTCCTGGGCTCTAAACGCGCTGTACCTCCCGAAATATCAGTAAATTCAGGATGGACTACGAGAAGAGATCGTGTCACGCTTGTCCACCAGCCTAGAGTCACCGACATACGAAGAGCTGAAGAGCATGCCCTACCTGACCGGCGTGGTAAACGAAACCCTCGGGCTATTGCCATCAGTCGCCCACAGGTCCCGGGTCTGCAGTACCCCGACAAAGCTTCTGGGTCAGATTATACGAAAGAGAACGATGATGGTCTGGCCAACGTACGCCGTCAACCGCCGGCGTGACCTTTAGGGAGATGATGCGGATAGATGGAGTCAGACCCACGAGACCGATAGCAAGAGTGGAAATCGTGATGCCTACGCTTTCATGACCTTCGGCCAAAGGCCGCGGAAATGCCCTGGGGAGCACTAGAGTCGTCATGGCGTGTGTGCTGCTCATGTTGATTGGAAGGTTTGGGTTCACCATGTTGTCTGGACATCTTGATATCCTCAAGGGTAACGAGAAGAAACAGGTTAAGTTTGGTATCATTATGAAAGCTCCCATGTGTCTGCTAGTAGAAGATGTCCCGCTGGGACTGCTGCAATCACAAGCAGTGTGTTAGTTACTGACTGATATTGCAGCAGAGCGGACAACAGATGAAATCAGGTGAAATACTTTTTGGTTCAAGGTGAAGTCGATCTTGGGGGGGGGGTGTAAAGATAGTTGGAACCTAGCAGAGGGGAGAGAATAGGTGCCTTTTCGAGTCTTCAGATCGCGCTTGCCAGTGCTTGAATTAGTATTCCGTAAATTCCGAGCTTGTCCCAACAAACAGGCAATGAAGTAATTTGTTTTTCATCCTCTTCTCCATTGCAATGTCGGCCCCGTTGCGAGTTCCTCCCATTCGGGGTCCCTTCCCATTAGGTCACGGGACAAAATGTACGTGTAGAAAGATCACAGGACATAAAAGCTAGTCGTTATAAAATATTCAATTAATACTAAGAATATGAAAAGAGCGTCCGATTTATTACTACTCTTCAAGATCTCTGTTTGCCTCAACATCAGGTTGATCTGCTTCGGGAAGCTCGTGACAACACCATAAGCCACCGATGTGAATGACACATGGTTTCGCGACAGCTGTCTTTTAAACCAAGTCCAGCAATTTCAGAAGACTCAAATTCCACTATCGTCCTGCTGATAAGCAGCTCCGGAAGGAGACGAATAGAACGAGTCCCAGGCCGCGCATTGTGCGTTCATTTCCGTATCATCCCCGACCACGGACTGGATCTGAGACTGGTTCTCGATCAGCTGCATGGCGAGCCCCTGGGACGCGTGCCATGCGATGTGGCAGTGGAAAAGCCAGGCGCCAGGGTTGTCCAGCTTGAAAGCGATCACGGTGTAGCCCGTGCCGTAGAGGGTCACCGTGTCCCTCCGCGGCGGGTTGTCCTTGTTCAACTTCGTGATCAGTGGGACAAAAGCGCCCCGCCCCTGAGCTAGGATGTAGAAGTCGTGGCCGTGGAGGTGCATCGGGTGGTATGCGTTGGTCAGGGTGAGGTCTTGGATCACCCAGTACACCCACTTGCCCGGCGCGTCGATGTCGGCCGTGTTGCTGTTGTCCGGGTAGTCGTCCTTGGAAACACCGTTGTAGGCATATGAGAGCGTTGGGTCTGACCAGTTCACACTGAGGTAGCCGTCGTGCATTGTCCAGTGGAGGACCAGGCTGGTGTCGTAGTACCATCCCACGTCGAGGTAGTTCTGCTCCTCCTTGTCATCCACTGTGTGCTGTACCCATGGGACTAGGTTGTCGTAGTCCTCGTCTCCGCACGAGTTGTCGATCTCGTCGCTGACTGTGGTGGTCGGCTCCGCTGTCGAGTTCCACCCCTCGTAATTAACAATACCGAGGATGTTGTCCTTATTATCATTATCGTTGAAGTTGCAAGCGGTCTGGTAGATGGCTCGTAGCCAGTAAGATCCAACTGGCTGATCTGCTTCGACGATCACGTCGTAGCGCTGTCCACTTGCCAAGATGACATTGTCCGTGGTGTATGGCACAATGGGGACGAGATCAGCTGCGACAACAGTCAAAGTATGCCCGTCGATAGTGAACTTCATGTAGCCGTCAGTCTGCGCACCAATGATGCGCATGAGGTGCTTCTTGCCCGGCTCAAAGGTTGTGTTGTAGCGAGCGGTCACTCCGCCGACACAAGCCGCATCGTCGGAATCAGAACAGTCGTACGGGTTCAGACCGTTGATGAGACCATTGGCGGCTACGACCTTGAAAGGCCCCAGCACATTGAAGACGCGTTGGTACTTCTCCCACACATGCCACACGTTCTCATGGTATCGGTCTTGGATCATGACTGGCCCGAGGTCGACGTCGTAGTTGGCGGTCGCTGGGCCGTGGATAACGATTGGCCCGAACAGACCATTGGCCATTTGAAGACTGAAATGGGCATGGTACCACGATGTGCCATATTGAGTCGCTTGAAACCGGTAGGTCATCGTATGACCTGGCGGTATTGGGCATTGCGTCACTCCTGGCGTGCCGTCGTTCTGGCTGTTGTTGAACTGGCGGATGCCATGCCAGTGTATGGAGGTGCTTCACACTATGTAAGTCCAGAGTCGATAATACAATGCTGTAATACAATGCTGTTTTGGTTGTTGCTTACCCATTATCAGGAAGACTGTTGGTTATGTGTACAACGATCTCGTCTCCCCAATCTGCCTCGATTGTAGGCCCTGGCAGCGACCCATTCAAGACTTGTACCGTTGTTTCGTAGCCGTCTGGGCTAAGAGTGATTTGCTCAGCATTTAACCAATACTCTCTGATTACCCCAGTCGTTGGCCAGGTCTCGTAGTAATCTGTGTTGATATCATATTCACCCCAGCAGGTCCGATTAATCGCCGAATGCTCGCATAAAGATGTTTCGGTCTGGTTCTGTGCCGAGTTGAGATCTGCCGCAGGACTTGGTACGCAATGCACCAGTTGTAATGAGAGAGCGGCGGCTAGAACAGCGCTTCGAAGGACAGAAGTCATTCTCAGATGAGATTATTGAGGGGCGGGCAGCCGATTGAATGATCAAAGAACGAAAGACTGAGTTGGACGCGTCAAGGAACGACTGAACCGCAGAAGGCGAATAAGTAACAGAAAGAGTGACGTTGCAGAATGCAATTAAACTATAAAGAGTGAGCGTCAGCCACGTGACACGCAACAGAGTTTTGAAAGCACGAAGAAACGATAAAATATTGTTGCTCGAGTGGGCTTGGATCCTGACTGCTCAGCCTCGTGGACAATCTCATTTGTCCTCCTCCTCCCGCATCCCGAAATTTGATCTGTGTCACTGGATCAAGTGGGTGTCATGATCCCGTTCCTGCAGCATGCTGCAAGGCGGATCGTGCAAAACGTGTGGGTTTTGTTTCTAAAAGAAGGGTCTGTCGGGAAATTCATGACTCGTAGAATAGGAGAGCGAACGCGTCTTCCTCAACTTTGAATCTCAACACCATGCGACCAGACCTCTTGTTGCCATGGAATTCATGGCAAGTGATGGGGACTTACTATGAAACCTTACGGGGAGCAAGTTTGGGAAGAGATACGTGGAGCAAACAAATCCCGCCCGCCGTCGGTCATTACTCCGGTATAGAAATTTGGTTCGACGCTCGTTGGGCGCAACTCGAAGGTCATAGAAGCCACAGGTCTTCCATACACGTAAGCAGTATAAGTCCCGTGAGGCTCCCATAGAGTCTCATCCGGCCTCAAAGCAGTCAAGCGTAACACATCCCATGGTTGATGAGTGCCCAGGTGTCCTCGTTGTTCTTGTTGTCCCTGGAGGAGGGCTTGCGCATCCGTCTGCGATGATAGCCGATGGAGACCTTCCAACATACAAGATTGGTGGGCAAGGAAGTAGACATAGGGATTATCACTGCTGTCCCTGGGCATATTGACGATCCGTTCGCAGCAACGATAACCCACGTTAGATTGATCGAAGAATGCACTACCATGAAAATGGCGAGCAGGAGCGACTGTGGAACGATCTTATCTTTTTTTTAAATATTAAAAGCCTTGTTCTTAATATTGCTAAACATAGTATTGAATAAATTGAAGCTAGTGTATTATATTTGCAACTTGGAAAATTGTTCATCCGGCTCGTCAGTCTCTTGAAGATTCAGAGGCGCTACTTCAATCTTTGCAGAAACCACAGGCTGTCTCCCATATATTTCGAACCATACCATGCATGGAAGAAATGCAGTTTCGAACACTCTTTTCAACACTGGTCTCATCGCTTTGCACCAGTGTGCTCGAGACGGATGGACGCCATACACCATCGACATGGCATGTGAGCCGACGAAGATCTTCCCGGTCAACCCCTGCTTGGCGTGGATTTCTTTAGAACACAGAGCCCGAGCGAGCGTGTTCCGTGCGCATTTCCATTTCACAACTCCCTCGTCCCACTTCCCCTGGGTGCTACACTGACACGCGATGACCACATCTGGCTTGAGAAGCCGCAAGATGTCCTCGGTCATCTTGTACGACTCCTCCACGGCGCCCCACTTGTCCTGGGAGCGCCTGTCCATCTCGTCGAGGTCATCATCGCTCAGGAGACTGCAAACGTCCAGCACAACGGCCTCCTCGAGTGTGAGCCCGATCTCCTCCAGGGTTGTGGATAGCCACTTCATGGTCCGACACTTCTTCATCTCTCGGTAGTCCTTGACGTGCGACTTTGACGGGTTCTGCAGTATGATGAACGGGAGGTCCTGGCAGCCGCACAGGAGCTGTTGAAAGTTCCTCCACTTGTTGCTGTTGACGTCGATGTCGTGCTTCTCACGGAAGGCGACGGCGCTCTCGAGATTGAAGCACTCGTGATCCGGTCCGATATACGTCGGTCTCACTTCACTGCCTGGAAAGAGGCTAAGACTCTCCTCAACAGTCTGTTGAAGAGATTCCCTGCGCTTGTGATCTGTGACTGGTTGCAACCCAAGTCGATCATCCGCAAATTCTTTGATTGTCGTTACGACAGCTATTTCAAGTCAGTTGGGACCTTTCCAGCACAGTTCCAAGAGCTTTTGAGGATGATGGGATGTCTAACCCTTACTGCCAGACTTCTTAGTCTCGCCGTAAACAACTCTCGTGGACATGTTGGCTTTCTCAAGATACCAATGGCGCTGTTGTTGTTATCTCTGCAAGGGAAACCCAGATAACGGACGGGAGATGGATCTGGACCTCAAAGTGGGAAAGAGGAAACCCAGGATACATAGATGTTATGCAGCCACTCAAGAGGACCGGCTAAGGCAGTTTTGGGGCCCCCTCCCCCTCCCCAACCCGAGCTTGTGAGCCTAACATGCAGGCAGACATGCAGAGACATGATGGGTGTGTCCCAAACTTACAGCACACCATCTTCCCCAGCTCTGCCAACGGCAAGTAAAGAGGCTTCGAGCAGTCGCATGACTGCCATAGGGGTTGGTGCATGCTATCCAAGATTGCAGCTCGCTTGGATGTGGCATGGTGGCACAGTGCAGAACCTGCGACCCATTATGAGACCGGATGTCAACTGACCTTGAAGTTGGTTGTCAATGTTCGAGTCCTGGCTTGCTATAATTAGATCATTCAGGAGACGCAAATGTTCAACGGCAGTGGTCAGGCTGCTGGTATGAGTTTGGTGTGAAATAGGGGTCTAAATTCTACTGATAGGTCACAGGTGAAGATGTCCCTATTCTCGGCGTTGGCTGTTCTATGTCTTAGTCCCCTCGATGGCGACTGGATCGATTCCCTCGGTGCTCAGCCTGGCCAGACAGATACGGAGCATCGGGTTCGCCTCTCCCGTCAGCCTCTCCAGCGCGTCGATCTCCAGCTCCAGCTCGCGCTCCATCTCGCGGAGGCAGCCCAGCGTGTGGTCGAGCGAGCCGCTCCTAACGAGGCAGCCAACGAGGTGGGTCTTGGTCTCCCTGGACAGCGGCGTGGCGGCGGCGCTGCCCGCCGCCGGGCGCTGCCTGAAGACGCCGAGGATGTGGCCGCGGTACTCGGGGCAGTTGGCCAGGCAGTGGACGACGGGGTACGAGAACTTGCCCTCGTCCAGGTCCTCGCAGAAGCCCTTTTGCGCCGCGTAGTCGCCAAAGTTCATGTAGTCGTCCCGGATCTGGAAGAAGCGCCCAAACAGCAGCGCCAGCCGCCCGAGGCCCGCGGCGTCCAGCTTGGGTTTGTTCTCGAGGGGCGCCTCGGCCACCATCATGCGCACCAGCATGCGGAACATGCCGCCCGTCTTGTGGTCAATCATATTAATATAGTCGGCCTCGCCGGGGCACGCCAGACTGTGCTTCCAGTACAGGTCCCAGCTCTGGCCGCGGTGCAGGTTCTCGAGCTCGTCGAGCGCGGCGGCCAGCGACGCCGGGCGCAGCGCCGCCGCCGCCTCGGAGACGGCCCGCACGAACAGCGCGTTGGCGCTGTTGACGGCCTGCGCGGGGCCGAAGATGCTGTGCACCGACGGCTGGCCCCTGCGCAGCGGCGAGTTGTCCTCGAGGTCGTCCAGGATCAGCGACGCGCCGTGCAGGCTGTCGACGATGGACGTGATGGTCCGGACGGCCGCCGCCGGCACGCCGAGCCACGTGTTGAGCGCCTCGATGAGCACTCCTCGCACCCCCTTGGAGGGCATGCCGGCGAGGTAGAGGAGTGGTGCGTCCAGCGCCTCGGTCGACGCCGCGCGGAGTGGGTAACGAGAGACCGGGGAGGCGCCAGGCGAGGGCGGGGCCTCGCCGCCGTTGGTGTCGCTGGAGCTGGACGACAGGACGACGCCCGAGTCTCTTCTTTTCTTCTTCCGCGGTTCTTGCTCCGTTGATTGGTCTTTGCCAGTCTGTTCCAGGGCACGCTTCGCCGTCGGCGCGCTGCTGTTGATGGGTCGAGGAGGAGCTGACTGGGCGTCAGGCTGGGGATGGGGCTGGCTCTTCCACGCATTTTGCCTTGGGCAGGCAGAGCACCAGTAGTGATTGCCCGAGACGGCCAGGCCAGCACAGTCGATCCACCTCCTCAGCTTGGGAGAGAGCCCTGGGCGTGTTTCGCAGAGCTCGTCTCGGAGCCGGCAGAATTCCCTTTCGGACTCAATGATCATCCGCTTGACCTCATCCTTGGCAGCCTCGATGGACAGGCCTCTGGTTCTGATAAACATCTCGACGGCGCTTACAATTCTTTTGGACTGGCCCGACTGCAACTCTCTGTACTCACGCTCCCAGCTGAAGTAGTCGTTGGCCAGCAGGAGGCCACGTGTCGCGGCGTCGATGATGGGCTGCACCAGCTCGTGCTCTTCCGGGGATATGTGCATCCCCTGACTGAACTGCAGCATGGGCCAGAACACTCTTTGTGTGCGGTGCCGTCAGTATTATTTTTTTCCGTTCTACTTAAGTACAGGAAGAATGAAATCAAGACAGGCCATGGAGGAGAAGTAGTAGTGATTCGTGATGGTTGGGGCCCTTCACTAAGATAATTACTCACAGCATCCCGCCATTATCACTGCGGTATTCTAGGTATTGCTCCACCGTCTCGGCTTGCTTGTCGCCGTGCTTCTCGCTGATTGCGAGCCACACGTCCCGGAAGGCAGCCAGCATGGCAAGCCCCAGCTCGCGGTCGAGCTTGATGCATTCCAGCATGCATTGCGAGACAAGCTTCTTGGTCTTGGACGCCCTGGATTCCGGTGAAAGGCTGGTGCTGCTACTATCGTCGGGGTTGAGGGCGGCGTGCAACTCGTCGTGCTCTCTTTGGGCCTCTTCGAGGGTGAGTTCTTCACCAGCGTCTGGTCAAGCGCACACACAGGCTCAGCATGGAGTCAGGATTTCTCATTCGCAGAAGCACCAAGCACATCCTTCGCCCGTACGTACCGTCGTGGATCAGGCCAAGGTCAGACAGGTAAGCCAGCACCCCAAGTCTCTCCGGAATGGCCTCGGGGTAGATGAGCGAGGACCAGTTCCCGGCCGGGGAGAAGGAGAAGTATGTTCTGGTCTCCCTGCCGTCGCCCATCTCCCTGGCCCAGTCTCGCATGAACCTCCGGCTTGCTTCATCTGCCAGTTCGTTCTGTGGGTGGAGCCGGATGGGGAGGGTGGTGAAGCAGCCGGTCTCAGCGGCTTCGTCGCTGGGTATGAGCTTGGAGTGGTATGTTAGTGGCTCCATGGTGCCGTCTATCTGCTCCTGCTCCAAGGTTGTGCCGGGTGTCCTCGCATCGGCTGAGCAAATATACTTTTGGTTGACGAGTCGGATATTCCTACAAAAATGGAATCATGTGAAAGTCACCTGTCTCCCATTTTTCTTTTTCTTGTTATCTTTACAGGTCGCAACTCCGTGCCAGCTGAATCCATGATTACATTGCATCCATTCAGTACACCACCTCGAATTCCCCGAACCTCGAGACAAGTGCCTTGGAAGGAGATCCCGCAACTGCATTTTCTTCGTCCAAGTCAGAGTGGCGGCCTGTGTGGTGACACGCAATGCATGTCTCCCCTGTATTGGTGTACGGTGAGACAACCATATCAGCAACATCAAGATGACCCCGAGCGGACATTTATCGTATCTACGCCGGTGCTGAGTGAGACCATGTCACCGACCGAGGGTGAGGGATTTCGACAAGGAAGGTGGTCTGGGGATTGAGATAGACAACAATATCATCCGAGACCGCATATCTACTCACAGCTCACTGCATGCATGCATGTCAGCCGGCCGAGCCCGCTCTCACGAACCTGTCGGCACCCGAACAGCCAGACGGAGGTTTCGACGGCTCGGGCGGCAGAGCTGATGGACACCCACTCGGTGCATCTAGACCATCTTGGACAAGAATGTCACGAGACATGTTCCCGCTGTACATGCATCACAGTCATCGGAAGGGGTGCCGAGGATATGGCGTCCTTAGGTGAGACGGGCCGAGAAGACGGGACCGCTTCTGGAGGTTGTATAGTGCGAGGGTTCACTTTGCTGACGGGTGAACATATGGCGACGCCTCGACAGTCTGGACTCTGAACGCCTTGAATCAGTCAATGTGTCAGTCTCTTACCTCTTCTGCTGCTTCTTCCACTTCCCGATCAGGTCATCGTGAAATGGATTCCCCAGAGCCAGACAATTTCTCGTACTGGCAAGCACAACCAGCCGGCATGGCAATTTCAGTCTTTTCCTCGAGCCACTTCCAGGGCTCTGCGTGGCCAGTGGCTGTGGCGGTGGTAGGTTCTTGTCCACTGCAGTCGTGACAGATGATGTAGCTTTACTGAACCAAATAATTCAACTCAAGGGAACGCTTCTCGCGGCTGCGTACGTGGTGTACTGTTGCGTATTTCACCCTCTCGCTCATGTCCCCGGACCCTTCATCGCCAAGTTCTCGCCAGTAAGCTTCTCAGGAGACCAGGAAGACTGAACTGAGACAGATTCTGACGTGCCTTGCAGTTATGGACAATGAGAGCGCTGTGGCGCGAGAAATTCAACACAGAGTTACAGGATCTCCATCGAAATTACGGTCAGCAAACCACTAACACTCAGCTTGTTCAGGGTTGACCACAGTGCACCGTCTTGCTAATCCAAAGCTCCAAAGCGCAGGCCCAGCGGTGCGGATAGCTCCCAGCGAGGTCTCCTTCGCGTCGCTCGAGGCCATGACGGCCATCTACGCCCGGCAGGAGGACGGGCGGTTCTCCAAGCACGGGACCTTCCTGACGCTGTTCAGCGACCTGGTGCTCAACTCGCCGACGCTCATCACCATCCCGGACCCGGCGCTGCACAAGCGGCTGCACCGCGTCATCGAGCAGGCCTTCACGCCGCAGGCGCTGGCGAGGCAGGAGCCGATCCAGAAGCAGCACATCGGGCGCGCCAAGGCGCTGCTGGACGAGGCGGCGGCCGGCGCGTCGCGGTGTGACCTCGCCGACGTCCTCGAGACCATGTTCTGGGAGATCATCGGGGACCTGGCGTTTGGCGAGCCGCTGATGGCCGGCAAGAGGCCCACCTTCGAGTCGCTCAAGCGGATGGGCAAGCGGTCCATGCCTGGTGTCGAGATGTTGGGCGCCCTGCTCAGCACGCCCGGCGTGGCGCCGGCGATCGAGGCTGCCAGGGGGCTGTTCTCCATGCTTCCGGTCCCCTCGCAGCTGTCAAAGATCGTCCCGTCGCGGAAGCTCCGAGAGTGAGTGCAGTCGATGATCCATGCTCCACTCGCTCGCTGACTTGGCGATATCACGCAGCTGTATCGTAAGGCAGGATGGGAGGGACGACTTTCTGACTGCCATTCTGAGGAGTGAAGAACAAGGCCTGAAGCTTGATTCAGATGCACTGTTCAGCAACGCCATGGGACTCACGTAAGTCAAGTGTTGCTTGCCCCCTTGCAGCCACCCTCTCCAGACAGCATGTGATGCTCGGTCAGGCTGACTCGGTGGGGACCTTCCCACACAAAACAACAGACTCGCCGGCTACCAGACAACCGCAACAACGCTCGCGGCCACCCTATACCACGTTCTACGTTCGCCCGCGGCCTACCGCGCCCTCTGCGCCGAGGTGCGCTCCGGCTTCGCGGCCGAGGCCGACATCACGGGCGAGGCGGTCAAGGCCCGGCTGCCGTTCCTGCAGGCCTGCGTGCAGGAGACGCTGCGGCTGTTGCCGCCTGCCAATGGAAAAACGGCGCAGCGTACGGCGATGGCGGATTCGTGCGTCGTCGCCGGCGTGGCCGTCCCCGCGGGCACCGTCGTCTCGGCGGACCTGTACTCGATCCAGAGATCGCCCGAGCATTTTGCGCGCGCCGGCGAGTTCTGCCCCGAGAGGTGGCTCGCGCGGCGGGGAAGGGTTACGCGGGTGGCGGGCGAGGACGAGGAGGAGGAAAAAGAAAGAGAAGGAGGATGGAGCTGGGGTTGATGGCGACAAGAAGCAGGGGCTCTACGACGCGGACAACTGGGGTGCGTACAGGCCGTTCCTCATCGGCACCAGGGCCTGCATTGGGAGGCACATGGCGCAGCAGAGTATCCGGCTGATTCTTGCCACGCTTCTTTGGAACTATGACTTTGAGCTGTTGGACCGCGACGGGTTCGTTTGGGAGAGAGATGCTGTGAGTAGTCTGATTTACACCGATTACAAGGTCGAGGTCCTTGTGAAGAAGGTGTTTCGATGATGAGGTGGGCAGAGGATTAATAGATAGATTTGCAATCTAGAATTTGTGTTACCAATGAGTAGATTATCAATGCGTCAGGAATTTCCAAACCTAGTAGCAGACTTGTACCAAGGCACACAAAGAATGTGAAATATAACTGAGAAAGGAGTATATTGAAGGGCATTGGAGATTGGAAATATCGCGCGTTGGACTGCGCAAGAGGGAGTGGCCACCGTCACAAGAGGGTTCAGAGATAGAAGCAGCTGGACTCGATACACCAACTGAAGATAAGTTGTCACTGTCTCTATAAGCAAAATGGAAGTAACTCGGGGGATGCCCAGGCGAAAGTGGAGGCTGCACTATACCCAATTGCACACGCGCACATCTTGACCGCCAATCTCAGAAGAAGACTAACATAGCCCCCTGAATACTGGTACACAAACCGGCACACGTTGCCTCGTCCCATCCAAGTGTCAGCCTACATGCTCACATCCCTCTGCGTGGAATGGACCCTGACTCGCAGCCCCTTGGAGTCGCCCTCAGCCATGACAGGAACAACATCGCCGGTCGTCATGACGAGATCGCTAGCACTCGTCTCAAACAGCTCCAGCGTGCCGATGTCGTCCTTGCCGCGGACCTCGGCGGACCCGTACGAACGAAAGAGCGTGGCGAGGGTGAGGTACAGCTCCGCGTAGGCCAGGTTGATGCCCAGGCACGCCCTGCCGCCCTTGCCAAACGACACCAGGTAGCGGTCGAGGCGGCTGCTGCCCTCGAGCCAGCGCTCGGGCCGGAAGGCGTTGGGGTCCGGGAACACGCGCTCGTCGTGGTGCACCAGGTTGCTGGCCATGCTCACGGGCGTGCCGGGCGGGATGCGCCACTCCCTGCCGCTGGCGGCGTCCCGGTGCACGAGCGTCTCGTCCGGGCAGATGCGGTGCAGGCGGTGGGTGATGGCGTGCGACAGCCGCACGCCCTCCTGCACCACGCCTGTCAGGTACGGCAGCTGCTCCAGCGCCAGCAGGCTCGGGGGCGCGGCGTCGCGGCTGGGCACGGCGGCCTCGAGCTCGGCCTTGAGGCGGGAGAGGATGGGAGGTGTCGCCAGCAGGAAGTAGGTGGCGACGCCCAGGGCCCAGGCGGTGGTGATGGTGCCCGCGGCGACGACGACCTCGCCCTCCTGCCACAGGCGGCCGGGGGTCTTGTCGTGGTCCGACAGCTGCTTGCTGTTGAGGATCTCGTGGAAGATGGTGCGGCGGCTGCTGTCGTAGGCGCGGGCGGCGTGGGCAGAATGCAGCTCGGCCACCTGCTCCTTGATGCCCTCCTGCAGCTGAGTGTAAGAACCCATGTCCGGGCTGAGCCGGAGCAGCAGCCATCCGGGCAGCCTGCGAAGGACGTCGGTGGCGGCGGGGAAGTGCTTGAGCACGTGTGCCGCCCTGCCGCCCTGCATCATCGCGTTGCGGAAGGACGGGTCGAAGCCAGGCGCCTCGAGGCGGTGCTCGCTGCGGCCAAAGGCGTAGTCCTCGACGATGTCGTTTGTCAGCGCGGCGTACGCGTCGTCCAGCCGCAGCGGCGCGCTCCCCCTGCCCTCGCCCACTCCCGCCAGCGCCGCCAGCTGCCGCAGCAGGATGCCCGTGTTGCGGTCGATGAGCGGCTGCAGGGCGCGCACGCTCTGCTTGGAGAAGTAGGGCGACAGCGCCGCGCGCCGCACGCGGTGCTCGTCATGGGCCAGGGTGCCGATCAGGCTCTCGTCGACGCCAAACGACCGCGTGATCCAGTCCCACTTGTCGCGCTTGCGCCCGCTGCCCGCGTAGATGACATCAAAGAACTCGGGGTCGAGGATGTGGATCTCGTCCGGGTTGACGCGCACCACGGGGCCGTACTGCTTGTGCAGCCGCCCGATCTTGTAGGTGTACTCGGGCTCGGCCACCACGTCGTACCAGAACTCGTACCAGTAGGTGAGGGCGGCGAGCCTGGGGCCGGGGAAGCCCGCGATGGGGCTCAGGTACAGGCGGTAGATGGCCAGGTAGGCGAGGTATGCAATGGAGAGCAGCGATGTGGCTCCCAGCGCCGTCACCAGCAGCGACGACGGCGACCTGAGGAGAAGCTCGATCATGATGGGTGTTGTTGAGGCTGAGTTTCACTCTCCAAGAGAACTGGGCGTCTGCTCAAATGGTCCAGAACATCTGGCCTTGAGGAAACCTCAAAATGTGAGGGATGCTCTTTTGACCCTGACATGTTTCCGGCCTTTGGTGGTCAACGCTGACATCTATGTCGACACTGTCCATCCCGAAGGTGTATCGGGTTGCGTTTGAAGCTTGTGAAGGACAGGTTTTGCGTTGTCCAAAGTGCCAATGCAACTTCTGCAGTGATTATCACCGACATACTGTTATCAGCACTAGCAGCGCGGATCGCCAATAGTCTCAGCAACTTATCTCAGACACCCAGAGACTTGACCAAGACCCGACCCGTCAAGCTGGCACAGCATGAGACTCAACTTTTCATTGGAGCAAGACCACGGCCAACGGAAACTCGGTAAAGTCCGTCGCATCTCGGGGCAAATATGTCACGGTTGAGGATTCACAGGGTCTTTGCAGGGCCCCTTCACTGAGGCCACGGTGTACCTCCCTATGCTTCTCTCTCTATGCACCCTTTTACCTACCACTGAGTCTTTGTCGACTGGTTGTAACGACTGGAAGTGAGCCAAGTCTCGTGGGCCAAGATCCCCCCTCAGCACGCACTCAGCCGTTTCGATTTCATGTGTGGACATTTTCTATTCCTGAGCTGCTGATTAACTGACGAGCTACCTAGTTATTTACTATGCGTGGCGATATTGGCACAGTGTATAGCTATGAAGAGAGTTAATTATACCGGAAAGCAGGGTTGAGAAAGTTCACTATAGTAACTAATAGTAAACGTTGTTGCGTGTAGTAGTTCGTAACTTTGATCAGAGAATTTATTATAGAACCATGAAAACATCCTTGTTGTAATACCATCACAAAGCATGCCGATCACCAATTTGTCAAGTCGTACTGTCTCGCACATCACACGGCGACGAAGGGGGTAGGCAGAGGCCACCGGAAGCGCACAGCGAGATTGCCTATGGCCTGGGGACTCAGTCGACTCCAGGCCCAGCAGCTAGCCCACAGACCTTATCTCGTGGGTTGATGAATAAGCTGTCTGAGGTGGTTCTATGCAGTGAGACTGGTAAGCTGACAGGCTTGTGGCGACCAAGCTGTCCGGCAAAAGTATTTCGCCGTGCGATGCTCCTCTGCAGTCCGTTCTGCTGCAGGGTAGCGAGTGCCTAGGCCCATATTTCAAGGCTCATGTGTACATACCTTTAGTACAGGTTCATACAGTCCTAGGGCTTAAAGGTCTACTGTCGAAACTCACTTCGAGGCACCGCTACGCAAAACGTTGTGCTTCTGCTAATTGTTAGCTGAGAGGTACCTGAAATGAAGCTAGGACTCAAGATTGTGGGCGCCTGTACGCTCCTGCTTGCCAGCAGTGCTCGAGGAGAGCCACTGGCTGCAAGCTACGAATCATGCCCGGACGCTGTAGGTCATGTTGCCTGTCCAGTTTGTGCTCTACCTCTTGACCAGCATCCGCTAACAAAAGTGGCTGTCGAAGTGCGCCTTGTTGTCCAAAGTGGTTGCGGTGGAGTCGAGTGGTGATCAATGTTAGTTCGACCTCTCAAGAAAGAAAACAACGGTGACTGGCCGTGACTGGCCTCGCGGGTTAATTAACACACAGCGGCTTGTATACAGATTCCGCAGAGTTCAACCACGAGCAGCAGAAGCTAATAGTTCCAGCCGACGATGCCGGGGACAACCCCCAGGCGCGGCCCCTTTTCTGGGCCCAGCAGCAGCAGGCCATCACGCCGGCGTGCATCGTGCACGCCAAGTCGGCAGACGACGTGGCGGCCGTGGTGCGCACGTCGCGCTCGACCGGCTGCCCCTTCGCAGTGCGCAGCGGGGGCCACTCGGACAGGGCCGGCGCCAGCAACTGCATGGGCTGCATGACGGTGAACCTGGCTGGCCTGAGCGGCGTCGACGTCGACGTCGACGTCGACGGCAACGGTGGAACGGTGGCCCGGGTCGGGGCGGGCGCGACCTGGGGCCGGGTGTTTGAGCGCCTCGAGGCACCGGGCCTGGCCGTCGTCGGCGGGCGGCTGACGAGCGTGGGCGTGGGCGGGCTGCTGCTGGGCGGGGGGCTGAGCCACTTCTCAGGCAAGAGAGGCTGGGCATGCGACGGCATACGCAGCGTCGAGCTGGTCACGGCCAACGGCAGCGTCGTGCCGCACGCGTCGGCCTCGTCGCACCCGGACCTGTTCCGCGCCCTCCGGGGCGGCGGGGGCGGCTTCGGCGTCGTCACCCGCTTCGACCTGGACGCCTTTCCCCAGGGCCCGCTGTGGGGCGGCATGCACGTCTGGCCGCTGGGCGTCGGCGTGGCGCCGTCCGCGTCTGGGTCGCGGGTGACGGCCGCGCTCGTGGCTGCGTTTGTGAGGTTCGCCAGGGACGAGGCACCGCTTTACCCGCACCTGTCGCTCTTCGCCGGGCTGGGCTACAGCCCTGCCATGCCGGGCGGTTTCGTCTGGGCTGTCGGGCAGTATGACACGCAGCCCCGGGAGGAGGCGGACGAGCCGGCCATCTTTGCCGCCTTCGACGCGCAGGTCGAGAGCGACGGCGGCGTGTCCAAGATGGCCAGCACGGCGCGGACGTCGACGCTCGTGGACTTCGCCCAGGAGCTGGACAACTCGGAGCCGCCTGGCATGAGGAGCAGGTTCACCACGGCCACGTTCAAGGCCGACGAGGACCTGCTGAGGCATGTGGCCGACATATTCGTCGCCGAGACGGAGAAGGCACTCGACAGCGCGGGGCTGAGGGACGATGCCGGCTTCAAGCCGATGCTGGGGATCCAGCCGCTGGCACGGAACATGCTGCAGGCGTCGATGGACCGCGGCGGCAATGTCCTGGGACTCGATGTCGAGGACGGCCCCCTTGTCGGTGAGTCATCTGTCACAATTCCTGGAGTGTGTTTTCGTCCAAGCTGGGCTGATGAATTGCGTGTGAACTGTCTAGCGTGCTCGTTTGGGTGGGAGTGGTCCTCCGAGTCGGACGATGCTGTTGTCATTGCTGGCATCAAGGCCGTCCTGGACCAGTCGGTGGCCGCTGCTCGGGATCGAGGCCTGTACCACCCCTTCAAGTACTTGAACTACGCTGCGGAAGGCCAGGACCCCTTGGGGAGCTATGGCCCAGAAAATGTCGAGTTTATGAGAAGGGTCAGGGCGACGTACGACCCTGATGGATTGTTCACGACACTTGTTCCTGGAGGTTTCAAGCTTGCGTAAAGGTGGCTTCGCTGTGGTTGGAAGAATTACGATCGAGATTGCCCCCGGTTGTTATTACTGTAGTTTTCTACTGCCACCTTGCTAAACCTAGGCTGGTTCCCCTTAAAACTTAAAACCAAAGTGTGAGGTCATTCCAGAGTGTTGTGTTCTAGGTTTTCTATTGTTACTGGAATCGATTGGACATGGATGCAAAAAGATTATTAATTAGACACTCTCTCTAGTTGTTGATGTTCTATTTTGATATGTGCCTGAGAAGGTCGGTCTGCAGTAAATCCAGCTTCTGATACTAGTTCTATCAGACAATGCCTTCAGGTGTTGATGTCCATTGTCAATACCCAAGTACGGATCTCGGGACTCAAGTCCGCTGCCAAGTTCAAGATCTCGCACATCTTGTGGAACATCAAGGCAGACAGCTGCGATGCATTGAGTGCGGCGGGATGTTCCGGGCGACACAAGTCTGGACACGCAATGTGCTGGGCGTCAGGCTGAATCGAGGGCTGACACCGATTATTGCCTGGATGCATTACTGTACGCAGCGGTGGTCCACTTACGTAGGAAAGGCGCATGCAGATCACGAGCGCCACCACGCTTACGCCTCCAGCCATCCATGTTACTCAAATCCAGCTCACATGGCCGGGGATGTTCACGGGGATCTGGAATCACGCCAGAGGCCTCTCCTGTGCTTCTGTGTATCCATTTCCTATCTCTGGCTGGGCACATGGTCGAGCAATCTGAAGACTCAGAACCCAACCCCCAAGTCCAGCCGTGACTTCAATATCGGCCCCCGTGCCGGTCCCTCACGATGTCAGGAGCAAATAGCACAGCGTCTGTTCTTGGGGCACAATGGACGAACCCAAGCGAGGTAACGACGGTCTTGATGATGATCGGAGGGGATGTCGTCCAGAAAGCACTCGCGCAAACGACTGGATGCTGGTACACCCCAGTGTGCTTCTCATTTGGATGGGTTCCATACTCGTTCACTGCTCTCATCAGTGTCCTCGGTGACGGAAGACTCCTACCAGAGCCTGATGTAGTAGGATGCAAGGTTATCAACCTTAACAGTGGATATGCCAGGGACAACAAGAACTGGGTGATTGGGCGTCTGCTCCGCGACAGTGAGGCACGCGTGCAACGACTGAAACCACCAGGCAATGAAGCCATTCGAATCTCGATCTGGGAGGCTGTTGAGAACACCAACAATCCCACGGAGCATCGGTACTGGTCTATCCACGTCTGGGGTCTACTATTCATGACTCTTCAGCTCGGTCTGGCTATTGTCCCCTTGCGTCTGTATGGGGATTGGGGCATCCTGCTGATAACGGGCGTCGGGACCATCCTCAGCATGATGATGGGCGCCCTTCCTCAATGGACCGCAGAAAAGCTGCCGAATCGACAACATTCGAAGTCCGTGTTTGCGCTGACAGTAGGTAATGGATCTAGAGACGTCATGGTGATTAGAGGTGATGGGAAATGTCTCGATCTGGAGGAATTGAGCGTCTCAGAGACACCTCGAAGTGGGCGGCCTTGGAAAAATTTCAAAAGCCCAGAGCCCCTCGGGTCCAACAACACTTGGTCGAAGCCACGCCAGATAAGTCGGACAACATCAGACCTCCTGGCGACGAAGTTGAGAGGCGGTTTTCCTATAGGTTTTTTGGTCACATACGCTGCCTGTGCCATCCAGTCAATGCTGTGGTTGGTTCTGCTTGTTTCCGTCTCCGCACTTGAATCGCATACGTGGTTCCTCCTCGGAGTTGGCTTTATCGGCATGTTCCAGAACGCAAGTCCTGGCTGCGGCCGAGATCAACCCAGAGCATCGGAACTTGCCCCTTCGGTATGTCGAAACCATAGTTGGGATGCGCAAAGTCATGGATGGACTGATGGACTTTCACGTCCACTATCATTGCGGCCAACACCTCTTTCGAGAATTCTTCCCCGGGGAGCTTGCAACTACCCGAAGAAGAATGGTGGAAGGGAGAACGCAACGCGTACGATGATGACAGAGAAAAGCATATGGACACATGCGGACTTCCGCAATCCCGCATGCTGGATTCAAAGTCAGACTCGCTCGTCCGGACAAACAGAGAGATTGGTGAACTGGCGGAAACAACAGTTAAATCATCAGCTGCATTGCAAGCCATGTCAATTGGAGACACGATACCTATCTCCCAATACCAGCCAGACCGGTCGAAAGAGCACAGGACGCCTGGAACATGGCCGGCAATTCTTACTGATCCCCGGCGGAGTGACAAAAATTTCCGGAGGGTTCTGCAAGATTTCCACGCCCCAAACGCGTTTCCAAGGCTGGACCCTTCCCCTTCTCTGCGCAACGTGAGCAACTTGCCAGCTGGGAACACTGATCCAAATGTTACTTAAAGCTTTTCAAGTTGACCGCTGTCAGTCTCCTCTGTCAGACCAGCTTTTCCGGTGCTAAATCCTCCGACAAAGTCTATGGACCTAGATAGGTCGTACGGCATACTAAAGGACAGGGGTTAATGATATACCGGGATCAACGTCGGCGAAACATCGCGAAAAAGGAGTCTTGGCTGTTGACCTCCCTGAAGCTGCTGACTGGGTTTCAGTGGGGCATCATTTGGGTATAGACGTGTGAGCATACCTAGGTAGTTTGTGAGACTGGTCTTAAGTAAGGGCATCGGACTTCACGCCGCGGTTGAGCCTGTGGATACTTCATATGTAGTTCTCATTGTTGCACAGGGCGGAGCTGAAATGATCACACATTGTAAAATTTGCCAGGAAAGTATAAGTGGTTGCACGTGCAGTGAATAGTATTGTAATTGTTGTATTTCATGTTCGTGGAAGCAGCCGAGGAATGATTATTTCATGATTCCTGACTTAAACAGGAGATTCCATAAACGAGAATGGAGCTTAAGACCCCAATTATTTCCTTCGACTTCCAAGACTCCTGATAGTCGCCCAAGTCTCATATCTTTTTCATGTTTTCCCAGGTTGATGAGATGTGGAATCCAATGCCTCAGGGTGTGTACCTGCAGTATGCCTCCGTCTCATCACCAACGCGGCTTCAGCCTCGTTTTGTGAGTCTTCTGCCTGTTTCATCCCTGCTCCCGTTGCATTTCGCGATTGAAGTTTTCCTAATAATCGACGACAGAGTTTGATAGGCTGCATAGAGCTTTCTGATCCCGACCTGGTGGAGCCCTGCTCTATATTGGTGTGGGACGTGGTCAAGTGACCTTAATCCCTATACCTTACTTAACATCTAAATATAATATTTAAATGTTAACTAATCTCGTTTTATATTTAAATATTAACTAACCTTATTTTATATTTAAATATTAAAAAAAGAATTATTATTAAATTATTAATATTAATTTTTAATTTATATTAATAAATTTATTTTAGCATTATCTTAATTCTTACTATAGTTATTATAAGCCGCATAGTATCCTAAGCAGCTTAACTCCTTTATATTAAAAATCATAAAGCATCCCTTAAAGAAAGCATTCTCTAGCTTATACTTCTTATAATTATTATACTTTTTATTAACCTTAATTTCATAAAATGCAATTAAAACTTTAATTAGGTAATGCAAATCCTTTAATATTAAGTTTAACTTATTATTTAAAGTTATGCTATAAGTATTAATATAAATATAAACATTATTGCTATTTATCTTAGCAAGCTTTTTAAAAATGGCCTCCTATTTTTTATTAAAATTATATTATTAATAAATTAAAATTATATTTATATGCTTTTTATTAATTATATTAATTATATTATTTATAATATACTTAATAATAGTTATATTACTTATATTAATCTTATATTCTTAAATAATTAAATTATTCTTAATTAAATTAAGATTAATATGCTTAATAATCTTAAGTTTAAGCAATATTTTAAAATTCTTTTTTTTTTAATTTATTTATTAATAAGTTAAACTTAAAGCCTTAAAAATATAAGTATTATTAATTATTACTTATATTAAATTATTCATTAAGTTAATTTTAAATAAATACATTAAAGTTAGCTTTTTTATAAATATAGCTTAAAAAATAAAATTCTTTTTCTTTTTTAAAAAAGGAATTATTAATATTTTATAATAATTCTTCTTAAATTTAAAATTATTAAAATATAAAAAGTATATAATATATAATATATAATATATAATATATTCTTTATAATTATATATATATTAAAATTAATTATTTTAATAAAACTTAGTTTTTAATAAATTATTTATTAAATAATATAAAAGCTTTTTTAAAATTATATTTAAATATTATAATATTAATAATTTATTATATTAAGTCTTAATAAAAATTTTATATTTATATATTATTAAGGGCTATATATTATATACTTATATTATTTAATCTTTTAATTATTTAATCTTTTAATTATTAAATCTTTTAATTCTTTAATCTTTTTAATTATTATTTATTGCTTATATATTGAAAACGAGCTATTTAAATAATAGGGGATAGGTTTTGCTAAACCTTCTTAAGGATAACTTAAGGAGGAGCTTTAATGTAATAAAGAAGGAAGATAAGAATAAAAGGGAATTAAAGAAAGGAAAAAGATAAATATTTTAAAAATTCTTAAAAATAAGAAAAGCTTAATTAAAGCATTAAATATATAAGAAAAGAGAAAAGTTAATTTCTTAAAAAAATATTTAAAATAAGCATAAAAGCTAGCTTTTTATAATTAGCTAAAATTTAATATAATATTATTTTTTATATAATTCCTTATATTTATTAATATATCCCTTTTTAAGTACTTTATAATAAATATTATAAAAATTATTAAAATAAAACTTTATTATTTTTAATTAAGCCTTTAAGTTTTAAAATTTACTTTATTATAATTTTAATTATTATTATTATTTTTAATTTCTTACTTACTTATTTTATTATAATTTTTACTTTTTTATAAAAGCTTTAAATATTTTTAAAACTTACTTAATAATATATTTATTAATTATATTTTCTTTAGCTATTAAAATTTACTTTAATAGCTAATATTAATATAGCTATTAAAGATTTAAATACCTTTATAAAATAAAAAGTAAATTTATTCTTTTTTTTAATTATTATATTAAATATAATATATTAACTTTATTAACTTTTGCTTTTTACTTTTTATAAAGCTTTTATTTTTACTTTTATGTTTTATAATATTTTTACTTTTAATATTTATACCTTATATTTAATTACTTAATTAACTTATTTATAAACTTTTTAAATTATTTTTAAGCAAACTTTATTATTATTTTAATTATTTTAAATTAATTAATATATTTTAAATTTTATTTATATTTATTATTAAAATAAATAAATAAGAAAGATTTTTATATATATTAAAATAAGTATTTTTTGCTAACTTTAAAATATTTTATAATATAATGCTTAAGTTAAAGGCTTATTTAATTAAAGTTATATTTAATTAATTTTAAGCTATTTAAAAGTTTATACCTTATTATATATTAAATATTTAAAATTAAGTTATTAAATTAATTTATATTAAAAATATTATTTCCTTTATACTTTTTTTATAATTAATAGTAATTTTAATATATTATAATTTAAATAGCCATTGCTAAATAATATCCCTTTATAATAAAAGCTTATTTTTTACTTTAATTATTTTTATATTATTAATTTTAATAAAAGGAATTAATATAAATATTTAAATAACTTTATTAATTTTATTAAGCTTTAATTAAATAATAAATATTTAAGTAATAATGCTAATAATAGCTTTAAATATCTTATAATATATAGTTTTAATTAAAAAAGCCTTAACTTAATCTTATACTTTTTAATTATTCTTTTTTTAATTTTTTTTAAAGTAATTTTTAATAAACTTAATAATATATTATTTATAAAATATTTTATTAATTTATTTTAATTTTAATATAAACTTTTTATTAAAATCTTACATTTTATTTTTTAAAATAGCTATTAAATATTTATAAATAAATGCTTTAATATCTTTATTTATTTTGCTTTTTTTATCTTTTAATATAAGATTATTTTATAATAAATAATAATTCTTTATTTTATTAAAAATTACTATTATTTAATAATTAAATATATAAATAAGCATAATAATAAATTTATAATTCTTTATTAATTTATATTATTAATATTTCTTAAATAAAATATAATTATAATATAAAAGTTCTTTAAATAAAAATATAATATTTTAAAAGTTAAAAAGTTGCTAAATTATAAAAGCTATAATATATTAAGTTCTTAATTTTTTATATTTATAAAGCATTCCTTTTATATTAAAGAAATTAAGAGTAAGAAAGGCTTAATATTATTTTATTAAATTTATTAATTTAATTAATTTTCTTAGCTTAAAATAAAGGTTAATACTTAAGAAATATTCTTATATTATCTTTATAAGTTTATTATTAAATATTATTTATTTTATATTAAAAAATAATAATT